TCCACAAGGCCCCCCAAACGGTTCAGAGACTGCGCTAGCCGTGCTGCGAGGCAAGGTAACCATGCAAAACTGCTAAATGGCAGCGGAGACAAGACTCCACGAGACGGGGCGGCATGGGGTCAATGGTCGCAAAGACTCCGCGGTGCCGCGACTCTCAGAGTTGGGCGTCACGTAATACATACGCCGCAAAGTTCTCGGCATCATGGTTGACTCTTTTGATGAACCTTTTGCCATTTTCAGCCATTAGGCGGTTGGACTGTCGCTTGCGAAGGTCATGGACCGTGGCGAAAATACGGAGTGGCCCGACGCGCATCTCAAGGAGCGTGGTTAGGGATCGGTTGGGTTGGCCTGGCCTGTATTTAGCCTTTCGATGTTGGAGGAGGATCAACGCAAGATGCCTCAAGGACAAGATAGCACGACCACAGCCATGGTGAATCCCAACCCGATCTATGTGCGAATTATAGCACATATTAGCAATAGTAATCTATCGGAGGCATGGATCAGAAAGAACAGGCTTCCTGTGATATTGCATGTTCGTGTACTCCCATACTCCCGTACTCCACGACGGAAACAATATATCATGGTCAGTGCGGCTCTCCTGAACCCTGCGAGCAGTTCGGAGCAGATATGCTGCTGAAATGGGTCCGCTGAGACCAAATATCGGATAGTGGATGGGCGTTGAAGATGTCAATGATGAAATGAATTGATGGTCAACCGGTCTGACCTGGGGTGGCTTCGAGTCTGTGTTGGTCGCGTCATGTCGCCAAGGAGGGCCCCGGTTTCCGTGTCCATCCATGACTTGCCCTGGCCTTGGGTTGCCTTGCTGGCGCCTCCTTTTTCTTTCAAAAGAAGGAAAAAAAACAAAGAATGAGAAAAGGACAAAAAGTTTTTAAAAAAAGGGGTTGCCAGTTCGCCTTCCAATATCTGCCTTGTAGGTAGCTCTTGCCATTGCCAGGTAGACTTAGTAGGCAAGTACGGAGTGCCTGAATCCACGATATGCCTGGTACGGAGTACGGAGTACTAGTGCGTAGTAGTAGTACTATTACAAGATGCTTGGTACTTGCCGAACGCACACCTGTGCCTTCTCTTGCCAGGTTACACCAACGACTTGAGGTGCCTAAGTGGGCACCTAGGCAGGTACGTACCTAGGAATCGAAGGTCCTCGTCGCCAATTCCAGTCTAGCGGCCTGAAACTGTCGCTTCGAGCCTTCCTCATTCCCCGGCCCAGGCTTCTTGGCTTCATCTGGGCTTCGCGACTGGCGCTCGTGCCACCGATTTGGAACGCCTCTTCACGCCTCCCACCCATCGACGCCTGGTTGACTGTGCCTCAACCCACCCGCATCGTCACACAAGGTCTCGCAGAGTCTCAAGAGTCTCACAGAATCGACCTGCAGTCCGTCCAGCTGCATATTGTGCGACTCCGCACACCTCTAACGAATTCGCAACACGCCCGACAAGTCGACCGCCTCCGATATCTGGTCCCGTCACCACATGACCACTGCTGCGACAGGCGAAACTCCAGGCTTAGCTGTTCACATGGATTGCATTTCACTCGGCCCATAGTGACGGTCTGCTTCAACTCATCAGTTCTTCTTCGGACGTTCAGCCGGAACGTCACGTCCAACAATGATGGTCAGCCTTGCCCGTGGATGTTCGAGTCAGACCGAGAACGAGTCGTCATCCCACTTTACCCTCAGACATGAGAATCGGCGGTCGAGTGGGCTCAAGTGGCGACTGTCACATTCCTTTTCCTCACCTTCTGCCCTATCGTATCTGTCCTTTTCTATTCCGAGGGGTTCCCGACTGGCGGTCATGCTAGCAACACGCCCGACGGCCATGTGCCTGAAATGAATTATACTACTGCGCGTCCCTCGAACCCGTCACGTTTGGGACAAAGTTCAGATGACAAGCTATGTCCACAAGTTGTTCCCGACTGTACTCCGTACGAGACAAGACGATTTTCAAGGAAATAGCTTCAGTGCCAACAAAACACCACCACTACCACTGAGGATGAACCTATGAATGGCATAGCCGCTCACTCACAAAGAATTATATCAAGACCGCCAATCGCCAAAAGGCTGGCAATTAAGTCTTGGTTTCGACTGGTTTCGACTGGCTGGATTGGGCGAAACCAAGCCCTCTTGGTTTTTTTTTCTTACACTTCCCCGGCCGGTCTCTGTCCCTGAAACCCAATTTGAACGAGCTTCTCCATCAGACTGCCACAGCCTGGGCGGCAACTGAGGGGTCCAATGTAATGTCCAAAGGTGCATGAAGGGACAAACGAGCGGCCCTCAGGCACGCGTCGTTTGATTATCTATCTAATACGGGGTATCTCATGCGTCCAATGGCAACAAAGCCGTCTTCGTGGGCGAGGTGATGTGCGTCCTGTCGTCATTCTATGCAGTCGGTCATGTTCACGCAAGCTGAGGCCCTTGTCAATAAAACAAGATACCATATAGGCCTTGAGCTCACCGTCGGCCCCGTTCACGCCACATGCCTGCTCTGTTGCCCACCACTTTCTTTTGAAGACGGTGTGATGTCGTCTGAAGTGTGTACGATACATCATGCCGAGCCCAACTAAACCTCACTTGGCCTTGCGCCTTGCTCTCATGTCTTAGCAATGCCTGCATCACTGGCTTCATCCATTGGACCTACACCGCAACTGGCGGGGGGGGGGGGGGGCGGCAAACGGCAAACGGCATGCATGTATTACATCCGCGCACGTTTTGGCCTAGCTCTCTGCTGGTGGCCATAATCAGGTCGACTTCATATCACGCATGGGTACGGAGTCGCAGGTTGATGTCCAGTCCACACTTCTATGGAGGCGCATCTAGGATGGATGGTCCTTTTTGGACCCAATCTTTTTTTCTTCCCACTCGCACGTCGCCCTGGGCCTTCAGTCGTGGGGTGTGGCCATGAGGTCTATTTGCTATGATTTGCTATTACGCCTCCCAGGTTGTCCTTTTTCTGTGTCCGCTTCCGTCTGTTTCTGGAATATTTCACTCCACTCAGACACGAGAGCCCAAAGCTCCAAGCCCAACGGAAATCTATCAATCAAGCAGCGCATTGAAGAAGACGTGACTCCAGCGGTGCGTGGATATATCCCTCAGCAGTGCGGAGTGAAGGTGACGGGGATTATGCCTTTTAGGCCATAGCTGTCTTGCGGGCTGGGTATTACCCGTTGCCATGACAAACGACGCCTCCTCCTGACTAGTTGAAGCCTTGTTTTTACGATTCAGGGCAGCCTGTCCCATCTGAAGTAATAAGATTTCGGCCCCCGGATGTCATGTCCGAAGCGGCTATTGACCCCATTGTCTGTGGTCCAAAGTCAAAGTGGTGCTTGGTATCTACTAGGGGCCGTTCCCGCCTTGTCACCCTTAACCATCCTGGAGCCTGCAACCTGGAACCTGGAACCTTGTCCAGAGGGCTAGTCAATGACTCTGCCATCTTGGTGGCTAGCATTTTTACTATTATGCCAGGCCGCTTTTATACTACTACTTACAAAGGATCCGTTGAGCCTCTCATTCCCGCCAAGAGGTCCTCGGGCCTAAACGCAAACTTGCTTTTCACGCCGTGGACGACTGCCCCCTGCACGTTGAGGCAATGATGGGAGATACGCATGCCTCTTCTCCAGAACCCTGGCACATCTCAGTACTGCCAGTGGTCCTGCAGGCTTATTACATCGTTTCCAATGTACACAACCGAGCCACGGGGGACGAGTTATATTGAAAAGTCGATGGGTCAGGATCCGAACTCCGCTCCACCCCAAACCAAGTCAGACCCGTCTTGAGCGTTCGGTATGATGATGCGTGCTCGTCGAATCAGGCCCCTCTCCGTCGATTCCCGCATATACTGTACTCATCGCGACTGAGTGCTACCGAACGCTTTGCTTTTCTTTTTCACTGCCCCAGTTCCCTGGCACACTCGCAGTCTGGTCGGAGAGGGAGGGGTGTGGATTTTTGGGTGTGAAAGATGCTGTTCCTCCTGCCAGAAGAAGTGATGGTTGTATTAGGACTCTTTTTCCATGCCTTAATTGGTCTATTCCCGTCTGATACCGCGCTCTGAGTTTTCCTTACGAAGATAATAACGCACACTCACCCGAGTACATACTATTATTAAGGACAGTTGCGGGTTTGGTCCCATGACCAGACTCCTTTCCCTGCACTCGATGAAGGAGAGCCCCATTTAGCCACATGTCCTGCGGAACCGAAGCCGCCTGGCCATGACATGTACAATACGCAGGATTGCCGCCGCTAGTGCCGTTGCTGTCCTCGGCGTGTTGTGGTATTTTTGTCCTTGGCCTCTGATGTCTGATGCCGCCCCCCTGGTTTGTACTTGATCACTGCCGTTATCATCATACGAAGTCTTGGTATTCCTCTACACAGTCTTGCCTGTCACCGCCACACGTCCCAGGCTCACATCATCACTCGCACATAACTCAGGGATCTGCTGTGCAGCTTGCCTCAAGTATCGTCTCTGTCCCTCTTTTGAGACCCAAGGGACGCAACGACATAGCTTAACCACGGAACCATTCAAGGGACGAGGGCGGCACTTGCGCATCTCTTTTCCATCCGCTTTTCCATGTCACGATCAACCCACTTGCTTAGTGGCACATTTTGCTGACCATACATTCTCACGATTGGTCCATACTATGTTGTCACGAGGCAGACGACTTTGAGTGTGATACAGCCTCTGTTCGGCCGTTTGTTTTCTACGGTTGGCTCCATGTCTGCTTTCGTCGCTTTTCCTCATTTTGCTCCAAAACTTTGCCCAAGGACCGGCGGAAAAACACCACTACCAGCTACTGAGACTCTTGGAGGATTAGTCTCTGCGATTTCACGGTTCTCTGTCCGGTGGACGAACGTGTATGGAATAATAGCGCAGCTTTTTGCTGATCGTGTCTGACTTCCCCTCCACCCCCGTTCCCCCCGGCCTCATCTCTGGGTCACAGCCATCGGAGGGCATCATTACCGTGGTTCGTCTGGAACCCCCCAGCCAAAATGGCTAGCGAAGTCTCCAATTGTCTGGATCTACCATTCATGCCGCCCCAGAATCACCACCACTCGGCACCAACAATACAGTATTTAGCGGGCGGCGAGCTTCCCATTGTTACGGAAGAGACACCCCAACAGCAGCAGCAGCAGCAGCAGCAACAACAACAACAGGAAGCAGAATACTACGGAGACTCTGAGCGACAACTAACTCTACGTCAAGCCCCAATGCATGCTCGAGTTGCTGTTGGAAAAGAGAAAGGTTTGCCGTTCTCTAGCCTCCCGACGTATTCAGATACAATGTGCTAACGAGCACGCAACAATAGACAGAAAACCGATAGACCCCCCGCCGATTGTTCAGTTAATAGACAAGCGAACTGATGGGAAAAGCGGCCTCTACGATAGTAAGACATCACAGGCTGCGCTCGGCGCTCTCGCAGCTTTTGCCCTGACATTGCTGGTATTGACATTGCCGACAGGCCCCTATCTATTCATGACCTCATCTTTACTACCGGAAAACTATGACGAGCACGTAAGAGGGCCAGAGTTGCCTTCAAACTATTTAGTTGGGTCTCTCGCGTCATCTATCCACCGGCTACGGGATACAGACAATATCGAGGGAGGATTTTTCGTGTTTGGAGATTTATCTGTTAAGCAGGAAGGGCGATACCGCTTGCGGTTCACCTTGTACGAAAGAGACCAGAACCATCCAACCCCGAGTTTCTGCTTCATCGGAGAGCTTATCACCAACGTGTTTACTGTTTTTCCTGCCAAGCTGTTCCCCGGCATGGCCGATTCAACTCCTCTGACCCGAACATTCAGCGACCAAGGGGTAAAAGTTAGGCTTCGAAAAGACTCGAGCACAATGGCTGCACGAAAGCGAAGCAGACAAGCGAACGAACCAGGCAGTACCGCCAGCTCGCTTCTTCACCGCCAACCAAAACGTACATCTTATGACAGAGAAATGCACTCACTGAGCAACTACTCTTTGTCTGATCTGGGACACATGGACTCCATGGCGGGGGGTTCAACTTTGGTCACTACGGCGTCGCATAATCCGAACATGTTCTCCATATCTGGACCTCTGCCAACTTCAAGAGGACCAGGTTTGGATTTGCATATACCGACGAGTGGCTACTATTTCGGTGCTCCTCAATACTATTAATGATGCGATTAGGCTCGCTCAATTGGGTGATGAAGGATCACCGAAGGCGAACGCAGCGGAACAAGCAAAGTGAACGACCAAGCACATGAATAACTGCACGTCGGCTAATAGCGTGTATAATTTTTCTTTCAGGAAGCCTTTCGTCGCCATTTCTGCAATCCAGTTGTCCAAATGCCGGAAGGTCATTTTGCCATTTAAAGCCGATGGATTGAAAAGTTTGTCAGCTTCAAGACTTCTGAACCGGCTCTCTCCGCATTAGGGTGGAGGATGTCTCGGGGAACGCTCCTCATTTGCTCAGGTCAATGATCAACTTGCCAACCTCTCGCCAGTCATGTATCTCGTACAAGACGCGACCCTCTTCCGAAGACTCGGGCTACGCGGGCAACCCGAGACGGTCGGCTTCCACGAAGCCCCATTCGAGCAGCAGAGACGGTGGCTCCCCGTCTTTAGTGATTGGGGTCTGTATACAAACGCTCAAGTCTGGGGGAGACGGGTAATTTGCAACATACACTCTTACATATGGATTGAGAAATGTCAAGGTGCTTACAAACATGCGGCTTGCCAGCATCCTCTGAATCCACTCTCGCCTCATGCCGCCGAAGAAGAGCTTACAGGCTTCTGGATTCGTACCGATCTCCCACTCTCGAGTAGCAGGCAAAGTGTCTCTGGACTTTTCCATATATGATGATGCTTGGAGAATGCGACCATGCCATCGTGCCAGCCAGATTCAAGCTTGGCGTCTACCACCTTGGCCCAATCACAGGCGGAATCTTCTTGGAACTGCTGCACCAACAATCTCACGCATGACTCGCCTGCGCCGGCCGGGAAAGGCCCGGGAAGTAAAGCGGCGCCATAGGGGTTTTGGCCATGTGCCAGGTTTTCCATTGCCACAGCACGAGCTGCATCTGCTGCACTCGCAGTGACCTCTTTGAGGGACCTGGACCTAGGCTATCGTGCAGGAGACTATAAGGGACAAAGTATGATAGGGAAGGCAGGACGGAAAAAACAATGGGCAGTTTGAGAAGAAAGCATGAAGAGTATCCAAGGGAAATGGCCACGCACTGCGGGTTTCTATACGAGTATGGATTCGCATTCTTGATGTTTTACCTCTTGAAAGTGGGACTAGTTGCTCCTCGTCTTCGGCGAGCCTGTTTGGGCAGTTGGGCTGAGACGGAGCCAACGTCTATAGAATGCTGAAGGAATCTTGGCGCATGGACAACAAAGAGGGAGTCTAGGTACCTGAAGATGCGCTTGCAGCTTTGCTATACAAGTCAGATGTCATGGAGCCCGTGCACGGAGAAGGCGAGAACAGGACCAGCTATTAGGGCCGAGGTCGTTTTAAGAGTGGCCCATCTCTACCACCGCGACTATTCACTCTCGTTGTAAATACCAATTCTTGGTTTAACAGGGGCTTGATGTAGGTCGCGAGCTACCTCGGATACCAGGAGCCTTTTAGATAAGTTAACTTTTTAGAGAGAAGGACGTCGGGGCGTCCAGAGTCGAGATCTCCTTACATCAGCAAGGAACTAAAAAGTGGGGCTCGCAACCCAACGCCACCACCACCCCCGGATTGCCATTCGCAGTTGGATCAATTCTCTTCCATCACCCAACCGACTCTTGTCTCGAGCATCACACAACAATTGCCGCAGGGAGCAGCAGCAGAAGCCGCAGCTCATCTCCGCTGTCCTCGTGCGTACACTCGGTGCTCCACCTCGAATCTGCGACAAGGCGCACGTCACAGCCCTCAGTCGGCGTGCAATCGATCGGACACTATGGATCACGGACGCGATCCCTGCCCCTGGGTCATCTTCAACGACTTCGGCGGCGCTTTTTGCATGGGTGTAGGCTCTCCCTTTACGAAGTCAACATGTTCTACTGATGCTTTGCCGACATTGGCTTGGGCTAACCAGAATCCCGGACCTACAGGCCATCGGAGGCACCATCTGGCACGGCGTTAAAGGTTTCCGCAACTCCCCCTATGGCGAACGACGAATCGGCGCCATCACCGCTGTAAAGATGCGTGCTCCTGTACTGGGTGGTAATTTTGGTGTCTGGGGTGGTTTGTTTTCAACGTACGACTGCGCCATCAAGGGCATTCGCAAGAAGGAGGATCCCTACAACGCCATTATTGCTGGGTTCTTTGTCGGCGGCTCTCTTGCTTTCCGCGGTGGCTTCAAGGCTGCGCGCAACAATGCCATTGGCTGTGCGGTTCTGCTTGCTGTCATTGAGGGTGTTGGAATTGCCTTCAGCAAGATGCTGTCTGGCGGGACGAAGCTGGAGATGCCGCAGCCCCCGCCTAGCATGGAGAGCGCCAGCTTGTAACGAGTCATTGACGGGGGATAAACGACTCCAAGCGACGACGAAATTCGAGAAGACTGTGGACGCAACGAAAATTGTTGAATGCAGGCGTTGACGACTAGTAAGGGGTCCTTGGGGTCCGTTGGCCCACCACACCGCGCGCCGCTCTCAACTCCGATCCGCAGCAATGGTTTCTTTCTTCTGTCGGTTCAAACTTGTGAGTCTCTTCACCATGGTCCGTATCTTGTGTGGTTGCGCGTGCAGACATGTTGCGAGGTGGAAGCCGAGCACATGAGGCGCCTTGGGAGGAGGTCTCTTTGTCGGAGCAGGGATCATTGGATTAGGACTTTAAACAAGTAACTGGGGAGATGACGCATCATGCTATCCGAAAACCAACAGCTTGCCTAGTTGCAGGCGGCAGAGACAGATATGTGTCCGCATTACACGGGCGCAATAGTGTACACTATTTGGAGAAAGGGAAACAGGCATTGAATATAAAGACAGGAAAAGGCACACGGGACATGTCTTTCTTTCAGACAACGGAACATGTCGCAGGAACTATGCCGATGTGAGTCCATACCAAGCCCGAAGACGAGTGCGTTAGGATGACTTCCAAAATGATTCGGAACATGAACGACATGAACCGACCTCACTGGACGACACGAGTCTATCAACTACACACCAATGGCGCCCCCACGACATGGGCCACACACGCAACAATGGCGACTTGGACACCACCGGTCAATCATGGACGGCTTTCAGGATCGGGATCCTCGGCGGCATTGCTCCAGATACTCATCCTGGCGGTGCCCTCATCATCGACCCAGGCGCGAAACATTCCCCCGCAATTATAATCCATCATGATCTCTGAACGGACTCGCACCAGCTGACCGCTCTTGGCGTCCCTCTCCACGACGCACTCGATACCAATCATGCCGCCCTCGCCCTCGCCAGTATGCCCCCATCTGTCGCCCGCGCTGCGCTGCAACTCCCCGCCGGGACCAACGACATTTGTCAAGGCGCTGGCCGTGCTCTCGGGCTTCCACCTCGCCATGGCGGCAACGGTCCGGGCGGCGCTGGTTCGCAGGAACGAGTCGCCGTTCCCCGTGCCCGACACGCCCACGGCCCGAGAGGCAACGGTGTCTGCGACATGCGGAGCGGACCGGGACCAAGCGTCAGGCCCGGGAGGCGGGTAGAAGAACGGCGTGGGCAGACAGTCGGCCAACAGGCCCTTCAACGGCCCGGCGAGCGAGAGGCCCGGCGGCGCAGTGCCCAACGCGCCCGCGAGCTCCTCCTCCCACTCCTCGGCCCAGAAGCCCGCCCCCACGACGGGGGTGTCGCCAATCCTCCCCGTCAACTTGTTGGTCAGGCCGCCGGTGCTCGTGGCCGCGCAGACGACGCCGTCCTCGTCGAGGGCGACGGCCCCGCACGTGCCCTGCGGCAAGTACTCCTCCGCGGACCACGTGCCGCAGCCCAGACCGCGGCGCTCCCTGTCCAGCGCGCCGAGGTGCTCGTCCCACCGCTGCTGCGTGAAGAAGTACCGCGGGTCGACCATGTCGAGGCCATATCGGCGCGCGAGCTGCTCCGCCGCCAGGCCCCAGATCTGCGTGTGCCCCTGCGCGGAGGGGACATCGAGACGGGGGCGGTCCTCCGCGGCGCCGGTGCCGGTGCCGGTGCCGGCGGCCCCGCGCGGCGCGACGTCCTCGTCGCCGTGGACGAGCATCGCCCTCGCCAGCAGGACGGGGTTCCGGACGTGCCGGAGCCCCGCGACGCCCACGCCGCGCTTCTTGCGTCCGCGGGACACCATGACGGACGCCTCGAGCTCGTTGGTGCCGTCGCGGGTGAAGACGGCGCCGTGCCCGCTATTGAAGAGGGCGTTGTCCTCGAGCAGCGCGACCGCGTAGCACGCCACGTCCAGCGCGGACGGCTTCTGCGTCGCCGACCACTTCACGGGTGTGCGGATGTATTCATTGGTTTTGGTGATCTGCCATTTTCGCCTGCCTGGTCAGAGAGGGGGTGGCGGGCGTGGACGTGTTTGGCAGGGAAGGGTATTTCTTGAGAGGGGGGGGGGACGTCGTCATCACGAACTATGGTGAGGAGCGCATCCCGGTACGCGCTGTACTTGTCCGACGGGAAGTTGGCTCGCGCAATGTTGCCTGCGCCGCCGTGGATGACGATGCGTGGCTGCGCCTTGACTGCCTGCGACGGCGGGGGGTGCTTCTCGTACTGCATTTGCTTTGCGGGGGGGAGGCGACAGACGGGATGGAGACGCTCAAACGCTCACGGATGCGCAGGCGAAAAACGAGGGGAGCTGGAGGGAATGCCAAAAGTCACTGCCGACGCCTAGGAAGAGGGAGAGGTCAGGCGGAGTCTTGGAGTCTTCGACGGTCGGGGGTGGGTCGTTTGAAATGCGGAGTTTTCTCGGAAGCGGAGCGGCGGCACGCGGCACACGGCTGGCGGCCTGCCAATTCGGGAAGGTTGGCTTTGCACTCCGCAACGTCAATATCATGGCTGTGAGCGAAGCGAGACGTGCGACGCGCGAAAGCGGCGGGGATGCCCGTGTCGCACCGAGACTCGTATTTTCTATTTCTCCCGAGCACGCCCGAGCGGCCTATACGATCATATACAAAGGAGGAGGAGGAGTTATTACATGCGTCCAGAGCCCAGACATGTCGTGTTCGTGATATACTCGCAATACAACGACAACAAGGCACGTGAAAAGAAAAAAAAAAGGAAGAGAAAAGAGAAGAAAAGAAGAAGAAGAAGAAGAAGAGAAAACTACAGCGGCAAAACACCACCCCATCATCCCACGCTTGCACACTCGCCAGCCTCTTCCCCTGGAGCAGACGAGCCTCCGCGCGGCGTCGCAGAACTGTCCCAGCCGGCGTGCGGCAGCTGCGGCTCCAAACTCTCCTCTGCAGGCAGCTTCCACGAGTCCAACAGCCCGTACATGTCCGTCGAGAAAGCTATCCCCACGGCGTGCATCTCGCCGTCGCGACTCGGCTCCGTCACATGGCCGGGGAGGTCAAGACGCCAGGGAAAACTGCCGAGGCCAGGGCCGTCGTGGCCGTCCTCACGGGCATGACTGCCGCTGGTGCTGCTGTCGATTTCGCGCGTCGGTCCTGGTGCCGCCGTCGCCGGCGACGACGGGTGCTCGTCGGCCTTGTGTCCCAACCAGGCGACCGCGTCCTCGGCCAGCCCAGAGTTCCTGTCGGCTTGGCGTCGCCGTCGCCATCCAAAGAAGAGCGCGGCGGCTACGATGCTCACGGAGGCCAGGGACACGGAGATGGCGATGGCGGCCTTGGCTCCCGCCGACAGCACCGACTCGGGGGCGCTCATCTGTCGGTCGTTTGCGGAAGACGCCGAGCTCGGCGGCCTGCCCTCTGGCGAAGAGGAAGCCGCGCCGGCGGCAGCGGCTGTGCTTGTCGTCACCGAGGTCCGAGGCGTGTAAGTCGCCAGCACGAGCGCAGACGGTTTCGGCGGCTCCGACGGGTCCGACGGCAAAGGCGACGGCGGAAACGGATTAGAAATAGCCGGCGGGACGCCCGTCGACGCGCTCGTCAACGGCGGCGGCATGCTCGGAGGGACGGGACTCGAGGCACCGACAGAGTCGGCGGCGTCGGCGGCCGGACTTGACGCCGCAGCATCGTCGTTGGGACGCTTCAAGGCGCCTCTCTTGGCAGCGCACTCGGCCCCCAGCTGTCCAAGCACCTCGTCTGCGGGAGCAAATGTCAGACAAACTCGTCCGAGACTTGGTCAAAAAACACCAAAGGTCATGGATGGCGGTAGTACGCACCGGCTCTTGAGCCCGGGCAGCGAGCCCGGATGCACGCCGTCGACGCGCCAGAAGCCACCGCGTCAAAGTTTTCGCATAAACAGCTCTTGTCCCCCCGCGGACACGCACTCGTCGCGAGGCAGCCAGCCGCACAGGCGTCGTCCGGCAGGCTCGCCAGCGACGTGAAGACGGTTCCGTTCCAGAACGCCGCCGCCGCCGCCGCGGAGAGCGTCGCCTACGCAACCGTCACCCTCATCCTCCTCGTCACTATCGTCTCGCCAAAGCCGGCAGAGAAACACGAAGCCCCCCGCCCCCGGGAGCCAAAAAAAACTATATCCAAAAGAGTGCGTGAGTGATGCCCATATATCTCACGCCGTGGGGCGCCGAATACCGCACAGAGTAAACCAACGTCGTCAGCTTCGCCACACGACACCCGCTCGTGGGGGAAAGAGAGAAGAACCTGGGGGGAAAGGCGAAGACGGGAAAAAAGGAAAAAGAAAAAAGAGAATCATCCTCGACGCTCCTTTCCCATCCGTCGTGGAATGACTCTGTGCGGCTCTGCACACGTCGTTGCTCGGCTCGCTCGCGGCCTCGCGCACCGACTTCATCCCTCTCTTTCTTCCCATCTGCGCCTGCGCCTGGGACGCCTCCCACCGTTTGGGCTAATATTATCTGGGTAGTTGACTGTGCGGCCAAACTCGGTCCGGTGTGACGCTGGCGTCGACGGTGCCACTTGAGCAGACAAAGGCCGTGGCCTCGTGCGTCGGCTCCCGGCATCCGATCAGGTTGAAGCCGAGATGCCCGTTTCTTTCACCTTTTTTTCCTTCCTTTTTTTAGAAACGGTCAAATTGCCAGATGCCCGTGCGTGAGAGGCCCTTGCTTCGTCTCCCCTCGGTCCCTTGGCCCAGCGCGCCGAGGAAACAAGACAAAAAGGCTGTGCTGCAATGCGCCATGTGGCCCGCATCGCACCGCACCGCACCGCACGGATGGCCGCTTCTTCGCCGGGATGGGTTTAGTTTGGACCCAAAACTTGGCTGGTTGGCATCGCATCTAGGAATGATGAACGAATCCGTTGCGTTGCCGTCTCGACGGCTATTGCTATTGGGGCTACCAAAATTGCTATTGGGGCTACTATCGCCCCACCACCATCCAAATTCGGTCTAGTGGCTAGCTTCCCACACCCCTACATACATTTTTACATACACCTACATGGTTGCAGCCGCCCTCAATTAAATGTAAAAGTAGTCAATTGATATTAGTGAATTTTTCAATAGCGCTGGCACGGGCGGGCTCCAATTCGCTCAAAAACGCAATTTCCGGTGTTTTCGTTCAATGTGTTCACTTTCCGGCCCGTCAATTATTCTAGGGCTGTTGTGGCTGCTGCCTCGGCTCCTAAGGGGTCATCCATTGAAGCTGCTGCTGCCCTTCTGGCTGCATTTGAGGGATAATTTCCTCAATATCTGGCTTAATCGCCTGTCCCTCAATTAATCCACCTTAGCTGTTATTCATATAGTTATCCGATCGCTGCGTAGATAGGATGTCGAGTCTTCGGCGGCGTTATTAACTTGCGGCTCGCTCTGCGAGGTCTGCTTGTGTTGCAGATCGACGGATGCTTGGATTGACTCAGCGGCGGCGGCGGCGGCGGCGACTTTAAGAGCTTGGTTGAGGCAATTGAGTAAGCTGTTGACTGTTATTTTGATCTATATTTTAGTGTTTTTGGCGATGTTGTGTTGTTGCAAGAAGGCTGCCTCGTGCGGCAGCTGCAGCTGCAGCGTGTGACGTTTTTTTTTGTTGTGCGCTGCTATTTTCGTGATAATCGCTGCGTTGCCAGGGCGTTGTATGTGAAAATGTATAGAGGGGTGTGGCATCTAAGGGTGTAGGTCTGAAATCTAGGTGGGGCGGTAGCCCCAATAGCAATTTTGGTAGCCCCAATAGCAATAGCCGTCTCGACTGGTGTCGTGCATCGAAAGTTATCCAAATTCGGAAGTCGAAACTCGAAACTCGCGAAGCCACGACTTGGCATATGTGTGAGCTTCCGCTGTCCGCACAGGCAATAAAAGACGAGTTGCCAGTCACGGCTTGAATCCACTTCCAAACTTGGCAATTATCAACCTCACTCCACTTACAAACGGCTCTATGTATCGTGCGCAGTGTGACTAGCATGGGGGGTATATCCAACATTCCTTGAGTCCCGATTCTCCGGCTTTCGTGTCAACAACGCCTTTCAAAGCCAGTAATATGCTCCTGTATCGTCCCAAAAATTTTCCGCTCAAAGTACGTCAATTCATATGCAATGCCGCGCGAGATTCACGCGTGGCCGCCGCCTTGAATCCCAAACTCCAACGCTCAAGCCATCGCCATATTCTCCTGGGCACGGGAACACTATCCAAGTAAGCCCTTTGTGACAATTCACTGGCGCCGACGACCCCCCTCCCTCAAAACTAGTTGTGCAAGGCAAGGAAAAGAATGAAGGAACTGGTTAGTAAAAATGCAACAAGACATGACAAAGCTGTTTCAAGACGATACTGCCGTGGCCAACCCAGCTGCAATTTTGACAGCCATGTTGACATCCTTTCGTCGAACACCAGGAGCGCGTCCCAAACAGACCGACTTGCTCGATATTTCTGTTGTCTATTAGCTTTGTGCGTTCCAACAAATCAAATTGAAATGCTGGCTCCTTCCTACCTTGGATCAGCATGGACACATTCAGCCCAATCTTGGACTTGACGGCCCAGCCCACGGGCTGTTGCCACATGCCATTGGCCTCGGAGGATAGCATAAAGTTGACCATTCCATGCTCATAGTCGCCCGCTTGCTCTGTCCCCCTTTGATGTACTGGCAGGCCCATCACGTGTTGCTGACGAGACATGTCTACGGCAGCCTGAGGGCCAGGAGCGTCTGTCGTCGCTGAGACCGGGCTATTGCTGTTGCTTGTCCACATCCCACTGTGATTGCTGCCCCCGTACCCGGAATCTGGATTTGCAAAACCTGGCTGCTGCCCATTTGCCATCACGGTTGAATCGCTGCTGGCTCTGGTCGAAGACCCATCACAGTCCAGATCGGCAATGTCAATATCAGCCTCAACGTATTCGGCCCGCTGGGGAATAAAGATGCCTAGTTGGCGCAGGTACGCTTCTACCTCATCTGGATCGAAAAATTCGCCTTCAAATCCAGGCAACATCATCCGAAGCCTATCGTCAAGTCGCTCGTCACGGATTGCTTGTAGCTCGGGGCCAAAGGGGCCCATTGATTGACCCGTCATGTCCTGGAGCTTCCCGTAGGACCGCGTGCCTTGGTTTCCGATGGGCATGCCTGCTGGGGCGCCGTCTGTCCCTTCGATCGACTGTTGCGGTGGGAAGAATGTACCAGCACCCCCCAGACCGGTGAATGGGGCTCTCCAATTGCAGAGATCCTCATGTTGACGTCGGCTCAGTGTAGCCTGTAAACGCTTGATGATAGCATCTTTCGACTCGAAAAACAAGCAAAATCCAAAGACGGCGGCAAATCTCTCTGGGGGCGGGTTAGACATCAAGATGAGTCGCAGCCCATTTTCTGTCGTCTGGCGCTGCAGGCGACGACCAAAGGTGAGTTCGTTCAAGGCGTAAGATGCTGGGGGAGGTATCGTGGAGTAAGGCGGATGAGCAGCAGTCAGGTCTCTATTGAAACCGCCCTCGATGGTGGGCTCCATCGAGGAGTAGAATGGAAAGCTCGCATTATCTGGGGTCGCTGCTGTGACAACTTCGTAGCCGAGTGACGCAGGCACATGGATCATTGGTCCAGAAGATGTGGCTGCAGCGGTGCCAGGCGCGCCAGGAGTTCCGTCAGAAGTTCCAAGGACGTGACCCTGTTGTGACGCATCCAAGTGGAATCCATTGTTTGGTGATACAGCAGCAAGAGCAGGTGTCACAGAGTGGACTGAGTACAAATTGGGATGGTTTTCATGACGAGAGGTTGGAGACTCATCACTTTCTTCCGAGCAGCTGACCTCTCCGGTACTATTTCTCGCCTTATCGGCGACCGTAGTGATTCGGTTGGCGATGGTTGACAGTCGTTGAATGGTATGTGGCACAGCGTCGAGAACACGCTCCGAGACGAGAAGATCATAAAAATCATTGAACCCTCTGCTCATGTCGTCGTTTGCCTTTTCGAGTTCCTTGACGCGCTGCTCCAGTGTTGTAATGGTGGTATCTTTACGATGCCTGTATGCTCGTTGAGCAAGGCGAATCTGTGTACGACGGCGCTGTGGAAAGTTGGTTAGAATCCCCGAGGTGCCCAACACGAAGAGACATAATGATTGCCGCGCAATGGCAGAGGGGTATGGGTGCTCACATCGGCAGCGGTTTCGTCTTTTGTATCCAGCCTGGGTCTGCCTCTCGATCTCTTCTTGCGTCCATCGTCTTCTGCTGTATTGACGTGTCCTGCCGTGACATTGTTTTCATCTGATTTTCTTGCCCGTTTGCCGGTTGTCGGCGGTAGACCACTTCCACTCTGGGGATGATTCGGTGCCTTTGTCGGCACGGGCGATGTGTTGGAGCCGTATACAGTGTTCACTTCATATTGCTGAGAGATATTCTTGGGCGCATGGTTTGAATTGCTCATTGGGGTCTGGTGGTAGCGGGCGCCAGTCGAGGAAGGGCTGTCAAAGGGTAGCAATCCTGTGACAGTTGACGCAGCAGTTGCCATACGGCTCCAGTTCTCGGACCGCAGCCGCTAGGAGAAAAGACTAGGCAAAGTTCAAAGGCAAGAAGTTGATTGTCCTTTGAACGGACACCCGTCGTGGAGGTATTGGCGAAGTTGTAAGAGATTGGGAGGCTGGTGATTACAAAACCGGTCGCTACGAAGCTGTAGCGTGGATTTGAGGGAAAGGTGCCCGTTTGCACCACCGTGCGTTCGCTGGATGATGAATCAGACGTTTGACGGCGGCCGGCTTGAATGGTCGAGAAGGAAGGCCGAGTGTATAACGGCCATGTACAACGGTCAGCGGTTGGGGTGGGGAGCGGCGGAGCAGGAGGCTTGATTAAAGGAAACAAGGCCAGGCACGGCGTGCCAAGCAGTAAATAGGATTTAAGGGGAATGGAAGAGTCGGGTCTGTTGGATGAGACGAGGTTGATCGGGGTAGAGATGTAGAGATGTAGAGATGTAAGTGGTGTGGTGATGTCCAGGTACGAGCGGGACGCGGGCGTCTTGGTGGAAAGTCGGCAACAGCTGCAGGTGCGCCTGCCCTGCCCTTCGGCCGAGTTGAATTGGAGAGTAGACTCCAAGTCTAGAGCGCCCGACCAGCCAGTAACAGCAAGTTGCAAGTGTCAACTCCAGCGGGCCACGCCAGCGCCAGCCCGCGCCGGGATCGACGACAGACGGTGCACTTGACAGCACTTGAGGTCACGACTCACCACTCACCTCTCAGTGGCACTCACTCGAGCGGCGGCCCACCAGTTAACTAACTGATCAACTGAACTAACCGACTGGGTCGATCAGCACTTCGGTCCAATGTCCGTCTTCATCTTGATTCTTTCCACCAAGCACGGCATGCTCGACCAGTTGCGTTGCGTTGGTTGCAGGGTCAGCAGGGGAGAAAGAGTCGTGGGCAGTGTGCGCCAGGTATGAGCCGTCCATGGTCCGTGACTCCGTGATCCATGCCCAATGCCCAATGGTTGTCTAACTGTCGTCTGTCAGATGAACTCACCGTCCGCTGTCCGCTGTCCGCTGTCCCCGACCGCGACGCCCCCTTGGTCACCAACAATAACCAGGTGGGGGACCTTTCGGGGTTGGCGGCTTCAAGCTTTTGCAAACATTGAATGGCGTCGACAAGTAGCAAATGGCGGCACCAGCCATACGGCGGACAGGTATTGTACCCACGGACTAGCAGTCCGTTGGTCCCGGCAGCTAGAACTGGATTGCGAGAGCGAAATATCGATCGATCACGGAGCCCTCCTCCGAGTCCTCTCCTCGAGTCACTACTCTTGTCCTTCATCTCATCCCGCTGTCAATAACATGACTGAGCGGCACGGATCTTGGCCCCGGCGATGCGCTAGGCTAAGGCAGGGGCGAACACCACACAGGCCTGTGTTCGTCGGCGCAGCTCGTCATGCGACATCAGCGTGATGCCTGTCGTCGGCTAGGCCCCAGCTAGATCCATGTTGAAGACGCAAAGGGCAAGTCAACGTGGCGTTTCAGCGAGGCAACAAGACAAGACCCCGGCCCGGCATGCAGGATGCTAGCAATGCATCTCTCTACAAGGAGACATTCTTGTTGAAAATTGGTACGGAGTGGGAGCACGAGTATTCCGTTCTACGTGCTCCGAACTGTCGGTTTAATTGTTGCAAGGCATCGCTCGTGCAGCCTTGCCTGCCCAAACGGTCGGCCCAGGCAGACATGCATCACAAACAATAGGGTTGATTGTCCCAGGTCTCACAGCTCGTTCCAACTCCAAGACACCTTGGCAGAAACGGGCAAATGCAGGGGTGCTTGTATGCTAGCTGCATAAGTGAAAGCAACACCCACGGCACGGGTATCCGGTATCCGTTTGCCAAGGCCCAAGCGTACACTGAGAACTCGATAGGTAGCCCGCATCAGGGAACATCTTAGTTGTAAGTGCGAAGCGACCCCCGGATATGTGGCCAACCGTTTCAAATCTAACCCAAGGGCAACAGGCATGCGATGGCAGACTCCGTCACTTGGAGCCAAGCTTCGAACCAAAACTTGCGCACTAGAAGCTGTAAAATTCCAGTGTTGGTCGTCACGAATGACAAATAGCTCGAACTCGGCACTAGCCCGGCTTCTAAGTTCTGGGGCTTCCCGTATGGCGCTTGCCATGGTGTTTTGGAATTCCCATGCCGAATTCTTACCCCTCGCTCCCTTCTTTCCCCAGCCATGGCTGTAGCAATCAACAAAGAAATCACGCCAAAACGCGCAGAAACCACGGCATTCTCCCTCAACTTGGATTCAAGAGAGCACGCCGTTGCTATCGCGGACGCCAGCGGCCAGTCCCTCAGCCGGTCAGGCGAGTGCCGACTTTCTTCGGGCCTTGGAGAGTCCCGACTTGTCACAGCCGTCTTCTCATTGGTGGATGATGGAAAGCTCGAAAAGAGGCGTTCATTTTCTCCGTATTGGCAAGGTCAATCAATCCCCACAAAGTCCTGTTGGGGTTGCCGAGTGGCCGAGGGCCGTCCAGAGTCTGGGAAGCCTCTGTGAGTTTTATGCCAGAGATGGTCCCGCCCGGCATTTGCCAGAGAAGCGACTTCAGATAACCCTGTGGCTTCACGGGCACCAGGTACCAGAGGCTGCCCTTACCGAGTGCAGGGCATGTACCAGATCACAGGACTACTCTCCGTGCAAAGCGATTACGTAGAACAACTCACCGCCGTCCCAGAGAATCGGGTCGACGAGTTCTCAGCGGTGCCGCCAGTTGTTCTGTCCATCCTCGGATGGATCTTGGCCAATGGAAAACAGACCCCAGAAGGTGTCGGCCAATCCTCCAAAATTCCGGCGAGATGGATTCGCGCCTCGCGCTGTCAGCGAACGCCGGGACATTTGCATCATGTCGCATCCTAACTGGAGTCGTGGTAGTAACTACTAGCAATCGACAATAGGGAGATCGATCTTGCTGAACTGAAAGCCGGGCCGTCAGGCCGTCAGGGGCCTGGCCTAACCCCCTCATAACCCATGTGACCGGGCAGATGCTGGTGACCAAGCGGTCGGCCTCATCAATGATCAAGGCACCGGCCCTCGAGTTGCGCTTGTCCACGCCAACCGTTGTCATGAAGTTGTAGTTGTCTGCTCAGCCACAAATCCGCCCGCGCCGGCTTGATGCTGAGCTGACGTGTGAGATAACTCCTCATAAAACCAGGTGAATATTACATGCAGCCGCTCAGCCTCACCGGGGCCGGGCAAGTGTGCTGTAGGGTAGGCAGGCTTCCTCGTCGCTCCCTCGACGCTGCTCCTCGCCCCCCAGCCGAGCCAGCCAACCTCCACAACTCCGACAGCAACTACCATTGACCGTCTTGAACCCGGCGATTGATAGTTTTGGCCTTGCACAAGGCCGCCTAACAGCTCCCCGCATTTCTCGACACGATAGCGGGCTGCAAGGGACAAATATCGAATTGATTGTCCGTGCTGTCAGTCAGCAGAGTTATGGGGGATCGCGAAAATGGCTGGACAACAGTTGGCCATCGGATTCTCGGCCACGGCCATCAGCTTGGCTCCGGCCGCGAGTGGGTGATGCAACAAGAAATGGTCGACCTTGAAGCTATTGCTGCGTGGGACAATGATACGCAATGGCCCAGCATGTAAGAAGGTCCCGCCATCATTTATTTGCTGAAACAAGACTTCAGCCAGAATTGAACACCGACGCCCACCTCTCCCTGCCGCGCACATTTCCTCAAGCTGACGTGTTCCACGCGCCGCCATGTAGCAACAAGCCACTTTTTGACGGCCCCGAAGCCAAAAAGTTCGACAACAAACTGGTCAAGCTTCACGACCTTGACCAAGGCGCGTTCGGCAGGGTCGACAAAGTCATGCACGGCTCAGTTTGCTTAGCAAGGAAGCGCATACCAAGGCGTCGAGGATTTTCCATTGACGACTTGCGTAATGAAGGATTGATGATGCGCAAGTTGGATCACCGCCATGTGGTCAGGCTGGTTGCGACGTATGCTCCGAGGTCCCACGAATTGTGCCTTCTAATATGGCCAGCCGCTGTTTGCAACTTGGGCAGGTTGTTGGACGATATCGAGGCCCTGCGCCTGAGTGAGGGAGACCGCGAAGACATTGTTGAACGCTTGACGGCCTTGGATCTCAAGGACCTGGGTGCAGTTGACCCAATGGCAAAAGATCAACATGCCGCCTCGACGTCCGACTCATGCCCGTTTGACTTCTTGCGCACAATTATTGGCTGTGTGGCCCGCGCCATGGCGCACTGCCATGCGAACAACGTCCGGCACCTTGATATCAAGCCGTCCAATATTCTGCTGCGTCCGGGTCGAGTTTACTTGGCAGACTTTGGCATCTCTCGAGACGTCACTGGCCAGGAGCAAACCACAACAGATGGCATGCCCGGCACTGAACGATGGCGAGCGCCGGAGCTGTATGAGGAGCATGGCTCCAGCATGCAGCTGTCAGATATGTACTCACTTGGCCTGGTGTACCTCAACATTGCCACCGTTTTGTACAATGCCAGATTGTCAGATTTTGACGACGCCCTAAGCTACTCGGGGAGATTGTCGCGCCAAGAACTTTTGCGGATCAGGGAGGATAAAGTCAAGAGGCACCTGGATCGACTTTCGGGCCATGCACTGGTGACGCCGCCGTTCATGTTCACCTATGAAGGGCAAGAGACGGTGCGGCCACGACCACTGACGCAGCTTATATCCCGTATGGTGGCTACCAACCCCAGACACAGATTGACAGCTGCCAAGGTCGATGAGAAGTTGTCGATGCTCGGTGGAATCAACCAAATTTACCACGCCGGCTGCTGTAAGAGGCCCACTTCCTGGATCGAGGACAAATGGGACAGGAAGTTTGCGAGCCTCATGGCCCTACAAAAGGAAAATGAAGTACAGCGCAAGAGGATTATGGAACTGGAGGGTAAGGATCAGACATATGAAACAAGGCTGGAAAAACAACGACAGAAGCACGAGCAGGATATTTCAAGACTGCAAGCACTGCTCAGGAACGCAGAGGACAAATGCCAGAGGCTAGAATCCGAGCAGACCGACCGGCGCAGGATATCCCACAGTTCGCGAGGATCTCATGGACATGATGCTCCACGCTCAGCTTTATCGGGTGGCGGACGCAGGCAGCCAGCCGGACCTGCGACGATACAAGGCGTCGGACAATGGTTGAACGGATCCATGTTGACCTCGCCGAAAACAACCACAATCGCCAAACCCACTCCACGGCAAGTCTCGCAGCACTCCCAGTCCATGTCGGGTGTTCAGCGACAAGGCCCCACACAAAAGATGCGAGCTCTTGAAAGCAGTCCCGTCCTACCTCGATCGTCGAATTCCATGTCCTCGACCAGCCAGCGCTCGCCTAGTATCAGCGGTAACCTGGCAGGCTACGCTCTTCGCTCGCGGGGATCGGGGTCTTCCAAACTCCCGTTGCCGGTCACACCGACCAGGAGCAACACGCCGGGATACAGCCGCGACCAGAGCATGACGGATAGTAGTATGGCTTCGTCTGTATTTTCTCGAAAGAGCCTCGAGACACTGCCTACGCCGCCCTTGCTACAACATAAATCTACATCCGGGGAGAAGACACAGCCTCAATGGGGCCGACTGGACAGCCTTGGCTCAACCACTGATCAGCCACCCCTGGCTGGCGACACGGTCCCAAGAACCTCTGCACCAAACAGCCCAGTGTTGTCCATGGCCTCCATGGCCCCATCAGCCATGTCGTCCCCCCGGACGCTCAGATCGGATGTTCATACAGATGGCAGCGACGCGAATGCTACTTCCAGGCCTGCCCCTCCCTCATTGCAGCCGATGAAGAGTTGGGCCGACGTGGCCAAGTTGGAGAAGAAGCGGCAGGCCGTACAGGCGTGAACGGCTATGCGGATACAAAACTTGGAGGGAAGCGGAAAGAGGTCGAGATATTTGTTGGAACGAGACACACCATGATACCAAAAAGTTGACGCTCATACTGTTTTTCAGCACACGTTTGATCATGTCCAATTTTACACAGCCAGCTACCGAGTGACTGCATCCTTACACCCGGTCTCCTGTGCAAATCATAGACGCTTCCATGCCAGTGTATCCCGTGTCCAAACGCCAAGGAGTAATGTCGTAACTGATATACTCGCGCAGGAGGCCATCTATCCCTTGCCCGTAGCCCCCTGACCGGCCCATTTCAACAGCCGCCGGTGCTGGGCATGCACCAGCGCATTCCACGCAGGTCCCGTAAACGGGTCGACATGGCTCTCTGGGCTATCCGCCTGTTGACGAGCCATTTGCTTGGAGAGGACGGAGGAAATCGACGACGCCGTCAGGGCGTAGGGGGGACCTGGGAAAACGCCGACGTTTGGCTTCTGCAGGGGCCGCGAGGCCTCGGGCACGTTTCCATCCTCCAGACGGCGTTCCTGAACGGACCTGGAGTCCGCATCACCGTCCCGTCCTCTCATCTGCGCCCTCTGCTCCTCAACCAACTGGTTCAGCGCCTCGCCACGCGCGTTCCAATCCCTCCACATCAGCTCAACCTGCCACTCCCACCACAGCCTCGTCAGCTGGACGCTCCACGCAAAGGAGTCCTCGTAGGCCTGCTGCCCACCGTCGTTTGCAGCAAGCCGCTCAGTTTCTTCCCCTGGGACCCCCTCGTCTCTCATCTGCTGCGCCATCAGTCGGTCCCACGAGTCTTCCTGCGCCGCATCCCAGCCCAGTTTCTCGTCCACCCCGACCAGCTTGCGTACCTTGTCGGTGAATATCCGCCCCTTTCGACCAACCATCCTAGAGAGTCCTTTTGGCTGGGGCTTTTTCAGGCGCAGGAAGGGCTGGCCCTCTGCTGTAGTCGAGACGTACGGGATGCGGTACTTGAAACTGTGCGGGACGTACGTCGGCTCATAGACCGGGTGCCCGTCATCAAGCACGGCCACCCTCTTGAGGAACGGTTCGCGGGGCCGCAGGGCAGGCCGACTCGGCTCGGCCCGCGAGGCAGGGGGATGGATCCGGCCACGAGCGCGCAGATGGGCCGTGAGCTCGGCGTGTTCTGGGCTCCCTGGCCTTTGCGCCTTGGAGAAGAGCGTTAGGAACTGCGGCCGTTCGTCTTGGTAAGCAGGCTGTATCTCTGTTGGGGTCGCAAGTGGCAGGTTACCTTGTATCCTGCCACCATGGAAGCATACACCAGTCTGGAGCTCGTGTACGCCCGGTTCTTGACGAACGCCTTCCTGACGGCGCGGGCCATGGCGGCCCCTGGGGTGGGGTTCTGCGCGTCCGTCGGCACGTCTATCTTGCCTGCGGACCGTAGGAGAGCACGGTAGAGGGACAGCGCGGCGATGCGATGCCGCGAGTTGCTCGCTGGGATGAAGGGCCGGCGATGCATGGCGACGAGAGCGGAGGGTGCTGATGAGGGTGGACTATGGCGGACTGCAGTGTGTGTGCATGGTGGATTGTTGTGGCTGGGCAATTGTAGATGCGGGATCTGGGTTATGCGGGTTGAAGCGGTTATTAGGTGGCATCAAAAGGCGTGACATGTTGTGGAGGAAATCTCAGCTGTTGGTGATCTTGGACTTGTATTGGGGACTGGGGACGCGGGGGAAGAAGTGGTTGAAATTGCTCATGTGGGTCACGAGCATCGAAAAGTGGGGCGAGCATCATGATGGGATTTCCCTTGGACAATGTCGCAAATTTGCTTGATGAAGATGCCAGAAGAGATTTGGATTACTGTGTATTCAGCCGGGAGCCATTTTGACCCGGCGAGGAGCGGAGCGCGTTCGGAACACTATAGACAACGGATATGGGGCATATCGTGCTTTGTAACTTGCAGCTTCACGTCCAAGAAGAGAGGACGGCTTTGTATAATATGTAGTTGGTTGGACCGAATACGACCATAGGCAGCACTACCGGGGGAAACCTCCAGGGCGGTCCGTCATTGAGTGCATCTGCATCCATCCCAAGGTGTTGCACAAAAGTTGATCAGGGCAGCTTGGAGAGCTGGGCTAGCAATTCAGCAGTCAGTCAGTCAGGCCTTGTCGGCTGGCGGCACGGCAAAAGCCCCAACATTTTTTAGCGGAAATCTGCCAGCCAAGTGCACATGAATTCCAAGAATTCCGCGAGCAATCAGCATCCGGCCGTCCCTGCATGTCGACATCTGAAGCGGTTCCTCCCGCACGACTCGCAGATTATCAATCGTGGCTTGCTGACGCGATTCATACCAACTGATGCAGCTCCACCGTCGGCAGGGCACCGCCAGAATTTCCATGAGAGGTCTGAGAAGGATGTCATATTTCGTGAAGAGTTCTCGCATGTTGGTTCACGACCGCAGCGTCAAAAGACGGCGACGCAACCTGGGGCCTGGGGGGGCAAGCGATTGTCAGTACACGACTTGTCGATCGAGTGTAGAAGCAGAGACAGCTACCTGGTCCTGACGTGGAGGCTCGGGTGGCACTTGAGTTGTAGTTACCAACTCCTGCAATGTCCGGACTCCGGAGTACCGGGTTGATAATGAGTGAAATGCCTTGGCCCCTCACCGGTGGGGCCGATTCATGGGAGAGAGACGAGTTGCGTGTCCACGTTCCCATTGCAAGCTTGCTTTGAAGTTTGGACTTTCGTGGACATCCGCCGGGATGCGGTGGAGGCTTGCTGATTAAACTTTCAGAAGCGCGGCAGGGCCGGAAGCGGACCAGTCGGGCAGGGCAAGGCAAGGCAAGGCAAGGCAGGGTCCACACTGCACCCAATGTTGACGGCAAGAGCACGAACAGCGCCTTCCGCGATGTCTTGAATCTGGCTCCGCGCCCAAGGCCGTGCGCCGCACAAGTCGTATCCTGGTTTTGCGCCATGCCATTGTACGTACAGGAGAGGACGGAGTAGTCCGTATGTGCGTACAGACTCGGAGCAGGGAGTTGTCGTCTGCTATCGCCGCACCACCGTCCTGCGCGCTGCGTCCTGCTCCGTAAGCTGACATCGATTTCCCAGCTAACCGACCGGGTCTGTTCCTCGTGGTCAAGTGCGCGTCCGCGTGTCGCGTGCGCCGGCAGACTCGGGAAGCGGGGCATCGTAGAGCATCATCGGATCCCAGAAATCCGTCGTAGACGGGAGCGCCAATCCACCCATTGTCTGCCGCCCGGCTCATCCGTGCCTCAGCCGCACGCTACCGCACGCTACCGCGCGACGACAAGGACGACGACGACGGCGACGACAACGCTGGCAAAGAGCTTCAACCCAGAGAGAAGCAGACTTGGCACGACACGGCACTCGTCCGTGCTGCATCCCCCCCCCTTTGCTGGAGTGTGACGGCCTCACCTGGTGGTTGCGTGTAGTCCGTACGACCCTCGACGCCCGTCAGCTCGCCGCCGGTCTGACGCTGCCTGCCACACAGTCGCGGACATCGCTTTCCCGTTTCCTCCGTTGGGTGTGCGAGCCTTATTGGCCTGGCCTCCGAATACTTGCTTCTCCCGCCCCGGCAGCCCAGGTTACAGGTAGCTCGGCTCGCCCCTTCAGCGGCGCACCGAAACGCCTCCTTTTGCCCTGGATCCGAGATTGTCTTCATACAGCCCGATTCGCCCCTTGACCAGTCTTTCGTTCTTCCTGCAACTCAATCCCAGCCCGGGGTATTTCCTTCCCCCTCCTCCTCTTTCGTCTGCAGTAGGTCGTTACTGCATCACGACGCTCCCTCGGTACGAAATCAAACATCTCGACTGATTTCCTCACACGCACCGAGAATCGCCCTTTCTTTCACCCCACGCGACGAAATACCTAGGCATCTTAGATACTCACCACCGAAATATCCCGAATTCCCATGACACCAGCCGCTCTCCTTGGCTGCCGCCGGGGAGCACAACCCACTGCAACACCATGTTTCTTCACTCCGGAGCAAGTCTACATGGTCACGAATATTCGATTAAGAGATCGACGTCTGCGCCATTACAGCCTCCTCGAAGTCTTCCGATACTGAAGTCTGCCCTGCGGCAGCTACCCTCTCCTTCGGAGTCGAGCGAGTCTGGCTATTGTGCCTCATTGTACGCACAAGACCTACATGCCTCGCGCAGAGCATCGACCGACGAGGTCCACGAACCCCAATCATTAGTATTGCGGCAGCGCGCAGTTTCCAATAGCTACCCTAGCAAAGACCTTGCTGTACGATTTCGCGAGCCCCGAAAGGATCAGATACATACATCGTCTGCGAGTGAGGGTGAAGATTCCATAGCTGGGCCAGAGCTCCTAGATGGCTGCGCCGACGCGCCCATGCGCCGTAAGAAGCGCAGACGTCTGCATCGCAAATCGACCAGGTATGCTCTCGCCCAACCAGCGCCGCAGCTTCGTACCAAACAGAGACGACTTGTTCAAATCCGACCTCGGTTGCTGTTACAACTCCAAGAAATTGGCGACAAACGAGCCATCCCCGCCTTTGACTTGATTCCATCTCAGCCGGTGGCGGGAGCTTTGATAATTCCTAAACTCTCAAAAAGATTTCCCCGCATGTTCCACGCAAATGCCGAGCTGAGCCAGAACGATGTTCTGCTGGTTCGTAGCGAAGATTATGGTTCAACATCAGGGAAGGCGTCGTTGAACTCGGATGAAGACAGGCGGAGTCTACACGGCAGAGACATCTGCGCTGTCATTAGTGCCCTACCAGAAGATTGCGAGAGCTCAGCGGAGATTGTGCTTGAAGACGGCGTCCCGTGGTATGCTTCGCCTATGGCTAATGGTTCCTATGAATTCACCAGAACAGATGACGATGGCCAGAAAACTACTGCTCGCTGGGTCCGACGATCCAATGTTTCTACCCGCAATAATGGCATTGCCCCATTTGACCCTTCTTCTTCAGCCCGACCTAGCGTTCATGATTCCTCGCCTGACTTGAGATGGACATTCAGCATTATAGACCCTTCGTCGAGGAGGCACCCCGTAATGGGCAGCCTGACGTCGGAGACCGCCGAGGTGTATGATCATTATACGACCTTGTCGGCTTCCAGTGGTGGGTCTCCGCCAACCCGTCCATTCGGGCCTGAAATGGATGGCCTGGACCGGAGCCCGTCCCCTTCAGGGTTCAGTCCAGAATCGAGAGCAACACTGGAAGTGCTCCCCGAGCAGAAGGTGTTGATGGTTGCTACTGCGAGTTGGATTCGACTTCATCAGCAAGGTTGGCCTGCCTCGGCGAACCCAAAATTTGCGAAATCCATACCATCCCACGGCCGGTCTGCAAGCGCAAACATGTGTTCTACATCACGACGACGAACTTTCCCATCCTACGACGGAGACAACTCTCGTGCGACGAGCCCAACAAACCTGTCGCGGCCATCGGACAGCGCCCATGGCCCACGGCTGTCAAGACGCCCGTATGTCCAAAGGATGCCAGCGAGAGCCATGTCCACCGGAAGAGCCTTTATGAAACGAAGGAGTGACCGGATGGGGGACCTGGTAAAAGTATACAGTCAAGCGCCGTCAAGAGGGGTCGGCGACACAGAGAAACTAAGCACACAGCAGGAAGAAAAGATGGGTTGCCTGAGCCGAGTTCGGCAGTGGACACACAAGTTGTTCCACAGGAAGCGAGCCTCGGTGAGACGAGGACAACGTACTGGGAAGTGAGGATCCGTCGACAAGAAGAACGGAGCTGATAATGACTGTTCAAGCTCCCTGTAAATGGCATTTTAGCATTATTGTATACCCAGCTACTTTAGCGGCTTATTCTGAAACAGATACAGCACTGGAATTGAGCTGTTTTTAAACCCCATGGAGATGTGACCCCAATATAACTCATCCTCGACTGCTGTCTGTGTATTTGCTTACCCAGGGACCCAAGGACCCAGGTAAGTGCCTTCGAGTACGAGCACTTGTGCCCCGCGGGGGGGAGACGGATGAACTGTTCTTTCCTTGGCTACTTGCCTAGGCATGTCTTGGGCACTAGAGTTTAGTGTTGGCGGACTTTGAAGTGCATGTGGTTGTGCTTTCTTCTTGTTGGCCGGGCAGGTAGGTGGTCCAACGAACATCACCCCCCCCCCCCCAAAGCGTCGTATGCGTGTGGCTGCCTCCAGATGTCTGGAGAGTTTGAGAAACTGCTCCACCCCCTACTCCAGAGTCCAGACATGAGGGATGCGACTTATTAACATCGGCATCGCTCGTACGGGATTCGGTATTTCTTGCAATGGGCAATTGCCCAGGTAGTATTTTTGTATTCAGCTGGCTTCTGGTTGCATGTGCATGGATGGGTTTGGAGATGAGCAGTCATTCATCAACTGGCAACGTTTCCGTTTGGCCTGCAGGCTGCCACGAGCTGATGTAGACCTCTGCCGCCCCGTCAGGATTGGACACTGGACAGCGCAAGCCGGGCCTAAAGTTCGTACTCCGTTCTCCCTGCTGGAACCTGGGCTGAGACCGATTCACCTATTGCCCAAGGCATTCACTCGACACGCGTTGAGCCAACTGATCTGGGGCGTACTCCGTAGTTGTCCAGGCTTCCGTCGCCTTCATCACCACATGATGGTCGACATCAAATTTCGGACAGTCGCCTCCGCCCCGATGCCGTGCAATGGCCGCTTAACCGCCGAGTCGGGAAAGCAAAACACTATGCGGAGAAACTAAAAAGACGAGACATCGATGCTCATCATGAGGCAACTGTCCCGTCCCTGTGCGCTGCCTTGACGCCCACCTCGTTGGTTCTCTTTTTTCAGCCAGTGCCCTCCGCGAACGCTTGGCCGAGCACAGGCTACACATGCCGAGGATGGTTGCGCGTCAACGACGTACGAAAGGAATTGATGGGCTTTGAGATATTTATTACTTGTGACAGAAAAGCCATTCGTTTATGCCCCCTTTGGGCTTCTGGCAGCTACCCAGGTGCTCAGGTACTTGAGTATTTGGTCGTGTTTGCTTTGTTTCCACTGTGTTTGCTGGTTGCTCCTTCCTCAAACGCACAGGCCAGTCTCGGTGCATAGTAGACATGTACCCACCTGGCCTGGTGATCAACCTGGCTGACCACTCTTTCGGGGTCAACGTGTCGAGCTGCCCGTCCTAGATGGGGTCCCAAGACACATCATCTTCTTCTACATTGTGTACATGTATGCGCTGCTTAGGTCCCGTCAATCCAAAACCCAAAACATTGAACACTCTGAGAACATCCATCCATACGGTCAGACTGTACATGGACATACGGAGTACTCGGCAAGCACGCTTGCGTCTCCGCTCTACTGCCCCGGAGCCAGCACCAACCACGGGCTGGCATCGCTCTTGCCGCCCACTTAGCCTTTGAACTTTGAAGCAACCCGTCCAGGTTGCTCCTGCCCCAACCCTGTCAGAACTACTAGGTTGCTCACCGTAATCGTGGACGTCGACGCCTGATAACCAAGCTGCGATCTGGTTACCCCATCGCAACCATCATCGCCGTTGCGTGAGCTGTGGCGGACGAGGAGCATCCTTTTATCATCCTTTCCTCTCAGCACTGTTTTATCTCTCCCGCAGCATCTAGTCTTGGCAGTGTTCCTAGGTCAATTTCGTACTCTCTTCCATCCTTGCCGCCGCTGCGGCTTCGCCCCGACGGGTTTTGCGCGACTCGCCCACAAGAACCGCGAGCGGAATACATGATGGATGAGAACATCGGGCTGCACCATGAGGGCTCAGTGGCAGCCTTGTCGGCCTCATCCGCCGCTCATTTGCTGAGCAACTTTCATCCATATGAACCCATCTCCCGGGCCACGTCGCCCGGCATCCCTTACCCCAAGTCGGACGAGGACGACAAAAAGCGTTACCGACCCCGGACGTTTGCCTATTTTCAACAACTTCCGTTCGACGTCGAGGAGGAGGAACAACGCGATGCGGCACTGCAGGGCATTCTGAAGCAGCTGTACATTGCCATCAAGGCGGAGGACTTCTCCCCTGGTGCGCTGCATTGGACCCGAGAGCTGCAAGCTTGGCTCGCCCTGAAGTTCGAGATGACGAGGGAGCTTCGAGCTAGGCTTGCGAAGCTCTATTACTCTCTGGCGCTGGCGCCGGGTTTAGACCCAAATACCGCAGATCGCTTTCTGCGCATGGTTCTGACATTGATCAGGTAGGTGCCAATTCCCTTGACGGCTGGTTCATGGTGCAGCTGGGTAGTTTCCAAGCCCGGTTACGTGTTTGACGTGGGCTTGATGCTGACACCAATCTTCTTCCTTCACATCGCAACAGGAAGAATCATTATCTCAAACCAGGCGAAGATCTCACGTTCGATTGGAGACCAATATGGCACGAGGTCAAGGGCATCGTCTTACCCTCCGAAGGTCCCTCCCTTCAAAGTGGGCGACGACGGCCGGTCAAGCAACTGCTGAAGTTGTGTACTCACGCCCATACCTATTTCGACCCCAGGGACCGACCGACAATGCTTGAAGAATTTCTGCCGTTTTTCAGCATCAACGACATGCCCAATGCATTCATCGTCTTTGGATTGTTAAACACCTTTCTTCCCAGCCACCCTGCGCCGGAGAAGGACGTTGCTGCCCAACCACAGGAGTTTCTTCCGACTATTTTTCACCTTTGGTCGATCATGAGTAGATCGAAAGTCGCCGATGTTTGCCTGATCGATCTATTTTCTCGACTTGCGCGCGACCATGTTCATTGCGGCCATGTTCCATTCGGCGCGCATGGCATCTTCACCAAAGCCCAGTCTGACCTCATCTTCACCTCCATTTTGCGCCTTACGCAAATTCCTGTCGGGCAGGCCAACTCCCCGTACACAGCGCTCGACTATTTGTCAGGAGCAGGGGCGTACCTGGAAAAGGATTCGAAGAAGCATCCCGTACCGTACATGATGGCCCGACTGATTGTGAGCTCCTTGTCGCCAAGCTGCATGGAACGGGATGACTCTATCATGGCAAGCTTGGAAGGCTTGATGGAGTCCATAGACACGTTTTTCCATCCTTCAAACCAAGGCTCATGGACCAACATGCTGGGGCAACTTACTCTGTATCTTACTGATGCATTTGTGTCACGGTGGAACCGTGAACAGAGCAGCGAGCTGGAAATTCCCAAGGAGCGAAAGATAAGTCCTGCTTTAAAGAAGCGCTTCGTTGCCTCGCTAAAGGAGGTGACATTCATAGGACTCTTCTCGAAAAGCACTAGGGTATCAAACTGCTATTACAATGCACTCCAGGGCCTCGCCTACCTTGAACCAGACCTGGTTCTCCCCGGTGCTCTGCAGCGTTTTTATCCCAGTCTCCAGGGGCTAGTGGAGGTCCACAGAACTACGTCCAGCCTGAACAGTTTGCAAATGATTGCAAATGTCATGTCCAAGCTCAAAGGCTATAGATGTCATATTACTGCTCTGCTTGCCTTGGCCCTGCCTGGTATCGATGCGAACGATCTCAACAAGACGCAGTATACCCTCAACTTCATACAAAGTGTAGCATATAGCATCCCGTTTGTGGAATTGACAAAGGAAGGAACCCACATTCACGATACAACACTGGCAATGCAGTGGGTCCAGGCAGAGATGGACAGGATGGAGCGGGATGGCCAAAACGTGCAGATCGACTATGAAAGGGAATTAAGCGACGAGGATGAAGGCAACATCCTGCGATCCTCAACTGCAGGTTTCGGGGAATTCGTCTTGACTCTCTTGGGCAAGGTATTTACACTTCTCGAGAATCTTCCGGATGCCAATCAGGTTCGAGGAGGAACCCCAGAGGATAATGTTGTCAATGCATTGCCTGCAGCTCTGTCACCGCTTTTCGCATCGCTCTCACCAAACTTGTTTGACACGGCGCTCGAAAAGATTGCGACGTTTGTTTCTAGCCACGTGGTTCACCAGGCTCGTGATGCCATGGCGTGGATATTGAATGCGCTTTGCAAAGTCAACCCCGAGAAGACGCTCAAGGTCTTTGTTCCCATGTTTGTCATCAACATTCGCAATGAGATTGACCAGAACCACGCCGCGTCTGATCGTACTACTGGTACCGACTACCTCCCACGTGATAGAGCCTTGGTATGGCACATCAGTATGCTTGCCATGACAGTAGTGCACGTCGGGCGGGAAGTACTGAAGTACAAGGATGAATTGCTTGGGATTGCCGTTTACATGCAGGCAAAGTGTCGCGGCTTGCCTACCATCTTGGTCTCCAACTACATTCACCACCTGCTGTTGAATCTCACCAATACCTATCCCATTGACCATGCTCTGTACGAGCCTGACGTTATCAAGAGGGGACTGGACATTGAAGACTGGGGCAAGACGACGTCACCCGCTGATCTCACCATTCGATGGCATCAACCATCACCGTCAGAGGTCGAATTCGCCGTGGAGCTCTTTGCCTCACAAACGAAATCCGCGACGGAGCAGTTGGAGCTTCTCTTCAGCGACAGTCCGCCCGTCAGCAGGACAGGGAAAAACAAAGAGTGGTCTGATGAAGTTTCTAGATTGATGCAGCAGATTCGCCTAGTCACTTCTGGCATGTCCACCATGTTTGATCCCAAGCGTGCCTCGGGCAGCGGCAGTGAAAAGTTGAGCAATGGCAACGGTGGAGATGGTGATGTCGAGATGGGCGATGATGATGAAAGCCTGGCTGAGGGTGCCGAAGATGAGGAGTTGCGGCCTCAATTTCGTTACAAGGCCGGGTATCTGCTCAAGTCAGATGACCCAGTGTATGAGCGCATCCACGAACTCCGTGAACAGCTTGGCCACCTGCTCTCCAAAGCTCATGCATTCCTCAGCGAGCACCAGGAGGATGATGTTACCTGCTCCACTGCACTATGCAACGCATACCGGACATGGATAACGGATGTTGGGATCGAACGTTCCGCACACCCACTCGAGCGACATCTCAGACTGTACAAGGCCGACATCGCCGCCTTTAAGATAAAAGGACTTCGCAAGGTCTACCCGCGCCCTCTACTGATAAAGAGGGCCGAGGCCTATCAGCTACTGCGTATGAAGCACAATGCATCAGCTCGGCACAAGAGCGAACTCGACAGGCGCTTGCTACTGGACTTGGCCAAGTCGTGCCAGTCGTTATACGCCGACGTTCGCCGAGCAGCCCAGACTGCACAAGACTCGTCGCTCAAAGTCCTCATAGGCGGCAAGCCGCTGGTTGTGCCTGTGGTCCTTGAGGGATTGCGAAAGGCGATTGAGGCCAATGATCACGATCGTATCAAAGGCGGCATGTATACACTGTTCTTTACATCACTTCTTAGGACAATCGTGCGAGACTGGCGATTTGCACCTGACGCAATGTCGCTCTACATCGAGACGGCAGGGATTGACAAGCCATCCATACAAAATCTGGGATCATCTGCGCTTTATTCTCTTATTGAGTTTGGTAAAGCCAATGAAGGCCTGATACTCCTGGATGATGCCGCTCTGAACGCCATCCAACCGGCTGAGGACACCGATGACGCCGTCGATAACCGCCACAGGGTGATATTGGAGAGAAGGAAAAAGATCGAGACGGCAAAGGCGGCTTTGGGATTGCAGCTCACAAATCGAGCAAAGGGGTCACACTGGAAAATCGCAACCAGATGTGCCATCTTTGCCCTGAACTTGTGCCTCCGCTTTGACAGTCTCGCTCCGGCCGAGTTTGTCGAGCTGGTTGCCAATGGCACAATTGATCCGCACCCGGGCCTCAGGGGCTACTACCTTAACGCGTTCACGTCTCTGCTGGGTGCCATTGACATGCGAGCTGTGTACGGCCATGACTACGCCAACTATCTCATGGAGAAGGAAATTGGTGACAGGAACAGGATCAATGTGCCCGTTGAAAAAGGAGATGCCGAGTTTACCCGCGACTTCCTGGAAGCCTTCACGAAGCCCGAAGCAGCCGAGTACATGGTTGATTCCGACCACCCTGGATGGCTCGTCTGGGGCAAAAAGTTTACAGCTTTCCGTGCCCGCCCGCTACCTTTCAATGCTTACGATGAGCTAGAGAGCAATGTCCGCCGTCAGATCGGCAACATTCTGACAAAGGAGTGGATGTCGCAGTGTTTCGAGTACCTGAAACAAGAACCGCGGGATCAGTCCACCGACAGATTCCGAATGAGCAATGTCTACCTCCTGATGCATGTTTTCGATCTCACATACTACGGCAGCACAACGGTCACCCTGCAGGAAATCAAGGAGCTAGCTGAAGACGTTTTTGGTGACGGAAGCGATAAGCATCAGCATCGAGCAACGGCTGAAATTCTTGGCGCCTTGTTGGCTGGCTCCAGTGACGACCCCGTCGAGCTGCGCGACAAGGTTTGGGAGTTCGCGGCCCCAATGCTGCTGAAGATTCTAAACGACGGATTGACGCCGGAGAATCTACAGTACTGGCTCCCCTGCGTCCATCTCGTTCTGGACTCAAGAGACCCCCGACGATCACGCGAAATTCTGGACAGCCTCAAATCATTCCGATTAGACATTACATCCAATGCGGCGTTCAAGGACTCATCCAAGGTCCAGTTGCTGGAATTTGTGCTGGCGGACGGGGCCTGGCATTTCCGCCAAGAAAAGCCCATCTTGGAAGACTTCCTTGCGCATATCGATCATCCGTACAAGGCCGTTCGCGAGGCAATGGGTAAAGTACTCTGTGTCATTTTCCGAATCAGGTACCACGAGTCCTTTGAGAGCGTGCCCAAACTCATCGAAGCCAACAAAAATGCTTCGTCGATTGGTATCCGACCATACCAGCCTTCAGAGGAACTAACGTCTGCCATTAAAGATGTTTTTGGCCGTCTGGAGAAGTGGCGCCGTGAGAGGCAGCCTGGTCAGCAAACACAATCGTCATATACCTCGGGATCCAAGACGGTTCTTACTTGGCTGGATTGTACGCTGTCATCCAACGAGTGCACCATGCTCGTACCATTCTTCGCCACGCCTTTTATGGAGCAATTGCTGCACATGATGGATGTCAAGGAGGACCCCGAGCTGATGAAAATCGCATACCACGTGTACAGACACTTGCCCAACATTCCATTCAGGGAAGGTGAGGATGCCGAGTTCATCAGTGCCCTGAACAAGATTGGCAGATCGGCAACGAGCTGGCACCAGCGCCTTCGGGCACTGGTGAACATGCAGGTGGTCTACTTCAGGCGCATTTTCCTCACGGCTGCAACTGAAAGAGACGCCCTTTTCACGGCCGTGTCGGACATGCTGAGCGACCCGCAGCTGGAAGTGCGGTCGTGCGCATCCACGACTCTGGCGGGAATGATTCGCTGCTCGCCTCGTCACATTCGAGACCCGATGATTGTGCGACTTCAGAAGCGATTCGAGGACGAGCTGCAGCAGAACCCGATGCCCAAACGAAAACCCAATTTGCCAGGCACGGAAACGCCGGTCGATGTTCACAGGCAGGTTACTCGTCGGCACGCGGCTGTCTTGGGCCTGGGTGCGCTTATCGAGGCATTCCCATATGCCACACCACCACCAGAGTGGATGCCAGAGGTGCTGGCCACGCTGGCGCGCAAAGCTGCGGGTGATCCCGGCGTGGTTGGCAAAGCTACAAAGGGCATCTTGAGCGAGTTCAAGAAGACAAGACAGGACAGCTGGAGCGTAGATCAGAAGGTAGGCCGCCAAGAGTGTCTTTTGAGGTGTGACGTCAAGTTGCTAACCGGGTTGGTTGAACAGTACTTCACGCCAGAACAGTTGGAGGATCTGGAAGGTGTTCTTTGGAAGAGCTACTTTGCCTAGGACGACAGGACGGAAGAGTGATGGGTCCTGCTAGACGCGGGAATGGTGATGCGGTGGACCTCGGAATGACGATGCGTTGTTTTATTCGGGAGACAGAAGACAAAGCAGAATGCTATCCGCGATGCATGCCACGGGAGACGTTGTGGGAGGAGCAAGTTGAGCTTCACGACATGGCAAGGCCACACATTACATGTCCAAGACGAGGAGGGGTGAGGGAGGGCGAGCATGGAGAGTAGAAGGTCAATGATGACATCAAGAAGCCAGGGAGCCCCAACTGGTGAGCATCGTGATGGAGACTGACTGACGGTCGCCTGGTCCTAGATGAGCCAGGCACACGACGGTTGTCCTGGCCGTTGGTTAATATGGGGACGGTTTTAGATTGCAATGGAATCGAGTCCATTGTCTATGGACCATGGTAGTGTTTGTATTTTGTATCGACTTGACTGCGTTTGCTGCAACCGCGACTTCTCCCGTGCCGGGTCGCTGCACCATCCCTTTCCGTGATGAATCTGATGTTGACCAAGGGGCTCGGCGGATTTTCCAACTCTGTGCGAGTGCGACCGTGTTCGCCCGCGGACGGCACCCTCGAGAAACCGCGTCAGAAAGCGAGCGATGCCCGTGGACCTGGAGCGTCCCCCAAGGGCCAAGAGTCCACGGCGTCGGCCTGTCCGTGGCCACCCATTTCCACTCTATTGTCTAGACTCGCGGCGGCCAGCGGCCGGACTGGCCCGGGTTCTCGTTGGGATACGTCGAGATGGCGTTGGCGGGCGCCGGGAGGGCAGAGACGATGCCGGCCAGTCCGGCGAGGACAAAGGGGACGAATCTCATGGCTGCGGTGTTGCTTTGTTGACTGAGGCGAAGACGACGATTCCCTTGGCTTTGTTGCACCCGTGGCCAAGAACACCTGCTGGTCCGTTCGTCACCGGGGGAACTTGGAAGGGCTGCGCGATAGAAGCAGCGAGACGAGCTGGCCGAGACGAGGTGCGGATGGGGAACGAAGGACGACGGAGGAAGGACGAAGAGGCAAAAGTGGAAGCGCAGCCGGGAGAGTTCAGTTATGCTATTCATCATCTTTGTGTCCTTTTTTGCTGCCTGGCTTGGCGGGGTCGTTTTGCGATTCGGCCGTCCTGCATGTCTCAGTCGGCTTGGTCGCGGCGCACTTTGTCTGCTGGCCGCCACGTCCCACGTCCCACGTCCCACGGACCCTTGGATCCGGACCTTTCAGTGTAGGGGGCCAGAGGGTGCTTTGACGTATTCTTTACTTTCTTCTGGCGTCGCGGTGTTGGGTTGGAGGGATATCTACAGACTTGGTGTTCGCGGGCCTGTCTGTCATGTCGCGTGCCGACGTTGCTCGCGAGCGCTTCTTCGCATCGGCCACGTGCACCTTTGTGCCGCGACCGACGGAAACCTTTGTCATGGCTGCGCGTGCGTGCACAAGAGTCCGTGCTAACCTCGCGTGTGACGTGGTCGCCTGGTAATGTCCTTTCGTAGCTACTCCGTACTCCGTACTTTGTCCGCGGTCCTCGGTGCCATTGTTGGCGTCAATGCCCCCCCCCTGCCTGGGAGGCCGAGTACGCACTGCAGCGTCGGGAAGCTATGGAAGGAAGCCGTCTCTTGCACCAAGCAACTGGCTCTGCAAGAGATTAGCTGCCCTTGTCGCTCTTGATCTGCTGCATCATTGGCTTACGCAGGCTCAGCAACAAGCGGCTGACAAGTTCAGCTGCTAGTTGTTGGCGTGCACGGTATCATGCATATATATCATATATGCAAATACGTGTGTATGTGTGTGTGCGCGCGTATATACCACTATCCAGCTCCGGCAGTCGTCCGTCGAATATTGGACGTCTCAGTCACGTCCGGTCCCCGGCGGTGGCGGTGGCGGAGCTGTGGATCCACTGCCGCCGGGCCCGGAGCTCCGGCGCCGTCCCGGTCCAATGTGGACTCTCGGCACACCCCCGAAACGCCGATAAACGCGACCTGATGTACGTGGGGTGCGTGAGCCCAGAGAAACTGCCGGATCTTGTCTACCATTGGCTTCACCACTTGTATCACGGGTCATCTTGCTGACGTGAGGAGCCGCGGTTTGGGAATCGGCACCCAGGTCAAACGCCCGAGGCCTCGCGTCTGGAGGCGTGGCCGGGATCTTTTGGTGCTTGCGCTGGGCTCACGTGGGCCAATTCTTCATTGTTCTGTCTCGCTGAAATGGCGTCCAGGCTCCCCTCGCGGGAACCCAGTACCACTGGGTATCAGAGTTTGCTCCGCGACAACACCCAAAGCTTCTCAGCTACTTGTCGGGCGGGTTGGTCCTCCTTGACACCGCCATGGTCTCCCGTGTCCCTAAAGCTGACCAGGAGCAATGAAGATGGCTCGCGACCGTGTCGGGGAAAAGCATCGCCGCGTTGGATTGATCCCTCATTTGTTCCCTCAAACGAGGACTCGTCCTTCTAAAGTATGACTGGTATACTCCGGCGAGGAGGCAGGCAACGTTGCTTGTATTTGGGGTCCTTTCTACTAAACATGCCCTTCACGTTTGGGATTCTGCTCACTGGCTCGGTGCGGTGCGTTGCCCTTGCGAACCTGGCCGACTCACTTGTTGGACTGCGTCTTTGGCTGACGCGAACCAGGTCCAGCCAACTTGGCGTGCTCCCGTCAACATCGTCTGCTTCACCTGCGCCTTCTCCATGGCACTCGCCCTCGTCAGCTTGGGCTCTACTGTTGCCTTGCATGCCATGCTCTCGCTTTCAATCGTCGCCCTCATGGCCGCGTATGTTGTTTCCGTCGGCTGCCTCGCCCTAAAACGTATCCCGGGAGAAGCGCTGCCGCTGGAGCCTCAGACGACACGGTCTGGCAATCAACCTGACGGCCTTGGCATATGCGTGCTGGTCGTTTTTCTGCATCTTCTGGCCCAACAGTCACGACGTCGACGCGGAAAATTTAAACTGGACATGTCTTCATTTCCGTTGTCTTGATGAGCCTGTCTCGCCTTCTCTACCATTTGAAAGCGAGACACGTGTACGAAAGATCGGCCGTTCTGGTTCAAGGACATGAACCGAGTGGAAAGGGGGTTGTGATGTCGTCCTTGAGACAAGTGCCGTCTCAGATGAATTCCGCATTAGCAACCGGACACGGCCGGGCGCCGATTTTGAATGTATGATACGTTGAGTTGTCGGTCAAAGATATACATATATTAAAAAAAAAAACTGCTTTGAATGGCCATTGAATGTGATGCTTATTTCATCCGTTGCGACGGACATAATCAAGGGCTTCATGCAAGTCGAGCGTCGACATGCAGCGTCGAACCAATCAGAGTTTAAGCTCATCGACCATGCATGTTGCATTTTAATTGCCAGCTAGTTGCCTCACTTCGGCCTCGTCCCATACGTAGACGTACGTCCATCCCAATTTTCAGACCCCGTGGATCTGCAAGGATCTCGTAGGCGGCCTCTTGGGCCATTCACTGCTGCCGCTAGGCGAAGCTAGTCGTTCAGGCTTGCAGACTTTGCAAAACACTAGTAAGCTTTGATACGCGGCAGCCTGGTTAACGTTGACGCGAGGTCGTTTGGTCTAGCTGAGATTGGCCATGTGTTTGGCACGGTTGTGATCGAACGTTGTAACCCCGTGGCCCATGCATCGGGATATTAAGCCCGGCCGGACAAGAATCACTCATGCTCGTGTTCCAAGCCAGTCGGTTGTCCTGTGGTTAAATACGAGACTCGAGACCCCTTCCCAAGCTTTCCTGACTGCTTGTTTCCCCCATCGCCTTGAGCAACCACAATGCCCGATTCGATGTCGGCAGCTAATAACGCCCATACGCTTGGCCAAGTTCACCATGGCCCCAAACCTAGCAACGAGCCCGCCGCCAATCGTCCCAGTTGGGGCGCTGAGGAGCCCGTCCCGGTTCTGATTGCTTCGGAAACCTTGACATCGGCTAGGCTCGACGACGTGGACAAGGAGGTGACTTCGCGCTACGCCAGACGCAACAGGAAGAGAGTGAAGAGCTTTTATGCCAGTCAAAATGAACTGATAGACCAGTACCTCGGGGTTGGGGATGAAGAACAACTCGCTGCCGAGGAGGAAGCCCGCGTCAGGCCCAAGATCAAGTTTGCCGTCTACGCCTCGTTTACCGTTAATCTTTGTCTCTTCATCATCCAAATGTACGCGGCCACATCGACGGGCTCGCTTTCTGTACGTGCTTCTTGGATACATCTGCTTCGGGCTTTGCAAAGGCCAAGGCTGACCTGACCGTCCACGTACGTAGCTCTTTGCCACGGCGGCGGATGCCTTCATGGACCTCGTATCGTCCTGCGTGATGCTCGTCACGTCAAAGCTTGCGAGACGGCCGAGCATTTACAAGTATCCTGTTGTGGGTGGCTTGTGCCAGTGGCCCCGACATATGATGGATGGACTTTGTGTGTGTGAAACTGACGCCATCTCAGGGCCGAACCAGAATCGAGCCAATTGGCATCATTGTCTTCTGCGCTCTCATGGCCACCGTCGCCATTCAACTACTGGTACGGTGGACGAACGATGCCCTATCTCCCTCCAGCCCTCCGCGGCATCATGTAGCCGGCTGACCGTCGACAAGATTGAATCAGCTAGAAGCCTCGCCGCCGGCCACCGCGACGCCCACCCTTTACAGGTTGTGCCGCTGTCTCTTGTCGGCGTTGCAAGTACGCGTATCCGATCCGGTTCCTTTGAAGAGACCCCGAGCTGACCCTGAGTTGTCCAGTCTTTATGAAGAGTTCCATGATGGTGTACTGTTTCTTCTACAGGCGTTTCCCATCCGTCCATGTCTTCTTCGTCGACCACCGCAACGATATTGTCGTCAACGTCTTTGGCCTCGTCATGTCCATCGTCGGCGACAAGTTCGTGTGGTACCTCGACCCGATAGGTGCCATCTGCATAGCCATCTTGATCCTGTTCTCGTGGGCAGCCAACGCCTTTGAGCAAGTCTGGCTCCTCGCCGGCAAGAGCGCACCCAAGGCATACGTGTCAAAGCTGATATACGTGACGCTGACGCACAGCGCTCACATTCTCAAAGTCGACACGGTAGGCGGCTCCTGGTGGTGCATGCTGCGCTGGCTTCGTGCCGACTCCCGGACTGACTTGTTTCTGGGGACAGTGCCGAGCCTATCATTCGGGCCACAAATACTACGTCGAAGTTGACATCATCATGGGCGCCGACGTGCCGCTCCGGCTATCCCACGATGTTAGCCAGTCCCTGCAGCGGAAGCTCGAGGGGCTGGCTGATGTCGAAAGAGCCTTTGTCCACGTCGACTATGAGCATGACCACAGCGTCCACGAGGAACACAAGCCTCTGTATGAAGAGGCGCAGTTGAAGACCCTGAGGGACTACTTTGGCTCGTTTGTACGGAAGATGAAGGGATAAGCGCAATTGGCGACGCCGTCTGCGGCGTTATTCGTGCCGTGGGTTGCGCACACGCGAAATACCTGTCGTTGCGGCGTGCTGTGATGTGCATAGTGTCGCTGCGAGGCGACACATGCCGCTGCCACTGTTTAAAACTTTGTTTTGTTGGTGCCGTGAACTTGGCGGATTGCCTACGTTGCCTGTTCGAACTTCGGGGCGATTGACCTTACGCTTGCCTGCGTATCTGAAATCGTTGTCGCCAAAACGAGGCCCAAATTTCCTACGATGTACAACGCTGCTAAACAGATTCGCGCCACTATGACTTTGAGCTGTGAGTAGGGAGGGAGGGCAGTCAAAAAGCTGAGCGCCATAGTCGTGGTTGTGGAAGTTGCCCGCAGTCTATTGCATAGTTGCAAGTTTGATGAGAGAGATGGGGCATCAGCTCTCTCTGATGCAACTTACAACACTTGCTTATGAAATAAGCCGTCGACAAACGGGGCATCTCAGTCCTGCGGGTGGTAATGTGGCCGGCCGCATCGGGCAAACGTCGCACTGCATGTTGGGTATTGCGCCTTGATCGTGGAGGCGTGGACGAAACGAAGCTGCGTCGATACGACGGCTCCGTTTGGAACAATCTGCTTATAGTCAAACCAACGACGCTCCCTGGGTCTGTCTTGTGACTGTAGCCCTTTATACTCTCCTTCCAAGACCCTCGAGTGCGAGCCCGGGTTGCAATGGCAAACGCTCGCGTACCAGTCACTGCCGCGCTGTCACATCTCTGCGACGATCCGGTCTACCAAGAAGAGGTTCCCTATGAAATCTGGGCTGAAAACCCATCTCAGGGTGCTCGCCGAACAAATGTGAGGGAAGGCATCATGTGAGATCTCGACTCAGCGGACCATTACCGCTTTACAATATGGGCACCTACGCCAACTTTGAAGATATTCAAGAGGAATATTTCAGCCAATCCCTTTTACAAATTTCAAGTGAGAAATGAGCAAAGATATAATTGATAGGGCGACTCGAATGCGATTGATTGAAATAGCCTTCGTTGAGAGCTAGACAGTCAAACTATTGAATCAGAGGGAAGAGTTGCGCAAGTTCTCCCTCACAGATAGACAATAGCCTTCGATGCCTACTTGTGACTGGTTAAAGGGTCGATCAACATCATTCCACCAAGCGGTGTCTTACACATGTGTTTAAATGAATTGTAGTTTCGACAGTCAGACAGAGGATTTTGGAGGCGTTAAATAGACGGCTCAGACTTGGAGGAGGAGGACCATAGTGTTGCCTGTGTGATGAGGGGAATGAATCCTTTCTTCATAACCTGGACTCTAGGGCCATGACGAACGTCAACGATATTATCAACAAAGTACTTGACAGCGACTTAGGCGCGCTTGATACCCAAGCTGGTAGTCACTGCATGGTTGGGCAGCGAGGCTTTTCCGGCGCCGCGTCGAGCATACCAGATTTCTGATCCCCTGGAGGCCTCGCTCAAGGCACCGCAAACTCATTCGCCAGGGGCGCGTCCAGGCCCAAGTTCAGTGATCAGAGGCAGTCACGAACGACCGAAGGCCTCAGTTGCAATTTAGGCCACTAATCTCAAGAAGGCTCGCGGCATAACACGAGTGCCATGTGAAATTGGCATCCCACAGTGCGGCAAAAATATCTGGCGAGAGGCCAGTGTGGCATAAATAGTCGCAAGCATCAATAGTCGCTGGAGCGTTCAATCGTAGGCCCCGACAGTCAATGTCACTTTTGGGGCTTGCAGGCCAAAGGAATCGCAAGACAGGCGGGCATTCGAGTTTGGTTACTCCGTATACACGTCTGAGGCAGCTACCTGTAGACAAGCAATGCCGGGGGCCGGGGCCATGTCCATCCGCGGACGAGAGTTCTGTAGGCCAGGGGGCAGACTGGAAGCGGACGAGAAACGGGACATCAAGCCCGGCTTATAGCTGATGCTCATTGCACGGAGTAGATGGGCATGAAACAGTGAGCTTGGATCGCAACTGAGGGGAACAAGAACAAGAGATCAATTACAATGCATGGGTCCTGACTCCTGAGACGAAGGCGGTGAGGTTTTGAGCTAACTGCTTGCTGTTTGCTGTTGCCCGTTTAGAGAAGGTACACAGGAGGAAGGAACAAACAAGGGCGCCTGGCATGGCCCCAAAACCCAATTCAATATGCAGGGTCGTGAATGTCAGCAGAACAAGAGCTTCTCGCCCCATGATTCCAGAGGTTGACTTGTCAATTGTGACATAGCTTGAAGAACTAGAGAGACGAGCTGGAGTTGGTAGTCTACTGACGATGACTACCTAGGTACCCACGCACCCGCCTTGGCGCCACGCCGAGGCAGGCTGCAGTCGCAGTCACCTCAAAAGTGGCCAAACCACACCCACGGCCACGAGTCACCACAACCACCACCATCGCGTGCTGGAATGGCACACAGAGCCCGTCCAAAGGCCCCAGATCTTGACCTCCAGTCCCGATCTACAGTTGTTGGACGCCACTAGTCGAAAACAGTGCGATCCAACCCTTTGGCCCCATCGAAACAGTTTCCATCGAGTTCGACTGCCTATTCTACCTCAGCGCCGTGCAAGGCTGACAGATGCGAAATCTAACCGCACTCAGCCTCTTCACTCCGCCCTCCGTGCCATTTCTATATGTGAGTGTGTGAGCCTAATCTTACCTTAGTTATCCGCCTATAACCGACCTGAAGCCATCTTGTGGTTTGGACCAAGACCGCTTGGACAAATCGGCAACAAGCATGACAATAAGTGCCATTTCTGTAGATTGGCCCCAAGCCACCTTGGCCTCGTCCTCGCACAGGCTCACTCACACTCCATGGCACAGGCTGGTGCCCGAGACTGACCAGAGTTAGCCATAGTGATGTTGAAACGTTTGAACTCTCATTACAAAGTAACCGCTCGAGCGAACTTGACTCATATATGACCCCTAGGTGTAACCGTTCTTGAGTGTGGTCATGTCCCGGCGCGTCACCACAGACTTCAAGGAAAGGGCAAACATCACAGCTTCTAAATTTGCCAAGCACTGTCCACGGGTTGCGCGGCCTGAGTCATCACGCTGGTGCCCTTCCGGATGAATTCCACAGGTCTTGTCACACAGATATATCGATGGGTCGGTTGTCCTTCAAGTTGCGGTGGAAACGCAGCGCGGACAAATGGCCTGCTTCTAGACAGAACGCTACTCCAGCTGTCAAGGGAGGATCAGAACCCATCCCGGAAATTCACAAATTTTTAAGCGACGCTGAAGCCCAAGACAAAGACGCAGCAAACCGGATGGTCCAAGCTCAATATGACGACCTTGCTGCACGATGCATAAACTATTCGCCGCCCCCAGATATCGATTCCATCGGTCCCAAGGCTACTGGTTCTGAGGATCCCATTACCTTTATGAAAGGTCATCTAAAGGAAGTTGAGGAGGCTTATGCAATGGAACGGAAAAGATTGTTGCAGCAAGAGAAGGACCTTGACTTCACTTCAAGATGCTGTGCAAATGCCACGGAACGCGAACAGTTAGTTGACCAAATGTTCCGCGATTTTCGTGAGCGAGACGAGCAAATGTTCAAGAGCCAACCACCGCGACCAGGCCACGGTGGACAGCAGCATCACAGATTTTCAGGGGATCACTACTTATCAAATGTTGACCTTATTCCAAAAACAGCTCTATATCATGTGGCAAAACAATTTCCAAAGGGGGCTCACCTCCACGTTCACTTCAATGCTTGCTTACCACCAAGTTTTCTATTAGACCTGGCAGCAAAAATGGACAGGATGTTCATCACCGGCGATGTTGCCTTGACCCCAGCCAACCTTCAAAAGTGCCAGATACAGTTCTCCATCAAAAGCGAAGAAGATGAGAAAGTCGTGTCTGGTCCCAAAAAAATCTTTTCGGAAGATTGTAACGGTGACCGCGGCTGGTCCATGAAACTAAGTAAATTCTTGGAACAATCCAAAGATCACTTCAGTGGCCTGGAACCAATGAAGTGGTTGCAGACGAAGGTCGAATTTGATGAGGAGGAGGCTCATGATTTGCCACAGACTGTAGAAGGGTGAGTAGCAAGCGGCCAGAGATCTCGACTGTTTAATCCTCAGCCAAAACTAATAGGCTACCCTGCAGGGCTTGGGAACTGTTTAATAAGAGAACGAGGTTGATGAAAGGGCTGTTTAATTACGAAAAAGCCTTTCGAGCGTACATCCAAGCGTTTTGTCAAGACCTTGAGGAAGACAAGATTTTGTATGCAGAGGTTCGAATAACTTTCATGGAAAGCAACTACCTCTTCTCCGACGATGGGAAACAGCGGAAGGATAATGTTGAAATCATGCGCATTTTTGCCGAGGAATTGGACAAGTTCAAGGCTAACTTGACGGATGAGACTGCGTTTCATCACGTCAAAGTCATTTACTGTACACCTCGATCCATGGACCCAGAAAAGATCCAGGCCGGGTTGGAAGAGTGTATCAAACTCAAGGAAACGTGGCCCGGACTAATTGCAGGTAAGGAAACACACGTCTCACTGGAACTGTGCCGGAGGAATCGGCAGGTTGACTGACTCTATCAGCAGGCTACGATGTGGTCGGGCAGGAAGGGCCAGCGAAGCTTGTGAGCTATCCCCTCAAGAAGTTCGCTCCCCAGTTTTTATTATTCAGAAAGACGTGCCGGATGAAAGGTCTCGATATACCCTTTCTGTTTCACTGCGGAGAAACGCTCGAGACAGGGACGAGTACGGATGGCAACCTGGTGGACGCGGTGCTCCTAGGTGCAAAGCGCATTGCTCATGCCTTTGCACTGACAAAGCATCCACACATGATGCAACTGATGAAGGCCAAAGGCGTCTGCGTGGAGCTATGTCCAATTTCGAACGAGGTCTTGGGCCTCACGCCTCGAGTGGCTGGTCACTCAATGTATTCTCTCTTGGCGAATAACGTTCATTGCACTATCAATTCCGACAACGGAACCCTGTTTCGGTGAGTTGAGCGTTTTCAAGTCGAACCACATTGGGCGGCAAAACCGTGACTCATCAGAAGACTCTTCATTGCGCAGATCCTCCTTATCACACGACTACTACCAAACCATGGTTGGCAGAAATGATCTCGGGCTTTTCGGGTTGAAACAGTTGTCGTTGTGGAGTATTCAACACGCTTGCTTGGAAGATGATGAGAAGAAGCAGCTGCTTGAGAAATGGGAAGAGCAATGGGCAGATTACCTGGTGCGGATGACAGACAAACCTGATTCCCTGATGATGCCAGGGGAAATGGACGAAAGCCCAGCGAAGTAACCAGCAAGACCGGGCTGTTGCCACGCCTGGAATGACGGCGCAAAGACGGCACCAAGTAATGGAGCGCCTCAAGGTAGGCCAAGCACCAGGAGGCACGACAGGTAATGCAGATGATGGAAGTGGGAAAAATGTGCAACTTACAATTTTTGTATTATGGCCGGTTGATAAGAGCAAAGCTTGGTGGGGCGTGAGGGCATTCAGGACTGTTTGGATGGCTTGGGAAAGAACTGAGATTACGGAGTTTGAGACGAGGAAATCCCGGGGCTTTGAGCTGCGCCGTTTCAGCGGCAAGGGTGCATTGCATTACTGGATGCATATAAAAGTTGCATCAAGTTAACATGCGGGCAGACCGACTTATTCCATGAGCCCCACGGTACGTGTTGAGAAACCAAACGGACGCCTAAGCATATTGAGGGAATTAATCATTGAAATAGATGACGCTTTGGGGGATCGTGGCAAGCAAGCGTTCCGTGCTACCGTGATATCCGTGCGCCATATGGACGGATGAGGGACAAGGCGGTTGGGCGGGTGAGACACGGCCAAGACGGGAACATCTGGTTTCCTGTTCTCATCAGCCACAGTTGATCAGAGATTTGTTGGAGTCGTGGAGTCGTGGAGTCGCGGCCTGTGCTGGACAGTCTGTCAGCCTCACCTGCACGATGCAATGCAGGGTTGCTTGGCGCGTCATGTGCCGTCAACCCAATGAATTTTGTTTGCCTCGACTTTACTTATTCCTCGCGTCATCTTCACCCCTCTTTCATCTGTCATCTATCCCCATGCCATGTCGTCGCGGCACCCGAGGTCGACGATCAGAGTGCCAAAGGAGAGATGAGACTACCGAGACCGGGTAGTACTGGGCGTCCTCAACCAAAAACCCGTCGACTCGAGAACTTCCTGGAAAGATTGACGGCACCGCCATCTCTTGACAACTTTACCGTCCTGGAGCGCAGGCGCAACACATCAGTTGACATTCCTCCTGCGCTGTGAACCGCACACGACTACCTTCGGGCGCCTGTTCACCAGTCACCAGCATCACCGCTCATTATGTCTCAGCCCGGAGACGCAGACTGGAATTGGTTCCCCAATGTCAAGACGGCATGGTCCCTCGACGTTGTGAACCTCCTCGTCGTTATTGGCGAGTCCTCCATAGCTGAACACTCCCAGGCAATCACGGCCTCTCTTCCCGGCATGCTGCCTCGAATTCTACCCGCGCCTCAGGCTCTCCTGAAGCCGTCGCGCCCGGCGAGAATGCCCGAGACGCATGCCCGCATGACAGGCGTGTACAGCGGCACGACGTTGGAGTCGGTCGGATTCTTTGCAAACATCATTACCCCCCTAGATCAACTCCCGGCCTTTAGCTTCAAGGTATTGGATATTAGACATGCCACCTACCCCGTGGACCGAGTGCCCAAGACACCTGGGCCTGGGTTGGCTGCCATGAGAAGAATGCTGCGACGACTTGAGGGCTCAAAGAGGCACAGAGACGTTGAAGAGAAAACCGCCGAACAAGGGGTGGAGTCATCGCGTCGGGCTCAGGATGAAGAAGCCGCCCCCAGAGGACAGCAAGACAAATCTTCTCATCATGTCCGTCAGGAGGCCGCAGTCCAAGGAACCGACGAGACCCTCGCCGACACGGCAGGCCCCGACTGTCCACCTCGACGACGCTCTACCGCCCGCGAACGCGCGCAGGACCTCCTCACCTCCCCTACCGTTGCAGCAAGCGGCGACCGTCCTGCCGTGCCAGCTCAGCTCTTGTCCCCCATCCATATCCTCTCTTTCTTCTCGTGCGCCCTTAGCATCGTTATTATCATCATGGCTGCCATCTACCAGGACGGCACGGCCATCCTCGCTATAACCCTAATCTCGCTGGCCTCTACTGTTGTCGGCTACGCCTCTTTCTGGCGCCCTATCCTCATGAAGCGCCAGCACACTAATGAAGTGCCCCGCGGGGACGTTCTTATCCGCACCCGTGAGGGCGCCTTCGTCCTTGTCCGTTGCTCCGAGGACGTGGCACGGGAGCTGTACTCGGGCACCGAGGAATGCGAGTACTACGTTGGCGGCAACACTTACCGTGCCCTCATGGCCCTTGGCACCATCATCCTCATGGTCAGCGTCGTTCTTCTAGGCAACTGCACGTGGACGCTCAAGGTCTTCATCGGCGCCAGCTACATCGTCCTCAACGGCCTCTACTGGGGCCTAGGCATGATTCCGCGCTCTTACTTCTGGGACCTGTCGCGCTATGAGTGGCAGGACGTCACTCCCCACGACGCCGCGAGGGCACACCTCGTCACCAATGAACGAGACCAGTGCGAGGGCTATCCTTCCTTCACCAGGACGCTGTGGTACGCCATCAGGGAAACCAAGTTGACGGGCTGGGTCGAACGGAGCGGCGCCGCCCCAGGCACCGACCAGTGGAAGAAGTGGCTCTGCGAAGCAGAACAGGCCGCTGTGAAGGGGAACAGGCAGTGGCCTGCTGTGGCCAGAAAGAACTGCATTCTTAAGGAGAATCTGAAGGCCGGCGAGGTGTTTGACCACGCGGCGCAGCATGCGCCTGCCACCGAAGTCAGGCCGCCTCCTGAATCCGGGCATCGATGGACAAAAGACGGCACATTTTAGAATTGGACGTGTCATTTTGAGAGGTGACTGTTTTCTTTAATTTTTTTTAATTTTCTCTGCTTTGCCCGGCACGTTTTGGTATGTTGTATTCTGAGATATCCTGGCATAAATTTGTGTCGAAAGGCTGAATAAAGCATGAAAATATTGAGGCATGGCCGAGGGTCGAGTCCTACCATGGCAAAACACTCCGAAGAGACAGCTTTTGCGTGACTGCTCAACTGCGCAGATATGAAAGGGCCCATTTTAGAACCGTCCGTGTAACGAAGAGGGCGGGTTCTGTATATTGTATAGATCGGAGAGCAAGTCTACTTTATACAGCCCTTTTTGGTCCTTCTAATTATGCGCTATACTGTGTGCTATCTGTTTCAAGCATGGCCCTTGAGAGCAAAATTAAAAATGAAGGATGGAATGTTCAAACGCTACCTCTCCACGTCCCCAACGCACAAGGGCGCTATGCGTGCATGCTCCAACGCCTTGGGTCTTGAAAAGAAGAGCTCCAAGCCTAGTCAAAATAAACAGCCTTTCTCTCGGTAATGTCGATCAAGCCGCCGCGGAAGCTGCCCCTTTTCTTCTTATTTTTCTCTTTGGTGAAGCCCTTGCCCTTTGTAACAATCAAGTCTTCGTGAGCGCGTCGTGAGTAGTCCATCGAGACGTATTCATTAGAGGCAAATCGAGGATCCACTTTCATGTTCTTTGGAATACGCGAGAATCGTTCGTTCTGTTTTTTGCCACCCTTGATGACTGGGTTAGGAGGCAGAGGGGGTTCTACAACCCTGGGCTTGGGGACGGGCGACTGATTGTCCAGAGTTACGGAAGTGTCAGACGAGTCCTTAGATGCTGCACCCTGGGCGTAATTTTTAAATTTGACCTTTGCCGAGTCCGCGTCCGCGTCCGAGTCCGAGCTCGAGTCCGAGTCCGAGTCGGAGGAAGAAGAGTCAGACTCGGGAAGAGCTACCTTGGCAGCCGCTGCAACCTCAGATCCGCTATCGCTAGTGCTGTCGCTTCCGGATTCGGAATCAGAAGAACTGTCGTTGTGGGATGACGACTCATCCGACGAATCGCCATCGACGTCCATCCTGCCATCGTCGCTATCAGAGTCAGAGCTAGCCGGTTCATGTTTCGTAGCTACTGCCTTGGCAGTTTTTCGCTTCTTCACTCGGGGCTCGTCGTCGGAGTCTGAGCTGGAGCCGGAGCCAGAGCCGGAGTCAGAATAAGCACTGCTGGAGTCAGAGGTCTCGGAGGAGCTAGAGTCGACTGGCGCCTTGCGCTTCAAGTTCTTGGTCGCACTTGTGTATTTTTCAACAGCAGAAGAAGTTGTGAGACTAGCTCCGCTTTGACGTACGTTTCCGCTTCCACTCGAGCTTGAGCTCGAGCTGCTTGATTCATCGCTAGACTCGTCGTCAGACTCTGCTTCGGACTCGACCTTGCTATTTTGACCGCTTTCCCAGGTCTGGAAGATGGAAATCAGTGAGTTGTCGCCGTCTTTTGAGGCTTCGGACACCCAGCCATTCTCATCAATCTCCTTCTGGAAAGCGCGGTGAGCCTTTGGGAAGGAATGCTGGTTCAGGAAGCTTCCGACGAGGTTCAAGAGAGCGGCGGGAGGTGCAGAAGGGGCCTGTGCCCGAGCAGACGAGGCTGCCTTGGAGCTCTTCTTGGCCATTTTATCAGCTTTCTTGTGTGTGCCAGTGGCGGTGTCGTCGACTGTCCCGGCCGCTTTCGTTGTGTTGCTGGTATTATTGGAGAAGAGCCAGGAGGGCGGGCCGCTAGACTGCGACATGTGCTTGCAACGGGAACAGCGACGCGAGGCTAGCCAAAAAAAATAGAGACAACAATGCAGACTTTTGGCCCAATTTGCTTCCAAGTGCTCAATGCTGACGCCGAACATGAAAAGAATGAACAAAGTGTGTTGACCAACGACACGCATCACACTGGTAGCTACGTACTGAAAAATTTCGGTGGGGAGCCGCCCTGTTCCTGGAGGCGGGGCGGCCCTTGGCGTTCGTTATCGCTTATCGAGGACAAACTATCCGCCGCCTTCCGTTCCTCGTACGTACCGTACCGTAGGTCAACAGCAGCAACATGATAGCTTCAATTTTGGGAGTAACCAACGGCTCTGCGCCTTTCCATATCGCGTCCATCTGCCACTTCATCGCCCGATTTACTCCAAATATCCCAAGCCGAGGCAAATTTGACCCCACACTCTTGGCTGTCCAGCTCAAGTCGGCCACGTCACTGGACTCCAACCTCCTGTCTACCCCCCTGCTGACATAACAGCCACCCTACCTACTCTCATTCATGCGCTCGCTTCCCTGTACTCTAAACCATTCGCGTTCCGCATCTGCCGCGACCTCTTCTCAATCATGAATGCGACAAAGCGTAAATTTAAGGATTTACTTCAAGGTTTAAGCAGCACTGGCCCAACCACTCCCGACAGAGACGCCGATAACATGAGCAGTAGCCCCCGACATGGCGCTGGTACGACAAGCAATGACACGATTCTTCAGAAACGAAGGCGATTTGGGTTTCCCGAATCGATGACTCCAACGCTCTATGCCCCATCGCACGCCACCACGCTTTCCAACGTCGTACTCAGGAGGTCTGGTACCCAGCTGAATGGCAAGACAACGAGCCATGCCCCAGCCAAATACTGTCCCGGGGACAGAGACGAGCTGCTTAAACGCCTGGCGACATTCCAGGAAATCACGGATTGGGCACCGAAGCCCGACAGGGTCAGCGAAATAGAATGGGCCAAGCGAGGATGGATATGTCAGGGCAAGGAGAAGGTTCGCTGTGTATTGTGCCACAAGGAGCTTATTGTGAGGCTTAATCGGAAGGAATCGGACGGAAAAGAGGTGCCAGTATTGGTATCATCTGATATTGGTAGGCAACCGGCACATCCGGCGACCACTTTTAAGACTATCGCTAACTACGCACAGCGGAGGCATTGGTGGACAAATACTCTGAGCTCATTGTGTCATCGCATCAGCAAGACTGCTTATGGCGGAACCGTGGTTGTGACGGTGAGTCGGTTGTGCCCAGCAGCATCGTCTGAAAGAGTACGGGCTGACCTCAACCTGTAGACACTCTAATTCGGCTCTCATTCTCAAACACATCGACGACATTGGCAAGGTTGCGGGAACGATATGATGAGCTGTGTACCAGATCTTCTTTTCTTCCTTACGAGTTCAACCTACGCCTTCCGGATGGAATGGATATCGACAGTGTCCTCTCTCAACTCCCGCCCGACTTCTTTACCGAGACGCCGCCGGTCGTTGACAAGTCCGGAGCAGCGTCCTTGGACAAACCGCCGAACAAGGCTGCGCTGGCGCTGGCATTGCTGGGCTGGCAGGGTCTTACAAACTCACGGATAGGGCCGGTACCCAACTCAGCGTCCTGCCACACCTGCTTACGGAGGCTAGGGCTCTGGATGTTCAAGAGCAAAGAAGTCGATGATGAGGGCCAAGTTGTAGTGCCGGCCCCCATGGACCATTTGGATCCTCTCCGAGAACACCGTTTCTTTTGTCCTTGGAAGAATCCCCAAGCTCAAAGTCGAGGCGGTACTCGACCTGGCGGGGAGGACAGCCCAGCCGGCTGGAGGGCCTTGCTTCAAACTATAAAGAACGAATCAGACTTGCGTCATCTTTACACCAGGAAAGTAAAAAGAGGAGAAAAGACCCAGGAGCAGGGCTTAGGCTTAGCGTCGCCAAGTCCTGCGAGAGGAGCGTATAACATGCCTAGATCGCCCAGCCCCGTCATTGCGGACCCAACGAGAAGCGTTGACGCGCCATCGATAGCTGCACCACAGACAGCTGCAGGCGGTGACGACGAGAAGAGCCAGGAAGCAAAGGACAAGGAGAGATGGGCAAGGTTGAGAAATGTGAAGCGCCTATTTGATTCCAAGGGATCGAGAAAGTTTCGGCGACAGTCAGGCCGTCCTGGCAGTGGCCACTCCAACAAGTCCACAACGGGGGCATCATAGGTCATGTTGAAAAAGTACGATTCACGACATCCACAACATCATCATTATCGCACGGGCTTTGTGAAGTGTCCCCAGGGAGGATATGGCAATCAGGACTATAAGAGATGGCAAGGCAGATGATGGGAACCAAATCAAGTTTGTCCAGGCGACGGCTTGACGATACAAATAAGAAGAGACTTCAAGCCTTCCACTGAATGTCATCAAATGATACAACAGGGCCAGTATACATCGCCGTATCTGCCCTTTTTGTCACGGTGTCCTGCAACGTGAAGCCGGCCAGTTCCAAAATTGCTATTCGTACACCGCCGAGTCCTCCCCCATTCTTCAATCTGCCAGGGCTTTCCATTCCCGTCGCAGTAATATATATGTGCGACGCTGCGCCCTCTACGTTTTTCCACTTCCCGCCAGACTCTTGATTCAGTCCGTCAATCTCCTGCTGCACCGCATCCGCCAGTACGCAACATCGCTCGACCCAGCCGTTCTTCGCCTTATCCGCTTTCGTCAACACTACAACAGTCGGCGTGTTGGCTTCCGCCAAGGTCCTCAATATCCACTTGTCCTCGGGTAGCAACTTCTTCTCAGAGGACAACAAGACCACGGCCCCGCGTAACATCCTTCTCGCTTGGAGATAGTTCATGACGGCATGTCCCCAGCTAGCCTGGCTATTGAAGCCGTACCCGGGGGTATCAACCACGACCAGACTATGTCTGGGCGGGGGCATGCCCTTTGGAACCAGGACCTTTGGGGTTTTGGGTGGCGGTCCCACACCGTAGGCGTTCATTAATGTCGTTCTGCCTGGTTTTTGGCTGACTCGCGCAGCTCGGGGCTGGCCGACAAGGGCGTTGAGAAGAGTTGATTTTCCGACATTGGATGACCCCAGGACGGCAATTTCAGGGGTGACACTGTTCATGGGGTGGTGGCGGAGGGCTTCGGCAGAGTAGAGGAATTTGCACGGGCAAGAGAAGAACTTCTCGGCGGCCGAGAGCTGTTGGGTGTAAGGTTTGCTTGTGCGGGTCGTTATGTTGGAGGAGGAGGAGGAGGAGGCGGCGGCGGCTGGGTTGTAGCGGATTGACTTTGATGCGAGGAGGACGTGTTTGTACGGGCCGGACGTGCTGGTATCCTGAGTTGCGGAGTCCTGGGGTTGTATTAGGGACGCTCCGCCTGGTGAGATTGCCTGGTGTGAGCTGGCCGGTCTTGGCGGTTGTGACGGGACGGCAGGACGATCATGGGTGAGGAGCGTGTTCCCGTCTCGGTTCAAGCTCGAGTCATTCTCTGGAGACGTCTGGACTGGCCGCGACGAGGACCGCCGACTCAGGCGCTGCCTTGCACACTGACATGTTGAAACTGAAAAGTGAGCGTTGGGGGGTTGGCTCGGCCGTAGCGCCCTCGACGTGACCCGTCTCAAGAGCAGCGGCATACTGCTTGCGCAGGACACTGGACGATCATGGAGGAAGTGATTGATCGCTATGAAATGCATGTGTGCAGACTAGATGGTGCCATGATTGGAGCTACTTGATGAGAAGGAGAGGAGGTCTTGAATCTTGCAGCTCCGCAATGGACTTATTTATATGCTGTATTATGTAAACCCCACAACCACAAGCGCCAAGCGCCAAGCGCCAAGCGCCCACTGCCTGCCGCCTGCCGCCTCACACTGACAACCACCTGATAGCTTCAACCTCAGCGCTCACGTTAGCACAAATCATGACAGTTTCACTCTCCGAGCTAGATGCTCACCAACAACCGAGCGATGAAATGCGCGCGGAATGGAAGGAAGTCTCCCGCTTAGACCCGTCTGCCGTAGTCCAGGACCCCAGAATCGACGACCCACGACTTCCACCATGTGAGAATGGATTCCGGCCCTCGGGCAAGATTGATAAGACCCAAGTCGCCGAGGCCTTTGCGGCGCTGGGAGACGAATTCAGGCGTCTTGCCCAAGAGGATATCCCCATCATCCACCACCCACTGCTACCAGGTAAAGAATGCCACCCCCCCCTCTCGAGGGATCCCAAGTTCCCAGCCAAGCATCAACATCACCATGTCAGCCTCCCCTGCCGCTGCCTCTCCTTTTCCCGCAACCCACGATCCAAGCACGAAACAAGCTAATCCACAAGGCAAGGCCTACTGATCGTGCCGAATCTCGTCCCGCCAACGGTCCAAAAAGCTCTCCTGGCCAGGATACTCCACAGGGACCTCTCCAACCCCAAACACAAGACCAACCTGCACCTCCACTACACGCTCCCCTACCCGTCCGCAGCGTCGCCGCCCCCAGACCCAGACTCAGGCTCGGACTCGAGCCCCCCCTGCCACGCCCAGTCCTTCTTCACCCTCACCCCCGCGTCGTCGGCGACTTTCACGCCCAAAGACCCGGCCGTCCACAAGCCCCTGAGCCCAGGGCAGGTCCTCAACCGCCGCCTGCACTGGGTCACGCTCGGCGGCCAGTACGACTGGACGAATCGCGTGTATCCGGACTCGGAGCCGCCCCGGTTCCCTGCCGACCTCTCCCGGTTCCTGGAGAAGCTGTTCCCGGAGACGCGCGCGCAGGCAGCCATTGTCAACTTCTACAGCCCAAAGGACACCATGATGATGCACAGAGACGTAAGCGAGGAGACGGACAGGGGTCTAGTGAGCCTTAGTTTCGGCTGCGAGTGCCTGTTCATGATTGCGCCGAGTGACGGCGCCGTCGTGGTCCACGGGGAGCGGGAGCGGGAGCGGGAGCAGGAGCAGGCGCAGGAGACGGGGCCTGACAAGGCCCGAGCAGTCAAGAGGTATCTGCTGTTGAGGCTGCGCTCCGGTGACGCCATCTACATGACCAAGGAGTCGAGATACGCGTGGCACGGCGTGCCCAAGATCATCAAGGATACTTGTCCGGAATATCTGCGGAGTTGGCCTGCCGAGAAGGGGGAATATGCGGAGTGGGAGGGCTGGATGAGGACCAAGCGCATTAATCTGAACGTCAGGCAGATGAGGGATTAGATTTTGCCGACAGGCACGACGACCCCCGACGGCACGGCATGCATGGCTCAGTACAGCAAGCACATCAGGACATTAAGGACGTCTCATATATTGCAAATCTAGTTGGCCCGTAAACTCCGTGTAAGGATACGCAAACAAAAGATACCAAAAGTAAAAGATATACAAAGCCGCTGTGCCCCTTTCCATATGTGTGTATCAATGCAGGCCCGCCAGACGTGTTCGCGCCAAGTAGCACGCAACTGTCCGTCATGCAAACCCAAACCCTTTCGCATTCTCTAGTGCCATTTCCAACCGCTCCCGTAGTACATCCTTGTCCCTATATTCCGGTAATAGTAGCGTTCCATAACACGTATATGCCGTGGGCAGGTGACCATTACTCCCCTCCTCTTCGCCATTCTTTTGAACTATAAACTGTAGGTTTCGCATGCCGCCCACGGGCACACGGTCCGACGCCGTGACGAATTCAAGTAGTTTGCGTTTCATCCCATCATCATATCTCTTCACGATAGACCAGAAGTCCTTGACGGTATGATGCGAGGGATCCCACCCGACGTAGCGAGCATATCTTCGAAGCTCCGAAATATCAATCTCTTGCACGCCCTCCACAACAGACTGCAAGATTGACGGCGTCAACAAGGTGAGGGACTTGGCGTCCAGACACGCCCGGAAGCCGCGCTCAAATGCTCGATATTGGGGCCGGATGGACACGTCAGTCAGGTATCGAATGTAGTCGCGCACGTACTCGTCGCGATTCTCCCTTGTGACCAGTGGCGCCTCGTCGCCAGGTGCAGCGGAGCCGGTTCTTGTCGGAGGCGGTGGAATCCCCTGCGGCCAAGAGGATTTCTCCTTGGTCATGGGACGCGTTACGGCAGCGCCGAATGCCCCAACTGAGAATTCATATGTCCTTGCGAAGACATCCTCTACCAAGCCGTCCTTCTCATCCCACTCTTGCAAGGCGGTAAGTCCATTTGCTAAATCCGGCCAGCCATCCGCAATCTGGTAGAGTTCATCTACAGGTTGACCCAAGAGCTTCCTGTACAGGGCTTTAGGAAAAGTAACTGGAAGTGTCAGGCCGTTGTACACGGCTAGTGACATCAACAAGCCGATCATCTCGAACTTCCAAAGTTCGACAAGAGAGCCTGGCACAAACCATGCCATCCTCGTCCTGTCATCGACCGTGAATGCCCCATACTTCGTATCGAGGCACTCTGAAATTGCCATTCGAAAGAACTCTTGTTGAACCCCGCCCGAGTCAAACCCTTCTTCGCCGCCAGCACCCTCCCCCAAGTGTACTTTCAAGGGCCTCAGCAATTCTCGTTCCTGCCGTCTCCACAACTGATCAAACGCATCCCTGAGTACGTGTTCTCTGCTGATAGCCAGGACTAAGAATCTTGAGGACGCAGTCTTAAGCAGGTCCTGCAGGACGTGCTTATGGTGAGTGTTAGTGACCAAACTGCCTGGGTCAATAATGGCAGTCATTCTAGTTTTCAGAGAGCTAGATTCTTCGAAGTTTTTGCTCATTCGCGAGAAATTGATTGATCGGAAAAAGTTGACCAACGTCTCGGGACTGAAGAGAAACGGATGATCCAAGAGGTGATGCCTATGTCTATTAGAAGTAAAGTCGGCCCATAAGACAGGAATGTCCATGGAATCCAATCGCTCTGAAAAATAATCAACACGAAATCGAATGTCTCCTAAAAGAAGCATAGTCCTATTTTCGTCTGGGGGCGACGTTAGAGATTGTTTGCATTTTGATTCAGTCGCAAATTACTTACACAACGTGGTCATCAAAGACAGTGCCCCATGAAAGGGGCCATCGTGTGAATACTCTGTGCGTCCATTCCAGTCCTGAAGAAGCACTGCTCTGGCCCAGTCCAGTAGAAGCATGGGAACTCGGGTTTCATGTAGCAGACGCTCATCTTGAGTGAATTCTAGGATACGAATCCCGCTCCGCATGACATCTATCTGGTGTAGCAAGGGGCTCAAGACATCAAAACTTGCTTCCTCCACCTGGCCGTCCCAGTCTGCTATTTCTGCAAAGCAGTTTCGAGCGGTGATGGCACGAAATAGCCTCCTGGCTAGTCGCAGAGCAAGCTCATTGGAAAACACGTCGTCGTACTCGAGGCACATCGGCAAGATACGTCGTGCCGCCGCGCCAGCCACGACGACGCCGTTGGAACGAATACCTGACATTTCGTGCATTGTCCAGGAGTCTTCTGTGCAAGGGGCTACCGCCACCAAGGCGTGGAGACAAATCGACATGACACAGCCAGCTTCATAGTCAGTCAATGCCGGAAGCTGATGCTCTCCCATGAGCCTTTTCGACGACAGCCGCGCTGAATTCAGGCGCATAGGTGGCGCGAATAAGCTCTTGGCTGCCAGCCACAGACTATGGAGCACGAGGCTGGGGGCCGCCCGCGTCATCCGCAGCATGCAGTACCAGAGGGTTTGAGAGTCGTACAATCGTCCGTCTTTAGTGAAAGACTTGACTAATGAGTGGGGATCGCTCAGCACGCTGAATATGGTCTGTTCATTGAACACTCGCCATTTGCCGGAAAGAACGGCTGCGGGTTTGACCTGGTGGTTGTGTCTTTGTCTCGCCAATCGCTTTGATCTATTCCGGGGTTTCGGGAGATGTTCTGTCAACGATAGCGGTCCAAAAAGTTGCTTTTCATTGGTGTCATCTTCCTGAAAAATATCGCAGATGAAGTCTATCAGCTCGACATTCAGTTGACTCAGAGACTGTGGCAACGGATAATTTTTCCAGCAATCGTCCGTTGCTGCGGGTGCATTCTCATGGTCTTGCGAGGCTTGCTTACGCCTCCGTGTCGTTGCGACGGCAATAGTATTTCTGGCGGAAGAATCCTTCTCAGACTCTCCCTGTTCAGACGAGGTTGGATCAACTTCATCGACGGGCGACGGGGATAGACACGGGATATTTTCAAAAAATGCTGGCTTCAATGGTATTTCCGGTACGGTTCGCCCAACGACGCTCGGTGTCAGTTTTGGACCTCGTGGTCTCTTATCCCCATGGAAGTTGCTTGACTTTGCGGCAGGTTTGGGTGCATCTGCTGAGGCTAGTGGCGGAAGAGGCTTTAGAGATGTCTTTTTCTGAGGCTTTGATGTGGTTGCCGTCTTAAGGGAGCCCTTTGAATTTCGTTTCCGCCGGGGAGGATCTCGTGGGAGTGTTGATTCGGCGGCACGTCCTGCGTGTTCAGGTAGTGCCTGGTGGCTCTGTTGCAGTTCGGGGGCCTTCAGGGCCTGTGTGGATGATTTGGAAGAAGAGTGTTGGGAGAGTGACGGAGGCGGCGCAGATGGGACACCTGTTCCTTCTTGCATGGTTTCCTTCGATTGCTGCTGTTTCAAAGTTGAGTCGGGGTCACTAGCATCGTGAATTTGTTCAGATATTGCCCGTAATCCCTGTGGAGTCAGCCACTCCAGCATTTTGAAAGCTATTGTCCCAAATGTTGACGCTGCAAATGACCTGTAGTCTCTGCTTACAGGTTTTTCTGTAATGATGACTTTGCCGCTGCCAACGTCACTTCGATCTTGGCCACGACCGGTAGATTTGTATGCTCCATCCTCGCAGCCGAGTGACTGGACTTCTGATTTGACTGGATCAGCACCAGGACTCTCGATGATGGAGACTTTGCATTGTCTGCCAGACGACGCGTGCTTCGGCTTGGCTTCCGCACCAACGGAGGTCTTACGAGGTCCCGGGGATCCAGCGACCTTGGGAGGTGTAGGTTCGGCCAAGGTTTGAGATCGCGGTCGTTGTGCTGAGAAAATAAGATTATTCACGGCTGGGGGGGGACCGTTCGATCGGCGCAGGTACGGGCAGAGGCCTCTATCTGGGTTGTCCTGGCTGGCGAGGTAGACAGCCAGAATCCTTGCGCTTGTAGCACTAAATCGTCGAATGGGAGCCTTGCCGGCGAGACGCTTCCGGCATGTGAAGCAGGTTGCTGTGCTGCATTGGGGGGAAGCGCAGCCGGTGCGGAGTTGCGCAATGTACCTATTTGGGGCGAGAGAAATTAGTATCCAGCAGATCAGGCTGATGTCCATGTAGCAGCAAAACAAACAGATATAGACGGGGAGGCATACGTCTCGACAAGGAGTTGGAAATCATGCCGCCTACTAGCTCGATGGATGGCCCAAACTCGTCTTGGATTCTCAACATCCTGCAGAAATTCCCGAAGTTCTGGTGGCGCATCATCTGGCAAGCGAGAAAAGGGCGCCTCCTGCCAAAGACCCGCCTCCAGATCTGAGTTATTCGCTATGTGACTGTTGTCGGAGGTATCGCGATCTGCGCCAACGCCATGGCCAGCATCAGCATGCCGCAACGCGCTCATAATGAACGGCGTGAAGGGTTCAGTCGATGCATCGGCCAAGTTTTGTCGTCCCGGGACGCCGCGTACGTGGATGCCAGCAGATGTAGGCTTCTTTGCTTAATGGCTCCGAGATCAGCCGGCTGAACTGAAGATTGATGATGGGTGATGCTGGAAGTCGGGTGGCGGATATTGTTGAAGCGGCATGGACGAAGGAGGATGTCGGTTTGGCGCCGCCAACATTTGGGCACGCAGCACGCAAAGGAGGGATTGATTCCTGCGCTTCAGACTTGACGCAAGTACATTTGTAGGGTGGGGCAGTCAAGGTTCCGGCAGGAGCAGCCACTAATCGAACTCACAGGTGCAGCGGTTGAGTGCTAAGGAAGTCAAAGTCCACTGGATCGGGCGCTTAGAAGTTAGAACCAACGGTTGGATGACGTAAGCATCGTGCGCAAATTCCAGAAATTGGCTGAACTGCTCTTCACCAGCAATGAAACCTCTGCAAGTTCAAGGCCGCCTGTGCCAGAGGATGCCCACGCCGCACGGTTCTTTATGTTGTGTAACCAACATTAGCATTGAGAAGCGAGGGAACAAACGAAAACAGACTTGGCTTGGCCGCACAACCTCGAATTGCTCATGAGACATGCCGAGTTGTCGCCACAATCAAGTAGTTATCTAGGCGTGGCGAACTCGGCACGCTTTGCAAGGACTCCACGTCATAGTAGAGGACGCAGCCTCGACTTCTGCCGATTACAATACAGCAGGCCAAGTCCCGACAAGCCCAGCTTGCTGGCCGGGGACCAAAAACAGCTCATGATGGTTGTGAATAGTACGTGCTTGGTCATTCTCGAAGAGACCACCACCACCGGCTTTGAAGGCTTCAGCTTAGCAAGCGCTTAATCTCCAATCCCTGGGATCGATGCTGTCCAAAGGTCGATAGAGTCGAAAAGTACCTCTTTTGGGTATTCCCAGGTCAGCTGCCAACAGCTGGATCTTTGCGCTCCAGCCGCGGTGCTAGTCCATCAAATCGCATCGAAAAGATGCCAAAGCACAAAAGTTTGGTTACAATATTCTTTGTTGTTAGTAGTGCTCTGAGCAGTTTCATTACCCCTTGAGACCATGCATTGCAATTACCAACCACAGGCTCACAAAACATGAAGGGCCACGCTATGCTGTCAGAGAGAAGACTGCTTCGTTTCCATATAACGAACCTCGTTCCACTATACTCAAACATGCTGCAGGAGTCGGTGTAACTGCAAGTCTCAGCAATGCACATAGGTTTATGATGATTTGGGATGGGTAGACTGAAAGTGCTCGGCTCAACAAAGCCCATCACTCCTGCGATTGCAATCAAATGCTGCATTGCATGCTCATGGCTAGGGAAAATGTTTTAGCGAAACAAGTGAGGATTCCAACATCGAGGCCAGAAGCCATCAAACTGTTTCGCTCGTCTCCGGCATCGCCTATTACGAGATGGCCATTCATTTCGAACCCACCCGCCCCTCATGTCCTTATTGTTATCATTGTTATTACCAGCGGGCCGAAAAGCGTCATCGAATGTCAATGTCATGCTTATCAGGAGGATTTTGCCCATCGCCTTCAATTTTTGGGCTTGGACCTTCACACATGTGTGCGCATGTGCGTCTCTTTACGGGGCAACAAGCGGCAGCAGCTAGTACTATGAATGAAGCCTGGCGGGGAATCACGGACGCCCTGTTGTCCGCCACCAAAAATCTTTTGCCACCAATCAATAATTTGTTGTCGTCCAGAAACATGAGCTGGCTGCCACACCCATACGTCGTCAGATCAACATCACGACATTCCCAGACCTATTGACATCCCATGCTCCATTACCTAGGTCATTGTGCCGCGCCTTTCAATACCGAGATCGCATCTTCACAAATTTTCCTCGTCCTCCATCATGGCGAGTGTCGCCGCCGGTGCCGGCACCTCCGCCTCCCATCCGTACACATGCAACACCTGCCAGGTCGCCTATCGCAACACCGACCTCCAAAAGGGTCACATGAAGAGTGACTGGCAGTAAGTCATCTTGTCGCCGACTTCATGTCCATGATGCTTGCATTTGGCCGTGTTTTTGAACCCTTTGCTGATGCGCCGGCGAAGCCGCTATAACCTGAAACGTCGAGTTGCCTCCCTACCACCAATCTCCTCCGAGGTCTTTACTGAAAAAGTCCTCCAAGCTCGTGCTACGTCCAGTGCGGAAGCCGAAAAGGCCTATTTTGAGACAAAATGCGAGCCTTGCAACAAGACTTTCTACAGCGAAAACGCCTATCGAAACCACTTGCTCAGCCAAAAGCACAAAACCAACGAGGCAGCCGCTGGTGGTCCACGGCGCAGACAAGATGACGAGGCCACCTCTGTAATCAGCTCTACATTTTCTCTGGGCGAGCCCACCTCCGTGGCCAAAGACGAGCTTGATTCCGATGCCGAGGACGAGTTCAACCAGGTCATTGAAAGCTTGCAGAATGCCAAAGTTTCCGCGGAGCAACGTCCTTCGCCAGTCAGCAGACCTTCCAATCCCAAGCCCACTGCCCCCGGGGCCCATAAAAACGCCGACGGCGAGGAAGACTCAGAGTCAACAACACCTTCACACTCAGTGGCCGAGCCTACTTGGACCTTGAACTCGTGCATCTTCTGTAACTTCGAGTCCCCTTCCCTACCGCTGAGCGTTCAGCACATGGAACGATTCCATGGCATGTTCATTCCTGAGCGGCCGTATCTCGCTGATTTGGAAGGCCTTGTGAAGCAACTTCAGCGCAAGGTCAGTGAATTTCATGAGTGTCTGAGCTGTGGTAAAGTCAAGTCGACTATATTTGGCGTGCAAACACACATGCGCGACAAGGGTCACTGCAAGATCCCCTTCGGCACAGAGGAGGAGCAACTTGCCATTGGGGATTTTTACGATTTCCGAAGCACGTACTCGGATGACGGGAACGATAAGGAAGATGATGGCTCGGACACTGAGGAAGACACGGGCGGCGGCGCCAAGCTCGGCTCAAGAAGAAGGCCCAGACTTGGTGAGCAGGGAGACGAGCTCGAAAGCGAGGAGGATGGAGAGGGATGGGAAACAGATAGCTCTGCATCCTCTCTCGATTCTGCAGATCTCACTGCAGTCCCTGCCGAGGGTCACATTCATCAGTATGAACGTCTTAAAAATCACCCCCATCACTCAAGTCGAGATCCTCGGAATCACCATCAAGCAGACGGTTGGCATTCGCGCGCGCACAAGCATACCCATGCTGCCTTCTATGACGACTACGAGTTGCACCTTCCATCTGGCAAGTCTGTTGGTCACCGGTCACTGAACAAGTACTTTCGGCAGAATCTCAACAACTATCCCACGCCAGAAGAGCGAGCTGAGCGACTTGCCATTGAAGGCGCCGAGTCTGGGGAAGAGGGGCACAGCAGGGATCGTAGCGTCGTGCTCCGCAACGGTCAGCGATTCAAGAGGCATGTGGTGCCGCGAGGAACGGTTGGCTTGGCCAATGTGTCGGACGAAAAGAAGCGGGCGGTGCGCGAGTCCGAGCACCGCGGGCGAGACTTGGAGCAATTCAATACCAAGAGGACGGAGTGGATGTATGGCAAGAGAAACAACAACCAGAAGCACTACTACTACCGCTTTGATGGTGGTGGTTAGTTGCGCAGCCAAAATCAAAATAGACATGACGATGCTTGTAATGGAATGCTGGTTCGCTGGTGTGGTCAGTTTTTCGCTGTGCGTGACGTTGGGCAGAGACGCCTTGTCCCAACACGCCTGATGTGGTCTCGTCAACAGCAACTCGCTGATACCATGGACTCCGTACACCGCATGCAAGTGTTGACCCACAGACATGTTTTGTAAGACCCTGGAATGTCTTCGCCTAAAAATAGCAGGCAGACGAAGGCACGATATGCTTGGCCGGCGCGTGCGAACGACTGACTACCTTGGTGGTTCATTTCACGATGGGCGGTTGACGGTATCAACGTGCTCTAGATGGACGACCGCGGCCGAAGTTGTTTCGATCAATCAACCGACGTCACCCGCTCACAACGACAAGAGGGACATGAAATAAAGCCAGGCCAATGTGGGCAACATTAAGTTCCAGGATGGGGATGGCGGCGTCGCGGATATAATGAGAAACGAAGGCGGCCCGGAACCAACCAAGATCTGATGCTGCGTACTCCGTACAGTACACATCTAAAATTGACGCTACGGAGTAGTAATATCTCAAAAGCCTTGTCAGTGGAGGCTCTTCTTGTTTACTACGTACTGCCATTTCCGCCACTCGGACGGCTCCCGCATCAATCCTGGTCCCCATTCACGCCATCCAGCAGCGGCCAGCAAAGACAAAAAGAAAAAGAAAAAAAAAAGGCACATGGTGCATGAGTAGCGTGAGCTTTTTTATTTGCGCAGCCTCGAAAACTGGGACCGGGCTGAAAACTGGGAGGGATTGCTTGCTTGGGCGGTAAGATAGATGCTGGGGTTCGTGGTCAAAGAAACACGCTTGCTGGCAGGACGAGCAGTGGCTGACCAGGGATTTGAGTCCTCGTTTTTCATTTGGCCTGTCCGGGAGCTGCTGCGGCCAACAGGTGCTGCAAGTATCGCACAGCAGACGCGTTTCATTTTGAGCACTGTCCATTGCATTTGGTGCCGAGACAAAGCCCAGCACGGGGTGGCTGGGACAGGACATGGTGCAACTCGGGCAGAGAAGAGGAGAAAGGGACGGACTCACAGAGTAGGAGAAAATCTTGGTGACGGCCCAGGGTCTCGCCTCATTCCTTTCGTCACTTCACCAAGGGGAACTGGGGAGCAGGTTGCCGTCAGCCTTCTTGTTATTAAACCCCGTCACGTTGCGCCAAAACAACCGACCCGTTGCCGTCCGCCGCCGTTGTGTCTGTCAAGCGGAGCTGTACAACCCTGCTTTATATTGGCTGTATCACGTCGGATTTGTTGGTCGACGCGGATATTGTCCTTGTCCCCCCATTTGAGGGCTTCCTGTCTCTTTCGTTTGCGTCTACAAACGCTTCCTCTGCTCGCTCCGGCAAATTTTCTCCTGTGCCAAACGTCAGCTGGTTTACCTGCAACATCGAGAATTGAGAGAAGAAAGGCAAACACACAAACTGTTATACCCAATGGCGCCAAAACGGATGCGCTTTTCCTTTTCCTCATGCCCCCCTCTTCTCCTTCTTCTGCCCGTCCTTGTCCCCACGGTGCTCTCCTATGACAGCGACTTTGGGTTCTACTCGAAAGACTCCCAACCTTGTCTCGACAGCGCCTCGAAATCATCTCAATGCACCGGTGGTGACGCCCAGGAGCTGAATCAGTGTCTTTGCAGTAATGGCGGCAATTTCATCATCAATGCAGCCCTATGTCTCGGCGACAAGGATCCACTCGATTTGTCTCGCGTGTATCAAATCATGGCGGACGCCTGCTCGGTCTCCAAGACGCCAATATCAGTTAGCGAGAAGGCGTTTTTGGATGCTGGGACCGAAGGAGACTTTACTACACACCCGTCTACCAAGACCTCAGCCACGTCCTCAACCAGGACCTCAACCAGGACCATAACCAGGACCGCAACCGGGACCTCACCCGCCACCTCGACTGCGACTGCGACTTTGACTTTGATGTCGGCCGTATCTTCAACTTTGACTGGGAAGAGTGGAACGGCATCTCCCACGCAGTCAAATCCGAGCAGCGGAGCTGACGTTGACACCAAGTCGTCAGGTCTTGCAAAGGGTCCCATGATTGGTCTTGCCGTCGGCGCATCCGTAGTCGGCACAGCCCTAATATCAGCGTTGTTCCTGTTTCTTCGACACCGGCAGAAGAAAGTTGAAGACGAAACCAGCCCGATGATGGCCCAGAACGACTACTACAAGCGTGATACGGCGACGACGTTCCCTCCCACGGAGCCATCCCCGCCCCTCCCGCTGGCCGGATCCGATGCCAAAGCCTCCTGGGGGTCGAGTCCGTCGCCTGCTTATCCGTCGTCGACCGACTTCAACAAGTCTCCCGGGCAATACGCTGGTCCGTACGCGGCGCCAACCCCTCAAGACAGCACAGCGATGCACGGAGCCCCGAGCCCTGCCGCGTTTGAAATGGATGCATCGGCTACGCCTACACCTGCACTGGTCGAGGCCCCCGTAGAGATGGAGGGATGTGCCCCTCCCACGCATCACCAGAGTCGGCAATGAAAAGGTCCCCGGAGTTGGAATTTCGGGGTTGCAATTTAGCACGGCGCATTTGGCATGTTTCGGGGCCAGCATTCGATGCTGATGGTGCACGGCACTGAAGCGCAGCCTCGGCGAAAGCGTTCAACCTTGTTCTCTTTTCGTTGTATTATGTGTCGTCGACTTTGGTTTTTTCCATACAAAAAATTTGATACTGTTTGTAGAGTAATTGGACAATGGTACGGAGTAATGTGTGTTTCTGTGCAGGCATCGATGCACAGTGTTGCCTTACTCGGCTGCGAGGTGGTCGGTAGGTTAAATTGGGCAAATTGGTAAAACTGGGCAAAAAGATCGGGGGTTTCAGAAATTGGACCGAAGCTCGACTGTCTACCTCGGCAAAGACGTGGGATCGCTCTCGTTCAACCACCATTGATCCGTTGCCCATCAATTCACGCCAGCCACTCGTCATCTCCTCGTCTTGCACGGAATACCCCTTCCACGGCACTGCAGTGGATCGCCTGACACTGCCAAGGTTGACCTTTTGAAACATCGACGTAGATTGTGCCGCTGTGCAGGACGGCATGTCACGACGCAACAAAACGGTCCTCATCACAGGGTATGTGCAGACCCGTGCAACCAAGCAGCGAACATGACCGAGGCATCTCTTGCCCCCAGGCCGAGAACCAGTATTCACATTGGCGCTTCAGTTGCTCACCAGGAGGCATCGGCCACGCCCTCGCTCTGGAATTTGACAAACAAGGTGCGGACCGTCTCGAAAAAGACTTCACGGACGCCGAAAAAGCTCACCTCATCCAGGCTGCCATGTCATCGCCACGGCCAGAAAGCCCCGGGATCTCGAGGCGCTGCGGGAACTAGGCATGAGCGCGGTCCAGCTCGAAGTGACTGATGCCGCGAGCATCGCGGCATGCAAAGCCGAAGTCACCAAGATGACTGGCGGCAAGCTGGACATTCTCGTCAACAACGCGTACGTCTCTCCCGCGGCGGCCCCTCTCAGCAAGTCAGCTGTACCGGTTTTCCTCTGACGTGGCACGCCTTGGCTCGGCCTGACATAGTGGCCGCACGCACACCATTCCCGCCCTTGACATTGACATGGACGACGTGCGGCAGTCGTACGAGGCCAACGTTTTCGGGCCCATGGCCATGTGCCAGTCCTTTGCGAGTCTTCTCATCCCAGCGCGCGGGCTCGTCCTCCAGATCTCATCCGTGTCAGCCGTCATGCCGTACCTGTTTGCTAGCATCTACGCTTCCACCAAGGGCGCGCTGAACTCGTACTCGCGCGTCCTGCGGATGGAGCTCAAGCCATTTCACGTCCGGGTCATGGTCGCCATGACGGGCACCATTCGCTCCAACATCATGAATCACTTCGACCGTGTGCTGCCCGAGACATCACCGTACAAGCCCGTGGAGGATGTGTTTGTGCAGAGGCTACGATTCAGTCAGACAAGAGGCACCATGGACACGCACGTTTACGCAAAGAAGATTGTTAGAGAGGCGCTCAAGGGCGAGGGCTGGCTCGGCGGCATGTTTGGACGGACGCCGGATTGGTACTGGGCCGGTGGGTTTTCGTATGGTGCTTGGGTGCTGGACACGTTCTTCCCGGCATGGCTGGCCGAGACGGCGGTCGCCTGGTTCTTCAACGTCGGGGTGTGGTCGACGAGACTTGACACCACGAACAAGGAGGACCAGTCCAACCGCGACGCCCTCGCGACGTCATAGAGTAAGCTAGTGTGCGTGCTTCTAGAGCTGCTTTATCAACGTCCCTGTTGTCCAGCCAGCCGTATCTCCAGATGCAGCGTCAACTGTTTACACGGCAAGAGCCGGCGTCGGCCATTTGACTTCCTGGTTGGGCAAGGCTTCGGCCGTTAGCTCCGGATTCCCGACTATCTACTACGGAGTCTTGACGGGCATCGCGAACCCGGATACAGAGTGTCAAAGACGAGCCGAGACGGGCCGGAAATTGATCCACCAACTCTCCCCGTGAGCGAGGCCCAGGCGAGCTCGCGAGACGGGAGGCCAGAACAAAGGCGAGTGTGTTTTGCGGCCAGCATCTTCTCACACGAGCTGCAGGTGCGGATGTGCCCCCCTCGCGACAAGGGGATTGATGACAGGGAAAGACACAAAATCCTGCTGCTAGGCCTAGTCCTATTCCTCAAGTTCCAATGCCACGGCTGAAGACGGCCCGGTCCACAAGAGCCCATGGCGGTACAGACTTCGAAAGCGTCGAGCGCGAGTGCAGACTGCAGACTCGGAGCAGACAAGCATCAATGCTCTCAGCACAGCCCATGTCGCAGCGCGGCCCTCTGAACGGTGACTTTGTTGTACAGCAGAGCCGGCGAAAAATACGCGGGTCTGGCCGTTACGCAGCAACCGCGCCCTAGATTCTGAGTATAGCTGGCCACATGAAATTCGTCAAGCCACTACGGCATCTTCCCAACGCTATCTAGATGTCGTTATGTGACTTGTGGGTACGAACAGCATCGGCGTCGTCACTCGCTGATGGGTACATATCACCGCATTGTATGGAGACACAAGGCTCGCGTGTTGCTAAATAGAACCCTAGGAACTCTCATGTGGAGTATTACACTGGCAAAGATTACAACTTTACAAAGACGGGGCGAGTGAACAGCTCCTATGATGTGGGCGTCCACCCGTTCCAATCCTTGAGAAGCGAGCAAGTTACGACAAAATTTGGCCAGGGCATAAACTCCAGCGCTCAATCCCTCAAAACCAGGATTCCTTTGGCATACAACCCCGAAATAATGCCCACGCCTCTCCTCGAATCTCTAGCCGCCGTCGCGCTGGAGGGATATTCCGTGCCGACATACAGGTTCTTCAGTCCATCTTCCTCACTCCATTCCGCAGCCCAAGAAGCGGCCTTACCTTCCCTGCAGTACTGCCTCATCTCGTCATTTGCCTTTGCCAGTTCTGCCGCGTCATTGCAGATGTGTCGGGTCGCGGTAAATTTCACAAGTGAGGGGAAATGAGGGTGACCTGCAATGATGAGCTTTCCCCCGTGAACAGATAGGTTATCCGGCAAGAAGGGCAGCTGAATGGACTTCTTGTACGCAAGAGAGGCATTTTGGCGACGCTCGTACAGGTACACGGCGCTCTGGCTGGTTGCGGCCACGGCGACGGTGGTGCTGTTGAGAATCTCGACGCCGTTTGCAAAACCAACGCGGGCGACAACCTTGGCTTCTTCTACATCGGCGGGCTTGTCTTTGGACAGCTTGACGTGCACGACAGTCCCGAGGGGGAGGCCCAGAAAGGTTTCTGCTCGCGACAGGAGCCTCGACTGCCTGGCCAGGAAGTAGTGGTCGTTGGACACGTAGAACTCTCTGCTGCTGACAAGAGCTATCGAGTTGGGACCATGGATGAGCGGGTGCTGGATGGTTCCGGCGTGGGTGGCCACGAGTTGATCAAGGTCGAGGTTGAAGACTTCGATTCTGGGGCCGGCCTTGGCGTGGTTGGCAGCGAACAAGGTGGATGTTTCCTCGTCGTATGCCATGCCTAGGGTGTGAAAGTCGGCCTTGCCGGCAAAGTCGACCACGTCGACGTGTCTGAGAGAGCTAGCGTCGGGTCGAGAGGCGTCTTTGTAGTCGTACACGTAGAGACTGGCACTGACTACAGGGCCGGGGAGAAAGATGCCCTGCGACGACACAAGTTAAGCAGAGGCTGCAGGAGCAAACGAAAGTGAAGCAAAATATGGCATACAAGGTGTAATGTGAACCTACCATGACTGTGTTCCATCGCTCTCTTCCAGGATCGCACGCCAGAAGGGCCAAACCACGACCCTCCAGCACGAGTACATCTTCACAGCTTCTCACCTGATCGGCAAATTTAATCTCGTGGCGCGCAAAGGCGTTGATCTCCGGCAGGCGGCTTGGAGCATTGGTATATATCATGAGAAGCTCCCGACCGCGGAAGTACAGGAATGACGACAGAACTGCCGTGAACAGCACGGCCTAGTTTGCTTGGCGTCAATCGACGACAAGTTTGCAACGGAACATGGTGGCATTGACGGAGCTTATTACCCAGATGGATCGCAGGTTAGACATTGCGACTGTGACTGTGACGTTATCGATTCGGATGACTGATGATTGAAGAGAGCCGATGGTAATGAATAAAAACAAAAAGAGGCGGAGTTGCCCAGAATACGCAACATGCCAAGATTCGGTGCTTCAGAACGGTAGGTTTGGTAGTTATCTGCCACACAGCTTTGCCTGGGGAACAGATCGACGCACTCCGTACAGAGCAAGGGATAACCACCAGGTTACGTCGGTACGTACTCCGTAACTCATTGTTGATTGCATACTGTAAACCACAAATCGATATGGAGTAGTTACTCCGTATGTCAGCCGGCTTGATCGTGTCATCGTCAAACCCCTTCCCTCCCCGTTTGTTCGTCTGGAATGAGTAAACGCTTTCGCCCGGACCGCTGAGTTTCAGACTCTAGTCAAGACCTGCACATGAGGGGGTCGTAATTGCTGCGACCAGCCACAAGTTGTAGAATGCAGACGAGCAGATGTCGTATGCTAACGTTGGGGCGTTCATGAACTCGGACGGCTGCAGAGAAGTTGAGTACCTAGGCCCTCATTAGTGGGGGCAGGACAAACGTCACCCATGTATCAACAATATTAGCAATTGTACACAGAGTACCCCGTATGACGGTCTGAAATAGACCGAAATCGGTTCATGACTTTTGCGAAAAGACTCCTGATTTTTCAGATGTGTACGGAGTGGTCGAGAATGAAAAACTCTAAGTGCTGTTTGCCATTTGACATTTGAAATTGATGTCCCCGCCGTTGGGGTCGCGCCTGCCTCAACTTTGAAGTGGTTGGCGATGATCCATGCGGCGTGCCCAGTGTGAGGCCACAGTGCACAGTACGTGCTGTCCCCCTGTTTCATGTGCCAACCTTCCAAGTAATGCCCAAGGGCCGGCCGCCTTGGGTTGTCTCGATTCTTCCTTCGCCACCTCAGCATTTGAACGTTCAACTCAATCAAACTTATCATTCTTTGACGTATCGTGCTCCCTCTTGTCTGCCATGTCTCGGTTTTCGCATTACGACACCGATGAGGAACGACTGCCCGAGGGTATGCGTCGGGTTGGTTACGATGCCGACACTCAGGTTTACACTTTCCAAGATGCAGACGGCAGTTGTTGGGAGAGTGCCCCGGGCTGTCAGTATGGACAGTTAAAACGCGTCGGCTATGGGCATCCGGATGATGCTGATGACCGCGAGCCCTTCTTGATGTCTCATGAGATTTCGCCCTCGAGGTCGTGGCGAACAGAGCTCATGCCACTTCTTAACTTTGGCGTCATCATCGGCGTGTGCCTTCTAGGTCTTTTTTGGTACCTTCACTACGCTGCGTCTGATGACAAGCCTGCCCAAGTGATTTGCAAACGGGGCGCGCCATATACCATCAAACAAGGTGATACTTGCTGGGCTATCGGAAACGGACGAGGAATCAGTGTCGACGATCTTCTGAGTGCCAATGACGGGTTGGACTGTGATTTGTTACGAGTAGGCTCTATCATCTGTCTACCTGGTCAGGCGGAATCAGTCCCAGGCCCTTGAATGCCGATGCACCGAAACTAGCACTGCTTCCACCTCTGACCACGGCTTCGCAACTACAACATGGCGCATCTTAACTGGGGTTTCTTTTTACCGACAAGATTCTAATTTTGAGACGCAGTCGAGTCTTTTGCCACCCAACATCACATTGCTCGTATCGAGGCCTCTGCCATGAGCAGTCCATGATTGAGGGGCAGCTCTCACAACCAGAGTGCGCTGATGAGTTTGGCACCGGCCAGGACGCCATGATGTGGCCGACTCAACATGTCGAATTCCATGTCACCCACTCGGTTCGCGGCACTCAGTCGTTGAGGAGTTGATTAGCCATTTGACACTTTGATAATGGAGGCGGACAAAGTTAGGAAGTCATTCCTTGACAACTTTTCGTGGGAAAACTGGGTGTACATGGTATAGTGCACTAGCAAGAGTCATGAAATAGATATTGGTTTGAGTGACGAACGCCAACGTTTGCCACATGCAATACGATCATGTCGACAACATTGCCTGCATGTGCTGTCTGGAGGCCTTTCGAATATTTGCTCAGCACTACGGAGTAACTTGGCAGGCGCCGGAACCACTCAAGTACGTACGTAGGCCTTTGCCCCTCATCGGAGCGGGGCTAGCCGTTCTTTCTCGCCAAGAGGTCCCTTGGCTGGCGTCGTCTCCAGGCCACCATTTTTTTTTTTGATTTAATTTTAATTTTGATTTTTTTTCTGCCGCGATATAACTCCCAGAGGTGCACCACATCATTTCTCCTCTCTTCACCGTCACTCCCCCGCCTTCTTTTGTATTCTTTTTATTTTTGTCGCAGGAGCATTGCATAGCGAGGCGGCAAGGATGGAGAAGGATCAGCTTGTTCAGCTACTGCAGACCAGTCAAGTTCGTAAGTGCTTCTTACTGCTCTTCTATTTCGCCATGACCCCCCTCAGCTGTGGTCTCAGATCACTGGCTTCCTCCTTGTCCATCCATCATGCTCCCAGCTGCACGTTATATGGTCTCGCGTCCTCGATCGGCAAAGCCGACTCATTCTCCGACCAGGCTGTCTTCCTCTTGGGCGCCCTTTGAACGCAGAAAAAATTCATCCTTCAAGGCCGACGACACTCGACTAACGCAATTATCAATAGCCAACACGGAACAGGTCAAGGCCGTAACGGCCGATCTTCAAAAGAACTACTACTCTAAGCCTGAGTCTCTCCTCTTGCTCATCGAGATTGCTCTCACCCATTCAGATGGTGCCATCCGACAGCTTGCCGCCGTTCAGGCCCTCCGACTAGCCCCAAGGCACTGGGACAGCACTGCCCAAGATAAGAAGCCTCTGGCTCGCTCCCACTTGCTCGAGGGCGCCTTGAAGGAGGGCGCTACCACTCTCCGTCACGCCCTCTCCCGTCTCGTCGCCGGTATTGTCGGCCTTGATATGGAGAATGGCGACGCTGACGAGTTCCTCCAGCAGCTCCTGCCTCTTAACAACAGCGACAATGTTCAGTCAAGAGAGGTCGGCTCCTTCATACTCTTCTCCATGCTGGAGGAGAACCCCCACCACTTCGAACAGCACACCCACCAGCTCCTCCAGCTGTTCCAGGCTCGTATCGAGGATCCCGAGAGCAAGGAGGTTCGCATCAACATCGTCAAGGCTGTTGGTGCCATCCTGATGAATATCGAGCCCGATGAGGACCCCCAGTCTCTCAAGGCTGTTCAGGGATTCATCCCCAATATCGTCAACATTCTGAAGGCTGCTGTCGAGGCTGAAGACGAGGAGAGCTACAGAACCATATTTGAGATCTTCCACTCCTACTTGGCATGTGATCCCAGTTTCCTGGCTGCTCACCTTCGGGACCTGCTTCAGTTCATGATCAACCTTGCAGCGAACACAAATGCAGAGGACGATTCTCGTACCCAGGCCCTTAGCTTGCTGATTCAGTGCGTTCGATATCGTCGAATGAAGATTCAGGGGATGAAAGAAGTTGCCGCCGAGCTCATGGTCAAGGCCATGCAGATCATCACCGAGCTTGACGATGATGATGAGGATGAGGACATGTCTCCTGCCCGCACCGCCATCAGCCTGGTCAACGCCCTCGCCACCGAACTTCCCCCCCGCCTGGTCGCCGTGCCCATGCTTGACCAGTTCCCAGGCTATGCTGCCCACTCCGAGTCGGGCTATCGCATGGCCGCCATCCTCTCCCTCGGAAACGCTGCTGAGGGTGCACCCGAGTTCATCTCCACCCAGCTCCAGCCTCTCCTCCCTACCGTCATAAACCTGCTGTGTGATACAGATATCCGTGTCCGCCATGCTGCTCTTGTTGGTCTCATCCACTTAGCGGAGGAAATGGCTGACGAGATGTCTTCACACCACGAGCAGATCATCTCTGCCGTCTTGAAGAATCTCGAGTCTGCTTCGCAGGCCGCCACCGATAAGAAGAGCATCAGCATTGTTCGTTGCGCCTGTGGTGCCCTCGACACTTTTGGCGATGGCATCGACACCAAGATCATGGCCCAGTATGGCCCTAACTTGATTGGTCCCATGATCAAGCTTCTGGACCACGATGACTATGGTGTCAAGGCTGCCGCCGCCTCGGCGGTCGGCGCCATTGCCTCGTCAATGGACAAGGAGTTTCAGCCTTTCTTTGAGGGTGCTATGAAAGCGCTCGGACGCTTCGTCATGCTCAAAGAGTCCGATGAAGCCATGGACCTACGCAGTGCTACATGCGACAGCTTGGGACGAATCGCTATTGCTGTCGGCCCTCAGGCTTTCCAGCCATATGTTGTGGACTTGATGAAGGCAAGCGAGGAGGCTCTACACCTCGACAACCCTCGCCTGAAGGAGACCAGCTTCATTTTGTGGTCGAACCTGTCCAAGGTGTATGGTACCGATTTCGATCACTTCCTTGAGGGCATCTTCAAGGGCCTTTTCGCTTCTCTCGAGCTTGAAGAAGAGGAGATTGATCTGCCCGGAGTTGACCCTAGCCAGCTAGCTGAAGGTGCCATTATCGGTGGAAAACGTGTCAAGCTCAAGGCCCCTGGCTCTGAGGAAGATAAAATCATCGCCAGCGGCGGCGAGGACGACTGGGAGGACGTGAATGACCTTGCTGACCTCGAGGATTTCGGCGCCGTTACTGCTGTTGCCCTTGAACAGGAGATTGCTATTGATACCCTTGGCGACGTGATTTCGAACTCTTGCAACACCAACCATTTGGAAAGCTACGTCGAGAAGACGATTGAGCAGATCATTCCTTTTGCCGATCACACCTATGAGGGATGCCGCAAGAACGCCATCTCTACCCTTTGGCGCATTTACAGCCGTGTGTTCCAGGTTTGGGAAGAGAGCTCCGGCTCCAAATGGCGACCTGGTATGCCTCCTAATCCTGCTCCTCCCTCATCCATTGCCAAAATCAGCGAGGCTCTACATAAAGCTACCATGGATATCTGGACCAGCGATAGCGACAGGTACGTATCTGCCTTTCTTTTTTCTTCTTTGCCACGTCTAGTCCAATGTGATGATTACCTTGCGTTATACCCAGCTCACTCAGACGCAAAATTGCGAGTGCTGAGAAAGCGTCTAATCTACTACTGATTTGGACATTGTTTATCCCCATATTTTTGCTGTATGCTTGCCATTTTTTACCACACTAGAAGCTGACAGCAAGACAGATCCGTCATCACCGAGATTAATCGCAACGTTGCTGCCACTCTGAAGGCTTGCGGCCCTGCTGTTCTCGTGGCCAAGTCCGAAATGCTTCAGGAGGTCGTCTCCGTTGTTAGCTCCATCATCACACGCTCACACCCGTGCCAGCAAGATCTCGGTGCCGAGGACGAGGAGCAGGAGATTGATGCCGGCTCATCTGAGTACGACTGGCTGGTCATCGACACCGCCTTGGATGTTGTCTGCGGTCTGGCCGCAGCTCTGGGAACCCAATTCGGCGAGCTTTGGAAGATCTTCGCAAAGCCCGTCCTGAGGCTAGTCAGCTCGACTGAGGATGTACACCGAGCAACTGCTGTCGGCACTATCGCCGAGGTCGCCAAGTACGCCGGCGAGGCCATCACCGAGTTCACCGAGTCTTTGACCCAGGCTCTGGTCCGCCGCCTGTCAGACCATGACCAGCTGACCAAGTCCAACGCCGCCTATGCTCTTGGCCTCCTCATCCTCAACTCCAACGACACCGGCAAGACCGTCCCTCTCTATCCTCAACTCTACGAAAAGCTCGAGCCCATGCTCTCTGCGCACGAAATGCGCATCACCGACAATGTTGCCGGCTGCCTGTGCCGCATGATAATGAAGCACCCCGACAGTGGATTTGTCGAGCAGGCCCTGCCCGCCATCGTCCACGTCCTTCCCCTCACTGAAGATTACGAAGAGAACGAACCCATCTTCCAGTGCATCTACAAGCTGTACGACCAGTCCAACCCCACCGTGCAGCAGCTGACACCCCAGCTGGTGGGCATCTTTGAAAAGGTCCTGGGAGAGCCTGAGGAGCAGCTGGAGCAAGATACCCGACAGATGGTGCAGCGCATGGTGCAGGCCCTGAGGTAGTAAAACACACTAGATTGTCGTGTGAAGTTGAGCAGGAAGCATGTCGAGGAATTTTTTATTTTTTTTAAAATAGGGACAATAATGCCAGTGGCCATGAAGATATGAATATACTTGATGAGATTTGCGAATCAATGACGAAAGTAAAAGGGTCGATAGCGATGATTGGGTTAGAAAGAAGACGGACTGGTTTACTGGTTAATAGAAATTGTGCATGCGCAACACTTTCTTGCGTCACCGAGTACTGAAACGGCTCCGTCCGACGCGCGACCTATCCTGGGCACGGCCCCAACGACCAACCACGATGACGCACAGGAAACGCATCTGCGTCTTGGCAGAATTGTACTTCGGCCACCACGAGATACGTCGACACGGGACGGACGGATGTGCAGACGTAATGATTGTATTAATACACGTCGTTGAAGCGCAGCCCCCAAGCTACCATATCCTCTTGGCAACCATCTCGTACCTCGCGACACCCATGTAATCGCCGTCGGGCTTGTTGCCGCCGCCGCCATCGCCATCGCCCTTGTTGCCCCCGGGCCCCTTGCCGTTCCTCAACCCCTCCGACTTGTCGGCGTGGATCCACCGGGCCTTGTCGTCCGTGACTTCCACGTCGCCTCTTCCGCCGACGCGTCTGCCCGCGGCGTCGTACGACTCCCGTTCGGCCTTGCCCATGGCGACCATGGTTTCTTTGTGCTTCATCTTGGCGTACCTGTTTCGCGAGTATTGGAGGAGGACCATGCCGAGGAGGAGTTTGAGTATCAAAAGGACGAGAAAGGCGATGAAGAAGACGACCACCATTGTTAACGCGGCGATCAAATCATCCGATGTCCACGAGTACCAGGGACGGGAGTTGAGTGGCGAGCCGTAGGGGTAGCCGTACGTGGCGCGGCCGAGGGAATCGCGGATCAGGGCGTCGAAGCGACTCAGCGCGGCGATCATGGCCGGCGACGACGGCACGGCTGATTCTTCGGATAGGGAGGTCTGCGTGGATGGCGGCACGGGCATGGGCACATGGGTGGCCAGGAACATGTGGTAGGTTTGGATGGAGGCACGGATGAACAGGCACGAGAGCGGGATGACGGCCAGGCCGAGTCTCCGCGTGAGCGAGGGGGTGACGAAGGCCTGCGCAAGGTCAGAGGACATGAATGTGATGGGGAGGGAGGCGGGGGGCGTGCACGTACGTTGGTGTAGTAGTCCTTGCAAAGAATGTCCAACGTCCTCCCGTAAAAGTTGGGCTTGATGTTGTTAAACTTGGTCACGTAGGCGTGTTTGATGGCATCAACCAGCATCTCGCTTCCAACAACAATCAGAAAAGGCGACAGCGCCTCGCCCGACTTCAACCACGACGGCAGCACTGTGAAACTGTGCGGCAGAATCGACGGCGGGTGCAACGGCACGGCACTCGAGCCATCGTCATGTGTCGAGTCGAAACCCGCTCCAGGGACAGAGAAGGCACCTACTTCCACAATGTTGCGCATGCCGATGATGAGCAGCATGACCCAAAGGTGGAAACGCTCTACGATGTCTGCGCAAGTCAGCTGGAAGAGGTTGTCCTTGTCGAAGCGTTTGAAGACGGTGCTCTTGATCTCGACGAATTGGTTGGATAGCAGGAGGGTGAGGAGAGCATTGGAGTATGAGTTGACCGCGACGTTGAGCGTGATGACCTGGTAGTAGAGTGCAATGGAGTGTAGACAATTGTACACGAGTGCGAGGATAAACATGCCAAGCGGCAACAGAATCTTGGATCGGCCAGAGGGGTCGCGAGACAGGGTTTCGTTGCTGAACAGACATTCTAGAATGTCCTGGCCGAGGGCTGAGAGAAGTCGGTCGCCAACTTCGAGGATATTGTATATGACGTAGAGCTTGATGGCAGATTGCGCGCGAATAAAGTGGTACATGCGGCTGGCATCGAGAGTCATCAGAGCAAATGAGCTACAGATGATGACGGCTCCCTGTAGTAAATCTGCTTTGTGAAATGCTGATAAGCTTGAAGGAATCGACTTTGCTCTTTTGTGCCCAAGAGCGCCCGACTTGGGCACAGTATGTCTATGATTGAAAGAGCATGTTTTGGGCAACTCGACGCTGTCGACGTGCAGGTCCGTTCTCGTGTTACGAGATCGATCCCGGGGGGCTGTGGCAGCGGCACAAACACCTCCTTCGTCATTCAACAGCTCCCTCACACGGCTGCGACTTCGCGAACCGTCTCGGTCAGAGACATCGCTAGGTCTGCGGGATTGGCTCGCTCGGCCACGCTTCCATAGTCTGCCCAGCCCGTCTCGCACATATCCAAAGAGCCATCTCACCTCCTTGGATATCACATATCCCCACCACTTTGTCAAGACACCAAACGCTATGAAGAATCGCATGGGAAGAATGGTAAAGGTGTACAGCCACGCATCAAGACACGCCAGGGCACCAAAATACAAGGTCCGCTCCAGGTACGAGGGAAGTAGTAAAACATTCTTCAACCTTTCGACTTTGACGGCATACGACTCGTACGGCATATCATTCACATGAGATCGGTGAATATGCAGTGGACTTGGTCTCTGGACTGCAAGTTCCAGCTGCAGGTGTGTGGGAAGCGACATGGGCGGGAGGGGAATTATGGACGGAATTGGTGATGGCGGGCTGGGACCGATGCCACTATATCCTTGACAAGGAGCAGCATCTGCCGAAGGCTGCTGTCTGCTTGTGGCTGCTTGGCTTGTCGCCAAGACCGGCGACGGTGAATGCCCGTTGAGATAGCCACCCGTGGCCGCTTGCCCATCCAAGTTCAGCTTCGCAGGTCGAATCAGGGGGTTGTGAGAAGATCGCCTAGGGGACGTAGGCTGCGAGGCACTTCCTGAAACATATTGCTGAGCCCGAGACGTCGGCGGCGTCGACACAGTTCGTTGCGAGTATGGTCCTCGAGTGCCCTCTTGCCTGGGCCAGGCCCCAGCGAATGCTGACCCAGGAGGTGATTCGACTGCCGTTCCGTTTATTTGAAGCTGATCTAATCTTCTTGAGTCTGGAAAGCGGCTCTGGATACGTTGCCAGAGTAGTTCGTGTTGCTCGGCAGACTTGGCTGCCATTTCCTCCTGCTCAGTGGAACGACGTGGCGGGGCTGGCGCAACTGGCAACGAGTCCGGCGAGCCTGCGAGTTCCTGCATCTCAGCAGCCGTGAGTTTCGGCACGCCATCATTCGTCTTGTGCGCGGCGCTGTTCGCCTGTCTGCGGCCCGACTTGACGACGTCTGGCGAGGCGGCAGGGTCGATATGGTGATGGTCCAGAGCGGCGGTTGGGTCCGACAGCAGGGCAATCTTGGATCGTCCTCTGCCCCCCTCGTCCTCAGACTCGGATGACACATCGAGCGCTGTTGCAGGCGGCGAGGGATATCCATGAGATCCATGGCCCGTAGCAGTGGACGATGATGCTGACAGGGGAGCTGCAGCGGAAAGCGACGACGGGATGTGGGTGTTGATGGGATCCATGGTTGCTGCCATCGCGGCGAGACCCTTGATGGCACGGCTTGCGGGAGCATGAGAAATATGACAGGTTGCAGCAGTCTTGAAGGTAAGGGTCGCTGAGTGGGCGCTGATGTTGACGACGTCGACGTCGATGTCGATGTCGTCGAGGTAGCAGATTCAAAGGTGACAAGATGCAACATGGATATTGCAAAAGGCACTAGGTCAAAACGGGCCAGTTCGCATAGCAGAGGCAGGCGGTGAGTTGGCAGGGTGCGGCGGCGTCTGCCGACCGACGCTTCACCGCTCACAACTATCACATCGACGTCGAGCCAGCCCCAGCTACACTGTCCATTCGTATTCATCTTGTCAATGTATCCCATGGCAATTGACTTCAGACCAAAAACTTCGCAGAGCATTTTCTATGAAACGTCTACAAACTAGAAGCTTAGGTGCCAGGGGGCCCCATCCTCACTGATCCTCCTGCAGAAGATAGTTCTCGAACCAAGTCACGGCCTGCAAGAACGCCTGCTCCTTGGCAAATCTTTGCGCCTTGACCTTGAGGTCGCCGCGCACGGCAAAGCCATGCTCAACACCGGAATACAGGTTAATCTGATAAGGTTTCTTGGTGGCCTTGAGAATCTCTTCAGATTTGTGCCGCTTGTCGGAAGGGAAGATGTCGTCCGTCTCTGCAGCCGCAATAGACAAGGGACCGCCGATAGCAGCGAGTTCGTCCTCCTCGACAAAGGAGGGGTGAGCAACGAAGCCAACGTCGATGCCGTCCTTGTAGTGACGAATAACGGACTTTTAGTCGTGTCCAATCAGCAAGCCAGATCCAAAAGGTTGCGTTGCCCCATCGTCATTGTAGGATGAATAGAACACGCTCCGCAGGGGAAGAAATTACCTTGGCACCGAAGCAGTAGCCAACAGCTCCAAGCTTCGTGATGCCCAGCCCCTGGATATACTTGATGCCAGCCTCGACGACGGGGTCGACATATGGTGCCGTATGGGGGTTGTTTCCATCGGTGCCCTTGCTCAACCAGGCCATGAAATCGAAGCCGTCGGGTCTGTTCAGCTTGACTGGGTCGCCATTGAACAGGTCAAGCACAACGGTGGTGTAACCCTGCTCGGCAAAGAGGTCCGCCATCAGCTGGCTGTTCTGCCAGATACCAATCACATCAGGAACGTAGAGAATGCCACAGCCGTTGTGGGCTTTGCCGTCGGGAGGAGTGGCGACATAGGCATCGATTTTGTTGTCGATTTTAATGAGCTTTCCGGCAGGCTTGCCCCTACAGACAGACAGTCAGTCAGCAACTTGACAACTGCCCAATGACAGTACCGGCATTAGAACGACGAGCAGATGGCAAGGTAGTCAAAGGATTGCGGGAGAGTTGCGTGGCTCCAGAAGCGGGACGTTTGCCCCTCTGACAGCGCGAGGTCCAGATGCGGGGCTTCTTCGACATTCAACATACTCAAACAAGCTTCCAAGGGTGCAGCATCTCGCTGGCGCGTTGGACGCCATCTTTGCTACTATCTGGCCCGAGAAAAAGAAAAGAAAAAGCCCTCTTTCTGGCAAGTAGGGCTGAACCAAGACTTTTGAAGCCGCAAGGTGGGCAAGCTGCGCCCCTTCTTTGACCAAGCTAGCAAGCTGACCTCCCCCGCCCTTCCCGAGCGAAGCCGGCTGGTCCCGTCAGCAACGACGGTCCACTGCAAGTTACTCCAAGCCGGTGCCGGAACAAACAGCCCCCAAAGATTCGCATTACGGACGATTGGGACAATTTCATGTCCGACTTCCACGCCTTTTGATCGACAAAGTTCCCCGATGCTGCCGTCGACCTGAAACCAAGTCGCTGAACTCCTTGGCTCTACAACAAACCCACGTTGCGCCACCAGAGAGAGTAAGACCAGACGACCAAAGAACACTCCATGTTCATAATATACTGGGTATCATCAATATACAAAATCGAGAGTCAAGAAAACTCCCCGCCCCCCTACTTGGTCCGTAAGCCCTTTGGCTTCCTCTTCTTGAATACCACGGGGACCACGGGGACCGCGGGGACCACGGGGCAGACACCAGAGCCGCCGTCCCCCGCCACCTCCTCCTTGACTTTTGCTTCGCTCGCCTCGTCCTTGACCTCTTCGCCCGGCACGCTCGCCGTGGTTTCCGGTCCAGCTTCAACAGCGCCCTCCTCCGGCTTCACCCCGCGGACGTCGCCCCTCTCGGCTTTCAACTGGACCGTCCCGCTGAGCAGCGCGTCCAGCTCTTCGTCCTCCTCCTCGGGCATCCTCCTCGAGTCCCTCCCCCACCTCCTCGGCTTCTTGAACAGCCCCTTCACGGCATCCTCCTCTTCCTCTTCCTCGTCCTCCCCCCTCTCCTCTCTCTTCCTCACCCCCGTCGCGGGCTTGTCCCTCGCTGCGTCCCCCGCCCCCTCAATCACCCGGCTACTCGTGACCGTCCATTCACCGGGCATGGCCATTTCGCCCCGAAAGTCCTCCGGTATCGCGACGCCCATCTCTGCCAACTGTTCGCGTTGCCTCTTCAGAGAAGCTTCCTTGGAGCTGCTCGCCGCTGCAGAGGCACGTCCCAGCCGCGACGGGCCCGATGAAGAGCTGGCGACAGCTGCATTAAGGCGATCAATCTCACGGCGCGCTCGTTCCTTGTCGCGCTCTTCCCGCTCGTGGGTGCGGTGTAGGTCACGCAGCGATCGCTTGATGGCATTTTGGTGCTTGGCTGTGGCTTCGTGGTTTTGGCGCTCAAGCTTGGTATCGCGCACAAAGACGGCGCAGTGTTTGCACCAGTAATTCGGCGATGCTTTCCAGTATTCCGTCATGGTATGCCCACTGTGACTGTTTGTGTCGGGAACAAAAAACCCATCGGGCCATTTGACCAGCTTCCCGCCTTGAGCTCCATTTTGCATTACGTAATCACAACTGCGTCGTCTTCAAGAGCCTCCCACTTTCACTGGACTCGATAGAAAAGAGTCGAGTCTGGTAAGATAATGTTTGTGTCTTTAGCCTAATAGGGCTGCAGTACCCTGTTCTTCTGTGCACTACCTAGTATTTGTTTACAGCTATCTGTTATTAACCCCTCGCACTTTCATTACATCCAGTGTCTCATAAAATACATCCAACCCCAACCAAAAATGAAAGTTCTCTGGTTCCCTACCAAGGACGTGATTACGGACATCATCCAAGGTCAATCCTCCTTCCACAGCATTATACCCACAATCGGGAAAACCAGAAAACCAGCATCTTCTCGGAACAGAACTAGGAAAACTCCAATCTAGTGCTATGCCGAGTTACAGGTAAAGGACGGCACCGAATACGGCAATGACCGCAGCCACAATGCTGGGGAAAGCCCTGTTGGCGGCGGCAGTAGGAACAGCAGTGGGAGCCTGAGGCGCAGCGCTGGTCGGCGCCTGGGGCTGACCATCCGAGATCTGGCTGACGGGTGGGGGAGGAGCCTGGGTTTGAGTAGGAGCCTGAGGCTGGCCGTCCGAGATCTGGCTGACGGGAGGAGGTGGTGCAGCGGTCTTGGGAGGAGCCTGAATTTGTCCGTCCGAGATTTGGCTGACAGGCGGTGCCGCGAGTGAGGTGGGAGCCTGGGGAGGAACCGAGGCACAAGGAGTTGTGCGGACCTGAACCTGACCGTCGCCGATCTGGCACATGGGGATGGGCACGGCCGTAGTATGGACCTGAGGCTGACCATCACTGAGGGCAGTGACGATAGTAGTTTGTACCATGCTAGTGCCAACAGGCTTGTTGCCATTGCCGCCATCGCTGCCACCGCCGTTGCCGCCATTGCAGGAGGTGGCAACAATCTCAATGGGAGAGCACTGAGCAGCCCAGTGGCGGTCGTACAGGTTGTAGAAGTCACCGGAGAGGCATCGGTAAAACACAGTAGAGCCGTCAAGGGCAAGAGAGCCGTTCTTGCAGACCGAAAACCCGGCTGACTTGATGGCGTTTTCTTGAGGAGGGGCGTCAAACTGGAACTGATAGTTGGAAGCAATGTAACCAGTCCTGTCGTGGGAGTCCTTCAAAACGCCGTCCTTGAGAGTCATGACCAGAGTGCCTTCACCTTCGCAAGCTCGTTTCTATGGGTTGGTCAGCCATCTTTACCTAATTCTGAGCTCCATCAACCCTCGATGGGGGCGAAGACAAGAATCAACTTACTTCAATGCTGCGTTTGGCCTCACCAAGAGAATAGATAGAAACCTGGAACTTGCCGTCGCGAGAAGTGCTGCACCCAGCAGGCTCGTCGGCCGCCATGGCCGTGGCCGCAAGACCAAGAGAAACGGCTGAAGTCCACTTCATTATGCTACAGCGGTGTGCCTGTTAGTTGCCAAAAGAGCCTGAAGCAATTGGAGAGGAACTTGGTGATGGAGGCACAAGGAAGGGTTGGGGCGGGAAATCTGTTAGAGCCGTCACGTAGTAACAGCTGGCAGACAATGACAACAGTGAGGGCAAGTGAATAGAAAAGTGACTTCAAAGTGAGCAAGCTCCCAGTGACAGTGCGGAGCGTACCTCGGAGTTATTACGGAAAAAGGGTGATATTTCGAACTCGCAAGAAATCAGGGTATCAACTCGAGAGACTGAAAGGTCACACGAGGAATGCTCTTGAGAGTAGACGGGAAAAAAACCAACGACAGATCAATTGTCTTTCCCAGCGATAGAAGGGGCAGATCAATCAAGGTGAGAGGGTGCAACGAAGATCAGACAAACAAAAAGCTAAGGAGAGGAGGAAAACATATCAGGTTTGGGAACGGGAGGGTAGGCACTGATATACATTATACTACTTCCCATAGGGCCCATGTAATGGATGATAAAGGATCGAATACAACTACCACTCTTGCTGGGGACAGCCCGTTGCCCCGGTCTGGGTCAGACCAAGGAGGATCGAATGTACGCTTCTTTAGACTGGGTCCGTCTCCAGAAGCACATGTATTAGCGCTTAGGATATGCAAGGCCCCTGTGAAGTTGGACTTGACTTGGCCAGAAAGAGGCCGAAGTGTTGTTGATCCACATTTCGGAGGCTGGAGTGGGTGGCACTTCTGATGTCAATGGCGACGGTTTTGAGTACCAATGCGTTCCCAACACAAAGATATTTTCCCGCCTGGCAAGCAGTGGCAACTATGTTTAGTAAGTTACTTTGACTTTGATTCCAGCAACACAGGCCCGTACAACAGTCAATTGAGTGTCGTATGACTGTGTGGTCAAACCACCCCCCGGCATTCACGTCTTCTCTCAGTTGGAATGCCTCGGGCGAAGGCAACAATGCGCAACAAGAAGAAGAGCCACCAGCCCTGACACTGACATGTTGAACTTGAATGTGTGTACTCCGTAGATGGGCCCCAAGGTCTAACGTTCAGACAAAGTGTGCCGGCTCAATAACAACAGAGCAGGACTCAGTTGACGATGGTGGCAGATGAGGGGGTCGACCCAACCACCCCCGCAAATTTGAGATGTTTTGAGAGACTCCATACATGCAGGAGGGCATCCAGCTTTGCTTTTGTCGTGCGTCAAACTGCTTAGGTTGTGCCGGGGGCAGAAAAATTGCAGTCAGCGAACGATGACTATAGGTCGCAACGGCTCCTCGTTTCAAGGTGGACTAAAAAAGGCAGCACGGCGAAAGACAAGTTGGGAGCTCCGGTTAACAATGGTATCCGTATTACGACTAGCGGATCACTAGGATTGTCTCAGTGTCCATGCAGACCATAGAAAGTGGGTGAAGATGACCCCAGTGGGTGAGGTGGGCGTGAAGACTTTGCAACCAGCTTGCCAGCCTCCTGGGCTTGCTTCTCCGTCCTCCCCTTGGAATTGTTCTTGGCTCGCTACTAGGGCAGCGGTTGACTTGCCTCCTTGACAAAGCCTCATGAACACTGAAGGCCGTACGGACGGCGTATTTGAGGCTGGGTCAAATTCCAATTCGCCGTACAATCAGTAAACCGACTAACTGCTTCAATCGGGCCACGGAGTGTTTGGAAGCATTGGTCACATTAGGCTCCTGTAAGCTGTTTCGCCATGTCAGGTCATTTTTTCGGTATTACTCTGTGCTGTGTCCGTGTTATAAATATATACCGCTTTTTCACCACGATGATCCGTCTCTCGCTTGGTTTTTGTACACCAGTTTGGCTTGTAGGCGGTCATCCAGGTACTGAAGCCGAAGTGGCATGGCATGCATAGCCCCTGGTAAAGAGTCAAGACTGTGCGTAGGCTTTGAGCCAGATCACCAAAGAGTACGGAGTAATGTCCCGGGCTTGCGGCGGGGTCTCGCTTGTGTGTCCGTGCCGTAAGCACCGTTCGAATTGGCATCGAACAAGTCCATCCGATAAGAACCTCTCGTATCGAGGTGGGATTTAGAAGGAACGAATTATGCTTCAACTGAAAAGCCAGGTCAAGTAAGGGGCGTCTAGTGATGTTGCACCAATGATGATCGTTGTCACGTCGCATTACTTCTCCTCGAATAGTCGCTAGTTGACCCTAGAGGAAACAGACGGCTCAGATGTGCCACGTTTGCGGATGGACGAGCAGTGAGGTCTTTGAAACAAGCCGCGCCAATTACTAGCCAGCATTGAGAACTCGGTACAGGGAGTTGGAACATGGAGCCGTCTGGGGGAGAGACCGCCAGGCACAACGTACTCTAGCGGCGGTGCGCGTGATGCGCCAAGGATACCACTCTGCACAAGAGAAAGATGATGGGGCCGCGGCTCGAGGCGCGTGGGCGAGCACAAACATACACACGAGCAGAACAAAAGAACAAAAGGAGCAGAGAAAGTGAGGGATCAACAATGGCCCAAGTCGCGCGGAAACGGTGGTCGGTTGCTGTTGCTGGTGTTTGCCGGTGGGGCAGGAAGGAGCCACCGAGTGGAGCGCTCGCCAAGCTAGGGCCAGCCAGCAACAAGATGGAGGCCGCAGCCCGTCGACGCCTCCCGATGTCCATCCAGTCGGGACTTGGGACGAGAACTTGCCCGAATCCTCACATAAACATGGACGTTACCGAGTAAAGAGTACTTGGGTACGTACTTACTTGAGCACCCACTGACCTGCCTGTTGCCGTTGCCTCCCCCCGCCACCCCCGACGCTAGTCAGCCCAAAACGGCCTAGCAAATGGTGCGTACCGTCGCCTGCTGCACATGTGGTAAGCAGCAATGGATGGCACAAGCGCTACACAGGTGCAGCACCAACAACAACAACCAACAACGCGCCTCGGCTTCAAACGTTCCAAGGACACAAAAACATCACAAATCCACACCAAAACCTATCGATGCGATGCCCTTCCGCTACCCCAAACTACAAGCGCCCAATCCATTCATTGACCGATACTCCGTACCCCTCGTCGTTTCGCGTTTCGCGGTTGCCGGGCGACCGCCTGCTGCCAATAAACCTCCGTGGTTGCAACCCGCCGGTCCGCCAACTTAATTAATATGTATGCGTCAACGTGCGGGACGATGCAATAATACATCAGCAATGCCAATTGATTAAGCATTCCCCAGGGGGATGAGGGACTTTAGGATTCCGGATTTCTGAGGATAGCATCCGAGCCACCGAGAGGGCTGCCACGAGGCACTTGACTTTGCAGGCAGGGCCCGTGCGACCTCTTTGCTCAGCCGTGCTTCAGACTCCCGCCGCACGTCTTCTTTGCCCTTTCGAGCGAGTCCCTGGTCGATTAGTTTTGGTTGGCCGTGTGCTGTTTTCGGCCGTGGCTTGCCCAGGCGGATGCGCCATGAGATCAGACGGCTGCCACTGACGATAGCTCCAAAGTCAAACCAGAGAGGAAACTTCCCTTACCTCATGCGAGGCTTCGGCCAACCCGGGGTATGAACAAGTCCTCTATTACGCTTAGGCTTTGCGCGGTCTAAACCCTCCTCATTCATGCTCCTGATCCTGTCAACTGTCCAAGTGGGATTCGCGGCTCAGACATGGCTACTTGCTGCTTCTTCAAACAGAGGAAAAAAGGAAGTCTGCAGACGCGTCATTCTGATCCTCCATAGATTTTCTGGAACTTACAGGTGCTTGGCCTGGAAGCCGGAAACATGGCCGTGCGACCTTGCTGGCGCTATTCCGAAAATCAGCAACTACTCCGCGCAAGTGAGAGTTCTCTATCCACAAATCGGCCCCCGTAGTGGGTGCTTGATCGTACGGATCTTAATCGCCCTACGGCTTTGTGGCACAGGCTCCAGTCGTGTCTGACTCGGGCGCGTCACGTCACACAACAAGTGAGTGGCCGACTGGACCAAGGGCTCCGCAGATGACTGGATATTATCCTCACACCAGGAGTCAAGGACACACTTGTGAAACAATGACCGAGGGCAGAACCGTCGGTTACTGGTCGTGTCGTGCAGTCAATCTTGCATGCAATCCCAGATGGCGCCCTGCAGGCATGTGTGCCCAGGACACTACGAGAGATATTTCACCACCCTCTCATCTCTCCAGGAAGAAGCATACAAAGCGAGTGCCCCATTCTCACAGCCCACATACCCCATCCACACGAGCCATACTTGACACGTCACGCCAAATAGGTAATCATGTTCCATGATGAGAGAATAGTCAGCTTTTTGACCCATTTGGGTCCGTTCCATGGCAGCCCTCTCTCCTGGACTGAATCGCAGAACGTACGTACTCCATACATACAAATGTGTCTTTGGCTTGATGTGGTGACACAAGAAGCTATAGTGGATTGCGACGGTGCAGTGTAATGGCCCTACCGGCTGTTTTAACCGAGTGCATCGATACGTTTCCCCGTGTGGCAGCAACTAGTCACAAGCTTAGCTCGGAGTTTGTAGTGAAACTTTTATATAACGTTAGCTAGCAGTTAGCCTACATACATCGCACACAGTCGACCGGGTTTACTTGAAACAGTAAACAACTGGTTACTACTAGTATTTCGTCGTCGCATTGTGAGCTGCAGAACAATGGGGTCATGGGAAGTTGAGCTTAGAACGCCATCTACATTCCATTGCAGAGTGGTGGCACCCGGAGGTCATTTGACTGGTGTCTCGAAGCATAGGGACCAAGGATGACCGGATAAATCTCAAGTCGGAGTTAATAATCATCATCGAAGAATTCTCAGCACGGCGAATCCACGGCTTTGCTTCGAGCATCTCATCTGCTGTGATGAGATTGGACGTAGTGTTGCTACAGGGTAGGCGTGGATTGAGGAGGGAATGTGTGTTGTTGACATGTTATCATTTCTGAAAAAAAAAAGATTAATATACATGTTTTTTTTATCTGTTTATTTATTTAATTATGTCAGGCTGTCCGATTCTGGAAAGGCTAGTATTGAGTTGCGAATTCGAAATTTCAAGTCTGACATTCTGGCACGAAACAGACGTGAAATAGGAGACACGCAATACTAGGCCATGGACGATTTCGGTCAGGCTCAAGATGAGCTGGATGAAGATGAAGTCGGCGTAGGAAAGCGCAATGGCGCCCCCAACTGTCTTGTCGTGTTGTTTGCTTATATCACAATAACATCTGACCAAAAGGTATTTCCCCTCAAGCGCTGCGGGACCAGTATCAAGGCGCAATGGCACCAAAGTCGTGGATTTACATACACCGTCTGGTGTTTATCTCAATAGCGGGAATTGCTTCGAGACTTTGCCGGAACCCTTACTCCCGTGTGTATTCAAGTTGCTGAATCTAGGCTTTGGTCTTTGCCAATAATTAACAACTTCGATTTCTTGTCTGGAGAGAGCTCTCGGGTCAGCGTAACCAGTATTGCGTACGTCTGCCGTGTTAGTTCAGAGGTGTTACAGTCAACCAACCAAATCTCAAACTGGGGGGTTAGATGGTAGAAAACCCCCAAATCCGTTCTGCATATAACTATGTTTATCAGCCCCTCTACATGCGACATATCACACCTCGTCAAGTCAATTCGACACATTGGACTACCGCTGTTACACGGAACTTGGGTCAAGCCTCAACCACATGACTAGCCGCAATGCACAAAGGTTGCAGCTATCACGATGCCCTCATAGGCCACTTGCGGGCCCGGGTCTAAGGCCCAAAGGCCTAAAATGTCTTGCCCCCTTGTTGCCTCATTCATCTACTCGTGTTACACACAAAGGCATCTGCTTGTATATATAGCTCTCGTTTGTCTGGTCCTTCAGATTGAGGAATCAAAGACATTCAAGACCACACGATATTCTGTGTGAAGATGAGCCATTTGCTCCAAGCCCTGATCACTACAACCAGCCCTTGCTACAACCGCCGAATTGATGCGAGACTTGGGCACATCGGGAGGCTCAAAAGCACCTTGCCACCCCGGCAAGTCATTACGCACGGAATCGTTGGATTGTAAGCCTAAACATACAGCCATCAAGAGCTTCATATAAGGGAGATGCTTCCTTTGACCTCCCGGATTGTACAAAATGTGAATCCGATTTCAGAAAGTAGGGCATCAGTGCTGTGATGCTCGCATGGCAATGCACTGTTGGGGGTAGTCTAGCGATTGCCAGTTAGGAGTGTGTCTCTATGTAACAAGGGCTGGTCTTGTCGATCAGGGCTTGGAGCAAATGACTTATATTCACATATAATATCGTAGGATAGTGCCGGTGTGCGTAACCCGAGTAGGCAACAAAGGGGTGATGCCCTTTGTGCCTTGCTGCCTTGATGCCTTAGTGGCCGAGCCTACTGGTGGCATATGAGGGCATTGTGATAGCTGCAACGTTTGTGGATTGCAGCTAGTCATGTGGTTGAGGCTTTTCCGTGTAACAATCCAGTGGGTGAGCATGTGAACGATCAGTGATCATGCTGATATTGAAGTCAAGCGACAAGTCTTTCCGCGCCTGCGTACACTTGAGTGTATATATCCACGTGCCTTCCCGCACTATCGAGACTGCCTGTTGGGCTTGTAGTTTGCCGACATCTGCTCTGGAATTGTCTTGTGACAGCAGTTCTACGAATAAGGCTGGGTCTAGATCCCTTATTTCTGAGAGTCAGCATAGATCCTTTACATGTTATTATAGGTAGAAAAGGGACAGAGGTCAGGATGGCGACGCAATGCTGCAAGGCTATGATTCCCAAGGAGGGGAGGAACGGTAACCCTACTGTTGGAGCGAAAGTGACACCCGTCGCACAAACTTCCTTGCAAGAAAGACATGGTTAAAAAGTTGGCTACTGTGTAGCGAAAAGCTAAAAAAGTTAAGGATCATGGTTGAATTCGTAGTCGAAGTCGTAGTCGTAGTCGACTAGTCGTAGGGCCGGTCGCGCTCAATCGGGCAGGCGGAACGGAACGCCTGACGTGCAACATCAAGGCCGAGCACCTGCCTCACGTTCGGTCTCTCTTTTCACCTCCCCCCATAGCCATCCCGTATCTCTTGGCGTTTGCATCACTCAATGCCGGCAAAGGCAGTTTGGAAAGAATCATCAAGGCCACTGTCCACCGTCTTCCGCAAAAGTATTCCCGTCAAACTTCAGGTATGGACATTGGATTTCGACTCGACGCATCCATCACCCGTGGTACCGAATGGCCCAGCACGCACCCAACACCTTGCTAATCGTTTGTGGGCAGTTGACACGAAGACCGCGGACAACGCACTTTCTCCCGGAAATACCAGATGCTAACGCCTTGCCAATGGCGGCCCTGGTCCCTGGACATGTATGGGAAGGAGGAGGAGCACTTGATTCAGGGCTCTTGGCGATCTCGCTATGCCGCGGGGGTCAATGCTGGCATTGTGTTTCGACAACATTTCGGGCCTTTGACCAACGAGATATTGGCCGCAGTTGACTAAAAAAGTCGATTTAGAGCAACCTGGAGAACTACCATCCCCTGTCTTTTCATCGATCAAGCCAAGCTTGGCCGTGCACGCAGGACTAGTGGTACCTAAGAAGGCCACCTTCTTAACTGGGCAGGGGACTCCAGCTCGGATGGGATGTAGGGATCTTATCTCACCACCACACATCATTCATCACGCATCTTTGAGATTGGGCTGGTGCGGCCAGAGATGCACCGCCCAGTGTCTGTGTCTGGGACGGCGTACACGTTGGTCATGTCGCATCGTGAGTCTTGGCTCCTCGCCCAGACACAACCGACCCATGTCACTGATGCGAACGACGCCATCACATAACTCCAAGTTGGAATCGCGGGACCTTGATTGGTGGGACGCAACGGACGCCCGCGACGGCAGCACGACCAGGATGAAATGCATCATCGCCAACCTAACCGTGTCTTTACACTTTGCCGACAAGCTTACAACACACTTAGACAACAATGCTGCTGCTCTTGGCAATGTGGTGGCCCGTCAACATGGAGTACGGGATGCACGACTGGACCGAACCAGATCCCTCCATATATCTATACCGAGGGTAGATTTGAGGGCAACTTGGGATATACGCCCCGTAAAATAGACGATGCGTATGCTTTTCACTTTGCATAAAGCTCTTCTCCGATGCGGCCTGACAAGCTCGATCGGGCAGGTCCTCATGCCTAGATCTCGCAATGGGTTTTACGTTGATGCAGTCACCATTTTGCCTTTTAGAAGCTGGCTTGATTTGGCTAATGAGGCCTTATACTCTCTAGTAACCTAGAGTCGGATTGAGAAGCCTTGCCGATCTATCAATGGGATGTCTTGTGGTCGACAGGGAAAGTGCATTGGAACTATTCCTGACATAGAAGTTCCAGCATAAACTCAGTCAAGGAACAAATCCTGTTCATCAAAGAATCCAAGAGGAAGCTTTGTTTGGTCTCTATGAGACGGATTCGTGTACACATCCAGCTGAAGCAGACGGGAGCATACTGGAACAAACAAAGACCTTTCAACCCAGCTGTTAACCATCTTGGTCATGCAGGTACCTACGCTTTTAGATTCAACCGATCACCACCAAGATGAAGAAAAAGTCAAGAGAAATCACCCTGCAGGGCGGTGATGAGGCACGGAACCTACTGGAAGATGCTACATAGCCCAGCAAAGGTCTACAACCAATGTCGTTTTGCCATGCTTTGGCAATATCATACAAGTTCTCAGCAGTCTGCGACGACACTATGCCACAAAGCACTTCGCGCACTTCAGCAGGGTCCAAATTGAAACCATGATACCCTCCACTTGACCGGTAGGACTCGTCCTCCATTCTCCCCAGAGTTGGACCCAGGACAATCATCGTACAAATCATAAACCATCACTGCTGAGGCTACCCCCATCACCTTCCTATCTTTAGGGATGCAAGCTAAATTGCTATCCTATCCTAGATAGGTAGCTGAGGACAAATGTTGGGTCACGGTAGCATCTTCAGACAGGACTAATCCATTACTTCAAGGTCACGCTACTGGCCAGTAGACCAAACAGGAAGCTCGACTTTTGGTGATGGCTTTGGAGAATGGACTTACAGAGACGATTGCCCGAAACCTGAAAGCTTGTCTCATCGTTGAGATAATCAGGAGTATAAAGTCAGGATGATTGTCCCAGAAACACGGAATATCTCGCAAGCAGGCTACACCAGGCTCAGCCCAAATACCAGCTCGTGTCAGAAGCCAACTATATCATTTCGTATTTCCATATTATTGATTCATCATGAAGTCTGCTGCTGTTTTGGGGCTCACCGGTCTTGCTGCCAATGTTTTGGCACATCCTCAGAGATACCATGCCAACGGCGCCTCTCTGGACAAGCGTGACGTCGATCTGAGCAAATTCCGCATGCCAGGGACATCAGAATACACTGCTTCAGCCAAGGCCAAGCTAGACCCAGCTGCGAGCATCATCCAGAGGCGAGGAGATTATGTCAGTGCTGCCACGGAGCTCGTCAAGACGGTCTTCCCCGGCGCCGAGTTCCGTGTCGTCGATGATCACTACGTCGGCACCGATGGCCTTGCCCACGTCAACTTTAAGCAAGTTGTCCATGGTATTGATATCGACAATGCTGATTTCAACGTCAACGTCAGCCCTGATGGCACCATCTTCTCCTATGGAAACAGCTTCTACAAGGGCAAGACGCCTTCCGAGAGCCCCCTTCACAAGCGCAAGTTTACAGATCCCGTCAACGCTTTGAACGGCGTTGTCGACATCCTTAAACTCTCCATCAAGACCACAGACGCCAAGGCAGAAGCTAAGGAAGGCACTGAGATCTACACCTTTAAAGACACTTCGGGTGCTGTCAGTGATCCAGAAGCCAAGCTGGTCTATCTCACAAAAGATGATGGCTCACTTGCACTGACCTGGAGAGTTGAGACTGATGTCGTGGACAACTGGTTGTTGACATATATTGATGCCGACAACAGCAAGGACGTCCACGGCGTCGTCGACTACGTCTCTGACTTTGCTACCTTAGAGGTCTATCCTTGGAGGGTAAATGACCCTACTGAAGGTGCTCGCTCTGTTGAGACCGACCCATGGAACATCGACGCTTCTCCATATACATGGTTCGGCGACGGCTCCAAGAATTACACTACCCTCTGGGGCAACAATGCCGTTGCCCAGACAAACCACGATGGCCACAACAACGTCAACGACTTTGCCAAAAGCTACCGCCCGACTTCTTCTGCCCGCAACTTTGAGTACGACTACTCCCCTTCTCAGTCTAACAAGGACGATTACCAAGATGCCTCCATCACTCAGTTGTTCTACACGGCAAACACTTATCACGACTTGCTCTATACCTTGGGATTTACCGAGGCCGCAGGAAATTTCCAGACCGACAATAGTGGCAAGGGGGGCAAGGGCAACGACTTCGTCGTCCTTAACTCCCAGGACGGCAGCGGCACTAACAATGCCAACTTTGCCTCCCCCCCTGACGGCTCTCGCCCTCGCATGAGAATGTACATGTGGACGCAGACTAGTCCCCAGCGCGACTGTGCCTTTGACTCGGATGTTATTCTCCATGAGTTTACTCACGGCCTGTCAACTCGTCTGACCGGCGGCCCTGCCAACTCAGGCTGCCTCAACGGCCTGGAGTCTGGGGGCATGGGAGAGGGCTGGTCCGACTTCATGGCCGCCGCCATCCTCATCAAGTCCACAGACACGCGCACCAAGGACTTCCCCGTTGGTGTCTGGGTTTACGACAATCCCAAGGGCATCCGATCCTACCCCTACTCCACCAGCATGAAGAGGAACCCATACACATACGCTGACGCTAACCAGAAAAATGAGGTCCACGCCATGGGCGAGATCTGGGCCAACACTCTCTACGAGGTCTTCTGGAACCTCGCTGACGCTCACGGCATCACCGACGACAAGTACCCTGTGTTTGATGCCAAGGGTGTCCCTACGGACGGCCGCTACCTCGCCATGAAGCTCGTCATGGGCGGCATGTCCATCCAGCCATGCAACCCCAACATGGTTTCTGCCCGAGACGCCATTCTTGACGCTGACAAGAGCCTCACTGGCTCCGCCAACAAGTGCCTGCTATGGAAGGCCTTTGCCAAGCGTGGTCTGGGCACAAAGGCCCGGTACAATGGTGGTCGCAACCGCGTCGAGGACTTTACCGTCCCAGCCGGCTGTTAAAAGTGCATATTATTCCTCGGATGTGCCACTCGACATTGTACGGGGTCAAAGTCGTTGGTGAGCAAGTAAATAGTCTATGTCAGTGAAAGTAAGCGGTTTGAATTACATGGATTTGGGGTAGGCGCGAGGTTTCCGGGTTTCTGTGTGTGTGATAACGGGAGGGAGGGAGGGTCCGCCCCATGAGTTGTGGACTTGAAAACGACCATGTGCGTCTCACAGATCTTGTCTAGTTTCGTGTATTTCTTGCCACCTTGCATGCATGCAAACATGAATATATACTTGTGCGCTCGAGACGATGTATAGAGCTGTGATGGAATTTGATCGCCGAATGAGCGCCCTGGGTAAGCTTGTTCCCACCGCAACGTATCGGATGGCAAGCCGTACAGTTTATCCTGTCGGGCCATGTGTCCCTTGAGCTCATCACCCAGTGTACAAGATGAGCGTGCAAAGTCGTGCGAGGTACAATTCATCATCACCCTCCAGTATGCTGACAGAAACCCAAAGGAAAAGTAAGAAACTACAGCTATGCCTGTCGCCCAGTGGCTATTGCCCGCCGCCCCTTTTCTTCTGGTACTTGGCCAACAGATATCTCAACTTCCACTTTGCCATGGGGCTCGCGACCTCGTCCGCGCCAACTAACCTCCTCACGAGGATGTTATACAGCCCACCAAAGGCAAGTGCGATGGCCGTCGACGTAAAGATGATCACATTGTACGGCATGCTGAAGTCCGGCGTGGGCAGGTACAGCAACAAGCTTGTCGTACGGAGATTCATGACTTGCGGCTCGAGAGTGCGAATCACGGCTGCGGCCACGTCAAAACCGCGGTTGGCATCGGGGGGGTACTCTGTGTACCGCAGAATGGCCTTTTCAAAGTCATAGGTGAGGAAGACGGTGCATCGCGGTGGGATGCGCATCAGCAGTTCGAGTTGGGTACCGCGGGAGCGGTCCAGCGCGGGCCGATAATGGATCTGTTTAATGAGTTGGGTGGAATTGGTTGTTGGGGCGGCCGAGGTTGAAATGCGGGTAGACAATGTGTGGAGGTAGATGCGCATGAACCAGGGGAGGGACTCGAGATAGACGAATTCGACTTCGACGGGGTTGGGGTTGGTGAGGATGGCTTGGACGCCTCCATGTTCTTGGCCGTAGCCAGTGAAGCTGCGCTCCGCGTAGAGGAGAGGCCGTACGGGTTCGACGAGCTCTTTTGCTGCTTCGTCGGGGGTCCTGGCCTCGGACTTGGGTAGGACGAGATCAAATTCGCTCTGGGCAGGGATTGTGTAGCATCTGGACATGCCGTTCTTGTCCTTGATTTCGGTGGACCCTCCGGAGGCGTAGACGACGCGTGAATCGGGGACCTCGAGGCACACGGGAGGCACCTGGGCGTCGGCAAGGGGGCATGTGCCTTTCATGGAGCGGCCAAAGATGTGAGAGAGCGTCCAGTCTTGGCCGTTGAGGTGGTCGGCTGGGAAGCAGCGATCATGGTCGTGGTAGGGCTTGGAGGTGTCGCAGACCAGTTCGTGGGCGGGAGGTGGTCTTGGGATCGGGTTATCTGGAAACATGGTCAGTTGATAGAACAACCCGTGTCGCGTTTCTTGTCAAGGCATACCCCTCGGCCTCTTGGATCGGTTGACGTCCATGACCATATCAATTGTCTGCTCCATCTGCAACACACAATGGCCATGGCTGTCGCAAATCGGCTTCACATCTATGGCCATGCTCTGAAATGACGAATCAAACAACTTGTGACCGTCCAATAGACTGGCGATGCCCGCTTTTCCATGACAGGGCAGCAACTTCAAGAAGGGCGTCAAGTTCTCCGTACACACCACCTCGTGCGGCAACACACCATGTAGCAATCTCGTTTTTGCCAACGTCTCGCTCGAGTGATGACCCTCGGGTTGAAACGAGAGAGCTGGGCGTACGGTCCTCGTCCCGTCAATGAAGTTGAGACTGGCGCAGAACAAGCCGGAGAGGGCATTGGTCAAGGTCAGCCAATTCCCATCTGCATGTTGGTCGGTTTCGGCGTCCATCCAGGCCCACAGCTCGACACCAGTGCCGCCTTCCTTGGTGCCATCCCAAGGTCGCGCTCCCCATTTCTCTGCATCCCAGCGTCCCAAGGTGAAGCGTAGATGGAGCTCTCGTGTGCCCGCATACTCGAGGATCTGGCCAAGCGACCGGGGGAACAATCGGAAGTTGTGCGCCTCAAAGGCGGCTACTGAGGTGTTTGATTTGAAATTGAAGCTTGCAAGGAGCTGAGAGAGCGGCAATGGACGCAATGTGAGCTGTTCGTGGTAGTCGGCAGCGGCGGCGAGTCCGGGGACAAGAGATGCCAGCAACGGCGTCAGCCAGAGACGCATCTCGCGGATCTTGTGTGTTTATCGATGCAACGGCCAAGGCGAGGCGCCCCTTTCACAATGCCGAAACGGAGAAGAGAAGGTTGAAAAGAAGGACAGGGAAAAAAGGGCAGATAGTCAAAGAATGCAACTGCCCACGCGGTTGCGGTAGCATGGACATCTCGCGTCCGTCGCGCCGAGTTCATGAGAGTCGACGAGGATCCCAGTCAGGAAGCTATCACCACTCGAAAGCTGGAGATGCCGACAGTCGACGTGGAGCAAATGCGTAATCCTTGACTCGAGCCCGAGGGGCGGCAAGGTGGCTTGACACACTCGGAGGAGGAGGACGGAGGAGCATTTGTCTACTCGGGCGGTGAGACGTGGCAGAATATGCATTCGAACTGGAAGCAACGCGATGCAGCTCCGGAAATCAGCACAATACATACAAGCCTCAAGCCTTACCAGTGTCACGACAGTGCCCCAGTCAAATCAGCCGGCCGTCTCTCCCATCTCCCTCATCAAATCAGTTCCGTGGAACGAGCTCGCGAATCGAATTCTTGCACATAGCAAATAGACCCTTGGGCGCGACACCCGCAATCATGGCCGCCGAGCAGAGAAAGCTCCTCGAGCAGCTCATGGGCAACCAGTCCACCTCGCGCGCCGCCCAGCTCTCCCTCACTGACCCCAAAGTCTGCCGTTCCTATCTCGTGGGCACCTGTCCACACGACCTCTTCACCAATACAAAGCAGGACCTGGGCCAGTGTCCGAAAGTGCACGCTGAACCGTTAAAAGCCGAGTACGAGGCCTTGTCAGATCGGGAGAAGCAACGATATGGATTCGACTACGATTATATGCGCGACCTACAAAAGTACATCGACGACTGCAATCGAAGAATCGACGCGGCGCAGAAGAGGCTTGAGAAGACGCCCGACGAGATTCGTCAAACAAACGTTTTGGTATGCCTGTACCCCGACCTGCCCTTGTTGTGTTGTGTTGAGAGCGCCGCAATGCTGATCATGGCTACAGCTGAGAATCATCTCCGAGCTTTCGGCCTCAATAGCCAACGGCCAAGTGGAAGTTGAAGTGCTCGCCTCCATGAACGAAGTCGCCCGCGCCGTCGATGAGAATTTCCGTATCAAGCAGACCATGCAACTCAAAGCCGAAAAGGAAAAGGAACTCAAGGCGCTCTCCGATACCTCTGGTCCCTCTGGCCACCAAAAGCTCCAAGTGTGCGATGTCTGTGGCGCATATCTTAGTAGGCTAGATAACGATCGTCGTCTGGCCGATCACTTTTACGGGAAGATGCATTTGGGGTATGCATCCATGCGCAAGACGTACGATGCGTTCCCGAGGGAGTTGAAGAGCAGGCAGAGACAGGGTATGATAGATGGGGACGACGGTCCCGGAGGAGGCATGGGAGGACCTAGGGGCCCGAGGACTGGAAGTTACAGAAGCGGCAGAGGAGGCAGGCGGTGGTGAAGATGTCACGACCGCGACGAGTTTTTTTCTCTTCAAGGATGAGGGGGGAGAGGCTACGAGCAGTCTTGCGGCAGCAGACAGGATGTTTCGGCGTTAAAAAGGCGGATATTGATACACATGTTGCGACATTTATTTTTTTGCTGTACCTATGGGTGGGTCGCATATCAAACCTGGCGTTGCCTAAGGAAGAAGAACGCGCATTCAGGAAGGTAAATACCCTTCAATACAAGGAGATCCATTGTATTGACCAGCTTGGGACTGTGCTTGCAGGCCCTCTTGTGGTTGTTGAACAAAAATTTCGCTTGGAGTACCAACTATACTTGCGCTCATCTCACAAAGATTTTCACATAGTAATGCTTTGGTCTGCCGCTTCTGCTTCCATGTATCCAATTGCTTCCAATCATCACGCACAGTTTGTTCCTCTGCTCTCCCAGCATATAGGTATCCAAATCATACAAGTGCCATAACCATAACATCTTGGTTCATATTCTATGGTACCCACTCATTCTGTTGTGCCTGTGACCTCCGTCCCATAAAAACTATGATTTCCCTTGCTGCGTAAGCTCATCCAGAGCCTCCATCTCATCGTCCCATTTGCCGCCAGCAGGAGGTGGTGATGGTAAGGCTGGGGCAGGGGCCGGTGCGGCTTTCGGTGGGTATGTGACCGGCGCGAGCGGTTGAATTGGCTTCCGGTTTCCTTCCGAGGGCAGTGCTGGGAAATCCTCCGCAGTAAGAGACGGCGCTGGTACATTTTTGTCCCTTGGTTTCGACGGTGAGCCATCGAATCCTCCACGAGCACCACCTCGTCCGCGTCCCTCTCCACGTCCATCGCGTCCCCTTCCCCTGTTACGATGCCGGTCATCCAGGAAACGGTCAACATCGGGTTGATCATCTGCTTCTCGGAAATATCGACTGCCTGCCAGACCACCACGCTTCGTGCCTCTGATGCCACCGTTGGCTCCCCTGAAACCTCTTCTGGCTTCTTCCTCCAGGATGGCCTCCTTGCCCTCGTCCCAGCCACCTTCTTTCATGCCCATAGCTTTGAGCTTGCGCTCACGATTCTTTGCGCGTTCATCATCAAGCTTGCGTTTATCCTCTTCTCCCCGACGCCTTCGTTCCGCTTCTTCTGCTCGGCGCTTGCGAGCTTCCTCCATACCCTTGGCATACGCCTGAGCATGTTGTTGTTCATCCTTTTCAGCCCTCTCAAACTGGCGTGTCTTCTCTGCCGCCAGCAATTTCATCTTTTCCATCTTGGCAGTAAGTTCCTCGTCAGTGAGTTTCTGGCGCGGATTGGCGCCGGATTGAAGTCGCGCCTCGGCATTCGCAGCTGTATTTTGTGAAGGAAGGTGAGATTTCTTGTCCTTGGCAGGGGCAGTGGGCGCATTGGGCGGTGGAGTGCTGTCTTTTGCCTTGTCGCCTTTGGAATCCATTTCTTTTTCCTTGACCTGTCTGTTCTCTCCTGATTCCTTGGTTGGCGCGGGCGATTTAGCTTCTGGCAAGGGTGGCGGCGGCGGCGGTGGCGGCGTCGACTGTTGTCTCATGTTGAAGTTCTCCTTACGAGCGAAGCGTGACGAGGATAGGTTTCCACCTTTGATCTGGGGCTGGGGCTGGGACTGTGACTGTGACTGTGACTGTGACTGTGATCGCGATGTTGAGGGCGAGGGCGAGGGCGAGGGCCTATTGCTGATTGTGGGTTGCGCGGGTGGCGACGACGACTTTTTGGGTTTGGATTGTCTTGCTTGCGCATGTTCTGCGGCTGCAGGAGCAACATGCGATGGGTCAGGAGTAGACTGCGCTTCTTCATGAACCACAATGGGCTCGCTGTCGACGGGTTCAAAGTCATCGTAGAAGAGGTCATCGTCGGTTCGGCCGCCAAATTGGTCCTCCATTTCAAACTAGCTGCAGCGAACTGGCAATGTTATATGAGCAATTGATATTGATAATGTGCCAATTACAGCGCAAGGTATTCATTCCGCAGCAGAGAAGCAGAGGCAACAGGGGAAGGTGAACAAGAGAGAACTCAAGGCTATAACACGTACTGGTTGAAGTTGTGTCTCTCGGGCTTGGATGTAACGCAGAGGTTGTTGCTGTTGCTGTCACCACCCGGCCAGCAGAATGGGCTGGTGGCAGAAAAGTGGCAGATTGTGGGGTTCGACATTCATTTCGAGCAAGTGGTGAGCCACCATGATCGCGTTTAAGTTGGTACGGAGCGACTTGGAGAAATTGTGTTGTGGTGCGGCAAGCACTTAATCTGACGCTCCATTCCGTCGCCACATTTTAAAGGCGAATTTTCATAAAATATGACAAGAAGACGGAATACAGCACGCCTAAGCTGTGTGTTGGACCGGCAGCTTTACGTGTTGAAGTCGACTGGTATTCAGGTATTTTGTATTCCGTGTCGATGACGGCGCTGGTTCCAACTTACACAGTGCATACAGTTCAGACACTGTGACACAGCTCTCAACTCATCACGAACTTTGCAACTTCGAGGCCACGGACTGTAGTTCCACGATGCGTGCATCCCCACGCAAGCTGACAACGGGAGGATTGCGCAGCCGGAAGCTTGGCCGGCTATGCTGTTCCAATCAAGTCGAATCGTGACCCTCCATTCTCCAAAGCTACCCCTCAACCTCATCAACACTCATCTTCAACCCGAGGCGCTTTGTTACTGTCTACCCGTCTTTCCTGTACCTCAACACCCCCATTGACCTCTCCCGATGAGATCGTGACCTTGTCGTCTTGTCATGACTTCACGGCACGCGTGATATTCTCGCCATTGTAACGACTTGCATCAGCTCATATTTCACATCGCGTTTCGTGAAGTCATCACCAGACTGTTTTACGAAAGCTGCTGTTCCATCTATACTCCGTTTCTTCCAATCTCAGCTTACGCAACGCCAAGAGTTCAAAGTGCCTCCTGAGGCCCTCCTCACCTTGTCTGATTTGTCCCGTAGACGCGCCGGTTGAGACAGCCATGTTGCTTCCACCAAGCCACCCAGTCTTCCTCCCAGACTGGAGCAATGTCGACGTCGTTCATCGCAATACGCTTCCACCCCGAAGCAACTTCTACCTCTACGAAACGGAAGCCGCCGCGCTCACCCGGGACGTCCGCAACGCCAAAGCGCAATGCCTCTCCGGGAAATGGAAGTTCCACTGGTCCAGGTCACCGTTCGAGGGGCCGCGAGACTTTTACAAACCGAACTTCCAGGACCCTTCCTTTAAGGATATAGCCGTCCCAGGAATGTGGCAACTCCAAGGATTCGGAAAAGGCCCCCATTACACCAATATATTGTATCCGTGGCCGGTTGACCCGCCGAATGTCTCGTACCAGGAGAACGAGTGCGGGCGATACGTGACCTCGTTCACAGCCGACGCGTCGTTTGTGAATCATCGGCTACGGCTGCGATTTGAGGGCGTAGACTCCTCGTTCACGGCATGGGTTAACGGCAAGGAAGTTGGCTATTCGCAGGGGTCTCGCAATCCCAGTGAATTCGACGTGACGGAGCACATCCAAGTCGGCGAGGAGAATCGCCTGGCCGTGGAGGTGTACCAGCGCTGCGACGGGAGCTACCTCGAGGACCAGGATGAATGGTGGCTCAGCGGTATATTCAGAGATGTCTACCTCCATGCTTTCCCCATAGTGCATCCCGTCGACTTCCACGTCGTCACTGACTTGGACGACAGTTTCAAGAATGCAACCCTGCGCGTCAAGGTCGACGTGAGCGCATCTTGTGCCGTGGAACTAAAACTTCTTGATGCCACACTAGAGCAAGTTCTCAGCGACACCATTGACGTTGTTGGCTCGGATGAGTTCAACCTCGACGTTGAGAACCCACACAAATGGACCGCAGAGACGCCGTATTTATACACCTTGGTGCTGAACTTTCTCGGCAGCAGCAGATGCAGTCTGGTCCAGTGCGTTGGTTTTCGAAAAACGGACTTGGTAGACGGTGTGTTCTGCGTCAACGGGAATCCAGTCAAATTCCGAGGCGTCAACCGGCACGAGCACCACCCAGATCATGGCCGCGCGGTTCCGTATGATTTTATGCGTCGGGACCTGCTCATCATGAAGAAGCACAACATCAACGCCATTCGTACATCTCACCAGATAAACGACCCACGTTTATACGATGTGGCTGATGAGCTGGGTCTCTGGATCCTCGACGAAGCCGACTTGGAGTGTCATGGTTTCGGCGAAGTAGGCGGCGACGCGGCGAGCTACACCTCTGATAATCCCGCCTGGAGAGAGCAGTATGTCGACCGAGCGCGGCAGATGGTTGCACGAGATAAGAACCACGCGTGCGTCATCATGTGGTCGCTTGGTAATGAATCGTTCTATGGACGAAATCACCAAGCCATGTACGACGTCATTAAGTCCATGGATAGCACGCGTCTGGTTCATTATGAGGGTGATTGGAATGCGCAGACGGCCGACATATACAGCCGCATGTATCCTGATATCGACTATGTCTCGTCGTTTGCCAAAGAGCGCGACTGGAAGAAGCCGCTGGTGCTTTGCGAGTTTCTGCATTCTATGGGCAACTCGGAGGGCAACGCAAAGGAGTATATCAATTTGTTCTACAAACACCCGAGGCTGATGGGCGGCTTTGTGTGGGAATGGGCCAATCATGTAAGTATCCGATCACGGCTGCTTAATCTGACAGCTGCAATTGCTTATGCCGAGCAGGGCCTTCGAACCAAGACCGAAGATGGGGAGGAGTTTATGGCATACGGAGGCGACTTTGGAGACGAACCCAACGATGGCAATTTCGTCATGGACGGACTATTGTACTCCGAGCATACGGTGAGCTCCAATATCACCGAGTATGCCAAGTCGATCGAGCCGATTCAAACGCTGTCACTGCATCACCACAATATTACTGTTGCGAATCGTTATGATTTCCTAACACTGGATCATCTGTTTGCAACTTGGTCCATCGTTTCTGACGGGAAAGAATTTGCGGGTGGTCGAGTCAAAATACCCAAGGGTAAGGAGAAACTTGTCTTTAGGAAAGCATACGAAGAAAAAGGCGTGAGGCGTCAGATCAAGTGCGATGCTAACAGGCATGTTTCCTTGCAGGTATTCAACCACACGCGGAGGGCGTTGTAACGGCCGAGGGATTTCACAGCGTAATGTTGAAGGAGTTGCATGGGGAGGCCTATTTGCAACTTAAATTTACACTAAAGCACGAGACGAATTGGGCGCCTGCTAATCATCAAGTTGCCACCGGAGAGCTTCGGGTGTCGCGGCCGCTATCTGTAAACGCTATTCAGTCTGTTGAGCCACCAATGCCGAAACCAACCTTGCAAATGGCGTCAGACTCGCTTCTTAGGATTACATCGGCATCTGGGTGCTCGACATGGGCAATCGATACAGTGACAGGCACCCTTGTCAGTTGGAAACGTGGAGGTATGCCCGCTTTTGAGATTATGAGCCAGCCCATCACCATGGACTTTTATCGTGCTTTGACGGACAATGATCGCGGCGGCCACGGGCGAGAGTGGATAGACAGGAGGTTGCATCAAACGTCGACACATGTCAAGGAAGTTCAATTTCGAGAGGGTCAGGACGGCATTGTGGTAGAAATCAAGCACAGGATCGCACCCCCTGCTCTTCTATGGGCTGTTGATACCACGTGGACCTACCATTTCCGAGGAGAGTCGCTCGCCATCAACGTCAAAGGAAAGCCGCATGGATTGAGTCTCCCATCAACCTTTGCGCGCATCGGCATCACGCTGGGCCTTGCCGGAGCAGAGAGAGTGGAATGGTGGGGCCGCGGCCCGGGCGAGTCATATCGAGATAAAAAATACTCTCAACTATTCGGAAATTGGGGGTTGACTGTTGACCAGCTGTGGGTTGATTATGAGTTTCCCCAGGACAGTGGTAACAGGGCCGACGTTCGCTGGGTCGAGATTCTCGGGCCCAAAGGGCGTCTTTTGAGGGCCAATTTCGGGGATCTGGACGGTGCAAGCTTCTCAGCCATGCATTACTCAACAAAGGATCTCGACGATTGTTCGCATCCGTACGAGCTGCACCGGCGCAAACGCGACGACACGGTTGTCAGACTCGACTGGGTACACCATGGCTTGGGTACCGGCTCATGTGGCCCATGGACTCTGCCGCGGTATTCGTTGAAGACTGATCAGGAGTTCAGTTTCGACATTCTTCTGGACTAGGCGCAGTAAGCCAGTATATTTTGCACTGGTTCTTCCCTTTCGTAAATCATTTGCATTAAGTATAACTACAACTTCTGCCACATTACTATTAGCGCGATAAGCCGCTGACTAAGCAGGAGCAGAGAGAGATTGTGAACAGGCATCGAGTTGAAACCAGCACATTTTCAGCCCCTGGTAACGTTATTTCACGGTGTGCAAGGATAGGAAGCAGAATCATAGACATTCTGACGCGCAGGGACCATGGCGTGGCCTAGGATGCGTAGTGCTTTGAATGTGTAACTACATAAAGACGGACGCTGCCGATTTTTTTGGTTACCAAGCAAACGCTACACCTTATCATTTTCTTGTTTCCAAACCTTCAAAGGAGAAATGAAGGCGGCAGCATGGTCGCCCGTCAAAGCGAAACCCGAATCCGAGTCTTGCTGGGGTCCAGGCGGACAATGTCGCGGCTGTGACAGAATTCGATTGCAAGAAGCAAAAAGCCAGGAACAGCGAACAATTGTAGCTGTGCATGAGAAGTATGCACCTGATGATGTACTTGGTAAGTCTTATTCCGAGACCTTTTGAGGCCAGTTCCTCGCAGTATCACGGGAGAAAGAAGCGGTGTGATGTGGTTCGGAGTCGTAAGCAACCGGGTCAACCCAACGTTGAAGTCAAAATGATGTGGCCTCCCGCCCCACCCTGCAGTTACCAGTGGCCGGCTCCTGCCTTGGGCTGCGACTCGACTCGAGTCGATCTGACGCTGACGACAGAAGGGGCGTTGACGCCATCGCAACTTCCAACGACTCACATACTATTCGCCTTGACCCTTTGCGTCTGTCCTCCTTTTCACTTCCCCATCCGTCGGCACCATGTTGCGTCGCCGTTCTTCTTGTGTCTGATTCCTGTTTCTTTCAATTGAACTCGAAGAGGAAAGCTGTCGCTGGACAGCAGCTTTTTGGGATGCCGACCACCGCAACCAAGCTAACCAAAGAGCTCTGTCGGTGCATATAGCAACCATGGCCTCTGTTGGGACACAGGAAGCTCTCTCGTCATCGGTGTCAAACGGTCTGGAAACACCCGAAGCTGCGAAAGCGAACCCCGAGCTGGTGCATAGTCTCAAACACAACAGCACAGTTCTCGCCCTCGCCGTCAGCTCAAAGCACGATTCTATATACGCAGGCACTCAAGATGGTGAAATTGTTGTATGGTCTCTGGACACGTTCCATCAGCTTCGCCAGGTGCAGGCACACAAGCGAAGCATTCTGTCGCTCTTCATTTCTCCGGACTCGTCGCTCCTTTTCTCCAGTGCCGGCGATGCCATCATCAACGTGTGGTGTCCCAAGACTATGCGCCGCCTCTACGAAATATACGGTGTGCACGATGTTGGCGATATTTTCTGTACTGCGTACAGCGCCAAGCACGACACGCTCTACATTGGAGCTCAAAATACGACCCTCCAATGGGTGAACCTTGGTGATGCTTCTAGTAGAGTGTCACCAGATTCACAAAGTCATCCAGATCGACGAAGTCATCGATTCTTCGACTCAAAGGCTATTGGAGGCGGCGCTACTCCGCGAAGAAACGAAGATAGATGGGCTCTCATACCCCGAGCACAGGCGGTACTTGAGATCGACAGCGGGAGCATTCGCCACTTTGCGCACAACGGCTACATTTACTGCATGCTGATGGCACAAGGCCCAACAGTTGAAGTAGATGCAGACGAGGATGTTCTGATTTCAGGTGGCGGCGATGGTACCATCAAGCTTTGGAGCCTGGCTAGATCAAGTAAAAACGGCCGAACTCATTCTGCTGAGGCTGACAGTGGCATCGAGGAAATTATGACACTAGGCGCCGATGATGCAGAGTCAGTTCTGTCACTGGCTCTTGATGGGTCGTTTCTGTACGCTGGGAAGCTCGATGGCATCGTGGAACTGTGGGATCTGGATACAACTCAGAGGCTAAGGGTGATAAAAGCACATGGAGGAGATGTCATGTCATTACAGATGGGATGGGGATGCCTGTGGGCTGGTTCAACCAACGGTTGGGCTAGTGTAAGTATATTCTCTTCTGCTTTGTTTCGGGAGCACAAAGTTGTATCTAACATTGGCACAGAAATACAGCACGGCGCATTATTGCGCTCATGGCCACGCATCATCGGACGATGTCAGTCAAAAGTATCAGTGTCTTGGCAAGTGGAAAGCTCACCAGGGCAAGATCCTAGCCTCTGCAATAACTACGCACAAATCGGAGCAGTATTACATCACCGGTGCCAATGACGACGATATCGCAATATGGTCCGTCAAGGACTTGACGTCTTTGAAAACAGCGTCTGCGGAGAAGAGCAACGATTTGCTCCTTTCGACGCTGAGTGATTTCGTCTCCTACAAGACGGTATCATCGCGACCTGAGTACGCCGAGGATTGCCGTAGAGGTGCCACTTTCCTAGGGTCACTCTTCAAACGTTTAGGTGGCCATGTTGAAATGCTCAGCACCGAAAAGGCCCACAACCCAGTCGTTTACGCCAAATTCTCCGGTAAGAAGGAGGCCCTGGAACAACGAAAACGTATCTTGTTCTACGGACACTACGATGTGGTTCCAGCCGACGGTAAGAAAGGCAATTGGGTTACAGATCCCTTCATCACCACAGGGACCAACGGCTTCATTTATGGCCGTGGAGTCAGTGATAACAAGGGGCCTATAGTTGCAGCATTGTATGCCGTGACAGATCTTATGCAAGCGCAGCAGCTAGAAAACGATGTCATATTTCTCATCGAAGGCGAAGAGGAATTTGGTTCTCGAGGTTTCGAAGAAGCTGTGAAACGAAACAAGCAGCTTATTGGACAAGTGGATTATATTCTACTGGCCAACAGCTACTGGCTCAACGATGAAGTTCCATGCCTAACGTACGGGCTTCGTGGCGTGCTTCATGCCACCATTTGCGTCGATTCTCCCCGACCTGACATTCATTCTGGAGTGGACGGGTCTCACCTATTAGATGAACCATTGACTGATTTGACCTGCGTTCTTTCCAAGCTCAAAGGTCCAGGGAATAGAATTCAGATTCCCGGATTCTACGACGGCATTCCAACTATTACACCCGAAGAGGAAGCACGATACGACGACATCGTCTCCATCATGGTGCGTCATCAAAAAACGCAGAATGTGTCCGAAGAGAAGCTCAAACAATCGCTCATGGCCAGATGGCGGGAACCCAATCTCACTATTCATCGATACAGAGTATCTGGGCCCGACGGAAGTTTAGTTAGCAGCCATGCCAGTTCGCACATCAGCCTTCGCTTAGTACCCGGGCAAGAAGTGGAGGACGTCTCCAAGGCGATGTCGTGGTTCCTGCGTCGAGAATTTGGACTTCTCGAATCTCAGAACCGGCTCAGCATTAAGATTGACAACAAGGCTGAACCGTGGCTGGGAGACCCTACAAACGAGATATTCCGCACCCTTGGACAAGCCATTATTGAAGCATGGCCAGATCGCTTCGACCGAAGCGGTTCTCCTGTTGGACTTGTGCAAACCTCCTCGGTAGCCAAGTCATCAAAGCCACGGCAGCCACTGTATATTCGCGAGGGCGGCTCTATTCCTGCCATCCGATTCTTGGAAAAAGAGTTCGGCGCGCCCGCAGCACACTTGCCCTGTGGCCGTGCCAGCGACGCTGCTCACTTGGACAATGAGCGTATGAGTCTTGTAAATCTGTTGAAGGCGAGAGAGATCTTTGGCAAGGTTTTTGCGCGACTGTAATACTATGGAAGTACCGGAACGTCTCTGTATCTGCCACAAGGAGAAATGAGTTGGTGCTGTTGACCTTTTTCATTTTCTGTTTTTGTGTTAACCACAACGCAGCTTTAGACAGAGAAATTGAGTTCAAAGTTGGGATGGGACGGGCTGGCGTCTCAGTAGTCGACGGAATGTCAGTGACATATACCTCTATCAAGAGCGGCAAGGAATTCAGTCAATCTCATGCCTTGTCACGCAGCCACTGCCGTGCGGCATCTGGGGCACGCAAACGGACACAGTCGATTGAAGAATCGTTTGGTGAGAGCAAGACAAAGCGTGAATTCATGCTATCGACAAGGTGCTGGTGCAACATGGACCAAAAAGTACAGTCTGGGCGGAAAAAGGCGCGTCACGGGGCTGCATCAGGTGTCGGCGGATCCTACAAATGCTTCCTCTCCTGGGGAATCCTGCCCTTGACAGTCCTACGACCCGACCCGCTGAGATCAACCACGCCTTGTCACCTTGGATGGCGTCTCGCCATACTTTCCATGTCCGTGAGGCCGCTCGACACGTTCATCCTGGCGCGGCTCCCGAGCCTTGGCCTTGATGTTTGCCATGCCCGACCTTGGCCGTCACTCTGTGACTCGGTCGGTCAGGCTCGTCAAATCGGTGGGCGGACCAACGCCTTGGGAGTAGCGCACCCTGCATCTCGCCCTGAGTTTCAGTTCCGACTCGCATGGCCTTTTTGGACGACCGGACATCCAACGACTTGAGTGTGCAGTCGTAGTGCGGCTCCGAAAGGGGTGCAGGGAACTGACTTTTGGGCTATTCCTGTTGCTCTTGCCCGAAATCGACGACGGCGGGGCGACTGATTGATAAGCCGGAGATGGCGCCGTGACCCGGGCCGGCCGGCCGGCCAGGACGCGGGGGAAGGAGGGACCTCGGCTTGTGGAAACTGCCATTGTCGTCGTTTATATGCCGTCAGTCCGTGGCGTGTCGGAGCTCGGGAGTCGGGACTGCGGTGCCGTCTCGCTGGACAGTCCAAACCTCGGCGCTCCTCGTCAGCGACAACTAGAACCGCATCATGTCACGCCAAAGTCGAGCCCGACTTCATCCCGCCGGCGCTCGTGCCCTACACCCGAGTTGCGACTCTGCGAGGCCCTCTGGCCAGGTTTTTTCAGCCGACTTGTCGGAAGAGCTGTGCATGGGGTCTGGTGAGTACCGATTTATTATTTTTTGTTCCCCGGCCTCTTCTCCCTTACGGAAGCCTTATTAGATTCTCACCCGGCACGTCAGTTGGACCAAGGTGATGGGCAATCTCCGTCCCCAACGGCGGCTACGTTGGGGGGGCCCCTCTCCGGATCGCCCAAGAATATCTCAACCCCCAAGACCGGCCCGACACACTTACGTCCAATACTTCAAGCGTGTCATGGCCGGGCCCGGCCTACCTTGTCATGGAGGAGGCCAAAATGGGACGCAGCAGCGCCGTGCTACACATCTCCCTGCACCAACACGGCATGTTGGCATCCCACCCCTGGGCCATGGCTGGACCCGGCATCCAGGTCCAAGGGCCAAGTAGCTGCATATGTCACCAACACGGGCCTCGACAAGGAAGCAAGGACTCACCCTGCGTGCCCGTTGGGGCCATGCTGCATGAGCCTCCCCCTGTGCCTGCGGACCTGACGCGCATCTGGTAGGGGAACGTCCACGTAGCCCGTTCATGAGGAGGCGCGTGCCGAGTGTCAATACGTTGGAGCACTACTCCCGAAGGGCCGCCCATGCCGCTCCCGCCACGCAGGATGTCTGGCTGCGCTGCGCAAACGGGGAGCCGCGTACCAACGTTTCTCTGGGCTCCGTGGCGGATGCTGCGGCTGCGCTTATCCCCAGGCCTACCGCCAGCGGGAGGGGAGCGAGCCCCCCAAGGAAGAGGACTTTGCGTTCAATCAAGAGCGCTTGTACCCGACCCTCACCATGGCGATTGAAGTGAAAAAGAAGCCGCCGGCCGGGGGGCGAGGAGTGGATGCGCATGCAGGCGCCCGACATGGAGATTATTGTGTTTGACACGACCGGGAACTTGATAGTCTCGAGTCATCATGTCTGCATGGTGATAGAACTGGCAAAGAACATCAAGGAGAGAACAAGACGGCGGGAGAAGATGTGAGACGTGGTCAGACAACAAAAGGCTTGTTTGTTGGTGTGCATGTGTGCTTGTTTGCTTGTTTGCTTGTTTCTTTCTTTCTTGCGGAGGGACACTAATCATCATCCGCTGGTAGACTTGACATGTATGTGCCTGATAAAGGGGACATGGGGGGAGGGAGCGACGCAGCCTGGCCTTTCGCGAATTCCTGACCAGGCGATAAGAATACAAGACTTTGGAACAAAACCCTCGTATTATTTGGCCGACGCCGTCCACATCTTGCCCTGAGCAGGGACCGAGGGGAGGGGGCGAGCGTTGTCTCCATTCACCTCGGTCTTGTCGTGCCACTGAGCCTCCACAAACCACAGATTTCCGCTCGACTTCCAGGCTCCTTGCCAGACGAACCTCGTATCAGCCTCCTCGAACAGGAGCTTCCAGTCGCAGATTTCCCTCTCCCGGCCGTTACAAACCGTCTTCATCAGCACATCGAGCAGTCGAAACGTCTTCTCCTCGGTCAAGGACACGGCCCCAGGGGCGGGCAAAACCACGTCGTTCAAGATAACGCGCGACCCGTGCCTCATTGCGGGAATCAGGGCCCTCAGAGCCCGCACGACGTCTCTGTCTGGGAACGCGTGGAAGATGTGACGAAACAAGTAGGCGCCCGCGACGGTGGGCTGGTCGTTGAAGAAATCGTGCGTGGTGAGCTTCACGCGGTCGACCAGATGGGGCGGGACTTTGCCGATTGTTGCTTCGGTCCGCATGCCAGGGAGGTCCTGGACTTCGAAGCGAAGGTTGGGGAAAGATTCGGCGATGGCCATGGATACGTAGCCCTCGTTACCGCCCATCTATTTTTCCCACGCAGAAGAGAGGGACAAGAAATTCGGGATTAGCCATGGTCCTTGTACGACCTCAACAAATCTCTGCAGCAGCAGCAGCGGCGGCGGCAGCAGTGGTGCCTTGGCGGCGGCGGCGGCGGCGGATCTTACATCTACGACAGTGGCGTTGCCCAGCTTTGCCCAGGGGTAGCTCTGGACTGTGTGCGACACGTCGAAGCCTTCACGGGAGCCGTGGGCTCGCATGGCGAGATCGTACCTCTTGGCCCGTGTTGTGTCTGTCTGGACGTGGTTGAAGAAGGTGTTGTTGTGGCCGTACGAGATATTGACGGCCTAGGATCAGATCAGGGAGTTGGTATTTCTTTTTTCTTTCTTTTCAAAAGACAAACAAACAACAGACACAAGATACACAAAAACACAAACGCACACACAAAAACACACGGACAGACAGACAGACAAACCCTCACACACACGCACACGCACACGCACACGCACACGCACACATACCGTCTCTGTGAGGTCCTGCGAACCAGGCCACTTTTGCATAGCTGCGACGGTGTTGCCGACGGGAAGAAACAGGTCAACCGTGTACAATCCAACCCAGCTGGCCAGAGTCTCGTCCTCTAGCATTACGAGCGAGGTGCGATTATGGGCGACATGGCCCAGCTCGGGTTCGCAAAAGAGATTGTTGGCCATGGCGAGCCGGAGGAGGCGGCGAAGCTCAGAGGCGGGAATGTTGAAGCCCGAGACGCGATGGACTTCCCTGGTGAGGTTGTCGTATGAAATGGATCCTTGTCGAGGTACTGCTTCTGCAATCTTGAAGGTGTAGATGGCGTGCAGAGGGATATAATTGACGACCTAGTAAAATGTTTTGGTTTGGAATCCCCTCAGCAATTTTTTTTCTTTCTTCTTTCTTCTTCTTCTTCAAGCACATATTGTCCAAGGGGGCGACTAGGCAGCAGCAGGATCATCATCTGCTTCTTCTCCTTCTTCTTCTTCTTGGAGGAGGAAGAGATTGCAATTCTGGATCCAGACAAGAAGGAAAGCAAGGCTATAAGGGACAAAAAGGGGAGAGGGGGAGGCTTACATCCAAGGCCATCAGCTTCAAAGCCTCCCGCGGACCCAGCACCAAGTCTCGAAGCTCCTTGGTCAGAGACAGAATCTGCTGTCTGGCCCTCAATGTCTCATCGTCAGACTCCTTGAGGGGGAAATCGGCAAGGCCATGCGGCTCATAGGACGGAGCATTGAGCCCTTGCGTGTGCAGCTTGTCCGTGAGGATCTGCGTGTTCTCCTGGATGCTCCTGGAGATTGTCGTCAGCCTGTCAACCGAAGGCTTGCCTTGCGGTCTACAGAGTGAATTCCCCATGCTCCCCATGAGAAGGCCGTTGTTAGCAGGCAGCAGGCAGCAGGCAGTCGGGAGTCGGGAGTACAGAGTCCAGTAGCGGCGGTAATAAGGAGCAAGGAGTACTCGGCAAGGGAGGGAGGTAGGTGATACGGGTTCGTGGCAACTTGTGACTGTGATTCATCAATCAATCAATCGATCAATCAATCAAATCAACACAATACAGGGGTTCGATGCTGGGTTGCCAACGAGACCGGCCAAGGGGGGAGGCAGATTTGGTGAATGCCAGTCAGTTGGACGGACGTAACTACTCGGTGTGTGTAATTCTGTCAAGTCCAAAGGGGGGAAAGAAAAAGAAAAGGGGAGGAAAGGAAAAAAGATGAAATGAAGGAAAAATTAGGAAAAGTGAAATCTGACGGATGGAAGGAAGGTTAACCCTGATTTTTTTTTTTTTTTTTTTTTTTTAGAAAAAAAGAAGGAGCTCCAAGAAAATAGACAAAAAAAAAGCTGAATTGAAATTCACTATTTAAATATAACAGATTTATTTTTATTCTTATTTTTACTGGAAACAAAGCAAAGACCAAGTGTCAAACTCCAGACCCAAGGTCTTGTGCAACCCGGGCTGGGCTACTTTATGCTCCCCGGATGGATGACCACGACGACTACGACTATTCACAGGGTTTGATCCCATCCATCAAGAGCAAGGATGAAGACAAGCTGGAGAGCATGGAATGGAAGATAATACTTAAAAACCCTCACATTCACATTCTGCCCCAGCACTCGGGCCAGATAACGTCCTGTTTCCCCCCCTCTCCGTGTGCGTGCGTGCGTGTGTGAATAGGAAGAAGGCCATGTTCACCGGCGGGGATTTGCCTCAGCCCAGTCTGTCGGGTTTAGTCTTGCAGCCAACCAAGCCAGGTCAAGCCAAGCCAAGTCAAGCCAAGCCAAGCCAAGCCAGGCCAGCAGAGCATGGAGGCCATGGAGGGGAGGGTGACGCAGCCTTTCTTTTTCCTCGATTTCAAAGAGCGCCGGGCCCATTGGCGTTCTGTGTCTGTGTCTGTGTCTCTGTCTCTGCGTCTGCTGCCTTGGGAAACATTGAAACATTGCCGACGGCGGGTTGCTGCCGCCGCAGATCTGGCTGCAGTGATGCAGGCAAGCAATGTGGACTTTGTAGCACGATCTTGTGTCCGTGTCATGCGGACCTTTTATTCCCCTTGTCCGTCCGTCCATCCATCGTATCTCGTCGACGCCGGAGACTTTGAGGTAGCCAAGTCGGGGTGGCGGTGGGTACAAACGAGTAACTAACCCATGGTGAGGGGGAGGATGAGGACGAGGGCGAGGGCGAGGGCGAGGCTGAGTGATGGCGAGTTTGGTCAGCGAGTGAATTTGAAGAGTTGAGCTGAGCTGAGTTGTGTGCGTGCGTGTGTGTGTGTTTGTTTGGACCAGCATCGCTGCCCACATGATGGTCTGTGCCTGTCATCACATGGCTCTTCTTTTTTTCTTGCCCTTTTCAATTCAGAGTGACGGATGGACCAAAAGCATCTAGCGTCGAGATGCGAGTACATGTACATGTACATATACGCACTTGAGCACGTATGGAATGGACAGACGGGAAAGTGGGTGACTCCCCCCTTCCGTTTTGGTCGTCGTCGTCGTCTTCTTCTTCTTCTTCTTCCTCTTCCTCTTCCTCATGATACTATCATCGCAGCATCGCAACACATACATACTGTCGGTATGCGCATGCCGTCATTCACACAGCCTCAACAATCAAACACTCGCACGCCAGGGCGGCAGTTTCGTCAACAAGTTACAGCCGCAACAACAGCGGTCACTACTGCGTGACACAACCCCTTCTGCAATTGTGCAGTGCGCGCGTGGCTATCGCCGATGACAAGATGACAATACCCAGGCACTTGGGAAACAAACCATCCTGCATTCTGCATGCAATCGCCATTGGCAGCTGAAAAGCGTCATCTTGTGGGGTAACATGACAGGTCAGGTGTAACAACAAACCGATTTGATCCATGCATCCTCCATCATCCATCAATATGCATCACCATGTACCGACCATGTACGCCCGGATGCCTGGATGTCCGTCCGGTCCCCTCACTCGGCAATCAGCTTGCACCGGGGAAGGGAAGGGAGGGGGGTGAGTCAAACTCGGTGCTCACGCACCTCCCTGCCGAGCATGCTGCATCCCACTAATGGTAATTCTACTTGACTTGCCTGCATACCTACGCATGTACTGACCCGTCAAGACGAGTGACGAGTCCCCGAACCAGTCGGCCGTGTGTAGCTTGGCAAATGCTGAACCTGCATTCTGGAATCGTGTCCACGGACGAAACGACCTTGACCTTGACCACCGTGCCGTAACTTATCCACCGCCATCGTGAACCCGGGCATCATGCGTCGCCATTGTCGCCGCCATTCAGCCACTTGATAATTCAGCATGCCGCCGACATTGTCCCTCACGCTATCGTCCAATATCCAGGCAAATTTTCCTCTGGTACAACCAGTCTCTCGACAAGCCACATCTCTACAAAAGGTCCGCGACGGACGTCACCTCCTCCCCGGACGAGCGGATGGGGCCATGACTCTGCAGTCTTTTCAAGTCAGTCCCTTTCATTGCAAAAATGCCCGCCTTGTTATACCTACTACAACAATACTTGGCATGTTCTGAACTACCAGACTCGATATTCGTTCGTCGCCTGCCTTGGACAAAGGTCTTTGGAAATGCAGTGTACAAAGTCTCAACCGTGCTGGTGCTGTTCTGACGCGGAGAAACAAAAAACGAATCCCATCTCATCAATATAATTCCTGACTGTTATGATCTACATGTGCCGCTCTCTCTCCTGGCGCCGCGTCCCATACCTGCACCATCCACCACCTCAGACTTCATTTTCAATCCTCTACGAACGTGGGATTCAGCTTCATAGAGCACTCAAATGCAAATGCCGCAATACCTCACGATCCAGCCTGGCCATGGAAAACCCTCACCTGAAGCGAACAGACCAGAAGCACTTGCCGAGAATGAAACTTGCCAAACTAACTGTCGGAAACTGTTCAAGACATTAAACCTCCAACCAGCAACATGTGTGCCCTCAATGCGAGTCGTGGATTCCATTCATGGAGTCTTCAATCTAAGGCAAAGCGAGACCGTCCAAGCAAACGGACATGACAGACATGCGTGTATCCCAAGTGCATCCGTTTCTATTCAGGGCGTGCAGAGACTCGGCAATAAACGAATGATCATATACATGATCATCAGTGAACAATATCTCGTTTCTCCTACGACCAGCAGTCACCCTCTGTGTCTAATGTCTAATGTTACTACCGCGACACCACCATCCGTCATAGCAGTCGAGATTGTTTCGCAAATCAGCAGCCAAATCATCAATATGGCGTCGCCACGCGCCGCAGATTGTGTAAACTGCGGTACCGAATCGACGCTGAAACGTGCTGGCTGCATTAACGCTCCAGAGTCCAATTTTGGTGATTCGCCCAATGTTGCGTACTGAAGTCAAGAGCGCCAGGAGCATCACTGAACACGACACAACGCTCGTAGTCGTGTCATGGACCAGAGAAAAAGACTTTTGCGTACAGCTAATCTATCAAAGCGGCCCTCTTGACGTCGAGGGGAAGTGATTTTCGACATCTACCTCACTAAAACTTGGACTATCTGGCAACTCTATCAAATCGTTGCTTAAAAATTCTGCGCATCACCACTGAGAATACCTTGACCGACGCGATGACTACCAACAAAGCCGGCAAAATGCAAGCGAGCCCGTCGTTCCACGCCCAGCCCCCCTCTAGAGCTCGACTTGTATTCCTGAAGCTGATCGGCCGGCTGCAAGCACTTGGGCCTGGCCTGCTCCGTAGGCATACAGCAGTCTCGGTCTTAGTAAGAAACGGGTGTCGATGAGCATTCCAAGTTACACAGTCAAGAAGCCGCCGGAGATGGGACAGGGCTTTAAGTATAATGACTGCTTGATACTTGGCCGACGCAAACTCGTGTCAAGGGGTGGATAGGTATAGTCCAACTTCATCGAGGGCATGTTCCTCCGACGGATGGTCACGACATGACAAGTAGGTTGGTTGGTTTGGTAGTCGCTTACAGGCACATGGTCTTTGAGGTTCCTCGATGCTACATGTCGGCCTATAGATACCAGGATGTCAAGTCTTTTTCTCGTCAAGAGCAAGCTGACCGGCAAGTTCTACATTGAAATGTATGTCAGGCACGAGGAACCGCCGCGATTTGATCAGGGACACAGGAGAGCCATCCGGGCTGATCATGTTCCAGGGCTAGAGAGGCCGTCAACTTCAATCTGTGTCTGGGGAATGAGACTATCCGAGGCGCAACGCTGTTGAGACTGAGAAAAGTCTCGGGTGCGGTCTGGGCAAGTCTGATGGGCATCAATCTATCTCTGGGGAAGCAGTCTGTTTCCTGTCAAGCCTCTTCTCCCGGATTTTGAGAAGGGCGAAAAGTCTACATCATACGCGATCTGCTTCGTTCAAATTCAAGTCCTGGGCCGGATACTCATGCTCACGCTCACGCTCACGCTCACGCTCACGCTCACGCTCACACTGGCAAAATTTGATGTAGTTTGTGCGCCATCGCACCCGATGGGAGCTTCCTCAAGGTTAGAGACGGCCATACTGCGTGTCACTGAGGAAGTCACTGGCAAGAAGTTCCAAACATGTCGGCCAACGAGCAAGGTGGCAGCGACAGTGGTGGCTCTACTGGTGTCAGTCGTCGTACCTTTTATGGTGGATGCTTCTTGTGGTGAGCCCCTGAACTTTGGTCGATCGTACCCCCAAAGCTGGGACGGGACACTTTGCTTCTAATTCGTCACGAAACCTTATCGCACGACGATCGTGTGCCACTTTATTAAGAGATTTGAAACAACTCATGGTGATGGAGGTCTGCGAAGGAGAGATTCGAATGCACATTGCACACTATGCTGTGCGAACGGTCGAGCGTCGAGCAGGCTTTGCAACGGTGTTCGGATTTTTTTTTTGGATTTCGACGCCGCAGTAGCATTGGAACTTGCTCGAGTGTCGCTGTCCAACTCTATTCTGGCGTAGCTGAGAAGACCCAGGCATAAAAATTCATGCTAGAAGAGCCCGGACTGGCAGGCTTTCAACATTGGTCCCCAGGCAAATGAAGTGGCACTCAATTGCCGGTGGATCTGATTCAAAAGATGATGGCCTGAATGACCGAACATTACACTCCATTGACCGCTGGACCTGTGTCCCACAAGGAGGTTCCGTGCGTCTTGGTGTTTAAAATAACTTGGCGCTAGTCGATGCTTCACGGCTTAAAACGAACAGGGTGTTTACTCGAGTAAAAGCCAACTCCCAGGATCCGTTTGCCCACTTCTATCGCGTAATATTATGTTGCGTTTTGTGACGTGTTTGTTGGTCAAGACCTCTAGCAAGGCACGCCGAAGACAGACGCTGTGTTCCTAGGATGTCTGACTGTGGCCCGATACCAAACCGCAGTGGTCATATTTCGTAAGAGACAACTGTGATGTCTGAGGGGAAGACAAAGGGCGTGTTGCGACGATATTCAGCATGCCCGATGACAAGAACATCCCTTGGTCCAAGTCGCCCTTGACACTGCCTGCATCTATTTACCCGTTTTTGCTTTTGCATCGATGTTGATTACTAGTAGTTCGTCGTCGGGCTCGATAAAATGAATGGAGCACGAAATGTCTCGTCCAGCCACCACGTGCGTTACTATGTGGCTGTCTTAACAAAACGCCAAACGCCACCACTGCTGAATACTGACTCGTACATAGTCCATCGATCGTTGATAGCTGGTCGTCTTGATAGTTGAGAAAGGTATCCCACCTCAACATAAGAGCATGAGCGCATTTCTTTTTCCACCGTTTGCTTTCCCGGATAGCCAGAGAGTTGACTGGGCCGTTGGCGGGCGGCTGAAGCATAAGCTTGCAGTGAAGACGTCGGGGTCAGGGAACCAGCAACGATGCTTTCCTGCCGTTGCCCTGCGCTAGCCTCGCCGCATCTCTGTTGTCAGCACGCGAGCAGCCAGGTCGGTGAGACGAACTTGAAGTGAAAATCATGCATGGCAGTTATTCTGTCTGTACTGGGTGGCTGAGTAAGCAAGCAAGTACCACGTACATGGTAGTTAATAAATGGCGTTTACCAACTTGCGCGTTTGGACCACAATTTGTGGCAGCGTGCATCACAATCACGTACCAAGACAGAGAGGGCGGGCAAACCCCGATACGCCATGGCGAGAAGTCGGCGGTTTTCAGTCCTTTCGCCTCAATCCAAGCGCCCTGGCTGGCTGCGCAGGCTAGCGGCTGGTACTAGCCGTACGGAGCACGGCGTATGACTGCAGCTCCCTGCCAAGTCGGTCGCCCTTGCCCACATTGGAGAGATCGGAATTTTGTGCCAATGGGCTTCGCGGCTTGCCCGACGCGATCCCGATGCCAGGCGGATGGAAGAAGGAGCGAGCCATGGAAGGCGTCTGGTGACATCTGGAGGGACGCTCAAGTCGCCGGTGCTTCAATGTTGAGGAGGAATGGACTGGTCGGCTCTAGGAGCACGCCGGACACGGCGGAAAGTAACTCGAGCCAGTCCCACGGTAACTTCAGTGCCCGGCAGTCAGTTTGGAATATCATCGCGTGCCTCGGCTGAGTTTGTCCGACGGTCTCAACTGAGGGGCTGAATACAGGGGCCCTGTTCGGGTCTGCGACATTTTGTCAAAAGCTGACGGGAACATGCACCGGTCTGGGTGCGCTTTTTACGACGCGGTCTTTGCTTTGAGCGGCCCTCATTTATTTTATTTTATTGTATTTTATATTATTTTGGCTACGGAGTACTGTGCGCGCAAATGACCTGTTGCCCGTTTGGACTATCGTTCCACGATCCATCTCACCACTTGTGGCTCGTTCGGAAGGAACCACTATACATCACAAAGTAATAAAAGCCGATGCTGCTGAGTGTCACCTTCCCGGCCTTCCAGCCAGTTTTACTCCGTGCCCTTGGGTTGGGCTCGCGGCCACCCAACCTTTATTTTGCCTGGTCCTGCAGCCTTTCGCTTCTCGACCCACAGCTAGTCCGCACTGGCCCTGGGCCGTCACCCGTTGCTTGCCCACTTCTTCCGGCGTCTCCTTTTGCCGGCGGGTGATTCTCGTTTTTACTACTAGCCTTCTCCTCACCCAGCGCGAGGCTCACGCGCTCGTCTCCTCAGTAAGCTAGCCCGGCCACCTGTGCAATTTTGCAAAGTCATCTCGAGGCGAGCCATCTTGCAACTGCACAGTCCTCGTCTATTGTTTGCCAAATCTACCGTCAGGGTTCGACTGCCCGGCGCCGATCTACCACTCTCTCGGTCGTCTCCCGGCTCCGGGACGCCTGCGGCCTGCGGTCACCAACCACATCATGACGCCCTCGCCCTTGCCTGGCAGCCTGGCTCCAGAGCCACGGCGACCGCGAAGCGCTCCAAAAGTCTCTGTCAACATCGCGGAAGGTTCAAAGGGCAACGGTCGGCGGTTCCAGCTCGAAGTGAGCGAATGTGTTGAGACTAAAACTGTTACAACCACAACTCGTCTTACTCGCAAGTTCCCTCAAGTCTTCGTTCGCGACCCAACCCCGCTTGAAAGCCTCGACACGAAAGAATACCCTTTGGCGATGAAACCAACGCCGCCAGAGTTGCTAGATTTCTCCTATTATGTCCCCGAAGACGACCAGACTGACGACCAAGACGGCCATTCCGACGGCGAAAAGGACGTCACCCAGGACGGCTCGAGTCAGCTGGTGGTTGCCAAACCCGTAAGTTGCACCAACTCTCTGGCCAACTTGGTCAAGCGCCAGGCTAGGCCTGGTAGAAGAACAGGAACAGGAATAGAATGCAGATCAGTTATTCCGCGAAGTAGAAACTAACGTGTCCGAAGCAGCTCAAGCAACTCGTGACCGGTGGCTCCCTAACACCTACGGCCGTGGGAACCGAATCCTGTCTGCATCAGACTCCGATGCCAAATCGAACCAGCCGGCAGGCATCACGGTCTCCTTCCGAAGCTTATCCCCGACGCACTCGCGCAGCCCGATCTAGCGGTGCAGATTCGCCATCGCCTTCAGCCTTTCAGTGTCGTGCCGCTTCTGTCATTACGCCTCGAACATCACTGCGCCTTCCCCGTTTCTCTACCTTGCATGCCGTGTCAGACAAACTGAGGCGATCAATAGCTCAGGGTGACTCGACCTCTCCCGGAGTCTGCGGTGGCGGAAACACGGATGCCGCCGGCATGCCGCCCTCCAGTCGCCGTGATGTTGCCGAAAGACTCAGCCGCGCTGGATCCGGTTTCCTTGCCACTCCCGATATTACTTCCGAGGTCGTTGGTTCGGCCATGGACCGCTCTTCCCAACGACGCCGTCCATCAGACTTGGAACGGCCTCCATCCCTGCAGGATCCTTCCTCCGTGCCTGCTGTTGCCTGTGACTCTGCTAGCCCAGCTGGGAGTGACTCTCATACTGTGTTCAGTAGCAACGTGGCTACGCCGCCAATCACCGATGCCGACCCCGAGCCTTTTGGAGACGCAGACGACTCACTTCAGCACTCCCTTCGTGCGGCAATTCACCACAGACCTACAATTGATGTCGTCGCTGCTCAAGATGCCAGCCTCCCTAGTCCGAGGTTGTCACCTACTCTTGCCGCCTCCCAATTACACTCCGCGGAGTCTGAAGATGGTGCGCAGTCCAGCTTCCACACATCAGCGAGTGACAATACCTTGCCCTGGGCCGAGGAGACCCAGGCCACAGATGACACCAAGGCTTTGCAGTTGAAATCAACCTCGCAGTCTACCGACGATGGAGGAGCTCTAAAACGGCTCGAATTGAACGATCGCTTCGGCCCTATTGTCCTTGACACACAGACGCTCCTAGAAGCATTTGACTCGATGAAGACCGAGATGAAGACATTCATGATGTATCAGTTCCTTCGTCGATGTCCACGTTCTACACTGCGATTGATAGCTGATACCGTCAATCCTGCCCTGAAGTGTGACTTTTTAAAGCAACTTCCCCTGGAGTTGAGTTACCATGTCTTGGCTTATTTGGACCATCGAGATCTGTGCAGAGCCGCTCAAGTCTCAAGGCACTGGCGCAATATCGTTGACCGCAATGAAACCGGCTGGAAGGAGCTCCTAGACAGAGAGGGTTATTGCATGGCACCTGGTGAATTGGGCAAAGCCATTGTTCAAGGTTGGGGCTGGCAGGATCCTGTTGGGCCCAGAGGCTACGAACGCGACTTGAGCATGCAGGGTCGGCTTACATCATCTGAATTTGAATTAACTCGAGCCTTCCGAAGCGATATTACACCAAAATCTAGGAGTTCGAAGCGAAAGCGTGGTCTTAACACTTATTCAGCATCGGAACGATCCAAACGTAGGGCTGGCACATCTCAGGAGTCTTCCACCGCTGCTTTGAGGGACCCAAAAATGGAGACAGAATTGAAGCAACATAAATCTGAGGGACCTCTTTCCGCTGCGAACGCAGCAGCAGCCGCCGTTCCCGACCCTCAGCTCGGTCTGCCTAGTCTTCGCCAACTTCATCTTTTCAAGTCGATCTATCGCCGCCATCACATGATTCGTCAAAGTTGGACAAGCGGCGATGTCAAACCTGGTCATGTCGCCTTTGCTGCCCATCCTCGGCACGTCATCACTTGCTTACAGTTTGATGATGATAAAATAATAACAGGGAGTGACGACACATTAATCCATATTTACGAGACGAAAACAGGCAAATTACGGAAGAAGCTTGAAGGTCATGAAGGTGGTGTATGGGCCCTACAATACGAGGGAAACATTCTTGTTTCAGGATCAACAGACCGGTCGGTCCGTGTTTGGGACATTGAGCGAGGACTATGTCAGCAGGTATTCTTCGGCCACACTAGTACTGTGCGATGCCTACAAATTCTTCTGCCTGCCGAGACCGGACGAGATTCCAGTGGACAAGCCATTATGCAACCTGAGAAGCCGCTGATTATCACGGGATCTCGAGACAGTCAACTGCGAGTATGGCGCCTTCCGGAAGTTGGCTCTCGCAGGTATATTCAGACCGGACCGGCAGCGCAAGAATCTGACTGTCCCTACTTTATCAGGGTGCTCATGGGCCACGCACATTCCGTGAGAGCCATTTCGGCCCATGGCGACACACTTGTAAGCGGCTCATATGATAGTACGGTGCGTGTATGGCGTATCAGCACCGGTGAACAGCTACATGTTCTTCGTGGTCACTCTCAGAAGGTATACTCGGTCGTGCTTGATCACAAGAGAGCCCGATGTATTTCCGGCTCTATGGACTCGCTTGTCAAGGTTTGGGACCTTGCGACTGGTGCTTGTCTGAACACTCTCGAAGGCCATAGCCTTCTGGTTGGCCTCTTGGATCTGCGAGACGAGCGTCTCGTATCTGCCGCGGCAGACTCGACACTTCGAATCTGGGACCCTGAGAGCGGCAGGTGCAGACATACGCTCATGGCACACACTGGAGCTATTACCTGCTTCCAGCATGACGGGCAAAAGGTCGTTAGCGGCAGTGAGAAGACGGTGAAAATGTGGGATGTCAAGACTGGCGAGTGCGTGCAAGATTTGTTGACTGATCTTACCGGCGTTTGGCAAGTCAAGTTTGATGAGCGACGCTGTGTGGCTGCTGTCCAGCGTGACCAGCTGACGTATGTCGAGGTGAGTTCAACCGCGGGACATATCAGAACTCGGCTTGAGTACTGTGCTGACTCTTTCTGTCGTAGATTTTGGACTTTGGTGCCATTCGAGATGGACAAGCTCCAGAGGAGCTGGGAAAGCGAATTTTATTAAACGAGCCTGAAGAGCGAGAGATTATTGACGATGGGGCAGCGCTAGACTGATGTGTCTTGTCACTACCCTTCATACCTGAAGATGAGATCAGCAGGACTATACGACATGGAGAGTAGCGCTGAATTAGTGGTTACACGAAGGTTTACTGCATGGAACAAGAAGATTTGGACGAATGATGCGGGAGATGAAGTATTGTTCCTATTTTTGTTTCAAACTGATATATCAGAGTGCATCGTCAGTGGTTTGGGGACGAGTCATGAATTGGCGTTAAAAGGGGTTTGAAAGACAGACGCATACATGTTTACACCATGCTGCTATCCATTATGTATCCTTCAAGGACAGATAAGCACAGGCTGGTGAATGTGATGAATGAATTGACAGGAGCTTTTGCGGCTTGGTGATGAGATATTCCGGTCAGGGTGGTTTTACAAAGTGCGATGCCGCGCTGCATGGATGATGGACGCGAGAGCGAGAGAGTAGTGTAATGGTGGAACAAAGTCCGCCGGCGCTGTGCAACATTTGAACAGCAGAGGTTGATATGATTAACGTCGAGGACAATTGTTTGCTCGCGCATCTATCGCACGTAGTTATGTGGTCGCGTTGCCGCGGTTGCCAGCCATTCGCTATTTCCCCGCAGACTGGGCGGAATTGGGCTTTACGAATTCGACTCTCCCTTTCTGGCATGCAAGACGACTCAGATATCACATGTTGCATTTTGTTGTCGTGCCGAATTGGGCGCTCGAGGTTTGAGCTGGCTCCCGTGGCGACAAGGCTGCCTCGGCCCTCGACGGAGCTATGCGGTCGAGGTACAAGGATGATATCACTCTTTACTCGGAGTCCTGAAGCCTCATATTATGGCTGGTGCCGGGATAATCCTGCCTCTGGGCCGCCGTTAGTTCGTTCCGGCTGCGGATGTTGAGCCGTGAGTCGTCCAACTGCCGAATCCTCCGCAGCACATCTCCGAACCGAGCTATACAAACCGGTTGAATCGGTGAAGGCCTTATGGCTTGAGGTCCCCGACAAATCACTACCGACTGTCGGCCCCCAATGATAGCCGGACGCTCAATCCGACTCTGTTTCCTCAGACCTTGGACTACATACATATGAGCAATATCCCGTAACATCTGTCCCTCTCACCCCTCCTAAAAACGGCCTGCCTCAACGCGCATCAAGTCTGACACCGATGAACCCAGAGACTACATCGGCGGTCATCTGACGCGCCGCTCAACCTTCCTTCTCTCATTCGTCTCGTGATCGGCATGTTTGAGGTCGGATATCCAGCACATTGGCTGCTTAGGATTTTTTCTTGCATCTGCGCTGGGGTCAGTCATTACTACCTGTGCCCGGCCGCCAACGCAGCGTGTTTACCACCCCAACGATGTCGATGCAACACGTCTAGCCAAAGAAATTCCCGTACAGCCCTGGGTCGCTGAGTTCACCATTTTGCTTAGCATATGGCGTCGTCTGCTTCCGTTCGGGAATGACTCGCTCAACGAAACCCTGGTCCCTGGTACTAAGCGTGTGAAATACCCCCCCGGGTCGATTCTTGCTGTCTAGGGTCGTCGTGATGGGCAAGCGGAGGCTAGCTCGGAGCAATGCTCCATGGCCGTGACTGATGATTCCGACGACAGTCGGGTTGATAAACCCGCCGACCTAGCAGCCAGACATCGGTCCGTCGCCGCAGTTCACCTCTTATGCATGAGCATCAAAATTCAGCGGCGTCCATTCGTATTCGTCAACATGCTCGTATATATCCACGCTCTCCGGGCCATCATCCGTGTCGTCGCTGAAAACGGAACCATCATCAACCCCCCAGTCAATAATGTATTTCTTGTGGATTTCTGCCCACGTCATGCGAGGACAATCTTTGCGGATGTCGCCAATTACGGGTAGATAAGGCGACTGCTTCCTTTCCTGATAGTGGACACCTTTTCCGCGCTTCACAACCACCATAAGCTCCTTCGCCTTCTCCCCGCGGGACATGATTGGGGCATATTCCTGCGTTGCAAAGGCTGCTGCTTGACCTCTTCCCGGTGGCGTCTGCTCGAAAAGCACACGCGTTGCTTCGTTCATCACGGAGCAGGCCTCGCCAGCCAGCGTAGATCGATAAATAGTAACCGACGGTTGACTTTCGATACCATCGCGGCTGTTCATGACACTGACCCAGTGAGCTGGCTGTGGCTTGCGCTGATACCGCTCATTGAGGTGCTCGTCGTTGAAAATGTCAGGCGGCTGCGCGTATCCGAGTAGTGATGAACCGTGGGAGATAAATCGTAGCTCCTTCCACCCCTCACCATACTTTATGAGAGTATTCAAGACATCGTAGCTGATGGATTCGCCGTACATATTGAGAACGGTAAAGGTGTCGAGTTGCAAGCCAGGCAGAAGCTTCAGAATGTGGACCAGGCGGTAATAGACATCCTGATCACCAAAAGAAAGCATCAAATTCTCCCCTCGAATTCGCAAGTGGCGGATCTTTGATAGAGTTGCCATGGAAAGCGCCGTCAATTTTACCATCATAGTTTCGGTGTCTTCGAAGCTGAACAGGACCTGGCCAAGCCAGCTGTCTCCAATTTCAGCTCTCACGCGACGGCAAGTTCTCAACAATGCGAGGGAATGAGGAGCAGGAGTAATTCTCATCTCTGCAATTCTTCTCACTGGTCTTCTGCCATGCGAGACTCTGGTGCTCAGGAAAAGGTAGCCGTATATCAAAGTTCGGAGCTCTTGCGGCAGTTGGAAGAACCAGCTCGATTCCTGGTCATTTGCTGCACACAAGGTAGAGTTGCCACTAGGATTCTTCCTCGATTTGCCTTTGGTCTTCTTCTTGCCCATCGTGATCACTGTGGCACGCGGCTGGAAGGGTTCAACTCGCTGCGATGAAAATGGTTCGCTATTTTGAACGCGGGGAGGAAAACGGGCAAGCAAACCTCAACGACCTGCCTGTGATACGCCCCACTTATTTATGGCTCCTCCCAGTTGACCAATTGGACCACCGACACGTATTTTATTTCGCCCAGAGGGGGCTAGGGTAAATGCATACGTACTCTCGAGGTTTCGCCCAAGAATTGATAGCATCAAATAAGGACTCGCGTGAATCATATGTGCCTTCGTCGGGGAATACTGCCTGATCCATGTTTCATCAATATGATTGGCGCTGCAATGTGCAGTGGCTGCAGGAACATGTCAGGGCACAGGTTCTGTCCCAGCGCTGGAGAAGTGCTGACATAATTTGGGCACCCGGACGCCCATGGTTCAGTCGCGGGGATGAAGACGGTATCTCCAGGTGGTACATTTCTCATCGTTCTCACAGCTTTCTTTGAACTTCTTTGGCCAGCTTCTGCCAAGTTCTGCACAATGCAATCTAAACCGAGATTTCTTCTTATGGATAAAGATGACGTTGTTTGGCAGAAACTGGACGAAGAGACTGAGGAATGGGACAAGTTAACTCGCAGAGAGGAGACATACCGCGACATCGGCAACATCATTCTGAAATATCGAGAAGGCAAACCAGAAATGATGCACGCAGTGGTCAAGGGAGGATATAATGTTATTTACAGGCTCGAATATAGCGATGGCTCGTCAGTCATACTGAGGATTCCAATCAAAGGTAAATATGCCTGCAAATGCCTGTTAACTACCAGATTGCTAACAGGACCAGGCGTCGTTCCACTTCCTGACGAGAAAGTCCGCTACGAAGTAGCCACAATGAGATATGTTGCCGCCCATACCACCATCCCGGTTCCTCACGTATACCATTACGCAAGTGCGGCCGAAAACCCGACAGGCCTTGGCCCGTTTATCATCATGGACTATATTGAGCATCATCAGAACATGTCTAGGGTGCTTCTTGACCCAGAACGCAGAGCTGATGAGCGCCCTATTCTAAACCCTGCAATCAGCGAGGAATGTCTCGGGTATCTGTATGCTCAGATGGCTAATATCCTACTACAACTGGCCAACTTGAGATTTCCTCGGATTGGTTCGCTGGTTGAGGATGGCAACGACCCTATCTCTGTGAAGGGACGCCCTTTGATCGGAAATATGGGCGACATTGTCGTGCACACTAATGCGCCATTAAGCACGCTGCCATGTCAGACCTATGCCTCTGCAGACGAGTGGTACCACGCTCTTGCAGACATGCACATGGCCCAGTTCGCATTCCAATGTAACGATGCCGTGGAAGATGAGGATGATGCCCGTGATAAATACATCGCCCGCCAGCTATTCCGGAACCTGTGCATTCAACAGCGCCTGTGGCAAGACTCGGAAGAATTTGACGGAGACTTCCGATTGTACTCTGAGGATCTTCGTCCAGCGAATGTCCTCCTAGATAAGGACATGCGAGTCGTTGGCGTCATAGACTGGGAGTTCGCGTACGCGGCTCCCGCGCAGTTCAGCTTTGACCCTCCGTGGTGGTTGCTTCTGGAAGAACCCGAATATTGGACTGGTGGATATCGTGCATGGATGGATGCCTACGAATCCCGACTTCAGACCTTTCTACGTGCATTGGAGGCCGAGGAGGAGAAAACTGAGCGCGCGGCACTCATTGAACGGGTTAACAGCTTGCCACTAACTGATGAAGAGGTGGAACCGCCGCTGTCTCGGCGTATGCGTGATAGCTGGGAGAAGCAGACATGGATGCTCAACTACGCGGCCAGGAAAAGCTGGGCGTTCGATTTTATCTGGTGGAAATTCTTGGACGAGAAATACTTTGGGCCCAACGAGCATCAGGACCACTTAGCCCGGCTCAAGCTACTTTCTGCCTCGCAACAGAAGGTGATGGAACGATTCGTGGCCCGCAAGATAGAAGAAAGAACCAGACAAGATATTTTTGAGTGGGGTAATGAAGAATCCGCGAAATATCTGGCTGAATTGCTCATTTGATATGCCTCTGTATTCCAAAAACAAGTCTCCAATGTGTGGGCGATAAATAGCGCTGTTAATTGTTGTATACATCGTGGTTCGCCTCGTGTACCAGGGTCACTATCACATTGTTCATTATCCCATTCCGGAAGGGTATTTGGACTGAAATGCTCAACTCCTGGGATGGTAGCAACAAGCGCCGGCGTCGCAAAGCCCGTGAACCCGCAGGCGAAGGAAGCGACAGCGATGATGAGTCTATCCCAGCACGCAAACTTGGAAAAGCAAGATGGCACCACCACAGACAAAACCATCGAACACAAATGTGTGAACCACCAAACGTCTCAACAGGAAGGATGTGTTGATATTCTTTGGTCCTGTGTGTGCATAGATAGGTGGGCACTCGCAATTCTATTATCCTGCCAAAAGGGTGATTCCTTTTTAACTACACTTATACCAGTCTTCCCGATGCTGCTTTGCAGTGCAGAGGAAGGAACCTGCATCTCCACAAGGTACGAGCACCAATCAGATGCACCAGATTCGGGCGTAGGGTCAATACCGTCACTAACTCCAGGGACAGAGGGACTTGGAAACAGGGCGCTCCCTTCAACACCTGGACTCACATGGCCCAGATCTCCTAGTGAATGACAGTTGTACGCAATCACCTTCTTCTTTTTTTTTCCCGCGTTGAACGCCAAACCGCGTGTGAAGACGCGCGCGGCCGTACTTTCCTTGGCAACTATGGATGAGCACCTGCTGGACCGAGGCCGCCATCAAGAAGCAACTTGGCCAACCCCGCGGGATCCTGGTAGACTCTGGCTAACGGAGGATATTCCCTATCCCTGTCGCTGTTTGGCACTGCGTATGAAAAGGGCATTATATATAAAGGCCATCGGGCTTATTGGGAATTGCCCGGCTAAGTTGACTGTGTGTTACGCATAGGTTCCAGTCAAACTGCAACTGAAACGTAGCTACACCGTTTAATGTGATACGTTTCAGCAAAACATTATGTAGTGGCCACTCTCCAAACTCCGCCATGCCAACATTATTATCCTGAGAATCGGTAGTCGCGGTGTCAACAACTGGCGACTCGGGCATGCTTAGCGCTGGCGTCGATGCATGGGGCTCAACCCACATCGTACGTTACTATACTAAATATATAATTACTACTAATTATAAGGATATATATATAAAGTTAGTTAGTATTTCTTATAAGCTAAGTTGATTAAGCTAAGAATGTGACCGCATCACGTGATAAGCTCGGTGGACTAGCAGTAATGATCTAAGTTTTGGAACAGCGATAGAAACTAGTCGAGGTTGAGAATTGCGATTCGACAGTCGAGGCCGGTGCTGGCACCCAAGTCCAGCTCAAATGACGGTCGATATCAAACGCAACATCCATTCACAAACAATGCGTGCCTGCCTCCAGACCCGAGACAAGACTGCTTGGGCTGTGCGCTCTGGGTCTTGGCTCTAGGCCCGTGTCTTTGCATACAACGATTTTGGGCCTGTTGGTGAGGCACTGTTTAAGCCATGAGTGCCCTCGAGCTCGATAAGTCGCCAGCACCGGAGTGGTCCGAGGTTTTGCGGCGTGATGGCTGCATTTTGTTGATAAAGACGCCGACGTGCAGGCAGCATATGGGCGAGTCAGCCCGCACAATCACGGGACGAACGGCGCGGGGGGTGATTCCAACAGGCCTGAGTTGTAAAACTAGATGTTTGCAAAGTTTGAAGATTGAATGAAGGAGTGTGACGGACGCTCCTCTTTTCTGCGTCGGGAAGTGCGGGACGCCGGGACTTGGAAGGTGGAGCGTTCACGATGCTGGGCTGCTGGGAAGGCGCGATGTAAGAAAATATCCAGACTTTGGAGTCCGGGGTCAGGACTCACTCAGGTCGCGGCGTCCAGACCGGACCTGACTGCGTTTCTCGGGCCAGCTTCGCCCAAACGCTGAGTATTGATTTTTTTTTTTTAATTCGTTAATTCTTTTTTTTCTATTCTTTTTGCCCCCCCTGTTCCTTGTACTCCCGTGTCACGAAGCACGGCGACGACGTGGCGTAGCCAAGACATTGGATCAAGGATGGATCGTCAGGCGGTTGGGCAGCAGCTGCATCCACGCTGCATACCACGCAGGGCGTTTCGCAGATGCATCCATGCCATCCCTTTTCCCAACGTCCTTCAAGCCAGCATGCAGGCCTTGCCCGATATCTTGCGTCAGTCTCTGCCTTTGTGTGCCGAGTCCGAATACAGTTGCTGACTCGGGTTCTCGGAAAAGGTCACTGGAGGGGACATACGATGCACATAGGCATCGCGAACGCGAACGCGAGCCACCATTCGCCCGCGTCGAACAAACAATGGAAAGAAAGGCCCTTTGACGCGCTGGTCGGCCGCGTGGCGCCGATTTCTGCGGGTTCAAGCCGCCATTGAGAGACGGGATGCCCCGCGTTTCGCCAGTCAGGGGCCTGGCCATGGCCGGTCAAGCTGAGAACAGAGGCCTCCACAGATCCAAACTGGCGCCAAAGCTGGTGATGACGAGAGCGAAAGAGAAGGCCGGCAGAGAGCCAGCAACAACTGTATCGACCGGGTACGCAAGGCCGGACATGGACCCGAGCTGAGCTGGTACTTGGTGGTAATATCGGTCCAAGGCCCATCTTGGCCGAGCCGGCAGCCTTGACCAATATGATAGGACATAGCCCTCACCACTTGTCACGTCTTGAGTCTGCAGCAGCATGTGGGAGTGGGCGCTTCCCATGTTTCATGCAACAGCGCCTGACGAAAAGAACTAGCCGGGAGCCAATGGCATCAACATCGTAGAAGCCATGTGTGAACAGCAGGGCCACAGCATCAGTCGATCCACCTTGACATGTCTTCTTTGTTGGCTTTACAGCGTGTTGCCTCTCATGTATTAAATCCCCATTTCTATCCAAGGCCAAGTTCGAGGACCTCAACCCAGCACTTCGTTCCGCATCATCACACCAAAACTGCCGGCCTGCCTCTATCAGTTCCTGTGCCACGGTGCAGAGCGGTGGGTTCGCACTCCAACTCACTTCCCTGGTCGACGAGTCTCTTCACCGACAAGTTACAATTATCGAGGTGGGGTCAAGAGTCAAGACGGTCAGGACGGTCAGGACGGTCAGGACGACCAGCCTCTCCTACCGCCATTCTGGGGCCCTTGAAAACATCACTTTTATACGATTACCGTGTGCGGTATTTTGATGAGACGAGGAGACGAGACGGACGAACTGGTGCGCGATAACGCCCTTGCAGCAACATGCCTCTTGAGCAAACCATCACGATTGTCAACAACTCTGGCAAGATCATAAGCACTGTACGTCACCGATACAGCCAATGCACACACCTATGAAACATGGCACCATAACTCGGAATGCACATCAACTCCCATTAGGAGCCAGCTTTGATCTAACTCAACACAGGGAAAGCAATTATTCTCCATCTTCAAGGAAGCAAAAACATCTTATGATGAGAAAAAGGCAGAGATTAGGGGAGTGAAGCGATCTGAAACGTTCGACCAGCCTCAAATCCCCTACCAGTATGATGACTATCCAAGATCACGAGGACATAGGAGTCATAGCGGCCGTAGTATGTATGAGCCAGAGTACTACACGGAATATGACTATAACAAGAACCCCGGATCTTACGATGGTCGACTACATTCGTTCGACGTCTACAGCGAAGCAGGCTCCCGAAGAAGCCATCACACGCCCCGGCCGCACTCGAGATACTACCAGCGCAGCCCGAGGAATCGGCCAGCTTTAACCGAGGACAATCTGAAGGCTCTGAGCGAGATCTCTAGCACCACACCTAGCAAACCGCCCATGGCATACCGCAGTCCTTATGCGGAGACACTCCCCAAAGACATGGCGGTGTCAAGGATGGACCTCACCCAATATGATATGAACAGTGTTGCTGAAGATGAATGGAGACGGTCTGCTCTCCTCCGGCGAGCACCTGAATCACAAATCGCCAGACAGGACGAGCCCAAGGACAAGGAGATCGACATGAATCTTGCGTACGGAAATATCCCTCCAGACTTGGAATTTAGAGTCGATCTGGATCCTTCGCAACAGACCGAAGAGCAAAAGGCCAACCAGCTGATTCGTAAGGTTGAGGGCCTTTTGGACGAAGCACACTGCTTACAGCACTCTGCAACATCCACCATCAAGCATCTTCAGCAAAAGCCCGACGCAGCCGCAGCAGTGGCCCTCACTCTTGCGGAGTTATCCTCTGTAGTAGGGAAGATGTCCCCTGCTCTTCTCGGCTTCCTTAAAGGCGGCTCTCCCGCTGTATTCGCTCTGCTTGCATCGCCTCAATTCCTCATTGGCACTGGCATTGCTGTCGGTCTGACTGTGGTTATGTTTGGCGGGTGGAAGATTGTCCAGAGAGTGAAGGAATCACAAGTCCCCCGGGAGGCTATCGCATATGGCAACGCCTCGATGGATCAGCCTGCGCCGCTGCGGACACAGAGTGACTACAATGCCAGCTTTGATGAGGCGCTCATCGTTGATGAGGAGCTGAGCACTATCGAATCCTGGAGGCGAGGCATCATGCCGTTTGGCGCCGATAACGAAAGTGCCGACATCGAGCTTATCACCCCCGAGGCAGAGCGTGCCCAGAGAGAAAAATACAAGGATGACTTTGACCATGGCTCATTCAGAAGCGCTCGTACAGAGCGAAGTACCAAGACGGTAAAAACGACCAAGACTTCGAAGACAGCCAAGACGACAAAGCCGACCAGATCGCAGAAGACATCGAGCAAGGACAAGGACAAGGACAAGGACAAGGACAAAGAGAGAGAAGTGCCCGAGCGCCGAAGCAGCAGAAATGCTACTGTGGAGAGCATCAGTGGCGACTCTGAGTCGGGAAGGCATAGGTCCAGCAGGAAGCACAAAGAAAAAGAACGTCCAAGGGAAAGGGGTGTCAAAATGATCGAGGACGGGCGAAGCAACAGCATGGATCTCGTATACCGACCAAAGGCACAGCGACAGGGCGACAACATGCTGAAGGCGCTCTTCAAGAACAAGGACAAGCACGACAAGAAAGCTCAGTTTGTGGTAGCTTAAGCGTGGCCATTGTATTACCAGGGGATAGAAGCTCGAGGGGTGACGTTGCGTTATATGATTCAATTCACTGTTGGGGGAATTTATCCAAGACGTTGCGACAACAGTCGACTGTAACGAATCATTCAACGGAGGAGGAGACGTGGCGTTTGGAAAGCACCTGATATTTAAATAGTTTGTAACATGAAACATCTTTCAACTGTGCTCTGATTTTACGCCCGCTCCACGTGGCATCATCATGATGACAACTACAACTCTGAATACAAGTCATTACTCCCATTGATGGGGTCGACCACGACGACCTGCGTCTTCTCCATGCCTAGACGGCGGAACGAATATGTAAATCGCCAGCCACTCGCCGCCGCGGCGTGCTCGCCCTTGTTGTTCATGACGACGATGCCGGCTTGAATGCGAGGGAACCGATCCAGCATCCGCCTCACCGCATCCTCGGCAGCCGCGGCCGGCGACATGCCCTGTCGCATGCTCTCCACGGCCTGGTAGCACGGCAAAAGCCGCATCATGAGATCCCCATCGCCCGTGGCACCGCACCCTCCGACGCGACTGTCGACGTAGGCGCCGCTGCCGGCAACGGGACCGTCGCCGACTCTGCCGGGGATCTTGTGCGCCTTGCCGTTCGTCGTGGTGCCCGCGGCCATGCTGCCGTCCTCGCCGAGAGCAACGAGCGAAATGGTGTCGTGGCCTGGTCCTCGTCGCCCGACGACGCCCGCTCTTCCCTCCTCCTCCTCCTCCTCCTCCTCCCCCTCCTCCTCCCCCTCCTCTGGCGCCGCGTCCGAGACGCGATTCCCCGACGGCGAGTAGGGGCCGCACGACCTCCTCGGGCCGGGAAGCACGCCCACCCTCGAGTTGGGCTGGCAGTGGTTCCGCTTCCACGCCTCACACGCGCCGCGCGAGCCGTCTGTCGCCAGATCCTCCTCGCGGAACCCGTGCTGCGTGGCGAACTGGGTGGCGAGCTCCCCGACGAGCATCGTGTGCTCCGTGTACCGGAGGACGTGTCCCGCCACGGCGATTGCGTCCCTGACTCGGCGCAGGGCCCCTACGGCGCCGACGTTGAGGGTGTCGCCGTCCATGATCATGGCGTCGAGGGTCGTCTCGCAGTCCTCGGCGGGTGAGCCGCCGTAGCCCACGGTGCCGTCGCACTGGTTGGCCTCGCAGGCCGCGCCGCCGATTTGCACGGCGTCAACGACGGACCGGGCGTTGGTGAGGGCGTGGAATGCGGCGTCGGCGGCGACGGTGAAGGGGCCGCCCCAGGTGTGGATGACGATGGGGGGCGCGGTACCTGTCGCGACGAGGGAGGGGACGAGAAAGGAGAGGAGGAAGAAGGAAAAGGTGGTGAGCATGGCGCGTTGCCTTGTTGCGGACGCAGCGCCAGGTACGATGCCTGCTTATGCGGTGTTTGCGGTTTGCGGGAGCGAAGTTGGCGTTGATTGAGACTGGTGAGCGTCGGTCGGGAGAGGAGCAGATGGAGGGCAGAGGACGAAACATGAACGTGTGCACATGGCAGTCAAGATGAATGACAAGGGAATCACGATTCAGAAATTCTGGTAAAATACTGTACAGGTGTAGAACACGGCTTACGACGCTGTCATGGCGGAACGGAAGCATGCTTCTGTGTTGTTTCGTGTGCTTATTCCAAACAGCTTTTTTGAAGGCACTCGATTTTTTTTCGTCTTGCTGAGCAAGCTCCTCCTTTCTCCTCCGTTCTTCTGGTAACTATGCTTCGAGGGCGTCTGCACTGGGACTTTTCGTGGTGGTTCGGAACAAACGAGCTGGCTGCGATGCGTGGCTGGCGCTGCGTGACCCTAACCCTAACCAGGTCTCTCTGCCTCGGTTGGCGGCTACCAACTTTTCCTTGTCAAGATACTCGGTAACTACTCCGTACATTGCTCTCATTTGCGAGCCACAACCATGGCCGCGAACGAAATCTCGCCATTGTTGCCTCGCAATCTGCACGTCGCGTCTTCACTGCTCCTGCTCCCCACGTGCGCGCCTCTCCCGTCTTCGTCTTCGTGTCTCGGCAAACTTGGGTGCCAACTTTTTGTCTGCGGGGGAGCCGCAGCCGGACGGACAACTCGTTCTTCTTCGAGACATAAACCCACGTCGCCTGAGACAAGACGGCGAGGCTGCGTCCGATCACGGTCTGAGGGGCTGGCCGAGGGACCGGAGCTTGCTTTGTGCAACCATTCGCTTAATCGTGTCCCCAAGAGCTCGCCGAAAAGAAAATCACCGTTAGCACAGGCACCGTCGTACTCGGCATCGCGCGCAGAATCGTTTCGGCTCTACGCCCCGATGAGTCGCCATGGTCCGCATGCAGGTCCGAGCCGATACGAGACCGCTTGCTCAATCCACGCCGTATGTTGGAGGCAGGAAGGGCGACAACTACCGCTTCACAGTCCTCGCAGACGGCGTGCTGAGATATGAATGGGCGCCCGATGGCAAGTTTGAAGACCGCCCGTCGGCGTTTGCTGTTCACAGAGAACCTCAGGGCCTGCTCTACTACAGAGTACGAGAGTCGGCCAGTCGGCTCGAAGTCATCACCTCTCGCTTCCACATGACGTACAACAAGCAGGAATTCACGCCTTATGGCTTCTTCGCCGTCGTCCCTGGATACGCGGCTCACACCTGGCGCTATGGGGAACCAGGCCAGAATCTCGGAGGAACGTGCAGGACCCTCGATGGTGCGGACGGCCGCATTGCTGTCGGCCCTGGGGTTGCGTCCCGTGACGGGTTCGCCAGCATCGACGATTCTCGCTCGATGCTCTTCACCGAGGCTGGCTTCGTGGCTCCGCGGCAAGCCGGAAGGGACCGTGTGGACGGCTACCTCTTCTGTTACGGCCGCGACTATCGTGAAGCCGTGAGGGCTCTTTACAGAATATCTGGCCCGCAACCCGTCCTGCCACGATGGACGCTGGGGAACTGGTGGAGCAGATACTACGAGTACACTGCCGAGTCGTACTTGGAACTCGTGGACATGTTCAAGAGGATTCGCGTTCCACTCGCGGTCGGCGTAATCGACATGGACTGGCACATTGTCAAAGGCCCTGAGGTTGCTGCCGCCGGCGCAACGGGATGGACCGGATATACCTGGAACAGGAATCTGTTTCCGGATCCAAAGGCCTTTATCCAGGCCCTTCACGACCGGAAACTCAGGACAGCACTCAACGAGCATCCGGCCGAGGGCATCGCCAACTACGAAGACATGTACGCGTCCGTGGCCCAGGCCCTCAACTTCGACACCTCGAACAAGGAGACAATTCCGTTTGATTGCGCGGACCCCAGATTCCTCAAGGCTTATTTTGACATTCTCATCAAGCATCTGGAAGACGACGGCCCTGACTTCTGGTGGATCGATTGGCAGCAGGGTCCGTATTCTCGATTGCGAGACCTCGATCCGGTGTGGCTCCTGAATCACTTCCACTTCCTGCACAACCAGCGACTCCAGGCGGAGAGAGAGCCAAGCGAGCGCCCCATCATACTCTCGAGGTACGCAGGTCCCGGAAGCCAGAGATACCCGATTGGCTTCTCGGGAGACACCATCGTGTCATGGGACTCGCTGGCCTTCCAGCCCGAGTTCACAGCAACGGCGAGCAACATCGGCTACGGCTGGTGGAGCCACGACATTGGCGGCCACATGGCCGGCGTTCGGGACGACGACCTCACGTCGCGCTGGGTGCAGCTTGGCGTCTTCTCCCCCATCATGAGACTGCATTCCACCAAGACGCGGTGGGTGTGCAAGGAGCCGTGGAAGCTGCCCGCCGGCTCCGGACAAGGTCCTCGGGAAGTCGTCACCAAGCTCATGCGTCTGCGGCACCGGCTGGTTCCTTACCTGCACACCATGAATGCTCGCGCCGCCGAGGAGGGCTGTCCGCTGGTTCAGCCCATGTACTGGGAGTACCCGGACAGGGAGGAGGCATACAGAGTGCCCAACCAGTACTACTTTGGCACGGAAATGATGGTTGCGCCCATCACGACGCCGCAGAACGCGGCCACAAAGACTGGCAAGGTTGAGGCGTGGCTGCCGCCGGGCCGACACATCGACTTCTTCACGGGCGTCGTCTACGACGGCGACAGGTCCCTGTGGCTGAATCGCACTCTGGACAACATACCCGTCTTGCTGAAAGAGGGTGCAATCGTGCCCCTCGACGCGAGCCTAGAGCCCGAGAATGGCTGCGGCAACCCCGCCGGCTTCGAGGTTGTGGTCGTGGTCGGAGCTGACGGCCGTTTCGAGCTCTTGGAAGAGGACGACGACGAGCACGCCGAGGCCAGGTCCGACGAGCCGATCTCTTGGCGCAGGACGCCCATCTCCTTCACCCAGTCAACGGGGACAATAACAATTCATCCCTCCGGGGAGGGCAGGGCCCCGAGACCTCGGGACTGGAGCATCCGGCTGCTGGGGTATACGCCCGCCCAGTCCCCAGACGTCCTCGTGAACCAGGCGCCCGTCAGGGCGGACATGTCGCGGGCGGACGGGGCGTCAGGACTGCTGATCCGAGTGGGCGAGGTTCCTCCCGGCGGGAGCGCCATTGTCAAGTTCGGCCCCGAGGTTCGCCTGTCGACCAACGACCCTCTGGCGCTGGCGGACCCCGTCGTGTTTGCCGCCCAGATTCCGTACGAGACCAAGAAGGCAGTGGATCGCATTTTGGGACGCGAGGGCGTGACCGCCGCGGTGCGTGCCTCCGAGGTGGACGCGACCGACATGGACCCCGACTTGCGACTCGTGTTGAAGGAATACCTGTTGGCTGACGGTCGGGTGTGACGGAGATTGAAGGCCACTTGCTTCGGCCGTGTCGTGGTCGCAGCTAGGCACCTTGTCTCGATGGGTTTCGGAGATTTGCGCTCGGCGAATTGCTGCGAGATGCTAATGGGCATGTATAATGACATCTCGGCTGGTTCAACAACAGAATGAAGCAATGCAGTGAATTGCAACATGCTTTGAAAGATCTGTCTGGTATGTAGGACGATCAGAGTTCACATCTCTCCGGATGTAACGTCGTCGTCACTTGTGCTTGTAGTTGCGCCCTTGACGACGCACTTAAACGTTCCCCAGGAGGGTGAGACGAAACTTTGACACAACTCAACTGCGACGACGGATCGCTTGCGGGGCCAGGAACAAGTTGTCAAAATGACGGATTTCTACTAATCTATGTGCCCCGTGTGGCATCTCCCCAAACAAAGGAAAAGGAAAGATGGGCAATTCCCCTCGTCAGCCAAGGGCTTGCCCGAGATGCGCCAAACGGGAGCCGTCCGTCTCGTCTCGGCCCTGGTTTGCGTGCAAGCCGTCACCAGACACCAGCTGACGCTACGCAGAATCAACTGCTACGACGGCAGCGGTGTTGCCGTGTTGACAGCAGACGTGGCGACCGCGCTAGATAGGACCGTGTTTCCTGAACTCCTTCAACCATTTCTTCACAATCTCCAGCTCCTTTCCCTGCATGTTAGCGACTTGCTGCGGCGCCTGCGACATATCGCCTTCCCAAAACTGCTTGTCTCCCTGTCCGTTCTCGTCCCATTGGTGCACGCCCCAGTCCATGAGCTCGTAGGGCTCCGTCCAAGTCGAACTGCGGTCAGGCAAGCCGTCCGCGTGGACGCCAGCGCATCGCCACGGGTCCTGCTTGCCGTCGATAAAAGCGACCCGGGGATAGCTGAAGTTGAAGCCGCCGTGCTTGTTGATTGTTTCAACCTGGGGGCGGGACTTGATGCCGAAAACGGCCTCGCATGTCAACGATGCCGACTTGGCCGTTAAGGCTCGGGGTATCATGGCAAGACGATCGTGGGGCGTCGAAGCACCGTTGATGAAGAATCCCCATCTGTTCGCATGACCAGGTTAGCGATTTGGCCTGCGGCCTGTGGCACCATTTGCGAGGAGCGAGGATGGACTCACTCTGTGCACATTTGATACAACCAGCTGCGTTCCCAAGAATTCTTGCTGATTTCCGTCGTGCCCTTTTGGCACTGGGTCGACAGGCATTGTTGAAGCGGCGTTTTGCATCTTTTTGGGTCCTGGTGGGAGCCGTCTGTAACGGCTTTGCAGGCTGCCTTGTCTTTGTTGACCCTGTCTTTGATGTACCCGATGTAGTTGAGCATGCGCATTGTCAGCTGCCTGCTGTTGCCGCCTTGGACAAGGCCGGGCGCCTCGACGTATCGTCTGACGCGATCTATGAGATACTCTGTGCTCTTGAAGAGAAGCCAATTCGAGGTAACGACCGCGCAAAACGTGCCAAAGCTCGTGTCGTCCAGCTCCGGGTCCCAGTTTGTGTCCTGGGCCGAGGGCAGCTGGTCCGCGAGGTAGCCGGCGAATTGGTCGCGTCGCAAGTCCCGCAGCCCGAAGATTGCCTTGAACTCGGCCTCTTCGTGCTGGAGGGCATGATCGACAATGGCAGTCAGATGCTGGATGGTGGGCGAGCACTCCCCAGGGGCAAACCAGCGTGTTGCTTCGTGATACTGCCAAAAGTCATCAATGGCAGCAGTTACGCCGGACGAAGAAATGGCGCCCCAGAAGACATCAGGGTAGGTCTTTCGAGCGATGGCCACGAGTCCCCCCGCATAGGAGCCGCCATAGAGAATATGAGGGCTTTCAGGGGAAGCCAGGCTCAGTTTGTCGTGTCCCGGAATCTTGAGGTTTTTCGAAAAGAAGGCCACATCGGCGGCTGCCTGTTCTGTTGTCAAGAATCGGTAGCTCTCGGTGGTAGCATTCTCTGTTGGCCAGCTTCCTCCGTAGTATCGATGTTCCAGGACAATGCCAACAGCGCCCGTGATCTGGGTGATGTTGAAGCCGATGCCCTTTTCAAGAAAGGGCAAGCGGCCTTCCCCGCTGAATTCTCCCGAATGTATGATGAAGACTGGGCCGCCTTTCCTGTAGTGAGAAACGTCGGCCCAGTAGCGAAGGTTGAAGTGGTCCTTGGAATGCGGTTCGTATTTGGTTTCATTGGGGAAGTGGTCAATTGGCACCGACATGCTGTAGGCCTTGATTGCGCTTCCAGTATTCACCGCCGCAGGTTCCTCGGTTTTCTCTATACCTCGAACCGCTCCGGTGCTTCTTGCAAAGCGTGGGATACCAGCATATAGAGCAGCCACCTGGCTGGCTCCAAAACCGAGCGCGACGCAGAGGTTGCGAACCTTCATGTTGGTGTACGGGGTCTTGTTTGTCCAGCAGATAGGACTCTCGACCAGGGTAGAATTGCAAAGATGAAGACTTGCGTATCGGAACGAGGACAATGCCACTCTCCCTTTGCCCTTTTTATGTGAAGGTCGATCACGCAAACCAAGAAAATTAGCCTTCGGAACAGCCAGACCCTACTTTAATGTCAAACAAGTCTAGCCAAGCCATAGCCTCGACTTGCGGCAGCCCGGCCCGTGCCGTTGAGAGATGCGTCAAGTACGGTCGCCACCCAGTGAGCCCTGTTTTGAACGAGGCTTGTCGAAATGAGTGCCTCATTTTCATCCCTAAGGGGGGAGTCACCAATGCCCCTCCGCTGCGGTGACATGGTTCCATCACTACTCCAGGTGCATTGAGGTGGCTGGCAAGGTTGTGTTGCCGACAGTTCTCTTCGTGTAAGTCCGGTGGGCGGCAGTGCCGTCCGGCCTGCGCTGAGAAATGTTGACTCTGTCGTGGTCTCACCCTTACGTACTTTGGGGGTGCCACGACGACAATTAAACCAGCGACCAGCAAATCGGGACGGGCCAGACATGGTGGTGTTGCGTCCGGGGGACACGATGACGGAACGAGGCAGAGACGGACCGTCGGAGGCGCAACGCGAGATAATAAGAAGACCAACTTAATGGTGCCACGCCCTACATTAGGGTTGTTCAGTCGAAGTTCTGACTAGTGGCCCGAGATGGTCCTCATGACCAAGGCTCGCAGCTCTCGGACCTAATGGCATGATTAACCTCAGCGCACGTGATCGGCACTTTTTATTACTTTGGGGCTTGAAAAGGTCCACGCTGGATTGAACACGAGCTTCGAAGCATCGTCATGGGCCTGACGGCAATAGACAGGAATGCCATAGATTTTAGCAATCTCCAGCGTCCAACACGGGGTGCCCAACGTCCGGTCTTTGTGTCTCCAGGTGATTTCTTACACCCTTGGGACATCAGTGCAATTTGCGAGTCGCTTGTTTTTCGAACCGTGTCCACACTTGGGTGTGCCGCAAAAAGGAGAAAGAAAAAGAAAAAAAGAAGGGAAAGAAAAGTCCAGTGTACTGTAGAGTGGGCTGCAAGCTATGATTTGGATGCAACTCAAGGTCTCTCCTCTGCCTCTTGATCTTTGTGGCCTGGTTTTGTGGTTTGGGGTGGTTCAAAGTTCGAACCAAAGCAAAACCGAGGTCGTGTACTTTGTGACTTGTGACCTTGCACAACTTTGTGAATTTTCTGACAGAAACACCCGTAAAGGGCCTCAGGCACCCACACACAGGGCCACAGCCGGCCGCGTCACCAAGACTCCTAGCATCGCGTCGCGGAGATTCGACGTTGTATGGAGCCGTCTCTCTTTTGTAGCTCAATCCACGGCTTTTACTATCAATGCAGATCGTCATGTCTCTTCCCGTGTCTCGAGCAGATTCCCGATAATCGTCGGGAATCTCTGCATCTCCTGCAGGTTCTGGAGCGCCGATGCAGCATCAAGTTGAGAGTTCTTCCAGGATGCCTTTGGATACCGGATGGACAAGGCAGCTTGGACGAGACATGGCCGGCATCTCATTTAGCAGCGCAATCGATGAACAAGTTGGTCCACCGGTAGTTTTCGGCTTCGGCTCGCGCGTACACAAATCAATGCAGTATATCAAATATCGCTTAGTCCGTCTCGGAACGCAAATGTTGAATCACGAATGCCGTCATCCATGTCCCAACACAAACAACTACCTCGTTACGTTCACGTTGCCAAGTTTCGCCAGACGAAGAGGGAACCTGGCAAGTCCAATTGCCCGCCTCTTGTGCCGCGCTGATTTTCCTCTGGATGATCATGGCTACAATTCGGCTTTTTACGTCTCTTAGATTGTCGGCTTCTCTTCTCACCAACAAGGAGTTTTCGTATGATATCCCAACAGCGATGGAAGCTTCGGCATTGGCAAACTTCCCGTCACTCTAAAAATAATGTCTACTTCGACGCTCAATGCGTGCCCGTTTCGTATACACACCCGCACACACATTACCGAAAAGCCGACGCAACGCACTGAACGCAGCACCATCTGAAAAGAAGCCTTGCCAGCCGCAGTTACGAGCCTGGTGCTGAAAAGGAGATTGGTCACGGCACGGTTCCAGTCCGGAGTCGCCTATTGGTTCGTCGAAGCTTCTCCATATCCAAATTTGGTGTTGACAACAATATCTCGACGTCACTATTCTGTTGTCGTCTAACATTGCCTGGAGTGTCTGCCATGGTGCGAGGACGAGCTAAGAAGGTACGCTTCTTGGGCCACATCTGGTCGAACTTTATTCTCCTACACGGGACCTAGGTCAGACATTGCTCCTCGCATTGCAGGTCTGGCAGGTGCCATGGCCTATCATTTGCAATCGAAAGGTAGGCAGCTTCCATCCCAAAGTGATGCCATCAAGCCAAGTCATTATCAGAGCCTTGTTCTCGTTGATCCCGCAGAAATTGGTGATGCTCACTGCTAATAGAGTGCATTATACGACTGCAAGCGCAATGAACCAAAAGCTTCTTCTCACACCATAGACCGATGCCCTAATTTGGGCTCCTCCAAGGAGACTGGGATAACTCAAATGTCAGATGATCACAAATGACTCAATAATTTCCCGCAGCTGAGCTATCCACTTTTTCATGAGCTGCCATGCGCTTCATCGGGAGCAGGAACACTCTTTGGGCAAGGTTTAATCTGAACTCTCAGTGTCGCTATTGTGAGAGGAACATCCAATGAAAATGGCAATCTGTATACCCACAAGATGTGGAAGCATCTACATCTATCACATCAACCCGATTGACTTTCTCGAGCTATGATTCGAATAACGCTTGACGGGGTATAATAGTCCAACGCCGCGGTCAACCACCGGTCCTGAGCTTGAGTTCTTGCTTGTGCTAGCAACGCATATTTAAAGAGGCACAGTACCCTAGCGCCCTATACACTGACCGCCGTCATATACCCAAGTCGCTTATCATGACTGAATATACGCCAACTTCGGAGCAGCGACATGGCTCAACATCCACGACAAGCCAACCGTTCCCGGAAGAAGAAACATTAGTGACAATCCCTTATTCGGAAACGGAGGAGTGCGAGCCGCCAGTTCCCATGGTGCCTTTAAAAAGTCCCGAGCGAATTTCACGAGATTCCTCAGAGGAGCCACCGCCAATCAGCCCACCTTCTTCATCCTCTTCTATATATACCAAGTCAATCAATCCAACAATAGTGGAAATGTCGCGGTCCGTTGAAGAGCATACATGTCGTCTCCCGTCATCCATGCTAGAACCCATGTCGGCTTCCATCTATGACGCCGCGTGGGAGGAGGTATTCCCGGTGGAAGAAGTCATGGATGAAGTGACAGGATTGCCCGTTTATATCGCACCTTGGATTATTCGAAGTGAATCGGATGAGGATGATAATAGAAGAGTGGCAGAATGGACGCCACCTTCAGTTTCACCTTCGCTGAAGCGCCAGGCCGCGGACAATCGCACTGCCAAAAACCCCCCGTATAAATGGAAACAAAATCGCAACGTGGAGCCGTTGGCAAGCCAGCCAAAGAAGAAGCGCAACTTTTGGATGTCGTTCCGAAGAAGCAAGAAGGCAGTAACAGCAGCAGTCACAGGCTCGTCAGACGGACCAGCATCCCCGAAAAGTAACGAGAGCAGTCCAATGGGCCCCGGCTCTTCCCCTAAGCCACAATCACCTACTTCCAATCTTGCCCGTAAGGGCACTGTTCGTGAGAATTATGCGCCTAGTGCTGCCAATGCCGTCGCCAGGCCAGCAAGAGAGCCCGATCGCACGCCGATTCATCCGAAGCCTTTGGTTGTAAGTGCTGCCGAAGAAGTCAAGCACACAGTTGTATCAGTTACTGAAGTCGAAGTTCCGACTCCGCCAACAACACCCAAGAATGAAGAACTAAATTGTGCTGCATGTAGGGAGCTGGGCCATAAGATCACCATGGCTATACCTGAAGGAGAACTCCTGAACGACGAATTGAGAGCTCGCTTGTGTTGTTAGTTTCTTCAACCAGCATGATGCGGCCTTTTTTTCTTCACTATATTTTCTCTAAATTCTGTTGGAAGACTGAAACAGAATGGCAAAGACAAATACGGCGCAAGGCGGGAGGGATGATACCCGAGTAGGCGTCAGTAGCTGCTGTGAATGTGGCCCACGATGAAGTGTTGGCACTTACAAGCTAACAACTCTTATTTTAATCTTTTATATAACATCTCCAATTATCAGCAACATCCCTTGTCCTGTTTCCACTTACGGGTGAGTGCCATGTTGTGACAATGCGCTGGAGAAACTGACTTCCGGGCTCGCAACTCGCATACAAACACACAGTAGTTACAGCCTCGACGACTAGAAGCCAAGAGCACAAATGAGGCCACTTATACAGCCGGTCTTTGGGCAAAGAATTAAGAACGTTGGCCCGGGATACATGAACACATTGCAATACGGTGATGAGATTCAGGTCAAAGCTGCATACTGATTCACAGTGACATAGTCGATTGCAACCTCAGCGCCCTGTCCATAAGCTCAACCTTGTAATTGTGTGCTCAGCGACTTCTTCATCCCCCGCACGAGTGTCTCACAAAGCCAGCATCTTTGTGGGCCTGTTTGTTCGGCAAAAAATGGCCGCGTTCCAAGGCTTGGGCGCTCTGGAGGTTTTTGGTGTAAACCATCAACATCGCATCAACGACAAAGCAAGTGGTGTCCAATTTACAAGAAGACATTGCTTCTTACCTAGATGAACAAGCTACAGCGACTGCGCATCCAGATCCAAGCAAGCATGCGTCTTCTGAACGCCCATGCCCTCCTCCTACAGACCTTCAACGGCGCAAGGGAAGGTATCCCGCACCCACGCAATCTCACTCGCGCTGTCAGTTTGGCCTCACACATGGTTCCAGACCTGTACCGCGAGTGTTTCATGATCCAATCTTCTCGTGAATCCGCGGCGGCTGCAAAAGGAGCCCGAGCCCGGCTATCGCCACTCTCGTTGTATCACGGCAATCCAAACCTACCAGACCCTGGGTCGAATTGGGACCCCATTCGTCAAGTTTCTGTCTCTGGGTGCTCCCAGAAAAGCATCAGACTTCTCGCGCGTCCTAGTGGACGAGTCTGCTACGCTCAGCGCCACAAGGATTTAACCAGACGACTTCTACGATGGATGCCGTTGGCCTGGTTATCAACCAGCCTCTCCATAGCGGCTACGTCCTGATTGTTAACATGAAGAGATGGGCTGTCCTAGGATATACCCTCATTGCTCTCGTCCACCTAGAGTCTCTATGCTTCGGGGCTTTGTCGAGTACAGCTGTGAACGGGGGTTCGGCGTTATTGTTCGAGCTAGTGATGCCAGGTTTCACCACAAAGATTAACTCATGCGCCTTCTGGGGCCTGCATTACGACGAACCGAAACAGCATGGCCGGGATCCGCCAAGCACCACCGCAAGGTCGTATTATCAGGGCGTCAGTGTTTACCAGGGATGCTGACGTTCCTGTTCTAGAAGCTGGAGGCCATGATTTGCAGCATCAAAAAGAGCTGCAAGCGCGGTTGGTGAAAAGAGATCTGACCCGTCCTGGCTCGCAGATCAGGACTCTGCAGGACTCTCTGAAACAAGCGACACGGGTCCTTGGTACGGACGATTAATGCGAAAAAGCACCGGGGAGAGGCATTAGAGCATTGCAGTGAATACTGCAACGTACACTCTGCCACGTTCCCAACATTTCAATCCCTGTTCCTGGCCGCGGCCCACGTGACAAACCTGGGTTTGTGTCACCATCGGGACGGGAAATTACAATCTGACAAAATGAGCAAACGCCGGCTGCAATCCTCTGGTGCAAATAATTTGCAGCGACGAGGCGGGAAGGCGAGGCCAAAAAAGAAAAAAAAAAGGAACAGAAGACTGGAAATTCTGCGGCCAGAGTGTCGGCTGCGGCCGTCGTCGACTCTCATCATCTCCGAGTCTGAGCATAGAAACGGCTCGTGAAATCGACTGACGCGAGACGAGTCGGGCAAGCAGAGACTAGTGGAGCGAGCACACGGCTCACCGAGTTTCTCTTGTCAGATTCTCTGCGGCCGAGGTTGCACAAGACGGGCATGTCGACACGACAAGACGCCGACGGCAATGGGTCGCGAGGGCCTTCAAATACGAAGGTTAGCACGTGCGGCTCCCGCGGCTCGGACTCTTCGGGAGAAAAGGGCCAACAGCGACCGACGGATTCGGCAAAATCAAAGGCCATCGCGTGGGCAGAGGACCAGTTGACGTTTTATCGTGAAGGAACACCACCGCCTCTCGACGACGACGGCTACCGACAGAGCACTGGCCCTCGTGCTGCCGGTGCGTACTCGTACGACTACAGCTACGACCGCGTGGCTCCTCCCGCCCCGATCCCGCAAGCAACCATATGTGGCCTTGGCAAGCGATTGTTCTACACGATTGTTGCCGCGGCCATTGTCGTCGCCGCCATGGCCGTCGGAGTGGGCGTCGGCGTGGGCCTGGGAGTGGGGAGACATCATTCTACATCAGACGAACGCGGCTCCTCCACAAAAACGCCATCTGCGTATGTTTTGAACCCACCACGTGTGTGACGGGGGGCACGGCGAGGACAAGGACCAAGGAGATGTTGTCCGTATGAATGTGCTGACGGAGAAACCGCGCAGGGCTTCGATCCAGACGGTCACGCCAACGTCGATAGCGGCCAAGCCCACGCAGACACCTCTGATGGCGTGTCCCGCGGCAAACAACACCAGGTACGAAGTCTCGTCGGTCAAGAAGACCTTTCTGCGGGTCTGCGGAGTCGACTATACCGGCAGCCACGGAGCGACCGACCTGGGCGTCGTGAGGACGTCCAGCATGCAGGAGTGTATGAACAGCTGCGCCGGATACCCGACCTGCACTGGCTGTAGCTGGGGCGTCATCCCGGGAGACGCGGGCAGCGACCACCGGTGCTGGTTGAAGAAGGATTTGGAGACGCCCACTGCCGTTCGGAGCGGCTGGGACTTTGCCATTTTGCAATGACGCGGCGAGGCACGTGTCAGGGGAAGGAAGGCGGCTTGACAACGAAGCATTTGGCGACTTGGCATGTAGGGGTGCGTAGTATATTTACGACGACAATCTTGCGCACGATATACCAAGAGTATTGGGTGTGGGTGTTTACGTGTACCATTTGACTCACATGTACCAAAGGAATGAATTACAATGCATTTTCAGATCTTCCAAAGAGCGCGTCAATGGGTTTCTCTGCTTCTTTTTACGAATGCGCGGATGCAAACGTTGGAAGACGAAAACCTGTTCTTTGCGCGACGACCAATCACATGGAGGGGATGCGAGCTGCTTTGTTCTGGAAAACCACAGCTTGACCAATGATTCGACTGGACCAAATATGTCCCTCCTGACCGCCAAATTCATACAGAACACTAGTCAGATTCCCCGCAAAAACAGCCAGACGAGTGACTCGGCAACAGGATTCAACTTGGCCAACGGCACCATTGCGCAACTTGCTTGCGAAAACCCGAAAACTGCTCCATGTCGACATCGAGGGCGCACGCTGGGGTCGTCGACAAGTCCGCAGAGCGCGGTGAGTTGCGAGTTGTCGCGCGAGGCCACACGCTGACGCCCACACCGGCTCTGCTGGACAGCCTAGTTCTCACTTTTATTCTTACCCCTCGTTCCGAAGCCCTACCCATGCATGCGGCGCGAGCGGCCGCTTCGCAGCAGTATCAAGCTGCTCCTCGAAATCGTGGACAGTCACGAGCCACAAGCACCGGACCGGACCGCATGGCCGCCTAGCATCAGATCTCGATGGAAAGCTGGCATCTGGGCAAGGTATAGGTCCCTGAGATGGTCCCGTGCCTCGTCCACCTTCGGCCCACAAAGTCGACATACGTGTGTGGTCTGACGACGACGACGACGAAGCAGTCATCCTCATGCCCCGTCCGCCGTGTAAGCTCTTGCCTTCACCGCCATATTCAGCCGTCGACTTGGGGGCAGGCCGGATCGTGTAACGTCTCGCGTCGCTGGACCCAAGGTCAGGGCATGGTCTTTGGCCGATGTGGAGAACCAAATGCGTTCCACGTGTTGTTTCTGTGCAAAGCCTGGTCTCGGCCCGGTTGCTCTTTTTGAAAATCATACGGGGCACCTGTCTGCTGCGTTCCGAGGCGCGTGCCCATCAGACTGGGCCGGAGGGGAGTCACTCTTGTCAACCTCGCCCCAATGTTAGTTAGCACGTCCTGTCTCCTCCGTGGTCGGCTCTGTGGCCAGGAATGTGGCCGACTCTCTTGTCGACGGTACGGACATTCTGCTTGGCGGTATGGACGGCTGGGCTTCCCACCTTCAGACGGTCAGACGTGCGTGAGCCGTAAAGACCTGCTGGGGAAGCGTGCCCATTACGTGTCTTGCTTGGCGTCCATTTGTCCTCGTTGTCGTCTCTTCTCTTTTTCTTCCTCCCCGTGCTTTTCTCCTCCGAGGACATTTGAATTGAGACGACTTCTTGTAGCGTAGGACCAGTCGAGTACAGTTTACGTTCCCATCGATCAAGGTAATGGAACAGTATGAAATTAAGGTCCGATGCCTCGTCACCAGTCATTGGTGTTCCTCGGCTGTCTCCGGGAAACACCCGGCAGACGGGGTGCTATACTAGGATTTGATTGGCTGAGCTTTAAAGCGGGGCACAAAGTTTTTCTGTAATGCAACCGTAAAAGTTAAAATACAATGCATTATGAGTGTATCACGAAAGCGAAAAGTATGACTGCAGGTAAAGCTACAATTATCAATCAATTAATGCATTGCTCTTACATCAAGTCTAGGTAGAACCAATCGTCACTTTTCTGCTCTACAGAGCACTCCGTACTTACGTCTTGAATTCTTATCGCAGCCAATCAAGTTTAAGTGGAGCATTCCCCAGGCCGGCGCCAATAGCGGGACGACCCTCCGGTCAGCTGAGCCGGGGCGCCGCGCCGGCACAAAGACAGACTCCATCCACACACTCAGGGACCAAACAACCCATGCCCATCATTCAATATGGACTTGCTTTTCCCGGCTCGTAGAGCAATTTGTAGGATGACATGTGTCGTTCTCAGCTGGACTTGGTCCTCGCGCCCTCACCGAGTCTCTGTCGGTCGGTTGCGCAGAACAAGGTTGCTATTTGTGTATGCATCGGGACCTCCCCGTCAACGGGAGAGGAGCCGTCTTTACATCTCAAAGTACGGAGTAGCTCTTCACTCCAACATGGGTCAAAGAACATATTTTAATAAGAGATTCTGTCGGCATCACAAAATGAGGTACGTACTTTCCTGCCCCCTCCCCCACACACTCTTTATAAACATCATCTCTTATTGGCCTTGATCCGCCTCCCCCCTGTCCATTCTTCCCATGTTCACTCCTGGCTAAACTTGCCATGCCGTGCGGTCTGTCCGTTTTGTCTGGAGTCTGAATGTAGTCTGTAAGTGACGATGCGAATCGCGTCGCCATCAGTCGTGACCCCAGGCTGGCGGCCTTGTCTAATACATACTTGGATGCACGGCAACCTGGCACGACGCCGCTTCTTTGTAGTGAACGAGGCCGCGGCCAGGGCATCTGAGGGTGAGCGGCCAGCTGGCAAAGTCCATGATGCGATTCTTCCAACACTTAAACGGCCGCTCGTTCTTCACTCAGCCCCTACAACTTGATCTTGAAAGTCCATTCCACTTTTCCGCAAGAGATACCCCATCTTCTCCGTATCCATCTCTTCTTCGTCCCCTTCTTCTCTCTTTTGTATACCATGCCCAGCGCTGCATCACCCGCGTATGAAGCCAATTCTGCCGAGGCCGATGCCAAGGCAACACACTGCTCCCGAGGCCTCAGCGTTGACGACTTCCCACACTCGATAGGTTCATCTGCCCTTGACACCGCATCGAGAATTCTTGGTGTAATCGACCGCTATCGTTTGGAAAAGCCGAAGAATGGGCCGCCACTTCAAGCGGATCAAGGCGCCTTGAAGTTTTTGGCCATCATTTACAGCCATGTCAAGGCCGGCAGGGTTATCCCAATGTGCCTTCCGGCATTTCCTTTCAAGTCTCCGAATACATCAGCAAAGGTTCTCGGAAAGAATCCCGACAAGGCCGAAGAGCTAGCTCTGAGCCACCTGAACGGACTATGCCAAGCCATTGCAGACATATACCCCCCTGGGGCGAAACTCACCCTCATCTCGGACGGGCTGGTGTACAATGGTCAGTTGCCTTTTTTTCCCCCCTCTTTGGTGTCTCCTCTCTAATGGTATAAATGTGTCGAGGCTGATGGGTTCAGACTTGCTTGGTGTCCCTGACAAGGATGTCTGGTCATATGGTGAGAACCTTCGTCTCCTGGCCAAGTCCAAGGGCTTCACCCAAATTGAGTTTTGTCGACTGCGACATCTTGTGTCCATATATCTGCCAGAGGAGTTGGATGAGATGACTTATGTTGCAAACGCGTCGAATTTCCGCAGAGAACTCCTCAATGCTTTCGGCAATCCGAATTGGAAATGGAAGGAGGTCAGGCAACTCGAAGACGTGAGTCTCACCTACAGAGGCTACATTAAGTTTCTAGAGACGGATTTGGCGACCGTCTACCCGCTTCGGAGCGACAGAACGAAATCCAAGTATAAGCGCGGAATCGAATACATTGCAAGACAAATGATGTACCGCGGGGATGTAAGTTTGATCCGCTTCAGGCGTCTTGGTTTCGGTCTGCATGTCCATTGACCGCTTCAAAAGGCGTTTGCCAGCGCTGTTCGACAAAAGTACAAGAACCACGTACGTCTGTCGATTCATCGTTCTACCGGGGCCAACAAACTGTCCATCAGTCTGCTTCCCACTACCACCATCTTCACAACACCATGGCACAGCACCGTCGGCTACAAGCTTGATGGCACAGTAGTTTCTGGTATGCGATCCGATTTCTACGACGACGAAACATATGAGCTGGTTCTGGAGAAAGGCATTCCTAGCTATTATCGTGAGGAGTCGCATCTCTTTTCTTGGGGCGCTGAGAAGGGTGGCGTCACTTTCGAGCCGATATATCCAAGTGGCTGGCTGCTGAAGCCGGCTGCAGGCCCGGGATCCATGACAATCGAAGATATTGACGCGGCCAAGGTTCGATCGTTGTCTGAGATCAACTCTCCCGTCGTCATGCGTGGCTTTTTCAAAAGCCCCAAGCAAGCCGCTTTCGTCAAGAAGTCCAACGAGTTTGGTGAGCCCAAATGTGGGCTTGTGCTTGAGGCCAAAGACCAAGTCCCGCACACTCGCGGCTTGAACAATGGCCTTTCAGCGGAGTGGATGCCATTTCACTACGATGGACTTTCCAAGACGCTGTCGCACGTCCATGATCCGCGTAAAGAAAGTCGAGTCTCTGCTCCTCCACGGTAAGCGTTTCGACTTTTCAAGCGTGGCATTTCAGTAGCACAGTGGTTGACCGTTTCCCTAGTTTCCTACTTTTCGCCTGTGCCTCCCCCCCTCCAAGAGACACAGGCTTCACATTGTTCTCCTCGTCAACCATGTTCTTCAGGTATCTGCCGAAGTGGCTGACAGTAGAGGAGCTTGCGACCAAGACGTGGACGGTCTCGACGTCCTCAATCGACACAACCAAGCTAAGCGGGCTTCCGTTGGTCTCTAAGCATCCCACGACGGGCAAACCATGCCTACGATATCACGAGGCTTGGTCGCAATCCAAGACGCAGTTTGACGCTACCCTGGTCACCCTCGACGGCCACGGTGAAACTAGCAATCGGGCCATTCGTGAAGCCATCAGCACTACTCTTAACGACAGGCGAGTTGCGTACTGGCACACCTGGGAGAAGGGAGACCTGATTGTGAGCGACAACACCTTGATGATGCATACGCGAAGCGACTTCAGCTCCGGGAGTGACGGTGAGCTTTGGAGAATCCACCTTGACTAGAGGTCACAGTTTCTGGCCCAAGTGTCAGCGCCTTGATACTTCCTTTCAATTTGATTAGTAGTCAGAAAGCCAAGTTTTGTGGCCAAACTACCCAGGATGAGGACGTTGAAGGAGTGACGGCATGTAAATATAAAAATCACCGACTTATCACGGTGCGCTACGTGTGCGGTTGGCTGCCCGTTGATAGCTCCTGTTCAGGTCCAAAAAGGGGCTTCTGTGGTGATCTTTTAGATGCATGTTGGAAACTTGTGATGTTGTTTATTGGGTGGCCCAACCAAAGACTTGCTCAAACCACGGCGCACGGTGCCTCATTACAGTGTCAGCTTCTAGTGTGCACAGTACATCATTCTCATGTACGTACGGAGCACTAGGCAGTGCACCTCCGGGAAGCATCCATGGTGAACGACGCAAACTTGCCCAGATTCACGACAGCTGCTTTCCTTTGTCTTCTCGCTGCCCCAGACTGACTGGCCATCAAAATTTCTGTATCAAGTCTCAGTTTGGTTTCGAGCAATGGACAAGATTGGGCTGTTGTTTCAATGACTTTTGCACATTCCAACAGGCGTAGGCGTGCACGAGCAATCCACACGAGCAATCCAAGGCAGAAATAATCATGTCGACATTCGACGGAATTGTGTCTGAATTTCCAGAAATACGAAGTAAGTCACTCTTCTGTGTGTGTGGCTGAAACCGTTTCTCAAATCATTTTGAACGTTGTACCAGTCGATTTCTTTCGAGCACAGTCGGATCAGCTCCCACCTTTGGCATGTTTCTTGAGCCATGTCCACAGCGACCACCTTGTCGGACTGGAAACGTTGCGCTCTCCTTTGTTAGTAGGAAACTATCCTTGCAACACTGGCTTTCATCACTCTAAAAGCTTCCGAAAAGTGTGTACTGTTCTGCAGCAACGCGAGAGATTTTGCTTCGACTCGAAAGGTTCACATGTAGAATCAATCACGTCCGTGGCATCCTTGAGGGAAGACAGCAGACATATAAACACCTATCGAAAGTCCTAGTACGGATATCATCTTCTTATCTGCCCGTGTATCCTTCTTCGCCTAACATCTCTGCAGAAAGCACTTCCTCTCGAAGCACCAACGGTAATAGAGCTTCGCCATGGCCACAATATCCAAGTCACGTTGTTTGACGCCAACCACTGTCCAGGCTCAACCATGTTTTGTGCGTAAGAATTCCAAATTGAACCCAACGTTGGCTTATTTGTAAAAAAAAAAAAGTGATCGAAGGCCAAGGAAAAGCCGTCCTCTACACCGGTGACATTCGTGCAGAACCGTGGTTTGTCAACGCACTTACCAGGAATCCAATCATGCTCGAGTACACATGCGGCTTAAAGACGCTCGATAAGCTATACCTCGACACTTCATTCCTCGCCGATATTCCATTCCAAACAAAATCTGAGGGAATAGCTGCTTTGCTAGCCAAAGTACAAAGGTATCCAGAAAACACAATCTTCCACTTCCAAGCATGGACCTTTGGCTATGAAGACGTGTGGATTGCGCTTTCCAAGACCCTAAACTCCAAGGTGCGTGCAACCCCTGTTCCTGACGTGAATATTTTCTGACCATTCCAAAGGTTCATGTCGACGACTACAAGTTGCGGATATTCAACGCCCTCAGGATCCGTTCCTCTGATCAACCCTTTTCGCCAGAATTTCATCTCGCAGCAGGTGCTGCAGCTTTGACTGGTCACATGTGTGGTAATACCCAGCATGTAGGATGCCTCACCTCCGACACCAATGTCCGCATACATAGTTGTGAGAGGGCAAATATGTGTTCTGTCGCCAAACACCCCTCGGTCGTTTCGATTCGACCGGTAGTCTGTCGTCTCAAGGGGGGGGAGAGCATAATGGAGGCGGGTGTCGGTGGTGGCGGAACTGACTTCTCTCGTGAGGCTGAACTCGGTTGCATTACAAACGAAGTCATTGATACGTTAACAAACCTGTGAGTGGTGCTACTTTGACGACCTTGACTTGTGTGGCTAATGGACCAGATTTCCTGCATGGGACAAAGTCGACGGTGAAACGAAAGACGATATCAAAGCTCTCTTGAGACGCATGGCCTCAAGCGGTCGAGACTTGTCGTTGAACATGTCCATCAGCGACTTGGGTGAAGGTCTCTCTGCAGACATGAGCTCTGTAGTCCAGTCTCTTGTCGAAAGATTACGCACTCAGACTGGCGCACCAAAATTGCTAGCTGCGCCGCTCAACAACCCACATGACGCCCTTCCAAAGGTCATTCTTTTTCCCTTTGCGAGACACTCCCCTTACAGAGAGCTCTGTGAGCTCATCAAAGCGTTCCGGCCAAAGGACATCTGGCCATGTACGGTAGACCAACGATGGATGGATCAATGTAAGTCAAGATCTTCGGTTGTTGGAACCTTGCGGGCTTTACTGAAAAATAAAAATAAAAACAGCCCTGACCGTGGAGTCCCTGTTTGGCATGTACTGCTCAGAGCAAAGATTCGAGCACGATAAGAAAATGGCGCCATTGATTGCAGCGGAACACGAAAAAAGACGTCGTGAAGTAGGGACACCGGTGGTGGATAGCCAATGCGACGTCAGTTTCGAAGTTGCCGAGGAAGAAAAACGCATCAGAGACCAGGGAGAAACGAAGCGACCACAGTTCTCTAGGCCCTTAGACGAAGGCTCGCAAGCAGAAACCTTTGAATCCATACATGTTTCATCATCTCTGAAACCAGAACCGGTACATGTGATGCATCCTCGCTTTGGCATAAAAGCACGGCCGGGCCATGATCCTGCCTCACCATCTCAACACGAGGCACAACACAGCAATGAGCCCAACACAGCGTCACGAAAACGACCACATCAAGACGTGGATAATGCAACAGAGTGCAACCGAGACGGCGCCAAGACGGACTCTCAAACAACGGATATGACTGTTGGCTCTGCTTCATCCCTAGGTAGTTCTGCCTTGCGGCAAGATGCATACGATGCCATGTTTCACAACGCAAATGGGTGCGGTGCTTGGCGACCGATATCTCTGCTCTCTGCGGACGGGCATCACCATGATGCAGATGTAGAGCTGTAGCTTGTCCGGTTCCCGCTTACAAGGCAGTCATAATTCATCTGATGGTGGCTTTGCAAACGGCTGGTTAGGGTCATCGTCAAATCTAGCCATTGTCTCTGCTTGATATGCATTCAAAAGCCCCTTCACAAACCCATGTCCAGCCCCAAATTGTCACCGCCCAAAAAAATACCACGGACAGAACTCTCCCTCTCCTTCAACAGCTGTGCAACATCCACCCTACCGCCAGTGATGTACCGCTCGCTCACACCCAGATTCACTCTTTGGCTCAACTCTTGTCTCAGCTGGGCCTTCAACGCACCCATCTCGGCCTTTGTCAAGGCCTTCGCCTCCTTCTCCTTCCTCCGTCGGCCACCGCCTCTGCTGCCTCCACCCCAACCACTCGACGCAGTGGCCTCGAATTCCTCAGAGTCATATTCGACACCCAGCTCCTCGGCAGCGTTCCGGAGCCAGACCTCGTTACTGTGACTCTTTTCCTTGGCCAGGATTGCGTCTGTGATCTTCTTGGCCAGATCCAGGCGTGGCTTGAGGCGAGAGGCAATCTTTCTGTCGATGGGCAAGCTCTCAATCACGTGCTGTTTCTGGCCGGACGAGCACCGCTCAGCATGGACTTTGCCGGCAAGCCTCCTGGTGGGAAGGACCTCATCCGGCGAGCAAAGGATGATGCTGACGCCGCTGCGGTCAGCACGGGCTGTGCGGCCCGAGCGATGGATGTAAGTGTCTGCCGCACGCGGGACGTGATAGTGAACGACTTGATCTACGTCCTTGATGTCGAGACCTCGGGCGGCGACGTCGGTGGCTACGAGAATGGTGCTCCGTTCTGCGGCGAACTTTTCCAGCGACCGCAGGCGAGCCTTTTGCATCATTTGCGAGTGCAGAGGCAGCGCGTTCTGGTTGAGGTGCTGCAAGAGGGGTGTGATTCGGCGGACGGCAGAGATGGAGTTTGTGAAGACCAGCGTTCGACGGCCAGGGTTCAACAAGAGTACTGTGTAAAGGTAGAGATCCTGTGAAACGAAGAATAAAAGAAACCAGAGCGTTAGTGTCCTCGATGGCCTGGCCTGCAGAGCTCCCGTGACAGCCTTTCCCACTCACCTTCTCCATGGCTCCGCACTCAATCAGCCCCTCGCGGAGATTATCTGCCATCCGGCTCGCGGGGTTGACGTCGACGAACTTGGGCTCTCGTCGGAACTTGAGACGCTTGATGAGATACGCCATCTTTTCCTCGTCACTCCCGGCCTTGGGGCCGTTGCCCTTGCCCTTGCCCTTGCCCTTGCCAGCAAGTTTGGTCTGCAGGTTCTCGTCGAACGTGGCCGAGAACACCAACGTCTGTCGCCGGTCCCCGGCTTCGTCTTGTGCGCGGGAGGAGCCGTCGTCGGAGCATCCGTCCTCTTCCTCCTCAGGGCTCTCCCGGTCCAGGGCGCCGACGATGCTCTCCGCCTCCTTGAACTGCCCGGCCTTGAGAAGCCTGTCCGCCTCGTCGACGACCAGGAACTTGATCCGGGTGAATTGCTCCTGGAGCCCGGCGTCTCCGTCGAGCACCTCCCACAGGCGGCCCGGGGTGCCGACCACGACGTCTGCCGTCTCCAACTGGCGCTGCTGCTTCTGGACGCTCAACCCTCCGGTGACAACGCAGACATACGGGGACGCGGCGAGGCCGTCGCACACGGCCTTGATGTGGTCGCCGATCTGCTTGGCCAGTTCTCTCGTCGGGCTGAGAATCACAGCCATCGGGCCTCCTCTGCTCCCCCCCCTCGGCGGCTCATCCGCGTCCTCCCCTCCCTCGCCCCGTTGCCCCTCCTGCATCTCGAGCCACTTCTCGACAATGGGGAGCGCAAAAGCCAGTGTTTTGCCAGACCCGGTCTGCGCTTTGCCAATCACGTCTGCGCCGGCAACGATTTCCGGAATCGACTTCTCCTGAATGGCGGTCGGCTTCGCAAAGCCCAGCCGCGCAACCGCCGACACCAAGCACGGCGACAGATTCAACGCCATCCACGCGCCCACGTCGACGTCGCCGTCGTCGTCCTCGGCTTCTTCGTCCGCCAGCGCCGCCAGCGCCGTGAACTCGTTGCCGGCCCCGTGTGCAGCGGGCGTTTGTGCCGCCTTGTCCGCAACCTTGCGCCGCCTGGCGTCCCTCCGCGCGCGGCGGTCGTTCTGGTCTCGCGCCTCACGGCGCGCGCCGGCCTTGCCCCCCGCGACCTCCGGAACCTCCGGAACCTCCTGGCGACGTGCCTCGCCCGCCAGACCATCTTGAGAATTGCCAGCTTCGCGGGCGTCGAGAGCCCCGCTCGCCGCAGGAACCTCGCCGAACCCCTCAAAAGACTCGTCGTCATCTTGGCCGCCAGACACTACCGGCGGGCCGTCTGCCTCGTCGCCCTCGTCGCTCTTGACGAGGAACCGGACCGCTTCGCCATCCCTGACCACGTCCACGCCGGAGAGCACCTGCAGTCCGCCAAAGTCCTCGCCCACCGGTTGCCAGGCAAGAGCGGAGGGATCCAGCACGGCGCGCCGGGCGGGAGCAGCTTTGCTCTTGCTCCGGGGCTTTCCGCTCGCCCTCGCACGCGCCTTCGGCCGGCTGTCCGCCTTGTGTGGGCTCTTGTTCCGCTTCGGTTCGGGCACCGTCGTCGGCGAAACCTTGCGCTTCCGGGACTGCGGTGCCATTTGGGCAGCGGGCTTCCACCAGGCTGCGGTGCGGCTCGCTGCTGGCCGGTTCGAGATTGGCCTGGGCGCGATCGGTAGACGGATGCAGGATCAGGGTCTGCAGGGTGAATTGTCCAGAGGTGCATGAGTCCGCGGCCAGTCCGTTAAACAAATTCACGGCTCGAGGTGGGAGTGAAGTTTTTCCTTTTTATCTCTTTTTTTTTTTTTAGTCCAGACGGCCATCGGCATAAGCCCAGCCGTCTTCCGGCCGGACGGGGCCGCCATCCACCCAATCAGATTCTTGCATTATCTCGATTAAATTGACCACGAGTCCGTGACCATTCAATTCGTCCAACTGCCCAGTGTCATGTCATGTGCACTTCTTCTCGCAACAGAAACAAAAACGACGATATTATATCATGCTACCAGTACAGTGGTGCTATAGGCCTGATCCTAATTTTGAAAGATGAGATGCGCGGTTCCCCTTCCCTTGCAAAAGCTTCAAGTATGAGTACAGAGCAACGCAGATATAGCCCCAGACGTTTCACATGACGGATTCACACACACACACACACACATCTCCTTGGCCCATCTGTCTGGCCGTCATCTCTTGTAGCGTCAATATCCTCCCGCACTTCACACCCTGCCACTGTGCCATTTAACGTGCCGTTCAATGTGCTCCACGAGCTCTTTTGGCGCCGCCTCCGGCCTCAGAATCACCTCTAGGCCGCTTGGTTCCAGGTTGAAAGTCCACAGCCCCCGGGTTCATCCCTCCTCGGCCTCCTCTGTGACCTCCTCTGCCACGTCCGCCTTGACCGACCGCGCCCCCATCTTGGTGACCACCAGCGCCACGCTGCCCAGGGGGGACGTATGCACCTCCTCCTCCTCTTCCGCGACCACCCCCTCGGGGCATGGGAATGCCAGATCGGGTCTGCGCCTGCTGTTGAGCCTGCGCGGCTTGTTGTGGCTGCCTCTCTGAAGAAGCTGCTGCTGGCTCCATCTTCACGGCAAAGGGATTGGGCGTACCAGACTTGGCCGCATCTGCCGGAACGACAAATGGGTTATTGCTCGGCTTCGGTGGAAGAGCAGCACCAGCTGGCTTCGCTGCCGGAGTCGATGCTTGCGCCGCCTGTTGAGTGGCTGCGGGAGCTGCGGCAGGCGTCGCGGCACCCGAACCGGGCGTTGTTGGCGCTTTTGCTCCCTTTGCTGGAGTTCCAGATGCTGCTGTAGCTGGAGGCGGTTGTGCAGACTTCGCAAGCTCCCAAACTTCCACAACTGGCTTCTGAGGCGTCTCGTTTGCCGCAGTCTCCACGACACCCAACTTGGCCACGGCCGATTTCAGCTTGTTCTCGGCCATGTTGATGCGGAGCGTGGATTTCTTAGACTCCATCAGCTGGGCCTGCTCCCGAGCTGACGTGATTTTGGCTTCAAACTCAGACTTGATTCTACTGCTTTCCGCCTCCATCTTCTTCTTTATGTTGGCAGCAATGATGTTCTTAACGACCGTGTTGGTGGACAGGAACTGCCGTATGCTGGCATCGTCGAGCTGAGAAAGGTCTGCGGCCACGCCCGGGGCCGTGTTCGCTGTAGGAGGCGCTGCGGCAGGCTGTTGCTGCACTTCGGTTTTGGCTGGTGTTGCAGGTGGTTGGGAAGATGCCGCATGCTTCTCTCCCGCATTCTCCGCCTGCCAGATGAGCTTCTCCTGTTGAAAATAAAGTCTGAGGTCGTCCTCCTTCTTCTTGAACTCCTCTTCCATCTTCGCCCTGCTCTCCTTCAGTTTGTTGTTGAGGGCGTCCCGCATTCTATCAGATCGCTCCTTGATCGTTTGCTGGATCTTGTCCTCCGCTTCCTGGGCCTTCTGTTCAAGCTCGCCAGCCTTGGACTCGGCAGCAGCCACCTTCTCTTCCAATGCCTTTCGCTCCTCATCAGGTAGGCCAGTGGTTGCGCCGTCGCCGTTTGCTGCTTGAGCAACATCATGACTAGTGATGCCATTGGCCTGAACGGCGGCTTCGTTCTGTAACTTCAGGGTCGCCGCGTCACGTTCAGCGATGGCTTCTTGCAGCTCTGCGCGAAGTTGCTCAAGCTGTTGCTCTGCACCGAGTTTTTGGGTATTTACCGCTTCCAGTTCCTTGCGGGCGTCGGCCAACTGTTGCTCCAACTGGCTGACAACTTCAGCGGATGCCGTCGCATCACCAGGTTGAACGTTGGGAGTAGTGGCCGGAGGCTGTTGCCCAGCCTGATGCTGTTGGGCTTCTCGGAGAAGCTCCTCCACTTGCTGTTTGAAAGATTGAACCTGCTTCTCCAGTTCCGACTTCTCTTTTCCGGCATCCTCGACGAGTTGCTGGGCGCCTTGAAGGTCGCCGTTTGCCTTTTCAAGTTGCTCCTGGAGGTGGTTGGCACGCTGAGCGGCCTCATTCTTCTCACCAGTGAGCTTTCTAGACCGCTCTTTGAATTGCTCAGTAAGCTTTCCGCGAGTTGTTTGCCACGCTTGGCGTTCGCTCTCCAGCGTTGACTCGAGTTCGGTAATCTTCTCCCGAAGTGGTTGCTCGCCTTGCTTGAGGCCGTCTCGCTCAGCCTCGAGGTCAATGATGGATTTCTTGAGCTGCGCCATTTCAGCTGGGTCAGCACGGTCGTACTTGGTAAGGATGCTTTCAGTCCGCTTTTGCCAGCGGTCACGGTCCTCCTGAATCTGCTTGATCTCCTCCTCAAGGTACGATTTCTGCATCTTGAGATTGTCAATCTCAACTTCGAGTGGGTGGACCCTGCCCTCCATTTCTTCGATCCTCCTGTTCTTCTCGGCCATCTGATCCTTCAGTCGGGCGTTCTCGTTGCGGAGAGCAGCACTGCTTTCACGGTACAAATTGAGCTCGTGGAGTTTTTCCATCAAGTCTTGGTGCGTCATTGATGTACGACCGCTTTGTGCTGATTGCGTGCGCTCCTGATCAAGTTTCAGGCGAGCCTCGTCTAGCTGGGACTGTACGTAATCGACTTGTTGCTGCAGGCGCTTGGATTCTTGTGTCTTTAAATCATACTGGACTTCGAGAATATCCTTCTCGCGGCGCAAGTAGTTGTTGAGTTCCCTCAGCCCCTCCGAGGCATCACCGACATGTACGGGCGACATGCCTTCATCTCCCTCCTCATTGTCGTTTGATCTCCTCTGCTGCAATGCAGCAACTTGTGCAGTTAGACTCTCAAGCTGTTGATGTAGGAGTTTGTTTTGAGCATTGACATCCTCACGTCGAGTTGCCAACTCGGCCATTTCCTGTTCGAGCTGCTGTCGGCGATCCTCCCAAGAGCTCTCGCTTTGCGCCAGGGCAACCTTGGCCGACTCTGCTTCTGCTCGTAGAGAGGCTGACTCGCTCTTGAGCTCATTATAGTCAGTGCGCAATTGCTGCACGAGCTGAGCGGCTTCGGCATGCTTGACCAACTCCTTCTCGTAGTCTTGCTGTGCCTTGGAAGCGATCTCAGCCTGGGCTCTTAAATCTTGCTGATGATATCGAGTGGCCTCGGCATGTCTGGCACTCTCCTCCCTCAAACGCTTCAGCTCATCTTCAAGTATGGTTTTTTCGTCCTCATACTTCCGAGCAATATCACCTTGGGAGTCGCGCAACTGCGAAAGCTCCGTGTTTGAGCGGGACAGCTCCTCGGACATGTCCTCAATCCGTTGGCTGAGCTCCTTGATTTTCTTATCCTTGTCCTCAATCATGGCTTCCATCTCTTGTCTGTACTGTTCTTGAGAATCGCGCAAGTCTGCGAGCAATTCCTCATTCGCCTGACTGAGCTCCTTGTATTGTTCCGCCTGCGCCTTTGCATTCTCGAGGTGGGTATTGGCCAAGTCAAGATCCCGCCTGAGGTCGGAGATGTCGTTGTTCAGGTCGTGAAGCTCTGCCTCGAGCTCCTGTTGTCGCTGGTTTCCATCATTCAATCCAGGTCGGGGAGTTGGTCGAGGTTGCAGGCGACCGACACGTTCTTCGGCATTTCGCAGTTCAACAGTCAGCTCACCGACTCGAGCCTGCAAATGGTCTCGAGTTGTCTTGACGCCGACATGTTCCTCGCGAATCTGGCCCAGGCTTGCCATGAGCTCGTCGATTCTCTTCTGCGCCTCTTTCGCTTCGAATTCCTTTCGGAGCTGCAGCTTCTTGCTGTCCTCTGCCTCGCTGGAGAGCCTTCTCCGGGCATCCGACAACTCGCGTTCCAGGGCCTCGATCTTGGCCTGCGCCTTTCGTCTGGCCTCAGACTCGGACATGTTGCGCTCATTCTCCAAGGACTGTTGGGTGGCAAGAAGATGGTTCAGTCGATTCTTTTCCTCGATCAGGTTCTCATTGTCCTTGCTCATGCGATCCTGTATGTCCTTCCAAAGAGTTTTCTCGGCTTTCAAGTTGGCAGTTTCGTTTCTCATGCTATCCAATAGGCCCTTGGTCCCGATGAGTTCCTCGGCTACCTGCTGCGTGCGAATGTCCTGTTTTGCCGCAGTCTCCGACAAGGCCTGCACCCGCTTTTGAAGTTCAGAGTTTTCGGACTGCAAGGCGATGTAGTTGCTCTGCAGCATCTCTCGTCGTTCGGACTCTAATCTCGCCTCGCCCTGCAACTTGACGCGTTCCGTTTGAAGTGAATTCTTCTCCGCAGACAAATGATCAATTTGGGTTCGCAAGTCTTTGCGAACACTGTCTTGAGCATCTCTAAAGCTGTCGTACTCTGATTGCAATTTTCGCAGAGCTTCGCTGAGGGACTCGGCCTGTTCGCTGCCCTCGATGCTAGCGAGTGGTGCACGCTGGCTACCATCCAGAGAGCTACGCATCATAGAAGCCTCGTCGACACCGGCGCCGCGCTGATGAAGGATTCGTCGGAACATGTCTCGCTCCGTCTTGTAACTCTCCATTGTATTTTTGATTGATCGACTCTCCTCAGTCATGTGCTCAAGCTCGCGCTGCAGCTTCTCAACACGATCATGATCCTCCTTGGCTTGATGTTTTGCGGCGAGAGCTTCTTCACTCTCAAGCTGCTCAGCAAGTTCACGGGTGATACGCATCAAGTCTTCGTTCTTCTGTTGCAACGTCTTGATGTCTTTGAAAACCACCAGCTTCTGGGTGATGAATTGATGGGTGTCAGAGAGATCGGAAAGAGCCTCTTCTGTAATCTCTCCCCTCTCCAGCTGCTGCAGGCGGTACTTCTCTTCCTCGGTCAGTTGATCCGTGCCCTTTTCGATGGCATAGATATTGAAAACGAGCATCTGAATCTGAGTTCCCAAATCCCGAAGTTGTGTGCGCAGGATTTTCGTCTCAGATTGAGCGGTCGCCAGCGCGCTTTCCGCCTTGCGAGCTGCTTTTCTTGCAAGATTTCGCTCTTCAAAGCTTTGCTGAGATAGTTCGGACATGCGTGCAATTTCGCTGCGTAGCGTATCGGACTCGGCCTGCAGCTCTTGGATCTCTGGTGCCTTGGCTTCAAGAGCTGTCATCATTTCGTCAAGCTCTTCCGCAAGTTGGTGGTTTCTTCTCTTCTCGCTGGCCAGCAGCCCCTTGACCTGATACAACTGGTCAATGGCTTGGGTTGCGGTCATAGCCGACTTGCGAATAGAGGCAGGGGTGGTGCCGAATGGTGAAGCTGCGCGACCCGCAAACGAGCCGTTCGGGCGTGGTGTTTGGGGCGCCGAACCCGATGGAAGGCCTTGTTCCACACGAGCTTGGGCTTCGTCAAGTTCGCTTTCGAGCTGACTGATTCTCTCCTCCATCTCTGTCACGTTCTGTCGTTCTTGTTCCAGCTCCATACGAACCCTTCGAAGTTCATTTTCGTAATTGTCTCTTAGGCGCTCCTTCTCGGCCTCGAGGTCTCGCACGCGTTCCGAATGTTTCTTGCTCAGCTGGTCAGACATGTCGACTAGCCGCCTCTGATCCTCGAGTTCTTGCTTGTAGCTTTCAATGGTGGTGGCAAAGGCGCCTTCTTGCTTCTGTAGCTTTACAAGGGCCTCGTCCGCCTTGGCCTGCATGGCATCGAGGCGTTCGCGAAGCTTCTGCTCGGATCGCTTGAGCGCGTCGACTTGTGACTTGGCATCTTCGCTTTCGCGCTGCAGCTCGGCAATGCGGGCGCCCTTTTCCTTTCTGTATTTCAGAGACTCTTCGCTCTTCGTCTTCAGCTCCGCCTCTAGCCATTCGGTGTTACGGCGAGCTAGCTCCAGTTGTTGCTTCAACGATTCCTCACGATATTTGGCGCTGTTGAGTAGACCCTTGGCAGTTTGTTCCGACTGTTGGAGAGCTGTTACTTCTTGAGAAAGTTCGACGTTGCGTTGATGTTGCTTTGTGAGTTCCTCGGTGATGGTTTCATCGCGTTTGTTGTGTGACTCGATAATGCTGAGGTTCGTCCGATTCGATGACTGCAAAACCTCAATCTTGTCGGTGAGAGTCTTCACTTCCGCGGCGTGATCAGAAGTCTTGGCCTTGAGAACCTGCAATTCGTTCTCCAAGGATTGTCGCTTCGTCTCTGCAAAGCATCAACCACCTCCAGTTAATAGTGTGTCCTTCAAACTGAGCTCGGGGTCCTCGGACTCGAGTCCGGAGCTCGATAGGAAGGGGAAGAAATGCACCAAGCTCAAGCTTACCTTCCTCCTTTAGTTTCTGCCTGGCCTCTTCAACATCCTTCAGTGCCTTGTCTGTAGTGGACTTTGAAGCTTGCGATCTGCTTTCGGAGCTTCTAACCACATTTTCCAACTCAATGTCGACTTGGAGCTTGTCTGCGTACAGTGTGTCAAATTCGCGAGCCTTGGCGGCAATAGCTTGCAGCAGCGTCACCACCAGTTCTGCCGTCGGCTCGGTCGTCAGTGTCGTCAACACAGGTTCGTCAAAGCCTAGGTGGCCGGCGACATAGCCGACGTCGACACCCGCAGCCGCCATTGTCGAGCCTGCCCTTAGATCAACAACAAAGGCTGGCTCGTCATCACTCAGTGCCCGGCGCCAAAACCATCCAAGGTCAAGTGACAAGTGTCGCAATGCAACAAGTCAAAGTGAGAAGAAAATGCCTGAAACGTCCGTCCCACGAGACACCGCCGGCGGAGGTCGGCGAAAGGAAGGTTCGAACGGCAAGGCGCGAATGGTGCCAAAGGGCAGCGCGGAGTTTTGAGGTTTGACGATGCGGGTATCTGCCTGCTAGCTCCAGAAAGAGATTGGAGCACCAGTTGAGCTCGAGCCTGAGTGGCTGTTTAGCTCGCGCCCGCCCCTGTCGACGCGGGCCTGGATGACATGATTTGATTGGGTGCGAGCGAAGCGGGCAGCTTGTCCGAAGTTACGCCGAGGCTACCCGAGACCAAACTCAGGGGGCGAACGACAAAGCCAGCGACGGGTTACTGATCTACCTCATTCTCCAAAATCGGCGAAACAAATCGACGTCAAATAGTAATACTGTAAGCCATCAGCTAGTTTTCTACCCGCTCGAGTTGATTATGGACGAAGGAAGCCCAAAAAAGTGGAAGATTGAGAAGCTTTCGACCAAGAATATGAGACCACAACGGCAGCGGCAAGCCTCAAGACTGCGGTCAAATAAAGATTTAGCATCCTCGGAAACAGAGTGTTTGACACTAAGACGGTATCATTCAGGACAACTGTCTTAGGTCCGTCCAGGAAACACCGATCTTGAACAGCGCGATTCGAAAAACGCTCATCAAATGACTATAGTTAGGCCGAGTCCAACTAGCAGCGAAAACGACGCCGTTCTGCCACGTCTTCGTAGAAGGGCGTTTCACAGGAACAGCTGGACAGATCTTAATTTAACGCGTCCGCAGTAACCGGCTGACACGGTCTGATATTAGTACTACGCATACCTGCCCGTTGCGCACCGCTACAAGTCGAGGGGAAGCTACAGATGTCAGTGACCGAAAGAGCGGCCGCCGTGAGAAATTGGGCTGCCAGGCAAGGACTACCAGACCAGACCACAAGTCGACAGGTAGTGACGTTTGAAGTGGCACGTTTCAAAAGTGACACGTCCCGGATACGATGGGGCGGGAGTGTAACTGATCGGCACGTCACATGCGTGCTGCGGACACACGTCAACAAAAGTCAACCACATCACCGCCTATTGATCACATGCACTTTGGGAAATAGGAAATACGGGCTCAAGACTGGATAGTACACAGAACTCACATGCGTGACAGGTGGAGGGGCCGGGACTGATGGAGAATGACGCACAAAGAACAAAGGCCAAAGCAGCATCCCGCTGGATTCATGTTGAGTCTACCTGATATTGACATTGTATTCCAAGACCACATATTCCCATGCCGCACAAGACATCGCTATGATGTAACCAGTCGTCCCGTGGTATCGTGGATAATATTAACGATTAAAAACGCCTCGCTTAAAACCATATTCCCATACAAGCTGCTTGCCCAGCAAGCCATGCATGTACTATGTCTCATATCAAGGGCATTGGTGGAATAGCCTGTCCAAAGTCATGAAAAACCCCAGTGCCACCACTAGATAGGGGCATAGTCATCTGCGCCGTCGCACGCGAAACGTAGTCTGGCACTTGAAGAGAAGTCTGGATGCGAACCTTTGCTATCGCCTCGCCGTGATCCGGGCAAAGATGCGAGGGACGCTGCCCTTCCTGGCGGGCGACGAGCTCAACCAAGCATGCCCCGAGACCGACTCGCCGGACATTGTGGTCGCGCATGAATCCTCCGACACCCGCCGTGACGATGATCTCCTTGAGCTGGTGGCCGAGCTGGAGGCCTCGGCGACTGCGTTCCAGGCGTTGGCCCTGGCGACCTCGTCCAGGGCAGCTCGCTTCTGGTCGGCGACAGACCGCAGGACTTTCCACAGCCCATGGCCCAGCTCATCCCACACAACGGGGGCTTTGAACAGCCGCCGGCATGCAATCGTGCCCTCCTTCTCGTCCAGGAAGCCGTAGGACACGAGGTCGTGCATGGTCGGGACGGCATCGGATGCCACGGCGATCTGGTCCATTTGATCACACCACTCGGACTGTTGCAGAAACTCGACAATGTAGCACCACGCCTCGGAGCGCGACGCCTCCTCCGCCTCCAGCAGAGCCCGTCGGCGTTGCTCCTGCTCGAGTAGACGTCGCTGCTTGCGCTTCTTGAGCGGCAGCTCGAACAAGGTGGTGCCGTGGCATCTGACGGGGATGGGCGTGGCCGAAGCGGCCATTTTTGCTGCTTGTACTGCCGCCATGCCTGTCCAAGGCAGCGTTCCCCCGGGCGGCCTCCTGGGCCCGTCTGGTATAACGGAAGAAGACGGCGTTGAAGTTGGTCGTCCCCAAGTAGGGGCCGGCCGAGGTGGGTTTTTGTCTTAATATATAGGGTTGGATATCGTAACCAGGCCGAACGGCGTATGTATGGATATATGTACGTATGTTTGTATAAGTAGTTCGCTTGCCGGGTGTGGATGGGTCCTGATCTGTCGGAATATTTCGTCGAAACCTTGCTATCGGCCGCGGTGTATTCTTATGTTTGGGTAGATGGTAACGTATTATATTGGCCAGTCAAGAGGAAACTCCCGTGCACCGACAACCAAGAACGACACAGCGCTCCTTTGTTTGGGCGTCGGTTTGAAACGGCAAAATCCTGATGGGAGCTGACGGGACGTATTTATGTCCTTTCAGCTGCTTGGTCAGAGCTTAGCTTGTTTTCGTGACTGCGAGCCGTCCAAGTCGTATTTTGGTCGTTTCGGTGTTCAGAGGGAGGTGATTCGCCTTGTTCGCGGAAATGGTGGCGGTCAGAGGACGAACACGGCCGTTTTGTTGCTTTCTTTCTTTCTGTCCCTCCTTTTGGGATTTTTTTTTTTAGCAGGACAAGTCGACTCCAGTTACTGGAACAATCATGAGAGTGGTTTGTCGTTTTCACAAGCACATACTCCGTACACAGAGTTGACTTGCTAACAACAGCAGCAACAAGTGTTTTTTCTTATTCAAGCACAAAACAGGGGATGGGGAGTTTTTCGGATGGGAGGAACGGGCAGGTTTATTTGGAAGCCTGGCCGGCCAAGCCATCGGTATCCCATTGCGCTCCTTGTGCCTCCTGGTGAAGGTGCCATCGGCCTGTTCCCCTGTCAGCCTGTTTACCCGCAAGTCCTATGATGTACTCTGTGCATGTACTCTGTGTGGGCAGTATACAGTACGTAAGTATGTACCGAGCAGTCGTTGGTTGCATCCGCGCAGCCGCATCCGCCCCCAGGGCAGAGGGCCCTTTCCTGACCCATACCAAGGTCATCTCATCCACCACATGCTCATCCCACAAATGTACGTGCCAGTGTACATACAGTATTAAGCTGTAGTACGGAGTATGCCTCCTTCCCCCGGCTTCTTGGGGCTTGGGGAGGGGGTGTGAGACATGGGACGCCTGGGACTGAAGTATGGAGCAGGGCGTGTGCTGGTTGCATGTGCCAGCGTTTCCTCCCGGCTACCGGCGTGGAGGGAGTGAGTGAGTGAGTTGTGCGTGTTGTGCGGGACGGCGGGCGGGAGGCTCCACGAAACTTGGGTCCAACAAATGTCGGGCTGGTGGATGGAAGAGCATCTTGGATCTTGGCACTCGAGGGCAACGGGAACGGCCATCAATGATAGCTTGATTGAAGCGGGGATTTCAGCGTTAATGGCGGCAGCACGGCAGCACGGCAGCACGGCAGCACAGCAGCACAGCAGCACAGCAGCACAGCAGCACCTTCGTCCCATCAACAGCCATCAATCAGCTCGTGCGGCGCGCACCCGACGGTGAGTGGAAAGGGCGAGTGAGTGCGTGTGTGTGCGCATGGTCGACTTTGATGGGAGTTCGCAATCTGGATCTGGGGGTGTGGGAGGAAGCTTTCTGAGAGGCCGGCGGCGGGGAGCCCTGCGGGAGGGAGCGCTGCCTGCTAGCGGCTGGTTGGTGGATCAATTTCCGTCATTCACGTTCAAACGTCGACACTCGAGTGACATGACGCATGACCCGAGTCCGTACTTTGTAGTTACTTTGTACCCAGCACTCCGTCCATGTCCATGTCCGTGTTGTGTTGAGCCTCTTGCATCAGCCCGAATTAGTCGCGAACAAGACCCTCGAGGCGTTTGGCGGTGTCAAACCGTGCTTCAGACCGCATCAGCTTGGCGGAACAGAGAGAGGGCAGTTGGTGATGACCTCTCCACAGTGCGAGGCACGGAGCAGTGCCAGTGCCAGTGCCAGCAGCGGCCGTCTTTCACACAGTCATTCATTGCTCAACATGACCAGACACAAGTTGCCTGTCATGATGATGCATTCCGCCTTTGCGGACCAGCGTGTCCCAGGATGACGACGAACTCGGGAGGTTACTCTGTGAAACAGACGCGGTGATACTCTCGAGTCTCCGCCGGCCGGCCTGCAAGGACTTGTCTTCACTTCCATCTCCAGGGACCAGGACATTCTCGCTCTACGGAGCGATCCGTATCCGGCGGGCCACTTTGGTAACCCTTCGAGGCCTTTGCCCATTCACTACTGTGTCCTGTGCGAAGACGACCCGCGTCTTGCTTGCACGTGCAACTCGGTTTCCCGGCGTCTGCCACTGGGTGCCACACCACTCGCTCGCTCGCTCTCTGATGGCCTCGTGTGCGAAAACGAAAGTCTCAAGGCGGAGACCCCCCAAGTTCCAACCGAAGAAGAGGGAAAAAAAAAAGTGTCAGCATCACGGCGACGTGTGCCCTTGCCCTTATCATCACTCGCTTGTTGCGGCCGCCGACAGGTTGCATTGGACGCGGAAGCAAACCGTGGCGTGAGGCCAGCCACCTTTCAGCTCGTGAGCAACGGCAAAACGTCCAAGTACTAGCCGCCTCCGGTCAGGCCAAGGAAAGGAGGGTGTGCGTGCGCCAGGCAAGCAACTACGGAGTCGGAGTACTGGTTCGCAGGTGGTAGTTCTACGGAGCAACGAGTACGGAGATGCGCAAGTCCAAACAAACAAGTTGCATTGGCATTGGCATGGCCGAACCGTGAACCGACGGCCTTCGTTCCGGATGACAGCGCCGATCGTCCCGCAAGACAATCAATCACACCTCAACCAAGGGATCCAACCCGTCAAGCAACTTTGTAACGACTAGTACTCAGAGTCGCAAGAAAAGACGGCCCCGTCAAATGAGGCGGCAGAAAAGCTGCGCGCGCCGGTTGACAAATACTCCAATACCTCCTTCATAATAGACTAACAGTGCTCCCAGGCAGGGTCGGATACTTGAATGGGTTAAATAATAGCTAATGGTGGTCTGTAGATGCCCAAGTTACCGAGTACACGGTGGCCAATTCGGCATCGCAACAAGCCGGTGCCGGCTCCCCTTGCTTGGCTCATGGATTTGGCGTCCGGTGTGGGTTTTGGAGGCTCAAACGAGAGTCAGAGTGGGATTGCGGCATGGATACCTCCGTCTCGCCCTCTTTGAGTTTGTTTACTCGTGCCAACACGAGCGGAGCGTTGGGCAAGTCAAGCTGGGATGTCGCTCAAGTGCTGCCTAGAAACCGTCACGAGAGGGCGACACCTACATACATGCCCGGAAAGCGAACCAATCGGTTCCGAAATGGGGGGTGGACGACAGGGAGAGAGCATCATCACTCGTTCAGTCAGTCAGTCACTCGCTCGGCCGGCCGACTCGGCGAATTGTTATCTGCACAATTTCGCGGAACCAACGTACATAATTACATACATACTGCATACATACGACATGCACACAGACTCACAAACACCACATGCCATGCTATTACTCCGTACATGCCTAGGTTCTCATCCACTCCGTGTCCAGGCAGAGCTGCATTTCAAGTGGCCGCCGCATAACGAGCGTGCACGCCGCAGTGTTTACCTAGACCAGAAAAAGACATGACAAGCGACACGACGCCGCCAAGGGACGGACGACTGACCCTAGCAAGGATGGATGCGGAGGAGTATGCGCATGCTAAGCAGAGACTCCGTACACACATCACACATACCTACCTACTTGGTACGGAGTAGGTAGTGGCAAGTTAGAAGCCGTGACTGTGACTGCATTACAAACCACATTCCGGAGTCCTCCGTAAGGGGCGAGTTTAATGCTAGGCTATACGGAGTATGGCGTACACAAGTGCAGGACACTCCCTCCCGCCGCTCCTGGTTTGGCCGTTGGGGACGGAAAACAGCATCACCGGACCCTTTCCCCGGAACCTTCAAGGCAGCCGAGACATTGTAAGCCGTTTGCCGTTTACCAAGTATGTATGCGGAGTAATCTCGCCGCCTCGCCGCAATACATGACGACGTTGGTACTTGCTGGTGGTATTTAACCAACCTTTTTTGAAAAAAAGCAACCTCTCCGCCACAGCATTCCTTTTGCGACTGCCCGCTGCTGGGCCTGAGCACACTGCGACCGAGGTAGGATTCGAAAGGGCCTGTAATTACGGAATAGACGCGACGTGGGGACCGTGAGAAGGGATTTTCCACCCGTCACACTTCCGGCCTCAGCCTCATGTCTGCGACTCGAGTCACCGAGTATCATCAGTACTCACCGACCGTCTCTGACCAAGTACATACATACGGGGTAGCGGTGCTAAAAAATAAAATAAAAAAAAGAAGAGAAGAGAAAGAAAGAAACAACAAAGAAAACAAGCCCCAGCTCCCGCCACCGCCAACAACAAGAAATAATAATAATTCAAAAATTGAAAAGGGGAAAAAAAAAGGAGAGTGACGCTGCGGAGGCTGGGCTGGGGCACTCGTCGTACTCCGTACTCGCCGCTCGGTACGTACTCCGTACAGGTCGTTCTGATTTCTGAATGCACACCAACAGCCGAAATGGGTGGATCGTCGCCACCTTGTTGCGCTCCATTGTCCTCGTTAAAAGCCCATCGCCACGTCTACTTCCCTCGTGGCGCTGCGTCCCTTGCTCGTGACGGCTGGTTTCACCGGAGCGCAGCATGTGGTTTCGTTGATGCTGTTTGCGGCGAGACGAGACCAGCTCGTCGTGCTTTGGCGTGGTAGAACAGCAGCAACAACATCAACATCCACCAACCACCAACCTCGTCCAGCTGAGACAGTTTGTGTCCAGGCAGATAAAAATAAGCGGTCTGGTTTCACCCGCCATTATTCCGGGGCCGAATGCTGGTTCCTGCTTCTTTCAACATCGGGCCGGACGAGCAGCAGCAGCAGGCGGAGGAGGAGGAAGAGGAGGAGGAGTCAACCAAGGCATGCCGGCCAAGCCAACCTGGTGGAGGCATGAAGCCAGCACAAGCGCAGCTGCCACCGTCGTGGCATGTCTGAGGTGCGACTATTTTTCTTTCTTTCTTTCCTTTTTTTTTTTTTTCAATCATATCTTACCAGAAAAAAAAAAAGCTTTTGTTCTCCCGCACTAACAACGCATACGCAGGGCACAAGACCGCCGAAAACGAAAAACATCATCCAAACAAATCAAGTTGGCTTGTCCGCGTGATCGCCCCGGCCCCAGACCAGCTCAGACGTGACGGCCCTGCATCTGACCCAGGAGGCCAAGATGCAATACGTTCGGATCTGGGACTCTGGGGGCTGGTAGTGGACCGCCCTGCCGTGGCGCACGCGGCTCGTGCCAGCCAGCTTCTTCAAGATGGATCACGGCGTCTGTCTGCCGGGACTGCCTGCTAGTGCGTTTTTTGCGCCAAATAGCAATCGCTGGCAGCCGAGAGCACGGTGGGCGAGAAATGTCGGAAGTGATAGCTCAACTGTTTATTGCCCAGGCATAGTCGGCAGCAACTACGTGGCTAACTCGAAAGAGCTGGCCCCAGAGTTTGAGTTTGATTATTGGGCTCACACCGAGGCAACTCCCGAGACCACGATGAACACCGGCTGCTCGCAATCACACCCACTGACGGGGCTCTGCTACTCCCTGTGTGCTGTGTACAGTTATGAGTTGTATTATGCCGGGAATCTCGTGCTTCGTCGAGCGGCTGCTCTGCTGTGCCCATGAGCCGTGGGGGCCATAATCTCGTCGAGCGGCAGTCGTACGTATTGGCGAAGATGAGCATCGTTTTATTTTTCGGCGGGTGGCGCCGCTAGACCATCGCGCTTCGTACCAGGACAGTCAGTCGTTCAGGCCGTCTCGGAGGAGTCGGGAACGGGGCGGCGCTTCTCCTGGCCTCTTTACCTACCTCGTGATGCTACAACGCCGTTCTCGTCAGTGGTCACATCAACTAATCGTGCCCGCCCCACTTTATGTGGTTCGTGGTGAGGGCTTTTGCTAGCCGAACCACATAAAGTGGGGCGGGCACGATTAGTTAGCAGCAACCACCTACTAGTTGCTAACTACATACTACGGAGTAGTAGTACAATGTACTATGCACGCTGACCCATCAGAACCATCCAACGCGGCAATCTCGCTTCTGACCGTTATTACTCCAACTGCTGGCATCATGGGAACCCACCGCTCGAGTTGTCGAGGCGGTGAAATCTGGACACCTGATTGATGTCATGATTTCTCTGTAATGTGCTTACCTTTTATTCTTCATCGTCAGTATTGACAGCGTTGTCTTTCCCCAAAAAGTGATTGAAATGCCTTTGTCGACGTCTTTTATCTGCGGACTGCACTGCACAACTGTCTTTGACGACTATCCTGGATTCCTGGTGAGCATGGCGACAACGACGATGACAATCAGTTTCTTGCACCTACCGCCAATTTCTTTGACCCAATCGTATCATGATGAACTCCAGCTGAAGTCCTCGTGGAGCTCTATCTGCACAGCTCTAGCTGGGCAAATCACGCAATGAACTGAATATTCAGAGAATGCATATCAACATGCGCTCGCTCCTGCGATACACCAATCTTGGACCAGCTTGGAAACGCTGTCTACTATCTATGCTAAGAGAGGGTACAGCCTCCAAATATCCGGATCCCTTGGAAACATTCTTTCCTGACACCGCTTAAGTGCCTCTCCGTAACGATCAATGCCGTAGGCAAGGTTCTAGCTGTCGTCATCTTCATATACACCTGGGAGTACATGGCACTAACTTCCAAGTCCCGTCCGCAGCAGGCTTGCCAGCAGCACAATTCCTGACAGAAATATCGGCGGCCTCTTGTCGTGAGCAAGATTCAAGAATGAGTTCCCTCAAGCCAGCGAGTCCGAATGACACCAACGACAGTGACGCCGCCATATGATATATCCCTGCCAGACCCAGCAGCTAACCTTTCGACGCTCGGGAGATGCGGCCCGGGCAGCAACCTGACCAGAAACCCCGCCCAGTCGCAGCTTCGGCAGGCCCCAGGCCACACGCATCAACGACCTGGGCTTCCGCGCAGGACAACGTCCAGCGTGTCCCGGCAAAGCGTAAACGTGCCGAGGAGACAGAAGCCCTCGTCGAGAAGCTCGAACTAGCTCTCGAGGTCTCGGAGAACGTGGAAGACTCAGTCGCTCTGGTCCTTGAATTTTCCTTTCCGGAAAGTTTAGGTCAACATACAAGAGGCCGTAAAAGAGCAAGGATATTACGGGCGCTCGCCAAGCTGCGAGCCGACCTTGCCCAGGAGCAAGTCTATCTGGAGGACACCCTGCGCGGCCTTGAAGGGGACCAGCCTCCTCACGGGCAACCTCTCCAACTTGTGTGCCACGAGTTTGCCCCTCACTTGTTATGCCTCCGCGGCATTCTGGGCGACGCAATAGACCTGCTGAACAGACTGTGTCGGCCGGAGGTACTGGTGGAGATTGAGAAGAGTGCGACTGCGCGATACGAGCTGAAGCTTCTCATCACCTGGGGAAAAGCTGAGAGGGCTGGCCTCTGGCGCGAGCTGCCCGCGATATCGCTGGGAAACGCAGGCATGACGGCATATTGGGACCGGTACGCGGACGGAGCTGAAAGTCGGCAGGGAAAGACGGTGGTTGGGGAGGCAAACTCGACAACAGAGCCCAGTGCCGAGGCCAAGAAGGATCAGCGACGTGTCAGGTTCAAGTAGTCCCAAGAGATGATGCATAGAGTGGAACAAGCGACTGGCGGGTTTTGAGTGTTTATCTAGTTGGTAGTTTGGACGGAGACGAGGCTCGTTGCGAGGTTCGATAGCCCTCGCTGCTGCGATGCTTGTTGACCCTGGCTCCGTCGAAATGACCCTGCATCTCCCGGCGGCCGTAGATAGATCCGTGGCTGAGCGGTGTAGACAACATACAGAATGGCAAGGGGAAAAGAAGAATGTGAACCACGACTGTGTGAAGATGCGGATGGCGCGGCCCACGATGGGAACTACAAGAAAGGCATCGTGTAAATGACTTCCATGGACCGACCGTAGGCAAGCACTCGTCGCCCAGTAGCAAACCCTCGTACTTTGTCCAAAAATGACCGTCGTGATGCCGACGGGGCCGACGAACTGTAGCCGTCCTTGTTTCTTTTACTTGGAGGAACGAGGGCAGCAGATGGCAAATTTTCATCAAGATGATAAACGAACAAGACAAAGGGGCGGTTCGAACCGGGCACGCCAGTCGAATCTTGGTAGGTAGGTGGTAGGATATGATGAAGATCGTTTAGGGCTACCTGAGTAGGAGATCGATTTTCCGAAAGGCTCATCAAGCTGACCCGAGGCTTGATACAGGAATAAAGGTTTGCGGCCCAAGGACCTGCCCCGGTAGAAAGAAAGTCCCAAGGTTGACCGCCCATCTGAACATGACACCAGCTTCTACACCGAGCGAGCACCGAGCACCTTTTTGTTCCTGAAAACCAACACGCCACAACATGACTCGTCCTCGAAGAGAACCCATTCCCCAACGTCCCTCGCGCCCACTGCCTGCTATGTATATCCACGTTGGCAAACATCATTTTCTACCGCCCTGTGACTTTGAAATTCGCCAGTTGACATCTCCCTTGCTGCAAGTCGCCGAGGCACACTTGATTACGCCGCCAACTCCCAAGTCCGTACCGGCAGAAAACCTCCGGAGACTCGTCTCCAGCAGTGCTTTGACGTCTCTGTCGCCAATGGTGAAGGGTTCCATGGAAGAATTGGCGGGCTTGACTGCGAGCGTGCAGTCTGTTGTCTGGAGAATCGGCGTGAAGCCATCGACGCCGGCGAGTTTGAAGGTGCCGTTCTGTGTGGTCCACGAACTGTAGAGGCTCGCACATTCTCTCCAGTCGGCGGGATTCTTGCTTGAGGACTCATCAAACGTCGACGGGTCGCATGTGGATTGCGTGTGGCCAGCCGGATGCCACGAGATGCCTGTCGAGTTGGCCACGGGGAGCACCGGGAGAGTCCTCCCCAAGTTGACGAAGCATAGGGCCACGGCAAGCAGGTATTGGTTGGACACCATCTTGAAAAAGTTTGCCGACTTCAGAGAGAAGCAGACCAGGGGCGTGCTTGGTGAGATGGGCCGGCGCGCCTCGGTGTGCGACGCTCCCTAGACAGACGCACTCTGTCGCACAGGAGCCGTACGGGTTGGTCAATATTGACGCAACAAGTTCCAGCGGCGAAGACGAGGGAAGTAATGCGGAATCCCAGTCGGCGGCATACAAGTACGAGGCACACGCGCAAGAGAAAGGTCGGAACCTTGAGGTGAAACGAGCCGCCGTTGGACTGTCGTCTGCTCGCAGGCTGGAATCGGGATAGGGAGAAGACGATAGGCGCTGCTAGGTTTGTGATTTGGAAGCGCTGAATAGTGTCCCAACTCACGGGGGCAGTGGTGGAGGTTATATGACCTTGTCGATGCCAATGGCCGGACGTGTGTGCGTTTGAAGGCCGTGAGAGCACAGGCCTGCTGCTGCTGCTGCTGCTGCACCTTTGCAAGAGACAATGAATCCACGCCGACCGGGGCTGCTCGCCTTCCTTGCCTCCTGCGATAGATTGCAAGGAAAGAGATCTCAATCAGGAAGGAGCGGTCCACAGCGGCTGCGATCGCAACGGCATCGTGCCTCTTTGATGGCTGTTCGCTCGGACCATCGTGTCGGAATCGCCACCAGGGTTGTCTCCTACTCATCCGACGAGGTTGCACTCCGTACTTTGTCCCAAGTCTTGAGCCTTGAGTCTTGTTCTTTGATCCAAGTAGATGATCTACAAACACACCTGTGACGGCATTGGGGGGATTCGACGCAAGCTTGCGGATCTGCCACATTTTACGCAATTTCGATTCTGAACTGAGCACATACATGTCTTCGCTGACAAGGCAGTGTGGCCTCAATGGCCGTGACTGTTTTTCGTCCATTGTGCCAGTCATCGAAGGCAATCATGCTTGGGCCGATGAATATAGACCAGACGAACGAAGAGAACAAATTGGCTCGGTGGCTCAAAGACGCACCGGGCCTGGCGATCATACGTCCATTGTTTCCTACGGACAGGGACCCTGGAGCATAGGCCAGTTGGCACTTGGCAGTCAGAACCAGAACCGGACGAGGCGAACAAGGTGCAGGGCGGCGAGAGCTAGTACGTAGCTCTAGTCCCCTCACCCTCATGCTCATGTGCGGCTTGGTTCAGACCAGGATCAACGTTAGTTCTACCCCTTGGCAATATTAAACACAACCTGAATCCAGAGTACAGGGTCAATGATAACTGAAAACTGTTGGAGAGGGCAGAGGAGACTACCGTCATCCATCGTACTCGGTTCTGCAATCGTACCAGCGTCTTTCACGGGTTTAGACCTTACAATGGGGACTCCGATTGGGTACAATTACCTCTTTGCCTCTTTGCGCGGTACATGCCGACAGTCGCCTGCCCAGCCGCCGGCTTGCATTTGCCAGAAATCAGCTATCATTTGGTTACCCTCAGTTGCGAGACCCGTCCTTGACATCCGCGACCAGGTGTGACGACATTGTGGGGATGGAGAGACCGATACACTAGACCGCCGCTCGTCGGGGAGCGAACAGGCCGAGAGTGTGTCCGAAATTGGAGCGACGACAACATACAGACGGGGACATGCTTGGAGATCCAACATACGTAATCCAAAAAGATCATGGTTGTGAGATGACGGACTCGACTGCGCGGAGAAGCTATCAATGTCCGACAGGTCGAGGGCGTTGAAAACAAGGCAGGGATACTCCTTTGTGAACCGACGGCTCCATCGGAGTGAGTCTGACCCGCTTCCCCCGGTCCTCCCATCTTTTGGCACAAGCTGTGGAGAGGGTCGTGGGCTTCGTCTGAAGGTAGCTTTCCTGTTCATCCGGTACGTACTAACCCAAAGAAATCGCCCTCTCCATCGTCATGAGTGGAACAAAGAAAGGCCATCGAAGCGGGTAATGCAACAAGACAATGGATGAACAAATATATCGTTTGGCGGCCTTGAGCTCCTTAAATTGCTGCAACGACAACGCGACAATGTTGGCACATTACCGCGACCACTGACGAGGCTACAGGCAGGCTTACCGACTCCCCTGTGCTCGGACGTCGATATTTTCTCTTCTTCAGAGCGACGAATGAATTTTATAACGGTTCAGCCATAATCACGGCCAAGCCAAGCCCCACCATCACCCAAGTCCTACCCAAAAGCTAGTCGGGCGTTGCCGTGGAAGTAGTGTCAGTATGCCAAGAACGCCTCGGAAACGCGGCAGCGACATATCCCATTAATCGTGGGCGCCTTCATTTCGCATTCCCACGCCTCGGATATCTAAATCACCGGAGTCACAGTTCAGCTCGTCAGCGAAAAAGCGACGCGGCAAAAGTAGCCACTACGCACGAGATGCTCTCCTTGCCTTGGAGTTGTGGAACGATGCATAGGACGCTTTACGAGACGATCCTAGTTGTGTGGGGTTGGTCATTGCGCACGAGAGTATCATATCACAGGAGCTGCCAGATCATCTGAAGCTGGGTGGCCTGAACTCGTCATTCCGCGGCTAGTCGGCGGACCAGCGATTGGAGTTGCTCACAGTCATAACCGCAGCCGGACTCGAAAAGCAAAGGGGCTCTCATGTTACTCAAGCGGATGACTCGGCAAAGATAATATTGGACGCGGCGAGGAATGAAGTCGAAGCGATTGTCCCAGACTATGATGCTGCACCTTTGCACACTGACACCGGTGAGTAATATATGAAATATAGGCCTGCCCTACATGTGTATGTACTAAGATTCGGCCCAGCCTCTACCAGATCCAATAGTCAATCAGGAACTTTTCAGAAAGGGCCTGGTGCACATTGTAGGTCGCATGGCGTGGTACATGCACCTGGCCCTGCTGCTGCTGCCGAATTCATGGCAACCAGACGACGAACTTCGAGGACAGCGAAACGTAGTCAGAGAGAGGCTTATTGGACTGCACCGAAAAGTACTCGAGCTTGAGATGAATTACGTCTGTGCCGCGGCGAGCGTTTGGAACGCTGCTGGCAAAAATGTGATTGGCTGGGATTCAGTGGACAAGCTAGTGAAGACGGTTCTGGAGCTTGACGGCCAATTTGCCGAGGTGGTCGAGAAGCACTGCGTAGAGGGAACTCGGGAGAGGCTGTTGCAACTGTGCCGAGATGTAGACATGTCTGCCGCGACGGGAAGCGAGGCTACTCAGTAGCAGAGTCTGCAGGTGACTCAGGTAGGGGGACAAGACTAAATTGCCCCGGAACTTGTACTCGTAAAGAAAACCAGACATGGACCCCTGGTTTTTGACGGGTGAGCGTTTGGAGCATTCTATGATACAAAACAAAGCAAGATGCCGTACGGATACGAGCAACTGGTGATGGGTGACACGAGGCGTCGTTGGGGGGGCTTCCAAAAGAGGCAATTACAACTCGAGAAGGAGCGTCTGCTTCAAACTAGCCTAGCGCTCCCGACGTCCCGCCGCTGACGGATCACGGGTTTGAGATACACGACCGGATGGCTGGCCAGATGGAACATTTGGTACGTTGCCTCGACTTCACTCACGTTGTAGTTGGGATTTTTTTACTTCCTCTTGTTAGGCTAGAGCACAGGACTGTTTGCCAGTTTCTCTTGTTCTGCTGTGAATAGTTTGCTTTTTCTTCTTCCTCTTGCTAGGCTAGAGCAGACCTATTTGCTAGTTTCTCTGATTCTCCTATAAATAATTTGCTTTTCCTTCCATCTCCTCTTGGGCCAAAGTATAATTATTCACTAGCTTTCCTTGTTCTCCTGCGAATAGTTTGCCTTTTCCTCGTCCCCTTGTTGGGCCAGAGCACAACCGTTTGCTACTTTGTCTTGTTCTCCCGTGAAAATAAGTCCCCGGAGAGGGGATTCTTGTCGTGGCCGCCCACGACCCAGGGGCTTCACACACACCGTCTGCGGCCGGCCTCCCAGTCGAGCAGACGTTCCGCGAGCATGCGCAGCCCCCGACCCAAGTTCCCGCCACGAGGACACGCCCACGCGGCGCAGACCTCTACAAAAAGGGGTGACGTAAAAGACAAGGAGTCCCGCAGGGCAGGGCAAGCGAGGGCGCAGCAGAAGGCCGCGTCGTCCCGCACAGCGGCACGCTCACTCACTCACGGCCACGGCCACGGCCACGGTCACGGTCCTCCATCGGCGGTCTGTCCCGGCCGCGCCGTCGACCGCCACAAGTCCGCCATGGCACCGGCGGCCGGGTAAAAGGCCAGCAGCGAAACCGCCATGTCCGGCAAGAAGCCGCCCGCGGCGGAGCCCCAGTGGACCGTCAGCGGCGCCCACGCCAGGTTCCTGTAGAAGCTCTTGTTCCAGGCGGCCGCCCATTCGGCGTCCTCGGGGGCGCCCGCGGCGCCGGCCGTCCGGCGGCTTCGCTCGACCAGCAAGCGCGCGCCCTCCATGGCGACGTAGAGCCCCCAGGCGCGGACGCTCAGCAGGCCCAGGCGGCCCTGGGTCGTCGGCGAAAACGGCAGCACCTTCCTGCTCGACAGGAAGGCCACGTTCTCGGAGGCCTGGTAGACGACGAGCGAGGCGACCTGTGCGTAGGCGACGAGCGTGTCGAACAGCGCCTCCTCCTCGGGCGGGTCGCTTGCCGCGGCGGGGGGCGTCTTTTCGGGGCTCCCGGCGGCGGCGGCGGCGCGGGACTTGAGCAGCAGTCTCTTGGCGGCAAAGTAGAGCCCCAGGAGGCCCCAGAGGCGGCCCATGGTTCGGGTTTCGCTGATCATGGCGGCGAGGGCCTTGAACCGGCCGCCGAGCCCGAGGGCGAGCGCGGCGAGCGGGGGTCGCGGCGCGGCCGAGGCCACGAGGACGGCTGTTGACGGCGGCAGCTTGAAGGCCAGGGCGGCGGCGGCGAGGCGGCGGCGCGCCGACTGTCGAGCGGCTGCGCCGCCGACGGCTTCCAGCACGGAGCCCGTCAGCCGAGAGGCGTAGCAGGCGAAGAGGAGGACGGTTTCGGCCCCGGACCGCGTCTGCATGCACCGCGAGAGGTGGGCGAGGAAGGCGTCGGCGCTCGAGGGCGCTCCATGGTTCCGGCTCGACGGCGGAGGGAGTGAGGACGAGGACGGAAGCGGAACGGCGGCGTCGGCGCTCATGGTGTTGTGATGTTGATGCTGAGGTTTGGACGGTGCCCGCGTGCCCGTTTGCCCGTTTGCCCGTCGCGCCTGGTCCGTTTCGTGGTGCGGGAGCTGCGGCGGAGCAGGGAGCCGCCACTGGTGAATCAAGTCTTGTGTGATCAGAGATCAAGGGTGCGATGGCGGCGAGGGCCGGGGCCGAGTGTCAAAATGTGTCAAATTCCAAGGTTGCCTTTTTGCCGCTCGCAACGACGGACAGCTTGGGCCTCGGCATGGCTCTGCTGCTACGCTGCCGAGGCCGTCGGCCCCACGCGCACAAGTGCCTGCCAATCAATTGACGCCGATTGCCGATTGCCGATTGCCGGTTGGAAGTTGGAAGTTGGAAGTTGGAACAACCGACGGGAGAAGCGATGGACGTGGGAACTGGTGTACGGCAAGAAAATGAGCAAAGTGCAACGTCGTGAGATTGAATTTTAACTTGCTCTTAGCAGTGCCAGGACAACCCGGATTCAATCACCTCCCAGGTCCAAAAAAAAAAACAAGTGTTGTACAACTTGAAACATATCATATATTGAAAAGTCGCTCGACTCATTTCTAACATCTTCCTTGGCAACCCCCTTCCTCTCCCCCCTTTAGTTCCCCTACATGGCAACCTACATGATTAAGGGGGCGAAGAAAACGAGCCTTCACTGGTCGCTTTCCCCGAATGTTGATGCAACCGTAAATCTGACCCCCGTGTTTTGCTTCATCCCTCACGTCAATCAAGCCCCGTCCCGTTCCGTGCATGACGGCCAGGACAAACAGCCAAGAAATATTGGCCACAAATAGTTTTTATCATCACACCGTGGGTCGTGCGCAGCACGAAGTGCGTGCGCCCGCGCCCCGAATACCTAGGTCGTTTCATTGCGCATCTCTCTCAGTACTAAAACACCCAGGCGGCTCCTTGCTTATCCCCTGACCGCAGCTCCCAGAGCACCACCGGTGAATTGGGTACCTCCAGCTTGCCTCTGAGTGTTGACACCGGTGCGGGCACCCCCGCGGCCAGAGCGTTGGCCGCCCCGTTGGCCACCACGGCCTCGGCCTCCTTGCCGCTCGAAAGCGTTGGATGTGCCTTGAGTCCGCTGTTCCAGAGTCCGCTCGTTGGTCTCGATGAGCGCGCTGGCCTTGTCGGACAGCGTGAGCGCCAGCGACTGCAGACGGCTCAGCTCGACGCCCTTGCGGAAGATGACGTTGTGGGTGACCTGGTCAAGAGAGGCAGCCAGCTCTTCGTGACTGATCATCTTGCTGACAATGGCGGTGACCTTGGCACTGTCCAGCTCAAACATGGCGCTTATGGTGTCGAGGGCTAGTGTGTCGTAGAAGGGGGCGTACGTGAATAGGTAGGTGCGGAGACCTTCTTCCTGGATCTGCTTCGAGAGCATGGCCTTGATTTCCTCGGCGTTCGGCATCAGCTCCCAGATCTTGATGCTGTGGATGAAGGTGGTCGACCTCTTCCACTCGCCGGCAGCGAGAGCCTTGGAGGCCTGCATGACGTGGTCTCTCGTATTCTCAGGCGGCCCCGTGAAGATTTGTCTTTCGTGGTACTCGAGCATGCGTCGGTACGTCTTGCTAATCACCCGCTTCTTGACGTCGGGCGAGGATCCAGTCTGGGCCAGCAGGGGAATCTCCAGAAGCATGCTGCAGGTCAGGTAGACACACTCAAGGAGTTCGAGGTTGATGTGCATGTGGAATGGTAGCTGGCGCTGCTTCTCAAGACGCTCCTGTTCGGGAGACACCTGGCTGTATCTCTGCATCATGACACCTTGGGCGAGCAGCTCCTTCTGACGACCGCTGCCGCAAATCTCCTGAAGGGTGTTCTGCGCATCGTAAATGAGACCTTTGCGGAAGGCGCACAGGCCAACCTGGACCAGGGTTCGGTTGTAAAGAATCTGGGTCAGGACGTCAAAGTTGGGAATAGTGTCCTGCAGGTGGGACATGAGCATCATGTCACGGGCGTTGTAGTACTCGCCATGCAGGGCGAGGAAGTAGACCTGGCATAGCATGGCTCGAGCACGAATAATGCCGTCACTGTTGCTGAACAGGTAGTTGCAAAGAACATTGACCAAGTTGTTGGCGTCGCTGGACTGGACACGGGGGGTGATGACAGAGTCAACCTCGTCACCTGCAGCCTTCCAGCAGTTCTCCTCGAATGTCTTGATGACCTGGGCCGGCTGCAGATTTGTTAGTTAGTGTGTCGAGCTCGCAACGGAGAGGGAGAGGGGAGAAAAACCCGCATCCTCGATTGTCCATGACTGACCTTGAAGTAGACATGCTCCAGTCGCCGCATGACAATTCTGTTCACGCTGTCTTGGGGAGTCTCGAGGGCAGGGTCCTTGCGCAAGTCCTCATAGTACAACTGGGCACGGACAATGATGTTGTACAGGGCACCCTCATCTTGGAGACGTTCAATATACTCAGAGGTGTGAGGATCAATGCTTTGCAGGGACCGGACGAGCTCGTCATCCAACCTCTCGACATATGAGACGACGCTGCCAGCGACCTTGATATATTTCTCTCCCGGCTGCAGAGAGGGAGGCTTCTCGTCATCATCCCATTCCTCAACATTCTCGACGACGACGTAGTCCTTGTTACTCCCGAGTACGGTTAGGAGAGTGGAAAGCTCCTTTTCTGCCGCCTTCCAGTGTTCCAAAGGCATCACATTGGATGTGCCAGCGCTCAAGTCGAATCTGGCAGAGACGATGGCGAGAAGAACACGGATCCGCTGGTAGGGCGTGTTGGCAATCTCATGAAGCTTCTCCATCACCTTGATCTGCTCGACGCGATCGGTGTTCTTCTTGCCACGCGTTTCCATGATGCCTCGCAGATGCTTGAAGATGCTCTCGGGGGTATACTGGAGAGCACGTCCACCTTTGCCAACGGTAGCAAAGCCGTCATCGCCGACGTCTTCAGTTCGCCCGAGCTCTTCCTGAATTTTGGCGATCTTCTTGGGCTTGACTGGTTCAGGCTCTTCGTCTTCAGATTCCATGAAACCGTCTTTGTCTTCTCTATAGGCATTCACCTCGGCCTGGTACTCCTTGCTGGTCTTTTTGATTTTTTGCTTGACGGCGTTCAGGTTACGGGCCTGGATAGCGTTCATCTTCTTGGGGGTAACTTTTGCCTTGGCTAAAGCCTCGTTTATGAAATCCTCCAACTCGGCAACGATTCGGATATAAGGCTTAGGGGTCTTGCCGCCATCTTGCATGCGGGCAACTTGTCTGCTGAGTTTGTCGAATTCTGTTCAAGACAGCAATATGTTAATGACACTGTAATCCTTTCTTTTTCTTTTCGTCCATTGTTTTCTTCCTCTCTTTCCCATTCTTCCAAGTGGGCCTTCAAGTTGCCACTTGTTTCAGTAATCAAAAAAGAGGTTCGATTCCAATTCTTCGGTGCTGGAACAAAAAGGGACAAGGGTATATATAGAACAAGACACAATAGCTCATGGGGGCGATACTTCCACGTACCGGCAGAGATTAATGTCCAGTCACCGTTCTTTTGGCCGTTCTCGATCTGCTTGATGGAGGCGTCCAGCTCATCGCGCTGTTTATCCTTGGCGCTCTTGACCTTGGCTCGGACTTCCTCCTCTTCGCTGTCGCTGTCTGAGGCGGCATCCCTCAGAAAACGATTGGCGCCCCCGGCTTCGTCATCGCTGGAGGTCTCCTCGTCACTCATATCAGAGTCGTCCATGTCGTCCGAGTCGTCGGAATCATGCTTGCCAACATCTTGCTCCTGCTCCTCCTCGGAGTAGAGCTCTTCCTCATCAGAGGAGCTGTCGCTGGAGCTGTCCTCTCCACCTCGGAAAAATCGAGACATGGTGGGCAGATAATTCTCTGGGCGCTTTTCCTCGGTTGGCGTTGTCGCCTCTGGGCGGTCGAGGGTTAAGGTGCTGATTCGTCGTCGCGAGGTGCGATGCGCGGGGTTAGGAATCGAGCCTGGCTCGTGAGGGTCGAAAATTGATGATTTTTGGTGGGAGGTGGGGCGCGCAACTCGGGGCTTAGCGAAGACTCAGAGTTTAGCTGCACGGTCCTCATCGCCCTCGCCCCCGTTTCCGTGCTGCTGCTGGGTTCTGTGCGCTTACGTCAGCCGGCGGTGGTTTGGTTTTTCCTGGCCCGTGGCCATTGTTCATTGTTCCCACGCGCTGCTGTGGACTGTGGCTGCCCAACCACTAAACGACGAGCTATTAGCCGGCTTTACCTACCACTGCCGAGTTTGGGCCTGCTTAACGGAGGAGGCTCGGGGCCAACAGCCACTACACTACGTCGTGGTTACCAAATATCACAATGCTTGATTTCTCAGCAACACCAACATCTTGTCAACATCGCAGCATCTCATACTCATACGTGCACAGGGCCCCCGAGCTCACCGTTCTCCATACAAGCATCGCCATGGCGGGCGTTGGCTGTGCTGGTGGCGCATCGGCTGCGAGGTCGTTCTTCCAAATCGCGAACCGTGGTTACTCAACTGCCACCGCAACATCATGCGCTCCTCTGGAGTTTCTACTTCCCCAAACTGTTTCGAGAGCCGATTGCCACGCCGCCTTCCTCCTGCGGTCGTGCAAGACTACCGGCGCCGGCCGCACAGGCCGAGTGCCGTGGCGCAAAACCCCGTTCGGCGGTCCTGCTAGACTGTCGCCGCAAACACGAGCATTTACGGCGACGGCGTCTCGACGGGCCACAATGTGTGTGCTCAACCCTCGAACAGACGAAGATGGGAAAGAAATGATGCTGGAAATCACCCCAAGAGCAGCAAAGGTTTGGCAATTGCTCTTGGATCTCCCAAAAGGCGCCTGGGCTAATCGTTCTGTGCTGTAGCGCCTGTCACAAATCATGAAAAAAGATGGCAATCCCAATCTCGCTCTTCGGATCCAAGTAGAGAGCGGAGGCTGCCACGGATTTCAGTATCTAATGAGCCTAGTGACGATACCGCCAAAAGACACGGCGGAATGGTCAACAGTTGTAAACGACGACGACACCATCTTTCAGTTCTATGACGAGGCAGACACGGCAACTTCTTCTGAGCATGGGCCGAGAGTAATATTGGACGAGCCGTCTCTGGACCTGCTAAAGGGGAGCAAAGTGGACTTTACAATGGAATTGATTGGGTCACAGTTTAAGATTGTTGATAATCCATACGCTACTAGTAGCTGTGGCTGTGGGACAAGCTTCGATATCAAGATGTAGCATCACCATGACCTTCAGAACAGGCGGGCACAATGCGCCGTCTTGCGTCATAACGACTATGCCAGTAGGGACTACTTTCCGCTCTACTCAGGCTATGTAGAACTACATGTTTTAGACAATACACCCATTCTGAAAGCAACGCATTCAGTATTTGTCTCCAGGGCCCAGCAGATCATGGACCAAGGTGCACGGCATACGCCTGCATTCGTGGCGCCTGCCTGTGACCCTGTCGCAGATTACACACGTACAAACGCAAAGTCAAAACATTCTCCAGGCAGATCACCATATGGCATGCGGAACTCTAGCTTGTCATTCATTAAGGAATCAATTACCCTAACCTTGTCTTGTACGAAACGCCGAGCGACCATGCCGTTAAAACCCTTTTTCCCTATTCTCCCCACCACGCCAAACCCGGTCGGAAAAGCGTAGCCACCTCATTTTGGTCAACCTAGTTCATCTGGCGGACGAGGGCGTTGATAGCCTCTTCACGGTTGCCAAGGTCACCGCCTTCAATAAAGTGCTTGAACTTGCGGGGACGGAAGCCACCAGTGGGGTTGGAAAGCTTGAATGGCCACAGGAAGTTGGAGGCCTGCTTGAAGTTGGGGCCGACGGAGTAAATCTCGTGGATAAGATCCTCCATGCACACAATGCCGTACTTGCCGAGAGACTCCTCGATGATGGCGTTGTCAGTCAAGGCAACGCGCTGCTTGTCGACCTTGCCGTAACCACGCTTGTAGATAAGTTCCTTGATAGTCTTCAAGTTGGGATAGCCGTAAGCAACCCAGGGCTCAACGATCTTCAGCATCTCAGTGGTGGCCTTGGTGGCCTTGATGAAGACGCCGTTATTGATCTGGAGCAGACGGAGAAGCTGCAAGGTCTTGCGGGGCTTAGGCGGCATCTTGTTAATGCCCTTGATTCGGACGACGAAGATCAACTTGGCCTCGGCAGGGATGTAGGCAGAGTCGTTCTTCTTGGCAACGCGGTCCAAGCGAATCTTCTCGCGCTCAGCATCGCGGTACTCCTTGACATACTTCTCAGCGCGCTTGAAGATGACGCCACGCTTCTCTTTGTTGGCCTGGTTGGGTAAGTTAGCTCCTTGGTTCACTACCATGGATGCGTGAAAAAGCGATTTTTGGTCAGGCAAATAATCAGACCCGAAAGAAGGTATCAAGATCAACAGCATTGACTAATGTCTAGTTGATGGTATGTTGTGCATCATAACGCCACGGAGGTGCGGAGAGATGGTACATACTGCCTTCTTCTTCTGGAGAGCAGAAGTGCGCTCGGCGCGAGCCTTCTCCTGGGACTTGCGCTTCTTGAGGAGCGTCTCGGGGACGAGGATCTGCTCCTTGGTAGGGACGGTACTACACATGATCGGATTAGTACGAGGTCCGGCATACTCGAGGTATGAACAAGAGCGCCGGCGAGAGAACTGTAGCTGTAGCGCGACATTCTCTACTTTGGCTGACTCGAATTTGCATTTAATCGGTGAGACAGGATGGATACACGGTCAAGAAGATGTCTGTGACCGCACACTGTTCCTTCCTTCATACTCATCCGACAACAACCCCGAACCGTTCGTTCAGGAACAATAGTCGCAGGAAACGATACAGGAGTTTTCCAACCCGCAATCTGTGTCCTGGGGCGATAATGGATTTCAGAGCGAAGAATTTGGTGATCAATTTCTTCATCCCCAGCACCTCCTGCATCGTCTCTCAGCCCGCAAGCAATATTTCAGCCTGAGCAACCGAGGGAGACGCCGGAGAAAGATCGAGCTGGCAGTTCCCCATGATGTAGTACTCAATGAAGAGTCGACCACATCATGTACTACCCAGCGAGGAGAGGACCACGAACAATCTGCAAATACACTCGTAGCCGGGGCTCTATGCCCAAATCGAAAGGGTGTTCAACAAAGTTCAACATACGTGGCACCCATTTTTGCGAATGACTGTTCCGTGAAGTCGGTTAGTATTGGCGTAGATGAGAGAGAGGGGGAGAAAATGCAGAGCAGATATGTCTTTTTTTTTTCTCTTTCCAAAGTGGGACGGAAGAAGATTGGGTGGAGATTTCCCGCCAAATTCGGAGCTAGGGTTAGGTTTTCGGTGACCCGCACACAAAATTCTGGTATTTCTGCCGTTGCCCACCGCTCGGTAGCAGCCCGCCTCTGCGGCACCCACCACTCGAGTGCCAGTCACGATATTGGAAAGACTTGTTCTGTATTTCCAACCGCCAGTGTCGAGAAACCAGACAATTCAAAATGGCTCCTCCGAAGCGAACCGCTGCCCCTAAGGAAAATATTTCCTTGGGTCCCTCTGTCCGCGATGGTACGTGTTAAACATTTGGGATTCATGCAGTCGAAATGGCGTGACTGCGATCCGTTGAAATTCCAAGAATTCGCCGCTGACCCAGCTATACAGGCGAGCTCGTCTTCGGCGTTGCTCGTATCTTCGCTTCTTTCAACGATACCTTCGTCCACGTCACTGATCTCAGGTTGGTCTCCGTCGAAACTGGGAGCTTTCACCCCGGCGCAAAGCTCTCGCCCGCGAACTTGAAACGAAAAAGTCCCGGCTAACAAACATACACGCAGCGGTCGCGAGACAATCACTCGTGTCACCGGAGGAATGAAGGTCAAGGCCGACCGTGATGAGTCTTCCCCCTATGCTGCCATGTTGGCTGCTCAGGACGTCGCTGCTCGATGCAAGGAGCTGGGCATCAACGCCCTTCACATCAAGATCCGTGCCACCGGTGGTACGTTTATAATACCCCGCCATTGCTAATGACGGCGAGAGAACAATTGCTAACGTCACGTCACAGGTAACGGTACCAAGACCCCTGGACCTGGTGCCCAGTCCGCTCTCCGTGCCCTTGCCCGAGCTGGCATGAAGATTGGCCGTATTGAGGACGTTACTCCTACCCCGTCTGACTCTACCCGCAGAAAGGGCGGTCGCCGTGGTCGCCGTCTCTGAGCGTCATCTCGAAATTGGGAATGGCTCGGTTTGGACTGGAGTTTCGCTATCTGGTTTCTCTTTGGCGTTGAGAAAAACGAGGGGAACGGCCATAGCGCCTGGTCTCCAATTCTATTGTGCTCTGTCACATCCCGTCAGCGGGTGTTTTGACGAGCTGCTAGGTAGACGGATATGAATTCGCCCCCCCGAAGCAGGCCTATGAACAATACTCCTAATTCGAGCCCCTTGAGTCCAACGACGTGCTGCGATGTGTCGTGCCTTCTGCGACATAGATATGCGTTGTAAAGTCGTCTTCTCCTCATCTATTAAGCTTCTATGGATTAGTGGAATTCCGGTTCCTTGCCGATACCTGCTAAACTGCCGAGTTGCGTCCAGTCCGAATCACTACTCAATTCTTGGCCTCAAAGACCACATTCCTCTTCCTGTACCGCCTACTTTGTTCAAAATTGCCACTCGATCAAGAGCAGCCTTGAACTCGTCACTCTGTTTTTTCCCTGGGCAGTAAGGATTGAAGTGATCCACCAGCATCTTGCTTGGTACTCGTCCGCCCTGTCTATCTATAAAAGCTTTGATCATTGCGACAAAGTCTTTAGCTTTCAAATTCTTGTCAGCGCCGGGTGTTCCACAACGGGAACTACCGGCACTGCTGCCATCCAAGCCCTGTCGATTCGCCAAGTTGCTCATAATACTGGCTGAACTCGGGCCTCCGCGCCGGCGACTCCCACCCGGTCTTCCTCCAGATCCAACTTCGCCGGTCCATGTAACTGTGCCGATTGGTACCCGGCGAGCCTCTTGAGCAGCAAGCCGCAAGTGGGCAGCAGCTTCACGAGCTACATTGTTGGCTTCCTGACGCAGCACACGGACATCTGCCTTCGCCTTCTGTGGGCCATTGACAATTTGCTCGTGGTCATAAGCGCTGTTCACGGATCGCGAGAATATGCCTTCCAACATTCGTCTCTCGTCATGGATAGAGTCGTCCTCTTTGAAGTCCTCCATGGCTGAAACAACATTCATCTTTGAAAGCTCATCCTGCTCGACATCTCCGTGCTTTAGTCCAACGCTAGTGATCAGTGACAAGCGTTGCCTTTGAACAGCTTCCACTTCAGTTTTGGCAGATATGTCAACCTCAGCTCCTTTGAATACTTCGCTTCGTTCGGCAGCGGCCCGATCACCGGCATTGTACGAAAACAGGTCATACAAGTCAGACAGGTCATACGAGCTTCGCTGCTTGGGATCTTTAAGCACTTTGTTGGTCATGAATTGCTTGAAAATTTGCCGATGGTAGATTTTTTCTTCAATGGTACCCTCCGTCATGAGTCGATAAATCTTGACTGGCTTTTTTTGCCCCAACCTCCAAGCCCGTTCCCGAGCTTGCAGATCTGTAGACGGATTCCAATCAGGATCAAAGATGATGATGCGGTCAGCGCCTGTCAAATTTGTTCCCAAACCACCAGTCCTGGTTGTCATGAGAAAGACATGGATGGACGGATCGGTGTTGAATCTGTCAATCATTGGTTGTCGTTGATCAACGGGTGTTTCCCCATCCAAACGTAGATAGCTGATACTACATTCACGCATGCATTTCTCGATAATGTTGAGCATCAACTTGCCCTGTGAGAAGAGCAACGTCTTGTGGCCGTTCGGTATCATCACCTTTTGTAGCAGGTCCTTGGTGAGCTCCAACTTGGCCGAGAGCTTTGGACTTCCAAAATTGTAGCCAGCCTTGCTTCTGAGACTCTTGTCCAACAGGTCTGGGTGGTTGCAAATTTTTCGCAGAATGTCAATTCCGTACAGCGATTGGCGTCGTCTATTCAAAATGGCTGATACTTCGTCTGAACTGAGAAATGTTTCGTACGCCTTACGCTGCCCTTCGGTCAATTTGCAAAATAAAACCTGTTCTGTCTTTTCAGGCAAATCCGCTGCTACGTCAATCTTTAACCGCTGAAGCAAGTATTCACTGATGGTCTCTTTGAGTGCTTCGGCGCACTTTTCGGCCGTCATGACTTGAAGGTTTGATGCATTGGCGTAGCCTCCCTGTCGAATGGGGATTTCAAATTGTGTGCGGAAATTAACCAAAGTTCCCAGCCGCATTGGGTATATGAAATCAAACAAAGACCAGAGCTCAGTCAGATTATTTTGCACAGGTGTGCCGGACAGAATCACTCGGTTTGGAGTGTTTAGTTCCTTGCAAGTAACAGTTATCTCGGCGTTGGGGTTTCGAATCTTGTGCCCTTCGTCGAGCACGGCATAGCCCCATTCAACTGGTAGCAACTCATCGGCATAGGTCTGTAGACCTGTGTAGGTTGTGACAAGAACGTGACCTTTGTCCACGACTCTTCCGACTATCCTCCTCGCCGCATTCAGGGATCTGTTTGCAACTGGACGGTAGTGTTCGACGTCGTAGTCATCCTCGAACCGAGGATTCATCATGCCACTTCCCGATGAGTGCAAAATCGATACTCTCAAAGGTGGCCACCAGCGATGGAACTCGCTTACCCATTGTCGCAACAAGGTAGCCGGCGCGACCACAATGACTGGACGCTCGAGCATATTGCTATGATGCAGGGCAGCAATGAAAGCAATCAACTGTACGGTTTTACCTAGGCCCATTTCGTCACCAATGATGCCGCCAACACTTTGTTTGTATAGTTCTGCAAGCCATTGGACGCCAGTTTTTTGGTAGCCAAATAATGATGGGTGAATATCACCAGGTAACTTGAGTTCGTCATCAACGTAGTGATCGGGATAGTCTGGTGATTGTTTCAGCCATTCATCCTCGTCCCCGTCCTCGTCCTCGTCACTTTCGACTAAATTATTCTCAGTGTCGGCGATTTGCCGACGGGCCCGCCTGGCTCTGCTCCTCCTCGAAATCCAATCTTTCAATCTTCGTTGGTAAAGTGCTTCATTGCCGTCATCAAGTTTGCTGAGGTCAATTTCCTCGTGCTCTTGTGCTTTAACTTTGGCCCTCTGCTTGCGATTTTCTTGTCGAATGAGATCGTCTTCATTCCCCTGTTGCCAAACTGTGGAATCAGCAGATTCTGACCCTGACACATACTCTGGCTCGAAATCTGCCGACGGGCTGCGCTCCCGTTCTGTCCGCCTCCTCTTTCTTGGCCGCAGAGAGAACTCACTTTCTACGGTAGATTCAGATGGCTTAAGATCGTTTACAACGACATCATCGACGAAACCTGGACGCCGTAGCTGCTGGTGTGAAGTGGGGCCTTCCGCCTCTTGATCATATTTTTCTGCGGCAGCCTCTTCTTCTGCTTCCAATATAGTATCGGCCAGTTGACCAGTTATTCCTTCCGGGCGGGCTCCTATAACCTTGGCAAACGGTGTGATTTTTCCTGTTCGAATAAGATACTCGCGGTTGCTTTCACCAGCAAGCCTCCTAGACTTGGTAGAGGTGGCGATGTCTAATTGGTTTTCTTGATGTCGTTTATCAATGCGCGCTTGGAAATCTGCAATGTCGCTCGTGACTTGCCCAAGTTCGTCTTCCAGCTTTGCAATCTCTTTTTGTACATTGCGCGACTGATAGGGATTGCCAAAAACTCTTTCTAGGCGCCCCTTCTGTTTGTCCAGTTGGGACTGCAGTCTCTGTCTTGCAGCATCTAGCTTGACCATACGATTCTGATCTTTCTTGTCCTCGGCTTCCATCAACGCTGCGCTCGCCTGAATGGTGATGTCTCGTTCCAAGTCGCCCTGATCTCTTACAGTTCCTGTTAAGCTTTTCAGGGCATCTTCTTCAGTCATAGCCTCTGCCTCAGGTCTTTCGGTACTTTGTTCGGTATTCGTTGCTTTCGGAGCGGCTGCGATCATCCCCTGGACGCCAGGTTTACCTGCTTCGCCACCGGCGCTCTGGTCCTGTTCGCCGTCACAATCCATGGTGATCAGTCAGCGAGCTCAGTCTGTAACGTTATTGTTGAGCTTCAGCATTAGTGCCACTCGTGACTGGTTCACAAAGGATCCCAGCCATCTGACAGCGGGAGCTGGGAGACCTGGAGCCGTCGGGATGAGTTCATCACCCTCGCAAGGGCGAGACTGTCTCCATTCGAAGACCAGTAAATGTAAACCCCTTAGCGGCAATGGTGGTGATGGCAAGAGATGGTTGTGTCTGATGAGTACTGAAAATAAATGGTGAATTCAGAGGACCACGAAAGAGTGGCAAAAAACATGACGTGGTTGGTTGTAGCGGTGGGTCCGTCATTGTTGCCTGCTGAAGCAAGTTAACGATACTTGTGAAGGCTACCCTATAGCGATGGCAAATTTCGACACGTCACAAGTTGTTCTATTTGAATGGTGGTGCATACTCAAGTAAGTGTCTCAACTACTAAAAAAAAATCAGTGTATAGCTAGTCTTGTTCATTCTCATACCCATACGGCAGCTAGTAGGCCACCGTCTTGCGTGCATTCCTTTCTCCTATATATATGGGCAAAATTCAGGCAAAGTTGTCCGCATGGTGCTTCTCGCTCTACCCTTGTGTAAAATAAAGAGGGAGTTGGGTTTGCACCGGAAAATGCCAAACCACCACCTGTTATTATTTGCCGCCGACCTTTGGCAATATCTTGGGTGTGCTCCGAGATTCTCCTCCACAAATATAACGGTGACAAACTTCACGATACTGGGAGAGGTCCAGCTCTGCTAACCAACTCTCCCAGTCCAATGCTTGCTGCCTAGTGCCCATTTCGTACAAGCGTTGAAAGCTTTCGGAAAACGGTTCGTCGCGCTGGTCGCATATTTGGAAGATTTTTTGCACAAATTTCACCCAAAAGGTAGCCCATTCCGTGTCAAAAGTCGACTGAGGGTATCGAAATTCCACAGTTCCGATGCCACTGACTGCGATACCACAACGAGACGTAGACGCGATTTGAAACCCTACGCTCTTGTATCTCAAGTCTCGCTGGAGGTCAGTTATTGTGCTCGCTGCATATAGGAGCACCAAGAACCGAAATACCTTTGGCTCGTCAGGAAGCCTGTTCTCCAGCTTGGAACGAAAGCCATCAAGAGCCTGTATGAAGCTTTCCGCAGATGACGTCGTCCATTTCTCCTCAACCCGGCTCTTCGTAGCAAGCATTGACTCACGGCCGATGGCTCTGACGCAAGATGAAAGGCGTCGAGCCGGATGGCAAAGTCCCATGATGAGGGGCTCCTCGAGTATGCGAACCACAGCGACCACCCTTTTGAGAAGTGGAAGACTTACTGATGCCGATGGAGGACTAGCATGAATATGCATACCACATTCTGGGATAAGGCGGATCAAAATGTTGTTTCTCAGCGCCTCGAATACTTTTTTCAAAGCTGGTAGTCCATTATCTATCTCTTCCTGATCAGAGATGACTGGCGAACTTATTTCCATGCCGAACCAGGTATGATCTGTTGGAGGACGGTCGTTGTTACCACCGACGATGACTTCTGAGCCTACGAACCAATGCTGGAAACGAATTCCTGGGTCCGGGAAGCTCTCGTAGGCTGACTTCCTGTTCCATACTCGCAACACACATGGAGGGTCAGTATTGCAAAAAGGATGATCACGGTCCTCAAGATTCACCATGTGTGTGACCGCAGTGCCATTTTCCTTCGTCTCTCCCACAAGTTCACCCTCATGGACTGTAGTCAAAGGGTCTTGAGGCTCTGTATGATTGATGTCACATGCAACCGGAAGGCCACAATTTGCTACGGCCTGGCATACCATCAAAGTATCCAGGCTCGCATTGTATTCTGTGTAGTTTTCTTTGTGTGTTTGCGAATCGGGCCAGCGATCGTCGCCGGACAAGCGTGGCTGTCGAATGGATGCATGTGGCCTCTGAGCTATGAGAAACTCTGTCTCGATGCCGACATGCTTTGCAAATCCTTCGCCTGACATTGCTGAAGAAGAAGACAGGTAGGAATGGGAATGGTGAGGACGGTGAGACTGGTGCTATCGCTCGTTGCTGTTGTCGAGAAAGGGGTTGGTGGTCACTTGCACGTCGGCATACTGGGACAACATGATGCTTTAAATATTGATACGGGGGCATTGAATTCATTTCTCATAGATGCGTTGACTCTGGAAGTACCAATACTGTTCATAAATGAAGGTTTGAGACCAGGGGACGCGTGATTGAGTGTGTAACCGGGCGACGTAGCACGGCGGATCGAGGCAAAGGAGGGTAAAGGGAGTGGCGCAAGTGCTCAGTTTCCTGTTCCTCTTATGTTTTCACGAACTATAGCTTTCTTACATATATTCCAGCTACAAGGTGTTCACTGACTGGAGATAGGTACCTCATGTGTCCGGATGACGGAAAGAACTTGTTGGCGTTCTAGAGCTTCTCATCTTGCCTGGATTCGTCGATCTGTCTGTCCCTAGAGGGTGATACAACAGACAGGTCTGTCGGAGTAGGACGAAGGCAATAGTTAATACATGGCCGTTCTTCAGTTTTCGTTCCTGAGGCAGAATTCCAGGCTGTGAGATTAGTTCAAGCCCAATCAAGCCTCCAGGGGAGAAGGATGGTGACACCTGGAGTTGACTGCATAAGCAAAAAAAATTCAAAAGAGTTGTGTCACTTTGCCGGTGAGAAGTTGAATACCGAACAGGACGAGCATCGACCATTGTCATTGAGGCGTAAGCTTAGTTGCACCAGAGTTCACTTGCGCACTGAGCAGTAACATGGCTTCACCGATTTTGACCGGCATCATTGTCATTGCTGCATCAATTAGCAGCGTCATATCACGGCTGGGACATTCGAACCACCGAGCTTCTTGATTTGTCCATTCGCGGGCATATCCATGTCAGTTAGTGCCGAGATTGTTCATCATTGTTCAATGATGCTACGCAGCTGGAACACGAACATGTGTTGAAGACGTCGAGGAGTCGTCGCCGACGAGGCGAGGACTTGAACCGAAGTTGACCCGCCTGGCCCTGAACGTGAGATCGACCACTAAACGCGTGCCGCCGCGCCTATCATTTCGCGTCGCCGCTGCTTGCCGCCGCCGCCAAGGTGGCCAGTCAACAGCTTCAATGCTGGTTAGCATGTCCGGGTCTTGGCCACATTTGCACCTTTCCATCTTCACGTCTTTTCCATCAACGCCAGAGCCCATGCCACAAGCGCCGCCGACATGCGCATCATAAAGCCCTCGTGGCTAAGTCACAGTGGCGAGCAGAAGGACTTTGAGGTGTATAGCTGCCACGTTTCCCCCGATGGCAAGCGTCTCGCGACCGCCGGTGGTGATGGCCACGTTCGAGTCTGGTCTACCGACGCCATCTACAATGCCAAGGACGCCAGCTACACGAAGCCGCGCCAGCTCTGTCACATGAGCCATCATCTAGGAACAATTCATTCTGTGCGCTTTTCACCCAATGGACGATACTTGGCCAGCGGTGCCGACGATAAACTCATTTGCGTATACCATCTCGACAAGGGAACGCCTGCGATAGCTTTTGGGAACAACGACCCGCCGCCCGCAGAAAACTGGAAGACATACAAACGACTCATTGGTCACGAAAACGATGTTCAGGACTTGGCATGGTCCCCGGATTCGTCCTTGCTGGTGTCTGTCGGACTCGACTCCAAGGTCGTTGTCTGGTCTGGCTATACCTTCGAGAAGCTCAAGGCTATCCCGGCGCATCAGAGTCATGTCAAAGGCATCACATTTGATCCCGCAAACAAATTCTTTGCTACTGCAAGCGATGATCGAACCATCAAGATTTTCCGTTATACCCCCCCCGCCCCGAATTCTACTCAACATGACATGATCAACAACTTTGTTCTCGAGACGACCATCAGTGCACCCTTCAAGAGCTCGCCCCTAACTACTTACTTTCGCCGCTGCTCCTGGTCCCCCGACGGTAATCACATCGCCGCCGCCAATGCCGTCAACGGCCCCGTCAGTTCAGTCGCCATCATCGAGCGCACTAGGTGGGACAGCGAAATCAACCTGATCGGCCACGAAGCACCGAGCGAAGTCTGCATGTTCTCCCCACGACTATTTCATACGGTCAAACCAGACGACAACACTACACCGAATGGGAACTCTAATCAATTACTGGTGACTGTTGCCGCCACTGCCGGTCAAGACAAGACCCTCTGCATATGGAATACGAATACATCGCGTCCTGTTGTAGTTCTTCAAGATCTCAGTAGCAAGTCAATATCTGATTTATCATGGGCGCCCGATGGTCAGACACTTTTCGCTTCCAGCTTAGACGGCGGAGTTGTGGTCGTCAAGTTTGATGAGGGAGAGCTTGGTTGGGTCGCCCAAACCGAAGAAAATGTGAGGGCTTTGCAGAAATACGGTGCTTCTCGCAAAGGAATGGGAATGCCCGAGGACGTGGACGGCCTGTTATTGGAGACGCACAGCAAAGCTGGGGAGTCCAGAGCCGTCGAGTCGAGAATGGGTGCGCTCATGGGAGACACACCGAAGGAGTCTACTCCAGCTCCAAACGGCACCAAGGCTGGGTTGGAGAAGCATGCCACCGCCACAAATACTGGCCCCGAACCTGCAAAAAGCCCCGCGGAGGAAAACGAAGACAAGGCTGCAGAACGTGTCAAGGAGCTGAAGTCACGAGTTACGATTGGCAAGGACGGTAAGAAACGGGTAGCACCACTTCTTGTTTCGTCCTCTGGAACTGGCCAATCTTCCTTGCCCCAGACACAGCTAGTCGGCTCAACCGCAACAAAAACTACCCAGAATGATACCCCGCAAACGATTATAGATCTCAGCAGGCCGTTCGATGGACTACCCAAGGGTGGAATCGCTTCCATGCTCCTGGGAAACAAGAGAAAATCCGTCACTGGCGAGGCCGGCGAGGATGAAGAAGATCCTGCCGCCAGGAGAGCTGCAGTAGGCCCTACGCCAGTCGTTACCAACGGCATTGATGGCGAAGAGCCCGCTGCCCTCACTCTAGTGCAGAATGGAGTGGTCCCTACGCCTGAGTTCTTGCGACCGGCAGTTCTAAATCCCTCCATATCACTTTCTCAAGTGAGATTGGCAGTGCCTCGGATCCGATCACATATTCTGCGCCCGATGGATCGAGGGGTACTACAACCGGATAGCACCACCGAAGATGCATCCAAAATCCCGGAAAGCATCATCATGGAAGCCAAAAACGATACGAACCCACGGGAGCCATCGCGCATCATGGTGACCAAGAGAGGGAAGTTGCTGTGGCAAGAGTTTCTTCCCAGAGCCGTGATTCTGGTCACTGCGAATAATAACTTTTGGGCGGCAGCTTGTGAGGATGGATCTGTCCACGTATGGACACCCGCCGGTAGGCGTCTGCTGAATCCTATAATACTTGAATCCCAACCAGTCATTCTAGAATGTCGGCAACAGTGGCTTCTGTGCATAACTGCAGTTGGACTGGCCCATGTCTGGGACTTGAAAATGCAAGCTTCACCGCATCCGCCAGTGTCACTTGGACCGATCCTGGATGTGGCCACCACATCATTGAACCAGCATTCCGCAAGTCCTGGCCCCGGTGTCACTTCTGCTCACTTAAACACAAACGGACACATTGTCGTGACACTTACCAACGGTGATGGATTCTACTATGCTCGGGAAATGTACACTTGGCAGCGGTTGAGCGAAGCCTGGTGGGCGGTTGGGTCTCAGTACTGGAATTCGAATGACTCTTCAATATCCGCCTTGCAGTCGACAGCCGTCGGGGCTACCTCGACGGAGAGTGGAGACGAGAACACGACAGCCACCGTATCTTCTGGTATTATACCATTCCTGGAACGTCATACGACGAACGAGTTTCTCCTCAAGGGTCGTGCGTATGCGCTGCAACGCATGATTAAGACCGTCATGCAGCGGAAGGAAAACGAAGATTTGGAGAGCACCATCAGCATAGCTCATTTGGAAAATCGCATTGCTGGTGCATTGCAACTCGGAGCCAAAGAAGAGTTTCGCTTGTATCTGTTTATGTATGCCAAGCGCTTGGGGGCAGAGGGCACCCGGCCCAAGGTTGAGGAGCTGCTCAATAGTCTAATGGGAGGCATTTTGCGGGAGAAGCAGACGGAAAAGCAGCAAGGGAGGGGATGGTACGGCATCGATGACGATGTTTGTGGTTGGAATCGCAAGGAACTGATCAGGGGGGTTGTTTTGATTCTTGGTAAGTCGGATGCCTACCATGAAACCCGGAAACATGATGGCGGTGATGGTATTACGGTTTGTGTCTAACAAGGTACATAGGAAAGTATCGCGAGCTGCAACGGCTGACATCACAGTATGCGAGGGTGCTTGACCTTGACTTTGACCATGGCGCCGTGGAGGTTGACAACATGGATGTAGAGGCTTAGCTGGCCTCGGATCCTTGGCGCCTCAATAGCTGTAGGCCGTCTTGAGTAGCTGTCAAATGGCGGCGCGACAGGCCGTGCTTTTGTACACTTGTTTTCATTTTTCGAGCGGGACTGGATACGGCTGGGATTGTATTTCTCATGGTTTCGAAGACTGGGGAGGGAAAACAAAACCACGTTTCGGCGTTTGGAGGACAGCTTTAAATGACTGGACGTACAGGCGAGGAGCGGACCAGTGTCTGGACGAGGAAATCATCATTCAACGTATTCAACGCGGTCCAGTCGGAGCCTGTTGATCTGATGCCAGTGATGTGACTCGGACTCTCTGACAGGAGCATAGCATGGGCTCGATTGACACACGCAACGGAGCTAGAGCTGACGGCGTTTGAAAGATGATGTGTGAGGTAATACGTAAATCACGTCATTTCTGGCTATTTCTGACCGAGCTACGCGGTATCAGTTCGGCACTCCAATGCTGGTGGGTAAATCACGGCCAAAGTCGAAGAGCAGCTGGCAGCCTTTAGGCAGGATCAACTAATATCAAACGGTCTGGTCCTCACAATTGCCCACCAGTTGCCCGCCAGTTGCCCGCCAGTTGCCCGCCAGTTGCCTCCCAGCTGCCTCCCAGCTGCCTGCCAGCCTGCTCACTCAAGTACCTACTTCTTAAGCACTTGAGTACTTAAGTAGTGCAGCTTCTCCTCCGCAAGCTCGAGCCTCGGAGCAACTCATTACTTGCCACCTTCAGTCTCTTCTCTCTTCGTCGGCCTGTGTTTCTGCTTCTCTCCATATGCTCTCATCAGGATCATCCCGTTTCCCTTCGACGTCGACAGCCACAATCGAAGAGACGCATCTAAGAGCTGCTTGTCGACCTCTTTACTTCTCAAATCTTCTGCCAGCCTTCATTTCTTCGCCCGGCCTATATTCTGCTCCTTTCCTTTGCTCCCTTTGTTTTTTCACTCACCCATGGGCCGTCGTCTCTCTTCAACTCTTCCTTATTTTCAGCCCGCACCGCAGGATGACGAGCTGGAAACAATGTATTCCCTCGACACCCACCTTCGTATGGCTCGCTAAATTATCACGGTTGTGGCTCCTCGTTTTCTTCTCCTCACACGTTCACAGTCTCTACCCACCGATCACTCTCGCCGATGATGCTGCTCCAAGAGCTGCCCTCGTGACTCTGGCCTATGAATATGACCTTGAACCTTTACTTTCGTCGATGCATCAGTTGGAGCAAGCGTTCAACAGCCGATACAATTATGACTGGGTGTTTTTCAGCACAGTGCCTTTGAGCGAGGAGTTTCGTCGGTTGACATCCAACGCCACCACAGCTACTTGCGTCTATGAAGTCGTTGGACAGGGTGATGTCACTTTACGTTCCTGGGAAGAAAAGGATCCCTTCAGCCAAGAGAAGCCATCACAAACTTCTCAGGAAGCTGCGTCACCAACTCGGGGGGATACATTCAAAGCATTAAAGACCTTCCGTCAGTTGCAGCGTTGGAACAATGGGCCATTTGCGAAAGAGAAGCGGCTTCAGACATATGACTGGTTTTGGAGGATTCAGCCCGGGGTGAGTCAACATCCATAAACAGCAATCGAATGTGTTTCTGATGCTTTTGATATTCTAACCTAGTCGATAGGCTCAGTTCACGCATGACATTGGATTTGACATTTTTCGTTTCATGAGAGACCACAATATTGCGTACGGATCCAACAAGGTCAACCTGGAACCGATCCACCGGTCACTTATTTCACAGCAAGTCAAAAGGTTTTTGGACAAGCATTCTGACCTTTTGCACGCCGAAGCAGATGTGGCTTGGCTCCTAGGGCTTTCTGACGATCGATATGACCGCCGTGGGTCACTGAAAGTTCGCCAAGAGTCGAATTCCCATGCCAGACGGATGACAAATGGTAACTTTGGCAAGGACTAGTGGTCCCGGGGCTTTAGTACTACTGGAACAACGAAGGACGACGCAAGTACACCAGAAGAAGCCTTCACAAACTGGCTACTTACCTTCTACAAGAGCGGCACTTCCCCCAAATTCGACATAGGCTCTCTTTCCTTCTTTCGAAGCCACAGTCACCAGGTGCTTTTAGATCACCTTGATGGATACGATAGTCAATATGAGCAAGGATTTGGAGATATCTTGGTGCCGACCATCAGTGCCAGCATGTTCCTACCACAAAAGAGTGTGTGGAACTTCCGCCAAAGAGACCGAGGCTACACCAGCTGGCCACACCCCCCCGACTCAACTCCGGAGCCAAAGCTCAAATTGTGGCATCGCATGAAGCGAGCAGTTCGCAACGATTCACATCAAACGGTAACGAAACAGAGACAATCTTCTTCACAGGACCGCCGGAGCGGTCTTACGGAGCGATTCGCTCTGTGGGATGTGATAGCTGAGGATTTTGGTAGGCAGGCTGCTATACCCGGCCTACAATCGGGAAATACTGTGATTGACGGACGCAACTTTGCACTCAGTTGATTAGTCTTGGTAGATGCTCGGAGGAGGGTAAACATCGGTCCAAAGACTCTTGAAGCTTTGCTGGAATCAATCTTCTGGGCTGTGGTGCCTGATTTACATTGGTTGTTGGGTCTTGCAGAAGCATCGAAGGCGGGTAGATAGCTGTACATTTTTGGGTTTTTTAAAATTTTTACTCTTTATCTTTCAATGGCTTTTTGGTCAAGTACACGAACGCTTGTCGCGAACGGTCATGTCACAGCTGTTTTTGTCGCAAAGCTGAGACAGGGTTTTGTCGTGTTCATGGGTTACATCAACAAAGTAGGCTTGAGAATGCCTGAATTATGTCAATGTCAACATAGAAAGACAGGAAGCGTCCTGGATCGCACGGTTACTGTTGTTGATTTCCCAGATGCAAGTTGTTCTAAATCCGTCTTTGCTTCTGCTACTATGGTTTCTCGAACACAAGCAAAATAGGTATTTGAGATGGCACTCCATCCGTTTGTGGACCGGATGTACTGAAGGGTCAGGTCCAGATGCGCCAAGAAAGTGCTCGGCTTCTGAGAGTGTTGTGATCGTGTTGGCCCTCCCTTCCTTTCGAGCAAAGGCTTTCCAGGACGACGTGCTTCATAATCTCATGAGAGCGTCGCTAAAGATGGCGAAACGAAGGAACTTCTGTGTCAAAACTCGAACTAGGCCAGGGAGAGTAGACGTTCATGTGCTCGACGGTCTTGAAGACGCAGTGAGCGGTAGATCTCACGAGCTACTTAAGGCAGGTACGCGAGGTGGGAGAACATGCTGCCTGTGTACGCCAGCGAAGAGATTGAAGAAGAGTATAAGTACCTACTTAAGGTAAGTAAGAACTTACCTAGGTACTTGGGCAGTCACTGTTCTCATAGTACGTACTTGAGTACTTACCTACCTCCTACTTAAGTGCCTACCCAAGCAGGCAGCCGGGTAACTAAGTACCAGGCCAAGTGACGACTGATGTTGCATGAAAGATGGGATAGCTGGCCGTGCCAAAGACCCACGCACTGGTGCTGATCAACCGGGGGACGGCTTGGACGGTCTCAGGTGGCGCGTTGGATGAATGTATCAAGTTGTCGTGGTCTGTAACAGGGCCGACGTCAGATGCCCAACGGGGCTGGAAGGGCGCGGGAAACGTTTGGCCGTGCGTACTTAGTAAGTTGCTAGTCTCGATATCTGCAGCGGTGCGGAGAGTGGGGGCTAGCATAACTTCTTAGTTACTCGGTACGGAGTACTTGCGTTGCTCATGGCTGATGGCCCATGGGCTACTACTCCGTACGCACTTACTATCCGGGTGCGCAGGTGGCGGGATGTCCCCAAAGTCTCAGCCCGGGTGGTGGAGACAACCAAGAGACACGTCAATGCAGAATGTGACGGCAAGTCGAGTGCTTACTGGGCAGTAAGTAGCAAGAGGCAAGCGCGGGGGAGGCAGCTCTTGCCGCCGAACAAGACCAAAACTGCATGGAACTTGAACAGAAGCCCGGGGGAAAAAATCGGACCGTGTTCAGGTAATGAAGAAGGTCCAGGTTCCAAGGGGAAACCAATCAGCTAGACTCGGTACTCGTGCCCTTGACGCTGCTAGACGCCAAGATACCAACGAGGAACTAGGACAAGCCAGCCACGTCGGCGCTCCCACGGTAGTCCTAGGCAGGTAGGTAGGCAGGTGGTATGTCTTGTCATCCGAATGGATCGATCGAGTCGAGCACTCGAGTTGCCGACGAGTTGCCAAGGACCTGCATCCTCAGGCTTGCCTTTCCGCTTTAGACGTCATGGATTCGTCCCATAATACCAGTCGGACGTCTTCTCCAGATTCCACCTGGCCCGGCGCCGGCTAATCAAGTCTCCATGCGCCTCCCTCATTCGTCATACGTAGCTCAACCAAGGGCCACTTGCATCACTCGCATGAGATACTGGCCACGGCATTGCGCATTGACCAATTTGCGATCGTTGCCTTTGCAGTTTTCGGATTCTAGCTCATCCGCCACGCCGGTCGTTCACCGTTCTGCTCACTCTCCTTCCCAACCAGCAACAGAACCAATTTTTCTTTTTTTTTTTCTCTTCCCGTGTCCAGGTTGACCACCTAGGTACCTTTTGCGCATCTCGACATTCCTTTGTACTTTTCCTTTTTGCTTTCTTTATTTCCTACCTCAACCAAGTTTGTTCCTCGGCGGTGCTTTCACAAGGCGCAGCTTGACCGATCGATCACCTTCTCGTCTCCCCGGCCTGTCTTTCCCCTTGGCGCGACATCACGATTGGCGACGTGCTGCCATCATGGCAATCCTCGAGAGCACTGCGTTAAAGGCCGCTCCTCCTGGTGTCTACCGGGGCTCCAAAGGAAGCGGATTCGCAAAGAACCTGTCCCTCATTTTTGTACGTACTCTGCCGCGGCCATGTCGTGACAACTGAGCACGCGACTGCCCGCGGGCGGCTATTCAATGATGCTTGAGCTCACTGTCTACTCAGTTGACTTTCCAGAACTCGGCCCTGATATTGGTACGTTCAAACGGGCGATCGCCGCGAAGCATTTCAGAATCGTCGTCCTCGTTGACGGCTCAATCAAGCCTCAAGTGGCCTAACGCGTCCATAGGTGATGCATTACTCCAGAGTCATGCCCCCCGACGGCGACCACCGATATTTTACATCTACGGCTGTCTTTCTCAACGAGGTCATCAAGCTAGCTATATCTCTCACACTGGCTCTGTACGAGACATCCAAGACCCTTGCCCCGAGCACGCCAGCTACGGTCCTCTTCGAACAGATTTACAATGGTGTATTCTCCAATGATGGCTGGATGCTGGTCGTGCCCGCAGCTTTATACACCCTCCAGAACTTGCTGCAGTATGTAGCTGTGGAAAATCTGGATCCAGTTCATTTCCAGGTCTTGTATCAGGTCAAAGTAGGTCTTCGGACAAGTCGCCGTTGTACTTCAACAACATAGGCCAGGCACTCGATGCTGACGAGCAAAACAGATTCTCACAACAGCCATCTTCAGCGTATTTCTGCTCCGACGCCAGCTGGGCGTCAAAGGATGGACGTCCCTTCTCATCCTTACGCTCGGTGTCTGTATCGTCTCTCTGCCATCTTCGGAAAAAACTACCAACTCGCTCCTCCTGCACGGTGTCCCTGACCACTTCTTTCCTCGATCGAAACACGAAATTGGACAAACCGTAGCTGGCGCAGACGTTCCCGAACCGGCGCTGCACTTGAGCAGACGATCCGCTACGTACGAAGGCATCGCCAACGATTTGCCTCCGGCAGACCCCATCATGAATTTTTCTGTAGGCGTTTCTGCAGCTCTCGTCTCCGCCGTCGTGTCCGGACTGGCAGGAGTCTACTTCGAAAAGCTGCTCAAAGAAAGCTCCACCAATGCGAGTGTCTGGATGCGAAACGTCCAGTTAAGCTTCTACTCGCTGATTGCAGCTTTCCTGGGAGGCTGCATGTATCAAGATGGTGCTGGCATCCAGGAACATGGGTTCTTTGAGGGCTACAACGCCGTTGTTTGGGCCGCAATCTCACTACAGGCCGCCGGAGGCCTATTAGCCAGTCTGGTGATACGCGATGCCGACAATATCGTAAAGAACTTTGCGACGAGTATCAGTATCGTAATCAGCTTCGTCGTCAGCGTGTGGATTTTCGACTTTGCCGTCACCCTAACGGTAAGGTTTCCTTTCTAAAGACAGTGGCCATGTCGGCCTCGTGACTGACGAAACCAGTTCCTTGTGGGCACCTCCCTTGTTCTCCTAGCAACATACATCTACAGCGTCCCTGAGCGTAAGCTCCACCGCCCCCAGCCCATGCGCATCGTCAGTTTCGAAAAGCCTGCCATTGTACAAACCGTTACGTCCGCGCAAACGCCTCGCACGGTAGACGTTCGCCGTTTGAACACCGACCCCTTTGAGGGCAGGGGGGGTGGCAAGACGACCAGCCGACCCACTAGTCCCATGTTGCCTCGCGTGGGCAGCCGTACGCATCTTCATAGAGAAGTCCATTGACTGGGAAATGGCAGTGTAGCTCAGCACATTTATTTGGTTCTGATTTCGAGGCAAGTTGGTCATGCGGCGTCTGGAAAAGCATTTACACAAGCAATGGTGATGGCTATATATATGAGCACATGTGGATTGGCAAGGCCTCCTTTTTATTTACGCTTTTTTTTCTTTTGGCTAAGATTTTTGCAAGCGCATCTAGAGCCTTGATTGCATATAAACAAACTCGCTGGAGATCCTAGAGGTAGCCGAAAAAAATAAAATTTGAGCGATACGGTTATTTGGCTCTTGAGGAAAAGAAACTATTAGGCTGGTTGCTTCTCTCTGTCCTTCTGAAATGGCGCAAGAAAAAGTACGCGCCGAACCCATCTTCTATGCCCTGCTTGATATGGTCGCCACCCTTGACGCAGGCGCGCGCCCAACGCTCTGTTACTCCAGGGGAAATCAAAAGGAAAAAAAAAAAGATATCCTTGCCAAATAACCAGAATCTGAGTGGGAGACTTCCATTCCCGAGATTGACTTTTCGCTGCGCTTTTACCCGGTATATCGCAATACTGTGTCAACTACTCCATTGTTTCTCATTTTCGAAACCAGTCGTTGTTCACATAATGACCTCATTTGCCACGTCCTCAACGAAAACATCAGTGAGTCTGTACTTCTGCAAGGAAAAGTTTCATCAGAAAGAGATGCTTACCCTCTTCAATTCCTTGTACGGCAAACAAATGCAGTTCTGTACACGGACTTCATCCCCAACACGGCAGTCTTTCCCGAGGATAGTAATACTCTCAACCTTGATACCATTCTTGATAATGCTTGTCGAATGGCTGCTCGATGGCGTGGGTGAGCCTTCCACACGGGCCCAGGCGCCTACTCTGCTGCCCCAGCCGATAATTGCGTATAGAATACACGCATCATGCTTGACTTCGGAGTCCTCCAGAACCACGCTCTCCTTTATGCGGGCTCCAGCACCGACGGTTACGCGGGGTCCAATGCTCACGTTGGGCCCGAGCTTGGCGGTAGAGTGAACTTGTGCGGTGGGGTGGATGAAGACGGGAGGTACAATGTTGACACTGGGTTGGGCGAGCCCCTTGCTATCCGATTGCCACGCTTGCTGCAAGTAGAGTGCGTTGGCGGGCACGGCAGATCCCGCGGTCTTGATCTGGCGCCAGAAGTCCTGGGTCTCGTAGACAAAGAACTGCTTGCTGTCTGCTATGTCACTTAGGATATCCTGTTCCAGGCGAATAACTTCATTTTTGCGGCTGGACTCATCGTCATCCTCATCGCCGCCCGGTGGGAACTGATATGATTCAAGGTTATCCGAGGAAGGGTATGACAGGAGGCGAGCGGGCCTGTCGAGGCGGCGCTTGATGGCCGATTTGATAGATGGGAAGATTGCTTCGGTGGAGAAGAGATACACACCACAGCTTATTAGGTTGCTGATTTGGGACTCGGGCTTCTCGACATAATGCAACACGCGACGGGTGTGGGTGTCTGATACGATGCAGCCGAAGTTGGTGGCGGCATCGTCGCTGACGCGGGTACCGAGAATGACGGCCTCGGCGTCCTTTTCCTTGTACAGCTTGAGCATTTCGGTCAAGGGAAAGGAGCAACACACGTCGGCGTTGAGCACAAACAACCGCTCTGGCTTCCCGTTGAGGATGGCATCGCGGAAGTGGTACAGTCCGCCTGCGGTGCCAAGGGCCTGGTATTCACGTAGGTACCGGATCGTGATGGAGGGAAACTCTTTGGCCGAGTCCTTGATGAAATCGCGGAAGACGGATTCGTCGTAGTAGCCGATAATGTATACTTCTTGAATATGGTTGTGGGGGACGCGGGCGATGGAGGAGAGGCAGTGCCAGATGATGGGGTGGCCGGCGACTTCGAAGAGCGGTTTGGGGAGATCAAGAGACAGAGGGCGAAAACGGGTGCCTCTGGACGGGCCGCCGACCTTGGATGGTAGATGTCAGTTGAACGGCAAGTGGTGGTGTCAATGATGAATTCTGTGTATGCTCAGTCCGCGCAGGTCATGTTTGCGCGGCCGGGTTGCTTGTCGGAGCACGCAACATCCGTTGTTTACACTTCAACATCGAATCTCCAGATTCCTCCGGCAATTCGAAAGATAATGTGTTGCAATGCTTGTGAAACTCACCAGAATCACGGCCTTGGTCGTGCCTAGACCCTTGGGCCGATGGGTCGAGGGGACCTGGAGAGACATTGCGGCGACGATTCGTTGGGGAGTCTGGGGAAGGGAGGTCTCGACAAGAGGCTGCTCTGAAGTCTGGGTCAGGCAGTTTATCACCGGATAGCTATCTAGGTAGGTGAATAAGCCGGGGTGTGGCTCACTTGTAGCAATAAAGGTCGTGTGTCGCGTGGAGGTTGGATCATGGTGGTTCGTCTCTACGGAGTACCCGATCAGAGAGTCCGTACGCAGCAGGCACAGTGGAGAAATGGCGGGGCGACCTGTCGTCTGGTTGCTGGGGTGGGGAGAAGGAGCACGATCCACGCTGTGGCTGTGGCTGTGGCTGGGGCTGGGCATCTGCGCACGACGGCGCTGGAGCGTAATAACGACTAACTACCCCGTAGTACGGAATACGTTTGAGTAACTCGAGTACTCAGTACCTGAGCAGCCAGGTGCTAGGATACATGTCAGTAGTGCCGGCTACGGGCCGTCGCGCGTGTTGACGGTCGACCTGCTCTCGACGACGGCTAAGCTCAAGCGCAAGCTCAAGCTTAAGCCAAAGCTCCATCAACGCTGGTGTTTGTTCTCCTGGGCACGAATGGCTGGTATCGATCCGGCCTGTATCGTGTATAGATCAGACGTGTGCGCAGAGCGCAGAGCATACTCCGTACATAGAGTTACTTAAGTACGGAGTACGCCGTACGGAGTACAAGGTCGGTAAATGGCAGTGACTGGCAGACAAGTCAGGCAGGAGCCGTCAACTGGTCTGGTATATAAACAAACCCATGTCGCCCAGCCCCCTGCTTTTTTATTTTGCGCCATGGCTACTCCAGCGCCCATTAATTCGTGATAATGGCAGCGCAACGGCAACAGAAAAAACTACAACTAATGTGGCCTAAGGCGTACATGTCCGTGCCGAATGGGCATTGCAACAAGTCGACAAGCCCTCTTTTCGAAAAACCAGGACCGTACTGCTTGGCGCCGAGCCGTCGTGGCGGCTGTCACTCTCCAAGCTCTAACATATCTTATCGCACAAGGGAGTTGTCCTGGAGCCTGGAGCCTGGAGCCTGGAGCCCAGGGTCTGAAGGTCCAGCACGCGGTAGCCTGGCACCAGCTGTTGACGGCAGACTCACTCTTCGCTCATGCTCGCTCCGTCCATTCACTTCACTCAATTAAATTCACTCCTTTCTGTTTGATTTCCTTTCCCCCTAGCTGCTCCCCACATCAATCTATGTGTTCTGCTTTCCTGCCCTTTCGCCAAGCCTCCGCAACGGGAGATGATGTTGACGTAACTCGCTCTCGAAACATCCCATCGCCGTCACTTTGTCCGACATGCGAACTCCAGCTTTGCGTCGCCAGCGTGGAGGAACTGGAGCCGAACCTATCAAGCCGGACCCAGATGCTTCCATCCATGGCCAGGAAGTGACGACTGTTGTTACGAGCTACGACGGAGCGCCAACGCTGAGTCCCGTAGACAGGCCTTCTCGTCAGGGCAGATCAAATGCTCGTAAGTCTAGCAAAAAGCATCATCTTCCTTCTCTCACCTCCTTCATGACGCCTGGTACTGACACGTCGACAGCAGCGCCTAGTGAGCGTAGCATAGAATCTGGCCCACTCTTCAGAGAAATCAGAACTCGTCCCATTGTCAATCGCATGTCCTTGGAAAGCCCAACCAGCAACCATGACGACAGTTTCTTTCATACATCGTTCCAAGATATTGGCAAGAAGCTCAAGGCATGCAATGACACCCTTGGCGAGCTACAGCAGCTGGGCGTGTCTCATGATGTCCAGTTGCCAGAACTGGTCCTTGTTGGTGACCAGTCGGCTGGGAAATCCAGTCTCATGTCCGGCCTTGCTAATCTGGATCTGCCCAGAAGCGAGGGCACTTGCACACGATGCCCTCTTCACATTCGAGTTTCCCGCAATAGCGACTGGTCCTGCCGTGTTTGGCTCCGCAAAGAATACTCGTTCCAGCCGCCTACTGATCGACCTATTGCTGAGTCGGATGTGACGGATGAAGACCCCTTTTTCCCATGGCGCAAGCAACCTGTCTCGGCGGTGCACGAGTTCAAGACGATGCAGGATAAGAGTCAGATTGAAGAGGTGTTGAGATGGGCCCAGATTGCTATACTGAATGACGACAAGCACCATGCTCTGTTCATCCCAGGCTCTGGTGGCATTGCAGTCAACGCTCCAATTGAGGACGCCGCGGCAGGGACTGTTGCCAAATTCTCGCCTAACGTGGTGGCTTTAGAGATCAAAGGCCCTGATTTGCCTGACTTGTCCTTTTATGACATGCCAGGTATCTTTCAAAACCCGGCGGATGCAAAAGACGATTACTTGGTAAGCGTGGTGCGCAACCTGTCCAAAGCTTATATTCAGCACCCCTCCGCCATCATCATTTGCTCCATGCCCATGAATAGTGACGCCGAGAATTCGTCTACTTTTGGTCTCACTCGGAGATTGGGTGCAACCTCGCGAACTATTGGTGTTCTTACTAAAGCTGATCTGCTTCCCGAAGCAGGAAACCATGACCAGTGGTTGGCTATCATGAAAGGTTGCACTCATCACACGGGTTTGGGATATTTTATTACATCGCGCCCTCAAGGCAAGGACTTGGATGAGCTGAAAAAGTGGGAAGAAGTGGTATTCGAATCCCATTCTGTTGGAAACTGGCCATCTGAGTTTCATGAATTCTCCGAGCGATGTGGAGTTGAAAAGCTTAAATCGTTCCTCTCTGAACGTTTGGGCGAGGAATTTGCCAAGAGGTAAACCTCCATAATGGCGAAAAAACGTCTCGAATTTTCAAAGGCAACAACTAACTCTGTTGCAGTCTCCCCAACATCAAGCATAAAGTCAAGCACCACCTGGACAAGATCACGAAGCAGCTCGCGAACCTTCCAGAACTTCCGCACAACGTTGAGCTGGAGATTCAGACGGGGCTAATGACATTTGCCGACTCTGCGCGGCTCGAGCTGGATAGGTTTAACAAGCACTTCAGCGCTCTGCCGTGCAATTTTCGTGACTGTTTACTAGAAATCAAACCTAGGTTCACTCTCAAAGACAAGTCTGATTTTCCTGTCCTCGAGATATCAGACGATGAATCGGACGCAGCATCTTTTACAGCAACTACTCCAACCGCCAAAAGGCACGCGGCGCCTGCCACCACAACTCCTTCCAAGCGGCCTCGTCTGGATTCTGCCTTGCATGGGACCTCTTTCAACGGCCGCATAAAGCCCGAGGAACAACAGATTGGGCTTCCTGTACGCGGGACAATGCCCCCCCGCGCGACTCCTGCGAAAAAACCATTTCTTGCCGAACCGTTTGCTGAGTTTACCCATATTGGCCGTGGCTTCCGTACGCTTCGTCAAGTTCGTGACGAGATTGACGCAAAGACCAAGGCTGGCATGCCTGATCACATACCTGCTGAAGTGTACCGGGACCTTGTAGCTGAAGCAGTACGACCATGGAATAAGCCTATGGATGCCTTCATTAAGCAGACAATGCGAGAACTACAGTCAGTCTTGGAATGTGCCCTTAACAAAGCGTTAGAGGGACTTAAGAAGAGATTTATTTATCCGGAGGCTAAAAGACACCTGCGAAACTTTCTCGAAGAACACCGCAAGGAAACGGAGCACCATCTCGTCCTCCGCTACAGCGAAGAAAAAGAATGCCTGCTCACTTTTAACGACGCTGCGTTTAAGAAATTTAGGGAGGACGAACACGTGGAGCTTGTTCGTTTTCGACACTTCCAGAGACTCAAGGCGGTTGGCCCAGACCCCGGGACTTACATCCCCGGTGACAAACTTCCTGAAGACAAGCGAGCACAAGACGCCAAAAAACGAGATCAAGAGATGCTGAGGCTTGGCAAGGATCCGTTTGAGCGGGAGTTGGAGGTAATAGCATACGTTAGGGGGTATTATCGCCTCGCGGCCTTGCGCTTTACTGATGCCGTGTCTCAGCGCATTATGTGCAGCATGATTCCAGCTATTCGACGCCAACTGCCGTACTGCTTGCAGGGCAAGCTAGGTATTAGAGGTCCCGACGCAGCCAGTGTCTATGAGAGGCTGATGGAAGAAGACGAGACCACGGCTGGTAGGCGGGAGACGTTGAAGAGTGAGAAGGATAAGTTTGTGAGAGCACTAGCCAGTATCGAACTGCTCGAAAATGGTGCAGCGGCCGCCGGCCCAAGCAAGTCAATGTCTAGCATGGCAAGTGGTAGCCAGACTGAGACGTCAGCGCAGATGGTGGAGCCTTTGGAGTTGGACAGCCGCACTGAGGAAGATGAGGTGTAGCGTACAAAGCATCAAGCTAGGGTCAAGGTGTAAGACGGCTCGGTAGGTCACGTTGGCTTGGATGGGTGGGTGAGAGATGAGCTGTGCTATGAGGAACCATCATTGGATGTCTCGATAAAGTGAAGACTACGAAAACATGTTGGCTGAGGTGACTGGCACAGGGATGAATAACAATGGGCTGGTTTGTATTTGCATGAGGGATGGACCGGACAAGGACGATTGCTGTTGACGGAAGATGCAGAGGACACAGTGTACAGTTAGATGCCCAGTAGAATGCATACACAAACAATGGACGGATTGGAGCGCGAGTGTCGATGTTGTAAATGGATTGCTAAGCAGGTACAGTATTTGGGCTGTGAAAAAAAAAAGCATGAACTGAACAGCAAATTCTCTACTCGCTAGTCGTCTCACAGAAGTGGCTTGGCAACAATCAGATCCCATGCTCATGCTATTCAGGCATTTGCCAAAAGGACGACTGCAGCGGCCATGAGCAGGCGTCCTGGAGTCAACAACCCCGACTCAAACCGGCCCAGCAAGGGGCAGAGTGGCGTCGCCTGCGGACAGTCGTGTCCCAGGCTTCCGATGTGATCTGGCGCTGTCTTTTCTCTCTGCGAATCGTCAATCGTCCGGCTGCGAAAAGTTACTCGTCAGATTGAGGGATAAACGATGCTTGATTTTCTTAGTTCCATCTGCAGGCTCCCCTGGTAATCACTCCACTCATTCTGCTTCGTAATGTGACTCACTCCTCCTCCTCCTCCTTCCCCTTAAACAGCCCCGGCTGCTCCGTGCAGTGGGCGTGCACCACAGACGTGACCGTGACTGTGAGTGGCCCTGCGATTCCATCTCACGAGGTTCGCGGGAAGAGGGCAGTGCTGGCCATGACATGACGGGTCCCGCCGCAAGCCCAAGTCGTGATTCGAATGTACCAGTGCGAGTCGACGAGTCAACGTGGACAGACACACTCCGTACTTGTGTGCTGTACGGAGTATTGTATGAAAGCTTGCCGTCGTACGGAGCACTCCCTCCGAGGCTGACATGTCGCCCCTGCGGAGCCAATCGGGCCGGTGCCGTCAAAACTTCTGCCGTTGAGCTGAAGCAATAGAGTCACTTGGACGCTGAAAAAGATGCCACAGAGGATCTGGCAACGAAAATGCGAAGCTGGCCTCGGCCTTGCAAGACGCTTGCGGCGACCCGGAGCTCCGGATCGGAAACCCGGTCGTCATTGAGAGTCCGCCGACTAATGTGAGACAATTATCCCGTCTGCCTCCGATTCACGGGGCCGTGTCCGGCCCCGGCGCTTGACGCATACACGGGCTTGACCGGAGGCACTCGATGCCGTTGTTGAGAACATGTTGCTGATGTCAAACCTTTGCTGTAGGAAAGGCTTGCCAGCAAAAGGTTGATGATCGCCTGAAGGCCGAAGTCGGCGGCAACGGCTTCACGTTCGCCTCACTCACCGCCCACGATGCCTGACTGGGTCGTCTGCTGCATGCACGACTGCCCCCATTTACCCATTTACCCTTCTCGTCCTGCCCTCATCCCCATCAGTCTCGCCAACACCGGTGATGGGCCGCAAGTTTGAAGGCGAAGAGGGCGCGATTGCTGCAGACTTTGGGCTGGGGCCCGAGATAGGTTGGGTGAGTGTGCCGTTCACGGCGGTGGTGTGCCAATCAAAGAGCGCGTGGTTAAAGGCGTGGTTGCGGTGGTGGTCGTGAGTGGACCGAGGCAGCATGAGGACCATGGTGTAATTGCAGACGCCCTCAGGTAGAACTGGGCGCCGGTAGAGGGATTATTCCAGGGTCATGGTCATCGAGTCAGACTGCCCTGAGGATGCCGACTCCGTATAGCAATGCGGGAGTCTGGAGGGATGGATAGTACGGAGTAGGCCTTGAGCGCGGTAAAGGGTGCTGAGCACTAGATTTACGTACGGCGTGCTTGAGAAGATGTATGAGCTTGCCAGGATGGATGGAAATCGAGCAGACCGAGCTTGTCTTTCGGGTAGCGAACAAGAAAAACACGGGTGAGGTGCTTTGTCGACGTGGCAGCGACCAAGGACAGCTTCCGTCTGAGTGCCATCTACATCATGGCCGAGAGCAACATACCCGCATGGCGAGGGCTGTAGAGGTGCGTGACTCCCAGCATGGACAGTCGTGACTTTGGCTGGAACACTTGCGGTGCGGCGTGCCTGGCTTCTGAGAAAATCCATCACTCACACCATGCCAATTCTTTGTCACGGCAGCGTAACTGACAGCACTCGGTGGCGGCTCCGACCGAGCTGCTTGGTCGGTTCTGATAGACTGAGCGTTGCTAAGCTTGAATTTCAGCACTTGATGCCGAGCGAATCATGCAGCGTTTTACACGCTGCATCTGAGGCGTGCTGACGGCCGAGTCATCGTGGCCACGAATTCTCATGCCTGGCTTGTGTAGACTGCAGCCGGGGTGTTGGGGCGCAAGGCTGTTACGGACTATCTAGTTTCTCCGATCCGAGAGGCACCCAGCGATGTCTACATCCACGTTTTGAATAGCGGCCATGTATTTCATACGCGACTTTTCCTTGATTTCACAGGCAAGATATGTCACGGGTCGCCTTCTTGTGGGCCATCGCCGTCCATCACAGGCAGTGTTGCCCTGTACCAGGGGGTTGTGACAAAAGCTAGACGTCGAGTTTGGAAGTGGTGGCGCCCCTGATGTAGTCAGCGTACGGCGCAAGGGCCTTTTCCACGGGTCCGCCAGAACCGCAATACTTCTCCACGATCTGACTGCTGCGTCCGGTATACAGCTCTGCCTTGAGCATCTCGTCCAGCTCTCCCCAAATCGGCTTAAAGAAATCATTAGCTTTGATTCTCTCCACCAGGTCGTTCGGCTTTCCTTCCTGCTTGACGACGGCGCTGGCCTGGTGGCTCAAGACTCTGATTTCCTCGTGAGCGTGTTGCCTTGAGACGCCCTTGGCGGATAACTTTACGATGAGCTCTTCTGTGATCATAAAGGGCAGCTGATAAATTGGGGTTAGCATTGTAGCCTTGGACATCTGAACCAGCCAAGAATGGAGTAACGACTCACTTCGGCCGCCACCCGACTAGCAATGACGGCTAGAAAGTAGACGTGATGTCAGCATATCACTTCCCAGGCTTCAAGTAGTCTGGTCATGCACGCAGCAAAGATGCCGCAGAACCGTCCAGGGACGAAATCTTTGCTTGAGGGCGGGTTCATACCGGGATAAACCACGAGACCATCGCTAATATTGTCCTGCATATGCGTTAGGCGCGTCTGATTCTAGAGGTCAAGGATGGGCTTACAAGGCCAATGCAGATTGCATCTGCGAGAAGGAACATTTCCGGAATGTCAATGCCTATGACGTCATCAGTCTTGGGCTCGAAACGAGTGTATTGCAACATGTGCTTACGGCGGATAGCTGAGTCGTCGAGGGTTCGCTCTGCCCACTGATCGCTGTGAGTCGCTGCGAAAGATGCCGGCTTCCCGAGTCAGTTTCCCTTGCGTTGGAAGATCCATAGTGATATCTGTGCTAGCTTACCTTGCTCATCAATTCGCGAGCCAAACTGTATACTCGTTCCGAGCGCATCTTGACCTTATTAGCGAGCGTTACCATGGCATAGGAAAGTGTAGTGTCTAATTACAGGGTTCCTCTTGTAAGGCATCGCACTGCTCCCAATTTGAGAGGACTCATCAAACGGCTCTTCAATCTCCTTCCAGTGCATGAGATGCCGAATATCGCCAGTGATCTTCTGAGCTGTAGATCCAAGTCCTGCTACGGCGTTGGCGATAATTAGGTCGACTTTACGGGTGTAAGTCTGGGTAGAAACATCGTAACAGCTCGGGAACCTGAACTTCTGACATAAAAGCTCGTTTAACTGGTCGCATTTTGAAGTATCGCCCTCGAAAATGGAGACGAAGCTGGCCTGAGTCCCCGTTGTCCCTTGAGCCCCGCGGAATTTAAGCTCTTGGCGAACCTGCTCGATGGCATGGAGGTCGAGCATAAGGTCTTGAATCCACTGGGACGCTCGTTTTCCAACCGTGATAAGTTGGGCGGCTTGCAAGTGCGTATAAGCAAGCGTCGGCTCGCTTTTCCAACGGAGGGCGAAGACAGAGAGGTTCGCGATAACCTTGGCGATCTTTCTACAAATCAAGTCCATGGCTTCCCGGGCTAAAATAAGTTCGGTATTATCGGTCACGAAACAACTGGTGGCACCTAAATGGAGAATGCCCGCGGCTGCAGGGGCAACAGCTCCAAAGGCGTGGACATGCTACTTCATTGTTCAGCATTCGTCACTGTCATTAGATGCGAGAAGAGATATTCCCTACCGCCATGACATCCTAGCAGTAATCTGATTAGCAAACGGCTCTGGTTTGACGAATGGGGTACAGAGGTAAGGGGATGATTCAAGTCTTACATGTCGACGGCTCTTCTCCTCGATACGAGCGACCTCAAATTCCTCATCAGTGACTACAAGGTGAGCCCTCATCTGTTCTAAAGCTTCGTCGGTAATCGTATTGATCCCAAGCTCCTTTTCACTCTCGGCGAGGCCAAGCCATAATTTTCGCCAAGTTGAGTGACGAGATCGCTGACTGAAGAGCTGGGACATGGCGGGGCTGCAGTACCGGGTGGTGAGAGACGTCTGGTAAGAGTCGAACGGCGAAGCGCCCGTCGACGTGGTTGCTGCGTTGGCCATATTAAGAATCCCTCAAGTTCAATTGACGGTGATTGATCGTAGGTCAAACCAGGCCAGGGGAGTTCCGTTTCGAGACGACGGTTTGAAAATCCTGACAGGTTGCTGAGAAAAAAACACTTCAAGTCATTCTAGGAAGAAATCGGCTTCGAGAAAAAGACTGACGGTGGGGTGTCAGGTGACCCACGTGTTTATGTGAACCATCACGTTGTACTCCGTAGCTGGCAGAAGATGAACAATTCAGACCCTGGAAGTTTAGCTAGGAGTGACATAATAGGAGGGTAAAAGTTGCTTAACTTGAGTAGATAAGTCCCTGATAACTTCCTTGGTATTTGACCCATGTTATACAAATGTAGGTGTTTGACAATTAATGCTAAAACAACGCGAGTTACTGTTAACACCAAGGTCCCTACTTGCTTTTAAGTAAGTACGGAGTACTAGTATGTGCATGACCCCTCCACAAACGTGTTAGTCGCGGTGTTGCTGGCTGCGGAGACGGGGTCTTTTCTGCCAACACGGGCCGTAGTTTACCCGACCCGCCCAGCCGGCCAAGCCTACATGCGATACCCACCTCTGGTGAGAGATGGTCCTGCCTGTGCGACCTCCAACACAACACAACCTCTCTCGGTTGGGCCAAAGACCGTCACTCGCAATTGGCGGCTTTGCTCCCTTCCTGCATTACTCCGTTGATTATGATATTCAGAAGGTGAGCGCGTGCATCGTGCGGAGATCCTTGGACTCGAACCTCAGCCCTCCGCAACAACCCCTCCAGCATGGGAGCCTGCCAGTCGTGCTTAGGCCGGCGCGATAATGACAATTATGAAGAGGTATGACGCGTTACCCGCCGACCCTGGGAAACCCCCCTGTGGCTCTGGATTATATTCTAATACTTGCCTCAGAGCGAGGAGAACCGCCTATTGTACGACGATGGCAATGGAATGGGCTACGGAAGCTTCAACGACCCGGCCATGACTGGCGACGAGAGCCTCGAAGCACAGCGCGAGCACGAAGCCCTGCAAAGAGTGGTCGCTAGAACCTCAAAGTTGGTCAAGTTATGATTCCAGTGATGGCTCGATTAGCTTGGACTGACCTCTGCAGTAATATGGTGGACGTCTTCGAGATTGGCCCTCAAGATTCTGTTGCAGGAGGCGGCACCTCCACTCCGTTCGCCTACACCGGACAAGGCGCGAGGGTTGCACGTTACCAGCACTTGGTGTCGAAATTGAGCACTGAAGAAGATCCTGCTGCCCATGGGATCAAGATTGATTGGCTTACCGATGACGAGGATAGCCTTGACATGAGGACCAACACTACAACCAATGTCAAACTCCTTGATGATGGTGAGGCAGGACCGCTTGTGGGCACCTTCGCGGACGCTGCGGCGGCGATGAATCCATAGAAAACCTTTGGCACACCGCAGTCATGACTATAAGTGAAGGAAGATATGCGCATTGCCGATACTTTTTTTTTTCTTCTCAACTTCATGCCACATTTCCTGTCCCGCTGTAGATTAGGCACGTAGTCTTAACGACTATCTCTAGTACTTACTTTTGTACTATGTTGGCTGGGGGTCCTTGGTGCCCAACTGAAGACTGCTTGGTCATCTCATTTTCTCATCGTTGTCCTTGTTGCTGGGCCGGGAGCAGCACAAACTTTCGAATCATACTCGGCAGTCCTTGAAGACGGGGAGTTGTCGAGATGCCTGCTCTTCTATTTCTTTCTTTCGTGTCTTTGGCGCTCAATCTTTCCATCTTTCTTTTCTTTTCCTTTCTTTTCTTGCCTTGATGGGTTGGGACGGGAACACATTTATCTACATGCTATATTACGTATGATGAGGAAGAACCAAGTGTACAAAAAGCAACCACGACACAACAGACGAATGACATTTCTTTCTTGAAAAAATCCAGATCAGGAAGCGCCAAGGCGGAAGCGAAGCGAGCAACTGCGTCCAAAACTGGAGATGTCAAGTTCCCTTCCTTCATTCATCCCTGGCCCTGCACATCAAACCTTGTCGCGGGGCATCGTGCGGGCAGAACTACACCTATTCTACGCCGCAAAAGGCCCATTGAGGGTTGAACACGTGCTCAACTTACTAGTGGAGTCGGTCCAGCCTGTGAACTCTCGTCAACGCCGTGCCGTTCAAATTGGCCATTGGCTTTCGTACTGCGCCTTCGGCTCGCACCGTTTTTTTAGTTCCCTGGCCCCAGTGAGGGGCGGAAGCAAGGATCTTGCCGTACTTGTGACCAAGCGGCCGGGACGGCTCCCCCTTAATCCCTCGCTCAACAGTTGTTGCTTCACCGAAAGTCGTATCAAACAGACACGCCGAGGGCCACCAGGGCAGAATTGGGGGGTTTTCAACCGGAAGCTCGGTGGCGCTCAAGGACTGTCGTGGAAGTCTTTCCGGGTCCAGCGACTGACTACCAACCGAGCCAGAGCCGGACAAAGGAAGGAGCCTGTCTCAGGGATATGAAATTCGAGTCTGGTCAAAGCAAAGAATGGTGGTGGGCTTGCCTCCCTTGTAGAGACAGTGTCCAGCGAGCCACGGCAATAGCATGACCTTGTCGTGGATGGGTAGTAGATGTCGACAAGCCCTCATCTACTCCACTCCACGCGCAGCAAACCCGCAGCAGCGCCTCCAATTCTCACGCGTTGGCGAGCCGTCACGACCTCAAGATTGTGCGGCCGCCGGTGTGCATGATCAAGACAGGCCCAGTGTCAGATTGGTACGAGATCTCTCCGAGTTCCGAGCGGCACATCGCCACCACACTCCGTACCTGAAGGCGCATATGTACTCCGTTTAATCGTCCGGCCCTTGGTAAAGAAGTCGAAGTCGACAGGACGCCAGGCTATAGGCCCGATAAGCGAGGAGAGGCACCACGCACACACCATTGCCCACACACGCACACAGAGGCAGACAACAATAACTACCCGCGGCTTTGAGAGTTCAAGGCAACGGGTGTCCAACTGGGGTTGGTGGCCCTCCTATGCTGTCTGGTTGTCTAGGGCTTTGCTCGATCCACTGCGAACCTTGGGAGCGGTGTTCCGATAGTCCATCACAGGCTTTTCTCCCGCCTGTGCCTTCCCGGCTGGTTCTACAGAGTAAACACGGTCCTGGTCATGTAAGGGCCTTGGCTAGCTGGCCAACCGTCACTAAATGGGGCTTATTTTGGTGAACAAGGCCGTATCATGGAGCACTCACTCATCCCACAACATCAGCCTTGATCTCGCTGCCAGGAATGAGGACATGAATTTGACCAAGGTATCGAAACTATTCAACAGCAGCATCATGGTCAAGTCACGGGGCACATCATACTGTGACCATGGTTGACGACCGATAGCCATCTCATTATTAAAGAACGAGAGGATTCTCAGTGCAGGCTGCCTTTCAAAAGTGCCTGCCCGTCGTCAAGACCTGACCGCCCCAACGCCAAAAGCCCACACGGCACACAAAATGAAAACGCTGGCTGGTTCCAAAAGCTTTTCGTCTGGAGTTTCTTGCTCCAGCAGTTGGCGTAATCGCCCACGCCGTCCATGGAGGGAAAAATTGAACGCCAGACGGAGTAACTTAGTCTGAATCTGAATATGCAATATCCTAATGCTTCTTCTACTCTGGCCTCAAGTCAAGGCAGGAGCGGACCGTGTCGAGCCCCGCGCGACTTGCTCTATTTCCTGGCAAACCGAATTTCTGCTGCATTCCTCAGCCTCCCACTTCTTCCTGCCCCTTCGTATCGCCGTCTTTCCCTCTTCGCCGAGCAACTCGTCGTGTTTTTTGACTTGTCCCTGGTCCAGTGCCATGTCGCCCATCCTTTCTATTCCGTCACATTACTTGGAGTCAATCTATCGTTTTTGTTTTGCAGTAAGCACCCCTCCTTAGCCCCGGCCTGGTTACTGAACGCACACTTCGATTAGCCACCGTTCCTTGTTCCTTGTTCCTTTCTGCCCCCAACTCTTCTCGAAGAAGCACCTCGTGGAGGTAGTTGAGGCCAGTCCCATCTGCTTCTGCACTCGGACTGGACCGGCACTCTCAATTGGATGGGAAGAAGGATTCCTCATACCTGACCAAGCGACTGTAGCTTGTGTTCATGTTCCTCGCGCATTCGGTAAATTTGGCCAAGCACGTCTTGCATCTCTGCCATGGTTCGTTCTATCGTTGCATTTCGATTTCCCTCTCGTCGCCAGCGTTGGACATCGCGATACATTTTGTCGTATCGGCGTTGCTTCTTCTCCACGTCGTGGCAAAGCTTACACACATCTCTCTCTACCTTCGTCTCGTACACAAGTTTGAGCCCACAAGTCTCCCCCATTCGATACTCCTTGTTGCACTGCTGGCGGAAATGTCCCCAGCGCCAGTAGCCGCAACTCCAGCGTGTTTGATCGAAGTAGCACATGGTCGAAGCACCAGCCAGCGGCTCACGGCGGGCCGAGGTGAGGAGGTAGAGGGCCGGTAGAGCTGGCAAAAAGACGTCAGCATGGAATCCTGGTAATGGAGACCCCTTATTGTCCGAATGTGGCCGCAAATCGGGACCTGTTCTGCGTCCTTCTGTCCTAGACTAGGGGTTGCTCCATTGGTATGTCTCCTCATTGTGCCTTGATCTACATGGCAGCACCGAAATGCGTGAAAGGAATACTCACCCAAGCACTTTTAGCCTTTGCGGCGTCCTTATCCAACACAACTGAGCCCACACAAACACAGGACCCCTTGCTGGGTTTTTTTCGTCCGGTCGTTCCAAGCTCGTGTCCTATTCGGCTTTGATCCCCGACTCTCTGTTCAAAAGCTGTTCCACCCGCAACCGGATGAAGATCGTGTTTTTTCAACGCTGATATGGTCGAGTAGGTTATCAATTGGAATTCTTGAAGGGGATACCCATGCTAACTTATACTTATTCCACGACAGCCATTTATCACGTTGCCATCCGCCCTATCTTCGTTCATGCCACGCTCTATAACTGAACAACAGTGGGACTGTTCACGTAGCCAACAAGTACCTTCTACACACACCAGCCAACGACATCATCACCATCGTGTTGCTTCCTGCGGGATAAAGAGACCTTGATACGTAGATTGGGTATCCGTACCTACTGCCCCATACACTGCTCACCCAGTATCATGCACAGCATACACGCCCCTTGGACACCTACGCCCCCCATGGCCAAACCCCCCCTGGCAGCAAGGGTAGTGACAAGCTGCGGCTGTAGGAGGGGAGGGCTGTCAAAAGAGAGAGTAGATTTTCTATTTTCACAAACCTCTCGCTCCAGGTGGCTCCAGAGAGCCCAGAGGATACCCTGCGTGCCCAATAATCCGTGGCCTTCCTCCTGTCAAGCTGCCCCAGCCTGACAGAGTGGGCGTGCTCAGCTTCTACGGTACGACGCGCTCTCCAAGTGTCACGTTGATCAGGCTTCAAACAGGGCCCCCAGGGTCAATAGAGTACCCCCCCCCCCCCCCCCCCAAGGGCCCGGACCTTCCGAGAGCCAGGTCATTACTAAGGGGCCGAAGTGTCATTTCTCTCTGTTTCCCAACTCCGTTGTGAATTCTAATTATTTACGCCGTACGTACCACTGTCTTTTGGGGCTCATGCTGTGAAACATATTTCATGATTGGGCATTGACTTTTCCTTCCTTTTAAGCCATATCCACATCTGGCTGCAGAACAACACTTATTACTGGCGTTGCATGTCCAATGCATGGCCCACCCTTGGTCATGACTCTGCTTGGAATTCCAGGCGTTCTTTTCCGCTGCAGCTTTGTTTAGGCTTCTGTCTCTCCGGCCGCGAGTACGTACGGCGACCAGATCTGCGGCCGTGTGGGGTTTGTGGTTCGTCCCGAAGACGAACAAGTGTCAACAACCAAGCAATGCCTGGTCTGTCGAACACTAGTTCAGACGTCAAATTTCGGTGTACAGCCGGGATATGGTTCGATCGTCTTGCCTCGAACAAACCTTCCCTTCGGCTCGGACAGCAGGAATGCCGTTGCAGATTTGACAAACGCCCATATGGCCCAGGCTCGGGCATCCTCGTCTCATGCTGGTCGTACCGTTTCTTTCCTCCCTACGGAGTATCTTTGCTGGCTTTTCATTTTGACAGGCATATTTTACGTGCTGCATCGTCTGCTGGGCAATGAGCAAAGACAGTCGGATCAACGCATTGCCGTGAAGAGAAGAGAGACCCATAACGCAGGGTTACTAATCAACCTCAAATAGGGCCAAGGGAGCAGAAGTGCTCCTCGCCACCTTCCACCCCGGTGCACACAACAACTTGACAGATCCTTTTCTATGCTTTGCAGACGCCAAGTCATGATGTACATGGAACTGAGAGTTCGCTCTCCGACTCTCATGTAATATATCAAGACCTTGGTTGTACTAGAACGTTCTTCTTTGACGTGCATATTGGTCGGCAGTCAATGTTGGTCACCACATAAGCCACTTCTGCGGCACAGTTCATGGGGCCTAGGCACGGCAGCGTATGTATCTGCTGCTTGACTTGTCCAGGACCGGGACACCGTGTATGTTCCTCACCAAGCCACCAGTAATGGCCATTGTTACGGAACAAAAGAACCAGGCTAGGGGTGAATGATGAGGGTGAGGGGAATACGACGAAATGCGTCGATAGCACTGTCGAGAAATGTCAAGAAACGAAAACGGCGGTACTTGTCATGAAAATCTCTCCATGCATATTTCACGACTCACATGAAATGCATTGGCCCCTGACAGAACCAAGCTTGAGAGTTAGAGCCCTCTCGACTGAAGGGCAACAAACATAACTGACAGGGGACTAGCAAACAGGGAGCAATAGCGGCTCATATTCGACCCCTTACTCTTCGCAAGCTACGGGGACTCCCACGTCTTCACCTATGGCCATGAAAGAAATGGAGGAGGGGTGGAGATTGTGATGAAGGTAAGGCCTTGTCAACGTGGCAGCGTTGGTCTGGTGCCGGAAGCATATCCCAGAAACTGCGTTGCATTCGGATTTAAACAGCTGACAAGCCAAGATGACAGTGTACGCCTATTGAGGTCAAGCTTTTGCTATCGCTGTATAGTCCGTACCCTGCGTCGCCACTCTGGCCTGGTGGTGTGGTCTCATTCTTTTCTGTTGGCCCTGACGAAAGTATCTCCGGCTCTCCCAGTTCGATACCTGGAAGTTAAATTGTCCTTGTGGTCACAAGCTGGTGCATCAAGGGTGCCAATTGTCACACCGGTCGAGAAACAAGTCCACAATTATCTCCAGGGAATGTCGGTTCCGGAAGCCAGGGCCTGGACGGCTAAATCATGGCGGTAGGGCCGCGGGTTGAGCAAAAGGGTGACATTGGGTCCCTCTATACTCCGTAGCCAGGGGCAGACACATTTCCGTGTGGAGTGGTCGGCCAAAGGATCAGAGATAATGTGGTACGATCCAGAGCAGCAAATGAAGGGGGGAGCTTGCCATGCCCTAAGTTTCCGCATTTCTGACCACGCTGTTACAAGGCCGCACAGCTCCTTCGGCAAGGTGATCTTCGGTTGAAACGTTCAGTCTGGCAGCCAAAAATGGGGCTTAGGGCACATTCACAGTGAGGGGGGCCGCCAAATCCGGAGTCTGGGCCTGCTTGTCTTCGAATCTCAGACATACGACGGAGTCAGGGGCACTTCTCGAAGCGGCACAGCGACAATGTTGAGCGCCTGAAATTCAAAAGAAGCTGCTGCCAAGGGCACAAAGTGGATCATGGTACTGGCAGTTGAGGCCAGCCGAGAATTCAGAAGCGGTGCCTCGTGCTATTGCAGCTCGGTGCCGACTCGAAGGCCAGGCGATGGAGAATAGCGGTCGCTTCGCCAGTGTGAGCGGCCTGGGGTCATGCCGCGGATCTCTTTTTGGTTTTCACGGTATTTGAGCGAGGCGACAAGGCCCCTATGCCGGCCAGCGTTAGGCTCCTTGAGCCGCGAGATTCTAACTCATGCATTTCCTCACCCAGGCCCGGGTCTGCCACATGTTGAAATCAGGTCCAGTTCCATGTCAGCACAAGCGCCATAACACGCGGCGCAGCAGCGAGGTAGACGAACCTCGGTGACTAACCATATTGAGCATTCACCAGGCTGGAGGCTACTGGATTCGTACGGTTATGTGGTGGTGCAGGCGTCCTATCAGCGCCGGAGGAGGGCTGTGATCTTGGCGTGTTGCTGGCCACGGTGGCCCAACGCGAAACAACGCCTGGTCCCAGAAGGAGTGGGAGCTGTGAGAGTGCTTGACGTGCTTGACTAGAAGCGCAGCATAGATATGGCGTCAGCCGGCAAACAGCGACAGATGACGGATTACGGAGTACAGAGATGGATCACAGAGTACCTATGAGTGGCGAATGCAAGTTTCCAAAGCGGCCACGACGGGCAAGGAGGACGTTTTCGCGAAACGATGAAAGGTGGCGGCGACTGTGAATGTCTCGGCTGGGATGGCTGGGCTGGCGTTGGCGTCGGCGTTGGCGTTGGCGTCGGCGTTGGCGTCGGCGTTGGCGTGGTTGGCGTTGGCGTCCGGGCAATGGCATTCGAGAACGGAAAACTAAGTGGTTCTCGCAAGGGCCGTTTCATGTACTAACAGAAGACGCTGGTCCCGCCGGGCCGTCCCGTTTGATCGAGATTCCAGGTAAGGATCAATGGGCCCTGGCAAGTTAGCTGTCGCCTTGATCTTAGTCTCGTGTCGAGCGTTGTTGGTGTTCGCGAGGCCCGGCGCGACAATCAGCGTCCAGGCAACATTGCAGCGCAAGATGTGAAGCTCGGCCGGTGTATCGCGGCCACACGGCCCCAAAGCGAACAGGCGTGTGGTGCTCAGGACGTGCTCGGGGCAGAATTGTGGAATGCAGTTGGCGCGGTTTGGGGTTGCACAGGACTTTAATTAACCGACTACGGAGTATGGAGTACGGACGGAGTACGGGAGTACGTACTCGGTCGATGCAGTAAGGGAAGGAGGAACCACGACCACGAGCACCCACCCACCATTGACAAACCAACCAACACAACACAGGAGTTGCGAGGTTGCTGCTGCGAGGTGCCAACGCCAACGACGACGCCAACGCCGACGCCAACGCCATCTCACCAACAGACAGAAGCCGTCGACCCTTGACCCCGGCAAGCAGGACGCCACATGGCTCATCGGGACGTGGCTGGTTGCATACCCGCTTCAGCTTGCCCCGGGATGCATTACGGAGTACGGAGTATACATTCAAACATGCTCCGTAGTCCGTACACACTACATACGTCGTTGGCTCTTCTCCGCGCAGAGTCCCAGACAGAGTACCGAGTATGTACGGACAGGTTCGACAGGTTCGATTCGATTCCCACACCTCAGCGACCTCACCCCCTTGTCCGGGGTCCGCACATACTCCGTGCTCCCTACGTGCCTAGCCTGGAGTCCTGGACACACCTTGGGCTGGCAACGACATCCATGACGGGGGATCTTTGCATGGGATCTTGAGGCTTACAGACTCGCCAGAGGTCAAGGGGCATCTGGGGGGGGAAGAGAGACCATGTACTCTGTATCAAGTACCAAAACACGAGACGCAGTGCGTCAAGGCAGCAGTCATTGACGACGACACCCATGCCGAGAATATGCCCATGACTGCGCCCATCCTTCTATCCATCATCCATCCGACAAACCGTCAACACCAAGGAACGCTCTCTCAGACAGCATCACCCAATCGGAAGCTTTACATTCGAGACTCAAATGCCGCCATTGGACATCCCATCTTGCCGTTGACGTGCAGCTGGAATGCACCGTCGTGGCCAGTGAGGCATGCCGACCATTTAGATTTACTCCAATCAAAGGCATCGACTGCAGTCGACGACTCCCATCAAATGGCTCCCTCTGTCATCTCTATCTTTTTTTTTTGTTTTATTTTTTTGTTTTTGAAGACAACTCTGTACAACACAACAGAATGATCCCCATTAATGACTAGCCTCTGTTTATATTGCCCATCTACTGGGTCGTAATAGTACATCCAAGCTGGGTTTGGGCCCTTGCCGCTCGTATTGTTGATTCATATCAAACTTGGGCCCTAGCTACATTCATGTTTGGGTTTTCGAGCCTCGGCGCCGCTCAGACTATGCAGTATATATAACAAAGAGGTTGCGCTACGCTAAGTGGGCTGCCAAAAATTGATAAAATTCGACGCAGACGGAGCAGATGACTGACACCTTCACAGTTGGTGGCTCTACAGCCACGTCTGTGAACCAGGTATGAAAAGTGGCGGTAGCAGTAACAGTACGGAGTATTACAACCACGTACTAACGTTACTCATTGCTATTCCCACGGCGCCTGAGCGGCCGATACAACAAGGCGGTCCGTCACCTTCGGAAACAACAATAATACGACTGACAAGCACACATATGGCGGCGCTCAGATGTCCTGCCTCGTGCAGCGTTGATCCCAGACATTGTGTCTAGCAGGTACTCCCGTAGTAGTACTACCACTATTAAGCATCATCACAGGATGGATGCAAAGGCGGGGAAGTAAGACGTGTGCTACGGAATATTCAAAGCCAAAAGCAGCACGGTGCTTCGATTTCCGAATGCAAGCTGCTGTAAGAAGCTTCAACATCCTTGTACCGAGGATTCAAGGCGCTAAGGGTCGTTGGCCCTGTCTCAGTACGTCAAGACATATGGTGCGTCCGGGCATCTTGGGTAGTTTAGGCAAACGAGACCGGCATACGTACATTCTTTCAGCAACTCGACACCACGCATTGAGGAAGACGTGCAGATGAGGAACGAGGCTAAACATGTCGAGACACAAGGCACGACAAGGCCTGCCATGTTACAGCCATGAAGAAGAGGCACCAACTCCCCACGGGCTGCGATGTGATGTATCGCCGGAAAGGGCGCTGTGTCTAACCCTGCCAAGTTGTGGAGCAGGAATTCTGGCTCAGCTGAGAAGGGAGAGGAGGAGTACGGAGTAGGAGTGGCGTCCTCTGCCGGCATACGGAGTACCCATCTATGCCAAGTTGTCAACAGAGTGAGATGTGGTCCGTCGTGCATGATGAGGGGGTAATGGCCCATGGCCCATGGCCCATGGGTACAGAATGCCACAAAGGCGCGCATGTGGCATATCAGGTGTTTGTTGTATCTCACATTGGCCTCCGGCTCGGGACTCGGGAGGGACGTCATGGTTGCCAACTTGGAAAGTCGTTGGACTTTTTGACTCGCCCAAATCGCAGGTGAAGGTGCCCAGACGCTCGAGAGTAGTACTACACGCACGACCACATAAAAAGCTCAACAGGTGGCCAATGGCATGGCCCTTACGAGATGTAAGGGCTTGGGTCTGGGAGGAGCCCCAACGCGTCTCTCCGGATTCCTAACCTCAGGCACGTATGCGGTGGGTTTTCCTGACACGGCGGTCACTGGACTGGCCGCAGTAGCTGCTGCATGTTTGCTAGGTTCGAGCTGTGCTGAGGTCGGAGGTGTGGAGGTCGACGACGACGATGACAATGGCAACGAAAAAGGCAGCGGGAGCAGCAGCAGCCACCACCACAATAACAACAACAATTACTACTACGACTACGACTACGACTACGACTACGACTACGACTACGACTACGACTACGACTACGACTACGACTACGACTACGACTACGACTACGACTACGACTACGACTACGACTACGACTACGACTACGACTACGACTACGACTACGACTACGACTACGACTACGACTACGACTACGACTACGACTACGACTACGACTACGACTACGACTACGACTACGACTACGACTACGACTACGACTACGACTACGACTACGACTACGACTACGACTACGACTACGACTACGACTACGACTACGACTACGACTACGACTACGACTACGACTACGACTACGACTACGACTACGACTACGACTACGACTACGACTACGACTACGACTACGACTACGACTACGACTACGACTACGACTACGACTACGACTACGACTACGACTACGACTACGACTACGACTACGACTACGACTACGACTACGACTACGACTACGACTACGACTACGACTACGACTACGACTACGACTACGACTACGACTACGACTACGACTACGACTACGACTACGACTACGACTACGACTACGACTACGACTACGACTACGACTACGACTACGACTACGACTACGACTACGACTACGACTACGACTACGACTACGACTACGACTACGACTACGACTACGACTACGACTACGACTACGACTACGACTACGACTACGACTACGACTACGACTACGACTACGACTACTACTACAACTACCCTACTACTACAATTTTTGATCGAGTATGGGACCCTCTGGGTCTAGGCAGGAGATGTAGATGAAAAGTGCCTTGACCAGCATACGACAGACGAAGGCGAAGCACGGAGAAGTCTCCGAGGACATGACTTGCGGCCGAGCAGGGGATTTTGAGACTAGCCTTGGTGTCAAGATGCAGGAACATAAACCTTACAGATGGACGGTCAAGAACGTCGACCCCCTCCAGCCGCGGAGCCTGATGTGCCGAGGCTAAAAGCATGTGTTGCTCCAGGGTAGGGTAGACCTGGGGCAAAGGATAACGTCGCGACGGTTATGACGAGGCCCTGCGGACGGGTAGAGGGAATTCTCCCTTCCTCCCTTCTGACTCTGCTTGGCTTCGTCTTTGTATTCCGGGATGGCGATGGCGATTAGCCAGATGCTGGCTGTGAGGCCGGTTGGTGGTGATGATGGTGTGAATTTCACGGCTTTTTGAAGGTAGCCACCACCAAACAAACCAAGGCGAAGGCGCCAACCCGCTGGGGTACCGTCGTACTGTGCCCGCCTCGAACAACACAGTCTGGTAGCCAAGCATGAGACCTGAATGGCTTCGCTACAACAGTCGCATGACCGCGGCTACTAGTCGACGAGTAACGGCTGTCCATGCTGTCGGATACATGGAGGGTATCAATGCACATGGAAGAAGTTGGCCTCATCTCATGGCTCAGCCATTTTCAGTGCGACACATGCATTTGACACTGTGCTCCTGCCCACAACCAGAGCAACCTCTGCTTTTATTTTTCTATTTTTAATATATAACTATATATTTCCCATTCGCAGCAACATCCTACTCCGTACAGTCGACTCTTCCTTCAAGACGAGACCTCTTGACCCTTGACCCTTTATGACGCAACAAGTCTCAACCACGTTGTTGCACATGCGCTAGAGCCTGGCCAGACCAGAGCGGACAACTCCGTACGTCGACGACGCGACAACCCTAGATAGACGTGACACAACAGCCGCACTTCCGTACACACAAGAAGCGCGCGCGCGCCTTGGGCGTTTCCGTCTGGCGCCCCGGCCTCGACCTCAGTCACAGACAGTCTAGCGACAACCTCGACATCCTCTCGCGCAGAGTACTGACCACCGGCCGTCGAGCAAGACGCACGACGCACGACGCACCTCGAGGTACCTGGTACTTGCTTGCCTCTCGCTCGAAGCACCATCATCGAGAGGGGCAAGAGCCGGCCCATCGCGCTGTCCGTTTCAGACCTGGGCGACCAATCGACCTCGGCTTCGCCCTCGACCTCGACCCGAACCCAGCCAGACGCAATCTGCAACTGCAACGACTCGACTCCTCATCACAATTGGCGCCCGCTCGCATTTCAACCAAGAGTAATTCGTCTCGGAGCGCCGCCATACATTGTCAACATCCATCGCCGCGTGGCTGCACCGGCGGTTGCCTGACGTGGTCGACCGGCCGGTTCCTAGCCAGCGAGCCGGGGAACCTGCACAGGCCCGTGACCAGCCGCCGGACAAGATATGTCATGACATGGGAATCAACAACTCCCCGGTCACCGCCTGCTCCCACTTTCAACTCCCTCGTACCATACGAAGTAGTCCGTGACGATTATAGAACACATCCTGGTCTCTGGTCGGATCCCTTGCCCTCCGACCAGCTCAACGAGCCTCCGAGACCCCGAGCGAGACCTCGAGCGAGACCTCGGCCGTCCAAATCTCGCACGTCGTCCCCCTTTGCCCTCGCCGCCTCTTCATGCTGGCTTCGCCAGATACTGTTTTGTCCACTATCTCACCCGTTCGGCTGGTTGACTGAACCAAGGCCAGATTTGTGGCCTGCGTCTTCGGGCACGTCCCATCCTTGCGAAAGCTTTGGATGCTGCGAAGTAAATAACCGCCAGTTTTCAACGTGGCCGTCGGTCAGTCGTCGTCACGTCCCATGAATGGGATCAAAGCAACCTGCCCTGCCGATGGTTCTATCAGGATACCTGGAAAGCTCGCACACCTGACGTCAGGGCCGTCCTCCTAGGGAAAGAAAGGGAAACCCGCCCAGTGCTCTCGTCCATCTGCTCCCAAGGCCTCTTTACACGCACAGTCCGCCTTCCGGTTCCTCTTCCTGGCAGCATGCATCCACCAAACCCCGCCGTTGGCCTCATCCGCGACATGTGGTTTGACCCAGCCTCGTTGCAGCATTTTCCAGCCTCGCTATTATCCGAGGGTGTCTGGCTAGGAGATGTACCGGGCACTCCACCTTGTGCTCGTAGTAATGGGGTGGCAAGCCAGTCAATGCTAGAAGCTGCTGATGCCCAACCTGATCAGTCTGCTCCTGTTGATTCGTGCTCTGTCGCCAATGAAATTGACGGCGGTGTCGACAACGACGACCAGAACGATGGTAGCAAGGCCAATATACCTGACGGAACCAGCATAGCAACCATGACGTCGCGAACCTCGGCTGGCCTGGAACGTCTTCCCAATGAAGTGCTGCTTCATGTTCTGGGTTTTTTGGATGTTAGTGATTTACTTGCAACATCTAGGGTAAGTCGGTTGCTGCTACAATGAAGTGGTGTGCTTCGTCATCTATTTGCGCACTTGGTGCTCTCGTATTTTTTCCCTCTTGGTTTGGCAGTGCCCGGACGAATTAATTCAGTACTCAATCTCCTGGTGCTGTACTGACGTGTAGCTGCAGAGTAATCATCTCCTTCGAAGCCTGTCACTGGCTCCTATTCTTCATCACTACCGGCTTCAACGTACTCGTCAAATCCTACCTCCACTACTCTCATCTCCGACTCGACCTACAATTGCGGACCTCATTTCTCGTTCCATCTTTCTGACGCATACTTCGATTGTATCTCGCCGGCTAGCCTGGTCACTCGTCTCTATTCGCCTGTCCCGGAGACTTGCGGCTCGTCCGTCTGCAGAAGCGCTCGTTCAGCGTTGTGTGCTCCCGAAGGAATGCGTACCTGGCATGTCGTCAGTTCACATTGCACCAGCATTGGTGGCAAAAAGGAAGGCCATTGAAAAGGAGAAGGTCAAGGACGGGCTCAGACGCTGGATTGCAGCAAAGTGGAGGGGCGAGGTAAGGGAACGGCAGGAAGAGCTGAGGCGATGGCATGAAAGTAGAGGGGTAGGCCGTGTTTGGAAGCTGACTAAATATTGGGAACGCGTCAGTCGTGGAGATCAAATACCCCTTCGTTGAGGACTTTTATCGCGGGGGCGAATAGGGATGTCTTACTTTTCGGACCACGGAGGAAATGGTGCAATTTCTGGGCGTTTTTGGGTCGACCATATGAGTGCTTCATGTATGATGACTGTACGAAACCTGAGATATTTTGCCTTGTCCTCACAGCAAGCGGGATCTTGTACTTTGTTCGCTGTATGCTAGATAGTATTCTGACCGTGGTAGCGGAAGCTTGAGCTGATAGATCTACAACAAATACTCGGAGAACCCCCTAGTTATCGTTGGAACAAAACTCTTACTACAGTTCGAATGCAGTGCTCGTATAGGTTCGACAAGACTTGCAAGGTTTACGGTATTCGGGGCGTATTTCTGGTAGCCGCTGTGCCCGAACATCACGACAGACAATCAAATCATTGGCAAATCCCAAGGCGTATACAAAGTAGCCGGCGAAATTCGGGCGGGAAAAAAAAAAAAAAAAAAAAAAAAAAAAAAAAAAAAATCATTGGCCTCGATGGCCGAGGTTTGCGGTGCAACGCGTCGTCACTTGTTTGTTGAACGGATGGCGAATGCAAACCAAGCTCCTGTTTAATTGTACAAATGCGTAATCTGCGGGCTTCTCTCAAGCACGACCAAACAGTGCTCGTGATGTGCCCTCCCGGAATACAAACAAGCCTGCATACGCCTCATGTGCGGAAACGGAAGCCATCCCAGTCGTCCTCCTCCTCTTCGTCGGCGTCGTCTTCCTCGTCGGCAGCTAACGACGCCCGAGTTTGGGGCGCGGTTTCGACACCTTGGCCCTCTCTCCTCCTTTTCAGGATCTCGTCCCTCTTCTCCTTGAGGCTCCTGACTCGGGCTTCGAGCTCCTTCATCTCCGCGAACTCGTCCTGCAGCGCGCGAGTGGCCTCTTCCCTCTCGTCCTCAATGTCCAAGTCTGCCTGGGCCTTGCCATCTGCGCGTGCGGCCTCCTTGGCAGCGACTTCCCCTGCGGTCATGGCTGGTGCGGAGATGACTGCGCCTTGGTCGTAGGGCGCCGCTGCGGCGGCGACGTCTGCCTCAAAGGCGGCCCATTCGGACTCGTCGACTTGGGGAGTCCCTGAGCCGGTCTTGTCTGCCGTGGAGGCTGCCGCTGAGGCCGCGGCGTGCTCTGGACCTGAGGTGCCGGCGGGTGAGGGGTCGGGGTGCAACGGCGTCGTGGGGGTACCCGTCTGAGGCTGAGGGGGAAAATATCCTGCCGACGCCGAGGCCGAGGAGGCGGACCGGCCTTCTCGATGAGCGGGCGTCGCTGGCCGCGACGGGATCTGGAGTTCGACGCCCTGCGAGGGGGTGGTGGACAGCCTGCGCAACAGGCTTGGAGGTGTCCTTGTGCTTTCTTTGCTGTGGTTGCTGCCGGCGCTGTTGACTCTGTCCGGCGTGCTGTCGCTTCCATTCTTGGCGGCGAGATCCCGGGCGGCGGCGGCGGCGGCAGGAGTGCCGTTGAAGGCTATGCCCGTGAGAGGCGCAATGTCGGGCTTGCTACGCTTCGTACGGACGGCGTCTTGTGACTTTTCCGCTTCGCCGTCGTGCTCGTCGACGGGTTCCAGTTTCCGTTTGTGAGCGGCGGCGGCATCGTGTGGTGGCGCTGGCGCTGGCGCTGGCTCTGGTGTCGGCGTCGAGTCCGTCTGAGTGACCTTTTTCTGTCGTGCCATGTGCTGGTGGCGCTGGCCGAGCAAATGGGTGTCCCATAATGATTCGGCCTTGACCTGTTCTCTACACAGGGTGCAAAGCAGCTTTCCGGCGGTCGAGTAGGCAGCGTAGGGGTGGTCTATTCTCCGCGAGGCCTTTTGTCGGCGCAGGAGAGACCTCACGTCTGCCATGGCGGCAGCGAGATGCTTCGAACGATGTGCCTTTGACGATGGAGGTCAGGAACATGCGGGGAGGGAGACGATGCGGTGATGCGGTGGTGCGGTAACGCAGTCGGTGACGCACGTCTCTTTGCAGCTGGGCGCTGCGTTCAATTGGGCATTGCGAGCCATGTACAAGCGGGGAATTCAATATTGCCGTCCAAGGCCGCAGGGCACGGAGGAGACGAAAAGGTGATGGTGGTGAATGGCGGGGAGAGGATGGAGGTTGAGGCGAGTCTCAAACATCGTCGTTCGGTCGGTCGGTCGGTCGGTCGGTCCCGTCTGGGCGAGGCAGACGCCATCATGCCGCGCCACAGTGGACGTCGGGGTGCTCGCAGGCAGTCCGGTCAACTGAAAGCGCCCTGGAGCCACGGCAACAGGGGCCGCCGAGCCCGCCCAGGGCCCAAGGTGTCCGGTGCCCGGTGCCGGGGCTGGTCTGCCCCGCAATTTAACCGGCGCAACATGCAACACGCAACTGCAGCCGCAGCCGCAGCCGCGACTGCCCGTCGGCATCCCAGCATCCAAACCAACCCCAAACCGACGATGCCGAGACGGTCCAGGCAACCAACCGCCTGCGTTGGCCGATTGCAGCTCGTCCAAGGCCGTCTAACCGGCATCTGAGGACTAAGCGGCCTTGCAGAACAAGAGTCTCCGTCGAAACAAAACACAGCAGCACTGAAAAAATGGCCGAACAGGAACCACACTCGCTCGCCTCCACGTTTCCCAACCCCCCTCCCTTCTGGAAGGACTTCACCCCAGACAGAGTCGCACGCATCGACGAGCTGCGCAGCGCCTTTGCCGGAGGCGCCAGCGAGCAAGCCTCCTCGCCCGCTGTGCGCATCCCTGGTCTGCCGGGAGAGTTGGCCAACCTACAACCGCCCCCGGAGCCATCAGACGGACGATGGCGAGTCTTTGGCGCACAATACACGGTATGCATCTGCCCCTCTCTCTGTGCCAAAATCAAAATCCCTTGCCGCAGCACTGACTCGGTCCTCCCTGCGATACAGCTCAACGACAAACTTCCCACCCTCGAAGAACAGGGCATCGCCAACCTGCCCACCACGGCGCTATCCGACTCCAAGGACGCAAAGCACTACGACCGCGCATTCCAACTCAAGAAGCTCTCCAAATCCCTGCTCCTCAACTTCCTCGAACTCGCCGGCACCCTGTCGCGGGACCCCGCCCACGCGCAAGGCAAGATCCAGGACTTGCGGACCCTGTTTGTCAATATCCATCACATCCTGAATGAGTACAGGCCCCACCAGGCGCGAGAGTCGGCCATTGCCATGATGCAGGACCACTTGGACAGGACGCGCAGCGAGACCGAAGCGATAACGTCGCAGGTTGACAAGGCAAGGAGCATACTGCAGGGCCTCGCCAACCTCGGCCACGCCGACCCGCGCCTCGCTGTCGCCGGGGAGGACGCTGCCGCCGAGGCGGGCAGCGAGGGGGACAAGACGCCGACCAAGAGGGAGACGGACTTGTGGGCTGCTACCGATGCCCTGCTCGGGCTGTGAGACGGGCCTTTAACTTGTAGAATTTCGTGGGGGGGGGGGGGGGATTGGGTTGATGGTGCGATGCCGCGGGCATCCTCTTTACTTTACTACTTGGCGTGTTCATGTTCAATCTAGGAATCGTGTCATCGGGAACAACGCGGCTTCCCCTCCTTTGCAAGACGAACGAAAAACACAACTCGATACAATAACCGGCACAGCACTAGAATCCACTGTAATCTTGTTCATCTTCCAACATAGCACGCCGCACAATATCTGGCCGGCCGCTGATGTGTTCCGGTGGCTTTTGTCCCCCCCTCCGCCGTACTCCTAAACACCTCCAGTGATATACCCAGACACTCCGTCCATCCGTCCATCCGTCCATCCCATCCACCCCGCTCGTAGCTTTTACGGAACAAATGCTGCAGTGCAGAAAAGATGCCTCACGGCATGTGCATGGTATGGCCGGGCGAGATACCCGATCTGCCCGAATCAGCCCAACCTGCAATTGTAGACGTCTAGTCTAGCCCCCTCCCCGAGGCTGGAACTCGGGAAGCTGAATTCCCGTGCAGTGACTTGGCTGCGGACCTATTGCGGCGCGCCCACGGCACTCGACGGTGCTTGCTTCTCGCAGCCTTGCTTCTCCAGGAGAGCGCCCAGGTACGTGAGATCCTCCTGCGCCCGCGGGTCCTTCTCGTAGATGGACCTTATCACTTCCCACTCGCGCCGCGACATCTGGAACGCCTGAGGCAGTAGGAATTGCGCCGTGGGCACGGAGAGCAAGTCGCCCAGCACCTGTGCTGCGATGGCTTGTCCCGCCCGCTGAGCCTGGAACTTCTGCGACTCTGGCACGGCGTGGCTCGGCGGAGGGACCGCCGTCTGCAGAGCCGGTCGTTGCATGTGCGGCGGCTGCGGGATGGGAACCGGCGTGGTGGACTGGGGCTGGGGCGGCCCTCCGTGCTGTTGCTGACCAAACGCGCCCTGAGGCGTTGAAGGCGAAAAGGCCGGCCCCGACGTCGAGTTGCTCCTCTGCCCCCCGGGCACGGGTGTCGGCGAGGCAGTGACGCTGGGAGGCTGCGGCGTGGCGGCCGGGGTGAGCTCCTCCTTGGTTTGCTTGAGCTGGTCTGGCTCGTTGCGGTACACAAACACGGCCAGGAGCATGGGTTGCGTTCTTGTCTTGGGGATGTAGTTGTCGACGAGGTTGAGCATGAACTCTGGGTGGCCGTCGTCGCCGGCCGGCACGGGCACGAGGTACGTGTCCCTGACATTTCCTGCCACCTTGTTTCCGACGACTCCGTATCGACTCTTGCTGAGGAAGTAGTCGACCAGCGCCTTGAAGTCTGCCTGGGAATCCGCGGACGTCGGCGTGATGCTGACCACGACAATGTCTGTGAGGTTGCTGTACCGGAGACTGCACAGGTACTCGATGGCGCTCTGTTGTGGGATGCGTCCGGCAACCGTCATCCGCTTGGGAATGAGCTTTGACCAGGGACCAAAGGAGGCGAAGTTGGCGCCGCCGACGTGCTTGGCCGTCGCTTGAAAGTCTGCGATGGAGCTCATGGCCAGGGAACCCTTCCATATGACATCCGGGTCTTGCGATTCTTCCGTCGGCGAATAGGGCGGAGACTCTGTCTCGTCTTGGAGCATTCGATCAACGTCTGGATCGAACCCGGGGCCGTTGGTATTGACAACCGGCGCCGACGGTCGGCGGTTCTGGGACAGCGTCGGCGACTTGACTGTCGAAAACACCTTGTTGATGTCGAACTTGGATTGCGAGGGTGAGTGCTGAGCTTCGGACTGAGACGGCGATCTCGCTCTCGACTCGCCGTGATCCCCTCCGGTCAATTCTCGCTTGACAAGTAGTGGATGCTGGCTGTCGCCTTTCCGGGGACCGCCAGCCATCGGCATAGGGGCTTCGTTGAGGGCAGTTTCGTCCTCAACTACCTCCTCTCCCTTGTGAGTCCTTCGAACGCGGGGGCCGGTGTCTTGTGTGTATAGGATGGATTGCTTCTCCGCCTTGGCCCTCATCTCAGCAGTCTGCTTTTGCAGTTCGGCCGAGGCGAGCTGCTCCGAAGTCATGACGGCAAGCGTTGTGGGCGAGTGCACCCCATGCAACAGGCCCTGCATGACTTCAGGGTTGTTCTTGAGGTTGAAGGTCAGAGACTTTATCTGCTGAATGTACTCTTTTTGGCCCTTCGATGCCGGATGCGTGTCGTAGACAGCGCGCTCAATTTGCAAGGCATATTCTTCCGACATGCCGTCTTCTGTCTTGCCTTCGGGAACCTTGAGATCTCCATCTTTTGCAATCGTGGCCAGAACATGACCGATCGATTTCTTCAGAGCTTTTGCGGGACCAGAACGTGAGGCGGCCAATTCTGATATCGACGACGCAAGATCGTCAGGTTTGGTGTATTTGATGACCCCAGGCGCCGCGTCGCGCTCTGAAAATCGACGCTGTTTGGCTGTCTGTTATACGTTAGCTTGCATCCGTGTGTGCCGCGTTCGAGTCGATGCAAAGTGTAGCTTGCTTACCTTGGCGTCTGTGTCGAGAGAATCCTCTCTAGCCTTTCGCTTGCCCTGCTTTGAGCCGGGCTCCCTTTTATCCTTTGATGCAGGTTCAGGCGCAGGCGACGCCTTTGCCCTGGCCTTGCCATCCTTTTCAAGCTCGTCCTTGGGATCGCTGCTGCGTTTGCCCTTGGCCCTGCGTCCTCCCCTTTTCTTCTTTCTGTCAGCCTCCTCTTCTTCGTGTGCCCTCCGTCGAGCCTCCCATGGTTTTTCTCCTTTGGCCATGCCTGCCAAAAGCTCTTTGTGATCTTCAGGCCGACACTGTTCGCACCAGTAGTTGTCAGGGATCTCGTCCTCGAAAGAGCTCACGCCCACGCACACATTGTGTTGCCAAGCGTAACACGTCTCGCAGGAGATCCAGGCCTCCCCCGAATCTTCGTCTTGTTCGGTTGCTCCACAAACACACCGAATCACCTCGTCGGGCTCCTGAGAGTGGTCCTTCTCTTGTGCCTTCTTCGTTTTCTTGGTTTGTCGTCGTTTCGGTGGCACCGCAGGTTCGAGTTCGTCAAATGATTTCGTGTGTTGACCTTTGGTCGCTCTGACCGAGCGCCTTGGCTCTGCCTCTCCTATAGACGACATGTTAGTTCTGTTTGCCTGATCCCACATCGCATCGCGTCCTTGAGTCGCAGCTATGCGCAAACAAAAACCCTTCAGGCATGCGCCTTGGATCTAGTTGTAGTTGAGTGAAGTTGGTTGAGCTTACCAGACATGGCGTCTTATTTGGCAGGGACGTAATTTCCCGTCGTCGCAGCTGGGAACGACGCGCGTGATGGGGGGCCCTTGGTGTTCAGCTTGCTGTTTTTGACTTGATTCGCGATCTACTTTTGCAGACGAGTTCAAACAAACATTTGGCATTTACGACGCTGACAGGGCTAGAGAGTCACGACTATAACAAGGCCAAGTTTGCCGAGAACAAATCCAACCACAAAAAGCAACCTTCTATTTCCGAATGAATTTCTCCCAAGTGGCACACGATAGTATGCGCCAGGCTTATTATGCTCAGATTTTTATGCGGTCCTCAATGTGCCGGCGACCGAAATTATCTTGTGCGTTCCCAAGAATTGACGCGATCCAAGGGTTGGGAAGATGGGGCAAAGTTGGGAGGAGGGAAAAGAAAAAAAAAAGAAAAGAGGAGACGACCTCGGAAGTGGGTGAGGCAAATGCCGTTGGGCGTGGCGATTAGTCAGACTCGCGCCGCGTCAGGACAAAACGCAGGGCCGCACTTGCGCAGAACCGTTTCGAAGGGGTGGAATGCCCCGGAATATGAGCAGTCAGAGGGGTGAAGTCGTTCAAACGCGTGCACAGATTGATAGAAAGGCTTTGGCCCATTCAGGCTGACGCCGATGTTGATGTGGATGCAGGAGTCAAGATCCTCGAGCAGTTTTGATGTGGCGGAAGGCGCTGATGAGGCGCCTTCTTCCTTCTTCCACCTTAGTTAATCCGGCTCACATAACCAAAGCCCACGTGCTCCAAGGAGCGTGCTGCGTCACCGTCTGTTCCCTGCTCCCTGCTGCCTGCTTGGTAGAACATCGGCAGATTGGAGTGTGACGCTGATGAGTCAGCAGCTGAAGCCTCAGATATCAGTCACCCACCACAGGATGGAGCTCACCTACTACGCGGCTAGCTTGTGCCTGGAGCTCCTGCGCCAGCAAATGACGCCGTGGTGAAGCATTTCAAACCCACCTGCAGACCGCCGCCTGTCCCAATCATCGCATCGCCTTTCTCTCGTGTGCCGACTATTGACACACAATAGCCTCAGTCTTTTGGAGGACTACTCGTATCCTCTGTTGCTCACCGCTTGACCTACCGGTCGTCTCCGCAGACATGTCTCGCCGTTACGATTCCCGAGTATGTCGAAGCGTCCCTTGGGATGCCAATGGTTGTTCAGGCTTGAAAACTAACATGCGGCCCCCGTAGACAACCATTTTCTCACCAGAAGGCCGTCTCTACCAGGTAGAGTATGCTCTGGAGGCCATCTCACATGCCGGCACTGCAATTGGCATTCTCGCCAAGGATGGCATCGTCCTCGCGGCTGAACGCAAGGTCACGTCCAAGCTGCTGGAACAGGACACATCAGCGGAGAAGCTGTATGTTCTTAACGAGTAAGTCATAGCCTCTCTCGCATCGCGTTGTCCTTCTCGCCACGGTACTCATTGGCCGTTAGCAATATGATTTGCGCAGTTGCTGGCATGACCGCCGACGCCAACATTCTCATCAACTACGCGCGCCAAGCCGCCCAGCGATATCTCCTCACCTACGACGAGGATATTCCTTGCGAGCAACTCGTCCGTCGTCTCTGCGATTTGAAACAGGGATATACCCAGCACGGCGGTCTCCGGCCCTTTGGCGTTTCGTTCATCTATGCTGGCTGGGACCCTCGAAGGCAATTCCAGCTGTATCTGAGCAACCCATCCGGAAACTACGGCGGCTGGAAGGCAACCAGCGCCGGCGCCAACAATGCTAGTGCCCAGAGTTTGTTGAAGCAGGATTACAAGGAGGATTGCACACTCAAGGAGGCATGTGCCATGGCCGTCAAAGTGCTGAGCAAGACGATGGATTCTACCAAGCTAAGCAGCGAGAAGAGTGAGTGTTGACGTCAGCCCCTTTTTTACAGGCTTTTCTTTACTAACCGGCTTTGTAGTTGAGTTTGCCACAGTTGGACAGACGGATGACGGCAAGATTTATCACAGGCTGTGGACGGCGGACGAGATTACGGCGCTTTTGAAGGAGCACGATCTGGCCAAGAGCGAAGATGCTGAGGAGAAATAAGCAGTCAAGGACGAGAGTAGACGGGACTGGTTTAGAAGCGGACCACGTAAGGGCGGTCCTTGTAATTATACCATGAATGAACTGGACGACATCAAGCCCAAACGCACCAAACGAAAGGGGTAGTTCGTTTACCCGGCAGCATATCTGTAGGACTTGACATGCTGATATATCGGTAAACCTCATGTTTAATGCTGTCTTCTCGTCCAAACCTAAGTGTACATTTTAACCTACACAGCCTTGAATATTGCACATGCAAGCCCACGTTGCTCCGTCGAACATGCCAGCATCAGGCTCAAGAAGGTCGTTGCGGCTGAAGCTCGTATTCTTCATCACTCACAGCAGCCCCGCCTTCCTCCTCATCGCGAACCTTCTGCCACGAAGCAGCTTGCGGATCCGCGCCCGGTCGAGGATACGGCTCATGGCACCTCGCACTGGACAACCTTGGCCAGTGACGTCTATAACTCCAGTATGCTACGCTCATGCCGAGAAGCGATCCAACACAGACGTCATATACGTCATGTCTGTAGTCTTCACAGCGCGAAATAGCAATCAGTGTCGCCAAAACAAGGGGTGACAAGCAAATCAGTGCCCTGCCTAGATCCCTCCCTCCAACGCGATGGTGGAAAGTATGCAACTGTCCGGCGAGGAAGAGGCTCAGAAAGCCTAATCCTGCAAAGGAGAACGATGAGTGACCAGATGGAAACGATCGCCATCCATCCTGCAACTTGTGCGAGGGTTCGGTGGTGCACACTTCGATGGTGACCAGGACATTCTCCCGGGTGCCAGGTGACGGGTGGCACCGATCCAGGAGGTCAGGACGAGGCCTACCCACGGCGTTCTTGACCACATCAGTGAGAAATAATGTGAGGACTATGGATATGAGAAAGGAGAGGTAGGTGACTTCGTGCTTGGCGATAGGCGATCTGGCGACGAGGTTGTAGAGGATGAGGATGCCCAGTGGCATGAAGAAAGCGTATATGAATAACCAGGCTGGGCTCGGTTAGCTTGTTATGCTCATTGCGTATTCAGTTCCCACGGCCACGTTCGACATACAGACGGAGACCCTCTCATGTACAGCATGCGGGTACGCGATATGCAGGTCATTGATGAAGAACATTCGGTGAAAGGGCGTGACGAACATTGTGAGCTATGGCAGGTTAGCAACCGGAGCAACGAAAAGGGGATTCGGGTAGGGAGTCTGACAGCGAGCCATCCCGCGACCAAGATGATGAGTCCAACATATTCCGGAGCGAGCGTAGTCTAGGGCATGATTTAGAATTGCTGTTGCATGGCTGCAGTTGAGGCTGTTGGGCCCCGGTCGGGTCGAAGGGAGAGAGCTTACTTGCCATGCTCGACTGAAGAACGCGACCGGTCCGCTGAATGCCACGTCTCTGCGAGGAGCCATGGCGATAGACAGCCAGCCAGATAGGGGATGTGTGTTCCCCGGCCTAGGCTAAAGATACGTCGGTGGCAGCCATGGGAAGTGCTTGCTATAAACGCAGCAGACTGACACGTTGCTCGAGCACCTCGATAGATGGGGACATTGAAGCATTCAAAACAGACAGGGTGGAGCCAGACCAGACTCTATCGGACGTCGTTGCCGAACCGGATTGAACATGAATTCTCGTGACAAAAAGAGCTGTTCAGAGAAATAGCAAGAAGTATTGTTGTTTTGGGGTCCCTTTGATTTCATTCCTGATTTAACATTCGCAAGGCCAATTTCAAAACACGTCAGGCACCAATTGTTGGATGACATGGCAACCAATGTTGAACGCACCTTCCAAAAGTTTAGGTTGTGCATGGCAGCCCCACATGGCTCAGAAAGTGGCTAGCGGGTAACGTGAACATCGTTTGCCGTTTGACGTCGGCGTCCAAAGCTCCAGTCCCAGTCCGACAAGAATCACATTTACCGGACTCCTTCTCACAACTCTGCAACGATGGCGAGCACTGGCGGGCTCAAGTCAACCTACAGGCCATCAGCTGCTGCCGCGGCAGCATCGGCCCCATTACCGCCAGGATGGTCAGAACATACCGCGCCAACAGGACATAAATACTACTACAACGCATCAACGAAGGAGTCAACTTACCAGCGACCGGGCCTGCCGCCACCCGCTCCAGTACCAGCGCAAGAAGAATACTCACCGTACGCAAATCTCCCATCGCTCGCCGACCCCCGGGTGGCAAACGCATATCTTGCACAACTTAACCCTCAGAACCAGTCCCGAACTCGTGGTGCTCACCGCGGTCGAGGTGTTGGCAGGGGAGAGGTCGGAGGCAGGCAGAGACCGCAACCGGTTGACAAGCCGAGAAAGGCGGAGAAGATTCCAGGATGCGAACCGTGGCTCCTCGTGTACACAAAGTACTCCAGACGATTCGCTTATAATCCCGTGAAAAATACGAGCTACTGGCGCATTCCAGTAAAGCTTATGGAGGGCATCCTGGAACTGGACAAGGCACGAATACGCGGCAAAGCTACTGGCGCTTCAGATGATAACAAGGGCGAGAAAGATGCAGAGAACCAGATGGCGGATCCGGCTGAGGAACACCACGACTACGAAAGCGATGAATACGAAGAGATGGAAGTGCAAGTGACTGATGACGAGGGTGCCGATGACCTTGACGCAGAGCATCCGTCTAAACGGCGGCGGCGGACAGACGAAGACGGAGACGACGACGAAGCTGGGGAAGAAATGGAAGAGGAGGCGGAGGAGGAGGAGGAGGAGGAGGAGCAGGAGAAACATGGAGACGCACCTGTTGAGTTTACTGAAGCAGACATTGCCGCGCAACTCCAGGCCATGGGAGAGGACTATGGCCTCGAGCCAGGCGACTACGACGACGGCAACATGGAAAGCTGGCCCGAGGGCACGGAGGGTGTGGACTTCTCAGAAGAAGACGCCAAACTTCTCTTCAAGGATCTGCTCAACGACTTCAACGTCAACCCCTATAGCCCATGGGACAAACTCATCGAGGAAGGAAGAATCATGGACGACCCGCGATACACAGCCCTTGCCACGACCCGAGCACGCAAAGAATGCTGGGACGAGTGGACCCGCGACAGGATTGCCAAACTCAAAGAACAGCGGGCCAAACAGGAGAAGAAGGACCCCAAGATCGCATACATGGCTTTCTTGCAAGCAAAGGCCACGCCAAAGCTGTACTGGCCAGAGTTCAAGAGAAAATACAAGAAGGAAGAAGCAATGAAGGACTTGAAGCTGTCTGATAAAGATCGCGAAAAGGCATATCGCGAACACATCAATCGACTGAAGATGCCGCAAGCAAAGCTCAAGTCGGATCTCATCGCGTTGCTGAAAGCGCAACCTGTCCACGTTTTGAACAACACATCATCGCCGACGAGCCTGCCCACGCCCGTGCTCACCGATCTGCGCTACATTTCGTTGGAGCCCCAGATTCGCGACCCCATCGTGGAGGCATACCTTCAGACGCTGCCACAGCCGCCGGAAGACATTACTGCTGCCGAGGAAGACGAGGAGAAGAAGAAGGCAAGGGAAGCGCGCGAGAAGCGCGAGAGGGCATTGGAGGAGAGAAACCGTGCCGTGGAAGAGCAGAAGAGGCGAAGGGAGAGGGAGGTCATGGCTAGCAAAGCGCGCTTAAGAGATGAGGAGAGAGAGTTGGAGACTGCAATGAGGGTAGGCAGACGGGGCTTGCAGAGCCAGTTGCAGGATGAGGCATGAATGAGTGGCTACACCAGACTGTTGAAGAAAAAAAATTCAAAAACAAAGCATATTACCGTGCAACGGCAGTAGATTTCCAAAAGTTGGTGCTCACCTCTTGACAGGAGGGTCCTCTTTGTCCTGGGGAAAACATGGGATTCTGGATGGTCTACGGTCAACGACAACACGGCTCATTTGACACCGTCAGTTGGTTTCCCAGCTTTTTGCGAATCTCGTGCCAGAACTTGTGACTGAGCATCCTGACGAGATGCCCACGACGTACTGAGCCGCGCGTACATTGCAGCCCTGGCATCGTGCACCGCCGCAGTCATCAGTGATCACAACCCGGTAAAGACGTCCTTGGCCCTCCGTTCAATATCCTCCGCCCACCGCATGACATCCTCCGTCCCCGAAACGCCCTCGTCCGTGACGTACGCATCCACCAGCTCATTGTCAATCCACTCAAAATACACATTGCTCACCTTGACACCCCCCGGTGCGCCCTCACCTTCTCCCCTCGCTACTCCCATGCGGTCCCAAACCTCGGTCAATTCACCAGCATCGTTGTCTTCATGGCCCGGCGCTTCAAAAGGCAGCACCTTTTCCTTCTCACTCACGACCACAACCTTGACATGCTTTGAGACATGCCTCGCGGCTAGAACAGCCGGCAACGACCCCGTCTTGTTGCTCACATTGCCCTGCCTGTCGATCAGGTCCGCTCCCAGGAGGAGCAGGTCCACGTCCTGGGAGGCTATGCCCGCCGCGGCGTCCGTCATGACCGTGACCTCAACACGCGACGAGAGATTCTTCTCGGCGGCAAAGCGCGAAAGCTTGTGGGCGAGTTTGACGCCCTCGAAGAGCGGGCGGGATTCCAAGACGCGGAGGTCGAGTCTGTGATTGGGGCTGGCGAGCACGCGCATGAGGCAGCATGAGATTGTCGAGCTGGACGACAGCGTGAGAATGCGGACAGGCCTGTCATCCGGATACTGCTGCAGGAATGCGGCAAAGGCGTCGGCGGTTCTGCCCGTCGACGCCTCCCTCTGCTGCGCAAGTTCGCCCAAGGAGGCAACGACGCGGCCGACCACGTCCGGCGACAGGCCGCCCTTTATCCCGTCACGAACCGCGTCCAGGCCGGCCAGCACGACGCTCAGGATCGGCGCCCCCATGCTCTCCCTCCCGTTCTTCCACAAGTGCCAGGCCGACCTTCGTGCGTTGGCCCACCAGGCCTCTTGGTCGGACGGATCCAAACTGCTCAAAACATGGGCGAAGATATCCAGCGCCGTGCCCGCTAGCTGCCGCGCGCCGCTCTCGTGGTCGTCCTTCAACCTCGCCAGGCCGGCGCCCAAAACCGGCGCCGCGGGGCCAAAGTCGAACTCGAACCACACCCTTCGCAGGCTCTCCAGCAACTTGGGAACGCCGTCGACCTTGTCGTCGTCAGCGACGTCCGCCGGGTCGAACCACGCGTAGCTGTCGTGCTCCCAATCGATGGTGATGTTGGAGGGATCAGATATGAGAATGAATCCAAAGGGATTGACGGTCCATTCACGCTGGATGGACTCGTCAACAAACGAAAACGGTTTACCCTGGCGGAAGAGCTTGACTGAGGACGGGGTGAGGCTAGTTTCCTCGTGGATCTCTCGCCATGCTGTTGCAAGTGGGTTTTCGTCGAAGCGTTCGATGGAGCCGGACACAGGTGCGTATTTGTGTCTACCTTTTGCTTAGCATGAAACGGGGAAGATTTCTGGGTGGTAGGAGAAAGGGGCTGGCGAGATGAGACCGACGAACTGGTAGGTTCGCACCTTGTCGCTTCGTCTGAACAGAGCGACTTTTGGTCTGGTATTTTTGGCGTCGTCCTTGGGTAAATGGAAGATGAAGCTGACTGCCACACAACACTTCTTGAGCGGTGACATTGTGGATGAGAGCGCGTAGCGACCGAGTTTGGTGATTGTAGCGCGAGGGCGCGAAGCATGCTCCCGAATTTTACGAAGGGACTAATGATGAAGCCTCCTGTATGGGAGCTGCTAGACACCTTTCGCAGTCCTGTTGGCCGGCGTGAGCATATCGTATACGTGTGAGAGGGAAACGTGAAGCATGACATGACGTTGCCATTGCGTGACCTTGGATAAATCCGGGAAATTGGTGGAGACGGACCTCGCGCCGCGCCGCCATCCCAGACTCCACGACATGCTTTGATAAATCAACCGTGGACTGCGGCGTTTTATGAAAAGCGTGACACCCAAATTGTCTGCCCCTCAAGGACGTACAGATTGTCTTAACAAGACCAAGCCCGTGTCCGCGGTATCCTAGAGATTTACTTCTTTCAGTAATTGGCCAGAATCTAAATACAATGCATGCGCCATGACATGAATATGAATCATCTTCACCCATTCGCATAATTGTTACATATCGGCCAGTCGTCCCCCATCCACGTAACCAATTCGTCGTATAGTACCGTATTGTCTCCAATTGGCGGCGGAGTCGGCACAAACTCCTGGGAAACAGGTTGAGGTGCTATAGTAGGAGCAGAGGAAGAAGCTATGTCCTGACCCAAGGGTGCCGTTAGTCTTCCCACCAAGCAGCGAAGCTCTTGAAGCGTTTCTGCACATCGCTGGCCATCCGTGTTCCCTTTGCTGGCAGCCTCGAGCATCTTTTCAATGCCATAATCTACGTCATTCATGGCAGCAATCGCCTCTTCTTCTGAGGATTCCGCTCGAAAAACAAGGGGTTGAAGAATGAGGCAAACAGCAGCGTGGAAGATGAAATGCAAGCCGGCATGCAGAATCTTACGGTGCCCATTTAACGTTGACAAGTGTCGCGCAAGTGCCATGTTACGAACTGCAGCTGAAATGCAGCATTTCAGATGCTCAATCTGAGGAGCGTCGTCTGCGGTGGTCGTTTGGCCCATCAGATGATCAGCGACCGCTCGTTTGACGGCAGATAGGAAGAGAGGGCGAATAGCCACGATGAGGAGTTGGTTATGTCTCATATGTAACAAGCAGCTCGCGGGGTCGTTGCTCAATCCCTCCATCAGTTGTAAGGCTAGCGGCAGTGACGATTTCCATTGTTCAAGCATCCATATAGCATTATCCGGCTGATGTGTTCCCGCCTCTGCCTTCGCTGTGTGGTAAGTATTACCGACAACATGACCCGAGATGCGAGAAAGCTCAACGTGAGCCCTGAGTCCCGCAGCGGGAGGCATCAGTCTGCAAAGACTTGTCAGCAATCTTTCCTCTCAAAACGATGTATCGTTTACCTACGCGTCGTCTGCCGGCAGTGGCAGTTGGATGGCCTCATCTGTGATTGTGGGAGGCCGTCCAGTGAGACAGCTCAACCAACGGTCAAGGCAATACACTGACCAGAAGACCCTCTTGCCTCGCTCATCAACCCATCCCCTGTGGGCGCCGAGCATTATGCTGATGTGCATGGCGGCAGTGACATACATGTAAGCCTCATCTGGACGATTCGTCTCGACAAGGTAGAAGCTCATCAGGGCCAGAGAGGCGACATCGCCAATCGTGCGACGCTTGATCTCGAGTGGATTACCAAGAAGCATGGCTGCTCGTGCGTAATACGGCTCGCTCAGAGATGGGTTGGAATCCGAGCTTGGCGGCGGTTGGGCGGTGCTGCTTTGGCACGCCACGGCGAGAGCAGCATGGTAGAAAGCCAGATGACGATAGGCGCTCAAGTCGTTGTCTGGAGAGTGTGAAGCTGGCGCTCGAACGGGGATTTTGCTCAAGTCTCCCCACCAGTAAATGCCACCACTTGGCCACCGGCCACCCCCGTCCTGGATGAAGTGCCGTAGTTCAGACAGGGCAACGCCGATGGTGCCATCTGGCGGCAGCCATAGGGGGTTGACGGCGTGATTCAGCGGACGTTGGTCGCCGACAGTATAGTTGCCCAAGGATGACAAGAAGCGGCTCTGGTCAACCCGGGCCGGTCCAGCTTGCGGGGAGGTGGGAAGAGCGGCGCCCATCAACTCCTTGAGGTGGTCGAGAAAGGTAGCACCAGCAGTCTCGCCCATATATCTACCCATGCCATCGGCATCTTGGAGTAAACGCCCAGGACTCAGCACTGCGTCGTCATCTGTCGGTTCCGTCTTGATGGAGCTGGTTCCAGGTGGCTGACTGAGGGCAGGAACGGTGCTTGCAAAAGGGCTGGCCGATGATGAGGAATCGGGGCTGGCAGCGTGTTGCAAAAGCTCCTGGCGTCTCGTTGGGTCTGCTACTGCATCCTGCAGAGCCTTCTCATAGGCTTCGACCTTCTTCCTCAGGTCATCCAGCTCGGCTCGAGGGACAGAAACCTTCTCAACGACGGCAGGGTAAACGCAGTCGCGGGCGGCCGAGGCGCACTGGCTGCAGGGGCGTTCACCAGAGCATTTAATCCTGCGCACATTGCAACTGTTGCATCTGTTCAGAGCGCCCAAAATTGATTAGCCAACTGATTCGTGTGAGTTGAGAGTGTGTCGTGGTTGTAGATGACGCTCGAGTACAGCCTCTCTACCTCAGTCCCCGACCAGTTCAGGCCGCGCATGGATATTGTATCTGCGCGCCAGTACCACAAGAGGCACAATTACGAACGGAAAGGAGACCACTTACGCTGTCGCGACCCGTTTGCGATGCTCAGGGGCCACCTTGTGGCGCCGAGGGTTGACGGGAAGTCGTTGAGAAGGTCGTCGATCGCCATGGTCAAGCTGCATCTTTCTCTGCGACGTGAAGCCAGACGTCCCAGGGTACGAGATTCCTTCCAAGGTTCGGGCCGCAGCTATGGTCACTACGTAATGAAAAAGGCAGGAGACAGAGACAAGGTTTTAATTCTCCCTTGTCTTTACTTGGCAAGCAGAAAAGAGCACTAAAAAATAGAAGAAAAAGACCCCTTTAGACGAGACAATTGCATGTATAATGTGTATTGACGAAAAGTGGCCGGTGAAACAAATAACGGCCGAGCCAACGGTCCGCAGAGACAATTGGAAACTTGGTGCCAGTTCCACGCAAGACAGATGGCTAAGAGGAGCGTGCCTATAATAGGGTTACGGTAGTGAAGAGCCGTGTTGTAGAGTGACCAGGACAAGACGTCACCAAGTCTCTGGCATTCTGTCCTTCCCGCCAGCGGAGGACAGTCAATCAGACGAAGGGCAAAAGAACAAACAAGTGATGCGTAATCGCAATGACTCTGCCCGTAACTGTGGCCGCACCGCAGGTTGAGTGACGCAGTAGCGACACTGACGCGAAAGCCACTTTCGTGGGCAGTCGCAATCTGACGCGTGCCTGGTGATGAGAGTCTAGAGATTGGAAGGGGGGATCAGAGGTGTGACGAGTAAGCCTCGTAGGGCTGCTGTCTGTACGCAGGTCTCGCGAAGTGTCGACAACGTTTCAGTTGTGGGGTTGGAATTCACCCATTGACGTCGGCGTGGACGCTGGCTGGAATGCAGATGCAGATGCAGATGCAACGTAGACGCAGGCGCAGACGCAGAGGCTGACGTCGACGTCGACGTCGACGCCTGATGGAGGGGTTGTCGTTTGTTGGTCGGGATATGGAGATTGGGAAAGGCGAAGGAGAAGTGATCAACTGGGGTCTTTCTTTATGTCCCTCTTCTTTGACTTCCTTCTCAATCTAGACTAGGATAGCTAGTTATTTGCGCAAGCCATGCCTAATTGAGCTTTTTGAGCTCGAGAGACTCAACAAGGGAAGGAGGGGCCGACGAGCGACAAGGGGGGAAGGGGGAAGAAGTCCTCAACGGCCCAAGAAGTAAGCCTGCCGATCCACCCGAGTGAACGCATGGGGCCAAGGGTCTATCGCCAGCCACCCCAGGGAAACATTGACGTTTCGGGCCGCAAAAGGACGAGCACCGAATTCTCAAACTTACTAGAACTTACCACAACACGGCTCCAGCACAGCCTTATTTCCCTCTTGGACCACATAGAGCACGCGAGCCACCACGCCGAAAGGTGCCGTCTGAAGAATCAGTAGCCAGCCGGCGTTGGGATTCATCTGTGACGAGCTCTGGGAGATCTCTGGCGCAACGACCTGGCAATAAACTGGGCCGACAGATTTACGGTCAACCTGCGTTGTATTATTGTCAGACGGCTTGGCGCCCCTTGGAATATCGGTGGACAGCTGGTCATTAGGGAGGAGTCTGAAATGTGAGATCACCATGGGCGAGTGCCTGGATCGCCACGAGTTCGTCGGGCGGTGTATTTAGAAGCTGGCTTAGTTGCTCACAATTTGCTCCCTGCCATTTCGCTGAGCTTGCATATTGGCAGGCCACAGCAGTGGGGGGCGGCTGCTTTTCGATATCAGTTTGAATTCAACAGTCCGTGTTATTGCTCGTATAAGTACGGAGTACTACGCGTCGTCGTATGCGGCAGACATGTTGTCATGGGCCACCTCCATGTACCAACCACCGCCTGTTGATATCACGGCCACTCCGGTTCTCAATGAGAAACCGAGGCCCGCAATGACCGGGTACTGCCGCTGAATACTCTAGATCCTGACCTTTTTACAGCCCTGGTTGAACTTCGAGATCTACAAACTCGTGCTCGAGTGGCTCGCACGCTCCATCCAAATCCGGCTTAGCGGGTCCTTTGTCCACGCTTGTGCCACGCCTCGCCGGACAATTGTCCACGCACGCAATTCGCAACTCGCGCTCGCAATCGCCCTTTTATCCTCCGTCTCCAACGTCGACTGGCCCCGTCGACTGCAGCCGGCAAACGAGAAGCACAGCTGATCGCTCCCTGTGGGCGGAAACCCTCATGACTCACACCCCGTTCCGAACGAGCGTGGCGGAGCCCTCTTCTTCCTGATCCCAAGTCGTGGAGCTTCTCGGAGACGACGTGTTACTTTTGAAGCCGCGCCTTCTCCCTGCCATCGTCGCCGGGCGTGTCAGCAGCGTCCGATGCTTATCCCACAAACCGGGGGCTCCGTGACCACCAAGCCACACTCACGCCCGCACGGAGCCTGACCGTTGTTGAAATGGCCTCGTCTGGAAGAATGCGCTGCTTCGCATTCATCGAATCCCGCCACTTCGGGTCAATCGTCAACGCCGCTCGGTGTGCCACTCTTGAACGACGCTAACGCGGACGATTCCCATGGCTTTTGGACGACTTGTGAGCGACAGCCAAACTGTGGCCCTGACAGCCAAACTGTGGCCCTGATATCGTTGCTCAACTCGTCTCCGTGACCAGGCCCCCAAAGCATAGTAAGTAGTTACACCACAACTATACACGCAAACGGCCAGAAAATACTCAACAGAGCCTGCTCTTGCATCAAGGAACAAAAAGACAATAGGAAACCCTTTGTAAAACTGTTTGGTCTATTATTAGCTAACGCATTTAGTGTTATTTTCGGGTCCAAACTGCTGTCAGTTCACCACCGCCACTCGCCATCGATGCCATCTTCCTTCGTTGCGTCTTATCGACAACACCAAGAGAAACGACTTCCGCCTATCAGTCTATGTTGAGCTAAATGAACCATACTTCATCAGGAGCGCAGCGTGCCATGTATCATATCAGCTCTACGCCCTGGTTCGGTTGCGGCATGGAGGCTCCTCAGTCATCCCAGGTCTGTTGTAGCCACCTCTGCTGTGCCAACTCGGAGTGACGAATGGGGCTCGAGCATGACGACGACTACACAGATTGTATATGCAGTATTGAACATGTCACAAAGCTTTTCACACGAAATAGCTATCAATGATGCAGGCATTGACTCATCATATGTTACTTCGGAATCAGAGCTGTCTGCCCTTCCTCCCTCGCAAACGAGAATTTAAACCCCCCGCCTTCACCCCAGGAAAAATGCTCCTACCTCATTCGAGAAGTATCCCTCGTCTGTGCTATAAGAAAAAAAAAAGAGAGCAATGAATCTACAATGCATACGCGTGAGCATAAGAAAAAGATTCCTTTTCTTCCAATGTGGACGACCGTTTCATGAGGGCTTCTTTTCCTCAAAAGGAAAATCTACCACTTGATATATGTAGCTTTTGTCTGGTGTCTAGCGGTGTAATCTGTGTAACCCATCGACCCTGGCGGTCTACTGACTGCCAAAAATGTTATCGACAATCTCGCCGGATCTTGTGGCCAGAACTGACAAAAGGGTGTCGCTCAACTAGACACTGTTAGCTCTTGGCTCAAACACACAATGGTTGGATCTCCAATTTACCCCATGTGTACCCTCACAGCAACCCTGTAACCACACGCCTGCTTCGTCAGCGACAGTCCCAGCTGCAAACTTGACTCTATAGTCACGACCGACTGTAATCTTGCGCTCGCCCTGCTCGGTCTCCACGTTCCATCCTGAAATACCTTTGCTCAACTGCAAGCCACCAGGAGCTGCCTTGGGCAACAGGTTCCATGCGTCCTTGATCATGCCAACGTGGGCGTTACGCTGATATCCTGTGGCCGCGATGACGATGTCAGCCTCGATGACCTCCACATCAAGATCGTCGATGAAGCCGTCTAGGTTACTATCTGGGACATTTTGAATCATGAGCTGGAGTATATCACCACTGGGCTCAATACTCGTGATTTGCTTGCCGCCCATGATTCTGTGTGGCCAAGCCCTCTCGTTGGTACCGAGCTCTCGTCGCTGATTGTACATCCGTTCGTAGAGGGCTTCAATAAGCTCCAGGCGCACGACACCATAATTAGTGGCGCGAGCCTCAGTCAAGAAGTTGTCGCGATACTTGGCAGACTTGGGGTAAAGGGAGTCAACGAATTCGGGGTTAAAGACGGTATTAACGCTGCAGAAGGGTTAGTCTCCAACACCACAATGCCGACCTTTTTTCATCCTCCTTGTCATTTCCTGGCATGGCCACACATGAAGCACTTACAAGGGAGAGTCATCACTTGGACGTAAGAACTCGGGTCTCATAACAAGACAAGTCTTGGAGTTGGGAAATCGACTCGCAACATCGTTGAAGATTTCAGCAGCACTCTGACCAGCACCAACAACAACTACTCGGCAAGGCGTGGTATTTTTTGGTACCAATTTTCCAATGACATTCGCATACTCCGAAGAATGAATAATCCGGGGGTGCTTGCGAGGAAAGTTCCTAGGCATGGAAGGCTGGCCACCTGCGGCCACCAGCACGTGACGCCCGCGATAGGTATGAGTCTGCCCAGTAGCCGTATCTTGGGACTTGACAGTGAATGAACGGACTGGGCCCTCGGGGATGTTGTCAGGAGACACCGAAACTGCTTGCTGACCAAATCGCACCAGACTTGTGAAGAACGAAGAGCACCAGCGAAGGTAGTCTTCATACTCTGCACGTGCTGGCAGGAAAGTGCTCAAGTTGGTAAAGTCGACAAGACGACCCTGACAGTGCAGATAGTTGAGAAAGGTGAATTCGGACCTCGGGTCTCTGAGGGTGGCCAAGTCCTTGATAAAGGAAATCTGCATTTTGGCGCCGGGTAGCAGCATGCCCGAGTGCCAGGCAAACCGGTCCTGCTTTTCAATAAAGAGGACTTTGGGATAAGAGCCATCGGGCAACAGCTTTCTGCCTGCTGAGATGGCATCGTGAATAGCTACCGCGACGGACAGGCCGGCAGGACCGAAACCGACGCAAACAAGATCATACTCGGAGTCGAGGGCCGCAGGCACCAGGTACGGCGAGCTTTGAGCTGCCACGTCGACGAGCTTGTGACGACTGATGTGCTGAGCCACGCCACTGCCATTGGTGCTGGCACCGTTTGATGATGTGCTTGTGCCTCGGGCGTCTTGTCCTTTGATGGGCAAAGTCGCGATTGACGCCGAGGTGGGGAGTTGCGGGGTATCAAAAGTGCCCGCGGCCGTAACCGTGGCCGTGGCAGGAGCAGGAGCAGGAGCAGGAGCAGGAGCAGGAGCAGGAGCAGGAGAAGAAACAGGAGCGAGAGCCTCAGCAGCCCTGTTGCTGTCGTTGCTGGGCGGCGCGACGGCATTCCCATTCAGCGTCGCGTCGGCCGCACCACTGCTGGCGACGGTAACGACTTCGCTGTGCGGTGACATGGTATCTGGACAAGGAATCTCTAGGGGAATTCCCTTATCTTCCGGTAGCTTGCAACTTCGGCTCCCTTTTGGCCGCACAGTCTTGTCTTCTGTGATCCTACCGTCAGTGAGGATTGCGTCCGGGGTGATGGTGTTTTCCCACCTACCTCAAGTTCCAGTTGATGGGACGTAATTTAACTTTCGATGGGAAACGCCGGCAGCAGACCGCACCTCAAGACTGTTCAAGGGTCTGTTTAGGTTGCCCCCTTCTCGACTTGGTACATAAGTGAGTAGTAGTAGGAAGAGCCCACAGGTTGCGGTTGGGACTCGCCATTGAGTGCGCATGATCAGAGAAGTGCCACATATTAATTCTAAGGATCTTGCGAAACCTACCATTGTAGATTAAATATGTGGCAAGATCCTATATCCTAGCACTTGCAGCAGTCTATCGGGTAAAATTCCACAATTTTCCAAGGACGACTGCTAGTGGCCCAACTCGTACGGTTACGTAGCAAGGCATTGAAGCACGCTGCCAAGGCCGAGACAACTTTTTGCGCTGGTGCAGCGCTGCAACCACCACAACACCGTCTGATGCCCACCATGGGATCCCCAGCTTTGTGAGCTACGTGTGAGGATATCAGCAAGGAGGCCGACCCGGTATTGGACCATCTGTGGGCTCAAAGCCTCGCAGTCTCCGCTGCCGCGCTTCTTTGTTTCGATTTTTGCCTGCCTTTGTTCGGTCTGGTGGTATGTTTCTGGTATGACTGGCCGCCGCAACACGTTTGTAGCAGCAGGCATGCCCTGTCGTGCGCTAATACGAATGGACTGTTGGAAGCGGACCCGGCCAGCATGTGGTCCCTACTTAGACAGGTTAAGCAAAAGGAGAAGAACCCCAGGATGAGTATTCCCGTGTTAGTCTTGTGTTGCATCCGCTTAGCGTGGTATAACTAATAAATACATAATACATGCACACAATGCGGGACGGAAGTGATCGTCGGTACCTTCCCTCATTCGGGTCCCTGTCCCTCCTGTGTGGTGGTGGTAGGGGCCTCCTTCTTCTTCACAAGCAAACATTCATGAACTCAATGAAGACGGGAATGGCAACCGTCAGCTAGCTCGTTTGATTGCTCCGCGAGCTGGCAAATTTGCTGGCTCCTGTTTGATGGCAAAGGCTGTGATCTGATAGGACTGGTGAAGTCAGCCTTGGAAGACAGAAGCAACAAATGGCCACGGGCTATGCGGCGCCGTTGGCCACAGACACGCCCCTTTCCATACGTCCGCTCAGGATATGGACCTTCATTGTATCATCTTTAAAGTCTAAAAAGGGGTGGAGCCTGCCATGATATGGTTCGACGTGAACTGTGAATCTTTCCAGTTTACACAAGCGTTCTTCTTAGTCTTCGTCCTGCACAAAATCATTGGTCAAAACGCCTGGACCAAACAGCTTCTCGGGGTGGAGTTGAGGGAATTATCTGATGATCAGATAAAAAAAATTGATCTAAGATCCAGGTCCGTGCTAGCTCAACTGCCAAGCCACGCCGGCCTGGACAAATGGCTGACCGGCAGCGACTGTGGTGGTTAAAGGTCCGGCGCCGGAGTAGGCGCAGGACGACTTTTTCTTTTCCACATTTCCTTCAACCACACGTTCGTGTCGTCGGAATCTAGGCGGTATCTAGGCGGTATGTACTCCGTAGACGACGAGGCATTATCGTGCGTGGCGTTGTACAGATCCTTTGCATACAGACTCCAGAGCAGGTTGTGCCAAGTCAACAATGCCGACTATTACCGGAAGGCGAGAATCCAACCTACCTCAAGCAAGGGAGTGGAGTCAAGTAACAGCACGCAGGAAAGTTTTCCACGGATGTGTTGTATATATAGACTTTCACGTCTTCTGTCCATGTGAACTGGGGTTTGTTGCCGCGATGGAGCCGTTCGATTCTACATGCCAAACTCAGAAGGCATATGCGAAACGTGGAAAATCAAGCCCCATCGGATTTGGAACGACGGAAAGCGACTTCCTCCGAGTTCTTACCGGGTCTAACCCTAGTCGAAGAGTGAGACGCGTGCCCGACCTGTGAGGTTACTCTGAGGGTAATGCGCAATCGATCTCGCTTGGAAGTCCAAAACTTCGTCGTGCCCATGTAGTTACGTCATAAGCTGGATCCATGTTCGGTTGAGATTATTGGTTATTGTGATGGACCTAGACCCTGTCTGCTCTGAGTGAGCCAAGACGTAAATGACACAGTCCATGCGGAGTACCGCGGTAGCGGACAATATTGCAGCAAACGTTGAACAGTGTACTCCGTAGTAGTTCAATATTTGAACAACAAACGGCCGCAGCATAATAGGTTGATGAAGGAGAAATTGGCCTTTGAGGCACTTGTGTAAAGTAATGCCGATTGCCCTAGGAAGCGTTTACAAGGATATTTGTGAGCTCATTATCTATCTCGACGCAGGTGACATGTAGAATAGGACACATCACCTGGCTGACCAACAAGGGCTACAAACCAAATCGTGAGGCTAATGGAGACTAATAATGGAGGCCTTCCTCTACCACCAGGCGGCGAAAAAGAATGGTGGCGCGGTTGGGCCGAGATTGCCGCGTTGGCCGAGCTGGCCTTCAGAGTTCCCCATCTGGACCATGCAGTCACAAACACACATACACACCGCAAATTTATGGCTTGTTTCGGGGGTTGAAGTTGTGAATCTCTGCCAACCGCTCCGCTGGAAACTTGAGTGATTTCACTCCGACCCTGTTTTATTAGGCTTACAAGGGGTTGTTAACAGGGGTTAGTGTGCTAACAGAAAGCCGCTGTAGTCATACCACCGGCTGTTAGCAAAGTCTGCAGGGGAATCCGGTACCAAGACTTTAGGTAACTTTATCCCACCCTTGCTTGTCCCGTAGCCAGTGGCACGGGGAAGGAGCCGCTCGGCGTTCCTTCTTGACTCGCGACTAGTAGTTGGTCAGTCATTCAATCTGCATCACCATTTCGCCAACGACATCCGGATTCTCGACTCTGCCTGCAAAACCAACCCTTTTTCGCTTGCGCATACTTGCCGCGACAGGCGGTGGGTGGATCGTAACAAGAGAGAGAGAGAGATCGCAGGCTATTGGTTTCCCTTGCAGGCCAGTCGGAGCCTCGCTGATTAATTCCTCACCTCTGACAGGCTTGATTGTCATCTGCCGCAGATGCACGCAATTACCAGTGCAACCTTTTGAACCATCTGTGACGAGCACATTGTCCTTCTTGGTGAATAATCAAATTCCTCATTGGTTCCTTTATCAGGGACATGGCAGCGCCACCCGCTTTAGCTCGCTTCCAATGATACATCTAGGACCTAGCAGTCGGCTCATCAGGTCATCTTAACTTGCATCCGCCTTAGCAAGCGCAGCGAGATTGAGAGATCCCTCTTTTGGGCTGAAGGAGGCAAGGTTGGGTCCTGGCAATGCTGCATCGATTCGCTGTGCCGCCGTTTGACCCCTTTCCTCTGGACGTATGTTTTGCATGATACACGAGTTGCTCCTGATTGGCAAAGGCCGGCGGTATCTTAACCGAAGGCTTTGACAGACAGACATTTTGCACGTCACCCGGCTGTGGCATTGCAAGCCATCAAGACACGCCTTTTGAGTTTAATACTGCTTCTTTCATCAATGAAACGCCGTTAAAATGGAGCGAAATGAGTTATCAGTCTGCAACCCGAATCCTCAACACCTTTCTGGGCCGAAATTGTTGCATCATCTGGTCACTCCTCCCAATGCAGCAACAGCAATAGAGTTCTTGTCTGGAAATGAACAAACATCACTTTCCTACAAGGAATTGCATGATGCTTCTGACCGTCTTTGCGACCTTATGGGAGCTCTAATTGCAGAATCCGGAGATATTGACAAGGACACAGTCATCCCCGTGTTAATACCTCAATCTCACCATCTATACATTTCTCTTCTGGCGATACTCAAAGCCGGGGGGGCCTTTTGTCCCCTGAACACTGATGCGCCTCCCGAGCGAGTCAAGTTTATCCTGAAAGACGTGTCCGCCAACATTGTGCTCGTAACACAAGAGCTTGCCCACAAGATACCACCAGAGTGCGATGTCACCGTCATTCCAGTGGACACGCAAAGCTTCGGATTCGTATCCAAAAGAGAGTCACTTTTCACATTAGACTCAGATCGATTGGCCTATGTTATGTACACATCAGGGTCTACTGGTACCCCCAAAGGCGTGGGCATAACCCACAGCGCGGCAACACAAGCGCTGTTAGCTCACGATAGACATATTCCCGAGTTCAAACGATTTCTCCAATTTGCGGCACCTACTTTTGATGTGTCTGTCTTCGAGATATTCTTTGCTCTCTTCAGAGGCAGTACCCTTATTTGCATAAACAGGGAAGAGATGCTCGATGACCTCCCTAAAGCCATGCGCCAAATGGACGTTGATGCTTGTGAATTGACTCCAACAGTTGCGGCAAGTTTGTTGAAGAGGAGGGAAGCCGTGCCAAGACTCAAGCTGCTCATGACTATAGGCGAAATGCTTAAAATGCCTGTCGTACAAGAGTTTGGAGGGAGTAACACACGTGAGAGCTTGTTATGGGCCATGTATGGGCCTACCGAAGCTACTATTCACTGGTACCATATTTCTGTCCTTCTCCAATGAAGAACGTATTGGCTAATTGATGCTTTCTGCTACAGCACCTTGCAAACTTGCCTCCAATCTGAGTCGTCCCCCGGGAGCATTGGGGTGCCGCTTGACACCGTGTCTTGCTTCGTCATTGAGCCTGCAGAATCTGCAGATGATGCTCGAAGCTTCAATCTTCTCCCCAAAGGTGTAGCGGGAGAGCTTGCCGTAGGCGGTTTTCAACTAGCTCGAGGCTACATCAACAGACCGGAGCAAACCTTGTCCGTCTTCATTGACTCTCCCTACGGAAGAGTCTATCGCACCGGCGATAAAGCAGTCATGAGTCCTGATGGCGCTCTTGAGTGCCTTGGTCGATTGTCAGATGGTCAAGTGAAACTTCGTGGGCAGCGTATCGAGCTTGCAGAAATCGAGCATGCTGCGCTGAGGACTCCGGGATGCCATGGTGCTAGCGCTTCAGTGATTGACTCCCAATTGGTGCTCTTTTGCTCGGTGGAAAAAGCCGTGAATGAGGACGATATCCTGTCGAGCTGCAAATCGTGGCTATCTCAATACATGGTACCAAGCGAACTAGTGACTATGAGGGAATTTCCTCGACTGCCTAGTGGCAAAGTTGATACCAAACGGCTAAAAAACGACTTTTTGCAGCAAAAGATGATCAAGAATGTGGCCCCGAGTGTCTTGAATGAGCCCATAGCCCTGGAGAAAGCAGTATTGGACGTCGTTTGGCAGACACTGCATCGGTCGGTCAACCTCGCGTCTACATTGACATCTGTCGGTCTGGATTCTTTATCGGCAATAAGATTGGTTGCTGCGCTTCGGCAGATAGGCTACGAAATTTCTGTTGCGAGCTTGTTGAAATGCCGGACATTGGCTGATGTATGCACCAGTTTGCAGAAGCCTCTTGAGAGCTTATTTCTACGCAAAGACACGCATGCCCCTTTACTTGAATCGAGATCAGTATCTGAGCTGCATCCGTTACTACCTGGACTAAGCCACTTAGTTGAAAATTGGATGGGATGCACGCCTTTGCAGTCTGCTATGTTGGCTCAAACGGAATACAATCCGGAGCATTATTGCAATGAAGTTCTTTTCGATGTTCCATTCAACACAACTCCACAAGCGCTATTCGAGGCCTTTGAAACAGTCATACAGTCCAACGAGATTCTAAGAACAGGCTTTGTCCACTGGGAAGGACAATATACCTCCGTGTTGTTCTCGCAGCCCCTTGATGGGCAAATTACAGTGCACAAAGGGAGTCACTATGGATTGAAGTTCCAAGCTCCGGACGACCTTTTACGGCCATTTCGTGTTCACATAATAGACCACGAAGAGGATATCTCGCCGGGCATTCTCGTTTATGCACACCATTCGATCTACGACGGGTGGTCAATGGACATGATTATTGCGGATGTCTCGTGCATCGTGAAGGGGGAAGTCCCGGCACTTCGACCACAGTTCAAGGAGGTCCTTGATTTCCAAACTCAAGTCGCGAAAGAACCCGGAGACGAGTCCAGAGCATTCTGGACAAGTAACCTTCTTGGTTGGAACAAAATTCCTTTCCCCAAACTTGTTGGTCAACCGCAGCCTGACGAGATTTTGTCAAAAGAAGCCTTTTTCAGATTGTCCCCAGACATTGTTCAAAGTATGGCCTTGTCATATGAAATAAGTACTCAGGTTATATTTCAGGCGGCCCTGGGGATGACATGGCAAAGGGTGGTCGGAAACCCGGACATCTTACTTGGTTCCGTTGTCTCGACGCGGACTATTCCCGTCGATGGCATTGAGCGTATCATTGGTCCTTGCGTTGCGGCAATGCCGTTGAGAATCGACACGAGTAACATGGACGCGAACGTCGATGTTCTTAAGACTATTCAAGCCCAAAACCGTGCCATTATGGAGCACTGCAACCTTCCATTAGCTGAAATTTGCAAACTCGCAGGTCTTACACCTTCGGAGGCAATATATGATGTCTTGTTCGTATATCAGCAGTCCCTGTATGAATGGGAAGTGCAAAACAGCGTTTTCAAGCATATCAGACATATAGATAGGCTCGATACGAAGCTTTTGGTTGAAGTTGAGCCGAGGAATGACGGATACGCACTGCAATTGACGTATCACTCCTCGGTCATATCTGAGGAATTTGTCGCCCTCTTGGTCGAACAGATGCAAGAGATGTGCGAAATAATTCTTGCCGAGCCTGAGGGACCACTCATATCACCAAGACATCTTCAAGGGCTGGAAATGTCGATCTACAGCGAAACAACAACAATTGATAACGAACCAGATGACGTTGCAGCTCTATTCAAGACGTCACTGATGCGGAACCCTCATGCGGAAGCCATAAGGTTTGTCGCATACGCAGCAGATGGAGAATTAAAAGAGTCAAAACTATCCTATTCACAGTTGAGCATCATTGCAAACCAAACAGCTCATTATATCCGCGACTCTGGAGCCCAAGTAGGTGATGTTATTGCCATCATGATGAAAAAGTCTACCACTTTATACACCTCGATTTTGGGTATAATAAATGCAGGCTGTGCTTACTTGCCTATCTTGCCAACGACACCGGCGGACCGAGTGCGAGAAATACTTCGACAATCGAATGCTAAGTATTGTCTTGTCGAAGACGATGCGGCTCGGTTTCCCAGAATGAACGCTGTTCTAAATATGAATACTGTATCACTTCACAGTCTGCCCTCAGGCCCCCCATTCGTTCGGCCAGATCCTGATCGTCTTGCGTACGTCATCTTCACCTCTGGGACCACGGGGATACCGAAGGGCGTTGCGGTGTCTCAAAGAAACCTCGCTACTAACATCACCCATCTGAACACTGTCTATCCAAAATCATCGATGCACTCCCGGCTCCTGCAAGCATGCTCTCACGCTTTTGACGTGTCAGTTTTCGAGATATTTTACGCATGGTATGCCGGAATGAGTCTATGCGCTGCAGAAGATGATGTCATCTTCGGAGATCTGGAACACTGGATCAGAGAGCTGCAAATCACACACCTCAGCTTGACCCCTACTGTCGCCTCTCTAATAAATCCCCGAAATGTACCCCAAGTAGAGTTTCTCGTTACTGCTGGAGAGCCCATGACCATGTCTGTACTTGAGAAATGGGGAAGCTTACTATTTCAAGGCTACGGTCCGTCAGAAACGACAAATATATGCAGTGTCAAAAGGATGACCAAAGGCGACAATATCGAACATCTCGGCTGGGTTTTCCCCAACACATCCGTCTTCGTCATGGTACCGGACGGCCTGGATCCAGTTCCACGTGGCTGGGTCGGCGAGTTTTGCTTTGGTGGCAGTCAAGTCTCCAGGGGCTATCTGAACAATAAAGACCTTACAGCCCAGAAGTTTATTGAGCATCCAGCCTTTGGGAGAATCTACAGATCTGGAGATTTGGGTCGAATGCTCCCTGACGGATCTTTGATCATTATAGGCCGACTCGACGACCAACTTAAGCTTCGCGGTCAGCGAATCGAGGCCCAGGAAATCAATAGCATTTTGACAAGCGAAACGTCGGCGACTACCGCAGTAACAATACTGGTGCGGAGCAGGTCTGGTCGGTCAGATCAGTTGGCTACCTTCTACAAGCCGTGTGTCTCTGCCTCGTCCTCAAACCCGCTCGACGTAACGAGGAGTGGCAACCAAATGCTTTTTGCTACTCTCAAAGCGAAATTGCCGACTTACATGGTGCCTTCTTATCTTATTCCGATACCATACGTCCCAATGACATCTAGTGGGAAGGTGGACAGACGACACTTGGTTCATTGGTTCGAGAGCCTTTCAACTGCGTATCTGGAGGACGCATCTCCAGCGCCGAGTCAACTTGACGTTGCTGATAGCTGGACTGACATTGAGTCAAGGATTGCGACAGCCATATCCGAGTCAATGCATGTTTCCCTTGATGAGATTGGACGATGGACACCCTTCCTGACTTTAGGGGTCGACTCGATTTCTGCGATCGGGCTGGCCAAGTCACTGAGAAGGCATTTAGATTCTCAAGTTGCAATATCAGCAATTTTACAGAATCCTACTATTGCTCAACTTGGTAGCTTCCTAGCTGGACATGATGGTAATGATCTTACTGAATTGTCTAGCAAGATGCAAACGTTATTGAGAAATTTTGAAAGAGAAGTTGGGAATTCTATAGCCCACAAGATACAAGATGTGGAAGCTATTTTACCATGTATGCCCTTGCAAGAAGCAATGTTGCTACAAGGTCAGGAGAGTTACTACAACAGAATACTCCTCAGGCTACATGTAATGCCCGGAGACATGAAGCTTTATTGGAGACAAATGTCGGAGAGACATGGTATTCTGAGGACTTGTTTTGTCACTACGACTGACCCGAGGCATCCTATCGCTCAAGTGGTCTTGCGCAACTGGGATCTTCCGTGGAGAGCATTCGAAGTCACCGTGCCATCTCTCGAAGGGGCGAGCCGGCAGCATCTCGATTCGCTTCCTGACGTTTTGGATTCCATGATACCTCCATGCTCTCTAGGGCTCATTCGATACAAGGGGTCGAATTTCTTGTCTTTTGTATGTCACCATGCTTTGTACGATGGCATAGCAATGGGAAACCTATGGGGAGAGATTGAAGCATTGGCTCACGGATGTCAACTGCAAGACCCTGTATCCTATCTGCCTTTCCTCCAACAGGCCCTCTCGTTGCCATCAGACGTGGAGTCCTTTTGGCAAGAGCAATTCCATGGATTCCGGCCACTAGCGACCTTTGGACGATCAGCACGATCAAGTTTCAATCAAAGCACAAACACTGCATCCATTGATATGAGTTTCAAAGATGTACAGCAAAGAATTAGATCCATGGGATTGTCACTACTATCACTTTGCCAGGCCTCGTGGGCCGCAGTTCTGGCGTGTGTCTTTGACGACCCAGACGTTTCTTTCGGAAATGTTGTGAGCGGTCGTACGCTTGACGTTCACGGACTTCACAAGTTGATTGCACCTTGCTTCAATACAATCCCCATCCGCTTAGACACTTCAAGGAGTGCGAGAAATATCGACTTAGCCAAAGCTTCTCAAGAGCTTAATTCAAAGCTGTTGCCTTATCAATTCTCCCCCCTGAAGCTTATACAAAGAGTTGTCGGAGGCAAAAGTCGACATCTATTTCATACTCTATTACTCTTACAGCAGCCTCTGAAAGAGATGGACAAGAATATATGGACCCTTGAAGAGGATACTGGCGTCATGGATATTCCCATTGTTTGCGAAGTTATACCCTGCCCAAATTTGAATTCTATCGTCGTTAACTTGCACTTCGATATGAATTTGATCACAGCTGAGCTCGCGTCAGTGTTCACGGACATGTTCAAGTTTATGTTACGATCCATGGTCTTGTCACCTTTCGGGCCGGTCCCAAGTCGAACGACCATCCCGAGCCACCTTTCGCAGGGCCTATTAGGTCTTGTGCTCAAGAGAGAGAGGTGTGAACTTGACTCGATCGAGACAACCAGCAGCCAATGGTCGAGCCTTGAAATCAAGATACGAAAAGTCATCGCCAACATTTCACGAGTGCCAGAAGCTACCATCCGCAGGGAAACAACCATCTTTCAAGTTGGGCTGGACAGCATTAATGCAGTTCAAGTTGCATCAGCACTACGAGCTCAAAATCTGCTTGTATCTTCATCTGATGTCATAGAGTGTTCTAGCTGCAGCAAACTATCATTCAGGATACAGCAAAACTCAGAAGATTCGAAGCAAAAGGATATCCGTACAGACTTCTCCTCGTTCCAGAGCCAAGTAAGCAAGGACGTTTTGGAGAAACTGTGCTGTCCCGCAGAAATTGAAGCCATTCTCCCATGCACCCCCGTGCAAAATGCTATGCTAGTGGCTTTTGTGCAATCAGGCGAAGCAGACTACGTCAATTCACTTTCTTTCAAGATACGTGATACGGTGGACCTCGATTCCCTTGTTGCCGCATGGAAGCTACTTCATCGTCGCCACCCGATGTTACGCACTGGATTTGTGCCCGTTTCACATTCAGACAGCACGTTCGCAATGGTCAGAGAAAAGTCCGCTCATCTGTCACATCCTATTACATTATTATATGGACGGCCTTTTGCTTTGAGTGGTTGGATATCGGAGTGCAAGTTGTCCATGCTTGCAAACCTCCATGTCTCACCTTGGAAGGTGGCCTTGGTGAAGACCAATTCGCAGATGCTCATGCATGTTGTTATACATCACGCACTCTACGATGCGCAGTCTCTAGATGATCTGCTCAAAGGCCTTTCAAGCCTCCTCCTAGGCATACCATGCACTTTCCCGAGCATTGAGCCCGCACTAGCGGATGTGTTGTCGAAAGCAAAACTCGAAAAGTCAGAAGCCAAGATATTCTGGGAGGCGCAGGCGGCGAGAGTAGTTGTCAACAAATTTCCAATAATGACGTCGCTACGAGAGCCAGTTGGAAGACTTGCCTTTAACGAATGCGCTTCTTCGATGGCCGTCGAAGAGATGAGACAGGCCGCCCAAGCACTGGGCGTATCAATACAAGCTGTGCTACAAGCAGGCTGGGCGCGTATATTAGCATCTTATCTAGGTGAACACTCCGTTGTATTCGGTGTCGTACTGGCCGGAAGAACATCAGACGAAACCGCCCGCAACCCGTTCCCATGTCTAGTCACGGTTCCGGTCGTGACAAAGGCAGAAGACTCCAACATGGGGCTGCTGCAGAGTATGATGAAGTACAATTCTGACCTATATAGACATCAGTTTAAGCCTTTAGCAGAGGTTCAGAAATGGCTAGGCCATCCCGCCTCACCAATTTTTGATACCATCTTGGTCTATCAAAAATCAGGTGGCCCTCACCTGAACACAGGACATTGGAAATTGATAGAGGACCACCCGTCTGTTGAGTATTCAGTCTCACTAGAAGTCGAACCACGTGAAGATGGCCAACTTCGTCTTCGACTTACGACCAGATCCGACGTCGTACCACATGCGCAAGCGGAAGTGATGCTTCAGCAATTCGACGCCGTGTTGATTCATTTGTTGCAACGGCCAAACGAGACGCACAATGAGCTTTACAAATATCAGAAAAGCCTGTTCTCGATAACCGCCCCCAGTGTTGCTGTAATGGATGCGCCGGTGGAGTTTCTACATCAGTTTGTTGAGAGGAACGCTGAGTTGCAGCCTCACTTCCCAGCTCTGGAATTTGTTTCCGATTTCAACGGCACACCTACTTCAACAAGAACGTGGACTTACAAGCAACTAGATGACCTTGGAAATAGGGTTGCTCATCTGTTGTCCAGAGTTGTTCATGTGGGAGACATTGTAGCTGTTCACTTCCTCAAGTGTCCCGAAGCCTACGTCTCGATACTGGGCATTCTCAAAGCTGGCTGCTCCTTTGTGGCTCTTGACCCCGATGCCCCCAAGGCACGGAAGGAGTTCATTCTTGATGATTCAAAGGCTGTATGCCTGTTAACGGATGAGAACTCTAGCCTGCTGTTTGCCCTTGAGATACCTGTCATCGCTGTTGATGAGGAGAGCCTCGGGTCATATCCAGCCAGCCCGATGGGCCATGACAGAATGTTTACACCACAAACCACTTGCTATTGTCTATACACATCAGGAACCACTGGAACTCCCAAGGGATGCGAAATTACCCACGAAAACGCTGTTCAAGCCATGATGGCATTCCAACACCTCTTCCAGGGCCACTGGCAGAAGGACTCCAGATGGCTTCAATTTGCAGCACTACATTTCGACGTTTCTGTGCTTGAGCAATATTGGAGTTGGTCTGTTGGTATTACGGTTGTTGCCGCACCAAAAGACATGGTACTTGATGATCTCACCGGATCAATTGGCAAGATGGCAATTACACACATAGACCTGACGCCCAGCCTGGCGCGGCTAACTCACCCAGATCAGCTTCCGAGCCTATGCAAGGGTGTCTTTATCACTGGCGGAGAGCAGCTAAACCAAGAAATCTTGGACGCCTGGGGACCCAAAGCGGTGATTTACAATGCCTACGGACCAACGGAGGCCACGATAGGCGTCACAATGTATCAACGAGTCCCAGTTAATGGCAGGCCAAGCAATATTGGAAAACAGTTCCCGAATGTAGGGTCGTACGTATTTCGGCCAGGTACTGATATTCCGGTACTGAGAGGGGGCGTAGGGGAGTTGTGCGTATCAGGAAAGCTGGTTGGCAAAGGTTATCTCAATCGGCCGCAGTTGACTGACGAGAGATTTCCAAAGCTTTCAGAATTCAACGAGCGAATTTATCGAACGGGAGATCTCGTGAGGGTTCTTCACGACGGATGCTTTGACTTCCTTGGCAGAGCTGATGATCAAGTCAAACTACGGGGACAGCGCCTGGAGATTGGCGAGATAAATCACGTCATTCGGAACAATACTTCTGGTGTCAAAGATGCTACCACTCTCGTCATACGCCACGGAAGCAAGGATATCTTGGTCGCATTTCTGGTTGGGGATGACGAGAGGATGTCTGACGTCTCCCTCGTGCCCGATAGAAACGAATTGGGTGCCAAAGGGCGGGCAGCGTGCCTCGATCGTTTGCCTGGGTACATGATTCCAACATATTTTATTAGACTGTCGCATATCCCACTGTCGCCAAACAACAAGGTCGAGGCCAAAGAACTGAAAATGCTGTTCCAAAACCTCCCCTCGGACGAGCTAGTAAATCTCACTGGACGAGCCACGGCAACCTCAAGTAGCACGATAGATGCAACTGTTATGGAACGTCTTACTAGGGCGCTTGCTGATTTCAGCGGCCAGTCTACATCTGCAATATCCGAGACAACAAGTATATTTGATCTTGGAGTTGACTCCATTTCTGCCCTGCAGCTCTCGACAATACTGAAGAGCGGCGGATTTCCGATGAGCACACCTGCCAAGATATTGCGCAGTCCTATTGTGTCAGATCTGGCCCGATCACTTGCCAGCAGGAATACGTCGACCGAAGTACTTGATGGAACCAAGAATATCAAGCAATTCTTACGAGCGTTTCAGCAGCGGTACCGAGCTCCCGTCTGCCGCCATCTGCGGGTGAAAACCGCCGACATAGAATACATCGCGCCGTGTTCTCCCCTCCAAGAAGGAATGATATCGGCCGCCGTCGCAGAAGGAGGCCCCAGCATGTATTTCAACTGTTTTGATTTGCACGTCAACAATCATGTTCCAATGGGCGAGGTGCGACAAGCTTGGGAGGCAACCATTCGGGACCATTCGATATTGAGATCGGTTTTCATGAAATCAACTGATGGGTATCTTCAAGTCTCCCTCCACGAAATCAATGACGTATGGCAGAGCTTGGTCGTTGGTGACGATGGAGATATCGACGACGTCTTGGAGCAGGCAAAGTTGAGCTGGATCCAAGATAATGCCTTGCATATTCTATCTCCTTTGAAGTTCATCCAGGTAAATGGACCTGGCAGGCAAGCGCTTCGACTCTTCATCTTCCATGGGATTTATGATGGAAACAGTTTCAACCTCATGAACGAATATGCGTCATCCGTATGTCTATCAAGGAAGCCACCGGCTGGACCTAGCTTTTATGACGTGTTGTCCTTCGGCCTCCTGCGCAATTTCGACTACTGCAAGCCATTTTGGACCAAGCACTTGAAACGTTGGCAGCGGTGTGAAATTCCCAAGCTGCCGCCGGCCATCGCCCAGAACGGAGATATTGTGTCCTCTTCCAGACGCCTCACAATCACACGGTTGGATGATCTCCGTCGCCAGCAAAACGTCACCCTCCAGACAATCATTTTATCCGTCTGGACGATCGTGCTCCAAACGCACATCGCCAAACCACTTACAATCGGCATAATCATAGCTGGAAGATCGCTGGACTTGCCGAACGTCGAGAATACCGTGGGCCCTTTGTTCAACACCATTCCGTTTTTCAACGTGACCCTGAACGGCCTCTCCTGGGAGGCGTTGGTACAAATGTGTCACCAGTTCAACACCGATATTCTTTCCTTCCAGCATGTGCCACTCCGTGATATCCAGAAATGGTGCTCAAATGGTCAACCGTTGTTCGATAATCTCTTCTCTTTTCAACTGGAGAAGTTAGAACCTAATATTGAAGCTTTACCGTGGGCCATAACCGACAATGAGGCCATTAGTCTCGACTATTCGTTAGTGTTCGAGGCAACTCGAACAAGTGATGGCCATCTCAGCCTTCATCTGGTTGCTCGCCCAGATATTGCGGGGAGGGATACATTGCAGAAAATGTTGGACCATTTTGAACAAATCGTGTCGACAATCAAGTCTAGTACGGTAATTTCTCAGTCGCCACATGGTACTGTCAGCTTTCCCGTCGATGCCAAGCCGGCACCTGTCGGTCCCAACGATTCCGTGCCAGAGAAACTCGGCTGGACACCAGTTGAAGCGGCGATCAGGGACGAATTCTGCATGTTTGTTAATATTCCAGCAGAAGACACGTCTCCTGCAACTTCAATACTGGACTTGGGGATAGACAGTATTGATTCCATCAAAATCTCCGCCAGACTTGGAAAGAGAAATATAGAACTGTCTGCATCTCAGATCATGCGCCACCAGACAATTTCAGCGATTGCTGCCGCTGCTTTAACTCCAGGATCAGACGGGGTCCCAGGAATCCCAGTCGATACAAGAAAGACAGAGATGTATTCTAACCTACGTTCATACGTTCAGGGTCAAGGGGTTGATATGAACAATGTTGAAATCGTGCTTCCGCCAACTGCTCTTCAAGAGTCCATGATTGCAGCTATGATACAATCAGATTTCCAATGGTACTTCAATCACGACATCATGGAGTTGGACAAAACAGTGAACCTCAACAAGCTGAGAGATGCCTGGATGGAACTGATCGATTCATCGCCAATACTCCGTACTGCTTTTATCGAAATCGATGACCATCATCTGGACATGGCCTACTGCCAAGTCGTGTATAAGCTAGCCACCGTGCCTGTCGCTATCTGTGAACTTTCCAACACCTCAAGCATGCAGAGCTTGATTGAGACGGCGACAAAGACTGCGATTCAGGGTGAAGCGCGAAGTAACCTTGTTCAAGTTTCCCTCGTTTCCACAGACAGCCAAAATTACATGGTTCTTTCCATGGCGCATGCTCTCTACGATGGCTGGTCATTGGCTCTCTTGTACGATGATCTAGCAAAGGCATACCAGTCCAAACTCAAGCCACGAAGATACTCAGAAGTCCTTATGTCTCGGCGTCCTCTACATGGATATGGTGATTTGAAAGGCTTCTGGGAAACATATTTGGCGAACGCCAGCCCGACTGTATTCAAGTCGGACCATCCTTCCGCCGGACCCAGTCCCGGTGGCGTCATCAGGAGCGAACGATTGTCATCAAATTCGCTGACTGAAATCAGCGAATTTTGCAGGAAGACCTCAATCAGCCTCCAGGCATTGTGCACGGCTTGCTGGGCAGCAGTTACTGCGCATTTTCTGCGGTCGCTGGACACGGTGTTTGGAATCGTCCTGTCGGGCAGAGATTTTGAAGGTGCTGATGAGCTGGTATTCCCATGCATGAACACTGTCGCAGTCCGTTCGATTATACACGCGAGCGTATCCGGATTTCTCAGGTACATGGAGGCCAATGTTGCAGATGTACGTGATCACCAAGGATTTTCACTTCGAAAGGCACAAGCAGCCGCAGGGCTTGGACGCAGAGAGCTGTTCAATTCCCTCTTCATTTTACAAAAGGCGCCCAACATCGACTCTTGGGGCTCAATTTGGAGGTCCATAGGCGGTGTATCTGCGGTCGAGTATCCCGTCTGTGTCGAAGCAGAGCCCATACAGGACCAGCTTCGCTGGCGCATCGCCTGCAAATCAGACATCGTCTCACAACTCGACACAGAGGGCCTGTTGCACAACTTGAGTCAAGTCTTGAGTTTCTTCTTGGCCTTCCCCGAGTCCGAAGTGCTTTCATTTCAAGGTGGCTTCGTATCTATCTGCGCATTGCCTCAGGTAGTCACAGAGGAGCGTCCAGCTACCGACCAAGCGGATGTCAAATCTGACAATAGTGCGGATGATGCATTTGAGTGCAATGAAACTGCTTTGCTCATCCGCCAGATCCTATCAGACGCTTCGTCCCTGCCTACCGAGTCAATCTTTCCCACCTCCACACTCTATCACCTCGGTCTAGACTCTATTAGCGCCATCAAGGTCTCTCTGATGCTAAGAAAGGTCCAAATCGACCTCAAGCCACGCCATCTCATTCGAGCTGATAGCGTCATGGAAATCGTCCGGCTGGCGGAGCAAGGCCATCGCTGTCAACGCGAGGGATCTTTTGATGCTCTGCAGTGGAAGCCTCCTGCGTCTGTTTCTCAAAATGGTCTGCTCAACCCACACAATATCCTGGAACAAGATGTCGAAGTCGTCATACCTGCCACTCCCATGCAAGTCTATATGCTGAGTACATGGCAAAACTCCAACGCCTCAGTGTTCTATCCTGAGTTTTCTCACGAGGTTACCGGGGACTATACACATGAGCAACTTGTGTCAGCATGGGATCGAGTTTGGAGACGCACCCCAATTTTGCGCTCTCGTTTCGTGTCCACTGGAGACAAAGAATTACCGTGGATTCAAGTCATTTTGAAGCCCGACCCTAATCACTCGGAGCACACGTCTCAGCCGCTGTGGCATTTCTCCGTCTTCAGAGTCGGAGACGGAGCCCCTTGGCTGCTGCGACTGAGCATCCACCACTCTTTATACGATGGCTTCAGCTTGCCCAAACTCATGGAGCTCTTCTACCAAGAGATACACAACACTGCAGAAAGAACCACGTTCCACACGGCGGATGTCGCAGTCTGGCAAAATTTTACCATCGAACCGACGCTTACAGCAAGCGTCGATTCCAGAAGGAAATTTTGGTCGGAATACTTGGCCGGATGTTCAACATCACCAGGTCCCCCAATACCATTTTCCAGCGAACGAGTGTCATATATACGACACCAAGCCATCCCCAACATCAAAGAATTGCAGCAACTCACATCATCACACGGCACGAGCTTGCAGGCGCTTTTCTTGGCAGCCTACGCCAAGACCTTGAGTGCCAACGTTGGAGCCCGAGACATTCCACGATCGGTGCTCTTCGGCATTTATCTAGCCAACAGAGACGGGGAGACGGACAGATTGGATCCAACGTATCCAACAATGAATCTTGTCCCGCTTCGCGTGCAAGTCGCGCCAGGGAACAATTTGGTCCAGATAGCTGCTGCGATCCTCAAGGACTTGCGGCTCATTCAATCCGACGCCAGAGCGACTGTTGGACTTTGGGAAATCTACAACTGGACAGGCATCCGGATTCGAAAGTTTGTTAATTTTCTTTCACTCTTGGACGACGACGCAGACCCAGACAAGCCCGGTCTCACGAGAAAGATGACGGAGGACAGACTATCTGCAAACGGTTCCGAGCTTCTGGGAGAGCCCTGGCTGCAGAACAATGCTGTCAGGGAAGCCTATCCGGTAAACAATTTCTTTTTAGCCTTATCCGATTCGCGTCGTTTACTAACGTGATGCTGAAGGCCTCCCTCGATATCGAAGCATCAGTACATGGAGAAAGTTTGGACATGGGCGTGTTTGGATCTGCGGATGCCTTGTCTCACGAAGATGGTCCCCGGATCGTGGATAACATTATCCAGCATCTTACAAGCTCGAAAGAAGCATAGGCTGAGTTTGCAGTGGGGATTGTGCGTGACATTGCAAGGAGAGTATTTTCGCCAATATCTATCGTGTTTATGCCTTGGCTTGGACTAAATGTCCTTTGTGAATCGTTGAATGTACCAGAAGAAAGTTCAAAATCTACTCTTGGTTGTGGATTCGCGGTGCTGCCGGCTGGTGAAGCCGAGGTTGTTGTCGATTCAGGAGTCGGGAGTCGGGAGTCGGGAGTCAGGCACCAGTCCCGCGGCATCGCTCCTGCCTCCAGGACGGACTCAGGTGTTGCCACCGACTCCAATGTTTCCACCACCCATCGACCCGCGGTCTCGCCTTGCAATGGCCAAACTGATCCAATGCGATGCAGCAGATTCGAGGTCGATATTTATGTACTGACATCTTTCCATTCTTGTCCTTGCATCGGCCAGACCCGCCATGATGGTCAGACCTGTCCGCCGAGGCCCGCTGCTCCTTCGTTGCCAGTTCGTCCCTCAACCTTGCAGCCTTGCATGTTGCAGGTGGACAAGCTGACGAGCGAGCCAGCAAGCAGGTGGTGAGATTGTCTCCATCGAGATGAGCCTGTACCCGAGGAGACGGTATCACAGTCCGACGAGGGCGCCGGGCAACTAGTGAGACGGCAATGATTCCAGGCCCGGCTATTTAACAGGCCGGTATCCCCGTCGTCGGCTTTCCATGGCCGTGCTACCATCTTTTCCGGGACTAGCAGGGGAGAAGATGCAGGTGACTGCAGGACGTGCTCGGCGTTTCTCGACAACAAGGCTCGGGATGTTCCGCCGCCATTCATCGTGCCGTTGACTTGTGAGTGCTCCGGGCTCTACGCTGGCGCACTTCCAGTCGGCTACGACGGGGAGCCTTGCATTGGGCAGGAGATGTATCCCTAGTTGCGGTTCTTCGGACGACGCCCCGAAACACTGGGCCGGTGTGCCACCAGTTGGGGACTGGGGACCCCCAGAACACGGGATATTTGGGTCTGTATATGGAACTCTGACGCAGCCGGTCAAGGCATATATGATTGTCCCCCGGCCGGAGTGCTCTTCCGACACGATTCTTGGTCACCGTCAGCAAGGCTCATGATAGTGGCTTCTGTCGTCGGAAACATGCCTGTGACAAGGTTGAAGGAACCACGGCGATGGACAGGACTGCCCCATCAGAAGCGTTGGCACGTCGAGCAAATGGCCATGGCCTACGATTCACTGCCTAGGCAAGTATCTAAACAAGGAAGACATTGGCATACAAGTCATTTTGCATTTCAGAAAACATGCCACAACACCCAGTGGTTTCAGCACCGCCACGGTAAACAAAACCTCGCGCAATCCACACGAGCGAACAACTTACTTGTCACAGCACGTGGGACATATCATGAAACGCTTGCAGCGTTGACATTTCTTACAGTCGCATCTTCACTGCCCAACTCAAGCCAAGGGATTTATCTTATAACCTAGCCGGCTTGTTGTCGGGCTTCCATCCTTCCTCAGAAGCAATCAACTCGGCAGCACGCTCACCAACGGACAGAACGGTAATCATGGGGTTGATGGTGGGCATTTCAGGAAAGATACCGGCGTCAGCAATACGCAGGTTCTTGATCCCGCGGACCTTGAGCTCAGGATCGACCACAGCCAAGTCGTCCTTGGTAACATCTCCCATCTTGGTGGTGCCAGCGGGGTGGTAAACAGTGTGGGCAACGCGGCGAGCATATTCGCTGATCTCCTCATCAGTTTGGACCTTGGGGCCGGGCGCCACCTCCTCTTTCAGCCAGTCCTTAAACGGACTCTGCTCAGCAATCTTCCTGGCAGCCTTGATACCCGCAACCAGAGTTGCAGCGTCGTAGCCTTCAGGGTCGGTAAAGTAGCGGAAGTCAAGAGCAGGCTTCACGGCAGGGTCGGCCGAGGTGAGGAAGACGCGACCACGAGAGCGGGGGCGAGGAATGTTGGGGGTCATGCAGAATGCGTAACCGTCTTTAATGAGGGGATAACCCAAGCGCGCTGTGTTGAGACAGAATGGGATCTGGTAGCAGTGCATCATGATGTCAGCAGCATCGCCGTCGTTGCCGGCGGCATTGGTCGCCTCGCGGCGGAGGAAGACACCGGCATCGGAGTCCATGGTGGTCTGGTTCGGAGGCACAGGCTTCTTGAGCTCCCACATGATGATGGTTTCGGGATGGTCAATCAGGTTCTCACCAACACCGGGAATGTCCTTGACAACATCGAGGCCCAAGCTCTCAAGCTGGGCACGAGGCCCCAAGCCAGAATGCAGCATGAGACGCGGGGTATCCACAGCACCGGCTGAAAGGATAATTTCTTTGCGGGGCCTGAGGAGGATTTTTTGGCCATTTGAAATAATGGACACGCCGGTGGCGATGTCGTTCTCGACGACAATCCTATTGACCCATGCCTTGGTCAAAACGGTCAAGTTGGGACGGCGCTCTTCGCCGCGCAGGATCGGGTGGATGTAGGCAACAGAAGCGCTGCTGCGATAGCCGTTGTCTGGGTTGTAGGATATGGAGAAGAAGCCGGCGCCCTGAGTGAGCTGGCCCTGGGTGCGAATCTCATGGTTGAAGTCGGGGATGATGGGGATGTCGTACGCATCAGAGCAGGCCTTGACCCAGTCCTTGCAGAGCTGGTTGCGGTGGCGAGCGTGGACAGGCTGGAAGGTATTGCGCAAGTTGTCGGCATGGCGCATCATGTTTTCGAAGGTCCAGCCTTTGCAACCCTGCTCGACCCAGCGGTCCATGTCATGGCGGAAGGGCCGGAAAGAGATCAAGGTATTGTGAGAAGAGCAGCCGCCGAGGACCTTGGCACGAGAATGGCGGATGTGGGAGTTTCCCATGGGCTGCTCAACGGTGCCGTAGTCGTAGTCGAGCTCACCACCAAGCAAAGAGAGCCATTGGCGGAGATCGAGGACGTTGTTGAGGTTGAAATCAGACGGGCCGGCCTCGATCAGAAGCACCTTGCGTTCGGGAAGATAGCTCGAGAGTCGAGAAGCGATGACGCAGCCTGCCGTGCCACCGCCGACGATGATGTAGTCGTAGGAGGACTCGGATCCCTGGGGGAAAAACTGGGTCGTCATTTTGGCCGAGCTGGACTTTTGGGGGCTTTCGAAGCTGGCTGGAGGCTGAATTGGAGGAGCTCTGCGAAAACCAAGTCACGATTGGGAGCCGAGGCGGCGGCGGTGGAGGGACGAGTACAAACCACGATGACCTGCACCTGTGAATCGAGGCTATTTCAGTGCTTGGACAGAGCAGTCCCTGAAGCCGAACTCTTTTTTTGGGTACAGAGGGCGGAAGTGAAGAATGGAAAGGGTAAGACGAGAGCGAGAGAGAGAGGACAGGTTTCCAGTCTCGAGTCGCGAGCCCACAGCCACCTCGGGACCCTGCCTAGTAGATGTTCCCAACTGAGTAAGTAGCAACAGCCTCTTTCTTTTTTTTCTCGTCTTTTGGTTTCGAGTCGTTGGGCTTACTCGACAGTGGACCTCCAAGTTGGTGTGAGTTGCTCGGGGCACACCTTAGTCTTTGCTCTGTGCACACTTTGACCCACCGTGCTGCGAATTTCGGGTTAGCGCCCGGCTGCCACACGGGATCCCCTAGTACGAAGTTTACCAGAATAAGCTGGATTTTGAAGAGGGAAAAATACGAAGGGTTGAAGAGTTTGATAAATACCATCCTCTCTTGGTGGCTTTTATCAGGGTATAATTTACAAAATTGGGCTTCATCTTTTGGCCCATGCAGTCAGCCAATGATTAGGCTCCAGGGACCCGGGTAGTTGTTGCACGTGAGCTCGTGGCAAAGCACGCACATAGTTACTCCGCACGGAGCGGGGTGCACACGTGCTGGTGCGGTGCGGTGCGGTGCGGTGTGGTGAGGTGTGGTGTGGTGTGGTGTGCTGCTGCCCCGGATTATTCAAGGCTAGCGTCGGCGTCGGACGAAGCAACCTGGCATTGGCACGACTTCCATTTCTATCCTCCCACGACGATCCATCCATCTCTGCTCCGTGCTCCCGACAGCCTCGCCTCGCCTCTCCTCTCCTGTCTGCTGCGCATTGACAGAGCAGCTCACCCACACACAGGGGACAGCTTCCGTCTGGCGCTCCCATTCGGAGCTTCCAAGATCCACCATGACTTTCGCAGACGAGATTCACACCTTCCACTCTGGCAGGCCACAGCCTCAAACGTCATCTCCCTCGACGACGTTCAAATCCATCGATCCGACCACCGGCAAGCCTCTCGCAACCATCTACACCACCACTCCCCGACAGCTCGACGACGCCGTACGCGATGCGCAAGCAGCCTTTGCCCACTGGTCGCAAACCCCGGCCCCCAAGCGAGCCGCCATTCTGCTTCGCGCCGCCGCTCTCCTCCGCCAGCGCAACGACGATCTCGCCCTCACCGAAACCCTCGACACGGGCAAGGCCTGGTCGGAGACGTCCACCGTCGATGTGGTCACGGGTGCCGACGTCCTCGAGTACTACGCCCATTTCATCGCCGGTGGCCTGCCCGGCCGGCATACCCGCCTCCGCCCGGATGCGTACATTCTGACCAGTCACGAGCCGCTGGGTATTTGTGCCGGGATCGGTGCCTGGAACTATCCAATCCAGATTGCGCTGTGGAAGTCGGCAGCGTGCTTGGCCGCCGGCAACTGCATGGTGTACAAGCCCAGCGAGGTGACGCCTCTGCACGGAAACGCCCTGGCCCAGATCTACATGGAGGCCGGCCTGCCCGCCGGCGTCTTCAACGTCGTCTACGGCGACGGTCCCGCCGTCGGTGCGCCGCTCGTTGCCCACCCGGGCATTGCAAAGGTGAGCTTCACCGGCCAGGTGAGCACCGGCAGCAAAGTGGCCAGCGAGGCCGCCAAGGGCATCAAGAGCGTCACCGTGGAACTCGGCGGCAAGAGTCCCGTCGTCATTCTGCCCGACGCCGATGTCGCCGAAGCAGCCGACGTCGCCATGGCCGCCAACTTCTTCTCCACCGGCCAGGTCTGCACCAACGGCACGCGCGTCTTTGTCCCCGACACTCTGCTCGCGGCCGTCGAAGAGGCACTCGTCCAGCGCTGCCGCGAGGGCATACGGATGGGCCTGCCGCGCGACGAGAGGACCAATTTCGGCCCCGTCGTCAGCGCCGCCCAGCGCGACAAGATCAACATGTACATCAAGCACGGCAAGGACGTCGACCGCGCCAAGGTCCTCTACGACGGCTCTGTCGATGCCCAAAGGAACAAACCCACCCCCGGTGGTTTCTGGGTCCCGCCCGTCATCTTTACCAACTGCACCGACGAGATGCGTGTGGCTCGCGAGGAGATCTTTGGTCCCGTCATGTGTGTTCTGCCGTACCGGGTGGAGGGCAGGTCTCAGGAGGACTGGGTGGCAGACGTGACTCGGCGGGCAAACGACACGCCCATGGGTCTCGCCGCCGGCGTGGTGTCGGGTGATGTCGGTCTTGCGCAGGCCGTGTTGAGACGGTTGGATGCGGGCATCACGTGGATCAACACGTGGGGCGAGTCGCCGGCGGAAATGCCAGTGGGAGGATGGAAGATGAGTGGCATCGGCTTGGAGAATGGACACGAAGGCATCCAGGCGTACATGAGAGTCAAGAGCACCCTGGTACAGCTGGGCAAGGGCGCCTGCAAGGGACTGTTTGCCAAGCTGTGATGGGCATGGGTAAGGACAACGATGACGGGGGACGAGAATGACCATGTAGCGATGCGCCGAGGAATCAAGGTTTGTACTGGAAGCGGTGTCTCCAAGTCTACGGAACATCAAGCTAGCCGTGATGCATCATGCGAGCGGTGAGCGACTGAGTCGTACCGCAACCCGGCTCAGGGTCAGGCAGGGCGTGTCGAGGGGACCGAGAAGGCAATTGTCCATGAAATTGCAAGCACAAGAATCCGGTTTCCAGGACCATCGACGGCAAAAGCCCGCGAAGGGCGGTCGGTAATTGTCCGTTGCATCCCATTCCGGGAGGGGGGGGCATAATGAACCGTATGCGCTGTGGACAGGATGCGCTCCCCACACCGAGTCAGTCTCAGCCAGTAGTGGAAATCAACCTGAACTGCGTAGTTATCAACCTGACCTGGGCACATCAACAAATGCGTCGGTGGCCGTTCCCTCGTCCCTCCCTGTTCGGCATGGACCGACAATGCATCGTGAGCAGCGTTGTGCGCCGAAGTACTCCGTAGTTCGTCTTTTTACTCCCATACCCGGGTCGTTGACGCAATTGGCGCCCCCCCACTTTGCAAGGCCAGGTTAAGCGAGCGGTCTGCAAAATCCTGCATGTTACGTTCCTGCGGGCTGCAGGCACCTTCCTTCCATGTAGTATTTCTAGAGCCTGGCCTTGACCCACCTGCTCCAACTTTGGAAGCCAAGACGACGACTTGCCACTTTGCCTGTTGCGGCGGTGCCTCTCCAAGTCTCTGCTCTCTCCAAACGACGTTGCTCCGTACACATGATGCACCGCACGCGGTCTACTCGGTCGTCTGGTCCGCGTCATCGCGTCGGCACATTGTCCGCCGCCGCCGCCGCCGGATCTCCTCGAGTGCTCCAGAGCCCATCCATCCATCGTCACGGCCATGATGGTGCGTGCCCAGCAGCATTCCAGCCGGTGATGGCCCCCTTGGCTCCGTCGTCCCTCCCACGGCGCCACCGGCCTCCCCATCCGCATCCCCCGTTGGAGCAAATCAAAGCTCCAGGGATGGATCCTTCGCCGGACCGCCCCGGGCAGCTGCCGAATGGCGCATGGCAGGCCTGGCCCGACAGATACCAGTCTGTCGGGACTCGGGACACACTAGCCAGCCCACCAGCTGTGATTCGAGTTTGAAATCAACGGGCATCTCTCTGTCCCTCTCACTCCTCGTCTCGCTCGCCAACGGGGACGACCAGAGGGGCTCCGCGCTTGGCATTGTAGAGCAAGCGCTCGGAGTCAATGGCTGTCTGTCTGTCTGTCTGTCGCTGCAAAGGGGTTCCATGATGTAGAAACACTACTCGTTGGCATGACGACTTGCACTCTTCCTCCACCACACTCGAGTCACCACACTCGAGTCTGGCTTCTCAGAAGACTTTGTGTTTACTGCTCTTGTTGGGGCAAGATACGGAAGGATTTGGCGCCTCGAATCCGCCGCGCACGCGTACACGTACACGTTCACGTACTACACGATGAGCGACGTCGATCGGGCCATTGCTGCCGGCGGCGTGCCTCCTGATGTGACCCGGGAGTTGCTACTGGAGAGCAAAGACCGAGAGACTGTTGTGGGCATCTTGGCGGTGGCGGTTCTGACCATTCTGGTGGTTTGCGGGAGAGTCGTCTCGAGGGCATGGATCGTGAGGAGGTTTGGATATGACGACGGCCTGGCCGTGGTGTCGCTGGTGAGTTTTTTAAAATTCAGTCGACAAGCCGGCTACAGAAGCCCGCGCCAGCCATACATGCATACATGTGCCAGTATACTTACTCCCTTGCTAACGTATCACGCAGGCTCTGCTGATTGCCTTTGTCGTACTAAGCATCGAGCTCATCAACTTGGGGTCAGGCCGTCACTTTGCCTACATCCAGTACGTGCTGCCCGTCCCAATCGTCATGCGAACCCAGGTGCTCGACTTTGCGGCCCACATCATCTACACGGCGGCGCTTTTGCTCTGCCGAATGTCGGGGTTGGCCTTTTTCCACCGCATTTGCGGCCTCCACAGCGGCTTCCTCATCGCCATCCGGGCCGTGTTTGGAGTCATCATGGTCGGCTTCTTGCCGCAGCTGCTGCTGCTCATTTTCCACTGCCAGCCCGTCACGGGGCTGTGGCCGTACGGCTGGGAGCCCGGCTGGGAGAGGTACACGTGTCTGCAATGGGGACTGGTGTACAGCGTCAACTCGACGGTGTCGCTGCTGTGCGACTTGCTGCTGTTTGGCATCCCCATTGCCATGCTGAAGATGCTGGAGATGCCGAAAAAGCGGAAGATGCAGCTGGCCGGCATTCTCCTGCCCGGCATTAGGTGCGTGCCGACTCGTCATGGTGAGCCTGGTGTATGGGCGGACAGCGCGGGCAGGCGACGGTACTAACAAGGGGCCTTGCCACTCTAGCGTAGTCGCCATCTCGATTGCTCGGCTGGTTCTCGTCATCAAGGGACAGTGGGAGACTGACATGGTACGATTTGTTTCCGCGGCGACTTGTCCCGGTTCTCGTTTTGCATGTCCTGATACTGACTGACGCGGCCGTGTCCCTAGTCTTGGAGCTACAATCCCATGCTTGGGGTCGAAACGTCGGAGATCGGGGCCACGCTCATCGCCCTCTCGGTCCCTGGCATCAAGCCCATCTTTGACAGGTACGTTTTCGGGAAAACCGTCCATGGCGAGTCCGGCAATTCCGACTACAACCGGAGCGCGACGAACCGACCGTCCAGGGGCACGGCGCGGAGCAGCTTTCGATTGCGCTCGCAGCACACCATGCTGTCCAGCTGGGAGGACATGGCGCCGTACGGAAACGAGGCCCATGCGCTTTCAAGGTACGACAGCCGCAGTCAGGCCGGGAGCGACGGCATCCTGGTGAGTGTTGATTTTGATGTCAAGGAGGGTCGGCGGGAGATTAATCATGCTGGGCACAAGGCGGGCAGGGGGTACGAGCAGCATTGAGGAGCCGCGACGAGTTGGTACCAGAAGTACGTCTACAGACGGGAGAGGCGGTCGGCATCTTGTTAAGAGTGTTTTGGGGGGGAGTTGTAGAGATTTGCAAAATAAGGCTGAACACGACACCGGTGTTGGTCGCATCGGCCAAGGCAAAGGGTCCTTGCTTTCTTCTTCGTCTTCGTCTTCCCAGCGTTACAAGAAACCCTCCCCTCTTCTCTCGTCTTGGACTCGTCTTGGAATCGTGGACCTGGAACTGGACCTGGACCTCGACGTGGACCTGGATCTGGACCTGGACCACTCGCGGACCACTCTGGAGGAAGCCAAAAGTCAACGACGAGGCCATGACTCATTTCGGCCCACTCCCAATTTGCCATGGCACTTGGCTGCATTTCCTTGACATCTTGCATCTGCATATATCAGACGTCTTGGCCCGTCGCCGACCCCCTTGCATGCTCTGGGATGCCAAGACTTGTCGCAGTCAGGGAAGGCAATCAATACGTAATTTCTCCTCGAAGCTGTCAAGTTTTCGAGTCGAGGCCAGGCACTCGGGACCTGACGTCTTCAACTCAACGCTTATTACTTGGTCTATGGCCGGCGCCACGACTCCTCGCCTCCTCCTCTTGTTCTTTCGCCTTTGCTACAACGCCTGGACTTGAGGCGGCGCGAGGACATCGACTGAACAGTTGGACGGATCGCATAGATCCGGCTCCACCAAGGTCTAATCGAGATGCGATCTGCTCTGGTCTCGCTCTGGGCCACGGCTTCAACTTCGGCTGCGGCTGCGGCTGCGGCTGCGGGTCTGGCATCAATACCACCAAGTGCCGAGAGTGTGTTGGCCTCGACGCCCCTGGATTGGATTCCTAAGCTGGAGAATGCCGGCACGGATGCGCTGTTCCCCATGGACAAGTGTTCAAACTTTATTCTTCACGAGGCCACCATTGATCAGATGCAGGCCGCCATGGCCAGCCGGACTCTGACAAGTCTGGCGCTTTTCTTTTGTTATTTGTGGCGGGACCTCCAGGTACAGCCTTATACCCAGTAGGTTACCGTTCGCATCTCGTGTCCCCGAGGGCATGGCGCCATCCCGAGGCAGAGGCAGGGAAAGGGAAGACACACGCTGACGAGTCCATTTTGGCAGTTCTACGATGCAGCTCAACCCTGATGCGCCCGGGATCGCCATGGAGCGTGACGATGAGCGTGAGAAAGGCACGGTCCGTAGCAAACTGCATGGCGTCCCCTTCACCGTCAAGGACAACATCGCCACCAAGGACAATCTCGAAACAACGGCCGGCAGCTGGGCCTTGATGGGCAGCCGAGTGCCCCGCGATGCTCATGTCGTCGCCAAGCTGCGCGAAGCCGGTGCCGTGCTGTTCGGAAAGGCCACGCTCAGCGAGTGGGCTGACATGCGAAGCAGCAACTACTCCGAGGGATATTCTGCGCGCGGTGGACAGTGCAGGAGCGCGTACAACTTGACCGTGAATCCCGGAGGTAGCTCTTCCGGAAGCGCCGTCGGCGTCAGTACCAATTCCATTGCCTTCTCCCTCGGGACGGAGACGGATGGCAGCGGTGAGTCGACCTCTTCCCACGTCGATCCAGCATTCAGCCACGAGGGAACAATCAGCCTGACAACAGACCCAAGTCATCAACCCCGCCATGAGAAACTCCATTGTGGGCTTCAAGCCCACCGTCGGCCTCACCTCTCGCGCCGGTGTCATCCCTGAATCAGAGCACCAAGACTCGGTTGGCATATTCGCCCGCACCGTCCACGACGCCGTCCACGTGCTGGACGCAATCTACGGCGTCGACTGCAGAGACAACTACACACTTGCGCAAATCGGAAAGACGCCCGAGGGCGGATATGCCCAGTTCCTCACCACCAAGGACGCCCTCAAGGGCGCCACCTTTGGCATTCCTTGGAACAGCTTCTGGGTACACGCCGATGCCGAGCAGCTGCGCACGTTGGTGTCTCTCGTCAGGCTCATCGAGGACGCAGGCGCCACCCTTGTCAACGCCGAAATCACAGACTACGAAACTATAGTCTCCCCCAGCGGCTGGGACTGGGACTACGGCACCGCTCGCGGCTTCCCCAACGAGTCAGAGTACACCTACGTCAAGGTGGACTTTTACAACAACATCAACAAGTACCTCTCCGAACTCGGAAACACCAACATCCGCACCCTCAAAGACATTGTCCAGTACAACTTGGACAACGAGGGCAGTGAGGGCGGCAGACCCTGGCCCCTGGGCCACCCGGCCTTTTACTCGGGCCAGGATGGGTTTCTGGCATCGCTCGAAACAAACGGGACACAGGACGAGAAGTACTGGCAGTCACTCGACTTTTGCCAGACCAAATCCCGCAACGGCATCGACAACGCTCTCGATTACAAGGGGAAGAGGCTGAGCGGACTCTTGGTCCCCCCCGACGTTGGCCAGACCTACCAGGTCGCCGCGCAAGCTGGCTACCCCATGGTCACTCTGCCCGCCGGCATCCACGCCGAGTCGGGCATGGGCTACGGGCTGGCTATCATGCAGACGGCCTGGGCGGAGGAGGAGCTCGTGAGATGGGCCAGTGCCATTGAGGACCTGACCAAGCACACCGAGTACGCTAGGAAGTTGCCCACGTGGAGGGGTTATCTGCAGAGGAACGAGCCCGTCCCTCTGTAGTTTATGTAAATAGGTTGCTTTTCTTGCCCACACTCGGGACTAATTACGTCTTTGGAGATTTCACCAACATTGCTAACGGGGGCCACATTTGGCCGGCAGTTGGCCCTTTTGACACTTTTGTGTGTCTCGCCTCTCGTCTCTTGTTTTCTGTTTTCTGTTTCCCGTTCCCGTTCCCGTTCCCGCTCCTTCATCTTTCTTCAGGCGAGCTTTGCGTGCCACCGACATGAGTGGGCACCACTTGTTTGGCCGACCGAAAATCTTGGCCCTCCCGGTCACGGTCATCTCCCCCGACGCCTTTGCCGAGTTTGCACAAAAAGACCCTCATCGAGGCCGGTTTCATGCTTGGCCCCAGTCCCGAAGCCGCGTCGATTCCGGGCGGCGTCTCGACATCACATCCCAAGTCTTGTGTCATGTCGAGCCCAGAGGCCCCAGTGAGAGGCGTGCACCGTCTGTCTTCTTTCGAGGGCCTGCTGCCCGGCGGTGCTACCGATGGATGTGATACCAGTTCAACGTCCAGCAATAGACACAACTTGTCAAGACCTCCATGGTGTAAACGTAAACGTGCATGTGTGCTTGTGTGTGCTTGTGTGCACTCATTACGACCAAGATATTTGCGTCTTAAAACCGGTAAATATAACGGTGCCGGTGAAGGAAAACTATACATGTGCTGGAAAAATACGTTTTGCTACCGAAGCATGCACCGAAATACCACACCATGTCATGGCAAACCGCGCAGCAGAGACCTTGCCTAGTCAAATACTTTTAACCTCCCATTCTGACTTTTATTCACTTGTGCCATCTCTTGACACGGAAGTGATAGTAAAGAAGGATTGCCATAAAGATATTAAATGCAATGTAGGCCCACATAATTCCAAAATTGCGGAATCGTTGGCTCCAGAAAATGCCTGAGCCAGCCAACAACTGGTCAGCGTTGCTGACGCCACAATACTGGCACATTGAGGTAGCGTCCGGGTTCTGCAGGGTACCGGGTGCCTGCTCGAGAAGAGGATCCAAATATTGTCCACACGTCATGCCCTGTGGAGGGTTGAAAGTGTTCGTTTCACTTGCTGAGCAGGTGATTTGGCGGCCGTGGAGCTCGGTCCCGACAATGCCGCCAATCCAGTATGTGAAGGGACTCACACGGTACATGAAGATCCTGTTTTTTCGAAATTAGCAAACAGAGGCAAGATAATCGAGATTCTCAAATCATACCAGAACCCAGGTAGGGCTGTTGCAGTCTGCAACACACCACTGAAGATAATGCTCATAATGGAAAGAACATTGACAATACTTCCTGCGGTGTGGGCATCAGGCATGGCAACGATGGTCATATGCGCAAAGGCACTGGCGTAGATAAACAGCTGAATGACAAATGCCAAGACCAGGCCTTGTCTGTCGGAGCTCTGGATTCCAACAACTGGGTAATATGACGCAGCCCAGATAAGGACAGCCGTAAAGATTTGGTAAGGAATCTCAACCACAATGTTGGCAAAAATGAATGCAACCCACGAGTACGCCTTGCTGGGGCGTTCACGGACTTCGTACAGCGATCGTTGCGTGACAAAAAGAGGTTGAATCTGAGAAAAATCATTAGTGAGGACAAGATACAACGCTCCAGAGGGGAAGCAAGCCGTACCTGTTGCACAATTGAGGAGAATATCGTTGTGAGCATAAAGGTATTGAAGATGACGTTTTGTGTGCCTCCTATTGTGTGAGGAGCATCAAAGAAAGTAAAACCGATGAAAAGACCGGCGAATATGCCCAGGGCGAGTTTGGCAAAGACGTAGCTCGGCATTCTCCAGTATTGCTGGAAGATGCGATGCGTGACAACTTGGAGCTGAGTTCTCAAAGGCATAGCAAACTCGCCGTGTTTGACTGTCTCGCCCTCGGCTTCAGGTTCTTGTTGCTTCTCGCGGTGAAGAGCTTCCAATTCCTGAATGACAGCCTCTCGCTGAGGACTAGCCTGCCATACTTCGTGCCAATCTTCTACCTTGTCATTTTGCCCCTTGTTCACTGACTCGAGCATGTATTCGGCGGGATTCTCGTCATCGCCACACTTTCGACCACCGTTGACCTCAAAGTAGTCAAGAAGGGTACGTGAGTTGTCGCCAATGCTGCCAAAGTAGACAGTTTTGCCTCCCTTGGCCAGAAACAATAAACGGTCAAATGCCTGGAACAACACAGCACTAGGCTGATGAATAGTACACAAAATCGCTTGGCCGGAATCGGCAAGCTTGCGAAGGAAGGCACAAATAGCCCAGGAGCTCTGGGAGTCGAGACCAGATGTTGGCTCATCAAGGAAAAGAAGCAGCTTGGGTCTGGCGGCCAGTTCGACACCAATAGTGAGAAGCTTGCGCTGCTCGACGTTCAATCCTTGGCCAGGCACACCAACGACCGCGTTGGCAAAATCTTCCATTTTGAGCATCTTGATGACCTCTTCAACAAACTCGTACTTCTCCTTCTTGCTAGCTGACTTGGGTTGACGGAGCATAGCGCTGAATCTTAAACTTTCGCGAACGGTGGCAGTCTCAAGATGCAAATCTTGCTGCTGCACATAGCCAGTGTTCCTTTGAAAGCTAGGGTCAAGCGGCTTGCCATTGACCAGCATGTCGCCGGTGATGACTCCCATTGTTGTTCTTTGGGCGAGAGCGTCTAGCAGGGTAGTCTTGCCCGCACCGCTGACTCCCATGAGCGCAGTGAGCGTCCCTGGCTTAACCCAACCAGAAACATGGTCTAGGAGGCGTCGAGGCTCGCCCTTGATCTCAATATCGTATACCACATCGCGCCAGGTAAAGATATCAGTGTGCGGCGCAAGGGCCTTCGCCTCAGTCTTAGCATCGCCGCTGGTAGTCTTCTCACCAGCAGTCGTCGGCGCTTCATCATTCTGAACAGCGTGCTCGCCACCTTTCTGAAAGCAAGCTGGGACGTGTCCGCGGCGAAAGACTAGCGCCTCAGCGGTACTGGTGGTGGCTGAGTTCAGTTCCACGGTGACGAAGTAAGTGATTAGAAAGAATACCAGAAACCCCATCAAAATACCAAAGTTTCGCCACACATGTGAGTAATAATACTTGTAATTGGTGGCAATGAAGGCGTCGCCACTAACAGTATACTGACCAGGTACTGCACCGGCAACATTACATACCCAAGAATTACCAATGTCTGGTGTGTAGGGTGGTATAATGCTGGAACAAGTGAATTGGCGGTGATGAAACTCGTTGGCCACAAGGATTTCAAATGCATAGAAAACCGGGTTGATCCATCGGATCCAGCTGAACCAGGGATGCATCAGGGGCACCGGGATAGCGAAGCCCGTGTAAATGACCAATGCCAAAACCAAGACACCAGACAGTGTCATAGCCTGTGAAACTGTCTTTGTAGCAGCGGCCATAGTTCGGAATACAGCAGACATGACGAAGGTAGAGACGTACGTGATTAAGAAATACAAAAAGAACGGGCCGGGTTGGCGCCGCAGGTTTGCCAAGAAATACAATACAATGTTGAAGGCAACTGCAGTGACAAACTTGACGGGAACGTCAGCCACAATTCCTGCCGCCGCTTCTGCGGCAGGATGATAGAATGCATACGATGCGTGCTTTTCCACAATTGGCCGCTGGTCATACAGACCGGTGATCTCAGAGATTGACGTCAGAGCATTCATAAGAATAGCCATGAAAAGAACGGAGCCGCGTCCGTAGAAACTGATGGTAGCATTTGGTTGGCCAAAAAAGATTGAGCCAACTATGAGTGCCATAATGATGTTTGATATGGTCTGAGTAGCTGTTGCGGATATGTCGTTCCAGATTCGTTGATAAGCTCGTTTGGTACAAAGATCGATCTGCATCCAGACACTGATGATATAGGGCGACTTGGGGCGGACATGCTTTGATTGTCGCAGGTTCTTTTGTTCCCTGAACTGAGCAATGCTCTCACCTTGTCTCTCATCCAGGAATTCCTTGTCATGGGCATCCATGTCACCAAGAAGGGCTTGGTATACTGGAGATTGGCGCCATAGTCGCTCAAAGTCCTCGGGTGTGCGAGGAACTTTGTTCTCAAAGCCGTCACGAGCAACTCGCTCTTGAGGGTTTGTCACAGAAGTGAGAAAGTCGCCGGTGGTCTGACGTGAAGGACAAAACCATCCTTGCTGTTCAAAATAGCGCTTGGCCTGGCTGGCAGGTCCAAAATAGATCTGACGACCTTCGTAGAGGACGGTGGCCTTATCAAACAGGTCATAGATGGACTGGCTTGCTTGATATATGGCAACGGCGTTGGCTTGGTCGCCGAGGTCGGAAGCCAGTCGCAATGCCTGGACAAACTTCAGGGCAGTAGCCGAGTCCAGACCGCGTGTACTGGAAGAATTGATTAGTTTCACAGGATGTTGAAATATGTCAAAGGGCGGGTACGCACCTGTTATCCCACGCAGTGAAAGGTGAACCCGCCACCACCATTTCAGCGATGCTAACTCGCTTTCTCTCACCACCAGAGACACCTCGAACGAAGTCATTTCCAACCTTGGTATTGTATGTATGGCTGAGACCAAAAACGGCCATAACGACCTTGGCAATATATTGGCAATATTCTACTCGAGACATGCCCTGAACACGTTGATGCGGCGTACGGACCGAAGCCGCAAATTCAAGAGTTTGGCCGACAGTCAGGTGAGGGAAGTGTTTGTCGACCTAGAAATTGAATCCATCAGCATTCGCAGGACATGTGGGAATCAAGAAGGACCCCTCAACGCACCTCTTGGTTGTAAACGGTTTCTCCCTTGAATTCTTTAATCATTTGCTTCTGAGGAATACCATTGTAGTGAATCTTTGTTTGTTCCCCAAGTTTGAGGCCCTCTAGTCGGCCACAAATTGTCTTCAGCAGAGTACTGCAGCCGGAGCCTGGGCGACCAAGCACAATCAAAAGCTCACCATGCTTCAAGAACCCGTCAAATCTGTGCAAAATCTGCTTGTGCTCCTTTTTGTTAAAGCTGAAAAACTCTCCAAGCTTCAAGGGGGCTGCAACCATGGATCCAACAGTGTCTTGCATTTGCAAGGCCTCTCCAGAGCCAAAGACGTCAAGGTTTCGAAAGGAGACACTGGTACTCTTCTCAGAAATACCTTCTTCGCGAAGTTGCTCGACGAATCGGCGAAGCCATTTTTCAAGATCAAAATCTCGATGCTTGGGATTGAAGACTGGGGCATCCTCATCGATAGCGCCAAGGGGAGTAGTCGGAACTGGATGGACAGCCAGGCTGGAACGACGCCGAGAGAGGGCTGTGGCAATTCGTACCAACTCGTTCCTTTCTTGGTCGTCTATCATTGCTTGCGTGCCGCGACGTGTAATAGGTTCGAGATGCTCCGAGTCGCTATCTATAGGTGCAGATGAGGGATCCTCAAGGGAACTTCTGCTGTGTTTGTGTACGGCATCGTCTGCATGTTGAATGCTTTCTTCATCAACAGGAAGCTGGCAAAGCTCTGAAGCAACATGTTCGTGCTTGGAAGCGCCAGTCGTTGTGGGATCCATGGCAATGACTTGCTTCTTCATCCCACAGGAAAAGCCCATTCCCGGTAACAAAAGAACAAGCCAGGGAATCCGTCAGGGAACTCGAAGGGGGAAAATTCAATCGTATATACTTTCAATCGATCCCCATCCCCCCTCATCTCATAATAGCTAACAGCCACTCGAGCCATATACCATTTCTGCTGTCCCGCAGCTTCCTAGTCCGCCAGCGTTGATATGCTAGCCTGCCTGCCACCGCCATGGGCTTACTGGCAGCCAGTAAGATGTGGAGAAATTCGTCATGGAATGCTGGCGGCGCTGGCGGCGCTGGAGAGGGAGGTCTGTTTTTATCGTTGTGAAATGCGGTGCATGGTGGGGGAAGAAGCAGGTTGACCGTCGAATTAAGAAGGGAAGAGCTAGAACTGCCACTGCTCGTGGTGATGACTCGGGTGTTGTCGAATTCTCCTTCCCGTCCAACGAGGGCACTGCATGTACATTAAGTACCTAGGTACTTACTAGGTCGGTGGTGATCGGTACATAAGTAAATAAAAGCTGGCGGCTGTCTGATTATTTAGAGGGGAACTGAGTAGTGCGAAAGCCAACACCTCATGTCGATTGCCCGGTCGCTGTACACCCACAGAGCTCATCACATACTATATTCAAGCTGGGTTTCTCTGCAGTCTGCAAATATATAACTATATGTATATATAACAAGTTTCTCGTTCCGCGGGGGCAATGGATGACGGAACGAGGCACGCTTATGGCACTTGCTTCGTCAAGTTGTGACGGACCGTTGCAGGTGTCAATCCGGCGGCAATGTTGAGAACAGATACTCCGTAACGAGCCTTCAAATTTGTCTCAACTTGTCCAACTTGGGGCCGTGCTTGGATTTCTATCGCCTTGACTCAGGACTTACCGTGTCCTGATTCTGCAGGTGTAGGCACAGGAAAGCGGCTCTTGACTGCCATCATCGTGCGTGCCTGTCTCGAAATAATCACAATGAAATGGTAGCTGATACGTGCACAAGACAAGGGTGTCTGTCTGTCTCCTGCTGATCGTTTGCGCAGCAAGGGGTCTAAGAATGTTGCCAGATCAATCTACATTGCCGAAATCACTCATGCCTTTCTGTTCTGAATGGCGGGTCTTGCAGGCACAAACAACTAGACCAGTTGTAGTCGCAGTACTCCGTACATTCTCGACACTCTGATGGGCCCTCCTGTGTTGCTTATCGACAGATGCCCCCCGGTAACGAGCTGTTGACGCCGGGTAGTTTGCTCATGATCATTGTTCTGATGAATGGCGGCACATGAGATGGCAACTTTGAATTTCGCAGCAGCCAGTTGTCCCAAGTGAACCCACCGTTCAATGGGTAAAATATCGCAGGTGAGGAGCGAGACACATGTTTGACAGAAATTCTTGTGCGCTCGGAAGGCCCAAGGCCGGCAGGGCAGATGAAGATTAGGCGGTAAGGCTTGACAGGAATTCGCCGCCGACGGGACTATGATCGATCGCCTCGACGTCAGAGACGCACGTGTTGGGTGGCTGGAGGATCAATGCCACCTTTCACTTTCAATCAAAGAGGAAAGTCTTTCTTCTCCGTTTTAGTGTGACCCGAAAAATGACATAATCTCGGGGAGATGGAATCATGGTGAGCGAAAATGCCACGGATGTCAGGAGAGACATCGACAATGGGAGCACCTGGCTTTTAGCGCCGGCACGCGGCGTGGCACATGATGTGTTGGGCGGCTGGGCGAACTGGCCTCAAATACCCCGTAGTAGGCGCCGTGTGACCATTGATTAACTGGTCCAACGGTATTGGCTGGCCTTCCCCGCTGGCTTCTGCTCGCAACTTGCAAGGAAGGAGCAGCACACAGGTTCTGCATCCACTTTCCATTCCGCCAGACTCCAGATTTGCTCGCATCACGACTTCACCACTCCGCACGCAACCGAGGTTCCCCTTCGTCCGAGAGGCACGCATACGGCACCCCAAAGGCCAGTTGCAGCAGCTCCGATGCCCCGTCTCCATCCATCATCGTTTTACTCCGTACCCAGGCACATCCTCGACAACTGACTGTGAGATGCAGGCACGTTTAATTACCCAGCAACCTGGGCGAGAAAGCCAGGCCAGGCCAGGCCAATACCACGTTGCGATCCATCATATTTGACCAGTTCCAGAGCCATCCATGGTTGCAAGCGAGTGAACCTCGTCCTGGACATGCAATCCAGGATTAACAAGTCAGTCAGTACTCCGTACCGCTCCGCTGACACCCACCCATTCACTAATTGATACCCCACTGTTCTTCACCCCATACCGAGCACCGAGCACCGAGCACTTGAGACCTTTGCTTGTGCAGAAACCTCGTTTTCTGCCTCCAAGATGATAACACTCCGACGCTTAGGCTCCTTGACAACTTCTTTTGCTCTTGCTTCCCACGAACCCCCCCTTCACAGCTGTCTCGCCCACACACTTGAGTCTCGACAACACACTCAAGTTGGAAGTTGGCGGTATTACCCGGTGACACCTTGCAACCCATCACCGGTAAGTGGTGGTTCACATGAGCGCGCTTTGCCTCTCACTTTGGACTTTTCTACGTGGGATTTACTTTACTTTATTCTATTTTATTTCAGCATCGGTCGTTTTACATTCCGTACCGACAAGATCCTTTCACACACCCTCTGCATCTCTGTTTCGGCTTGCCAGCGCGCCACCCCAGCAACCAACGTCCTGCTGCCTCGTGGCCCACTGTGACACCAGCAGCCACGGCTCCGGACACACGGAAGACGCTCCAAGACTGTTGCTGTCAACATCTATCTTCTTGAATATTTCCCGCTAGGGTCCCTTGGCTATGCCCAAGTCCTATCCATCTCTCCACAGCCTCCACAAGCGTTTCTTATGTACTCTGCAGGTCGAATTTCCCCACTGGCCCGCATGTTCGGGGGACACGAGATCACTCTTCTTTCGGTCGGAACCGAGGCCGGTGCTGCAAGCAATTAATGCACAAGTAGTTATAGCTTTGGCATTGGCGTCAGCATCCTGGCTGGATGTGGGCATTCGCCCCTTCCTTGTTCCTTGTTACTTGCCTCCTTGGCTTCCTCGTTCATACTGCATACGAGTCCATGTTGTTCCGTTTCATAGAATTTTATATCAGTTTCTGTCCTCCAACTACCGTCGTCACTTTCTCCTTTCCTCTACCTCAACCCTTGCTTGCTCATTTTTCTTGTAACTCTACCACTCTACCAAGTTGAATACTCATTGTCTGTATTTCTTCATGTCTCAAGTGTGATATGCCATCCTACTATCTTCAGGACTGTCACTACTTTTACCGCACCGCCCTCCGCGGTCTCAGCATTAGCACCAGTGTTTCGCCCCTGTACTCTTGACCGGAAGGCAGTATCATCACTAACACATCATGACCGCCAAAGTAAAACGAGTCTTTAGCCCACCGAATTCTTTGGCGGAGAGGCTGGCAGAGCCCCTCCCCGGTCCTGCCACTCCTCGCAAACTCCCGGATTCACCCCTCGCCCTCGCTGCCCAAGTGCCTTTCATTGGGTCGGCCGCTTATGCGAGGATGCCCGTGGATAACAACGGGAAGAGCCACCGGGATGGCGGCATTACCTTCGCTGCTCAGGACAAGCTTCCCAAGCTTCCCATCCCTGACCTCTCGAGTACCTGCGACAGATACTTGGAAGCCTTGCGGCCGCTTCAAACACCTAGGGAACGAGCAGAAACGGAACATGCTGTGAGAGACTTTCTCACAACCGACGGGCCAGAACTGCAGGAGAAGCTACAGCGATACGCACAGGGTAAAACGAGTTACATCGAGCAATTTTGTAAGTGACCACCGCAGAGCAATTGGAATCAACGCACATTGCATGGGTCTGCATCGGACGTCGTATTCTGACTTTTCAAAAACAGGGTACGACTCATATCTCAACTTCGACAATCCTGTGGTGCTCAACTTGAACCCCTTCTTCCTTCTTGAAGATGATCCGACACCGGCACGCAACAATCAAGTCACTCGTGCCGCGTCCCTAGTCGTGTCGGCTCTTGAATTCATCCGAGCAGTCCGCAAGGAGGAGCTCCCACCGGATACAATTAAAGGGAAACCCCTATGCATGTATCAATTCTCACGGCTTTTTGGGACGGCCCGAGTACCGACCGAAAATGGGTGCCAAATTGTGCAGGATCCCGAGGCTAAACATATTGTGGTCATTTGCCACGGCCAGATTTACTGGTTTGATGTTCTCGATGACAACTCGGACGTAATCATGACAGAGAAAGACATCGCCATCAACTTGCAAACTATCACAGAAGATGCTGCACAAACTCCCATTCAGGAGGCTGCCAAGGGAGCATTGGGCGTGCTCAGTACCGAGAACCGCAAAATCTGGTCAGGTCTGAGAGATGTCCTGACCAATGATCATGGGTCAAACAATGCCGATTGTCTGAACATTGTAGACTCGGCTTTGTTTGCCCTCTGTCTAGACTACACAGAGCCTCCTGACGTCGCTGCCCTGTGTCAGAACATGCTGTGCGGCACTAGTGAAGTGAAGAACGGTGTGCAGATTGGTACTTGCACCAACCGCTGGTACGACAAGTTGCAAATCATTGTGTGTAAGAATGGAAGCGCAGGTATCAACTTCGAACATACTGGGGTCGATGGTCACACAGTTCTACGATTTGCCAGCGACGTATACACAGATACCATTCTAAGATTTGCCCGCACCATTAATGGGCAAGCTCCCACGCTTTGGACATCAACTAGTCCCGATCCATCCAAAAGACACCCTGAAAGCTTCGGCGATGTCAACACCACTCCTCGCAAATTAGAGTGGGATATGATTCCAGAGTTGAGCATTGCCGTGCGTTTCGCCGAGACGAGGCTAGCAGATCTCATTGAACAGAACGAATTCCAGTGCCTCGATTTCAGCTGTTATGGCAAGAACTTCATCACCTCTATGGGATTCTCACCAGATGCATTTGTCCAAATGGCCTTCCAAGCAGCTTACTATGGTCTCTACGGCCGGGTTGAGTGCACCTACGAACCAGCAATGACCAAATTCTATCTTCACGGTCGAACAGAAGCAGTTCGAACTGTTTCTCAAGATTCAGTAAACTTCGTACAGACCTTCTGGGCCGACAATCCTATCGAAACAAAAATTGAAGCTTTGAAAAATGCTTGCCAGAAACACGTCAGCCGCACAAGAGAGTGCCTCAAAGCCGAAGGGTGCGATCGCCACTTATATGCCCTCTTTTGTGTATGGCAGAAGCTTGTCAATGACGAAATCGAGAGTGGTGTAAGCAGTATGGGTCAATCCAGCCCAACAGACGGCTTTTCACCTGTTGGGAGCCCTGGGGTAGACTCGTCGGGATCGACGGATCAAGTCGTCGAAGTCAAATCTAGCAGGGAGCGTGGCAATAGCACAAACTCCAGATCACGAGACGCTCACCCGTTGCCCTTCATTTTCGCTGACGGCGGTTGGGACAAATTGAACACCACTGTTCTGTCAACGTCAAACTGCGGCAACCCTTCCCTTCGTCAATTTGGCTTTGGTCCAACTTCCGGCGACGGATTTGGAATCGGATACATAATCAAAGACGACAGTATCTCCATTTGTGTATCCAGCAAGCACCGCCAGACGAAGCGCTTTGTTGACACCTTGGAAAGCTACCTCCTAGAAATCAGGCGCATTCTGAGAATCACGATCCGCAAGAGCTCAACGGCGAAGTCCAGTCGTGCACGAGAAGCAGAAGATGCTGGACCAAAGCAGATGAGCAGACTCAAGTCGCGCGGAAGACCGATTGCTACTGACAGCGCGGCAAGGGGTCCCTTCAAACCAGAATCGGTGAGTCAAACAGAGGAGAGTGCCATTGGCAGCGATGATGACGAGTTGGGCGGATGTAGGTTCCTCGCTTCCCTGGGCAGATTTCCTTTCCGTTCAAACACTGACATTGGCAGACGGCTTTTTTGATGCCGGCATGCTATTGCAAGCTTTAAAGGCGAGAGACAGGGCGGCGGATCCGGCAGACAGCGCGAAGGCATCGGAGAGGGCAGCAGTTCAAGCAAGGAGGCGGCGGGATGTAGGTAAGAAGCTGAGATTGACGACAGAGTAGGTGATCTCGAGTATTTGTGTTTGATGACGGTCATTTGTTTGTGGTTGTGGGCATGTCAGGTAAATAGAAGTGAGTCAGGTAAATTGAAATGAGCCTCAATGCACAATTTGATGATGTACAATGTAGCGCATACCAGGAGCAACAAGATTTGAGCTCTGCTTTGTCATGTCCAGCCCGGCGCCAGTTCAGGTGGAGAGCGAATCTCACAAATACTTTGCATTCTTACCACAGCAAGAGGTTGAATCATTATCAGGAACTAATTGCACATCTTGTCAAAGTTCTTCTCGTCTCTTCCTGGACAAATAAAACTGACATGGATATGCGTATCAGACTGAAGAACAAGAACAACTGCTGGCCATGCCAAAATCTACCCAAACTCCGTTCATTAATGCTCTTGTCAGAATAGCCCATCGGCAAAGCTGCTAATATTTTGCTTCATGTTTGTATTCATTCCCCCATCAAGGCTATGCCAGCTCATGCATTTGGCCACGATGATTGTCGCCAGTCTGGGCCGGGGCTTCGTGCAAGAGTCCCTGAAGTTGCGGCTGTGGTTGCGATTGAACCTGGGTGTGAGGCCGTCCTTCGATAGGGGATGTGCCTCCCACGGGTGAGAAACCAGTTGGTCGCTGCTGACCGGGCGGCGTCGCTGTGTACGAGTTTGTCCAGGTCGGCGCCGGACTGGTAGTCAAATGGCTAATTCGGGGATCCGTCATGTGCGACTGCGTTGGTGAGCTCGGTTCGACAGCGCCGCCAGGGGAGTAGTATCCTACGGGGGGTGACGGCGTGTTCTGTTGAGGAGGGCATCCTTGAGACGGAGGGACACCGTAGTAGGACTGGGTCACGGGGACGCCGGGAGTAGCATTTGGTGGCATGGGCGAGTGGTCGCTCGAAGTGGTTTGCGACTTGCCGCTATTCTTTTTGTTCCTGCGGAGCAAAAGGACGAGCGCGAGGAGACCGATGGCGATGAAAGCAACACCGCCGACAACACCACCCACGATGGCGCCAACAGGGGTCTTGCTCCTGCTGTCGCCTCGTCCTCCGCCGTTGTTGTTGCCGTCATAGCCAGTTTTAGTAGCTGAAGCTGGTATACCGGCGTCTGTACCTGTGACGGCTGGACCGCCGATGGTGGCAGCGGTGGGAAGTGAGCTGGAAATGGTTTGGACAAAGCGAGTGTAGCTTCTGACTTCAGTTTGGCCGGCGTAAGTGGTGTAGGCACCCTGCGCCCTTGAGTAGCTGACTGAGTTGCACCAGTAGTCGGTGATGTTGCCGGGAAAAGAGACTGTATTGCAGTGGGGAGCGGCCCTGTTCGTGCTGTTTGTTCCCGTGTCAGACATGAACACAATGTAATGACGACAGCTTCCGTACAGCCCACATGAACAAACAGCCGTGTGTGTTGGACCGAGGACAGTATCGAATAGATGAAACTTACCACTTGACTATCTGTGTGTTTTCGGCACAAAGATGATCACAGGAGCTCGACTTATACATGTTGTAATCGACACATGCGAATCGGAAGCCAAATCCAACACTGTTATAGCACACGGCCATTCCCGAGAAAGTCTCCTGAGCCTGGACGAGGCCGCAAGTGGCCCCAGGGCCGCAGCTATACGGAATAGCATAGCTGCCAGATATCCAACCACAAGTATTGTCCGGAGCAATCATCATGGTCAGCGGCGTCTGGCTCGATGCTGCTCGCCCAAACAGATGTTTGGGCTCGAATCTATCCCAGCCAGGAGGCGGTGTCGGTCTTGGAGACACTGCATCAGCGGCCAGAACGACAGATGCCGTGGCTCTGGCTTGGTTGAGAACCAAATCACGAGCCAGGACTACTGTTGGAAGGGCCGCAACAGCACTCGCTAACACCAGATTCGTCTTCATGGTGGCTGGCCGTTACTCTTTGCCCAAGTTTTTGAAGTCGTGGTAAAAGGCTTAAGACCGCAGACGAGCCTGCAGCGAAGCTGACACCGCAGCAACCGCCTACTCCAACGACAATGACAACGGATGGGAGAGAGGATACGTTCAGACGAGGGATTTCTTCCCTCTCCGACGGACAGAACGGGGTGGCCCTCGAGGCAGCTTTATCAATTGAGGCGCGAGTCGGGGCTCGGAGGAGTCGTAGCCCACGGCCCATGTCATGGGGCCTGGACCTTGACCCGGGCAACCTGCCTCCGACGTGACAGAAATAGCATTGGTGCTGTGAAGATCAATTCTGGCAGAGCCTCTCCATCGACGGGCGCGGCGGCATGGCCCGGGCACAGTCAGCCTTGAACTAGTGCCTTTTGGAGTCGCGAGATGCCTGACAAGATTGGCCTATTTAAGTATCCAGGTTCAAGCTGAATGGGGTTCGAGATTGAAAGGATCCGATGGCGGCTCAGCAACTGACTGTGGCTTGCAGAAGCTGAACGCAAACTGGGCGGCGGCAGACATTTATTGCCTCTTGACATGGCCATCTCGGGCATTGATGATGTATTTACTGGGCTTTTTCCCACACCTTTTGTGTGCCCATTGAGCAAGTAAAAGTAGGGCCCCGTTCGTCACGAGAACAAACGACGCAGCCCGTTGAGCCGGTGTGGCGTGTCGGAATTGCGTGTTCCTTGGACGAGGGAACGGAGCCATGGACTTGCAAAAATCCCCTTTTCCCAATGGCAGGCCGATGTTGCAACGTAAAGGTCAATGCTATGGAGATACTGACCTGACACTCCGTACTCCGCAGACTGTAGTAGTGTCAACATGTCGCCTTCTTTTTGGAAGGTCGCGTTGTGAGACATTGAGCCGGGAGGGCTGTGGCGAGTTTTCTCAGCTCTTCCCTTGCTGACAGACAGACAAGATGGGACGTCAAAACGATTCCCCGTGTCCAACAAAGGATGCCGAAATCGCACTCGCGAGGGATAGGCGTCGAGAAAAGTCGTTTCTAGAATCGCAGTTGGTGACACTGCAGTCTGCATCACTTGCTGTTGGAGATTGTGTCTTGTCGTGTTCAGTACGGCCATTGCGCACAAGGCATCACAGACTCTGAGGCAATCATACTACTAGCTGGCCAGCACAGACTGGTGGCTGGCCAGAGGTGCCGGGATGTCAGCACTGCACAAGGGTCTGAATCTCAACGACACAGAAGATGCTAGCTTCTGAATGCGCGGCCTGGGTTTTGAGTCGGGGTCATGAAGTCAACAATAAGCATTCGTCGATCTGACCAACTAATTGTGTGACGTGAAGAAGGAGGGCGTCGTAGATGTCAACAGCACACCTGAGGTGCTTCAATGTGCAGAGTAGCAAGGGCTCGCCGAGTCGCTTGCCTGCCAAGTTTCTTCTAGCTGATGATGCTTGGAGACGATAAAACAAAAAACGAGTGCATGCGCATGGAGGCACGTAGTTGCGGCATGACCAACATCTTAGTCATGGTCTGTACAATTTTGTGCACCCAATTCATAATCATTCTCGAAAACCAAGGTACTAACTAACTACAATGTGGGGTCACCGGAGCCGCATTCATTCACCTAAGCTTCGCAACATCATCTCGTCCTTCACATCAATGCGACGCGCCAACAGGACCTGCAGGTTGCAGATCTGACGCCTCGATCCGTTTCAAACTGCAGTGCGATACGCGGCAGACATGCTCTGAATTCGCTCCCCGCCCCCCATGGGACTATCCTCGATGCCAAGCTGCCTCGTCTCTTCCGCAACCGCGAGCCTATCATCTTACATGAACAACCTGACGCGTGTCTGTACGTATGCCCGCCCCCAGGCATCAGACACGACTGAATCGATCCTGGACATTCTTGGCATTCCATCTCTTCCGCCGATCCTCATCGTAGGTCTGACTGATGACCGACCTCCTCCATATCCTCCCATCCTTCCGTACAGCTCCCTTCGGGGCACTCCTCCCCATCATCGAGCAGCACGCTCTTTCGACGACAGACCTCCTGGCCCTCCACCCTGCAGACATTTCCAAACAGACAAACCTGCCTCTGCTGGATCTCAAGCGACTCATTGCAACAATCCAAGTCTCTCTGTCAGACGATCTCGTGCCGCGCCACCCCCTACAAACAACCGGGAGCTCCCCGCGTGAAGGACAACCCCCCGAAACAAGCAGCCAGGACGCCAGTCAATCTCCAACCGCACGACCCGAAGCAGCTCCGGCAGAGACTCCCCGAAGTGCCCAATCCTCCCCGCCCTCATTCATAAGCACCCTCTGTCCGGAAATAGACGCCGCCCTCAACCCCGGCATCCCGACCTCGTCCATCACCGAAATCACGGGCGAGTCCGGCGCCGGCAAGACCCAGTTCCTCCTGTCACTCTGTCTCGCCGTCCAACTCCCCCCGCCCCGTGGCCTCGGCAAACAAGCCCTCTACGTCTCTACCGAATCAAGCCTCGCCACCAAACGCCTCTCCCAGATCCTCGCGTCGAACCCGCTCCTCCAGGCCGTAGACCCCCCGGACCGCCCGTCCCTGGACAACATCCTCAGCACCGTCACGCCAGATCTAGAATCTCAAGACCACATCCTCGAGTACCAGGTCCCCGTCCTGCTATCGAGACACAGCATCGGCCTCATCGTCATCGATTCCGTGGCGGCCAACTACCGCGCCGAGTTCGAGAGGGCCGGCTCCTCGTACGGCTCTAACATGGCCGCGCGCGGCGCCGAGCTCGTCCGCCTCGGCGCTCTCCTCCGACACCTAGCAAGGAAGCACGACATCGCCGTCGTCGTGGCCAACCAGGTGTCCGACAGGTTCTCCTCGTCCGCACCTGTGCCGAGCACCCTCTCCCGCGGCAGGACTTGTGCCGAGGAAAGCCCCCTCGCGTCGAGGAGCGCGCCGCCGCCGCCGCAATCCTCGCTCGCCGGCACGCCGTCGTCCTCTGTGCCGCCGTTCTCGCTGCCCGACGACGCGTCGCCGCCTGCACACCCTGCCTTGCGTCTCGATCACCAGCAGCGTTGGTTCACGGGCTGGGGAGACGATCCGCGCTCGTGGCATTCTCTGAAGACGCCCAGTCTGGGCCTCGTTTGGTCCACGCAGATAGGGTGCAGGATAGCATTGTTCAAGAGCCCCGTGTATGGACGGCCGCGGCACATTGCGGCTCCCATAGAGGCTGATGATGATGATGTTGACAGGGGACCTACGTTGAGGAGCTGGCGGAGATGGATAAAGGTTGTGTTCGCGGGACATGTTGCCGCCTCGGGGCAAGGCGTAACGGGGGCCAAGGAGTTTGAGGTCACGACAGGCGGAATTGCATGTGTACCGGGAGATGAGGGGAACCGTGGGCTTTGGTGATCTCAGACATGCGCTGACTCGGCGCACGAGGCCGCAGTGTCTTGTGTCCTTTCACGTTTCGGGTCGGATCGGAAGGAGGAGCACATCGCCCCAAGGTGTACATGTTCATACGGGTCATAGTCAATCAACATGTCATCAATACAGCAAGTATATGATTACTCAAAGACTCCTGTTTAAACGTTGCAAATCCCCCCCCGGTTCGCTGCATCCATCATTGGGGGTGAGGAAACTCGTCTTCCAACTGAAGACGCACGCCAACATTCATGCTAATCAGTTCCTGAACAAGCAGCTTCGCCGCATACGGCATCTGCATCTGCGTGACGTCTCTCGTGCTCTTACAAGTGTTGCAGTAGCCCTTGTATCCAAAGAGACCGCACTGCTGGCAGATATCGAGAGTAACACCGTCCGAGCTCAGCATGAGACGCTCTAAAAGGAGCTGTGAGGCGCCGTACGCAATGAGACAATCCCGCTCCATTTCTCCAAGACGCAGTCCACCGTCGCGCGATCGACCCTCTGTAGGCTGTCTCGTCAAGATGGCCCTGGGGCCGCGGGATCGAGAGTGCATCTTGTCTTGGACCATGTGCTTCAAACGCTGGTAGTAGATGGGGCCGTTGAAGATGTATGCCTCCAGTGGCTCTCCTGTCAGGCCTGACGTGAAGTAATCTTTGCCCTCCCAGGAGAAGCCGTAGTCGAGGAGCACCTGGCTCATGTCCTTGACTGGATGGGATCTGAAGGCATCGCCAAATCCATAGTCCGGCCGGCCATCGATAATGGAAGCCTTGCCTGTCAAGCACTCTAGCAGCTTACCTACCGTCATGCGAGACGGGAAACCGTGAGGGTTCATAATGATGTCGGGGCAAAGGCCGTTGTCGGCAAAGGGCATATCTTCCTGGTCCACGATGATACCAACGACACCCTTCTGACCGTGGCGAGACGAAAACTTGTCTCCAAGTTCTGGACGACGAGTCTGCCGGGTTTGTACTTTGATCACGGTGGTATCCTTTTCTGTTTGAGAAATCATCACCTTGTCTATATAGGCAGGGTCGGGGATTCGATAGGAGATGGCAGAGTCACGATACTCGCTTGGTCCGCGGTCAAGACCGATACCTGTCGTCGTCAGGTCCAGGGGAGTTTCTTTCTTGACCATGACCTCTCCGCTCTTGACTCGGTAGCCAACAGTGGCTAGTCCGTCATCATCTAGAGCCTCGTATTTCTCCTCGCGGCGCGTCGTGCTGCCATTCATCTGATTGACTGGGTCGCCAATACGCTCCCGTCTACCGTTCGGGTACTTCTGCAGCTCTGTAGTGTACTTGCGGAAGACTTGGCATCGCCCGAATCCTCGGTCAATTGAAGCCTTGTTCAAAACCAGAGCATCTTCAATGTCGTACCCAGAGTACGACATGACAACGACTGTAGCATTCTGGCCCGCCGGGAGCTTATCATAGTGTACAAGCTGAATGGTCTTGGTTGTGACCATGGGCCGCTGTGGATAAACCAGAGTATAAAGCAGTGTATCAATGCGATTGAATTGATTGTACGCAATGGCTCCAATGGCCTGCTTACCCATGGCACATTGGTAGGTGTTTCTGGGAGATTGGTTATGATGCGGAAATGGAATCAAACCGGCCACAGCTCCGAGAAGGGTGAATGGCTCGATTTCCAAATGAGTCGTGCTCTGTGTTATTTGACTTTCATAAAGAGTGACGAGCGCGTCCTGTTCCTCGTTGACATCCAAGTACTCGACAACGCCTCTTGTCAAAAAGTCATCAAATGAAACTTTTCCCAATTGCAACAGCTTTAGGTGCTCGTTCTTGAGCTTTTGCGTTCCGTTCTTGACAATAATATACGGTCGGCAGATGCGCCCTTCATCCGTCGCGATGTGGACAGCATTAAAGTGGGAGTTGAGATTTATGCTTACGAATGGTGATATCCAGCCTCGTCGACGCATGGTGCGGAATCTCGAGGCAAACCTCTTGGGGTACCGAGTGAGAGCAAAAGGGGTTCCGTTGACGTGAATGACCCAAGAGCCTTCCCGGTGCATTTCGGCACCTGAAAAGTTTCGAATAGGCTCAACGCCTGTGTCTATTGTGAATATCCACCGCTTCACCGGCGCCTCGTCGACATTGGTCGTAATATGTGTCATGAGAGCCAAGTTCTTGACCAAACCGCAGGCTTCCCCTTCGGGGGTGTCTGAGGGGCACAGCATGCCCCATTGTGATGGCTGAAGAGCACGGGGGCCGGAAACCTTGCGCGTCTTCTCAAACTGGGAGCTGATTCGGGTCATCATGCCCAGGGCACTGATGTAGCTGAGTCGACTCAGTACGTGCGTGACACCGGCTCTGTTCATGTTGAATCGCTTCACGGTCCAGTTGCCGGTCTGGATTGCGCGGTTGATTCCCATTCCAATATTATTGGCATGATTGCTGATCATGTGAACTGCATCAAGGGGGACGGCACGATTATTCTTTTTCAGGAATTTGTCAATGGACATCTTGACTTCGCCCATGAATCGCTTGAAAAGATCTTCAAACAGGAGAGACAGGAGCTGGCCCGCCAACTCCAACCGCTTGTTACCGACAAAGTCCCTGTCGTCAACGAGCTTGGAATCCTGTGAAGCCATCAAGACTCGTCGAGTCATCATCGCCACGTAGATCGCTTTAGGATAGAAGTCCAAGCCCTCAATAGGAACATGGGCAATGATGAGGTTGGCGAGGGCATCAAGGCCTTCTTCAACGTTGTTGCGACGGACCTGCGGTCCAAAAATGGCTCTGCGAGATCCCATCTTGACCCTCGAGCCGATGTACTCGAGAGCCTGGTGTTGTGTATAGACGCCAGCTCTGGTCGCCTCGTCGAAATTGATGACGAATTCATCTTGATATCGACCGTCGGAGCCAGCAACAAGTTGCATAATCTCGTAGTCGGACAAGCTCCCTAGAGCTTTGAGAATAATGACAATCGGAATACCTTCGACCAGGACATTGTGTGTCATGACAATCCTGTCCTTCTTGAGGGTAACGTATGTTTTTGACTTGCGTTCGTGGGTTGAGCTAGTCACCGACGCGGATATGACGTTGTTCTTTTCATCGGCCTCGACAATGACTCGATTTTTGCTCAACTGCTCCTGAATCAGAATGACCTTTTCCGTACCGTTGATGACGAAGTAGCCGCCTGGGTCAAGGGGACACTCGTTCATGGCCTCCATTTGCGCGTTGGTGGCACCGCTCAGACGGCACCTGGAGCTTTTCAGCATCACAGGCATGCGACCCAGAGGCACATTTTTCCGAATAATTCGCTGCTTGTCTCGAATGTAGGCGATGTCGACAACAATGGGGGCGGCGTAGGTCATGTCCCGTAGTCGACACTCCATGGGAGTCACCTCGGATCGGGATTTGGCGTCATTATGGTCCTGGCGACGAGGGCGATCGACACGGATGTCTGTGAATCTATGCTAACATGAGATACGTGTCATATATGCTGCTGGGCGCCCGCCCTTTTTGTGAGTGCATGGCCGTTGTTGGGGCGTAAACGTACTCTAACCAAAAGTTGCTATCGACGTCGCTGCGAATGGTACGGTTGGCGCGAACGATATCCTTGATCTCCTGCTCCACGAAGAAGTTGTACGAGTCGATGTGTCTAGCACGCAATCGAGGTCAACACATTTCTATAGAATTGAGCGGCGTTGAGATATTCCAGTTGGCATACTGCTTTACAAGCCCTTGGGAGAATGTCAGTCTCGGTTTGCGAGGGTGATTTCCGATTTAATCTACTCACCCTTCACTTTGAGGAAGGCGGGCAGAAGCTGGAACTTGTCGTCCCTGGTATTCACCGGATCGGTAAGCTTCTTGCCGTTGTAAAAAGGCTCCAAGAGAGCCTCGAAGCCGTCGTCCACCAGCGACATCGTGTCCTCGGCGATAATCGTCACCGCAGAGAAGGCATTTACGATCCTATGGGGCCAGCGCTGCATGCAACAGCTTCCTGACTCAATGCGGACCCTAGGATGCTTTCCTGGCTCCCTCCTTCTCTCTGTGTGTCTCTCTCTCTCTTTTTTTTCTTTCCCGCGACGCCGATCGGTTGCTCCAATGTGATGCAGAAAAGTCGTGCCCCGCGGTGCCAGACAGGCAAAAGGTGGGGACCTCCCGTCAGGCACTGCGATTAGACCAATACCGAGTACCCCGTAAAAAAAGTGAAAAGGACGTCAAGCTGCGTCAAGCTGCGTCAAGCGTTGTGGTGGGGGACGACTAGTAGACCATTTGCCAGTGATTACTCAAGTACGTAGGAAGGGCAGTAATAAAGGAGACGCAACATTGTGACCGCTCCGATAAGACTAGCCACCTGCGTCACCATCACGACTCAAGGGAAGCGCCAACCAAATCCACTGAGTTCTGACTCCGGAAGTGCACACTAAAAAAAATGTAATAAAAATATTAATTGATTGAAAGGGGAGAAAAAAGAAAGAGAGAGAGAGGAAAAGCAAAGAAAACGTCTCCTGGAGTAGGTTCTGCGCTCTCCGCCGGCCAGATGAGCAGCTGTACTAATAATAACCTTTGTACGCAAGAACCAATTCAACGTGCAGCTGGGGGCCGCTTCTCAACGCCACTCCATGCAAATTCCCGGAACTACTTGCAATTGTTTGACAAGTCAGATGAATAAACTAAGTACTTACCTTAAGCACGTAGGTACTTGCTCCATATCAACTTGACAAAGAGTCCTGAGCGAGGTGGACTTGCTGCTTCCCTGGCCGAGATGCATTCGGCCGCGGTATGCCGACGAGCACAACATGCCTGTCACATAAACCAACGTATCATCCATCAGCTTGGTTGGTGGCCATTCCCCAGTCTAGCCGCCTCGAAAAGGGAAAAAAGTCCTCACAACCCACAACCCCGCATTCTGAGCAAGACAGCTTGCTGTGTGTGTGACTCCAAGTTTTGCTCAGTGCGTGATGTATGTATGTGTGAATGTATGTATGCGCTGGCCCTCGTTGTCTCGATACCCCGAGCGTTTATTATGCATGGTCATGCAAGAAGTGCCCAAAGAAAGTGTGCTTGGATGGAGTTCTCAGCCGGGCAGCACAAAGAACTGCAGTCAAACAGGTTGAAAGGACCGTAACACGTTGTCAACAACACAACCCTCTCGACCGGACCCCCAGAGCCGCCAATGACGCGGGAGTACTTACGTGTGTAGTTGGCGCAAGTACGTTGAAACCAACGAATTGGACAGAGAGTGGGAAAACCAAGTGTCAGTGAGCTTCAGCCTCGTCGACAACTCAGATCCGATCTAGGCAATCACCCGTGTGAGACGGCATCAATGTGTCAAAGTCTCAACCATGTTGATCGCATCATAATCCCCCACCCCGAATCATGCTCGACATGGGCAACGTACTTATGTAACTCGAGCAGTATATATCACCCAGGTACCTAGGTACCTGACAAGTAGCACTCCAATACCATGCAATACCATGGCAGAGTACTATCCCCTGAAGACAAGGTCCCCCCTTCCACAAGTAACCAACGTGGCTGGGCAGGCTGGCTTTTTTTGGTGGGACATGGGATCCGCACAAGGAAACTCCCTTGGTCGCTCCCAGTTGGTTGGAGGGGCGGAAAGACGGAACGTCATGTGGTGTACGTCTCCAGGATCCCAGACGGGTGTCAGAGCCTGGCGTCCAGATGTCGCCTCAAAGCAAGCGCTGCCTCTTCTGCTCGTTCTTCTTCTTCTCCATCATCATCTTCATCATCATCTTCTTCTTCTTCTTCTTGTTCTTCTTCTTCTGCTGCTGCTGCTGCTGCATCCTGTTCTTGTTCTTCATCTTCTTGGCCTCTGGCTTCTCGGCATAAAACCGCCCATCGTGGTCGCTGGCCAAATTCAACGACTAACTAGCTGCATCACTCCACTCTTTGCAAGCCATGCAAAATGTCGGTGTGCAAAGGGACCGGAGTGGTAATAGCTGGCAGAGGGGGCAAAGCGGGAAATAGTTATTCTGGCGAAAACCCAGGCTTCGGCACGCTTGGGCGGCATCTCGGTAAGCCGACCGACATCAACAAAGAGGGTGCCGCAGCAGAGAAGGGTAGGCTGCTGCTCCATAGACAACGACATGTAGTTATTAGATAGAGAATTAGTGCGACACCAACCATGGTGGACTGACTTGCGACCACGATATCCCATTTGCCAGGGAGCGGAGTTGACCCTGCATGTGCCCTAAGCGGATGCGTCAATATCAGACGGCCCTGCCAGACGCAAAATATAGAGCCATGGAGCCCAAAGACGACAACTTGATCCGTCTTGAGCTAACTTGATGAGGGGTGCCTGTTACCTTACTACGGAGTACCATAGTAGAATATTATCGTCGCCCATGTCTAAGACCCTAGCAAAGCTTCGTTGGCGTGTGGTGCTTTGTTCTGACTGAGTGGCGCCCATGTACTTACTTCCTTACTTAAGTACCTAAAGTAAGGACGGAGTAGTTATGGAGTAGGCAGTACCTATTAGCTCTGTCCTTTGTCGCCCGCCAGGGTTTCCTTCTTGTCCAGGGCTTTTTTTTGTGCTTCTCCTCTCTCGCCAAATATTCCTGTGGAGGGCTTCGCCAGCTTTGCTCAGAGCTCTGACATCTGGCATTTCGTTTCGTATTGGGACCCCGAAACTCCCTTTCATTATTTGCCCGGTTCGTCTTCGAATTTCGATTTTTTGTTGCCGTCTTTCCAGCCGTACGACATCTCATCACCGTACCTCATTCCCCAAGGATTGAACAAACAAGGCAAGTAGACTTAATTTAAACGAGAGATTGCCCACTGTCAATGCTACCCGGCCCCATCATCCCGACGCTCCTCTGAAGGAACAAGCTCGCTTCTCAAAAGGCAGTACAAAAGGTACCGATTTCGGGGATATCAAAGGGCAGCAAGCCATTCCCGGCTCTTTTTTTCATACTCGGGAGTGTTTTTACCCTTTGCCAAGCACAGACAAATTCGTCTGCGCTTAGCTTCCGAGGATCCTCATGGCCACTCGCGTCGTCGCGGCCTCTGCGCTGAAGGTGGCGTTAGACCATCAACTCCCGACTTTTAGGGTGGATTCAATGTTGGTGCGGTACAAAATCAGCGACGGTTTGAGAAAGACCAACCACCGCTAACAAGGCAGCACCCGAGCCGGGGCCTTTCGCGCGTGCGTCTGCCCCTGTTCACCTTATGTCTGAAGACGCCATGGTGGTTTGGCCCAGACCCTGGTGCCCGTCCACACAGCAGATTCTCGGAGCCTCCAGAGACTGGCCGCCCGCCCATCCATCCAACCCATCCATCCTGGCACCCCGCCTCCCAACGTGATCGTTGTCGGATCTGCTTCTCGCTCCCGCCTCGCGACTTGGGCTGACCATTCCTGCTTTCTTTCTATGTCTTTAGGTGTATAGAAACCGATTTCGCTCTGCCAATCTGGCGTGTACGAGTCCTGCGTTTGCCGCTCACCATGGATGACGTGCGCTTTCGTTCGCAGCACTCGCCGCGGAACGAAGCGTCGATGGCCAGTTTCGTCTCGCCCCCTCGCAACGGCGGTCGTATTTCCCAGCAAACCTCTCACGACCAACGAGGAAACATGCCACGGAGATTCACGGCCGATTCTAGCCGAGTGCCTAGTGTTTCGTCAATGAATGCGGCGTTGACCTCACCCCCAAGGGGACTGGGGTTGGATTCCACCCCGGACTATAATAACGTGAGTCTCTCGGCGGCCTTTTGCGTAGGCCAGCTGGCCTCAGGCTCCCTTGGTTCTTCAATTCAGCTCTGTGGTACTTCGAGTTGATTTGCTGACCGAGTCGGTTATAGGCTTTACATAAAGTGCAGCTTGTACGTGGCCCTTGGACGACGGCATGTCTTCCGCAGAAAATATCAAGCTGTGCTCGGTGCTACTGGCCTGCTTGCGTAGCGATATTCTCCATCTTCTCGCACCGAACCGTCACTGAATCTTGCCACAGATAGAACAAAAGAAACTCGAGTATGAGAGGATTCGTGAACAGAGAAGACGCTTCGAGTTGGAGATGCAAAGACTTGATCAGCAGCAGCGCCGCGAAGCCCAAGAATTGGCGCAGATGGAGAAGGAAATACGAATGACAGGACATCAGTCTGAACCGACGACACCTCCAGAATACCGGGACAGCTCTGGATTTCCATCTATATTCTCCCGGCCCAACCGTTACTCGACCTCGAGCCTTGCATCCCCCCCAGGCTTCAACCGTCCCGCTCGATCCGGATCGCAGCTAACATCGCCACCATCTGGATCGACGCAGCAGAGATATGGTTTTGACGACGGAGCAATGCCCTCTCGCTCAGACCCGAATACTCGACGTAACAGCGATGACGAAGAAAAAGAAGAGGCCGTGCGACAGGACCCGACCAGTCATAGGTCCACAAATGCGTAAGTAGAGATAGCCTGCGAAATCCGTCTCATACTGGGCCTTCTCGCCCTAGTCCGACCAAGGTCTTTCTATTTGCTCCCTCTGGACGCTACTGTTATACATTGGCATCCATTGTCTGCCTCGAGTGAGGCTCTTACTTTTTGTGGTGCCTGGCGTCTCCTGCCGTATAGCGAGTGGTCACGGTTGACTGTTGCTGCCCACTTCTTTGGGTGTGTGCGATTTATGATGGGCCTTATTCCTGGACAGCGTGTGCGTTGGAGCTTGATGTGCACGCCTGGCAGTCAACGTGGTTGTCGAACTGTGCTAAGCAAGTGTGGGGATTTGTTACTGGCTCTCCTTTTGGGCGGGAGTAGTTGAGGCGTCTATTCGTTTTTGACCCTTCTGGCCAGACGTGGTTTATATTTGCTAACGCAGTCGTTTCGGGCCAGCTTGAACCGGTACTCGATGCCCGTCACAAGGTCGCGTAACGGATTATATGATATGAACCTTGACCAGACCAATACAACCCGCTTCCTATTTGGAGACGACGAGCCGAATTCGCTGCCCCGAGGCCGCACCCCTGACGACAACTTCCCCACTCTCGTTCGTCGGGAGGATCAAATGGTAAGTGGAGACGGCCATGGCGTTTTTTCTCTTGTGTTTTTTTTTGTTTTTTGTTTTTGTTTGTTTTTTTGTTTTTTTTTTAAAAAAAAAAAGAAGAGGAAGAGGAGGAGGAGACGAACAAAGGAAGTGCGTGCTCGTGAGTGAAAGAATTGCTGTTGGCGGTTTCGCAACATGAGCAAGGCTTCGAGTCGATCCATCCAGTGCTCAGGCGGCATTATGATGCAGAAGCAGGGCGAAATCAGCTTGTTCACGAGCTCTTGGGAGGCCTGAAGGTGAAGAACGAGAGTGCACCTGAACGTCGAAAATCAACAGGCGGCAAACCACAGACCACAACTGGCAACTCGCAAGCGACAGCTGATGACAGCCGGCGACAGCTGGGCAGCGGCACTCGGACTTTCAGTCACTCACAGCTCCTCATGCTCCATATGCCACCACATGTCTCAAATACTCGGCATTTGCAGTTGCAGTGCCCCAGTGCTCTGCCTCTGCCTCTGCCTCTGCCTCTGCCTCAGCGTCGGCGTCAGCGTTACCCTGCCTGCCTGCCTGCCTGCCTGCCCTCCGCAACAGTTGGAGCCGCACGGCCTCGCCAACGTCTCGTCTCGCCTCTATTCAGCAGCTGCATTGTCCCTATTCTTCACTCTGCCCTCGCCGCGCACGCAGTTTGTGCTCGCCTCTTACCCTTGCCCCTGGCTTCAGCAGCTCAAACAGCCTCGAGTGCTTCGCGTCCACATCTTTTGTATTGTTATTTCACTTGAAGTCGTCCTTTTGACCGCCGCCTTGTTTTCTGACATTTTGCGCTCTCTTTCAGCTCTCTGCGTCTTCAGCTGCACTCGATCTTGCCCTGTCCCCGTCTCCTAATCCCGAAAAGTCCAACGGCTGGAATCGTGTTAACCGTCACCGCCACCAACAGAGCATGTCAGCGATCAGCGGATCGTCGTCTGGCAAGTCCAACGAAGTCCACACCATCGGCAGCCGACCTCCGTCTTTGCGTCATTCCCTTGATCTCAAGTATATCTCGGAGAGCCCAGCAGAGCCTTCCCCCGTCGCCATGTCACCTCAGAGCAGCCATATGGCCTCTCCTCCTCGCCTTCAGAGCTCTTTCTCTGCCAACGACGTCCCTACTGTCAAGAACACGTCCGGACCGTCCATCCTGTCAGGCAATGCCAATAATCACGCTCAGCAGCATTTTCACAACCATAATGCCAGCATGGGCCGCATCCCAGCTGGAGCCATGCCTTCACGCCATACCCGTGAGCTGTCGAGCGACAACGGCATGAATAATGTAGGCCGCGAGCAGTCAAATAGCTTTCAGTCTATCCAGTCCGCTCTGCAGGCGAGCGCTGCCCCCTTTGGCCCCAGTCTCACCAGCGCAGTCCAAGTGAGCTCGGCCACCGCCATTTCTGGCCCTTCGACCGCAGCCCCAACCAACTCTTTCAACACCTTTTATACACCAAATGGCTACGGATCAAATGCAACCAACTCGAGCGGCAGCTTTGGCATACCAATGCTTTCTGCAGGGATACAGCAGCTCAGCATGAGCGGCGTTAACGGGGGCAACATGTTCCCCGCTCAGAACTACACGGGATACGGCTCCATGTCACCATACAATCAGGGGGCCGGTCAGCCACGGGACAGTCAAGCCCGTGTCATCCAACATAGGCATCAGCTTGACAATGAAGGTACGTAGTTGTGCGCTGGAAAAGCTTTGTCCTCTAGCTCCTGACGATGTATCATGTAGCCATGTCTCGCTATCAAAACATGCCTCTTGAATCATTTCGAGGACAAATTTATGAACTGTGCAAGGATCAGCACGGCTGTCGCTATCTGCAAAAGAAGCTCGAGGAACGCAATCCCGAACAGGTTCATATGATTTGGCTCGAGACCAATCAGCATGTCATCGAGCTCATGACGGACCCCTTTGGTAATTATTTGTGCCAAAAGCTCCTAGAGTTCTGCAATGACGATGAGCGCACTGTTTTGATTCAGAATGCCTCTCAAGATATGGTTCGCATTGCGCTCAACCAGCATGGAACGCGAGCACTGCAGAAGATGATTGAATACGTGAGCACCCCTCAGCAGGTGCATCTTATCATTGAGGCTCTACGATTCCGCGTGGTTGAGTTGATTCAGGACCTCAATGGCAATCACGTCATCCAGAAGTGCCTGAACAAGCTTACATCACTCGATGCCCAGTTCATCTTCGATGCCGTCGGCAACAACTGCATCGAGGTGGGCACCCACAGACATGGTTGTTGTGTGCTGCAACGCTGCATCGATCACGCTTCTGGCGAGCAGAAGCCGTGGCTAGTAGGTCGAATTACAGAACACGCACGCATTCTCATACAGGACCCCTTCGGCAACTATGTTGTCCAGTACATTATCGATCTGAATGAGCCAAGCTTCACTGAGCCTGTGGTTGCCATGTTCCAAGGCTGCATCAGCCAGCTTTCACGGCACAAGTTCAGCTCCAATGTCATTGAGAAGTGTCTGCGGTGCTCCCAGGCACCATCCAAGGACATGATTGTTGAAGAGCTGCTTGCACCTCAGGAGATGGAGCGGCTACTCCGTGACTCTTTTGCCAATTATGTTATTCAAACCGCTCTCGAGTTTGCCACGCCTCACCAGAAATATCGTTTGGTTGAATCGATTCGACCTATTCTGCCACAGATTCGCACGACGCCTTATGGCCGTCGTATTCAAGCCAAGGTCTCGGCTTACGACAACCGCGGAAGCGCAGCCTCCAGTGGTCAGGTTACACCTGCAGACAATACCCAGGGCCAGATTCCTCTCCGTCAAGGCCACAGCCGAGGCATGTCAGGAAATGCTGCAATGCTGTCGAGCAATGGCATCACGAATGGGGGGATGGCCGGGCTCGGATCCAATCAAGGTGTCCGTCAGAGCGTGGCACCGTACTCCAATAACGCCGTTCTGACAGTTCCTCCTCCAACAGGGTCAGCTTCTGTTCAGCAATCCCAAAAACAGCAGCAGCGACAGTCTCAGTTCAACCAAAGAGCACCAGGTAGCTTCATGCCTCCGCACTCTGCGAATGCGTCTGTGGATGCCAGCGGCGAGAATCGCTGGGTGTAAAATTCTTGATTTCTTTCCCATCGCATCGCCACCTAGACACGATCCACTTGTACCAACACGCGCCATACACAACAGTTCTTCTTGGTTCGTGTCCATAGATGGCACTCGGCTTCTCATGCCGCACGCTTATGAAACATTTCACGACTCTTTGTATTGTGGTTTCATCGTCATAAACACATCACGAGAACGCCATTGCCTTGTTACTTGCTTAGCCTCCAAGTTCCGATCTGCACAGAACCTGCAAATCGTGCTCTGCGTGTACATTACTAAGGAAGGGTGTTACAGAAAAGTGGAAGAAGAGAGAGAGAGAGAAAGAGAAAGAGAAAGAGAAAGAGAAAGAGAAAGAGAAGAAAAAGTTGACTGGCCAGCCTTGCCAGCACTGGCAACAGCAGAAGGCCACATCTTGTAAGCGTACACTGATTGCCCATGGCGACGAAGCTTCATCATCGATAGAGATGACTACCAATTCTTGCGGACCTGTCACAACTTGACGGTATTTTTTACACTTTTCCCCCTTGTCATTTTTGTCACCTTTTTTTTCACTTTTTTTTTTCCCCACGCCACTTGTTGTGGCTTCAACGAGTTGCGTTTGATGATTTGTTTCGATTTGAGCTCAGTGGGCGAGAAGCACCGGCAGTAGCTGCACATGCCGAAGAAGCGCCAGGGGAGCAGACGGGGTACATGGCCGGGGTTTTTTGCATGGCCGTTATGACTGCCTCACGACTGTATAGCGGCTTTCATTTTCCTCTACACTTTCTTAAATCGCCTGATCTGGGTTTTTGGCTGGATTGGTGAAGGGGAAGGGAAGGATGATGGTACTCGATGGGTAGTTGAATGGACGGTTTAGGAAGTTTTGCTTCAGGTTTTATGCATGACTCTTTGTATGATCTCGAGAGGCTTTTTCAGAAAACCAAATACATGACAGTTGCTCTTGCTGCTAATCTATTCAGTGAAGTCGTTCCACGAAATACGTCGTCGTGGGGGGCCGCCGGCAGGGATTGATTGTAGAAGGCCGTTTTTCCTTGTGGAGAAGGCAGAAGATGACGTTTCAAGTTGGGCGTAGTCAATGGAGGACTCAACAGCAGAGAGGTGGCACAATTTTCACGTCTGCCATGGGCGGCAACATGGCCCTCTTCTGTCCTATTTCAATCATGCCTAACACCACCAGGGTAAAAATCAGAAGAGTGGTTACATCATCGTGACGAGAATACGACAGCCAAGTCCGTTGCAACAAGTTTTGTATAAAAAGAAAAGCTACCAAGTCATCATGGCGGCGCGTTTTGTTATCGCTGAGGCCCATTGACCGAAAGTCGCGAGCAATTCCCACCACGTAATGCCGAAGACTAACCGCCCCAAACAAGCATCCACGAGCACGCTCGGTCCGCCGCACCCGCCAGTTTCCCATTCAGAAACGACGCTGTGCGGTACGCGGACGGGACGCCTATCGGTAGCGCCACAGGGAAGTGGTGTTGTGACGCAGCCACGTCTTTCTGCGGCCGGCCTGGGTCTTGTTGTAGCGGTGACCCTTGTTGAGGCCGCGGGACTTCTTGCCGGTGGCGGTGAGGCCGCGGGCCTCGCGGTGCTTGTGGACGGGGTTGACGATCCAGTTGATGCGGGGGTCGATGCGGATGGCCTTGTGTTGGGGGTCGACGAGGATGACTTCGTAGTACTTGTAGGTGGAGTCCCGGTTGATCCAGTACGAGTTGAGGACGCGCAGGTTGGCGCAGCGGCGGCCGACGCGCTCCTCGGCCGTGGCCTTGAGGGATCGCTGGTACTTGAGCTGGTTGACACCTTGGTTGGTAGGCTTGCCTGTTTGCACAGTTAGTATGAAGGTGCCGCCATGAAAGACCAAGTGGGATGGATGGGTGGTTGGCTGAGATAAAACATCGAGGCGAGCAAGCGCGGAGGGGAATGGTGCGGCGGTGCACTGAGTCCTTTGCGCCTCTGCGCGTCCTACGGTGCCCATCTCGGCCTCCATCTCGATTCTGCGTTTTCCACGTACCATAGGTGGCGCCCTTGGGAACAGGGCGCTTGCGGCCCCCGCGGCGGACGCGAACGCGGTATATGACATAGCCCTGCTTGGCCTTGTATCCGAGGCGGCGGGCCTTGTCGGGGCGCGAGGGACGAGAGGCGCGGTGAATGACGTTCAATTGGCGGTACTATATTATGCACTCTCAGCAAAGGTTCAACGAGTGTATAGCACAGACCGAGCGGCCGGATAGTTCGAGTCTCTCCATCTCTCATTCATGCGGAATATTGAAACGCCCTCGGACATTTTGTGTTCCTAGCCACTGCGAACCAAAGATGCGTAATTTCCTTGTTTCGGCGGCTCGCAGTGGGAAGTGGAATCCACAAAAGTTCGACGGCGACGGAAGGCATCGAGAGAGTAGCAATGGAGAGACGTCGATCCCGTTTCGCTCGTCCACGATATGCCATTTATTGTAGTTGCGGTTCGGGCTCAGCGTACTTCCCAGCAGCGCACTCGGAGAAGGAAGCGCATCACATCGGACTGCTTCTTCTTCTGAAGTTCCTCGACGTATTTGAGGGCACCCATTTTGGCTGTTTAAGTAGCAACAACGTTAGCTCAATTATTCTTGAAATTCGCCTTTACTTTCGAATGAAGAAGGGCAAAACATTTATCTGTAGAATAAATGATAAATGCTACCACCAGGGGGGGGATTGGGGCGACAAACCGATTTGTGAGGCAAGATTCCTGCGGTGGGTTAGTCGTGGTAGGAGCAAAGAGTCGAAATTTCCCCCGAGGAAACTTGCACGATATCCAGGGCCGGGCGGTAGTTGAAAATTGTGTGAGCCAGTTTGTGTGGGCTAAGCGATGCGCTAGTCTATATTGGGGGCTGGTTTGACGTGAGCTGCCCCGCAATGCCCTGGACTTCACAGATTGACCATCGAGACAGCTGACTCATCAGCTTTCCAGACAAATGTAGTTACTTGGTACCTAAACGTCCATACGCAAGTCTCGGGGTTCCATCTAATAAGAGTGCATTACTAGCAACTCATCACTTCTTGATGGTCTTCTTCTTCGCTTCCTGCTCTGGCAGCCTTTCATTTGGATAGGTCCCGCTGAACTTTGATAGTTCCTTGATATGATAGGATCTTTTACTGAGTACATCAAAAACGAACCCCAATTTTAACGAGTAAACGCGTCCGCTATGGCAGAAAAGCAGCAATGCCGAGCATGGATTGTAAAATGCCCTTTGTAGCATCGCCCCAAGTTTCCTCCGTCGTTGGCGGCCACGTTTCCTGGAGTAGCTCGGATGCAATTTGGTCAACATCTTCGTTTCCAATGTTTGGGGGAGCTCTCGAACCGCTCGGAATGATGCTTTGCTCAGCATGTTTCAAGCAATGTCCCATGAGGCTAGTGTTCAGCAGCTGCAGATCCGTGCCATCTTGCTCCCATCGTACCCAGGAAGGCATTCGAATATCGCACCCACGCTTGCTAATTTCTTCATATTCCTTCAACAAAACACGTAGCCCGTCCAAGGCACGCGTTGCTTCATGATAGGGATTGTCTTTATTTCCAGATGCCTGTCCCGGGTAGGTACTACAAGCGTGAGGTAAGATCGGAAGCATGTCACCGCGGAGATTCTTGGTTGCCAATTCCTTAATGTTTGCTTGCTGATTCGGAGAACTAGAAACATTAGCTCATGCTGGTGTCAATTTGGTATGAATTTCTTACGATCTGTGGCAGGTAATGCTGCTCTTGATTTGCGTCTTCAAGTCACGAGCTGCGTCCTCCAGATCTCGTCTAGCATCCGGGGTACTTATTGTAGCCTTCCTGGCTACCCGTGGAAAAATTCCACTACCAAGTTAAAAAGACACCCAGCAAACCATTTTACCAGGAGTGTTTGTAGCCATGTGGATGGATACCTTAGTGTTTTTGGATGAAGTATAGTTTCATCATCCTGCGACGGCTTTATGCGTCGGTGCCTGCCTTCAGTGCCCCTCATCGGTGATGGAAGAGAGGTCGGAGCATCCTCATCCTGTTGAATTTCGTCGTCTGCCAATATATGTTCATCAATATCGATGTCGTCTAGTACACGTCAGCTTCTGTACACGAGAAGAAAATAACGGGTTTTTTCTCTTTAAGCAGAAACCGCATGTTGAACTGGACGTACCCTGCTTCGGTAGCTTTCGTTTTCTTGTCGGAGGCGCCATTGAAGTCCGACGGGATACGATTTACAGAAACGATCAACTCCGTGGTATATCAATGGACAGACGGAAGTTTGTCAACTGTGGGTGTCGTAGATTGAAGCATACAAGCGGACATGGGAAAGCAGAAAGATGTGTGGCAAAGCGAGCTATGGAGAAAGCAATGTTCACAATGCATGCACGGTGTGGAAGCACGTCCGGGGAAGGAGCTACCTTGCCATTAGCTCTCCTGGCAGTTAGACATCTAACAGCTGAAGTCGATGGCATTTCACGCGATTTTTTCCCCCTTCGAAAGGACACACACTTTATGGTTAAAATTATATGAATGAATGTTCTCTAGAGCGAATGATATGGAGGGAAACCAAATCGAAACGCCGTTCAATTTGCATGTACTCATAAATCATCGTCGAAGTTACTCTTAAGTTCTAAAACAGACCCCGAAGCCACCTAATGCCCAAGAAACACGGTAGCAGAAGAATGACAAAAGATGGTGTAACAAAACTGGACGAGAACAAACAGACTAAATCAAGAACAAGCATATCGCCCGTGGAGCCCAAAAACCGGTTGTACATGACCACTGCCCTACCCAAGTCATGCGTGCCCCCTATTCGTAGCATATTAGTTACAGCGTGAATAACCCTTTTTTTGTTGTTACTCAAACCATCTTTCTGTCTATGAATCTCAACCTCTCTGGTGCGCGCAGGCAAAAACTAATGCCTTTTCTCTCCCCAAGCCACTGGTTTCCCCGTCTGTCTTATTGTTGTGAACGCCGAAATCATATTTCCCAGAAATACTGTTGAAGGAAAAGAGGACTAATCAACTTGATGAAAAGAAAGCGCGGCAACTGTAAACAGGATAATCGGCCGCATAATTGAGCCGATTTACAACCCCAGAGCACTCTCAGCGATCAGTTGTTGCCGGCGGTGGCCTGCGTGCGTAACATATTCCCTGCCATTGCTTCCTTTCCCCCTCCCTTTTCGGGGGGGCAATGATTAATGAGTATTGAGGGAAAGCCCTTGGAATGCGGCATTCCAGTCGTTTTGTGCAGACATGGGTGACACGCCCGTCGCGTGCGGAGATGGACTAGATAGATGCTGCGCTCCGGGAAATCGTTGGCGAAGAGACTGGAAGTCCCCTTGCTGGCCCAATCCGGTCGGGAATCCATCTGCACCTGGGGAAAGGCTCGGTGCGTAGGGAGCAGACGTGCCACGAGTATTGCCGAATGCACCGACCCCATACGCATGGTTGTTCGGCGGATATGCTGACGCTGGTGGAACACTTCGCTCACCACCAAAGGGCTGGCCAAATGTTGGACGATAGCCCCTGCCGAAAGCTTGTGGCTGTTGCTGTTCCTGGCCTTGAGGATTCTGGCGCCGTTCGCCGCCAGAGGCACGCCCGACACCTACAGCCCCAGGGCCAATTCCGCTTGGTGCCTGGATGCCCAGAGTTGGGCTGGCGAATGAAGCTGGGTTAATGGCAGACATCCAGATCCTGGTTTTGTAGATTTTGAAAAGGTCTGTAACGAGGGAGTTGAAATTGATGTAAGAGTCAGCGAAGTAGTAAAACGTAAGCTTTTTCCAGTCCCTGTAATTTGGCGGTTAGTAGCCTTCTTCTAGTAGCTTTCTCTACCAAGAATGCGAGGTTTTCCGGACTTACATTTGAAATTCCGCATCGAGGATTTCCATATTGAGGCCGTGTTCCTTGACCTTTTGCATACATACTCGTTTTGCCTTGGCTTCCTGACCTTCTTTATCGCGCAGAGCATGTACTTCATGATTCTGTGCCAGCCGCTTGATGAGTTTTGGTCGAAGCTCTGCGGCATTTGGCTCTTGTAGATGATGTTGATTCGGCGGCCCCATGCCGCCGACAGCGCTGCCCTGGAGGCCACTAGATGAGGCCATCAAACCTGCACCGGAGCCCTCTTGAGCAGCAGCAGCACCTTGCGAGTACATCATGAGCCACTTGTAGTGCTCCTCAGCGTAATGTTCCTTCAGCTCCTTGGCGGTTTGCCAGTCAACATTATCCTTGGCGACTGTTCCTAGGTCGGTGCCTCGGTCTGCTTCGACAATAACCAGGTCACCAGGTTTGACGGTAAGGCCTGTACCCTCTTGAATGTAGAAAACGTCGGCTCTGGCACACTTGAACAGGACCACGTGAAGGAGTTGGTTGTGCCTGGGCTGTGCCACACCGAAAATGTTGCGGTGGGGAGAAGGCGGACGATTCGTGAACTGGTTTTGGAGACCGAAATGGGGTGCATAGGGATTGCCAAAAGCAGTCTGCATCGTGTTTGGCAGACCAGCTAGCATTTCTGTTGCTGTATTCAGTATTTGTTGCTCATGGTATTTCAACAAGTATGACTTACGGTTGTTGATATTTGCCAGCCCAGTACCGTCCCCAAACCCAGCGGGGAAACCCTGAGAAGACTGTCCCTCGCCCACGCCAGCAGCATCGAGACCAGATACTGAATCAGCAATGGAGCTGATGGAGCCTTGTCGAGTTGGCATATTGGCAAACGAATGGCGCCGACTCTGTGAGATATCCCCCCCGAAGAAGCCCGGAGAGCTTGACCACAGTGCAGCCTTTTTTAAATTCAAGTTGTCTGATTTTCGGTTGTCCAGACCTAGCGGCGCGCGGAAAGCATTGGCGCCGAACTCACTCATACGCCGACCCGATCCACGCCTGCCGAGGGAATCGATTGAATCAGTGGCCTCGTCCAGTTCATCAACAGCAAAATCCGACTCTTCAGGGACAGTTTCATATCCATTTCCAAGGAAGGATGCGCCAGTAGAGGCACGAGGCCGGATACGAGAGTTGTTGTATTGTTGCTGACGCAACATGGCATTTTCACGGGCGAGCATTTCGATAGTTTTGGTTTCGGACATTTGGTGGAACGAGCCTTGCAGGGATTCCGATGTGCTTTCATTGTCGTCGTCTTCAACTTCCTTGACCTTGCCGAGCATTGAACCGTCATTTGCCATCTCGCTGAGCATGCTGGGCCGAGAAGGTCGGTGCTGTAAGGCCGGGTGACGTGCTCGCCCCAGGATAGCAGATGAGCTCATTCCACCTGGTGGTGCCGTCTCGGGGTCCGTCTGGCCAACTGAATATGATTGAGATCGGTAAGTTTTCGGAGTGGGGTGTAATGGAATAGCAAATGGGATTTGAGAATTGGACACGGAGTCTCGAGAGCTCGGAGAAACTTGGCTTAAGCCAGAGTCGGGCCCAAAGAAGGAGTTGCTGCCGCCGGGCGGAATGACAGAGGTGGGCGATGGGAGGACTTCGCTCAGCCTGGACGAGGCATCCTTCCGATCGGCATTCCAAATGCCGGTCCCCCAAGAAAACGCTGACGAGTTAGCTGTGCGGCCACCAGCTGAAGAGGCTGAATGAGAACCCCAAGGGCCGCTACCAGCCTCTGCTGATGGAGTGCTGGGATGTGATCCCGTTGGAGACATGGAACTGCTTGCAAATGAGCCTTTGCGAGGTCGATTCAACGACTGAGAGGTATCGTTGAGCCAGGAAGATCGTCGAACGGGCTTTTGAGCTTGTGCAGGGGCAGCCTGAGATGCTTCGTTGCGATGTTCCACCTCGTCATCCGAGCTCGCTAGTGCCTCCGAGTCGGGAGTTGAGGTCCGGGCTTGAACCTTTTCCAAGAGCAAGCTCTGGGTTGTAGTCGTCCCAGAGGGAAACGATCCTTGGCCAGATTTCGACGCAGTCGCAGATTTGAGGGGGTTGGAGCTCATGATGTCTCAACACCGCACAGGACGTGCAACCGAAGTGCCCAAACAGCGGATATTGCTCACCAAGAGCCGCCCACTCAATATTTCAAACACGGTGAGAATATTGTGTGCGTTACTCAGCGATGAATAATGCACAAAAAAAAACCTTCCTCTTTCACAGTTAGCATATGCACATATATATATGTATATATATATATATTATATAGCCAGATGCAAAACTCTTGTCGACAGTGAACGTATTGTTTACGTGCCGCATACGGTCCGTCTCAATGGCGGAATTGCCAAAAACGATGACGAACAGAACGGCACTAGGTATAGTGGGAAAAAAAAAGAAAACCCTAAAAAAAAAAAAAACTTACGTTTAGCAACGAAAAATAAAAATCGGGAAATCTTTGGTATATCTAATGCGCGACAAGAAGCTCTAGGTCGTTAACGGTCTGAAGAAATTTCCGGACTCAGAAGCGTCTTGTCTTGGAACCAATTCAAGTGCGAATGAGTAGTGAATGATTTGTATCGATCGGCACGTCAATGTCGATGAAAGTAATACAGGTTGTCGTATGTCGTCAAGGAAGATTAAGAATGAGATGTAGGGGTATAACAATTCTAAACCAGTGCGAGTCTAACCCAGGCCCTAAAAAGGAAAACGAATTCAAGGGTAAGTTTGAAATCCAGTGCAAAGGAGCGCACCCATTCGCAGCGGAGGCAGGCCTTTATTCGAAGGATATGATGCGTTTTCGGTGCTGCGTGAATGCGGTCCTACTTGATGCCCATGGTGGGATGCGAGGATGGCACGCAGTAGACTTGCGAAGCGGCTCCCGCTGTCGCGAAAAGCAGCAGGCGTCGCCAGACTGTCAAGGCTGCCTCGAATCAAGCAGAGTCGTCGACGGTTGGTGACAGCCCAACAGCTTCTCGAACAGACTCGAGGCTTCGGGATTCCGGGCTCTAGAGATGTTGCACGCGGCGGCAGGTGGCGAGCGGGAGATGGGAGGATTGTCTGGGCCGCTGACGAGACGTTGGCGGGCCTGATTCGGGATAGAGAGAGTCCTTCTTTTTAGAAAGACGAAGAGGCGAGAGGGGACAAGTTGTCGGCTGCGGGGTCTGATGCTAGCGCGCTCGTGTTCAGAGTGTATTGATTCAAGCCAGAGCGAGAAATCGAGCGCCACAATTGAGCTGCACTCTCGGAGCTGGGAGGTGGTGATGATCCAGGTCTTGCAAGAGTGGAGGGGAGCGGCAGGTGACCAGGTCGGTGACCAGAGCGCGAGACACTTGCACAAGTTAGAGGTTAAGTCCTGTGTGTGTGTGGTTGTGCTGTGGTGCCGCGTGCGCCTCAGCACAGCACTGGAGCGCCCGCGCAGTAGGTACTTGAGTAAGTACCTAGGCAGGTAGTTAGTTCTAGAGTCAAGGAAAGAACGAATTTTCTCGCCCTCTGTGTTCTGCTCCCCTCGGTCTTCTTCTCTCGAGTCCGAGTGCGAAATCTCTCACGGCACCAATATTCGCAGGGCTCTATTGACAACAGAACAGACCGGCGAGCAGCCTGGGTATGGCTGGGTCGGCGCTTGTAGGCAGGGTTCAAGTCACCGCAACTTTCCTTTCTTTCTTTCTTTCTTTCTTCCTTCTGTCTTGTTGGTTGAGCTTCTCCCCAAGCCTCAGAACCACGGACAACAAAGTTTCTCCCTGCCAGTACTTTGGCTGCACGACAGCAAAGTCGTAGCCGGCTACACGGTGCACGATGGTTGCAGCGTGTGCGCTCCCAGTTTTGAAATCGGGTCGTGTGCCTGGACGATGTTGCGCGGGGTGCTTTGGCAGGCGGTATGATGAGCCTTCGCGGTAACCTGGCAGCCTTGTGGTGGTCTCGTGGTGGTCTCGCAGTCCTGCCGTGTTTGAAGAGGGAAAGAAGCTGGCGATCCGGCAAAAATGGCCGCTACGGAGGGCAGAAGCTCAGTTGTGCGCGCAGAGAGGTAGACGGGGGTGTCAGGTCACGTCAATACCAGTCAGCACCTTGACTCGGGTCTCGTTCAAATTTCAATGTAGCTGGCTGCTGGCTCTTGCCGGCGTAGGGTCGTCTCGTCTGGCCGATCAATCCTAAGTACTTAGGGTTGTGGTAGGTTTGGCAATAGTCGAGTTGTCGGTACGTACTTGACTCGCTCGTCAGGTGTAGGCAGGCCTGGCGTGGGCGTGTCTGGTTCTTCTTCCTGGGGGCCTTGCTCGCCGTTGGTTGGATGATCGGGACGGGGCCAGCGGCTTGCGAACAGCACCACTGGGACACGAAGCATATGCGATCGGAATGATCTATGCAGGCAGGTGAGCTGCAACTGTGAGCTGGCCAGCAAAGAGCATCCGTATCGTGGGGGAGCCGAGTATGATATGCTTTTCGGAGCTGTTCCAAGAGGGGGATGCAATCAATATCCGGTATCTGGAGACACCAACTTAGACGGCGGCGGCGGCGGGCCCTGCAAGTGGCCAGGAAAATGAAGACGAGGGAAAGGAGACATGGAACATGGGACGACCGTGGAGCGTGGAGCGTGGAGCGTGGAGCGAAGGGCGTCAACTGGTGGGCCATGGGGATGAGGGGGGGAGGCGCAAGCGCGCTAGGCAAGGCAAGGCACTTCGAGCAGGTAGGGCAGGCGGACAAGCGGGCATGGCATGGCATGGCATTGACATGGCAGACGGGACAGGTATTAGACAGATGCAGACGCGGGGGAGGCTGTCCCAAATGGCCGCGCTACGAGTATTCCGTCCCCCAGTGGGTACGGATACCTCCTTGGCACGTACCCAGTACCGGAGTACTCTGTGCTCACAATCCCTCGCGGGATACCTCGGAGTACAACGAGTCCTTCTGCGGAGTACCGAGCGCGCATCCAGGACCAGGACTCAGGAGTGGCAGAGCTCCCACCCAGCCTGGGTACTTACTTGGACGACAGGTAGCATGCTCTCGCGGTGATTCGTGCATGGCTTGTGTGGTAGCAACCTCGAGCGGGTGGGTGCAAATAGTCAAACTCGACGTGGATCAGCCTCTCTCCTCTGCTTTTCCAAGTCTGACGTCTGCTTGTCCAACGATTCACGAGCATGAGGGTACGACGACGCACAAATGAAATGGACCATGAGTGAAGTGGTGGGCAGCGGCGGCAGGCCACCTGTGACTTGGCTGGCCTGCCTCGCCAGCATCTGTCGAGCTTGTTATGCCGACGGCCAAGAACGACGACTCTTTGACTTTAACCAGGGCAGGGTGCGGCACATGCACATTGGTAGAGTAGGAGCTGCAGCTCATTCCCGTGAGTTGATGAGAGTAGCTCTGCCGACTTGATTTGTCTGCGCCCAATTAGTTGCATGGACGATCCTCAGACACATCACTCCATCTTGTTGCGCCGTGCCGTGGACTGGGGATTGAGTACAAAGGCCAACGGAAGCTGCACCGGTCAAATCTCAGCCGTCGACAGTTCATCTCTCTTCAGCGAATCCTGCGACCCTGGATTTGGAGCTCAATGTGGCGCTGGCAAGCGCATGTCAGGGGACCATCCATCCCAACCCCCAGCTTGAAGGTTCTCGTCCTTGGTTCATGTCTTCGAAGCCACTCGGAGTTCAATTGGTGGCTTGCAACTGAACGCCTCCAGACAGGACGACAGCCTTGGAGGCGCTTGATCAAGCGCAACGGATTGGCTTCTGGGGTTACCTTTGGCCTGTGTACTGGAGCCATGCTCGTTTTGCCTCTGTCTGCGCTGTCATGCATGCCACCGTATCGACAGTGCGTACAGCGTATTGTGTTTGAGATACTATACCATTGACTTGCGAGTATCGAAGGCGACATTCTGGTCGAGGGTTGCAGTGTAGGACCCTCTGCTCCCTATGCAGCCACCCCTACTCCGTACTCCGTGTGTCCCAATCACCCTCCTTCAACCTTGTCATTGTATTGGCCAATGCTAGTTTCGGCAAGCTTTTGCAATAACCAGGCAAGGCGCACGCTTTCTGCTCCATGTGTGCCAATCGGAATGTGTGCGACTCTGGTAGTCACGTTGTAGCGCATAGGCGGTCTGGCCGTGCAAGTGCAGGTCTAGGGGAGAGGCTGCAATCGTCAATTGTCAGTCAGAGAGCTCTTTTATGCGTGCTGTACCGAGTAGGGACGGGAACATATCGCGTGCAAACAGCATGGGCGACCAAGTGTTGTCTATGAACATTTCCCGTATATGCCTGTCACTTGACGAGCTGACGCCTTGGTTAAATGCATTGACGGCACAGTAGGCGGACGAGACTGCAACGCCGTCCCGGGCAGCACCTTCCCCAGACTTGATTGAGTAAGTACACTGCCGGTTTGAGCTACGTATCAGTCAATCCCTTCCGCACCTGAACCTAGGTACTTGACTACTTAGAAGTACATAGGCACCTAGCAGGCAGGCAAGCATCTTCCGGTCATATTGAATATCCCAAGCCCACATGCACACGCTTCGATGCACGCGTCTCCGTCACAAGCTCTTCCTCCCGCTCTGTTCTGCTTCCAGGTCCTCCAAACAGCCCGACGTTCAGACTTTGAATACTCTGCAGCGCCGCACCTTCATTTGGCATCGCGTCTGCTCTTTGCTGCGAGAAATCTGATCGTATGCATTGGGAGAGCTCCCGTGAAGCCCCGGGACTTTGTCTGCAATGGAACAACAGGTTCGTTCTGAACTCTGGCCAGTTTTAGCTCTGTTGGTGACTTGATGTTTTCAAGGACGGCAACCCAGCAACCCACCAAAGTCGATTCTCGTGTCAAGAATAGCTGCGGTATCGACCGAGCTGGAGCACAAAACACCGGGGCCACAGACGGAAAGGCTGCTGGGCTGAAATTGTCCTGCTTCTCTGACATGCACTTGTCGTCAGGAGGCGACAGCTCTCCCCAATGACAGCTGCCCATGGGTTTTGACGGCAACCCCTCCTCTCGTCTCGGTGGAGTGTGGCAAATCCATGTCTCTTATGGCACGAGACTGATAATCCAAACTCTCCCGACACCTCCGTCATGGCTGGCATGCAAATATTGCTGTGTACGTGCCGAAATTCAGTGAATCCGGACGGGGGCGGAGTATTTGGGACTTTGTTGCCCGTCAGCCACAAAGGATAAACAATGTCATCCGTGACTGCATCTCTCGAGCGATATGTGCGTGCTTATTCAGCGGTGGCATGATGTCTGGTAGCGATGGGGTGTTTATTGTGCGTTCGAATGGGCTGTGCGATTCCGCGTGCGTATACCATTTTGACCACGGGAATCACGGGAAATCTCTCTCATTTTCAGTGGATTTCTACATCGACTTCCTAGGCAGTTCTACTTGCAGGCTGGCCATTGCATGCAGTTCGTCTCAAGTCTGCTAGTAAGAGGAGAGCAAGCCGAACATCACGCAGAATTTGCTGGGCGTCGCAATCGGACGGGGCATCACGCCCCACGACAGCTTCACGTCTCCTTGCAGCTCCTTCCCCTGGTCTTGGTATTCACTTTCGTGACCAAGGCGGCCAAATGCAGTTGGATGCGCCGCCCGGCTGCGGCTGGGTGAGTGCACACACCCATCGACGATCGCCCTGCACTGCTGAAGAGCTCGTTTGAAGAAGCTGACGGGAACTTGTGACGTTGCACAACATCAGTGAACCTTCATCTCGACGCTGCGTACGGAGTACGGAGTACTCGACACAACATGGTAAGGTATAATCTGAGGACCGATCTATCGGGTAATACATTGCGTTAACAAGATTGCGCGTATTTCGGCTGCTATCAGACGGTTTCGTGTCAACGGACAAGGCTATGAGTAGATTAGAGCGCAAGGTTGGCGACGCACTCGATGTACACCATATGTCTAGCGTCAACGGCGATTGAGCTTCAACATCACCAGATTTTCACCCCGCAATTGACCAACTGCTGGTAGTTCCACAACCCCGCTCGGTCTGTGGCTTGAAGTCACCTGGTGTACTCCGTACAGCCTTGCCGGCCTTGCGCCCGTTGGGTCAACTAGCGTCTGCGTCTAGGCTTTCAAGAAAGTGAATGGGTGGGTGGGCATTATACTAGGAACTCTGGAAGCAATCTCGTTTCATTTGCGTTGGTCTTGGTTGAGGATCGAGAGAATCGACACTAATGACCACAGGACTTCGGCATGTTCAACATTCTGCAGAGCTCAGAGCTTCCAGACGGACTGAGACACTAGCCTGCCTTGGCATCCGACTTTTTATCCCGAGGGTCGAGAGAAGTGGTTGGCTGCTGTTGATTGCTGATGATGAATACTTGGAATAAGTATCGTAGCTGTTCGCCCAGCAGCTCCGATACCGTTGCTATCCTCGTCAGTGAGAAGTCGCCTTTGACTGGTTCCAGCGATCAGGTCCAATGTTGCAAAACAACCCTACGCTTGGGTGGTTCTCTTTTCCACAACTCCCCCGAACGCCAACTATGGTCGCCGTCTTCTTGCGCCGGAGTCGCGGCCCACGGTCTATTTCTAAATTGCTTGCCGAAGCAGATGAGACATGTCGACCGTTGGGCCCGTCTCGGCAAGCAAGGAGGACATGTCTCTTCTGGCGACAGCTTAGGGCTGGCAACGCCATTCACTCTCTTCTGACCTGCGGCATGTTTGATTGCGGTGCTGGGCGGACATTCCGTTTGGCGATGGCCTCCCCGTTTGAGCAAAAGCGGCAACACTAGGGGGGTCCAGATCCAAAACAATTGCGACGATGTGACTGAGGCGCCGGTTCAGGGGCAAGGAAAAAAAGCCCTGCTGAAGCTCAACCAGGCACCGACATATGGCACAAATGCAATTGCATGCTGCAATACGGAGTATGGTAGTATACATACGCTTGGGGAAGGCTACCTAGTATTACCTGCCTAGGTACCTAGCTGGTTTGCCTGAGGGATTATCTTGTCGCGGACTGTAACATCGCTTGGCACCAGCGTGTCCAGTTGTCGGACATTGAGCTTTGTCGAGGGTCGGGTAATTTTAAGGAATGGGACTTGGTTCCCCAGATTATCGTCCCGGCACGTGCGGAACACCCCTTGTGCTCGCACACAAGGGGATCCAGAAAGAGCTAGCCGCAGTTTCTGAACCAACAGTACCGAGTGACGAGGATAGTACGTATTCCATGATGAATGTCGACTCTCTTGGGCGCACGACCAGAACAATTGCCGCATGCCGACTTGAGTACTCCGTACTGCGCCGGGACTTGCGTGTGTTTGCATTTTGTGAGTGTGCCCGTGCGTCACGCAATCGCATTTCATACTTGACAAGCAGGCAGTTGCATGGGACGGGGAAGGGACGGGGAAGGGTTGCGAAACGGGCCCGAGCACAGAGCATCACGTGTCATGTGGTCATGACTCATCAGCAGCACGGCTTACACCGCCAGGCCCCAACACGGCATGTGCAGGAATCAGGATACACCTCCAACTCAGCAGGTCAAACCCAGTGCCATGATACATTCTATTGTCGTAGCGTGTGTCTCTGTCTTTTGCCGCCTCGGGCAAATACATGTGCTCTAATATACACTGGCGCACAGGAGGGCCTGTTCAAAATCCCTGCCCCGTCCGCCTCCCTCGCTCTCCGGACCAATCCCCCTAGACTTGCTGTGCATGTGCAGCCTTGTGGTGCTTTAGCTTCTCTTCAAACTTGGCAAACTCTTCCATGGCAATTTCTTCCTCTTGATCCAGAATTTGATGAACGCCCTTTACTTCCTCGATCTGCGGAACAAAAATGCTTTCTTAGCGGTCTGCCCTCTGGAATTTCCACCGGTAGAACCGATTCGGCCCCTCGCGGGACGCAGCAGTAGGGGAAGTAGAACTCACGTAGTGCATCAACATGCCCTCAATCCCATTCTTGAGCGTTACCGTGCTCGAATCACAGGTTCGACACGCCCCGCGCAGCTTCAACTTGACATAGCCATCCTCGAACCCTCTAAAGTCGATGTCTCCCCCATCCTCCTGGATGGCAGGTCTAATCCTCGTCTCCAACAGCTCCTTGATCATGCCCACAACCTCGCTGTCGTCTTCGTTGTACGCCAAGCTATCCTCCTCGACGTTGCCGTCGCCCTCCTTGCGCTCGGCGACGCTGACAATGGCCTCCCCCGACGTGACTGCCTCGGTGATCAGGGCAAAGATCTCGGGCCGAACATGCGCCCAGTTCGCATCGCCTGCCTTGGTGACGGTGATGAAGTCTGCGCCGTAGAAGACGGACCTGACGCCATCGATGTTCATGAGCTTGGCGGCGAGCGCCGACGGGTACGGCGGCGAGATGGTCGACCGGGGGTTCAGGTATTCGATGAACGGGGCGTTGACGTTGTCGGGAACGACACGGTGGTCCGGGAGGAACTTGAGAGCGTCCGGGTTCGGCGTGTTTTCAGTCTGGATAAAGATGCTCCTGGTGGCGCCGGCGGCCGGGCCCGGCAGAGCGCCGCGCAGGCGGATGACCGGCCTCGAGGGCACGGCGGTGGGAAGGCCTGCCCTCGAGGGCGGCGATATCCCCGCGGCGCGCGTGCTGAGCAGGCGTGTCCAGCGCGGCGAGGGCCTCGACGACCGCAGGGCGCGGGATATGAGGCTCGGCGCGGCGGAGCACGGCAGCGCAGACATTTTTGCCGCCGCGGCTGGATGGACGGTTTGCGCCTCGGTCGGGAGGGGAGAGGCAGCGTAGCGGCAGCCGCGTGAAGCGATGGCGTGTCTCAGGCAGGAAATGGTTCCCGGGGCGGGCGGAAGAGTTGTCATCGGGGATCGTGCATCGTCGAAGAGAAGTCGCCCTTCGTTGGGGGGTGACGTACGGAGTACGTGCGCCCGGTTCCGGCTGCTCGCCCACGTTGGGCGCATTAGTAATTGGCGCGCCCTGACCAGTTGACGAACCCCCAACGGGACCGCCCTAGGCCTGGGACCCCAGGACGAGCAAGCTCGGATGCTGGCCCCACCTGCCTCTCTTTTTTTCCCTCTCTCCATCGCACCTGACAGCAACGCACGTGTTATGGGCAACTATATTATTCATGAGTCACGTTGAAGGGTCCGCGATAAGAAGCCAACCGCGTCGGGAGACTCTTTGATATCACCGCCCCGGGTCAGTCACAGCTTCAACATGGAGCAAGTGCAACCTGCGGACACCGAGGCAGGTGCCGAGCCGGCAGGGAAAAGCACGCAGAATCCCCCCGCAGCGTCTGAGGCCGGCACCGACGAGGGCTCCCAGGCCCAGCCGCAACTCCAGCCGACATCTGCAGTCGCTGCAAAGAGCGCCACCGTCTGCGGAGTCTGCCAGAAGACGGCTTCGAAATATAAATGCCCTCGGTGCTACTTGCCATAGTACGCGCGTCCACCGCTGCGACCCAGAACATTGTGTCATCCGACTGCACCGCTAACCTCCGTCTCAGTTGCTCAGTTGCCTGCAACAAAACCCACAAGGAGAACCATCCTCCAGACCCCGAGCCACAGCTGCTTGCAGAACCTCAAAGCCCAGCATCGCCGGCCAATCGTGCTCCTGCCACTCTGTCGGACCTCGCCAATCCCTTCTGCGCGCTTGACACGTCAGAGCACCTGCAACACCTGTTTCGCAAGTACCCTGGCCTCACGCAGCAGTTGCTCGACATCCACGCCGCCACTCAACCGCCGCAGGAAGCTCCCGATGGGAGAATACCGGCTTCCCTGATGCAGAATGTCGCCAAGAAAAGTAGCTGGAACCATGACATTGGCATCAAGAATGGGAAGGAGGCCCTGCGAAGGGCTCGTATGGCAGAGGGGGAAGCAGGCGAAGCTATTCGAGAGTACACCGAGTTGATCCTGCATCTTATCAACACGCGGGATGACGAAGACGAGGTTACAAGGAGGCTACAGCAGCAGGCGGCCCACGAGGACACCCAGTTGATTGAACAATTGCTTGCACAGGAAAGACGATAAGTCGTTTGACAAACACCGGGCCGAAGAGCAAAACACGAAAATTGAAATATGCATTATGCTTTCCATGGCGTCGTCTAAGCCAGTGCTGTTCCTGACTTGGAGGCATTGGTGAATATCATATCACATTGTACGAAAAGGGTATGTATGTTCTCTTCTCTCCCAGTCTTTCGTACAAACATCGGCACTATCGTTTAAATCGTGAAAAAAACCCGCTAATAGGAGACTTCGGTGATAGATCCTGGGGCGACTTTTGATAAGGAGGCGACAAGGGCTTATCATCCTTGGAATGTCGTCCGAAGCTTCCCAAACGGCCCCGTAGAGCCCACCTCGATTCCGGTTTCCGCAACTTGGGCTGTGACTGTTGCGGAATGTTGATGGCCCTGGCAGCCATTGCCTCGTCACTTTGGGTCCAGTCGACTCTGTGTTCACCTGGTGCCCCAGTAGCGACAGGCCTGATTGGCGAGAAGAACAATACATCAGCCAACTCCAAAATGTCGATTGGGGGAGCGTCATGTTGCCCCAATATGCTGCCGGTACTTTTCCTTCTGAAATTTTTCACTCGATCCCGGTCTCCTTTCAGCCTCGAATTAGCGTGAAACGAGCTACGGTTGGGCAAATTATGGGAGATCATGCCGACTTCGAAAGCCGTCGGTAAGGGCTGGTGAACTTGATTTCGCCCGTCCTGCCGCTCACGCGTGCTCTGTGCTGTTTTCAACGCTTTGATCTGTTCGCAAGAAGGCGCTTTCGGACCTTTTGTTCTTGTCTCTCGACCACCATTCGGGCCGCCAAGATGGAATTTCATGGCCGCTTTAGACAGCTTATATACTGGGCCCTTCTCGGCCGGCGATTCAACCGTCGTGGTTAGGGTGAATTGAGAGGCTGCAAACTGCGGGACATGGCGGTAACTTGGCGAGTGCTTTGACTCCTCTTCGGCGCCGTTATTGCCTGAGCCATTGGGATCCGTTGAACTCGTCCGGTTCAACTTGTCTCTCGGCGACGATTCAACTTGTTGCTTTGTCTCAGACATTGTTTGTAAGGGGAAATCCGACCTGCCGCCATGTTTACTGGCTGACGCCTTGTCATCCTTGCTTTTCTGCTCTGCGGAAGAGGGAAGGGCTTTCGCCCGTCGTTCGGCCTCGGTGCGGACTCGCCGCTTTCTTTCCGAATGCGCCTTTTGCTCTGCGAGCACAAACAGTAGCCTTCTCGTTAACTCTTGGGCGTCGACGGGCTGGGATTGAGTCGGCCTTGGTTTTGTTGTGGGATAATGTTTGATTTCTTCGTGTTTTGACATCGCAGCTATGCTGTGATGGGTTGGGTAAACCATCGTGACAAGCATATTGGAGTTGAGGGCTTGAAAACCGAGGTACGTGGAGGTCGGGAAGAAGGTCGAGCCTGAGCAAAGACCAAAACAGCTGTATAATCCAATAGAGAGGAACAGACCAAAGTTGAAGACGCGGACATGGGTGATTGCACATCAGTCGCACAGAGTCTTTGCCCACAAAGCGATCGATGGTGACAACGCAGATGTAGAAGCGTTAATTTTTATTAAAAAAAAAAAACCAGCGAGTGACAAAGGGAGGGAGGGAGGTGAGACGACGCTGCTGTTAGTCTTCCCTTTTTGAGGTGTACTGCATTGCTGGATCCTTGGAACTGGTCGCCGTATAGTTTTGCGGGTTACCTGAAGTTAAATGCCAACTGGAGCTACGCACGACCCCGGCGTGGATTTAGTTTCATATAAGCTCAAGGCTGGTGGTGCAAAGAGGGCAGAACTGCAGGAAAAGATAGTCGACATGATCGATGCAGGAAGCAGACTGCACATGGTCTCTGCCGGGCCGGGGCCCAAAGGTAATTATGAAGAAGGGCCCCAGGCGCAAAGGTCGCAATGGAAAGATGCATGGGTCCAGATGTCCGTCTGGCCTTGGGACGGCTCGCGGGTGAAGGTGACTAACAGGCGCGCCTCAAGCGCGGACGAGTCGACTCCATGCTCTAGCACGCGATCATCAGGCGACCATGCCATGCTAACTAATGCTGCATGCGAGGCGTAACGTTGAGCGGGACGTCGTCACTCGGTCTTTTTCGACGCTTGGCTCGATTCGCATGTCTCCTCCTCCTCCTCCTCCCCCACCGCTGGGACGAAGTCGACGAATCAATTCCTGCTTGACCGTACCTTGCTCTGTAGCAGTCCGCAGTACTCCGTAGTGACTAGGCTAGCTAGCTGGCTGCCTTGTTTGTTCGGCCCATGGGACCCTGCGGAGTGAGTACGGAGTACACTGATGATGATTTAGTACGGAGTAGTAGTTTGGGTTTTTGGCTCACGCCCCTGATTTTCCAAGAGCAGGCAAGGTCCGAGGTGGCGAGGTCTTGACGACTCGGCGAGGTCAACGGTAGCAGGCAGACTGGAGGCAGCAGGAGAATGAAGCCTTTGAAGCCTTTTCTTTTGTCCGTACGGAGTAGTCCATGTGCCTCCGTACGGCCCGCCGGCGGATGACCTTGGAAGTTGAGTATTCGGCAAGGGGTGGAGGTGTGGCTTGCTTGCTTCCTGGTCCGACTGGTCCTTCATCATTGCTACTCGTCACTTCTGCAGATTGTTCCATGTCCGCCACGACCTCCCAGGGCCGAGGGCCTTGTCGATTCCAGCAGCCTGCTGCATAACGAGTCGAATAAGGTCGCTTGAGCGTCAAAATCAACGGGCCCACGAAAGGCGTGAAGCCCACCACCAAGGACATTTGGCGGGAAGACACGGATGATTAACTCGTGAACTGGGCTCTCATCAGCACGGCCGTATACATGCATACATTCATCAATGTGAGCAGAGCCAAAAGGGAGCTAGCTACCTGGCTGCGATAAGTCATAGTCACGCACTCATGGATGGCATCGTGATGTGTGTGCGCACCGTGTTTGGCCAAAGGACGATTCACATTTTTAGAGCACTCGTGGACCCATTCGGTCGGACAATCGAGCCTCGGAGGCTTCGACCTGGTCAAGGTGTCAAGGTGACAACTTTGGCAAAAGGCAGACCAGGCTAGACTCCGTATTTGCGTATTTGACCGAGCCATGCCCACGCCCCGCTGCATTACGAAGTTGCCTCAGCCCAATTCGTCTGATTGACGCGCGATGCGGCGTAGTGCTGCGGCATTGGCACCTTTGAACACAGCCAGCTTCGTCCAGACTCACTCCCGAGCTGCCCGCGCCGCCCGCGCCGTACGGAGGACATCCTTTACACACGTACGCCGTGCGTGTGCTTCGCCTGTCCAAGGCACGGGGAGGAGGACGGAGTACTTCATAGGTACCGCACACTCGCACCTTGGTTGGTGTCCATGATCCCGTCCAGCCTGCACCCGAGTCCGCCGCCGCCAATCAGTCACTCCCCTACGGAGTACCTACATCACCAACCAGAGGACTGTGACGTTTCCCAATTGAATCATTTCCAGGCAACGGCGTGCATCGCACGCCGTGCCGAGTGCAGCGTATTGAAGGCCAAATCTCCTTCCTGGGGTGTGGATTTGGTGAGTGGTTCTCGTCCTTGCCTTAGTGTGCGTTCGTGCCTGTCATCGACTCCTGAGCTTTTCCCCCAATGGTCACGGACGGCAACTTGTCCAACAACTCCTCAGTTGGCACACATGCATCTGTGCTCCGTTACCCCGGGCTGATACCTCTGTCTGTCTGCTGTCTGTGAATTTTTGGAGCTTCGGACACCTCGCCTCCGACTGTGCCTCGCATCACTGCAACTGCCTGCCAACCTCATGTTCTCCATCTCGTCGCCATCGCGCCGATAGGCTGCGACCGACGACCGACATTTACAGACCGACCATGACTTCAAAAGGCTCTAATACTTCGAGTAGTCGGAAGAATCGTAGGACATCCGACGGCAGCGCGTCCTTGCCTAAACGCTCCTCTGGCGCTACGGTTACGAGTCAGTCGACGACGACGACGACGACGACAAACAACACCGGCCACAACGGCAAGCGACGACAGTCCAAGACCACCGCACGAGACTCGATTCAAACAAACGCCAGCAGCAGCGTCTTTTCTCGAAGCTCCAACTCCACTGGCCTTACAGCCGCCTCGACCTCCCCAAGTGCGCTCTCCCTCCTCGACACTGTTGGTGCAAGCGACCGCGACTCCTTCGTCTCCATTGTCGACGACCCTTTCTTTCAACGCTTCGATCCCGCCAACGCCACCTACGCTGAGCGTGAAGCGTCCGACGAGGGCACCTCGGCCGAGCCACACGACAATAGCGATGACAACAACAAGACTCAGCCTTGGCCACCCCCTCGTCGAGAATCTTTGACTATTGGGCCTTCACATTACTGGGTAAGGATAGATCCCGCCCCGTCTTCAATCCTGCCCCACTCGAGCTCTCTGCTCCCCTTGAAGCCCCCGGCTCAGCCTCCCACCACAGGGGACACAGGGGTGGGTGGATGGGTGGTTGCAGCAGCCTGGGTGTGAGATATCAAGAGAGAATGCCCTTCGGTGTCTCAAAGGAGATAATGTACTGATGCTCTGTGCTCCCTTCGCCGCAGCCACACCATCCCATTTCCGCAATGGACAGTTACAACATTGCCATCATCGGCGCCGATGCCGTAGGCAAGTCGACGTTCGTCCAGCGCGTGCTGCATCTGTCACGCCCGCCAGTGACAAACACCTCGAGCGCACGCCAGGTGGTCGATTCCGTTACCCACATGGTCACATTGGTAGAGCTGGATCTCGAACATTTCGAGCTCAACCCTTCTCAACCAATGCAATGGCCGAAGCAGATAAACGGTCACATTGTTCCGCGAATGGATGCAGCCCTTATCCTGTACGATGTTACGAAAGAACAGTCCATTCGCCAACTGCCACAAACTGTCGGTAAGAAACATCCCCGTGCTTCGCTCAAGACTACGTCTTATGACATTGTTCCCCCCAAAAAAAAGGATATACTAATAGTGTAATTGGTCATAGCCGCTCTTACCAACTCGGGCCTACCCGCGATGCTGGGAGCATGCAAATGCGATAGCCCAGAGGACGACTGGGAGGTAAATGCAGACGAGCTGGCGAATTTCCGCCTATTCAAGGCGTGTCTTGGTCAATACAAGATTTCGATGGACAGACCCGACATTTCCCAAGCGTGTCTCCAGGCTCTTCTTCGAGCAGCTGTCGCCCATAGACGAGGTGGGTTCTTTGGCTCTTGTCGTCGGTTGGTACTTGGTTTGTGCTCACCGTTGCCCCTCAGACGAGACTAGTGAAACAGTTTTGAGGAGACGAGCGCAGTCCACAGCGAACCTAGAAGCACCCGATCCGTCAGCTGGCCGGCCGCTGAGCGAACACAGCAAACACAGTCGAGCGAGTTCAGATTTCTCCATCCTGAGAACGTCTCCCAACCAGCAATCTGGCGAAAACTACCGTGCGCAAGCTTCAAGGAGTCCCCGGCCAGGTGAGAGCTGCCCTCTCACTCCGCAGTTTCTCTTCCGTGAGACTCCCTCAAGCCAGGGCAAACTAACGCTTTCACAGGACTCGGCATCGACAAGTCTGGAACGGAGTCTTTCCTTGAGATTGATGAATCCGATTCCGAATCTCGCAGATGCTCCGACGATATTCCTATACTCCAGCGCAATGACGATGTCATTATCGAAAAGCAACCGAAGATTACAGGTGTCACGTTTGAGGAATTGGTAGACCGATTACTAGCCCCCCGGCTCTCGAGAGTGGACAACAACTTTTCAGATATCTTTCTCTGTCTATATCGGAAATTTGCCGCTCCAGGGGAGCTCTTCTCGGCCATTCTCGTGCGGTTAGAAAAAGCCCGAGATGATAAAACAACAGTTTATCTCACCAAAACAGCGACACAACTACGAATTATTGAGGTTGTGGCGAAATGGGTCTCCCTGTACCCGGGTGATTTTGCACGTTCCACAACGCGGCGCAATCTGGAAGATTTTATCAAGCACTTATCCACAGAGCCTGTATTCGCTATTGCAGCACAACAAATGCGACGAAACCTTTATGTAAACGTCATTGAAGATGATGACACGGGCTGGGCAAATTCGGACAACTCCAGCGACGAAATTGCGAGCAAGATTCTGTCCAAAGATATCAACGAAGTTTCCGTTGGAGTCAACGCGCTGCAACTAAACGGCGAATCCGATAGGTTGAGAAGCCCAGAGAAACTTTCCACGGACAAAGGTAGCAGGGCGGGCATTCAATTTCAATTCAATTCATGTGAAGAGTACGAAAGAGAAGCTACATTATTGGAGCCGTCTGATCACCTTCCGATGAATAAATTTCGCTATCACATATTTATGGATATCTCTGATGACGACTTTGCCGACGAACTCACTCGCATTGACTGGATAATGTTCTCTTCGATACGAATCCGTGACTTTGTAAGGCATGTCAGCTTGTCAGCCGCACAGAAGGACAAGTGCAGGAGTCTGCAAAACATGAACCGAATGATTAGTCACTTCAATCATATTGCCAAGTGGGTGGCAAACATGATTTTGCTGCGAGATAAAGCAAAGCATCGAGCACAAATGCTGGAAAAGTTCATGAACATTGCGCTGAAACTGCGGCAGCTCAACAACTACAACGGCCTAGCCGCTGTCTTGGCCGGAATCAATGGGACCGCAATTCATCGCTTGGCGCAAACTCGCACTCTCGTGCCGACAGACGTACAGAAACGGTTTGCGCGGCTGGTCATTCTCATGGGAACGCAAAAGAGCCATTTTGCCTACAGGTTGGCATGGGAAAACTCCCCGCTGCCGCGAATACCCTTCATTCCCCTGCATCGGCGCGACCTTGTGTCAGCTGAAGAAGGCAGCAAGACTTTTGTTGGGCTCAATGAAGACCGTATCAACTGGAAGAAATTCGAGGTACTAGGGGAGGTGTTGCTGCCGATTATGAAGAGCCAAGGGACAGCATACCCCAATTTGGCCAAGGATGAAACGGCGCGAGACTTGATCCTGGGCTGTCGCATGCCGACGGATGACGAGGTAAGCGTCTGAACAATGTTTTAAAGCCCGTCGTACGCCGCACCTAACATGCGCATTCCAGGAGATCTATCAGCGCAGTCTGCAATTGGAGAGCAGCGCTTCGGGGCCAATAGAGCCAAGTAAAAAGAAATTTCCATGGTTTGCTAAGTAAGCTTGCACGTGAGGCGTTCAGGACGACATGGACGAGGAAGCGAGAGTTGGCGATTTGGATATCCCTCTTATTTATGGTCTGAGCCAGGCCATTTGGGGATGGTGTTTATCTTATTTTTTTTTTTTTAAATGTTGAGCATTGGATAGACTCCTTCAAGCAATATGAGACATGATGACAACATGATCCCGGATGCCGATATGTTCCATTTCATCTGTTCTCATTTTTTCGCCCTGCGTCCGGCTTGGCTGCCAGGAACCTGTCAACACTTGGAGCTGCTCAGCATGGGCCGCACCTTCCTCTCAAGCTCCAAGCGGCAGTGCAGCCCGTCAAATCCCTCCTGCCCAATGGAATCCTGAAGAGTCCAGCCGCTGGTTCAACCGCTGATGGTTTTCCACAATCAAAGGTAACTATGCCTGGCTTCGCCTACAAATTTTCACCGCGTTGGATCTTGAAATATTGGCAGGATGCCACTTTGTTCGTTCTCTCTACCAGACTTTAGCATCGCTCACAAGACGGAAAACATCAGGGTCACAGTAACGGGGCTCTTGGAAATCGACATTCCTGACTGTTGTAGAACTATGCAAACAAGCATTGAGCTCGAGGAACTGGTTCGCACATCCAAGTTGTGGATTGCGAGAACAGGCTCTTGCTATTTCGACATTGAGATATCAGTGGACGGAATGAAGGTCGGGGGAAAGTACCAGTTAGGCTATATCCGGGATGTTGTGCTTGGATTCGAGGTTAGAAGTCACCCAGCTTCTGTTGGGGATGCACTCCATGGGCTAATCGGAGCAGGTATTGCATCACTTGAAACTCCGACTTGTTTACATCGACAGCTCCAACGAAAACCCCCATCGGATACGCTTTTCCATTCAGCATCCAGATCTTTCATCCGCCTTGGTGCCTGACGCGGCCGTGGTGGCAAGATTTCACTCGGTCTTCTATTCAATCGACTTGTTGACGACCAGTGAGAAAGAAAAGCCCCGCAAGAGAAAACCTAAAGTATCAAAAACCACAAGAGGCACACGAAGCGCAGCGCCTCGTGGTTCGAGGACGGTGGATGGCATGCGAACGAGAGGCGATGTTGAATTTGAGTGCCTGGCCTTGAACGATCAGCGGGCCGTTGATGAATTTATTGAACGGATGAATCTAGACGTTGCGGGGAAGGAGACTTCCCCACGGCCAGAACGAAGGAGAAGTCTGCGCAAAATTTCCAGCGAAGTGATATACGCTCCTTATACTAAAGACATGTTGGAGACTTGTCTAGCAAATATCATGCTAGGGACCAAACGAGGTCCCAGGAATATTAGATTCACAGGTAAAAGCCCTGGTAAGCCGCTCTCCCAGTTGGCTCCAGCCGTCTTTAATATACCATATTTACGGGTAAGTTCCTTCCAAAGGGGGAAAAAAAAATCAACCTGACTCTATTTTAGGACATATCAGCAAGGAAAGATTTCGTATTCATAATTGCAACATCTCTGGGCCGAATGAGGGGGGCGGAATCGCCGAGTCTCCGGAGAAAGGTGGAAGGACTGAAAGCGGTTTCGTCGGCGCACAAAGAGGAGAACAGCTCTGGAGAGGAATATCGCTATCCGAAAGATGCTGTTCGGGACGGTATTGAGTGCAGCCTTTGGAACCTGATGGCGTCTAGACTACCAACTTCACGACATGAGGCGAGTGCGTCGGCACGCTCGGACGCCGCAGGACAACAGATGCAAAGACATGCCAAGTGAGCCATAATTCCCTGATGGGGTTGAATAGAGACATCTCGGGCGTATTTTTCAAAAGATTCTAAAACAGGACTGAAACTTTGGATGCTAAGATACAGCCTAAGAATGAGACTGCCATAATACGCTCAGAGGAGCACCCTGCGAGCAAGATATTTGCCAGCAGGACAGTGTAGGAGCAATTGAAGGAGCTGATGTGTACTTTTAACGCCAGGAAAATCACAACGGTATGAAGTCCGCCAAGACAAGAAGTGGATTCAAATTAATGTCCAGCCCGCCAGGGGAGGTCGCCAATAATATTATGCCTTTCGTGGTCCGAACAAGTATGGAGAGAGAATTCATGATCGGCGGCAAAGAAAAATCGCCGCTTTTTTTTTTTTTTTTTTTGGATGCCAGTCCGCCGGCGGTATCATCGCTCGACGGGCTTCTTCTTCTTCTTCTTCTTCTTCTGCTCAGGCTTCTTGGTAGCATGATGAATGTACCAAATCAACAGACATTGCAAGCCGAGGCCGAGGAGAACGAGGAGCAGATCAGTGAAAAGGTGAGGCTGATCGTTGAGAACGGCGATGGCCTCCTTGGTGGCGCCGACCTTGTGAAGCCACTCGAAGTTGTTCATTCCTACTTTTCAAGTTTTAACAAGCGATGGATGGCGGTTCGAGGGATGCAGTTGCAGGTAGATTCGATAGATAGTCGGCAAGTGTAAGTGCGCCTGGCACATACGATATAACTAGCGGGATGAGAAGGCGCGGTGCGAGCGACGCAACTCTGGGAGAGGGATGTGATATTAGAAAGAAAGATGCGAGTTTGGGGGAAAGTAAGATGTGGGCTTGGGGGGGGGGATTCTTGACCATGATGCCGGTGGGCCGAAGACGAGGCCCCAGCACTGCACCTAGCACCCAGCACCCAGCAGCTCAGGAGGCTATCCTGAGACGGGCGTTTCATGGGACAGACACCAGACATGACGGAACGACAGAGACGGGAGGAAAAGGCAAAAGACTTGCGTTCGTACGTATTTTATGCAACTGCATGTGTGCATTATGTTTACACGTCCATGGTTTTCCGACGCGGCAACCGCGAGAGTAACCGACGGTGAGGTTCTCGCCCGAGCTGGGCCACGTGAGGAGTCACGGTACGTCTTCAACTCAGGCCCACTCACACTGTTAGTCCATAGACCAACCCAATTGGGCGACGCATTTGCCGTTTGAGGATTGTGCTTGGCCAGAAAATCTCCAGCTCGTGGAAGCAACGATACGGCTTTACCACGATATATTGTATCCTCCCAACACTTTGGCAACACTTTGGCCGACGATCGTGCACGCCAGGTCTTGGGGTCTGCACCAAACAGAAAGACCGCGGCCATGAGCGTGGCACGCCCGGCGCATAGCCTCCTGGGCAGGTGCTTTGCCTCGACCCGATGCCGAGCTGGCCCGCCCACCGCGGCATCAATCGTGCCATGCCAGCAATTCCACAGCTCGGCGCCGTGCTCCAAACGGCGGTCACGGTTCCGAAACGTCAAGGCCGAGGAGATGGGGCTGCTGAACCCCTCTGCGCTGTCCAAATACCGCCAGGAAAAGTTCCCCGACTACACCAAGGAGGAGCTGGAGCTCCTGAAGCAAAAGTACACCCCCGAGCAGATGGAGGCTCTTCGGGCCGGGGAGGAAGCCATCGACCCGAACGACTTGATTATCCAGGGCCGCCTCCGCGACGACCCTTACCGGCCCAACTACATCGAGGATTTCACGGTGCTCGATCCCAGGTACGACGTCAAACCAAAGGTCGACGTCACTCCCAAGGAGCCGGAGTGGCTGAACCACAGCGAGTGGGCGGACCGGTACGGCTCGAAAATGTCACAGCTGACGGGTCAGAAGACGAGTCATCAGCTCACGAGGGCCATGGTCCGCGCCCTGAGGCGGGTCAAGGAGAGCAGCGGCGAGGAACTGATAGACCTGACCGAGGACGAGCTCGACGATCTTGAGAGCGACCCCGAACTGCTCAAGAAGTATCTCGTGGACGAGGACGAGGGCGAGGGCGGGAAGCCGGAGCCGGATGCTAACGCCTCGGGCCCGGACCTGTTGACGAGAGCGCAGGCCATGAAGCTCGACGAGGCGGTCGAGGCAGAGTGGAAAAGGGAGCTGGACAAGCTGTCGTCGATGACGGACGAGCGTGAGGTCGAGCCGAGCAACTTGGAGCTGCTGGCCGACGGTCCCGCTGGCGTCAACCGCGCCTACTCCGCCGAGGCCCCGGAGCTGGGCAAGGTGCCCGGCGTCGAGGGTCTGTACAAGTCGGCCGTGGATCCCGAAGACGAGGGCCAGGACGACGGCGGCCACTACCAGGAGATCAAGCGGCTCACGGGCATGACGCTCAAGGACATCCAGTCCATCTACCGCAAGGTGCTCGTCACGCGATGGGTCTCCAACCAGACCCGTCTAGGCAAAGTACGCAGCACGTCCGTCGTGGCCATCGCGGGCAACGGCAACGGCCGCCTGGGTCTCGGCATCGCCAAGTCGACGGAGCCAGGGCTGGCCGCCGAGACGGCTCAGCTGCTGGCCATTCGCAACATGAAGCCCATCCGCCGCTACGAGAAGCGCACCATTTTCGGCAACGTCAAGGCCAAAGTGTCCGGGACCGTGGTCGAGCTCTTCTCCCGCCCGCCAGGTACGTCTCCCCCTGCCGTCCCGTCCCGTTCCGTTCCTTTTCTTTTCTTTCAGGTCCTTGGATCCAAAGGTGTTGACGTCTAAAACCCCATGTTTGCTGCAGGATTCGGGCTCCGCGTCCCCCACCGTCTCTTTGAAATGTGCCGCGCCGCGGGCATCCACGACATCCACGGGCGCATGCCGCGGTCCAAGAACCCCATGAACTCGGTCAAGGCGACGTACGAGGCGCTCACGAACCAGGTCGATCCCGAGCTGATTGCCATGGGCAGGGGCAAGAAGATGGTGGACGTACGAAAGGTGTACTACGGGGGTGCTGTATACTAGAGGCGCAGCAGCCGAGCGCCGCCTGCTCAGCCGAGCGTGACGTGTAGTGTATTCTCAAGATGACAAACAAGATGAGATGTACAATTGATCTGATCCCCCCCACGGCGACCAGGGCCCATCACGAGACCACCACGCACAGGTACGTGCCTCCGTGGCCACCCGGTCAACAAACCCCCCTCGGCCCCGAAACGACAGGAGAGGGCATGGCCTCCTCAAAAGCGCGCAAGGGGCGTCCTCACTCGTCCTCCCCCGCGGCCCCCCAGTCAATCTCCTGCTGCAGCACGATGCTGTACACGCTCGCCTTGAGCAGCGTAAACGCCAGGCTCGTCTTGCGCTCCAGGTCCCGCAGCCCGTCGAGGATCTCCGTCGTCGGGCTCGACGCCAGCTCGTCCAGCACGTTGGCCAACTACACGGCGCGGCCCCGCCCCCCGAGCACCAAGTTAGCCTTTTTGCCCACGACTCGATGATGCCGTGGCCGAGAGGACGCGCGCGCACACAGGCACGCACGCACGCACGCACGCACCTGCTTCATGTTGCTGGCTAGCCGTTCGTATTCCTCGAGGACCTCTTGCTCGAGCGGCGAGAGGTCTGGCGCAGAGAGCACGTTTTGCTCCATCGCCGCCGGTGCTGCGCGGTGCGGCGAGACGAGAGGCAGCAGCGCGTGCGGCGTGCGGGAGCCAAGGTTAAGGTTTCCACCTCGGGCTGACCTGTCACCTGACCGCGTTTGCCTGTTCGTCTCCACTGGCGGGATTCTGCTCCCTGCACGGAGCACAGAGTACGAGAGGGAGGTATCGTCATCCGAAGTCATTATCAACACCTTGCATTCACAGACGTGGCAAGAGATTGCCTGCCCAACGGGACAAAAAGACAAAGACGCTCAAAACCAAAAACACTCTCTTGTTCTGTTATCCATGTACCGTATCGAAAAAGGGTGCCTAGGGCCAAGCCATCTCCCCCATTGCACCTACATCGTGTTCCTTCATCCTCGTCGCTGCTGCCCATAAACAACCAGACCGTTCCCGTCGCCGGCCCCAACGTCCGTCCCAACTTGACTCTCCGTCCAGTCGCTTTCCGTCCCGTCATACTCGCCGTACCCGCCCTCCGAGTCCGTGTACTGGCTCGACATGACCGTAGTGCCGACGCTGCTTCTTCTCAGCGTCCCCGTGTCGCTGCCTTGGCCGTCATCATCCGCCAGCGAGTCCCGCGAGACGATGCTTCCCACTGGCGACGGAGCTGCCGCATCCGGCTCGTCAAGTTCCTCCACCGTCTCGCCCACGCCGACGTTCTCCTTGTTCTCTTCGCCAAATCCCTTTGCCAACCCTCCGCCCCAGCTTCGCTTCCGGAGAGCATTGCCCGCTGCTGTGCGTACGCTTTGGCTTCTCTTCACCAGGCCCGACGGCGAGCTGCTGGTCATCTGACTGAGGGACGCGATCCGTCTCGCCGACCCGTTTTGCGACAAACCCCCAACGTTTCTCTTGGTGGCTAGGGCCATGTTGACGGCAGGCCTGTTCGACTTGGTGCTGCCGGCTTCCCCCTCTTCACCGATGGGCTTCCTGACGCGCTTCCGGTCCATCGAGTCACGTCCCTTGCTGCTCTTGGCCATCAGCAGCACCCGAGAGTGGTCCATGACGCCCTCGACAATGCGTCGCTCCAGCCTCTCGGCCCGGTGTTCCATTTCTGACAGCTCTTCCTTGCGCAGTCGCAGCGCCGTCTCCAACGAGGAAACATCCCCGGTCAGTCGAGTCTTTTGTCTGACTAAACTCTCCTGCTCTGTCCGCAAATGTAAAACGCTGTTGCGGAGTCTGTCCACCTCGTCCTTGAGGCTAAGAACAGCCGCTTCCATGTGGTCTCGCTCAGCGAGCTTGCGCTCCAGTTCAATCACAGTGTCCTGAAGAGACTTTTCCCGATCCTCGTCTTCGTTTTCGATCCGTTGCGTCTGTGAAGATAGGAACTGCGAGATCTCAGCGGCGGTGTTGACAACCGACTGGTGCACCTTGTCCAGCTTCTCCAGTTGGGCAGACGCCTGCACCGACGTAGCGCTGTGGTCCACGAGCCTGTCGAGCTTCTCGTGGACCGTGCTGTCATCGTATCGCTGCTCAACCAGTCTGTCGAGCTTCTCGTGGACTGTGCTGTCATCGTACCGATGCTCAGCCAGCCTGTCAAGCTTCTCATGGACGGGGCCATCATCGTATCGCTGCTCGACTAGCCTGTCAAGCTTCTCCTTGATCTCGGAATCGTCATACTTCTGTTCTGCGATGAGACTGAGCTTCTCCTGCACTGCTGAGTCGTCATACTTCTCAGGGGGCGGAAGCATCTGTTGCTCGACTGGCTTGGCTTCAGCAATCTTGTCCTGCAGTTCAGTGGTGGCCGATTTGGAGTGTTCAAAGTGCTCTCCCACGAGCAGGAGTATGTCTTTCACAACTGTCAGGATCTCGGACTGGTGCTCCTTCACCTCGCCCTGCAAGCTCTCAACAGCAGCGACCGCTTGTTCTATGTGGTCCCGTGTTTTCTGGTGTTCGTTTTTGCCCTCAGTCTCGAATTCTTCAGTACGGGTGGCGACGTCTTCAACCTTGGAGAAGACTGTCTTGGACGCTTCTTCCATCTTCTCCAGCGAGTCTGTGACTGTCGAGCCAAGTGTGTCGATGAGAAGCTTCAGGTCCTCTGCAATAGCCTTGGTACCAACAACGGCAGCCTCGGTCTCGATTTCCCGAGCCTCGCTCTTTTCGCTCTTTTCGCTCAATGTGGCCTTGAGCTCATCGTACTTGGCAATTAGCTCCGTCATCTTGTCGTCAATCTTGCTGCCGATGCCGTCTGTCGCCTCCTGGAGCTTCTCGTTGGACTCCAACCGTGCCCCGGCAACAACCTCCTTGTTTTCTTCGAATTGAGTCTTCATCGTTTCAAACATTTCCTTGAGGTCGGCACTGACGTTTTCATTCTTGTCGATTTTCTCTCCTATACCTTCGAGAGACTTCGCCACGGCATCAATTCCGGATGACCCATCTTCCAACTTACCCTTGATGACTTCCTGGAACTCTTCTAGCAAGGTCTTGACCGCCGCGACGCGATCGGCAACACCAACAATCTCCGCTTGACGGTCATCAAGAGCCTTGGTAGCGGATTCGGCATGCGCGTCGATCTTCTCTTTGGCTTCCTCCAGAACCGTCTGCAAGTTGGAAATGTCTTCCTTGTTGGACATGTTTGCGAAATCAGTCGACGTCAAGGTTTCAATTGCTGTCTTGATCTCGAGAACAACAGCTTCAACAGCCTCGACACCAGTCTTGGTGGCTAATTCTTCATCATCAGGAGACGGTGCCTTGTCGCTTCGCTCCTTTATTTCTTCGACACCAAGACTCAGCTGCGTCACAAGAGCTTCCAGGGCAGTCAGGTCCTCCTTCTGTGAGATGGTGGCTAGCTGCTCAGACATGGATGTCATGGTCTCGCGCGTCTCGAGAACGAGGCTCTCGATGGCGTCAAGGTGTTCTTTACGAACGGCCTGTTCGCCCTCAATGAGGTCATCCAGACTGGCTTTGGTGTTACGGAGAATCGTCTCGATAGCCTGCACATCGTCCTTGGAGGCGGCGTCACCATTGGTAGTGTCACTGGCCTCGCGCGCTTCCTTTGCAGGTTCAGCAGTCGCAGTTGCCTCTCGAGCCGAGATCTCGCCGACGCCCTCCTGGACATTACGAATCATCTCTTCCAAACGAACCAAATCATCTCGCTGAATAGGCTCTGTCTCCGAATCCATTGCCTCAACCTTGATCCTGAGCTGAGTGATGAGAACTTCGAGATTCTTAATATCGTCTTGCTTCACCATGTCGGCAGGTATAATGGCCCGACTATCATCCTCATCAGCGGTCGCAACAGCCGCTACAGCTCTCTCGTTGCCGCTGTCACGGAGGGTCTCGATATCTGATCTGACGCTCTCTAGGCCCGACTTTAATGCATCCAGAACCTCGTCATTGGCGGTCAGGTCCACGGGTTTGTTGACCACTCTTTCAAAGGCTGCGCGGAGATCGTTCAGACCATCCTGAATGGCATCCAGGATGTCGCCTGTCTCAGGTCGAGGCCGCAAGATTTCTTGACGAAGGCTAGTCAATCCATTGTGAAGAGCCTCTAGGACATCCTGATTGTTCACACTGGGGGGGGTAGGCGCAGGTGCGGGAATCATTGAAGAGTTAACAATCTCTCGCAGCCCCTCAAGCTGTGCATGAAGCTCCTCGCGGGAGCTGTCATTGGCCAAAGACACAGCCCGGGAAACTTCTTCCTTGAAGTCCTCCATGGTTCGCGACATGTTCTCCATAAGCTCTTCGTGGCCAGCATTACCAGAGACTCGATCAACGTAGGCCTCTATGGCCATTCGAAGATTCTCAAGCCCATCCTTGGTAGCGTCAAGGACCTGCTCAGTGTCTCGTCCATTGGCGGCCACGTTATCTTTGGCTTCCTCAGAGACGGCTTTAAATTCAAGCTTCATGTACTCCATCATGTCCTGAAGGCGAGAGAGAACCTCCTCGTTGCTTCCAGGGACCGCCACAAGAGCCTCACTACGGGGAAGATCGAGCCCGCTGAGACCGTCGCGTACCGCCCGGTGCACAGCTTCATGGTGTGACTCAGAGGCAGTCTTGAATTCGAGTTTCATAAATTCCATGATTTCCCGAAGCCGGGAGGCAACTTCGTCATTGTTGTTGGGAACCGCCATGAGAGCGTCATTTCGAGGAAGGTCAAGTTCGCTGAGGCCTTCACGCACGGCTTCAACGACATCCCTGTGAGACAACTCGGCGGCAACAGCGGATGGGGCGATGGGGAACTCGAATTCTTCGAGACAATCACGAACGGCGTCAATGATTTCGTCTCGTGATAGGGATGCTGGGGTTTCAACCTTGGGGGGGACGAAGTGCTTCAGTCCTTCCACAACGGCCTTGAATACCTCCTCTCTAGTTGCAGCCTCAGGTCGCTCATCCCGGGCAGCATACTCCTGCAGGCCTTGTTTGAGGCAGGCCAAGACCTCATCCCGTTCAAGACCTAGCTGTTGCACTTCAATCTCGGGTTTGTAGTTTTCCCAGGCGTCTTTCACTGCCTCAATGACGTCTTCTCGGCTCAAGTCGGGTGTCTCGTCCGCAGAGGCCTCGTTATCACGCAACGCAGCTCGCATGGCATTGTAGATCTCCTGATAATCAACCACCGTCTTTTGTGAAGATTGTGACTGGGCAGATTGGCGACGGTGTTCCCGCAAGACGTTGTTGAGCTGCTCCTTCATTTGCTCCAGGCCTTCGTCGATAACTCTGGAGACCTCATCTTTGCTGGGAACCTCGGCCTCTTCAATTCCCTTGTTTCCGACCTTTTCTAGCCTCTTCCCCAGTTCTCGCCCCATACCAAGAACTTCGCCCCGGAGTTCGCGTACCAGGGCCTTGACCTCGGCAGTTAAACCTCCGCCCTGCGTGACACTGTCCTTGACAGATCGAATAATGTTCAAGAGGTCTTGATTTACGAGCTCCGCGCCGCGCCCAGAAGGTACAGATGACCTCCTCCCTTGTCCGTTATAGAGAAGTCGGTCGACCCGTTGGCTCGTAAGGCTGCCCCTTTCCAGGTCCATTTCCTCATTGGCCGTATTCCCGCTTCGGGTTGCGCTTCCGAGAACGACAGCATTCTCCGATCGCGAACGAATGTCCTCTGCCAGCTCGTCAACCTTGGTGGAGGTGGCTAGTCCAGAGAGTTTCTGAGACAGCTGGGTAAGCAGGCCAACCAGTGACTCTTGTCCTTCTTTAGTGCCCAGCCCGTTCCAAATCTTCTCCAAAAGCAAGAGGGAGGCAGGTGTGTCTACCCCAGAAAGAGACGGCGTGCTGATAGAGCCACGATCGATTGATTCAGCAAAGCTCTTTGGTGACGGTATCCGGGGAAGCTGAAATGCTCGCGAGTGCGTGGGGGGGGAGCCAAAAGGCTTGTTATCGAGATACGGACCATTGAAGGAGGTAATCCGGCTAGATTGCTCGTTGATGTTGCCCACAAGCTCTCGCAGGCTCTTCCTGACGTCCTCATCTCTGGACTTGGTCGCCTCCTTCAAGCTCAGCAAATCAGTGGCGTTGTCTCGGCTTCGTCGACTCAAAGCCGACATCTCCTTCTGCAGCGACGTTGCAATGTTTGTGAGTTTAAGAAGTTGAGCAGATACGTCCTCCGAGTAGGTGAGCTGCCTAGGCGTGGCGCCGTTTGTGATGTTGGACAGCGCAGGCTCCGCCTCCCTGGGCGAAGCTTTGGCGCCCATATTCTGCAGCGCCAGCATAGTCGAGCTCTGAGGCGGCGTGTTCTCGCCAAGTATGCTCTGGGGCAGCCGTCTGGCCGTTGGCCGAAGAATAGGGGTCAAGCTGGGTCCGGGGACCGGGGTGGAATTCGCAGAGTCCCTGTCAGATCTCGGCTCTGGGGGCAACTCTCGCGGCGTGGTCGGCGTCGAGGGCCGGCGGTCAGGTCTGCTCCAGTTCCCCTCAATCATCAAGCTCAAGTCCCGCACGGAACCGGGCTGCAGTGACTGCAAACGACGATGCGAGCCGCCCTTTACGAGGGCTCTCTCTGGCGATCCGTCACCGCGCCTGACGACGGCGCCGTTTTCCCGCGCCCTCTCGCTCAAGACAGCATGTGCAGACTGGATGGCGCTCGACGTGCCGGCACGCGAGGTAAAACCGGGCGACTGGGGATTGGGGTTCAGCGGCAGAGGCGGCGGAGCTCGTTCTGGATCCGAGCTATCCCACCTGCTGGGCATTAGTCTGGCGTGGTCAAGAAGAAGAAGAAGAAGAAGAAGAAGAAGAAGAAGAAGAAGAAGAAGAGCAGCAAGTATCCTGTTTCAAGGAAGCCAAGAAAGCGAACGAAGACGAGACAAGAGGGAGACTCCTGGGCAAGAAAATCGTCATGGTTACGCACATAGGAACGAGAGCTCGCACGCCGTGGTCCGAAGAAGCAGAATGCTGGTGTTTAAGATATCTCTCTCCATCCCGGGACGAGTTCGAGTCCCACTCCGACAGCGACATGTTGCAACAACACCAGGCCCTCTGTCCCGAGAGACCCTTTGTCCTGTGATGTTCTGCTGAGGAATGTACTGTGGACAGGCGAGGAATGCGGACAGCAGCCGCTCACTGTTTTTGAAGACGGGGGGAAAAGCCCACCGAGCACATGCAAGACTGTGCTGCGCTATCGTGACTTGCCAAAACAACAAAACAAAATAACAAACAGGACTCGCGGGCAGGACAAGACGAGAATATCAGAGTCGCCTCTTCATAATCCTGTCTTTGGTTCGGGAATCGACAACCAGAGGATGGACGTCTGGCCGATTTGGTACTTGGGATTCGGGCAGTCCGGGCAGCAAGGAGCGGCGAATCGATAGCTTTCAAGGGCCGTGAAAATTGTTGACGGCCCCAGCAGGCTGCAGGCCAACCCCGGTCATTGGGCTCCGGGGCGGGAGTCGTGTTTTGACATGGGGCTCTGGCTGTCGCCAGGGGCAACGGGCGGGGGAGGCGACATTTTGGAACTTTGTCTATTTTTTTTTTTTTCGTTTTCTTTTTTTTACCCGATAAAAATGTCCGCCGATTCGCTGCGAATTTCGCATCCATGCATGACGTGGACGACGGACGATGGCGGCTGGAGCTCATCGACATCGATGCCGGAATCGTGATGCATAGACACGTATGCAGCGGCGCATGGGCTCGATGCCGCCCATTGTGCTCCCGTCCTTGTACTGGTAGTCCCAGGGGCTCCCGCTCGCTCTTTGGGCATCTTTAGTGCCGTAATGACGTGGGCTGTGTAACGTGGGCGCCGTGTCATTCTTTTTACGAGGGACGGTTGTGCAGACTCTTGTCCTCGCCTCCTGCGCATGAGACGCGCATGCGATCAAGAATCGTCTCCTCTTGGTTGGCAAGTGTAAACAATGCTGATGCCGAATACATAGCCCTCCAGATGCTTCAAGTCCACGGCAGGCTCGCACGTTGAAAGCGTCTCCCGCGCACGTGCGATAGCCTCGGTAGTCTCAACAGTCTCGGTGTGTCGTAATTCTGGAGCTGAGTGTCTATCTATCCACATGCGGAGTTCCGACTTGCCCGACCCTCGCTCCATCTATTTCCCAAATAGCCAAGAGCAGTAGTCTCAAGTCACCAAATAGCTTACAAGGTCATAATGCTCCAGCCCTCCTCCGCCCAAAGGTATATTTATACAGACATGAGAAAAAATCGATTCCCCATCACTAAATATTTTCCCAGATGGTAAAAGATTTGAGGCTAACATGCGGCCCGTTACTGCTTGGAGAAGGCGGCATCAAAGGCGGGTATAAGTGTCTGGGCAAGCCAGAAAGAGAAGACGAGCTTGGGACCGGTCATGAGCAGCTGGGATTTACGTCAGCAACGATTGAGAGTCTGATGCAGAGCCGAGACGACGTAGGGGATGAAGGGGCCGTTTACCTTGGGTACCAGGCCCTTGAAGAAGCTTGAGAAGCCCTCTTTACGAGCCATGTTGGACAAGATGCGGAATCCGCTTTCGGGATTGTCAAAGTTGCGGTTCTGGATTCGGGTCTTGATCACGTCGAGGGGAGCAGAGACAAGGAGCGACGCCGAGGCTCCGGCAATGGAGGCAACAAAGTTCTGGAACCACGTGGCCTTGTTGTAGTCTTGGAGCTGGAACATGTATTCCTTGGCGAAGGCAGAACCGCCAAAAAGCTGCAATGCGCACATGATCAGTCCAAGAAGCCGGGTCGCGCGGATCAAGCTCACGCAAGACTTGACGTACCGCGAATGAACCGGGAGCGTTGCGGGCCGCCGTCCATCCCCAACCACGGTATAGTCCAAATCCTTCATCGGCGACGATCCTCAGGACGCCGCGGCCCTTGAAAGCCTCGGGGTTCGTCTGGCGCTTGATCTTGAGGACGTCCAGAGGCAGCAGGACGATTTCGCCGATACCAATAAGACTGCAGCACACAGTGTGGTCAGTGACTACCTGATGCGAGCAACCTGGGAATCAGGGGCGGCAAGGTCCGCTCACCTGCCAGCAGCGGAGTGCATCATGGCCTTGCCGGTCTTCTTGCCAAAAGCCGACTCAAACTCCTTGCCGTAGTTCTTGGCCAAATAGTCGCGCGCAACAGGCTGACCGCCATACTTGTAGATTCTTTGCAGGACCTTGTAACCGGCTGCGTAACCGAGACCTGGGAACAGCGATATGAACTTTCGACCGAAAGGAGCGCCAGCCTTGTCCTTGAAAATAACCTGGTTCAACTGGCTCGTACTGGCAACCTGGGGGTTGTGGGAGATGGCATGTCAGCTCGTCCTCGGCAGGGTTCTTGCGCGCTGCAACTTCTGTCAGAATTCTCCTTACTCGGGTTTGGTTGCTCATCAATCGTTTGGCAATGGTGTCGACCTGCAAAAATCAAGTCAGTGGGCCTTGAGAGTAAAGACTTGCTTACAAGCAGTCGGGGATTGTCGTACTGGGTGGAAAATTGCCAGCTCGGCGATACCAGCGGAGCCTACGAGCAGTCGGTAAGCATCAGAGCACGAAGAAGCTCAGAAGCCTCGGGCACTTGGGTGCGGTGAGGACTTTGGAGCTTGCAATGGGACGAATGGTGTACCTGAGCCGAGGAGTCTGGCCAAGTTGGACTCCTTCTCTCGGCCTGCATTTCCAGTCGGGGGGGACATTGCGAGGGGATTCCAGGCGACGGGAATGCGAAGCGTCTCCCACTGGTCGATTTGATGGTTGAGCTCGACACGATCGAGTCAAAGCAATGGAAGAGGCAAAAAGGCAAAGGGGGGGTTGTGACGGCTCACCAATTCTGGGGAAGCTGGGCTGATGACGGGTAGGGGATTTTTTTTTTTTTTTTTTTTTTTTTTTTTTTTTTTTCCCCGTTTGAATGGCGTGCGTGCCTGGCGTGTGGTTCCCGATCTCGGGAGCAGGCGATGGCGGATGGTCGGGGTAGGAAACTTTGGGGGGCCGCGGACCCCTTGAGCCGCCAAAATCTGAAACTGGATGCGCCGCCTGCTGCTTGTTAGCATTGGTCAACGGCTGCACCAACCACATGCGTGAGTCCACTCCAGAGGCCTCTGGAACGCGCTTGCCTAAGGTACCACAACGTAAATCGATGTAGCAGCTCGACATCGACATCCAGATTTATCATCACCAAGTCCGCTGCTTCAATTATTACGCTTCCGCCACCTCCAAGCACAGGGGAGTGTATGGAAAGACGCGGGCTATTGTCCTCAGACACTCAAGTTTCAAAGGAGTATTTGATACCTTGCCGCCATTTCTCGATTTCATTTTCCCCAGGCGAGCTCAGCAATACCAAAGCAAGGTGTTGAAGGCCTTCGGGCTCGAAACCATGACGGGAGCCATGGCGCGTCATGTTAACATCTGGCAACCTACTATACCAAAAGATGCATCGTCAAACGACGCCATGTATGTATTCGTCTGCACACAAACGCTGCTGTATTGGCAATTGATGGAACAAAAGGCGCAGCCGTAGCCACGCAAAAGTTCTCAACTACCAGTGTACGTGCCTGCAACCATCTGTCTACATGCCGTGGTTGACATTTGAACGACCTGCCGCAATTCCTAGTAATCCCTAAAAACTGCCACCATGTCGTCTAGCCGCAACACCTGGCCGAGTAGTTTTTGCTGCCCTTCCAGATGTCGGTTGTAGTTGTTGTAATGCTCTGCCGTCATTACCTCCTCCTCCTTGCCCTTCACGTCCTTTCGTTCCACAAACGCGAGAATGTTGCGCTCTCTATGCCGCTCCACGTCCAACGTTTGCAGGCATCGCAACATGGCTTTGTAGACGTCATCCAGCAGTTGCGACTGAACTCTTTCGCCGTCGAAAAACCAGAAAAACAGCGTTCGGTTCGCCAGTCTGCTGTTGTCCCTAGGCACCTCCTGGACATCCACCAACCCCGCCATTTGCATCGCGAGCATTTTCCCTTGCACGTCTCCTTTCTTCATGAGCGCAGCTGACGGGAGCATCTTCTCGTCCAGTTTCCCCTTCTCCCGCAGAATTCGTGTCAAGCGAAGGCCGTGACGCCCAAACGACTGCTCAATGTACGCATCGAGCTCCGTCTCACGGAGCCGGTCCATCAACATGTCAAAGTCCACTGTCCACTGGCCGCGGCCCTGAGTTCCGCAATGTCGCACAAACCGATGCTTGCTCTCGGCCAGCACCAGAAGATGTTGGCGCATCTGGTCCAGACGGCTGTCTTTCGCTGTAGTCCCGTCCTCGAATTTGACCCTTGTTGACCTCTCGCCATTGGCTTGTGTGTGGTTGCCCTCGACGTCAATGTCGTCCTCGGATCCCTCGTCCTCGATCTCCTTGATTGACGCTGCCGCCGCCGCCGCCGCCGCTGCTGCAGCTGCTCTGGCCAACCGCCCACGAGGGACAGGCGCAGGCGCAGCCTCAACCTCTAGCTGCTCTTCTTCCTCATCCGAATCGCTGTCATACGCATAGGGTCCCGGTCTGATCTTCTCGGCACTGTCAAAGTCTATTTTGTCTTTTGGGGTCTTGCCGATACCACCAAGAACCCTCAACTCGTCGCTCAAGTTTTCGAATACTTGCAGTGTAGTGACGCTGGGCTGCGGGCCTTTGTTCTCTTCACCAACCAAAGGGTCTGCTCGACATCTGGAGACCTTTGCAGTGAGTAAGTCGAGCAAAGAGCGGTACACGTGGCCTGTGGTCTCGCCAAGAACATCTGCTGCGAAATCGGCTAGTCTTTGATTGCGAAGCTCAACCAGACACTTTTCGTGGTTGACACGAACCACAACGTTGGGCTGGTAGATGTAGCGTTAGCGACTCTCTTGATATGCAATCAAGTTGTTGAGGAAGAAAAAAAAGAGAAAAAGGAAGGGGGGGGGCATAGCTCGTCATCGTCGAATGAAACGCACATTCAAACCAACATCGTTACTAAAGGGATCCCCATGAATTGAGCCATTTTGAAGCCTTCTTCTCTTTGAAGAAGGTCCGGCAGTTTGATCTAGCTGTCTTTTGAGGGCCTTGCTTTGATCACGGAATGTCTTGAAGCGGTCCACAATCTGCATGTGCTGTTCAATCTTGTTCTTGCTAGCCTTTTCCCCAGGCGCTGTCTTTGTAACATCGGCCTCAATTTCCCGGTATACCTCGGCCGGGTTGCGAAAGGAATCGGGGCGAACGGTTTCCAAGATTTCTGCCTGTATCAATCGTGACAGGGCCGAGTTTAAATGATCTCTAGATTCGATTAAACCAGACGATGATTCGTGTGATCCGTTCGTATGCCCATTGGTCTTGTGAGCTCGAGACGTAAACGCATGTGCAAGGTCGGCTACTCTAGCGTAACCCAGTTGCATCAGTGTCTGAACCAGGTCTCTCTCAGCTCTGCCATATTGACCATTGACGACTTCGAGAATTTTGCCAGATCGCACGAGGTTGTAGCAGGCATTCGAGTTGGCTTCATAACTGGTTCCCCTCGTATCCGGGTCAGTATAGTGGTAGAGGAGATTTTGTTGGATCAAAACACCAAGGCCGTTCCGGAGATGCCGCGGTCCAAGTGATACATGTTGAACCAGTTGTGCGAGTGTGCATCGACCCTTGGTGAGGAGCGCAACCAAAATGCGCTGTTAAGACAGGTGAAGGGTCAGCCTCGCGACAAGCACCAAGACTGGGGGAAAACCTGGAATGGGCTGAGGAGGAACGTACTGATGGGAGTTCGCCAAAGAGATCGTTGACGAGGAGAGCGCAGAGCTCTGCAGCGTGTTTGGTCTATTTGCTAACATGTCAGCAATGGTTCAGTAGCAGCCCATTTGAAGTTGGCCGGCTGAGACGCGGTGAAAACTCACGACGAGCATTGCTTTGCTCCTAGAGATGCTCTCACAATCTCTAGAGCTACCACTGTGACTACCTGGACGGCATTGAACGGCAATTTGTGGTGGGAATTTTTGACAACCAGGGTCGGTTGCGTTGGATTGCGCTCGTGATACAATATGGGGAATGGCAACGTTCCAAAGTTGGTGGTGCGCAAGGTTTTGCAAGAACAAGGCAACTGCTCGAGGGCGGATTTCGCCAATTTTCGGGGAATGGAGCCACTGACAAGTTGTTCGCGTGTTGCGGCGTCCGTTGACAAGCTCGCCCGGTTGCTCGGAACCTACCTAGGTACCTTAAGTACGCTCCACTCCCCGCCGTCCGCCTCCACCTCGACCGCGTTACTTAGGTACTTAGTATCTATCAAGTTCTGTAGGTACCTCTCAGCAATACACCCAGGCTCCTCACCGCGCTGAGGGGTATTCTACTTTTCCCTTCAACTTCTTCGCGTACGACAAAAGAGCACATCATAACTAATTTTCTGCCAGTAGGTGACGATTTCCCCCGCTGACAACCCTTTTTTACCTACCTGGCGATGGCTCCGCTGTCCTCAGAAACGCATAGGTACCATTCATCAGTACTCCACGACTGTGCTAACTTTCTGGCAGGCAAATTAGTAAGACGCGGGTTCTTACAGTGTAGTCTCTGCCGCGACGCCGACTTCATCCCATCCTCCGCTAAAAGAAAAGACATTGTACCAAGCTTAACGGTGTAAGCAGCAGGTTAAACATGCATCCCGCGAAATTTTTAAAAAGGGATATCGAGATACTCTGTTGTACATCGATGCCTGACGACGCAGTAAGTAACGTTGAGGTGACTAGAAACCAAGACTGTGAAGAGTGAATTGAAAATCGAGAGCACCACCACACCACAGGTGGACCAAGCTGTAATCGTGGGTAATGGATTGTCCAGCGTACATCCATCCATCCGAGTACCTGAAAGGGTTGGATTTCTCAGTCCCGAAAGCCGCTCCCTTCAAGTCTACAAAATCGAATCAATACGGACGATGCTTTGAAGTGTTTTACCGTAGTACTCTCCACTCTCCTAACGCTGGAACATGCGTGATATGGCTATGGCTTCGATTCAAGGTGTACGGAGTACCCGCCAACCAGTGATAGGCTCAGAGTTCATCATCCAATCACGTGATCCCAGTTCCGCCCCGAGGCCGAAAATTAGACGGGAGCTGGTCTGTTGAACCAACGAGGCACCTCTTTGGGAACCAATTGCTTCACCGCGACGGCCGAAGGATATCCAATTGCCTACGCCCTCAACCTCGACAATGATCTCGAGATCATCTCTCGCCAAAAGTGCGCAGCAGGCCGTCCGTCGGTCCTGCAGCGTCCAGCCCTTTCAGCGCCGTGGATTCGCTGCTGCTGCCTCGAATGGAGCCTTTGAGACGACGGATGTGTCCGGGTTGAAGATTGCTTCGAGGGATACTCCTGGGCCGACTACCAAGCTTGCCATTGTTGCCAAGGCTGGGACTCGGTATCAGCCACTACCTGGCTTGACCGTCGGTCTCGAGGAGTTCGCCTTCAAGGTGAGTCTTTCCCGCAACACCTTGATTCCCACACTCAAAGGCTACACCTAGGCTAATTTGCTTGTGCTTTCAGAACACCCAACGACGATCCGCGCTCCGCATCACTCGTGAATCCGAACTTCTTGGTGGTCAACTGAACGCCTCTCATACTAGAGAGGTTCTCGTACTTGAGGCCAGCTTTCTGCGCGAGGATCTGCCTTATTTTGCCGAACTCCTCGCCGAAGTGGTCTCCATGACCAAGTACACCAGTGAGACATTGGTCGTCGCGAATTCATAGTTGATGGAGAGGGACGCAGGCTAATTTAAACCATAGCTCACGAGTTTCACGAAGATGTCGAGCGAGTTCTCCATCTCAAGCAGGCCGCCCTGAATGCCAACGTTGCTGCCCTTGCCTTGGACAACGCTCATGCGGTTGCATTCCATAACGGCCTAGGTGCCTCCGTCTATCCCTCGTCCTCTTCACCCCTACACAAGTATCTCAACGAGGAGTACATTGCCAGCTACGCTGATGTTGTCTACTCTAAACCGAACATTGCCATTGTCGCCGATGGTGCCACCACTGATAATCTGACCAACTGGGTTGGTCAATTCTTCAAGGACGTGCCTGCCAAATCTCTGAACGGCCAGACCCTCAAGACTGAGACCTCAAAGTACCACGGAGGTGAACAGCGAACGACTCACCCTGGTGGCAATGCCATGGTGATCGCTTTCCCTGGATCCGATGCCTCTGGCTCCAAGCCCGAGATTGCCGTCTTGGCTGCTCTGCTTGGTGCTCAACCCACAATTAAGTGGTCCCCCGGCTTCAGTCTGCTCTCCAAGGCCATCACTGGAACATCCGGTCTTTCCGCCTCTGCTTCTAGCCTGGTTTACTCCGATGCTGGTCTCTTGACCGTCCAGCTGACCGGCACGGCTGCCTCTGTGCGTAAAGGTGCCGAGGAGACGACCAAGGCTTTGAGAAGCATTGCCGACGGCTCTGTCAGCAAGGACGACGTCACCAAGGCTGTTTCCAACGCCAAGTTCGACGCTTTGGAGAAAGCCCAGCTGCGCTCGCCTAGCCTTTTGCACGCCGGGTCCGGCCTTGTCCACGGCGGCAAGGCTTCCGACGTCGCCGCTCTCGCCAAGGGAATTGAGAGCGTTACTGCTGACAAACTGAAGATGGTAAGCTATAACTTGCTCTTGAATTGCGATATATTTCGTGGCCAGGGAAAAAAAGCTGACGTATATGTTGTCGCAGGCTGCCAAGTCTCTTCTAAACGGCAAGGCTACTGTTTCCACTGTTGGCGACTTGTTTGTGCTGCCGTATGCAGAAGAGATTGGCCTCCGGGTATGATAGGAGTATTGTAATGGCGGAAAAAGCTTGTACCAACAGATTCAAAGTCGGTTAGAATGGGTGGGCCAGGGCTGCCATGTTTGTGAATATCTGTAGTAGAGACTCCTCCATTTACATTGCGTTCCAACCAAGTGTGTCCGGTGTCATAGTACTTGTTGAATGTTTACGCTTGAGAGGTACATGGCAGAATGAGTGCACTTGCATGTATGCCAGCGAGTTCCGAGCCGGGGGTAGCCGTCCACAAGAACAAGCACATTGTCTTTTCTCGCCACGTATTTGCATGCCGAGGACGATTTCGCTCTCAGTGCTGTGTAATCTGAAGACACTGTGACCAGACAGGATTCCCACAATCGCAGCTCAGGTCTTCGAGTGTCCAGGTACTCGGCAGGGGCGAGAGGTAAAGGCACGTACGCCACCGGAGAGTGGTGTAGCACCGGATCCCCTTTGTGCAGTACGGTGTGGTCCGAGTCTCTCTTCAAAGGCAGAGAGGGCCCTGTTGGCAGTTGTTTCTCGTGCACGAGGCTTCAATGTCGCGACCACGAGTCACTTTGCGAGGCCAATGTCCACCCTGCTGCAGCCAGCAGTGAACCAACACTGACACTTTTTGACTCGTTGCTCGTACAGTGTAGCTGTCGTGTTGGTGGCACAAGACACTGTGTCTCATGCCCGGCAGGCTGTGCCGCTGTACTCCTGGCTCCTCCAGTAAATTGCTTAAATACCAAGTACTACCCAAGTCCCTTTTTTACCGAACCTTAAGTAAGTACTTACTTAAGTTAAGTAGCTTGGGCCTGGGCGCCAGTCTAACGGAGCACCTCCTGCCTCTACCCGCTCGCGCGCGTCCCGACTCTGGCTACCTCAAACCTTGGGTACTTTCTCGAGCAAGCATCGGGCTTGCGGCCCACCAACGCCTCATTGTAAGTTTTGGCAAGTGTGACAGGCAGGGTAGGGTAGGGGAAAACAAAGCCTCCATCACCAACCTCCACAGGCCAGCCAACTTCTCCCTTTCCCGGCCTCAATTTTCCATCTCTCCATGTTCTCCTTGCCCATTGTGCGGCACTCATAGCACCGTCGAGCTGGACGGCACGCCGGAGACCTTACCTTTCGTGCTTCCCTCCTGCCTTTCGCTTTCCCTTTAGGTAAGCCACACGGGTGACACGACCTCCTCTTTCTGCCGCTCCTTTCCCCCCCAAAGAGTTGCTGGCATTGCGCCTACTGTTTGGCCAACCTTGTTCGTTCGCTTTCTCTACTCGAGCCACGACAGGGCCTTCGAGTCTCTCAAACAACAGCAAATCAGTCGGGGCGTCTTTGAACCGCTCTTTGCTAATTTTTTTGCGATCATAGAAGCGGAGACAGTTGTCGCCAGCGAACCGGTTTTTCGCCATAGTCGTTCCTGGTTCTCGAGAGCCTAGCCAAAGTCTCATCCTGGACTCCGAGTTCGCGTGACACAGAGGCTGCTCATCACCATCTCAAGGTTCGTGCAGATTGATTTCAAGCCCATTGGCTCTCCTTTTCGGCCCCTGTTTTGCATGGATGCCGCTGCTTGGCAACGCCTACACATCATAAAGTTCGACTCGCGAGGTGCGATGGAAATAGGATCCCGACGGTTCTTCGAGCCCTCCTTTCTTATATCACTGGACTAATCCGCCGTATTGCTGTCGTCATTACTTCTGCGTCCCGACAACTAATTTTTTGTTTTGTTCCAGCAGAGCGTTCGTTCAATAGCCCTCCAAGCCATACTGCCAAAAACGAGCGGCGCAAGAGCACTGTCCTTCCAGGGACGAGCTGCAGAAATTTGTCGGATGCTGCATCGAGATAACCTTCATTGGACAGCCCTGAAGTTGTATTAGCGATTGGAGCGTTTCATTCTGCTTTTTAGAAATGCCTGTCCCCAAGAAAGAGGGCACGTCGAGTGGTGGTGGTGCCATCAGGGCCGATGGCCGCGCGCAAAATGGTATGTTGCGTGTACCATATCTCGCCGAAAACGAGGCACTGACTAATGTGTGAATGAGCAGGGAATCGTTCAAATTTTCGCACAGACACAGCTATCTCCAATAGTCGCTTTGGAAACGAGCGCACACTGCAGCCATGGGTTCCTGATGCGGCTGATGGTGTCGATGGCAGTCTAGAAGCCACAGCCAGTGGGGGATCCTGGGACCAGTTTGCGGCAAATGAGAAATTGTTTGGTTTGCAAACTGACTACGACGAGAGCATGTATACTACGACTATCAACAAGAGCCACCCTCAATTTCGTGAGAGGGTCGCTGCTGCCGACAAGAAGGCCAAAGAAATCGAGCGTAGCGTTCCAACAACTGCCCATGTTGCTGAGGAACGCATCATGGACTATGTCGGTGGTGCCGGTGCTGGAGAGGAAAACGAAGAAGAGAAGTAGGTTTTAGCTCTGCCACACCATGAAAAAGACCGTCTGCTAACTACCGCGACTAAAGGTACAGTGGCGTTCGCCGTCAGGACTTTCCTGCCCTATCTGGAGGTGGCCGGGAAAATAGGTACACGCCTCCCGCGAAACGAGCACCTACATCTCAGTCAACCGTGAAAGGCGCACCTGTTGACCCGGCTATTATTTCATCACAACTAAGGGCTCCTGTCAAGAGACACCCTGTTTCGACGGAGCAAATACGATCACAAGCCCCCGACGGTGCAAAGAACGGCGTTACTGTGAAAGTTGAACCTGCAAAGACGTCTACGCCCAAACTTGCAGAAGAAGGGCCTGCCGAGTCCAAGGCCTCTCCCGTCATAAACATTTCCGCGGATTCTAAGACACCTGAATCCAAACCTTCCGAGAAGGCGGCAACTCCCGGTCCGTCTTCTACCTCGTCCTCCCGGAACGCGTCTTCCCAACCAAAGGAAACGACCCCAAGCGCCACATCTACCGTCGAGCGTGACGTCCTGAAAGAGTTCAAGAGCTTTGCGACTCAACAACGCATCAACGCAGAGAAAGCTCGGACTAACAAGGCTCGCGCTGACAAGGAAGTCAAGTTGACCGAACTGAAGAAATTCGCCAGTAGTTTCAAGCTGTCAACACCGGTCCCCACAGACCTCGTTTCGATTATTGCAAAGGACCCTGCAAAACAAAAGGAAATCCAGGCGAAGGCCATGAGAAATGCTGAGGAGATGGCTAAAACCAAGGCAGACTCTGGTTCCAAGGACAAGGGCCAGTCCACCAAGGACTCTGGAACAGCCAAGACTCCCGACGCTGGCACTTCTGCTAATACAAGTGATGGTCGTTCGTCGCGAAGTGCTGTGGTGCCGCAGGCATCTGGACCTGTTGGCAACGGTACCAGACATACAGGGCCTCGCCAGCAATTTCCGCAGCAGCCGTATCATGTACAACAACCCTACCGGAATAACCGTGGTCCGCAGCACGGCCCCCCCCAGCAGCAGACCGGAAACCTCGCTCAAAGGCTTCGCAATGTCGAGCAGCAAAGATACTCGCAGCCACCTGCTCCTCCGCAACATGGCCTCGGTCATGAGATGCGTGCGCCACCTACTGGCCCATCTGGCAATGTCGATTCTGGCTTTAACAGACGACTTAGCGGGGCCCCTGGTCAGATGGGTGCCAAGTTGAATCCCAATAGTCATGAATTCAGGCCTAGCCCATTTGCTGCTGCTTTCAACCCTAACAGCCATGCCAGTGCGGGCTCGAGTCCACGGACCTCAGTCAACCATGTTGCAGAAAGCCCCATTTCTGCAGCACCACAGACATCCGTCATCCGCCGCAAAACGAAGAAGGTGGATGTCAAGAAGTGCCTCATTTTGTCGCACATCAAATCTGTGACACCTCCAGCAGGTCGCAACTGGGATGACAATGGCGGACTACGGCCATCATTCGACACTCTGCCGACTTGGCGACAGTTGAAGGACGACGAAAAGCCCGAATCCACCATGCATCTCACATATGCGGAACACTTCGACCGACAGCCCTTTAACGGTCCCTCGGCAGCAACACCAAATCCTACACATGTCGTCCCACAGATGCCACACCAGCATCAACTTCCTTTCCACCTTCAGCATGGTGCCCATGGCTTGGGATCTCGACAGTCACCACATATGGCACCCATGCAAATGCACGCGCCACAACATGGCCCAGTGCCCATCCCGCCGTACGGTACTGACGATCACCGGATGATGCCGTCCAACTCAGCTCAGTCGTTTGCCTCTCCTCGCATGGGGCAGCTTCCAGTCGCGTATCCTGGCCAGGTCCCATATCAGCAGCCGGTTTTCATGGCGCCAAGCAACCCACAAATGGGGCAATACCGCAGCTTTTCCAACAATCCTCATTATGTGCCACCGCAGCAAAGTCAAATGGCGGGCCCGATGATGATGCAACCACAGTTCATTCATCACCAAGGAATGGTTGCTGCTCCTCAAATGATGTATCATGGTGGTCATCCACATTACATGCCACCCGCCGGGCCGCCGCAGCCAGGTCCGGGCGGTAATGGCTATCCCAGCCCAGGACGCCCGACTGCACCTGTCATGATGCATCAAGGCTCCCAACAGGGCCAGCCAGTGTACGGCATGAGCCCCGGTGTGCAGTACAACCAGCCTGCATACGGTCCAGGCCAACCCAGCGGACCAAGTCAGTGACGGCACCTTTCACATGTCCCATTTTGAATGTTTAAATGCGTGGCGTGTCGTGGCGCTACAAGCCCATCCCTTCCTAGTCAGAGGTTACCACGGCTTTGTGTAGTATGGTTTCTACTATCACGTTTTCAGTGATGAGGGAGAGGAATCGTCAGCCGAGATCGCCGACAGGCATGAGCCGACTAGCTTAAGAGTTATCACAAGTTATAGTCTGGGCTTATAGGATAATTCCATGGGTTACGAGAATATCCGCTGATACATCTGACAACTTGCGACATGATACAACAGAATTCGTTAAATGTTGCACCGGCTACATGCAACAGCAACACAAACAGATTAGGGAATGTTTATCACAATCCAGGCGGGACTATTTTCATCTTTTTATCTCAACTCTGGATTGTATGTGACGGAAGCTTTCCCGATGAATCGTATCATTTGGTTGCGATATGGAGCATTGATATACGCCGAAGCAGGGCGCGGATAATACCCCTGCCTACTTTTGGGTAGAGTGGACTTTTATCTGATGTATCTGCGGTTTGGCAGCTTCGCCGCGGCCGTTATTATTTATTTTTTTTTAAAAAAATAAACAATTGGCGGCGTGTCCCTTCGCATCACAGACAATGGCAATGAAGGCTCCTTATCCCCTTGTTTGCACCTCCGTCGTGCGATGGAGACTTGGTCTTGGACATCTGGATGTGGATGACAGGGCGGGGGAATTACACGAACAACTTACTGCTCAATCGACTATTGTTTTTGTATCAGAAGTACGCCTCAATGCAGAAGAGCTGGAGTCAAGCGTCCACAAGCCAACCGTTTCGGACGTGAAGATGGAGATGTTAGCTTCTGCTGCAGTTGGGTCGAGCCAGGATAGGATAGTTGTATGGTGGACGTGGCGCGTGGGCAACAGAGCAAGGGTTTGGTATCGTGTAACTGGACCCTGGACCCGGGGCCGGTAGACAGTAGTAGCTGTACACTCAAAAGAGAAAAGTCGCATGAAGCTGGAAGGCTCCGAAACTCCCAAGCGCAAGCACAGACACAAGCAAGATTCGAAGCAGATGCCATGTATGGCCAATATTGTAGGAGTAGAATAACGCGTGGTGGGAGGACCCGAGGACGAAGACTGCTAATAGGGTAAAGACGTAGTTAGTAGGTAGGTTGGTTGGTTGACCTCGAGGTAGGCCCATTGGCGTTGGAAAAGGGACGTGGGATGACGGCCCAAGGACGTCCAGTCCAGTCTTCCAGTCCCGCTCGTGTTTCGAAATGTCGTAGCGACGATGGCCCGGCGGCAGACGACGGAGTTGTCGGCGTCCCAGGGCCGATGATTGGATGGCGGGACGTGTGGTTGGAGACGCGTGGAGGAAGGAGCGACAGACGGCCTGTTGCATGCACAAGTCGACGACGAACCATGATGTAGAGACGGGAAGTGGACCAGCAATATGCAAACATCTAAACTGCAAAGATGGCTGGAGCCTGGCCAAACGCATCGACGCCGAGGTGTTGCTGCAAGGAATTGCCCAACACCTTCTCTACGCGTCGTCTAGCTCTTACGGAGACTTGGACCCGTCTGGCGCCTTCGTCGGATCACGGCACGCAGCATCGCCTCCTGGGGGGTGAGAGGCCTCGCGAATTCACCCACGAATGAATGGACATGAAGCCATGGTGGACCATTCGTCGACCTGCTTTGGCCTGTTTCTTTTCATGTCCATGAGTCCTTGGGACAGGGCCCAGGGGCCTCGAGCATTGACAGAGGTGTCTTCTTCCGGCCACTTGCAGAATGCACGGAGCGACATGTCAACATGGCAACACTTGGACGTGCTGGGCGCCAACGGCGTCGATTGTATTCCCGGCAGGTCGTCGACGGCTTGGTGAAAGGGCGGGCAACCAAGTACATGATTGTCCTGGATGGATCTGCGCGACTGGGCGGCGTGGGAGAACAATGGTCACCTAACGTTACGTGCCTACACCTACTGCTCATTCATTGTCTGTCGTGGGTATGAGAAATTGATGGTATTGGGTGCTGAATTGGATGCCGCGGTTCGGTGAACGGTTTGCCCTCCCCCTGTCCGACTTGCTCACTCTTGGCTCACATTTTTTCTGCAAGACCAGATGATTCACGCCGCTTGGTCCCTTTGAGATGCTCACATCACGGGATATAAAGGGCCGACTGATTCCGGGGATGATTCTCTCATTCATCCGCACATCACAGCGCCGAGCACGTAGGAGCATCGGGTCTTTGACAGACTTTTTCCTTTTCTTCTCTTGCCTATAAGTTTTCCAACTTGGCACGGCGAGCTGGTCTCTCGTGAATCCAAGCCCCAACACTCCTTTTACCCTACCCCAGCCCAGCAAGTTGTCCGAGAAAACAAAGACACCCGAGAACTAACCAAGGAGCCATCATGAAGACGTTTTCTGCCGTCATCGGGGCCGTTCTTGGATTCGCGTCCTTGGGTTCGGCTCACATGCAGATGTCGGACCCTCCCCCTTTCAAATCCAGCCACAACAAGTTCGCCACTACCAAGGACACTGATATGTCCAGTCCTCTCGCGGCCAACGGCGCCAACTTCCCCTGCAAGGGATACCACAAGGCCGTTGGCACTCCTGAGGGCCAGCCTGTTGCGACCTGGACGCCAGGTCAGTCGTACAAGATGACAATCGGCGGCGGCGCCTACCACAACGGGGGCAGTTGCCAAGCGTCTCTATCAGTTGACGGCGGAAAGACGTGGAAAGTCATTCACTCGTACATTGGAAGCTGCCCTGCCCAGGGGGAGTCGAGCTTCGGCTTTGTCGTGCCTGGCGACACACCCGCCGGAAACGCCATCTTTGCCTGGACTTGGTTCAACCAGGTAGGCAACCGCGAGATGTACATGAACTGCGCCGCCGTGACTATTGGAGGTGGTGCCCCCAAGGTCCGCAAGGCTCGTGGCGCTTCCGTCCCCTTCAACAGCCGTCCTGCCATGTTCGTTGCCAACATCGGCAATGGCTGCAAAACCGCCGACTCGGCGGATGTGATCTTTCCTGACCCCGGCCCCGATGTCGACTCGAAGTCTCAGAAGTCTGCTGCACCCGTTGGAAACTGCGGCGCTCAGAGATCCGGATCCGGATCCGCTTCCGCTTCCGCTCCGGCTGCTTCAGGTGCTGGCGCAGCTCCTCTCAAAGACAACAACGCCGGAGGCGCCGGTGCTCCCCCAGCCGGTGCTCCTCCGGCCGGTGGTCCTCCAGCCGCTGCTATTCCGGCAGCTACAAGTGCACCGGCCCCAGTTGGTGGCGGGGGAAGCAACGGAACTTGTGGTGGTCAGTAAACATTCACTGCTCTCATGGAACTCCGGCAAACGTCAGTCGGGAACTATCTGGCCTCGTAGTTCGAGCGTCGTAAAAGGGGGGTTGCGGTTTTGCGTGAGTCGGCTCGCTTGAATGTATATAAATGCTGTTTTTTTCTCTTTTTCTCGTGGATGTAAAGACAGGCAGTTTTTGCAGAGCAGAGAACAGCCGATTTGAATTTAATGATTAAGTCAACCTGGTCAGGAGACGGCAGATGGTGTCGCTTCTTCTCACCCCTGAATGAAGCCTGTGTCCACTTTCGAGACTCGAGACGTTCCACGCCCGTGTACGGAGTCATGTAGATGACACGAAACACGCCGAGATATTTGCAGCCACAGCCGTTGAACGTCGCCGCCTGCCCCATAGGAGTGATGTCGGAACCTGGGACAGATGACACTGGAACCAACTGCGGAGGCCGTCGATTGACGACGTGCGAAAGTTTGAACGTTGGATGTTGACTGCTGACTGTTGACTGTTTGAAGCCAACGACGAGCCCCCGCCGTTCTGGAGGGACGTGCCTGTGCCTGCCTTGGCTGTTAAAGCCCCCCTCCCCACCGGCAATAGAATAGAGCCCAACCACTTCCTGCCAATGTTATTAGTGTTTCTATTGTTGTTGCCCAGATCCATATCCATACTTGGCTAGCATCCATACAGGTGCAGACGCCAGACGCCAGACGCCAGACGCCAGACGCCAGACGCCAGACGCCCGAAGCCAGATAGATCCTGCCAGGCCCAAGCGCTCAAGTCCCCGTGTCGCTACCGAGCGCCGTCGCCATAGCCTCCTCCCCCCACCCCAGTCCCGTTTCCCGTTCCCAACTTTACTCTGCCGAGTCCAGCCAGACACGTAACTAACTACAACACCAAGCTGAAGCGCTTGCGCTGTTTCGCTCGCTTCCAATTCTTCCTCATTCTCCCCTACCGAGCACCTCAGACCCGTCTCCCCTTCACCCGCCGTATATAATCACTTGTATTGCTCCCCCCCTCACCCCGCGCCCCTCATCGTTCAAAACTTCATCCATCCTCCCGCCTCCCGCCTCCCGCCTCACAACGTCGAAAGAAAACCAGAAGACCATCACCAAAGGCCCCATGGCTGGCCCGACTTCGCCGAGCAACGAGGGCCCCTCGTTTGCCCCGCCTCAGCTCCCGCCCGGCTGGATTGCGCAATGGGACGGCGCCAGCAAAAAGTACTACTACGTGCAACTCGCCACGGGCGTGTCGCAATGGGAGATTCCCACGCAGGCCGCCAACACCGGCACCACTCCTCGACAGGCTGTCGACCATCCCTACGGCACTCCGCCTCCCGAGCTCATCACTCATCCCGATGGATCGCAGACGGTCAAGCATCCCGACGGCACAATGGAGCCGATAATGGCGGACGGGACCAGAGGCGTGGACGGCCCAGCCGGCGATCGCGGTCTTGGTGTAAGTAACCACTCACTTCTCCATTCCCCTCTCGCTGAGCCGCAGAGCAATGCTAACAGCGCTTTGATGTGAAAACACGGCAGACTATGGCTATGAATGCTCTCCTCGGCGGTAAGAAGCAATCATCGGGCGGCAGCGGCATAGGAGGGCTGGCGAGCCAGTTCCTCGGCGGCGGCGGCGGCGCCGGTCACAGCAGTGGAAGCAGCGGCATAGCCGGGAAGCTGGCCGGGCAGCTCGCGTCAAACTTGTTCTCGCCGTCAGAAAAACCGGCGCCCCCGCAGAACTACCACGGCGGGCAGAATTCCAACAAGCCCAGCCACCAGGGTGGTCTTGCCGGCGCCGTCTTTGGCGGCGTAGCTCACATGTTTGGCGGCAAGGAGTCCTCAGGCGTAAGTCCTTTTTCGGTGTCCATGAGAATGGCCTAGCGTGCGCCGGCTCTTGTTCTTCTGTTGTGCTGATGTACTGACATGGAGCCTGGGCCGGGGCCGGGCGTGGTTAATAGAACCAGAATTACGGATATTCCAACACCGGGCCTGGAACATATGCCGGTGGCGACGCGCCTACCTACCATCCTCCGGGGAGCACACATTCCTCATCGACTCACAAGCCCCCGTCCAACGCATATTCGACGCCGAGTCAACAACAACAACAACAACAACACAGCCAGGGCCAGCAGTCACAGAGCCATCAACCTCACGGGTCGCAGTCGTATCCTCCGCCGCCTCCTCCTCCTCAGGGCCACTCGCCAAACCATCAATCGAATTACCAGAGCCAAGCGCCTCCCCACGACACCTATCAAGGTGCGTCACTCCACGGCCAGCAGCAGCAGCATAACCAGCCCCCCTACGGCCAAAACTATGGGGGTCCGCACGGCAGCCCAGGGGGATATTCTGGCGGGCAACCTGGCTATGGTGGTCAGCAGAATCAAGGATATGGTCAACCTCCCCTCCACGGTGGCGGCTACAACCAGCACTATTCCGGTGGCAACCGGCCCTACCAGGGGCATCAGCCGCATCAGAGCGGTCGTTATTGAGGCGCCGACTCTGAGGGAGCCCAGACATAGTTGTTGACAGACTGCGATTGGTAGACGCTCGGATAGGACGAGGGACATCATGGCACCAGTTTGTCGGTGGAACGGGAGGATATTATACCAAAATTTCGGACAATATGGAGCCGGCAACCTTCTTTTGATCTAGCGTCGCTTTGAGTTCTGGCGAAGACGGCATCGGTAGACGGGAAACGAGTTACGACGGATTTTTACTTTTTTTTTTTACCCCCCATTTTTTTTTTTTGCATTGCCGTGATTTTTCTTTTTCTTTTTCTTTTTTTGTATCTAGAATTGTGCAGCCGGTTTCATGACTGTTCCTTCACACACAAAAAGACATGTAAGAAAGGAGAAAAACAACAAACTCAATCAAGGCAGCCATATCGTCGCTGAAACCTCGTCTGACCTGGTGTCTAAAATGTGAAGCACTCTTCAATCTTGTTTCTCGGGTGAGATTTCCACAGAATCAGCTACACGTCGAAGGCTAGATGCTACCCACCGCCCTACAAACCAGGTAACGATGCCGAGGAGGCTGAGGTAGCCTACTGTGGGCAGTAGCGACTGGGGAAGAACGTTGAAGAGGAACGGATCCAAGATGAAATCGACCAGGATTGGGGGAGGCCTGGTCATAAGCTCCGCGTTGTCGGTGAAGTAATCGGCGGCGGAGTGAATCTCGACTAGTAGCGAGCGACTCTCTGAGCCTATGGTAGAATGCTTTGTGGTCTGGACACTTGGCCTCGATGCCGCGTAGGCATTCAGAGACCGGAGGAGTCTGGGATCCCTCACAACTGTTTCTAGGGTGTAGGCCTCCATGTCGAAGCGATTTGGTTCCTGACGGGGCATGAGACTGAGCCGCGCCTATAAATGGGGTTGGACTTACCAAAGCTGACCAGCAGACTCTAAACTCGTATCTCCGGTTCTCGGTCAGGTTCGTGACGAGGATCCAGGACGGCTGACCCCGAAAGCCCGTCTCCTCGGACGCAAAGATGCGATCTAAATTTGTTCGGACGGACAGTTCATCGTGCGTCAGGGTGTTGATGTTGAGCGACGACAGTGCAGGGTTGCTGCTGGCTGTGGGGGAGGAGGGAGGGCCGGTGAAGATGATTTTTTCGACGTTGCCGGCCACGAACTCAACCAGGATGCATAGGAGGAGTATTGCGTGGACCAACGTCTTCGTGTGGCCTGAAGTGGGAGGCACCATGATGGTGGTTGAGGGTTGCAGGAGGTTGTGTTGTTTGACGTTGCGGGCGGAGCGCCCCACTGGTCAACCCTTTCTCGAGAAGCTTCAGGATGAGGGTTCGCTGCTCGGGTCTCGTCCAATTTGGTTGCATGCGCGGCAGCAGGACTGCTCAACTGGTCGGTTTTTCTGCGGCGTGCACTCTGCAAAGAAGACCAGGTCGTGGGCTGTGTTCGCTCTGTCGCCAGACCCCTGATGGATGACTTTCGATCAGCGTTGGCATCATGATAACTGGCTGCATGTTTAATTTGGTTGCCTTTCGGGCCCCAACAGGGCACGACAATGGGCTCCCTGTGCGGGAGGGATGGGACGATGACGCCGCCTTCACCGCAGCGATGCGGCATCCAAATTGGCAGTGCAATTAATTCCAACTCGCTTCGGCCAAAGTAGGAACTACGAACCGTGACCCGGTGTGTCGATTCGTACTGTACCGTACATACGAAGTACTCCGTACTGTCGAAACAATTGGGGCGTCGTCGTTTGGCTTTCAAATTTGGGCAACGTGGCAGTGAATGGCAGACGTGTGTGGGTTCTCGTCAAATGAAGCAATCATACGGAGTAACAAGAAGTAAACAGTGCACAGAGTTTGCCAAAGCGCCGTCTGGACAGGGGGCTTTAGGGCCCCAGGGTTGTTGATGGGGTTGTGCAGCTGCCGGCCCTACACGAGCCGTCTCCAGAGGCATCTCTGGGCCTGGGGCCACTCACGCAGTCGATCTGAGCCTGACTGAGGCAAAGGAGGAAGCGCTGGCAGCGGTTTTGTTTATCTTGTCTGTTGTGACGGCACTCGAGTAGAACTCACTTTTGACTCTTGGGTGGTCAACAGCAAAGCTCAGCTCATCCTGGAGCGGTGCGAGAGACACGCACCAGGTTACGGAGCACCCAGGACCTCAAGCACATCGTAAGTACCTTGGTACGGAGTACTCGAGTACTTACTCCGTACTTGTATCTGTAGGTGCTTCGTCCGACTTCCAATAATCGTCAGTCAGGGCCGGCTGGCAGGGACCCCAGAGACGCGCTTACCTCTTCGGGACCCGACCAGGAAATCAACAAATCCCCGGACAGCAACCCATCGCCCTCGCCCCCTCTCCCCCTGGCCACCCAAATTTCCCCCACCTATTTTCCTCGCCCCGTCACGCACCGAGACTTCTCTCAACCTCTCACGTTCCCGATCCCGTGGACCAGAGAAGAAAAAAGAGCCTCGTCTCGGTTTCGACCTTTCTCGCCGCCTTCTTGCGTCCCCTTCATACATACCTTCCACCCGATTTTGTGTTGTAGTTCGTCACCATGCGCGAGGTTATCAGCATCAACGGTAAGGAGCCTTGCTGTTGCCCTGCCCCTCATTTCGTCCTCCCACACGCGTCGTCTCACCGCATCAATGGCTCGAGCTGTTTGGGCATGCTGACTGTGAGAATGTAGTCGGCCAGGCTGGCTGCCAAATTGCCAATTCTTGCTGGGAGGTATGTCTGTCTGTTGATTTTTATGCCTTCACCCATCATGGTTTTGCTGACTCGAATTTGGCTTTAGCTTTACTGCCTCGAGCACGGTATCCAGGTAAATAACGCTCGCCGTTGTTCACAAACACATCACCAACCACAACCGTCACGACGTGGCTAACATCCACGACCGTTCTGACAGCCCGATGGCTACCTCACCGAGGAGCGCAAGGCTCAGGACCCGGATCAAGGCTTCAGCACTTTCTTCTCCGAGACTGGTACGGCCCTCCCCATCCCCCTTTTTTCTTGTGCAGAACCTTGCCATCACATCCATCTTGATGCCAGCCCCTGAGCCACATTCAATGGCTAACATTTGCTTGATGTAGGCCAGGGAAAATATGTCCCTCGCGCCATCTACTGCGATCTCGAGCCCAACGTCGTCGATGAAGTCCGCACCGGTCCTTATCGCAACCTTTTCCATCCCGAGATGATGATCACCGGCAAGGAGGATGCTTCCAACAACTATGCCCGTGGTCACTACACCGTTGGCAAGGAACTCATTGAGGGAGTCCTCGACAAGATTCGCCGTGTTGCCGATAACTGTGTTGGCCTCCAGGGCTTCCTCGTTTTTCACTCTTTCGGTGGTGGTACTGGTTCCGGTTTCGGCGCTCTCTTGATGGAGCGCCTGTCTGTCGACTACGGCAAGAAGAGCAAGCTCGAGTTCTGTGTTTACCCTGCTCCCCAGACTGCCACGTCCGTTGTCGAGCCATACAATTCTATTCTCACTACTCACACCACACTTGAGCACTCTGACTGCTCTTTCATGGTCGACAACGAGGCCATCTACGACATTTGCCGCCGCAACCTCGGTCTTGAGCGCCCCAACTACGAGAATCTGAACCGCCTGATTGCACAGGGTAAGTTGAATAACGGGCTATATGAACCTTGGATATGGGATAGCGCTGATTCTGTTTGACTTTGTGTGTACGTGCAGTCGTTTCTTCCATCACCGCCTCTCTTCGCTTCGATGGTTCTCTCAACGTCGATCTGAATGAGTTCCAGACCAACTTGGTGCCTTACCCCAGAATTCACTTCCCTCTGGTCGCCTATGCCCCCGTCATCTCGGCTGCCAAGGCAGCCCATGAGGCCAACTCTGTGCAGGAGATCACAATGTCCTGCTTCGAACCCAACAATCAGATGGTCAAGTGTGATCCCCGCCACGGCAAGTATATGGCTACCTGCCTGCTGTACCGCGGTGACGTTGTCCCCAACGACACCCACGCTGCCGTTGCCTCCCTCAAGACTAAGCGCACCATTCAGTTCGTGGACTGGTGCCCTACTGGATTCAAACTTGGTATCTGCTACCAAGCTCCTGAGAACGTTCCTAACGGTGACTTGGCCAAGGTCAACCGCGCTGTGTAAGTTAATTTACCTTTCCATCATGCACCTACTGGACTTGTGTCGCTAATATGACATAGCTGCATGTTGTCCAACACCACTGCCATTGCCGAAGCTTGGAGCTCTTTGTCTTTGAAGTTTGATTTGATGCACTCCAAGCGTGCTTTCGTGCACTGGTATGTCGGTGAGGGTATGGAGGAAGGCGAATTCTCTGAGGCCCGTGAAGATTTGGCTGCCCTGGAGCGTGATTACGAGGAGGTTGCGGCTGACTCAATGGGTGAGGAGGAACTTGAGGCTGAGTACTAGACAGTGTTGTACGGAAGAAATGACTAAGCGCCAGTGGCCACTGTTTTAATTCTGGACTCATACCCTAGCCCTTTGAAGGGTTTATTTTTCTTTATAAGCTTATAAGCCAATTCAGTTGCCTTAATGTCACAAAGGTCTGTAGATTTGAAATGAAAAATGGCTACTGCAATGGTGACGCTCTGCAAATGGTAGTGACCTAGGCATAAAGCCGGTTTGGCACGGAGGGGGACTGTCGGCTGATTGCCGGGCCGGTTGGAAGCCGACGCTACGCGGCGACAGGTTGGAAACTCAAGACAGCGCCAATTTGACCTCGTCACGTCTCTCTATGCCACATTTACGTGAGCTGCGTACCAGCCGCCAATATGGCTCTCATCCGATCAGCGGTCTGTAGGGTCTGCAGACGGTCGCAACTCCAAGTGCGACGGGGCTTTGCGACAGCCAGCAGCCAACAGGCAACCCCGAACAACAGGGTCAAGCTTGTCGAAGTTGGCCCTCGCGATGGGCTACAAAACGAGAAGAAGGCAATTCCTCTTGCCACCAAAATTGATTTGATTGAGAGATTAGCAAGGACTGGCGTTTCTACTATTGAGGCCGGGTCTTTCGTGTCACCCAAGTGGGTTCCTCAGGTATGCCGCTGTGATCGCAGAAGGATGCAGGCTAAGCTTTGGGAACACGAGGTGTATGAGGGAAGATGATGCTAACAGTGCGGTGGCATAGATGGCCAATTCGAGCGAGATCCTCGAGCACCTGCTTCAGAAGAAAGTGCAAGCGCCTGTCCCCATGACATATTCCTTCTTGGCACCCAACACCAAGGGTCTCCAAAACTGTGCCGACATCCTGAAAGCCAACCCGGAGACCTTCTCCACGCAACTCGACCCTCGAAGCGTTAGCAAAGGTCACCCCAAGCCTGCGGTGGAAGTAGCGGTATTTGCGGCATCCACCGAGAGTTTCTCCCAAAAGAACCTCAACTGTGATATCCAGACGTCCTTGGAGCGATTCAAGGCCGTCATTCAGGACTCCAAGGCACTTGGTCTTCGGGTCCGTGCGTACATCTCTGTTGTCCTGGGATGCCCTTTCGAGGGGTTCGACGTCGACCCCCACAAGGTTGCTGAAATCGCCACGGATCTTCTCGAGTCGGGAGCTGATGAGATTTCACTTGGCGATACTACCGGCATGGGTACTGCGCCTCGCACCAGTGCCTTGCTGAGATGCATGTCTGCTGCGGGTATTCGCACCGAGGACATCGCCATGCACTTTCATGACACGTATGGCCAGGCATTGGTCAATACTGCGGTATCGTTGGAGCACGGCATCAGAACGTTTGATAGTAGTGTGGGTGGCCTGGGCGGCTGTCCTTATAGCCCTGGCGCGACTGGCAATGTTGCCACGGAGAACATGGTATATTTTATGGAAACGCTGGGTATGGATACTGGCATTGATTTGGACGCCATGTCTGACATTGGGTCGTGGATTGCGTCGGAGCTGGGCAAGGCGAATGACAGCACGGTTGGGAAAGCGGTGCTCGGGGCTCGGGCTCGGGCTAGGGCTGGGACTGAGACCGCCAAGGCTGCTTAAGTTGCAAGGCTGCTTAAGTTTGGAAAGATTGGGTAGACGGGTCCTGCACGTAGAAATCACATGCATACGGGAAGTCACATTGTATGATTTCATGTTGCTTCGTTCGTCTGAACTTGGACTTTGGCGACAGCCTCGCGTGGTGGCCCGCCCGTCTGACTGACAGGCGTTGTAAGAGAATGGGTTATGTGTAATAACGCGGACCTTGTGCGCGTATGATCTGGTTGTTATGGAGCGAGACATGCCACGCAAAGGCATCTGATCGCAGTTTTATATCTCAAAGTCTCACGTCTTCACCAGGACTCAGGAGTGACCACTGACGAGGCTCTGGAGTCTGGAGAAAGTTTCACAAGCAGCAGCCAAGCCAGTCATGTGATGTCACTGAACAAGCCCGAGGCGCCAATCCTCGGCGCGGGTGGGTCGAGTGCCTCACTGGCTTCTGGTCACTGCGGGCGGGGGCTCCACTCGATGCCAACCAAGCTCAACCTCCTTCCAACCTTCGTCTCGTCACAGCTTCAAAGGGTTCGCACTCAATTCGCTCTCTGTCCAGTAATACTCTCATCTCAACCGCAACTCCCTCTCCACTCATCCAAGGAGAGCTTTTGTTACCACCAGCGCCCACCCAGTCGGCTTTCTTCCGCCTTGTGTCCGCATCTCAGGTTGACAGGCCTTCTCCTGCCGTCCACCCCCGGCCGGACTTTGCTCTAGCTTCTTGCCCGTGACCATCATGGGGGACCCTCGCGAGTCGTCATCGTATTCGGTCGTGCCACGAATCCGATACAACACTGTTGGCGGTGTCAACGGCCCGCTGGTCATTCTCGAGAATGTAGGACAATAACCCAAGCTGGAGAGCCGCTCGTTCCTGACATTGGCGTCGTTAGGTCAAATTCCCGAGATACAACGAGATTGTGTCGCTGACACTACCTGATGGATCTGTGCGATCTGGCCAGGTCCTGGAGGCCCGAGGTTTGTCATGACGTGTTTCTGGGGCGACAGGCTTGCTAACCGGCCATGGATAGGTGATCGGGCCGTTGTCCAGGTACTTGATACAGCGTGCGAAGGATGTTGCGTATTGGGTGGTTGCTAATGCAGTTGATAGGTTTTCGAGGGTACCTCTGGTATCGATGTCAAGAAGGTTAGCTGACGAAACTAGGGGCATACAATGAATTCCCTCGATGACTAACACCACTTGACAGACCCGAGTGGAGTTCACTGGCCACAGCTTGAAGCTTGGTGTCTCCGAGGACATGCTTGGCCGTATTTTTGACGGCTCCGGACGCGCCATTGACAAGGGACCCAAGGTCTTGGCCGAAGAATACCTCGACATTAACGGTAGTCCCATCAACCCATATTCGAGAGTACATCTATCCTGCGATTTACCACCTGGCAGGCCTCATGTGCTAAAAGTCGATAGGAATATCCCGAGGAGATGATATCCACTGGCATCTCCGCCATTGATACGATGAATTCGATCGCTCGAGGCCAAAAGATTCCCATCTTCTCCGCATCCGGTCTGCCGCACAACGAAATCGCAGCTCAGATTTGTCGACAGGCCGGTCTGGTAAAGCAAAAAGGCGTCACCAACAAGGGTGTTCATGACGCTCACGAAGAAAACTTTTCCATTGTTTTTGGTGCCATGGGTGTCAACTTGGAAACCGCTCGATTCTTCACACGTGATTTTGAGGAGAATGGCAGTTTGGAACGTACAACCCTGTTCCTCAACCTTGCCAATGATCCTACGTAAGTCCTGATTGCGGCGAGACGCCGCGTGCCGTGTTTGGGGAATTGTCTACTGATGCTGTCTTTTTTTCTTTGCTCCCTTGCAGTATTGAACGCATCATCACGCCTCGTCTTGCTCTCACGACAGCCGAGTACTACGCCTACCAGCTGGAAAAGCACGTCCTCGTCATCTTGACGGATTTATCCGCATACTGTGATGCCCTTCGCGAGGTTTCGGCTGCCAGAGAAGAAGTTCCGGGACGACGTGGTTTCCCCGGTTACATGTACACTGATTTGTCCACCATCTATGAACGCGCCGGGCGTGTTGAGGGACGCAATGGGTCTATTACTCAAATCCCTATTCTGACGATGCCTAATGATGATATTACTCACCCTATTCCTGATTTGACGGGATACATCACCGAGGGTCAAATTTTCGTCGACCGTCCTCTGTACAACCGAGGTATCTACCCGCCTATCAACGTGCTCCCCTCGCTTTCGCGTCTGATGAAGTCGGCCATTGGTGAGGGTATGACTCGCCGGGACCACGGTGATGTGTCAAACCAGCTTTATGCCAAGTATGCGATTGGGCGTGATGCTGCTGCCATGAAGGCAGTGGTTGGCGAGGAAGCTTTATCTGCGGAAGACAAGCTGTCTCTGGAGTTCTTGGAGAAGTTTGAGCGACAGTTTATCAACCAGGGCGCCTACGAGTCACGCACAATTTTCGAGTCGTTGGATCTCGCATGGAGCTTGCTGCGCATCTACCCCAAGGATCTCCTGAATCGAATCCCAGCCAAGGTGTTGAACGAGTTCTACCAGCGTGCGCAGAAAGACGCCAAGTCGAAGGGCAAGGCTCGAGAAAATGTGGCGGCCAAAGACCAGCAACAGAGGGAGGAGAACTTGATTGACGCCTAGAAGTATTGTTGCGCGGCAAGTGGTGTTACTGGGGCAGATGCTCATATCTTTTTTTCTTTTTATTTTTTCCCTTTTTTTTGTTTGTGCCCGAGGCCAGTATCATAGACAAAGTGCAAGGAGGGCCAGAACGTGTTGTAAACTGGGGTTTTGTTAGAGGCGCTGCCGTCGTTTCCGTATGTGTGTCAATGCGGCATAGGGCAGCCATGGCGTGTTGATACGAGGTTCGGCGGGAGAAGGTTAGCAATTGCATGGTTATTCCGAATGCCCAAGCTTTTGTTCACCAATACGTGAGAGTAGGGAGTAAGTAGCCTGGTGCACTATTCAGTCTCGTACGTGAGGCGCGCAGCGGGGTGCTCCGTACGTCGGTCGGCAAGGCGGCGTAGATGTAAGCTGGCGTCATTGGCCGACGCCGGATGCATGGAACTTGGAAGCCCCCGCGCGTTAAGCGGTTTCGGGCTTACCTGGGTGACGGGTCGAGTTCAGGTTGGCAGCAAAGCAACGACGACTTGTCGGTTGGCTGACAACGTCATCTGCATTCTCGTTGACAACTCGAGAACCTGCTGGATGCAGCCTGGGCGCTGATCACCTGAGCTGCCAGGCCGTTGGTTGGAAAGTCTGGGGATCTGGATCTCAGGTCTGAGGGGGGACGGACATGCAACAGCCAACACTGTTGCATGCTGACAGGGCGACGGGCGTTGCTGAGCAGTTCGAATTACGAGTTAGCGGACATGATGCTATACCATGGAGGGAAGTGAGGGGATGAGGGGAGGGCTGCTGGCCTTGTCCGCATTCGTGACCTCGCACTAGGTCGATCATCGTGGGATGGGCATTTATAAACAATCCGTCGAGCCACATGCGGTTCGGTTCGTGAGACACGACTTCGTACTACGTAGTTAGTAGTAGTAGTACTACGTAGTAGTTACTCGGAGTACGTACTTGATCGATTGTCTCAGTCTCAGTCCTTTATTGGCTGTTGTGCAACCGCCGGTTCCGTGTCTTGAGAGTGGGAGTCGGCCATTGAGTGGAACATTCTTAACATTCTTCTTTTTCTCGTCCTGTTGCTGCTGCTCCAGATCCAAGGCATTGCGAGATACGCGGCTCTTGAGCCCCGACAACTTGGAGTGACGACAACTCATTGGCTCTGGCCACGGCATCACTCTGGACTCCCAGCAGCACAAGCAGCAGCACACACAGCCATGAAAGGGACTCTGCAGCTCTGGGCGCTCGCCGCGCTCGCGTTGCCGTCGACGTGCGCCGCCGACGAGCCAAAGCCCGACAGGGACGGCAAGTACTGGATCCACGGCGACGGCATTTCGGCAGCCTTCATCGCCTACGGCGCCTCCGTCTCCAACTTTGTCATCAAGGACCAGTACGGAATCGAGCGCGACGTCGTTGCCGGCTTCGACAACGCCTCCTACTACGGCGTGGACAGGCAGCACCCCCATTTCGGCGGCGTGCCGGGCCGCTACGCCAACCGCATCAAGAACAGCACCTTTGAGACGGACGGCGTCAGGTACCGCGTCAAGGCGAACGAGAACCCTACCAGGGACCACCCCGACGGCGTCGACACCCTCCACGGCGGCCCGGACGGCTGGGACTGGCGCAACTTCACCGTCGTCTCGCACTCGGACAACAGCGTCACCTTTTCCCTGGTCGACCCCGACGGCAGGGAGGGCTTCCCGGGGGAGGTCGTGTCCGTCGTCACCTACAGCCTCAACGGGCGGGACTGGGACCTGAGAATGGTGGCCGAGGCGACGACCAAGAAGACGCCCATCATGCTGAGCAGCCACACGTACTGGAACCTGGACGGCTTCGCCAACAACCAGACGAGCACCGTGTTCAACCACACGCTTCACATGCCGTACGCCGGCTTGCGCGTGGGCGTGGACAGCATCCTCGTCCCGACGGGCGAGTTGCTGCCCAACAAGAAGGGCGGCGCGAACGACTTCTGGAGCGAGCCCAAGCAGATTGGGGCCTCGTTTGGGGACGACGACGCCCTGGCGAACAACTGCGGGCTCAACTGCACCGGCTACGGTAAGTCCATTGCCGAGCTGGACAAGAGGGGCCGACAGACGGAGCGAGAGAGAGAGAGAGAGAGAGAGAGAGAGAGAGAGCCATCGGCCGGTTGCTGACCAAGACATGGTGTAGATAACTGCTACATCAACAACCGCGGCGCCCTGGGCCCGTACGACTGGCGCGAGCAAGGTCCCGTCACCGTCTTGTCGTCCCCCTGGTCTGGCATCCGGCTCGACATCTTCACGGACCAGGACGCCTTCCAGCTGTACTCGTGCAACGGGCAGAACGGCACAATGGCCCTCAAGAAGACGCAGGGCGTGACGGGCCGCAACCGGGACAAGTTCCCTCGCACCATCCCCAAGTACGGATGTGTCGTGCTCGAGGTCCAGGATTACATCGATGGCATCAATAACCCGGAGTGGACGCGCGACAAGAAGCAGATTTACGAGCCCGGTGGTGATCCGTATGTGTTGCAGGCCAAGTACAGGTTCAGTCTGGTGTCTGATCATGAAGAGACGAGCAAGGGCCAGTAGTGTCTCGTCGTGGCGTCGTGGCGTCGCAGGCAGGTGAGTGGACGTGGGGAGGATGGGCGGCTTTACACGTAGTAGTTGTTGGTACGGAGTAGTGCGTGTCTACTTGTGTTCACCATGATAATAATGACCGTGACGATGATATGAACGAGGTGCCGTGGCTCGTGGCATGTGAGGTGGCTTGACGCACAAAACAGAAATACGTAGTGTGGCGTGGCCGCACCCGTTTTTCGTGCCCATCGCAAAAAGCGGGACCCAAAACACCTCGCCCGTACAGACTACGACCCACAGGCAAGATATCGGCACATACACAATCCCTCCCACTCCCCCCCAACAGCCACAGGCTCGGTTCGGGGCATGGAAGACGACCGGGCCCAAGTCGACCTCGGCATCGCCGCAGATATCGAGGAAGCCCAGCTCGCCCAGGCTCATCAAGCCGAGCCCACAGGCGACGATGTGCCTCGAAGCAACACCCCCAAGCAGCCCAAGAAACGGTTTGTAGGGAGAAGGGCGGCCGCCGAGGCAGCAGAGAGGACGAGAAATGGGACGACGGGCGCCGAGGGCGAAGGCGGCGCCGTTCAAGGTTCGTATTCGCGGGCTGTCCGCCTGTCACCACCACCAGGCAGACAGGACAGGCGTCCCGTCCACATGGTCAGTCTAACGCGATTCCCCAGCCGCCAGGCCCAGACGAGCACCCCGTCTCCTGAACAGAGTCCCCAAGGAGATCCTCGACGACCCAAGCCTCAAGGAGGCCGTCGCCCTGCTCCCGGCCAACTACAACTTTGAGATCCCCAAGACCATCCACCGGATCCGCACGTCGGCAGCCAAAAAGGTGGCTCTCCAGATGCCCGAGGGCCTCCTGCTCTTCGCCACCACCATCTCGGACATCCTCACGCAGTTCTGCCCCGGCGTCGAGACCCTCATCATGGGCGACGTCACCTACGGCGCGTGCTGCATCGACGACTACACCGCCCGCGCCCTCGGGTGCGACCTGCTCGTCCACTACGCGCACAGCTGTCTCATCCCCGTCGACGTCACCAGGATCAAGACGCTCTACGTCTTCGTGGACATCAGCATCGACACGGCGCACCTGCTGGCCTCGCTGGAGCGCAACTTCGCCGCGGGCAAGACCATGGCCGTCGTCGGCACCATCCAGTTCAACGCCACCATCCACGGCGTGCGGAGCAGCCTCGAGGCCGCGGGCTTCACCGTGCTGGTCCCTCAAATCGCGCCGCTGAGCAAGGGCGAAATCCTGGGCTGCACGTCGCCGCGCCTCAGGGACGAGGATGCCGTCGACGTGATTTTGTACCTCGGCGACGGCCGCTTCCACCTCGAGAGCATCATGATCCACAATCCTTCGATACCGGCGTACCGGTACGATCCCTACGCGAGGAAACTCACGCGCGAGACGTACGGCCACGACGAGATGCAGTCTCTTCGGCGCAGCGCGATTCACACGGCCAGGACGGCCAAGCGGTGGGGGCTCATATTGGGCTCCCTGGGTCGGCAGGGAAATCCGCACACCATGTCTCTGATTGAGAAGAGGCTCAAGGAGAAGGGCATCCCGTGGGTGAATCTGCTGCTGAGCGAGATTTTCCCCGGGAAACTGGCCTTGATGGGTGATGTCGAGTGCTGGGTGCAGGTGGCTTGTCCGCGGTTGAGCATCGACTGGGGGTATGCGTTTCCGCGGCCATTGCTGACGCCGTACGAGGCCCTGGTTGCGTTGGGGGTCAGGGAAGAGTGGGACAAGGGGAGTGTGTATCCGATGGATTATTACGGCAAGGACGGACTGGGGCGGACGAGGCCGTTGGAGGCGGGTTAGGCGGAGAGAAAAGAATAGACGAGAAATTATCATCAAGAATCCAAGAATCATCATGACGCCGCGTGTTGGACTATGCCGTGGATGTCACGTTGATAGCGTCTCCGTGTCCAGCAGCCGGCGACGGTGACGCAGCATCCAACCACCATGGCTGCGCATTCTCCTCCCATCCAACCCTTGCTCCTTGACCACCCGCGACGACGGGCCGCGTGACTGCCTTCACGCACACTGACACTGACGCCACGGCCCCAGGCGCGGGATACCACGTCCTGGAACAGAACATGATGCAGTCTTGCACAGTCGACAGCAGAGGGAAGTGGGAAAAGAGAAGGCGCTGGATGGTTGTGGGAATCCAGAACCTTGCTCAAGATGCATTCGCCGTGCCCACGGGCTCCGGCCGATTCGAAAACATAATCTTGTACTTTATAATCTCGACGACCTCCAAGTTCTCCCCTTGCTCGCGGTACGTCCCCGACGAGTTCTCGAGAACCCTGTTCTCGCGCCGTCTTATCACGGCAATGGCCTTGGACAGCTTCTTCACCTCGCCCGTCAGACGCTGGTGCCGGCCAACGTACATGTGGACGCGCCTCATCCACGCCGAGCCCTCGGCGTCGGGCACGTAGTCCGGGAAGTCGATGCTGCCGATTTCGATGCCGCTGAGAGCTTGGCCGTCCTTGGACTGCGGCAGGTTGATGGCGCCTTGGAGCTCGAGGAGGGCGAGGCCGGAGGGGGTCTGGATGAGAGGAGGCAGAGGGTTCGGTCTTGGGAGTGATGGCTTTGATGGGGGATGGAGCTTTGCCGACATTTTCGATTTTTCTTTTCCCCGGCGAGTTTTCTCGATTTGGACGGGTGAAATCAATGGTGTGGGTTTGGCCTCTTTTCTGATGTTGCACGGTGGACGGTCTATTATGACGACTTCAAAAAGTGGTGTCAAGGAATCTTTGTTTGATGCGTGCGGGGGAGAGCTGGGGGGGGAATCGACAAGTCAGGAGGGAGAGAACGAGTTCCAGCCCGAAAAAGTGACCACGGTCTGGCAGATGAACATGACTTGAGAGAAGATTCTACGCTTGCCCTGCAAATTCCCATTCCGTGTTGAGCATCCGTCCTCGGCCAGACACGACTTCATTGAAACCGCAGCTGCGGAACATTGCAAAATGTGGCGCCGACAGCCTCCTGTGGCTAGTGGTTGTGGCCAACAAGGGCGTCTCTCAACCGAGCCGCACTCGAGCATTGCCATTGGCCAACTGTCCTTTCCCCCCCGCCCGCCCGCCCACGCACCGCGAGGGAACCCTAGCGGCACACATTTTCTCGAATTCGCCCAATTTTTACTCGATCCTTTTGCATCCATCACCAGACTTCACACGCGCCAGGTCAAGTCAACTTGCACCATCCACAGCTGGCAAGATGAAGGTACGAATGCAGCATCCTCAAAGCGTAAACGCAAAAGCAGACAGATTTGGCGTCACCGGCAATGAATGGGAAACACTGGCATATCACACTGGCGTTGCAACACGTCCACGTTGCACACAACGTCGAGAGAGCCATGGTCGCCGCGCCGACGGTTGAATATCTGAGCTGGCCAAAAAGAAGAAACGAGGGAACGCGTTAGCTAACCCAGTCTCCTGCACAGTTGAACATTTCCTACCCTGCCAATGGCAGCCAGAAGCTCATCGACATCGACGATGAGCGCAAGCTCGCCGTCTTCATGGAGAAGCGCGTACGTCCGAACCCTGAAGCCTGCCGCTCGACACACCCAAACGAAGCTCGATGCTGTTCCCTCGGAGAGACTTGGTAACTCGTCACGGAGGCGGGAACAGCCCCAGCTGCGGTGTCGATGCCCTCAGGTCGAGCTTTCTTTCTTGGTGCTAACCGGACACGGACAGATGGGCGCCGAGGTTTCCGGCGACTCCGTCGGTGACGAGTTCAAGGGCTACATCTTCCGCATCACCGGCGGCAACGACAAGCAGGGTTTCCCCATGAAGCAGGGCGTCATGCACCCCGGCCGCGTCCGCCTCCTGCTCTCCGAAGGCCACTCGTGCTACCGCCCCCGCCGCGCAGGCGAGCGCAAGAGGAAGTCGGTCCGCGGCTGCATCGTCGGCATGGACCTGTCCGTCCTGGCCCTCAGCATCGTCAAGCAGGGCGATAGCGACATCCCCGGCCTGACCGACGTCGTTCACCCCAAGCGCCTGGGTCCCAAGCGTGCCACCAAGATCCGCCGGTTCTTCGGCCTCACCAAGGATGACGATGTATGTCACACCTCCTACAATCCATACTCTGTCATCGCCTGCTCGGACCTGCGACGCTGGTTGCGCCAGGCCGGGTAGAGAGTGAGATGAGCAAGTCCGTGGGTATAAAGCTCCAGGGGAGGCGTGGGAAAGGGCGGGAAAGAAACGGGAAGAAGCAAACGAATGAGACTTTCATGGTTTCCCCCCGTCCCGCGGATCACCGAGGAAAGAAGAAACAATTCACACCCGTCCTGTCCTCTCTCGGCCTCCCCTCCCTCCTCTGCTTTATACCCTTGGGGACGAAAAGTACAACACAAGCTGCTGGAGTAGAAAGACTAATCAGGCGTGCCCCTTCCTCCCCGGAACACAGGTCCGCAAGTACGTCATCCGCCGCGAGGTCCAGCCCAAGGGCGAGGGCAAGAAGCCTTACACCAAGGCCCCCAAGATCCAGAGACTCGTCACCCCCCAGCGTCTCCAGCACAAGCGCCACCGCGCCGCCCTCAAGCGCCGCCAGACAGAGAAGGTCAAGGACGAGGCCGTAAGTTTTCGCTTTTCCCCTCCTTCTTTTCTTCTTGGTCTCGGCGCCGCGCCCTTCTCTACAAGCATTCAGATACGGAGTAGCTAACGCACCTTGATGCAGAACGAGTACGCCCAGATCCTCGCCAAGCGTGTCGCCGAAGCCAAGGCGCACAAGGCCGATGCCCGCAAGCGCCGCGCCTCTTCTATGCGCAAGTAGAAAAACGGTGTGGACTTTGGCTCTGGCGTTGCGTTTCACATAATGACGATGAATATCAAAGAAGTGGAGAAATCCACCTTTGTTCCTTCCTGTAGGGAAATTTGCATGCGTGCATTTTGGGACGAGGGTTCTTGCAACCAATATCCATCCCTAGGGCTGGGGAGAGGGTTTTTTTTTTTAAAAAAATATGGCTTAAAAAAAAAAGTCCCAGCCCTGACTGACTGACCGACCACTTGCCTACGAATGTGTTAGAGAGCATTTTCGGGCTTTTATCAAAGTACTTTCTTGGTGCCATGTTCAAAAGTAACTCTTGCTTTTCCCTGTGGTCGTGTTCAACATTTTTCATTTTTCCTGGCATGTGTCACTATGACTCTGGTAATCTAGATCGGCTGCCAGCCCGTTAGCCAAGATTGCTTTGAACCGAATGGTACAGACAGGCTTTGGCTCACCCCCCGGGCGAGCCACTACACGGACCAACTCCAGGATTATTGTTTTGTCACATCTCTACCCAGCCTATGAGTTTATAGCAAGTTCTGGGAGTGATATTTCTTCCAAGTAATCGAGTTTGCATACTCTACATTCAACTGTTCCCCCTTCATGTGTCGCCAATCTCTGAATGCCCAGACCAGCGAGACCTGCACTTCTCCCTAGTCGTGACCAATTCAGACACTCATGTAGTGGCAAATCTCCATATAGGAGAGTCGAATCACCCAGAGGGGCACTTTGCCCGCTTTTCAGCAGTCCCCAAACGATATGCGCTCGACTAGGAACCAACGGGAGGCCGAAAAGGAGGAAAAATTTTATAGAGGCCGAGAAATACGACACCAGGGCCCGCTGATTCGTACCTTCAACACCGTGGCGCCGTTGTGTAGTCTACCGTGCTGTTCAATAACATGCTTCGTCGAAGCGTTTCCGCTTGTTTGCTTTTATTTTTGGCTTTTTTTGGCTTTTTTTTTTTTTTGCTCTTCTTTTCACCATCATTTTGCTGCATCATCGTATGCGTCTTCTACGCAAAACCGAAATACTCACTACCTTGGGTAATGGCTTTGTGAAGCTGAGCCCGCAACATGTCATAGCTTTCATACTCTGGGATATCCAGTTCTGCACCACTAGTCAGCTCATACTGTCTGCCAAAATCACCGACCTTTCCAAACTTTACGAGTGTATACATACGATTGAAGCAGGTGTGCGATGATGGTAGTCGATCCTTGTCACCATAATCTCGATGAATGTTGAACCGACTAATGCCGTTCATGCCTTCAAGCTCCTTGAATCCGTTGAGAGGGACTTTGCTGGTACCGGTCACAAACTGGAGCAGCTTGGCGCGTTCCTCTTTATCAAAGGACCTGACAGCTCGCCAAAACCATTGAATCTGCTGAGACGATGGTGTATAATTCTGATACTCCGTATTGCTTTTCCAGTCATCAATATCAATATCGGGAAGACCAGAAATGAGCAGTTCGAGTTCCTGCTCGTTGAAAATCGAGATCAGCTCGGCAGGAATGATATCGTGGAAGCCTAAAATTCAACTGATATTAGCACAAACGAAACAAAAAAGAGGATACGGGTAAAAGCATCAGGAGAGCTCATCTCACCTTGCAAAAACTTTTCCATCTGATCCTTAACGGACGAGAGCAGCTTGTGTTCGACCACCAGTCGGACATATTCATGCTTGTTGTCCTCAGTGACGACAACGTCTCGGCCATTGGGAACAAGGTCAACAACATTCGTAACGCCAAATTCGTCATCCTCGACCGAGAATGCCTCTGTGATTATGTCTGTAATTTCATTTTCCAGCATCCAGCAGAGCGACTTGTAATAATCTGGGTCAAAAGATTCCATGTCCTTGACGGACACAGATTTACCCAAGATGCGCTTGTAAACCGCTCGGCTGAAGAAACAGTCAAGCAGACGACCTTCGTACAGGGCCTTGCCAATGATGCGTCCAATGAACTTGAAGAACATCAGGTGCTCGGGGTTGATTCCACTGAGCTTATTGGGGTGGAAAGTAGTACGATCCGACGACACAGGAGTGAAGAGGGCGTAGTTGGGGTCGAACATCTGCCGAGCGAGCACCTGGAACCACTCGCGTGTGACGCCACCCGCGTCAACTCCTTCCTCTCCATGGAAGCGGATGTTAAGCTTGCCGAATTTCATCTCGTCGCCCGACTTGAAATAGAGTGATCGGAATGAATCGTGGAACACGTGGTCGCGACGGACCGACAGTTGCAGGGGGGGGTAGGATGGCCGACTGTTCTGGTTGTTTCGAGAGTGAACACTGCGATTGAAGTAGTTCCTCTTGTTGTCGAATTCCAAAACCTTGGGGTTCTTAACCAGCAGCGCGAAGGTTCCGGACATGAGCTTTGGGTTGTTGCGCACCAGTTCATTCAGAATGCGGCGATGGTCTTCCGTAAAGGTAAAGAACAGGCTGGCCGTCCGGGCTTCCGGCGGTGGGCTAGACAGGACCATCCCTCTGCTCATTTGGCCCTGGGACAGATCATCGCTCGCCGTTGTGTTCTTGCATACCACCATCATGGATTCGATCAAGGGGAGCAGGATTGTGGCGACGTTGAGCATGTTTTCTCTTTCTCGAATTGCCTTTAGGCATGCGCTAAGCTTCTCCCACATTGCAGAGAATGTAGAGTTGTGGTAGAGAGAAGTGACCAGGTGTTGCTTGTCATGCTCTTTGGACTCCTTTGTCGCGCCATCACCACTCTTCTTACGGCCGTCGAACAAATGATCCAATGCAGTCAGAACGCGCAGCAGCTTATTTTGCTCAGAGGCTCCCGGAGAGAACTTGGCAAGTGCCACCCCTTGAATTTCGGTTCCAGAGGTGGCCTTGTCGATGTGGGGAAGAAGATCGTCTAGGTCTGAGACTATATTTTCACTCAGGAGCCGGGCTTGTTTCACAAGCTCCTGTCCGAAGACAGCCTTCGCGCCCGGGATGGCCGACAAGTTTTTAATCGTGGAGATGGTATTCTGGAACGTCTTGGAACTGCACTCTCTAGCAACAAATATTTTCACAACAAGAGTGAGGTTCGGTGGCGGAATGACTGGTGGCTGCAACTGCCTCGGCTTTCTGGACCCTGGCTCCTTCTTCGATAGATGAGGCTCTCGATCTCCAGCGTCGGCATTTTGTTCAGAAGCTGGTACTTGCTCCGCTGAAGGCTCAGTGGATGAAGCTGCCTCAGGTTGCTGGTGTTGTTCGGCCGAAGCAGACTGCTGCTCTCCTTCGGTAGCGACAGGACCATCCTTTTTGACTTCCTCTGTAGCGTCTTTGCGTTTTCGGTCCAGACTAAGGAGTGGCAATGTGACGCGATTCAGTAAATCGGCGAGATATGTCATCACGACGGAGCTCTCGATGACAATCTCACGATCCAGTAAAGTCAGCAGAGAGTTGATTGCGTACTTGTGAGCCCTGGAGTCCTTAATCTTTCCTTTTCGGCTCAATGCCCTCTTAAGAGTAGACCCCACAACCTCGTGTTCAGTCAAGAACAACCACGGTATATGCTGACTCCTCGTGCAAAGATCCACCAGAAGGTCCAAGCATTGCTGCACAATCAAGAGCGGCGAGGTCTCCGAGTTTGTCTGTTGGACGTGCGATGAGGCAGTTCCCAAGTTTGTCAGTGTCTTTTTAAGGCTCTGTGGTGTTTTTTGGTCAGTTTCGCGCTCCCTGTGTTTCCTTGCCTTTATCGATAGCTGCCCAAAGCTTCGTTCAACCGCGATCATATCTGTGCTGCCTTCTTGAAGAATCTGGAGAATCGTACTGATCACCTCAAGTCGATTTTGGCGATTTTCACAAACATCAGCAAAGACACTGAACAAGTAGTTTCGGATGGAGCCTTGCTGAGCGATAAACATCAAGCGCAAAAGCGTCGCCACCCCAGACTTATCCAGCATCTGCACGACTGCTCGGCGCTGAGCTTTACCTTCACTGTTGTCACGGGTAGCAGCTTGAGGTGGTCCTCGCCCTGGGGTGACAATAGTGCGGACGCCTTGGTGCTGAGGTAGCGGGGGGTGGTTTTGACTCAAAGCCCGCGCTTGGGCAGCCATTTCTGGTGTCAGTTGATCCATGATATCTTCGCCCTGGTCCATGAGGACTTGCTCACGAAGAGCGGGCGGAAACGTGAGCAGAATACTGGCCGCGTCCATTTCGGCAGGAGGCGGTTGTCCAGATGAAATAATTGCTTGGCGACGAGCCTCTTCTCTGTTTCGTCGGCGTTCTTCTTGTCGTTCTTGCTGCGCGATCTCTTGGCGGAGTTCGTCAGGAAGGGCGTCGAGGAATTCTTGAAATACGTCTGTCGATTCCCCGGCTGCGGCCTCCTCGCGGGCTTGAGACCGCCGCTCACTGACCGTCTGAGCAATCACCTCCTCTCTGAATTCTTCAGGCAGAGCGGCCAGGTACTCAGGATCAATGCCCAGCTCCGTAACATCGACTTCTTCGCCCCTGATAGTGGTCATGACTCGAGGCTGTTCATCGGTGGTGGACGTTGTTGACCCTGGTTCCACTGCAGATTGAGGCTCGTTTGAAGGTCCAGATGTCTCGATACCTTCCATCTCTCCTCCTCTGGAGTTTGGTGGCTCGGCTGCTGTGGCTTCTTCCGTGGCTAAGCTTTGGCGCGCAAGTCGTTCCTGTTCTTCCCGTTCCTTTGCCTCCTCTTCTCTGGCAGCCTTCTCTTCGGCCGCCTTCGATTCCTGGGCGAGACGCTCTTCTTCCTCCCTTTTGATTCGCTCCTCCTCTGCGCGTCTCTGATGCTCTGCTTCCTCGGCCTTGATCTTCTTCTCGAGCTCCATTGCGGCGGGAGTAAGCTGGGCGGTGATGATGTTGGCAAGCTTAAAGGATTCGGAGGCGTGGTTGGCCCCAAAAATCATTCTTGCCTCCTCCTGGTAGCGACCCAAGGTTGACTCTGAGGTGAAAGAGACTGCTTGGTGAGGCTCCTGGGCTGCAGCGTCGCGTCGATTGTCACTTCTGACCCACCGTGCTGGGCCCAAATCTCTTAACTCTCGCTGTGCGCCGGGTCCGGTGATGTGGAAGTGATAAGCCTGTTGGCCATTTCCGTTTTGTCCCATAATTGGTAAAAATTCCATAAGTTCTCCCAACAGGCCCATGGGACCGTCCGTGGAATGGCGACCGCCTCCCAGCAAACCAGGTTGAATTCTCACATCTAGGGCGTGAGTTTGACCAGGTCGAGGCGAACCTTCGTTTGCTTGGTCGCTACGACGAAGAAGGGGATTGACGCCATCCTCCGCGTTGGGTTGTGCTCCCGTAGATCTGTGGTTCCGTGACGTAAAATAGCTACGGAACTCTCCTGCTGCATAAGTTAGCCGATGTTGTGATAAGGCATGCAAATCAACAGCTTACCCAATTGATCGCGATGAGATCCACCGAGAAAACGGGCGGGGAATGAACTACGATTGTCCATTCGAGCCAAAACGGGTCGTCTGTGACCATCAACGAGAAGCATATTACGATGTCTGTCATCTGTGTCAGGGTTGACAGCATCCCACCCCAACGATGGCATAGGGGGCAGTTGTTCATCTGAAGTTGGTCAAGATCAGTACAAAGGACATGCACATGAAGTAGTGTGAGCTTCACAAACTGACCTGGATAGTCTTCGTCGTATATGTATTCGTCGTCTTCGATATCTTCATCGTCGTCCTCATCTTCTGTAATTGTGCTTTCATTAGTGGCCGTATTTGGCAAGAGGCAGTCGCTTACTTCCTCTGGGAAAGGGCGACTCAACATACCACCATCCTCATGGTCATCGTCGAGATAATGGTCGTCCAAACCTAGGTCCGGATCGTACCCTCGGTCATCTCCCATGATAGCCCGGGCCATATTGTCAAGCAAATCCCCTGGTGCCATGCCATGCATATGAGCTTCTCCTTCTTCTTGGACCTCTGCGTCGTAGTCCAGGGCGTCATGGTCTGGATCATCATTTCCTTCAACATCGCTTTCGCTCTCCCATCCCGAGTCTCCGTCTTCCTCAAGAGGGTTCCCATCCTCGTCAACTATCTCTACTCGGTCTTCCACATCTTCCATATCAGCAGAGTCCATGTCGTCATCATCTTCGTCGCTGCTGTCTTCCTCATCATCTTCGTCTTCATCCATGATGACTTCAACGACGCCTGGTTCTCCATGGAGACCCTCAATTTCTCCCATGCCACCAAGATCGTCTTCATCACTTATGTCATCCTCACCATCGGTAATACCATCCTCAGCATAATCCATCTCGTCATCGTCATATTCATCTCCGTACATGTCCTCGTCATCGTCTTCGTCACCTTCATCCGACTCATCTTCTCCCCGAGGTTCGAGCATCCCTAGTGCCGAATTACGATACAGATCCGGCGTCTCTTCTCTATCGTCGTCCACGTCGGACAGTGATGAAGAGGAGGCGAATTCGTCGTCACTATGCTCATCGGCAGGGTCCTCGGGTAAAATGCTTGACTGGCTCAGTTCCTTTGCGATGCCGGTTAGAACACGCAGGACACGTAGGATATACTTGATGGCACGCTTTACACCAGGATAGCCGAGGCTAATCTCGGCAATTGATGACGTGAGCTTGTCGACGTAGCCCTTTTCGTACATCAAGCGACGAAGCTGCGCCTGTGAGCGTGACTGAAGACTGTCGCCGCCTCTTGAACTAGGATTCTGGTCTCTATCCCTCTCACCAATCATGTGGTTCATGAGTTCAGCCAAGCACTGCATCCGGGAATATCGCGTTTCAAGAGGCTCATCAGTGAGCGGTGCCTTCTCATAAGCCTTCAGTATTGTGTCCAGCACGAACTTTCGGACAAACAATAAATCGGGTTCGTCATCGTAAGCAAACTTGTCAGCTCTGCGGTCTGCAACCTTTTCACTGGTCTTGGACACGAGCGCTACTAGGACTTTTTGAGTCAAGGACGATGTCGCGGCCTTTTTCTTAGAAGTAATGGTGTCAGCAGTGCCGTTGAGATTCCCTTGGCACAGCAAATCGTAAATCAGATAGTTCAAGATGCTTGTTCTCGGCTTGATTGGAGTGGTATTGGACAACGGTGGCGCACTGCGCTTGAAGTTGATGAATTCGACCTTGGTCCGCGTGTAGCTCTGGAGGAGTTCTGCCAAACAATTGAGCAGGAAACATCGGTAAACAAATATGGGATGCTCCTCTGCCTTGAACAAAGGTTTTGATTGTTTCTTGTCCTTGCCATCAACTGCGGAGTTATCCTTGAATCCAGAATCGTCCAAGTTTGAGGCTGGAGTTGCCGCTGCGTTGAGGTTGACAGAAGGCGCAGAGGGCTCCTTGTCATCTACTTCGCGATAATTGACCAACTCGCACAGCAGGAAATGAATTACTCCATCGGGATTTTCTACAACCGGTCGCTTAATATCGTGGTGTGGCTTTGGGATGTCGGCCATTTCCTTGTCGGCAGGCTCGGTTGACGCTTGTACTGCATTCTTCGCAGATTCATCCGTAGTTGGCTCATCTTCTGCTTCGGTTGTTGGGCCAAATTTCTGGTCTTTCCAAGTCAAGGACTGCGATCGGTTAGAATCTCCTGATGGTGCTACCCATCTTTGGAATCGAAGCAGCTCATTCGTCACTTCCACAAACAGATCCGGGGCGCGAAGGGCAACGGGTGCCATGGCTCGGAGGTACGATGACACATCAGGGTGACCGCGCTGATTTCTAAGCAGGTTGGGAAAGTCCGCTTGGATCTCTGCGCGCATAATTTGTTTGATTACATCCTCGTCTTCTATGACGTGCCTTAGGATGGTGACGATATGTGCAGTAAGCCTCGTATGTTTGAGACGCTCCGAGCCAGAGCCTGATAGTTGCTTTGCCATCAGGAATAATCGCTGGAGGTTCTTCTTCTCACCTATGACCTTGGCGAGGCTTCGCTTCCGAGTCAGGATCACAAGCACTCTCAGTACTGCAGTAGCCAAAATTTCCTCCTTGCCGATCCGAGGCAGCAAGGCAAGTAGCGATTCAACAATTTTGGTACGACTCTCGTCAGAAACCAGTGGCAGACCTTGACGAACGACGGGCTCAGAAACGGGGTCTTCCAGGGCTTTTGGCGGCCTCCACTGTGCCGGAATTGGCCGTTCATCATGACAGAGAAGAACCTCCAGTACAAGCAGAATGTAAGGGATCCAGGGCGGCAGTTCGTCGGTGGACGATGAAAGTGGGACTCTCAAGAAGCCAACATACTCGTCTACCTTATCAGCGAGTGTTTCCGTATTGTGCTCAAAGAAATGCTCATCCTGTAACAGCAGAGCCAAGAGGTGAGCGTAGGCTGCGATACATTTGCCATTTCGCCGCTTCTCACTCTCGTCCAGGGCTAGAGAGGAAAGGGCTAGCGTGAGCGTGTTGGCAACCTCTTCCTGGGCTTCTTGATTATGTCGTCGCAAAATAGTGGCGGACACTAAATCTGAAACTTCGATGGCTGTCTCGGGATGAGTTCGAATTACGTCCAGACATTGGTCAATCAACTGTCCACGAATCTTGGACCGCATGTTATCAAGCTCCTCCTTGACCACAAAAAAATCCACAGAAGGGACATTATCAGAGGGGTCATCCTTGTGATTTGATGATGTTGCACCGGTGGTTTCTGATGGGATGTCATTGTCGGCCCGGACATTTCCAATATGTCGATCGACATATTCAACCACGTTATCAGCAGATATGTCAGGAAGAGAATCCAAGATCATTTGATCCGAGTCAGGAGCAGCAACGGTATGTTCCTCTCGAGCCGTTGGCGATTCTTGTTGTAGCACCGAGATGTCTGCATCCTCGTCAGGGATAGGATTGCGAGGCCCTGCGAGACCATCCGTATGAGCCCGACAATACTCGATGGCCAGAGTGCTGTTCCCATTGGCTCTATAGACTGCCTCATGAACAAGATCCTCCTCATAACCTGAATCTATGGCCTCTTTCACCACGCCTTGAACGTATGCCCAGTTGAATCTGGCATCAGTGTACTTGAAAAGCTTCAAGGGCGCTTTGGCATCTTCAGGGACTGACTGAGGCTCGTGCTCAGCGGTACACACAATCTTGATAATATCCAGAAGTCTCTTCACCGTAGCATCGGGAACTTTTTCGATAAAGTTGGACGTCCATAGCTCCACGATGGCAGGGAAAATTGCTGCACGAAATTCAACAACAATCTGCTGGGCTACGTTTGGAATATTTTGTGAACGGTCAGCCTGGCGACAAAGGTTGAAATGGTTGCTGCTGTCCGACAAGTACTTTCCATTCACCAGGACGTAGTAGAGATCAAGGACTTTCTTAAGTCCAAACGCCGCGACCTTGAATTTCGACGTTTCGTCTGCGTTGCCATCTGGCCCCGCCTTCACAGAGTTTGCCAAGACTCTCAGCATAGAATTCAGCACGTCAAGACCACCTTGCTCTTTAAACGCAAGGAGGACTGGCATGATAATCTGCGCAGTGGGCCTGTCGCTTTGTCGTGGTGAGGGGTGGTCAATTAGCATTTCATGAATCGTGTGAAGCATAATAATCCAATAATGAAAGTCTTTGGATGTTGGCTCAGCCCGAGCGACTGATGGACTAAGTTGCGATAGGACGGTATCCGCCAAAGCCATGGCAATCTCCAACTGTCTCGGGCGAGGGAATGGATCCAGATGGTCTGGCTCTCGTCTGGGCAAGAGGGCTTTGCCTAATGATTGGAACAAGGGGAAGGACGTTGGGATCATTGGATGTAAGAGTGTGTGCAAGATCTCGTAGTTCATGAACCGGGCGCTTGAGCGCTCTTGGTCCGTAGGCTGAACGGGTGCAGGAGTGTCAGTGCCATCAACAGAGGGCCAGCTTCTGGTGGCATCGTTGAGCAGATCCGGAATCGAGGTTTCGTCGCTTCCCGCCGCATCACGTCCCTCAGTTGTGTTGCCAACGCCGAGAAAGCCCTGACGACGTAATGACCAATGCTGTGGTATAACAGAGAGCTCGCCTGCCTCCTCGGCCAGGATACCTCGCAACAATGGTCCAATGGACTTGACCAGCTTCAAGTAATAATCATATATGTTCACTGGATAGAACTGCAAGGCATTAGACCTCGACGTGGTAAAGCAGTCGGAAATGATCTTGATCAAAGTCTGCGCGTTCAACAGCGCTTTGATCTTGTGCGTTGCTTGGCGAACAACCTTGGACTGTTCGTGATCATCGCTCCAGACGTGCAGATCTGTAGCAAGGAAGGCACCAAAGTATGGAGGGAGAGCCTGGAACTTGTCTGCGAGCGGTTTCAACGTGTCAATATTTGACTGCGCCCGGCGTAAGAGTGAGGGCAGACCCCGGACAGGAGAGTGCTCAATCAACTGAGTGATGACTTGGTTGAGAACTCTGGAAGCAGATGAGTCGCAAAATGATGCGTCAAGGCTTGGTGACTCGCACAAGTCAAGAAGGAGCTCAATGCCACCCTTTTTCACAAAGTTGACCTTGAGCAGAGAGTTGGACAAATAGCCGGTCAAAAAATTAGCTAGACCATGAATATATGGCGTCAGTGATTGCGCGGGAGCGAGATTTTGAGACTTTCTGTTCTTGTCATTGGCAGTTTCGTTTGTAGGAGCTGCATCAGCCATGTCCACATCCACTCCTTCGGTGGTAGCACCTTGTCGATCAGGAGCAGTCTCTGCCGTGGGTGCTTTCATGAAGTGTCCGTCTGGGTGAACAGTGACGACAGCTCCCTCCGCGGTGGTGACGTACAGTCTGGCACCCCAGTCAGACTCCATTCCTCTCTCAATTCCCAGCCACCGTACTCTGGCAACCATGTCGATGACAGCATTCGAGATAGATGTTCGGAGTGGTGGATGGTGGCGGGCAAGCTCATCAAAGTTGGCGCCAACGTTGCTCGCCAAATCACTGTCCGCCTCCATGCACGACACGTGCTGAGCGCTCTCAAAAATCTCGAGATAGCTGTCAAAGGCCCGAGAAGCGACAACCAACTTCATGCCCATATTATTCAGACAGATGGAATTCAGGACCTGAGGTACGATATTGATGGCCTCTGAGGAGGCTAAAATACCTTCGGCAGGTTTGTTGCGCCTAGTCCGGCGAATTTGATCATCTGGGGGGGGATGCGGCCGGTCGTCTTCGTCTGCAACCGAAGCGGCGGCAGCAGAAGAGTCGGGAGACTCAGCATCATCCTCATCCTGTTGGTGTTGTTCAGTATGCTTCGACTCTCCACCTTGTTGCTGCTCTGGCACAGGCTGACCGGTGATTGCCTCGAGATATGTCTTAATCATGCCGGACTCGGATATGGCAGCAAAACTCGTTGGGTCGTTGTTGATGAAATCGCTTAGTACCGTGACTGAATTGGTCCACACCACCGATCCAAAGCTCCGTTTATTAGCCATAATTTCTCTCAGGCTGTGCAGCAGGTCAGACTTTTCTGCTAAGTTTCTCAGCAGGCGGTCTGTGTTGCCACCGTAGCTATATGAGTTGGACATGACGTGATGGACAAATTTGAGAAGCCACTTAAGAGTCTGTTGCTGATAGTAAGGAATTTCGTAGTCAACCGCCAAAGACTGTTGGTCGGGCTTGACACCTTTGGATGACTGTAACGACGACTGAGCTTCTGCGACAGCGTCCACTAGGAGTTGTGCAACCGCGCCTAAACCGCCGGCGTTGAAGAAGGCAGTAAATGCATTTTGATATGTCCAAATAAGACCATCTAAAAATGCCAAAACCATGGAATGATGTCGCTGTGCTACTTGAGACCGAATGTGGAGGATTTCAACCAGGATATCCATAAGACCAGCCGAAACCATTTCACTTCCTACGCGGGTAGCCATGGACAGGTGCAAAGTCAAAGAAAAGAGATTGTTACGCCAGTCGTCTGCTTCGCTGGCCTGGTCACCAATGTCGGTCGTATCATCAACCTGCATGCCCGCTACAGCCTTTCTAATGACGTAGAGCAAAATTCCGTGGTTGACATTGGCGTTCAAGGCAGACAAGACATCTTGGCACCGCGCATGGAATCCCGAGACAGCTTCCAGGAGAGCTAACGCAAACGTCTGAAGCCATAGCGGTATTTTTGAATGCCCGTCAGCCGAGGGGTGTATCAGCTCCGCAAGCTGATAGACCAGCTGGTATCTCCTGGTCTCGTCGATGTCGTGACGAAGAACCTTGTCCACAAAGATTGATTCGGTGTGGATATAGGCGAGGTTGGTAATGGCAAGTAGCCGGATCGCGAGTATTTTCTGCCGAGACTCGAGCGAGTCTGTGAGTGCCTTTGCAACTCGGACTCGGTGAAAAAGCTCATATTTGGCAGCAGCCGGCATGTCGTCGGGGCATCGTTTGACCAGGTCATAGATGGATGAAGTCAACACCACGGACTTTGGCAAATCAAATGACTTTTGGCCTGGGATGACGTGTTCTTCTGGAACGGCTGGCGTTCGGGGCAAAACAGGAGATGAGTCATCGACAGCAATATTTCGAGCTCGGGGAGTGTTTTGCTGGCTACCAACGGTGTGACTGCGACGTAAGGGGGTTGGTGTTGACGGAAGTGACGTTCGGCCAGTTTCATTCGACACGTCGACGCTGGCGTGGCCACCTTGTGGAAAGTATAGTATTTTCACATCGCCCCATCCCTGCCACATCGCATCGTCGCAAGTGGCGATTGCAACAAGGTCGTTGGCATGAGTCGGAGTCGAGATTCTGCTACTGATACTCCCGTGTGCCTTTTCCTTTCCCTTGTTCGATGCAGGGGTCATTGATGACGCAGAGTCGGCCAGGCTTACTATTGGGGTCTTGACAAACGGCAGCGCGATTTGTTGGACTCGCTCGATATCGATATTGTAATGGTTTGCCAACAGCACAGAGCTTAATTGACGGGAGGCATTTCCGATCCTTTTGACAGAAGCCTGATACCTCTGGGCCAATTCCGAGCCCACTTCTAGTGCTGAAATGAGAACAGACAATGCAGTGCTGTTTAGAAGGTCGTTGAGGTGCGGGCTGCTGGCATAGATGCTGCGGTTGCCACAGTGTTCCAGAAGCATGCGGGTGAACAGCAAAACAGCCTCTATCAACACTCTGTCACCATCAGTCGGGAAGCCAAGCTCTTGAAGCTCCGTATTTGTCCACTGCTTCTCGCTACTGAATGGCGAATCCTTTGCATTGTTGAGGAGGACGTCTGTGGCGAAAGCCCGAGGCTGTGGGCCCTGGTTCAGCTCGTAAGTCCTGTTGAAATGGTCCAGAATGCTGTCGAATCGGTTGAGCAGCGGTATCCAGTGATACAAATCTCCACGTCCGAATGGCCACCTTGATGGAAATGTCGATAGGTGGCGCGGTAGGGAAGGTAGATCTATGGTGGAGGCAGTTTCGACGTAGTTTTTTAGCCAAGGAGACTGAGAAAGGTATGGAGTTAGAGAAGCTGCGTCAATAATGGACATTATTTACTGTGAGAAAGAGCTTACCAAGGTCTCCTTGTGCTTGGACTGCATCGTCTTGGTGATTTTGCCCATGGTGAGGAGAGGGGCGGCAGAGCCGCGGAAACACGAGCAAGCTCCCCCTTCACTACGATCCGGCTATCAGCCTGAGCGACAAGGCTGCTATGCAAGTGAACGGTGTGCCTTTGAACGGAAAGCTCCTAGTATTCGCACAACAAGACCCGTACTCCGTGGTGTAGTCTGCGGGTGATACGGACGAGTGCCACTTTTTATCTGGCGGGCAACCGCTGGGTGAGAGGAGCGAGGATAGACCACCGGTAGCGGAGTCTAAAGGCCGAAGAATTTTATCAATAACCCTTTGTAGGAGCCTATTGTTATATTCTATTGAAGCTCGAAAGATGAAGCGTGCCGAAGGCGAGATTATTTTCGGTCGCTTGGCGGCCGGCCGTCGAGTTGGCTTGGCAGATGAAGCTGTGCAAGGACGAGTGCAGGACGCCCCCGATTAGCTTGCCCAAGATGTCTGACGACGGGGATATTCGGTACGGGAACAGTAGATGGTCCAGTAGGCGTTCTTCAGCAACTCAGTATGAGTTCTCCCGGAGTGCAAGGGTGTGTCGGAGGTTTGAGGAGCAGCTGTAATGTTGGAGGTGAAAAAAGATGGCGTGCGGATGTCAAAACGTCAGGTTCAGCGAGAGAGTGGGCCTCTGCGCAAGTAGGTACTTAAAGCCTGGTGTCCCCGATGGTTGGAGAGTACGGTTCAAATGCCAGTACTTGAATACCTACCAAGGAGGTACCAAAGAGTACCGAGGAACCTGGGATCGGGGCCCACTGGGGCACCCCTCAGGAGGTACACACGTACTTGTGAGTATGTACCTAGGTACCTAGTTATCTGACTACGAAGCACTTGAAGCGGTGTCATCTCATCAACACTTTGATTAGGCTCCCGTCAGTCTGGCTGGTTCACAGTCAGACTACGGCGTGAGTGTTGATAACAGCTTGCCCGCGTAATGAACAGCCGCGGATGCAGGCCGTGACGAGGAGAACTTTCTCAGTCTTTCTTGCCCACCAGACCGGCAATCAGCCGGAGTTTGCCACAGCCCTGCCCTTGATGGCAAAATCCTGCGTCACAACCACGTTGCCCGAGCTGCGAGAGTTGGACGGGTTGACCACCTTGCTCTGGATCCTATTCGTCAATAAATAACCACATCTGAGAACGGTGCCCAACACTGGGCGTCGACGCCTAGCTACCCTAGTACGATCACGAACCCAGCCCAGTATTGCTTTGCTAGTACTTAGTAGTTACGTCCTTTCTGCAGATGGACGACCATCGTATCGCGGGCCTCATGCTTACCCTATAGCCGGCGGGATTGGAAAATGCCCATGGAGAGTCGGCAGCGGCTTCTCTCTCTTTCTCACCTCTGGAAATGTGATTGAGAGACTATTCCAGCTTCATCAGACGTGGGCTCATTGTTCCAGTCAACGGAGCTGTTGATTGTCGCCCCAAGCTTATCGCGAGGCTCCCAACATTTCAACATTAACCACCCGTAACCAATCCCCCAGAGGGAGACATGGTGATCAGGGTAGACATAGGCTATCTGTTAGCCTGCCACTGTGAGTCTGCGAGTCTCCGACATAAAGGAAAAGAGACGTGGCAAAGGCTCACCAATTTGGATCATGTCTATGACCAGGCACAGAGTACACGCTCGCTGCATTTCTCCCGACCCGTTGAGAAGGGCCACAGATAAAGAGAAAAATAAAAGGAAAGAAGGAATGTGTAGGGAAAACTTGTTGTGTCCTTGGGGACTTCAAATCCAAATATAGCTGGGTGCGATCATGCCCCGGGGCTCTGATCTGATGCCGCACCCGACGCGGTTCTCAAGTCTACGAACAGGTCCACGCATATGAACTCCATACGTGCTAGACGTTACCATGGCGTATGATGGCAAGAGAAAAACAAGACAAAAAATATAGGCATATGCTTGGCGAAATGTTTGCAGGCGGTTGAACCTAGTAGATGTCGAAACCTCCACGTGAGGGACGAGACGACATACGACATAAAAGTACACACGACCTATCTACTACGTACGTAGGTCCTATCCCCTTTCCCCTTCTTTGTTGAGCAAGAGCAAAAACACGAGGTGTGGCAAGCGTTTTGTCTGATCGACCCGCGGCCGCGGCGCTCGGCCGCATGGCTAAACATCGATCGAGCATCAGCAGGCTATGTGGCATAGAGCATTTCCCGGCCATCTAAATACGCCAATATACAGCAGTATGTAATGATGTAATAAGCGATAGCCAGGTGCCTGCACCGGTGAAATACTCGTTTCTCCCACTGTTAACTGTAACATGGTCCCATTAACCCTAACCCCAACAAGTGCTTTGTGGTGGAGCTGCGCACCAGGGCCCAATGGGGCTCGCCGGCTGGGCGCGTCAAAGGTACGTAAATGGACATGTTTCCCGATCCTTTTGACGCATCGCGTGGATGGCCGATACTTGACACGGCAGTGGCCAATCAGCGTTGCCGGCATCGAGGGCGGTTACGGTTACATTCCATAGGTCGGAATGCTGCATGCAATGCCACGGGCATGTCCACATGCTTGACAGCTACCTTCTAACTACGGACGATTCACTTGTACGTACTATGTTTTAGAGATGACTGGATTAGGGGAGTTGCTGCTTTGGAGCTTCATATGGCGGGTCTATCCACGTTTCGCAGAATACCCGACGCCACCATTCAAGGAGATGGCGATACCTGCTTATGAGGTACTGTACCCAGGCACTTGAGTAGATCATAGGACTGGGAGTTATCATAGGACTGGGAGTTATTGACTCCGTCGACTAGGGAGCTGCGGGTTAACGTGGAATCATGAATACCGGGCCACGTATTGGACTGGCCATGGGAGAAATGGACACGCTGGCCTGGCTCCGACGTGTTGGATTTTTGGATCCATCAATGCCTCGCAAGTCGCTCTTGGGCATGTAAAGCGTACACGGTGCATCGCACATGTGCGGCTAATAAGCGGCGGCTTTGTAGGATCCTTCCCTCGGCAGCTGGGGGATTGATCAGGGAATGGTTCTCATGACAACGTGGGCAGACTTGACTGCACTTGATGTGTTTCCGCCAGAGTTTTCACGCATCAAGACGGACAAGGAGCAGGACAGGACCAACAAAGAAAGCAAGGGAGCACCCGAGAGCCTTTGAAGCGAAGGTGCCTGCCCCAGGAGAACAAAGTGGTCGGCACACGACACGAGCACGGATCACAGATGACGGACCACGGGGCTCAAGGAAAAGAAAGGTGAGGAGGGCACTTGTTAGAACGATTCTCAGCAGAGATGCTGAATAAAGTAGTTAAGTATGCAATGCTCAGAATAACACCATCCCATCAGGGACCATTACTGTCCGCAGGGCCCACCGGCAGACCTCTGAAACCCGCCTGGTTGGACTGAGGACTCGGCTCGAGGTCCCCAACTGTGCTAGCGGTAAGAGTCAAGACCACATGTGCAGTGTACGTACGTCCCTGGGTCTTTCGAGTGCTGTCCTGGCTCCAGGGGCTCTGTTCCTGGCCTAGAATGCCAGCCCTGCGGGACATCGAACAGCGAGGTCCGCCGCCACGGACCACCAGCACGCCCCCCCGGCGCCCCCGGCGCCCCCGGGAGAACTAACCACTGAACGCCACCTGACATCTCTTCCGCATTGCGCTGCCTGCTAAGCAACCAGGGGCGGAGGGCCAAGGCCAGAGCCAGTTTGCCAAATCACCACCACCTTCTCTCTGCTCCCTGCCTGTTTTTCTCATTCCAGCCTCTTGTTCTTATTGTAAACCATTGGACTTGCGTCGCTGCGCGGTACGCTCCTTCCTTATCTTGCTGCTGCACGAGACAACGGCTTGTCCATGTTGACCTATATCTAAGACAGCCAAGAACTGAGCAGACGAGCGACCAGGTTTTCTTCTCCCTTGCCCTCGGCCGTTGGACGTCACACCACCACTCGACACCTCGTTCGCCGCTGGTGGCCACGATCTGAATTGCTCCAACCCATAGGCCGTATAAACCGACCAGATATACGACCATTGCATCGCAGGGGGCGCCCTGCGCTACGCTGAAATACAATGTCGCTGCAGGGCGGCGATGTTGCCTCTCCTGATCATCCAGAGGAACAGAAGCCGAGGCCGTCTTCGCCCGCCAGCTCGAGCCCGGATACTGTACGTCAAACACACGAAAATTTGCCCGTCTATGCCTTTTCATTCTACCGATATATTTTCGAGACAACAAGCCTCCATCCCCTCAAGTAAACGAATTTCGGCTGACCTTTTGCTGCGCGCAGAACGGAGAAAGAGACTCATTCGAAGACGCTGTAGATAACGCGGATACGACTGCGGATACAGTTGATGCACGTTCTGTACGCTCATTGACAAAAAAATCCGTTTCCATTTCGAATAGGCCTTCGCGACCGGGCGACCAAGATGACAACCACGAGGGAGGTGTCAGGGACGAATCAGTGGACTCAACCAAGCCTGGATCCCAGCCAGTCTCGCGCAGGACGTCTTCGCCGCTTTCGCGCCGCATTTCCAGTACGTCGAATCTCGATAACGTGAATCTGGACGATGAGGCGCCGGCAAAGGCAGAAGGTGCGTCAACAATTGACTCATTCCTGGGATTCTTGCTCGCTAAACCATGATCTCGGTAGACCCCCCCCCGAGTCCACCTGAAAAGGACCATGCCAGTAAGACTCTGTCTCTGAGTAGCCTAACAAATGCTCTCCCAGCTATGCCTTGGACTCCTGCCGCCGAATCTCCCTCCAAGAGCCCTGGCCCTACATCCAATGCCGTCCCCGTCCCTACACCGCAGCCGATCCCAAGTCCCCCTACCCGAAAACTCTCGGCATTTTCCTGGCTATCACGAAATTCTTCAAGCAAGGATAGCTCTACATCTCCACCAGCTCAACCTTCTGGGAGACGAAATACCGCAAGTTCCATCGCCACTTTAACAAGCAATCCAGAAATGATGCTCAGTAAGCTTGAGGAGGAAAATGACGTCGCGAGTGTCAATGGTCACCAGCGCGAGAGTCTCAAGGACAGGTTTAAAGCCCTACGCATGCGTGAGGAAGCTGGCATACAGCTCATCCCTGGCGATGGTGATGGACAAGGGGATGCGCTGGCACTGGTGAGCCCAGGCGGCGAGACCGTGTCCGGTGACAGGAGCCCACTGCCTCCAGTGCCGAGTCCCAGCCGTGAACTGGCCCCTGGCACGGCCTCTGGAGTCAACGCCGGGCCCTCGGCCATGCAGGAAGCGCAGGTGGACTGGGACCTTTGGCAATCTGTCGTGTATGAAGGCCCGGCTGCCGTGAGCCGAACGAGCCCCGAGGAGTTGAACAGGGCCATTGCTACGGGTATCCCCAACGCCATTAGGGGAGTCATCTGGCAAGTCCTCGCGCAGAGCAAAAACGAACACCTCGAAACACTGTACAAGGAACTCGTCGCCAAGGGGACCGACAAGGAAAACCGCAATAGCGGCAGCACGCTTGCGAGCCCCACCCCCGGTGCCAGTGGGAACGCCATCAACACGAATGGTGACGGCGTGAAGTCGTCGGCGTCATCTAGTCATTCCACCGTCTCGACTCCCAATGGCAACACGTCACCGAGGAGCGACAAGAGCCAGAAGGCAATTGCAAAAGCACAGGCAGTATCGGTCGCGGAGAAGAACAAGAAACAGAAAAAGGAGGCAGCGAAACTCCAGGCACTCGAAAAGACTATCCGACGTGATCTTGGGGCGAGGACGAGCTTTTCCAAGTATGCCGCTGCTGCAGGGCTTCAGGATGGCCTGTTTGGCGTCTGCAAGGCGTATGCTCTGTACGACGACGGTGTTGGATACGCACAGGGCATGAATTTTTTGATTATGCCGCTGCTGTTCAATGTAAGTCAAGAAGACTGGGAGACGAGCCGCCCCACGACGAGAAACATGACTTACACTCCAACCCTAGATGCCCGAGGGCGAGGCATTTTGCCTGCTGGTCCGTTTGATGCACCAGTATAAATTACGAGACCTGTTCATCAAGGATATGCCAGGGCTACACATGCACTGCTACCAATTCGAGCGCTTGCTGGAAGATTTAGAGCCAGCACTGTACTGTCACCTTCATCGTCGCGACATCTCCCCCCATCTTTACGCCACGCAATGGTTCCTCACCTTATTCGCTTACCGCTTCCCGCTTCAGCTTGTTCTCCGTATCTACGACTTGATTCTGTCCGAGGGCCTGTCTGCGATTCTGCGGTTCGGTATTGTACTGATGCAAAAGAACGCTAGTACGTTGCTGCGATTATCCGACATGCAACAGCTCACCACATATTTGAAGGACAAGCTTTTCGATGTGTATATTGACAAGGATCCCAGCCAGGGTAGCATCCTTGAAAATGGATTCTTTGGGAGCTCCAGTTCCAGCATAGACAAGGAGGTGTATAGAGCGGATCAGCTTGTCCGAGATGCGTGCGAAGTCAAGATTACGCCTGAAATATTGAAGACGTATACCGCGGAATGGGAGGAGAAAACTCAAGCCAGAAAGAAACAAGAAACAGAGCTGCAAGATCTGAGGATGGCCAAAGAGAGCTTGACCAGTCAGGTGCGCAAGTTGGAAAAACGACTCCACGATGACGCGCCTGAGCAGGCAGAAATCTTGACGAAGCTCTGTGAAACCCGCCTCGAGAACGCTGCGTTCCGAGATGACATTGAGAGGCTACAGTATGAGAACGGTAAATTACGTGATGAGAACGAAAAGCTTCGGGACGAGAACGAAAATCTACCAGGCGAGAACGATAGGCTACGGGACGAGAACGAGAGCCTGCAGGGCCAGGTTGCGGAACTGAGAAATGTGATTGAAATGCAGCCCGAGGAGATCGAGAAGAAGTGGAAGGTGGAGCGCAGTGAACTGATGGAGCGAAATGGCAAGGTTCATGAAGAAAATGCAGAATTGCAGAACGAATTGCACAGACTCGCAAAGGAGCTCGCGGATTACAAGCTGCGCTATGCTCAGGTACGTCATCCCCGAACACTGAAAGGCAACCGTATTTATTTGGCTTTGATGAGACGACTTACTTATGCCTGGTTTCACTGTAGATCAACGATGATCACGAAACCCTCAAACTCAAATGGACTGACGTAGGCCGTCAATTTCGACTAGGCCCAGAAGAAAGCACATAGCCTCGGACCCCAACTCTCTGCACATTTTCTTGCACATTATATGCCAGTGGAGACGTGGCGTAGAATATTCTTCCACCTCCGTCTCTCTGCTCCTTTTAGAAGCATGTACAAAAAAAAACAAAAACAAAAACAAAAAATAGTTGTCATAAACTACCGCATGGCGTCGGAAACTCCTCTCCTTGTCACATGGGTACAAGGCGGTAGAGGAAGGAAACTGTAGCTGACTTGATGTATGATGATATCGGTGGGCTTGCATACTGTATTCTTGGTGCTTGGTGCATTGATGCAGTTTTGTTTTATTGCGGACTCCACCTTGACAAAGACGATGACATGGGGTATGTAATCACAATGATAGGGGTAGTACTTTGTAGAAAAAGTGTCACAAGAGAATAAGTTATCGTACGATTATCGCCAGAGTGAGTAATGTGACGGCATGGGGGGGATGGATGAGTCGAACCAGAGGAAGATTTGACCCATGACGGGCATGGCACACGGCCCAAGAGCATCATGACATTGTACAGGGATGTTTACACGTTAAAAAGGTATCTTTTCTTTTTCCATTTCCTTCCCTATGAACCCATTTCCGATGCCTCGTGTCAGGCTCGTCATGCCCTGGGTGGAACAAGCGTCCCAAGACAATTGAGCAAAATCCCTTCAACACCATTTTCCGTGAGGGGAATTGATTTTCGGACGCCAGCGGATGGGAGCCGCCATAATGCCGACCGATGTTCGACTTCCCAAGCACCACGCCCCTTCCCTGCCTCCTGGCAAATGCGTACACAAATGTTCTAAAAAAAAATGAAGAAGCCGAATCTACTTGTGCAGCTTGCGCTGGTAGAAAGCCAGCTCCTCGCCCTCCAAGATGTACCCGTCGCAACGGCCAGACTGGCCAGGACGGCTGGAAATAATGGCATACAGACGACCGGCCTCAAACTGCTTCTCGAGAACGGGGTCGACCTTGCCGCGGGCAGCGAAGCGCTCGGCCTGCTTCTTCTCGACGGCCTTGCTCTTCTTGGCCTCCTCCTCGACCTTGCCCTCCTTGGCGGCCTGGGCGCGCTGGCGTCTGCGGCCGATGGGCTGGCCGTAGTGCGCCTCGTACCACTGCCGGAAGGGGGCGGCGTCGACCTGGACGACGGCGCTGCGGGTCAGGGTGTTTGTGCGGACGAGCTCGTTGTTGGACGGGTGGTAGGCGACCACGATGACGCGCGTCTTGCGGGTGCAGCCCTCCGAGGCCCAGGCGAAGTTGCCCGAGTCGAGACGCAGGGCGCGGTACTTGTGGTTGCCGCCGCGGGTGCGGACCGTGTGGACGCGCTTGGCGCCGATGCGGGTGTTGGCACCCTGGCGGCCAGCTTCGAAAGCGCGCTTCTTCCCTGTTGAAAAGAGGTCAGAACGCATGGGATTTTCTCTTGTCGCCGGACAAGAGCAAGTCCCATACGGGCTTTCGATTGTAGAGGAAAAAACAAGCAAGTTGTTCGTGGGGCTATTGTTGTCTGTACGCACGGTAGAAGGCACGCTTGGCGCCCGAGGCGGAGCGCTTGTGGCGGGAGTCGCGAGAGATACCCATGCTTGCGAGCTCTGTGAAACGTAGGGAGAGTTAGCTGGCTGATGCTGTACGGGTGTCTTGTTTGCAAAGCACATGGAGAGCAGCAGAGGTCGATGATGGGCTGACGCTGTCCGGGTTGACGGGGCACGCGTGGGCGGCGCCGTGGAAATTTATGCCATGCCCGAGTGACTGTTTCGAAGGGAGTGTTGGTATATTCGTAGTTGTGTGTGTTGTCTCGTCGTCGACCTCTTGGCTCTTGTGCTGTCTTGATTTGCGAACTTACCTGATGGTTTTGCTGCTTCACAAGTGGACTCGAATTGGCGGCGGATGTGGGAGGAGAGAGCTTTCTGGCCGAGTGCTCGACGAGGGCTGGAATTGGCAATGAAAAATTGTGGTTGTGGGTTTTCGCTAGCCCCAAGGTACGTACCCACCCGCCTAAGGGCTTCGGAAGTCCACGTTCTTCCGTGACGGTTTGTGCATATGAAAAATTGTGGGCCAGCAAGGTACAAGCTGATTGGGCGGCTCCTCACGTCAGTGTCGAAAGAAATGCCTCGACAGATCTTCTCCATGCTGGCTGGTCATTAACTGCCTAGGTAAGTTATCTATGCTAGTGTTTTCTTTCTGCCTGGACCTTCTTGTTTCCTTGTTCCTCGCGCTTTGTTGACGAAACTTTCCAACCCTGCAATATCAAGATCACGTTTGTTTACGACACACCAAGTGCCGACCATATGGACAAAGGCTTGGCCGTTGTTCAGTGGCCCCTGACCATTCCTTTTATGAAATACGCCTGGATGATGATACCCCGTTTCTACCTCGGCTAGCCAATTTCACAGCTGCATTTGCGGCCAAGTTATCCGTCTTCTTCTCCAAAGCCGTCGCCCTCTGGCCTAGTCATCCAATTCTTTCTCCATCTCTACTATCGCCTTCTGTAGGTAAGCGGGCAGCTCCTCTAAATCCATTTCTGTCGTCCGCGGGCAGAGGGTCTGGTTGGCAGGGGATACAGAGTTCATGAACCGTGTGTCAACTTTCACAGCTCCCATCTCGCTTTGGTTTGCGTCATTTGCGGAACAGCTGTACGCTTGTCGACATGTCGCATAGCCTTTGACGGTCATGCTGAGCTTTGGGAGCGGGAGATATCGTTCATGTCTGCCCGACCGTTTGTCGCCCACCTCTTTGAGCTCCGCCAACGAGGGCCATGTTGCCGATTGAGCATCGTCATGACAGACATATTCGCTGAAGCAATTTCGCGATGCGAAAACCGTTGAGAGATTGTCTGGGAACTTTTTGCCCTGAAGCAATGGTACCAACTTGGCGTCTTGCTCATCTAAGCCCTGAGCAATGGCTTTTCGGCGACCAAGTGTTGCCGTTCGCCATTCGACTTTTCGTGATAACCGTCTCTTTCTTATCTCCGCCATTTCCGCGCGAAGTGCTGTCAGCTCAAGCGGTGTCTGGGGTATGAACGGGGAGTTAGTAGCCCCAATATGGTGTAAATTCTGCATCGTCTTGTGAAATGCCATGCGCTCTTTAGTCTCCTGGCTCATCCATCTCTTAGATTGGGACCATGAACCTTCGCCTACTCTACTTGCGACGCTTTTGCAGCGTTGCATAGGCCCTTTGATTTCGTTGAAGGCACCTTTATTCGACGTCTTCGTCGTATATGTAGCGGCTCCGTCTTCAGATTTTGATCGCTTCAACGCCAGGCTTACGTCTGTAGATAATATGTTTCGGCCTATTTGTAATTTCAAATGCAAATTTTTCGACGCTGCTTCGACGGAATCTCTCATATCCCGTTTCTCAAGACGTGGCCATTCGTCGTCACTCGCATACGAATCGAATCCCCGAATACAATATTGAATGAGTTCCGCCTGTTCGAAATATTCCATGGGGACAGGTATAATTCTCTGAATGCCATGTTTCAGTATTCAACTAGAGGTCTACCATATTGAGGAGCACCAAGTGCACTCACACTTTTTACCATCTCCGAGAAAATCCTCGAGAACGGTTGAACTTCTTCCCCCTCGCAACTTTGCATTTTGGATCCTAGTTGCGGCTTCTTCTCTTGGGATGGTATTTTGCGTGTCCTAGAGCTTCCAGACGAAGTAGCATTTCGGCAAGAACTGCGGGACGGCGATTCGGATTCTTTATAACGCTGGTGTGGGGGACCAGAATCTGCGTGCGCATAAAGTGAACTACGTCGTCCAGAAGTGTCAGTTATGTTGCCACTTTGTGTGGAAAAGACGTTGCGGAACAAAGGTGGAACGTTTTCAGACCAAGGCGGGGATGATGACTTTGAGAATGCAGAACTTTGTTGAGCATTTGGTGAAAGGAAACCATCAGAGTCAAGGTGCAGACAGTCGTTCGGTCGTAAGAGCTCATGTGTGGTTTCTGCAGTCTTGGAATGTATCAGGTTACCGCCATCTGTGCCCTCTCGTGTTTCTGACTCTTCACTAGCATTTGAGGTTGTAGGTAGAAGCCAGTTTGAGCTAGAGACGGGAATCTGAGATGATTTCTGTCCATGAAAGTTTGTAGAAGGCTCATTGACGGTCTTGTTGGTAGCTCCTCCTGTCGTCTGTGTCGGGGCTTGTTCAATATCAAAGGGATGCTTGAATCCGAATCTTAAATTTGCCGCCACGGTCTGAAAAGCTTTGTCTGCATATGCCAGACTGGGAGCCGCTGGAGCATATACAAAAGAGCCCGGATGCGGATGCGGAGGCGTAGGACAATAAGGCCTTGCGAGTGAGACTGGACTGTCCCACAGATGCATATTCCATGAAGGCTGTGGAACAGTGCTCAAAGGAATAATAGGGTACAATGGCGAGTATCCATGAAATGGTGTATGGCGAGGAGTTAAGGGCTGATTAAGAAGGTGTAAAGGTGCAGCAGTCTGAGTTGGGATCTGCTCTGGTGAGCCCATGCCCAGCTTGGGCCCGGGAACTTGATAATTTAAAGTTAATGCAGACGAAGATGACTCCAATTTCGAAACAGAAAGAGGTGTGAACTTGTTGGCGCACGGATTCATTGTTGGACTGTTCTTTCATGGAGGACGTTGTACGGTTGAGGTTTGCCGTGGTCAAGATGAGCAAAAGGGAAGAAGAAGGCAAAAAAAGAGGGCCAACAGGTTTGTTTGAGGAGGCAACGGTCTACTTGGTCGAAGAAGCACAAATGAGAGCCCAACACATGCCCAGAAGCTGATAATATGAATCAGAGAAGGTTTGGTCAAGTGACTTGGCTCTCATGTTGATGTTGTGCGGCTTAGAGTCGGCACTTAGACGGCAGAGTCAGTTGATGGAACGCCATGCACCACCGTCTGGTTGGGTTAATCGAGGTTGAGGGTACACAAGGAGAAGGGAAAACGGCGTGAGGACTTTGAAAATAGATAAAGAAGACCAAATGACTGTGCCGTATCATCAACGACGGCATGCAAAAGAAGAAGGCCTGTGGCGTGGACCAAGGCAGCGACTTGTTAACAAGCTGAAGCAAAAGGAGCCCGACAGCACGGGGATGCCGAGTAGCAAAGACGAAGATGCCGCTATTCAAAGACACAATGAATGAACGAGAGAGCAGAAGAAAGAGGAGAGCTGCCAGGCAGCCGGCAAGGTGCTGGTTGGATCTGTTGGCACTTTGGAGCAGTGAATCTGCACCTGGCAGTTGTGTGAGCTGTGGTCCGTGTTTGGGGCTGCCCAACCTTGTCGTAACGACATCTATTTATTGCTCGCAAACAAATGCTTCTGCGCAAGATGAAGCGGTGGACTCGATAAAAGAACCGCGACAACAATTGGGATGACATTGCCTGGCGGCGCGGACCGTATATCTCATGTCGCATGTTTCGATGGCTGGATGGGTATGAAGCCCGAACTGGGGCTTGACGACCGATGCATGACGGTGCATTGTTTGTTACACCTCTGTCACAAGGTCAGTCGAAGAAGGACACCGCGTATGTTTGGCGTGTCAAATAACACTCGGGTTGTATACGGGTAATTGATTTGCTGCGTTGGAGCATTTTGCACAATGCTCGTGTGATAGGATGACGCGACAAGTTGCAAAAGATGGCACTACTGGACCGGTTGACGTAACTACGGCTGGGCCAACGCAGAATAGTTGACGCCGACTACTCAGGAGCTCCGACCGCGAGAGAGACGCTGACAAGTAGATGGACGATGCTTGAAAACGGGGAAACGACTGCGGCCAACATTTGCAACTGGTACTCATAAGCTTGTTTGCATTCTAAAGTTGGGGTGGGGTTTTGAAAGCAATACGGTGTACTCCGTATGTACTGTGCGTACACAACATGACTACAATACAATACAGTATGGACGGGGTAGGTGCCTCCCGCGCGGTTGCACCTGCCGACAGAGCAACATTGAACAGCAAGCGACGCGGTCGAAAGGAAAGCGCAAACACTGGCTGACTGACTGCACCGTACGCCGTTCACCGGCACCACCTGTAATATTTGCACGCAGTGTCGGTGAGACCCACAACTGACAGCTGTTCATCAGACCTACCAAAGTAAGCTACGGAGTACGGAGTACGGGCGTACGGAGCACCTAGACCGGACTAGTAGATAACTTAACTTACAGGATACCGTGAGCAGGGGTTCGTCACATTGATCTCATCACTTTTCTCCAACAGCCCCCGTCCGTTGTTTGCCTTCCCTTCACCGTTGCCAGAGGCGATGCATCTACCCACCATGGCCAACACGACCCTCAAGCTCACGAATCGCTGTAGGTGAACCGTCTCGCCTGTTCCTCCTAGCCAGGCCGCAAAACCAAGCCATGGCCAGGCTCTTGTGCTAATCGCCAAGCTCCATATCCAGCTCCGAAGCAGCCCATCAAGCTTCTTCCCGCAACCATCGACTTGCCTGCCGATGCTACTGTGGACCACCTCAAGGATCTGATCGCCAGAGAAGCCAAGATTCCCGACTTCAATCGCATTGGCATCTACGATCCCGCCACTAAGAAGACCTTGAAGAACCGCAAGGCTCGCCTGGCCGACGAGCCCAATGTGTCTGCCACCAACGAAGTTCTGGTCAAGGATCTCGGTAAGTCGAGCTTGCACCCACAACATGGGGACTTGCCAGAGCAGAATAGTCTAACGCAGAGGTCACTCAGGCCCCCAGATAGGTTGGAGAACCGTCTTTGTCATCGAATACTTTGGCCCAATTCTGTTTCATGCCCTCATCGTTGCCGCCAGACCCTACATCTACAAGAATGGTGATGGCGACATGTCATCAACCCAGTGGCTCGCCTTTGGCATGATCGTCGCCCATTTCGTCAAACGCGAGGTCGAGACGCTCTTTGTCCACAAATTTTCCGCCAACACGATGCCTGTCTTCAACGTCTTCAAGAACAGTTTCTTCTACTGGACGCTGTCAGGCCTTGTTTGCGCCGCGTCCATCTACAGCCCCAACTCGCTTGCCGCTCGTGCCGATATGCCTGCTGTCGACCTCGTTGGGCTCGCGCTTTACCTCTTTGGCGAGACTGGCAACGCCCTAGTCCACTTGTACTTGTCATCTCTGCGCTCTTCTGGCGGCACTGAACGCAAGATTCCCTCGGGCTACGGATTCGGCATTGTCACATGCCCCAACTACATGTACGAAGTTTTATCCTGGGCTGGAATCATAATTGCCAGCCGCGACTGGACAGTGGCGCTTTTCATCGGCATTGGTGCCGCGCAGATGTTCACCTGGGCCAAGGGTAAGGAGAGAGCATACCGCAAGGAGTTTGGTGACAAGTACAAGAAGAAGCGTTTTGTCATGCTGCCCGGGCTGTTGTAAGCCACTATATAGACCTGCGGACAAAAGTGGCAACAGGCAGCAAGGAGGCATGCTTTCCGCCAAAAGGGCCTCGACTGTGAGGCCCTTGGCGAGCCACAGAAATGGGGCGAACGCATCAAATGCTGGGAGACCTTGTACGTCAGCTTTCTGAGCGAGCTCAACATGTCGTGGCTACAAAACACATGTGGCATCGTGTTTCCACATTGTCAGCTCATTATAACACAAAACCAATAAACAAGTCCAATGTCATGTCTCATGAGAGATGAAACGCTCAAGGCGCATTCTTAAAATCAAGAAGCTAGCACCCTCCCATCAGCATCCTTGAACGACTCGGTCGACAAGCTCGCCGTCTCGGACCCCTTGGCCCTGCCCGTGCCCGTACTCATACTCGAATCCGGCTCCATCAAGCTTCTGCTGGCATCCGACCATGCGCTCCTCTCGCCGTCGCCGTCGCCGTCGCCATATCGACGTCGGCACCCGCCGCCAACCCTTCCGTCTCCACGCCCTTGCCCTGGTTCCCATCCCGATGCATGCTGTTTGCCAGGTCAACATCCACATCCATCATACCCTCCCCCTCGACGTACTCGTCGTCGTCGTCGTCGTCGTCGTCGTCACCGCCGGCCGTGCCGCCCTCGCACTCGCTACAACTACAGCTCCCGCTCTCGCTCTCGCGCTCCCGGTCCGCCAGCCGCACCGTCTCCTCGAGCACCAGGAACCCCCTCTCCAAGACCTCGGCCCAGTTCTGCACATTGCCCAGCTCCTTGACCCTTCTCGCAGCGGCGTCCGCCTCCCTCGCGAGCCTCCCCGCCTCGCGGCGCAGGCCGTCGGTGGCGCGGAGCACGTCCCGCTCCTGCCTGTCCAGCGCGGCGGCGTTGTCGTGCAGGATGCCAGCGCGCGACTGGAGCTCCGAGTCGATCAGGTTGCCCAGGGAGGCGACGACGGCGGCCCGGGCCTCGGCGACGTGGCGCTGCGTCTCCTGCGACGGGAGCGTGCGGTGCAGCGTGTGCGTGTGCGTGTGCGTGTGCGTGTGCGTGTGCGTGTGCGTACTGGTCGTCTGCATGGCTACGGGGTGCTGGATTCCGATTCCGCGATGCGCGCGGGCAGGGTTTGTGACGAGACGAGACGAGACGGCGCGCCTGGTGCGAAGTGGCCCTGCCTCGTGCGGGCGGGGTCAGTCGCAGTCGCGCCGCGCCCTCTTTTCGTCTTTGGCGGCCATGGCCATGTCTTGGATTCGGATGGACGAACCACTGACCACTGACCACTGACCACTGACCACTGACCACTGACTTCGGCCCAGGGAGGCTTGACTGGACGTCGAGGGGGCGTCAAAGAGCCGAGACGGCGGGCATGAAATTTCCCAAATTCCAAGATGCCTGCCAGGGCACAAATTACATCGTGGACGGGTCTGGTTTCTGACACTGGGCACGGGCACGACTTTCACACAAACGTCCATTAACATAGTAGCATTGCCATTATTTGTACGAGCCGACCTTGTCGCCCTGTCTTTTTTTGCCCGTATCCGTGCCTGGTGCCTCACCTCCGGTGCTATCTAGTTAGCATCCTCCTTTTGTGAGGCCTGTGTATAGTAGTTGCATGTAGGAAGTCCCTGTCCTTTCCTTGTCCCCAAGAAGAGAAATTCCACGCGAATGAAAAAGCGGTCTCCTTCCGTGAAACGCCGGCATCAAAACATCAACCATGGATATTTTCATCTAAGATGAGTATGGTACGATGGAGGAAGCACACACAAAAAAAAAAAAAAAAGAGAGAAAGAAAAAAGAAAAAAAAGCATAACCTTGGATTACATTGCCATGATTCGCGTCATCATCATGAACATATTCTACAGCATACGGATTTCCCACAACGCCGGGCTATGCGAAATATTGAAAAGAGCCAAGTCGGATGATTAGAAATTACCATCCCTAAAATCGAAACACTGTCCGGCGAGGGTGGCTAGATTGCCAACAGTCGGTAGCGTGTCGTCCCACACCGTTGTCGTGGTTGCGATTCAGGTGGTCTTGTTGCCGTCCAAAGCTTCGTCACAGAGCCAGCCTCCCACCGTTTAGTCGTGAGAGCCCCAAGCCTCCGTTCGGTGGGCTAAAGGGCGTTGAAACTGACGAGATTCCGTCCGAAGACATTGACGAAATGGACGAGAGGGAGTTGAACCCAGAATGACCGCGCGTCATGGTGCCGCTGCGAGACATGGAAATTCCAGGATTTGCCATGAGCGCATCCGCGCGATCAAAGACGTTGCCCTGGAATGCGGCGGCAAACGAGGCACTATGCGGTGTGGTGGAAACGGTGGCCTGCAGCGCAGGTCCAAGTGCGGCGCTTTGCGGCGTAATCGGGGCCTGGGTTGTCGGCGACGCACCCTGAGCAAAGGCGCCGCCCAAGCTTCCATTAGGCGCGGAGGATCGCATCAGATGGTGCCAGGGTGATTGTACGATTATGCTGCCAAACTCCTTCATGCCTTGCTGGATAGGCCGCAATCGCATTCTTGTGTCGGGAGGCATCGGAATGCTGTCCATGGAGCCTTTGGTCTTCTTGATGAAGGACATCCAAGAGTTGACAAAGTTGTTGCACAGGCTCCAAAACCCGGGGTGGGAGCGGACGCTGGGGTCATTGAGCTTCATCAGAGACAGTCTGTTCCGGAGGATTTCTGTCTGCTGTATGGTATAGCCACACATGCCAACCAAATGTTTCCAGTCCTGGACAAGCGCCATCGGGGCGCGTTGCTGCATGGCCGCTCTCAACTTGCCTTGCAGCTGGCTGTGGAAGCTTGGCAGGATGCGCAGAACTATGTCGGTAGACCTCTGCAGCGACACAAAGACCTTCTCAAACTGTGCATCGTCTCCCGCGTAATCATTCGTGAGATCTCGGCTTCCTGCAGAAGAAGAGGACCCGCCAGACCGTGGCGTGGCCGAGGCGAGTTTTGCGGTCCGGGTCGAGCCATTGGCGGCGTAGTGCATTGGGAGATCTGTGGCAACGCGTAGGTTGGCAGGATTATGGACGACGGTCCCGTTACGATTGCGTAACAGTCCAACCCTGTCTGCCGTCGGGGTTGCAAAAGGTTCCCGTTGAAATGGTTTTATCGTCTCGCTGGCGTCCGGCATGCTGCGATTCGTCGATTGACACGCTGGCCGCGAGGCACCGACAGTGGTCAAAGTGACGCGAAGCTCCATGATACTATTGTAGAGTAACATCAAGAGCGTGCGGATATATCGCGCGTCTCCGTTGTTGACAAAGGTATCAATGTTCTCCGCCAAGAGGGTGCAAACGTGGCCGTAGGCGCTGACGAGTGTATGGCAAGCGCGGTGCACGTTTTCATTATCTATGGCAGAGTATTGGTCAATTTCTAGCAGCGTCATGTCGTGCCTCTGGATCTCTTGTTCGAGCTCCTCAACGTGCGAGTTGGTGTTGTAAAAGACAATCTCTAGACTTGACCGTTTTGCTGATCCATCACTCGTCAAGGTCATGAGCATCTGTATCATGGGATGAATCTGAAAGACGGAATAGAGAACTCCCTTGGCTGCTTCAATGACAGGGTCAAATGTCTTGGATTCCCGTCGACGTTCGGGAAGCACAGACAATCGGCGAACGTAGACGGGGCGCTGGAGGTACGGGTCATTGGGCGTCGCCGGACTCTTGACACCTTGAGGTGCTCCTTGCATGGCCGAACCGTGGCTCAGGCCACGGTAGTGGCTAAAGCGGTTATTCGCTTGTGTCTCGTCCAGAGTGCCCAGCTCGGATGGCTTTCTGGATACGATTCCCATGCGCCGACTGCGGCCATCCGGTCCTCGATCAGATCGCAACAATGTCTCGGAGTTGCTGCGAAGCCTCTCACTCACGTTGCCAATGGTCAAGGGCATGACGCCCGGCCGGCGAATCGCAGTGCTCTGTTGCGACAAGCCACGGTAATGGGACCTTGTCGGGATTGGGGGCGGTCGGGATAAGCCGTTGGGAGATCGCAGATCAGGCACGTCAGCGCCATTGACCTTGATGGGAAATCGGCCGCTCGCGGCTCGCCTCAGATGAAACCGAGGTGCATCTATGCCACCTTCACTAGACTCGTCGCCAGTTGCGTCACCTTCCATCCGTCCCGTCATGGCATAATGGCGAAGAAACTTCTTGATCGTGGCCGTTACAGCGACCTCGGTGACTTCTGTCTCTCTTACTACGCCATCATGCGGCGGACTCCCTGCTTGCGGTTGAATGGCATCCTTGGGCGGGAAGCTGATCGGGTTGCCTTCAAATTTGAGCACTTGAAGGGATGCCATGTCGGCGAGACACAGTGGCAATTCGCGGATTTGATTTTTGGGCACAGACAAGACCTTGAGTGAGGATAATCTTGCAATGTCTTGCGGCAGCATTCGAAGCTGGTTCCGTCCGAGGTCGAGAATTTCGAGCGACGTCAAGTCACATAGCTGCGGAGAATTAGCATTGGGTCCAAGGGGAAGGTGAGCAGCCAGGCGCTAAAGCAGGGGGGAAATGATTGTTACCGCAATGGGGAACTCCTTGATCAAATTGCCTCTGATATTTAGATAGCGCAAAGACGTGCACTCGGAAAATCGAGAGGGCAAACTTGACAGTTGGTTGTGGGACAAAGCAAGTCTATAAGTGCCAGCGGAAAAAACAAAGTCTGTGTCAGCAGATTGGAAGTGCATGATTGAGTGAAAGGGGAGGGGGGGGAACAAGAAGCATACCGTTCTAGTTGACCCTTGACAATATCTATCACTTCCTCGGGCAGTTTTTGGATGCCTTTTCGACTCAGATCCACGGTGACGCCAGCCCTTAATGCAGTGCTGACAGCACCAGCCTCAGCAGCCTGGCCCTCACTCTCAAGGGCCGTCAGCATAGCTTCTCGAGCCAAGCCGATAACCTGAGCCGCACTAGTGATGAGACCGGACGCCGACAAGGCCGCGTTGGAGGACGTATTTCGAAGATTGGGAATCGGGGGCGGCGGCGGCGGCGGGGGAAGACCGTTGGAGGTGGCTGCGGAATTGGGAACAGGACGCCGGCCTTGAGCAGGATTGTCAGGCAATCCACGAACAGACGACGACGATGCTCCCGGATTGCCGGCGGGCATCCGCTCCAGCCACTCCATGGTGGTAAGAGAGAGCAGTGCTGGCTGGCACTTGCGAGAGAAGCGGGAAGATGAGATGCCTCTCACGCGTACGGGTCGCGGAGAGGAGAGGCGAGGTGTTGTCGGTCGATGCTCGGTACGTCGACGATAAATGGACAGGGCAGCAGTGGTCAGTGGTACGGCAATGGTGGCCGAGTGGTGCGCTGGACGTCGTGGTTCGGCGGTTTCCAGCAAAAATGTTTCAAGAGGCCCCTCGCGCAAGCCAAGTCGTGGCCCTCGGGGGGTCTCAACCTGCGAAGCCGATATGCTGCTTCAAGCCGATGGAGGCTGCGACGGGATGCTGCGCGAAGCAGGCGGGTTCATGATGCTAGATGGCAACAGCGAAAGGGGGTTCGCGGCGGTAATTGAGCGTGATGTTTGTCGGGTAAAGAGGATCAGATCACATTATCCGAGTCGACATGCCAGGAGGTTTGGGTCGGATGTCTTTCTTTTGGGGGGGCGGCGAAGGCTGGGTTTGGTTGGGCGTTGAACCCGCGGGGGGGCGTTTCTGGACCGTGGACCGTGGACCGTGGGCTTGTGGGCTGTGGGCTGTGGATTCCAGCGGTAGCGATTGACAGGACAGCGAGCAGTCAACGGCACGGAGCCTCGAATCAATGCTGCGCCTGCGGTCGGCCTGGCGGCGGTCAAAGCAGGCCCGTCCCGGTGCCAGCCTGAGACGCTGCAGCGATTCTGGCGACGTGGAGTAGTAATATCTATTACTACTTGTTGTTCATCGAACGGGGTATTACTTGGGAGTACTACGGAGCACTCAAGCAGTACTACTAATACATGCTCACTCTGCACCAATGGACGACGCCTGGATGCTGCGGATCGGGAAAAAGAAGGCAGGGATCAGCCTCCTGACGGACGTGCCTCGTTGCTTGAGAGCCAACGAGAAGCATAAGAAACAAGAAACCGGTGCTTACGCCAGGTACGGAGCAGGAGCAGCACGTCGCCAGACGCAGAAATGGGAGTGGTACAAAGTGGTACGGCTTGTTTCTTGCGCCGCCTCGGCCTGCATGTATGTATTGTGAAGTAGGTGCCTCTAAGTAGGTACTCCGTACTTAAGTACTTAGGTAGGCACTTGAGGTGATTGGCTGTCCGGGCAGGTAGTGATGAGTACCGAGTACTCTGCGTGCATACTCCGTACTACTGGCGGTACTCCGTCCCCGTCCCCTGCCCCTGGGTGACGCTTGCTGGTGACGCTTGCTGGTGACGCTTGCTGGTGACGGGACGGACAGCCGCGGCCTGCCGGCCAGCGTAAAGTTTGCAACGTCGAATGTTTTAGGGCATGCCGAGTATACCGTCCATGTAACGCGCCGAGGCGTCGACGGAGTGCTAATGCGTCAGACTACGGACAACGGACCACGGAAGCGCGGAATAGCTCACGTCTGGTTGCCGTCGAAGAAAAGACCCTGGAGCCATGTTCATGCTGCCCCCCGGCTGGCCTCGGATCCCAAGGTTCCAGATGGTGGATTGTGCACATAGCCATGCACGAGCTCGTCCCGGACCCCAGGCGCGCCCGCCCTGGCTAGGCCCCGGTGCCTGGAGGCTAGAGGTCCGTGAGATGTAGGAACTCATTGGTCCATCCCCTACCTACGCCCTACGCCCTACGCCCTACAGTCAGGAGCATCTCCTCCCGAGTTGTTGATGCTGCCAGACTCGACTCCCCACTCTCGCACAAACAGTGAGAGCCAAGCACAGCGCCTGGCCTCGTTTTTGCCACGAAAAAGCAGACATCTGCAGCAGTCTAATTTTCAAGGGTCTTGTGCCACTGCTGTTCATCGGCCGTACCAGGCGAGACGGAAGGTTCCAGGGTCGTCAGCACAGTCATTGCAGTCTGCGCACACGTGCATGGTCACCTGCTGTCTCTGGGCCAAGCAGGAGCGGCGCGGGTCTCCATTCGCGCTAGTCCCTAGCTTCCTTGGAGTGCCTAAGTAGCTACCTAGGTAGGTACCTACCTACCCAGATACCCGGGTTGCCGTCCAGTCATCTTGATGCGTGCATCGTGATTCGTGAACCAGCCAGGAACCAACCACTACGTACTCCCGTCAATCTCACCAACGTGCCCGTGAAAGAGGTCCGACATTCTTGGGGCTTTCCTGACGAGACGGTTGCGCATTTGTTCCCTCGGATTTACTCTGCCACCGCCGCAGGACGCCGCCTGTCTTTGACATGGTTGAAATCCGCTCGCTGAGCCTGATTCTCGCACATCACCCACGACGCGCCGCCCGATAGTGTTTGCTTGCCCTTGCGTCATGCCGCCTCTGCAGCGAGCCAATTCATGCACAGACATTGGGTTCACTCTCCGACGACGATTTGGCAAAACCGAATTCAGGTATGTGAGAATGTAGAGACTACTTCAGAGGCGATGAAAAGGACCATCCAACAACGCCCTGGAACCCGCGTCTTCTCCGCTAATGGCCCGCCATGAAGACCATGTCAACGTGAAATCATCGAAGCCGCTCTCAGTGGACATGATGTTTATGTTCAGGCTGCCACCTCCTTCGGGAAGAGCCTGTGTTTTCAACTTCCGGCCGTGATAGATCAGGGAAGTACGTTGACAGTTCCAAACGCCATACCTCACCACCCACTGACCCTCGCTCGTCAGTAACTCTGGTTGTCTCTCCTTTGCTGAGTCTCATGGTAATGTTTGTTGGCGTGGCCGCGAAGAAAAGGGCCCCTCGACTGACGCCCAACTAGATAAATCAGGTCGAGGCTCTGAGGGCATCTGGCATTGATGCCAGCTCGCTGAATAGCAACACGCCGTATCCAGAGAGGGATCGCATACAGCGAGATCTAGAGACGGGCCACCCAAAAACGCGTCTGTTGTATGTCACTCCGGAGCTCTGTTGCAGTTCTAGGTTCCGGGAGCGACTGCAATTAGTCCACGAGCAAAAGGAGCTGGCTAGGATTGCCGTTGACGAAGCACATTGCATTTCTGAGTGGGGTCATGACTTTCGCAAGGACTTTAAGCGCCTTTCTTGGCTCCGGGAGACATTCCCCGATGTGCCCATCACGTGTCTTACGGCCACCGCAAATCCTCGGGTGAGAGAGGATGTGCTTCACACTCTCAAGCTGGACGAGACCCCAGACCGGATTAGAACATTTCTCATGAGTCCGCGACGGCACAACCTTCACATAGAGGTTCGATACACGAAAGACCAAGAAGACAATCGGCTTGTAGATTTCTTGAAGTGGATTCGAGCCGTCTATGAGCGCCGTCGCAGTGAGTCGAGGAGGAAAGAACTGCAAGAGTCGGGCGAGCGCCCAGAAGGCGTCCCGGGTATCATTTACACCATATCACGGGACGAATGTGAGTCTCTGGCGGCACTGTTACGCGAAGAGGGGGTTGGAGCCCGCCCGTTCCACGCAAAACTCCCCAAGGACGCCAAGGAAGACACTCTGAGTCGCTGGATCAATAACGAGCCTGGCTACGATATTATCGTGGCCACAACGGCGTTTGGGATGGGAATCGACAAGAACAATGTTCGGTTCGTCGTCCACTGGCGGATCCCAAAGTCTTTTGAGGGGTACTACCAAGAAGCTGGCCGCGCAGGGCGCGATGGCAATGCCAGCTACTGCTTTTTATACTATAGCCGCGAAGATTTGGAACGGGTCATGCGAATGATCCGCAGCGATTCAAAGCAAGGTTCGAATCAAGAGGCTAGGCTGCATAGCCTTCAAGCCTTGGCTACCTATTGCGAAAACACAGGTTCTTGCCGTCACGCACAGATTTGCGAATATTTTGGCGACACATCTGCGCCGGAGTGCGATTTTGCCTGCGACTGGCATAAAGATGCTCTTGACTTGGAAGCGAGGTTCCTGAATGGTCTGGCGAGCCCGGACTGGGTGAGCACGCAGGCGGAACACCTTGGCACATATGATGATCACGATGACTTTGGAGATGACTGATGGCAAAACAAACACACTAGATGCCACAACACTAGACGCCTTTAGAGTGGTGAGCCTGAATTGTTCCCACCACGCCGTTGCTTTTTTTCTTTTTTTTTTTCCTTTTTTTTTGTTTTTTTTTGTAGTAGGCCATCCTACATATTGCACAACGGGATACTTGGGACGCAATGGTATAAAGACCTTGGTTTCATTTGACGCTATCTGATTCCAGAACTAGATAGTATCGAACTTGACAAACCCAGACATGGTCGACCTAGCCTGCCCGGCACGTTTTCTCGCCATCCCAATGCCAAGTAAAGGCACGGTCCGGCTCGAAACTGCCGCACTACTATTTCTTGGTGCAGACGCCCGCCTCCCACCCAGGCTGCATGAGGCAGTAGTAATTGGCGGGGTCGCAGCAGGTCCTATCCTTGAGGTTGCAGGTATTGTCTGAATATAACCGTCAGATACGTGGCCACGCTTCAAACAGTGAGACGCTTACCATCAGGCTTAAGGCACCCGGCCTGAGCTCCGAGGGCCATGCTGAGGGCGAAGACGGCAAAGGCGAAGAAGTTCATTTTTCGAATCAAGCGTCAGGAAGCAGAGCTGGATAGAAGTGATGAGTGGATATGTGGTTTTCCGAAGATGCTGTTGTTGCGAATGATGGGGATGGAAGCGTCTGGATGGAGCAGGGCAGTGTCGACCTTTTATAACCGTGGAGGAAGCACGACGACTCTCGGGGCGAGGAGTGCGACGCCGTCAAGGACGGGCAGAAGGCAGTCACGCTACCGAGCGAGCGGGCATTGATCGATGCCTCATGCCTCGTGTTGCGTGTGCAGGAGCCATGCGTATGCGTCAGCGTCGGCGCGAGCGCGAGCCAAGCTTGCGGCGACAACAATGGGCTGCTGGCGTAGGCGTTGCGTCGTGTCATGCCCGTCGTTGCCTTGTAAGAACAAGGAGGAGGTGGAAGCGGAAGCAGAAGCACGAGTGAATCAAAGAAAGCTGAGACTTGGGCGAAATATAGCTCGTGCTTGAGACGTCGTTGCGGAACAGTGGTGCGTACCCTTTATCCCTGCGTTTCGCGTCGACATGTCCGCGGGTGTGTATGCGACGTGTATGAATACAAAATATAGCCGAGAGCGTCTTCAGCGTCATGGTAATGGTGGTCTTTGTGTCATCCCGGCCAACGGCCATGCAGCTCTGCGACATCAACACCCGGACCGAGGTCAAAGGCAGACTCGGAGTCGGCGTCGGCCTCGGCGTCGGCCTCGTACCGACGTGACGGCCGAGCAATGGGAGCAAGCCGCGCACGCCCTCGGTCCCCTCCTGCATTGGCTTTGTGCGCCGGCGCGTGTGGACGCACCAGGACGGGAGGGAGGGCTACCTTTGCGTCAACGATGGACGTGTGGCCTGTGACCCTGTGTGCTGTCAGAGCAACTCGGGCGGACGACGAGGCCGGCAGAGTGCCGCGGACGGCAAGTGACTGACGGCTCGTGAGCTCGTGTAACGGTTTCACCCTCCCCTTTGCCCTCTTCTCCTCGTTGCGATGCGGACGTCGGTGCTGGCCCCTGGGGAGGGACCTTCGGTAAGAGTCCACGACGGAATTGTGGCCGTGCCTGTCTGTTTTCTACGGGCTGCAAAACAAGCACGTAACTCGGCCTTGCCCCAGGCACGGGTGCGACAAAGAAACGAAACGTGCCATGGGTCAAGACTTGCCCTTGCCTGCGCGTGGGAATCCAGCCGGGCGGCGGACACGATGGCGTGTCATGGATGGCTTGCGGAGCTTCGTGTACGACGACAGGCCGCCATTGTTGATGAGACAGCTTTTGCGAGGGGGGAGCGGGAGCGGGAGCCCTTGTCTGGCCTGGCCGTCTTGCCAGGAGCTTCGGCCTTTATGCGGGAAGATCTGGAGGCTGTTGGTTGCCAACCGGTTGGTTTCGAGGTGGCAGAGACCGCTCACGTGCTTCTGCTTCTGCTTCTGCTTCTGCTTCTGCTTCTGCTTCTGCTCTGCGGCTCAGGGGAGAGGGATCGATTGTCCCTTGACACGTCGTCTCGAGCCAGTGTGTACGTCCCTCTCTTCCTTTTCCTGCGCTCTTTCACCTGCGGCGCGCCCGTCGTGTCTCGTGTCTGCCGTCGTGTAGCGGCACGGCCAAGAACAAGGCGAACATAAACGCCATGCTACGTACGTCGAGCGTCGACGAGACGAGCCATCTCTGCCATGCGTCTCCCTGCGATGTTGACTTTCCATCACAGCCCGATCGGGCGACTGCACGTAGCGACGCCCGCCCGACAATGCTCAAGCAGATATTATACCAGGCGTCCACACCAACGAATGCGGCTTATCCACGGGCTTTGCGTCGTCGCTTCTCGAGGCGGCGGCCCTTGGTGGCAGTGCCATGTCGACGAGGATACCGGTCATGACGTCTGGCCCCCGTGTCTTCCGGCATCTCTTGGGCCGCGCGCCGCCCAGGAGGGGGGGACGACCACGCAAGAATTACCGTCTAACCCGCTGACGTGAGATGAATCTCTGTCCATTTGGGTCCCCTCGGACTTGCTATCCTCGGTGAGGTCAGGCGGTGGCCCACGGACAGTTGCTTGGGCAAACCGGCGCTTGTTCGCGATACAGCATCCGTTGATCATGGGTCAGGGGTACATGACTGAGCACGAGGCTATGCCACGCTGCTGACATTGGGGGGGATTGTTTCCCCTTGCCAGGGCTGACACGTCACAAGATTGGGGTATGAGGCCCGAGTCAGAGTGTCAGGACGAGCGAGAAATGCGCCGCAGGCGTTTTGACGATGACGGCACGTGTCGGTCTCGCTTCAGCAACGTGTTTGCCACCAACCGATATATTCTCAACTACTGGTTGGGACCCGGGGCCCCCCCTCTCGACGCTCGTACGATTGAGTGCAGAGAAAACGGACGGGGTGGGAGCACATCTCGTCACAAGTGCCACTCGAGGCGGTGGGTGCGCAGGCAGGCTTTGAAGACGGCATCAAGTAGCATAACGTCTAGTGAATGGCCAAAGTCTAGATACTTTGTCCGCGACGCAAGGAAATACCGCTGACCAAAGCCACTCTTCGCAACCGCTTCCAGGTCGACAAGCTTCCCTCGGGCGACTCTCGAATCCCAGCAATGGCGGCGGCCAGATTTCACCTCCCGTCACCCTGTGCCATGCCCCGGCCGTGCGGTAACTATCCTAGAATCCACCGTTGGGGTTGGGGTTGGGAATGACCCTGCCGACACCATTCACGGCGGGGACGATACTCTGGCCCGTCAACGCCGCCATCTCCTTGTATCTCCTCAGGCTGACATTGGGGTCATCATAGTTCTGGTTGATGACGCCGGCCATGCCCCGCTGGCAATGGCTGCCCTCCCGCTGAGGGCAGTAGTACCAAATGGGCGTCTTGTCCTTGACCTCGAGCTGAAAGACGTTGGGTGCCTGGCCCTCCTTGGTGGCGAATTCGAAGCCGGGGAAGAAGCCGGTCCCGGGGGCGAGGGGCTTGCAAGGGTCGACAAAGGAGGACTGCGCAAGCGAATAGTTCGCGGGGAGGAAGTGCCATTCGACAATGTCACCAATCTCGGCGACGACGTTGTCGGGGTCGAACCTGAGCCCGCCCAGTCCCGCGACGACCGAGTGCGTCACCCCCGTCAGGGTGGTAGTTTTGGTAACGGAGTCGGGCGTGGTGTTGCTGGGTGCTGGGCCGGCAGAGACGGCAGTCGCCAGGACAAGAAGATTTGTAATTGCTCTGAGAGACATTTGGGTTCGTACACTGGCCTTTGGTGTAGAGATGGAAAGGTTCTGGATATTTATATTGTGTGATATGGCGGCGCTTGTAGATGGGTGCAGGTGTGAGCTTGCTCGATGCTGGAGGGGATGATGGGGAAAAAAGACCGTGTAATGAGAATCACGACCTCTTTATATATCCGTCCCACGCACTCTTACAATGGTATCCCATCCTAGAATGATTTGGTTTCCGTATTCTACTTCCGTCTCATCTCATGACGTTGCCAACATCCCACTCCGTCGGTATAAGCCGGCAAGCGTGACGACGCCGCCCATGCAAGCCGGTCTTGCCTCTCGAGCAATGAGAACAGGCCCAGTAAAGTCAATTAAAAGAGACATGGTTGAATGGGCCGGACACGGTCGTCGATTGGCCGATTGGAGCTTTTTCTTAACCTCAAGCAAGTCGTTTTGGCGTACGGAACGAACGAGCTGCCCCCGTTGGGGCTGGGTTGTGTTGGTGTCCGCTGACGTTGCGAGTCTTTTATTTCTTTGCACCTGGTCCGAGGGGTCCGTGTGTGTGTTTTCCCTTCTTCTTTAATCAGTACGCCGGTCAGCGTGGCGTAATGACATACGTAGCTGACTTGAGGCGTTTGGTTGGGTCGTCGTACACGTGTATCGGCACCGTTGGTGTCTAAACAGGAATTGAGTCCGCAGCTCCGGGTGTAAAAGTGATATTTTGAAAACATTGTTATTAAATCTCCTGAGCTGAAAGTAGTATAAACCCATTTGGCATCCGAACAGGAACGTGGTGATTGCTGGTCGAATCGCCATGGCATTTGTGGCAAATGTGTGTCTCACTGTCCAAGGAGAAGCATCGTGACTTTCTCAGAATTTTCGTTGTCATGATTCAGTCACTGCTCAATTATACCAATCACTCGCCGTGATTCTGCAATGATGAAGATGACAAGGGTGCACTTGTCCAAGTCCGACCCCCAACAGACGCAAGGGTTGCCACGACGGTCTATTTTTACGTTCCCTCGGCACTCGTCATACGACCAAATATTGCCACATCATTGAGATGGGTGTCGCTTCGCGCCGAGCGCCGCCTCGTGGCCACTGCGACGGAGTATTAGCGACATAGCAATTCTCAGGCGGTCAAGAGTAGACATTTTCACCTGAATGATTCCCGTCCCGGTCGTCATCCTTTCCCTATCTAGGCTCGCCTACTGCTTCTTCGCCTCCTTCTCGGCTCTCTTCTCGGCAATGGCGCGGTCAAACCTCCTGAACACCAGGAGACCCTCAAAGAAACAGCTCACCATCCACATCCACCACAGGCCAGACCACCTGTCCACGCCATGCTTCTGGAGCCTCGTCACGTCCAGCACGATGGGTTCGAGCAAATGGATGGCGAGTACGGGGTAGAAAATGAGCTTGACGGCCCAAGCGAACGTCTCCGGTCCACCGGGGAAATAGGCAGCGAGGATATCCCAAACGAGAGACCCGGGCACAATCCACGGCAAGGCGAGGAAGGAGGCGAAGTAGAAGACGACTGTGGCAAGGACAATGGCATCTCCGAAACCAGGAGCGTGGTATCGAGCCATGTAAATGCCGCTGATGCCCAGGCTCTCGCGGGCAATGGCGTCCATTTCAATAATCCGGGGGCGCACGTCACTCCATGATTGCAGAGCGGGTTTAAAATGGACGACGTAGTCGGCGCCGCCGGCACGGATGCGCATGCCCTGGAGTGTGACGTCTCGCAGGGACGCTCCCCGGGCTTGGCTTGGGGTGAGGCCGCAGTAATGGCGGAGGTAATGCGTGAGCTCGCGAGTGTGAGAGGTGTTCATGTGGCTGAGGATGCGTTCTTGGAGACCTTGGTCTGCCGGGGTTAGAGCAGCCATGGTGGCGGAGTGACAGTGACGGAAAGGGTCGTCTGTAGATTGATGTCGCTGCAATCGGCGTCCAGGTGCGGAGTCGTCATTGAGATGTTTGTCAAGTCTCGAGCCCGGGCAAACCAGACCACCTGTTGAGAGTTGGTGGGGAGACGCGGAACGGCGTTGGCAGTATCACCGATGCCGAAGCCGATGCGGATGGCCGTCTGGTTTTGGCTGGGCATAACTATTTGTGCATGTGCAAACTTGCACCAGTGCACAAACTACGTGGGTGGGTACGTACCTAAGGTAGGTAGGTGTAGGTGTGTTCTAGCCTCTGGCGCGAGGGGATATTCTGAGGACGGTCCCAGCCCCGTCAGCTACGGCAAGATGGCCCTTCACAAGTTTCCTCCAGCACATGACGATTTCTACCGTCTTGTGATGGCTCTGCTGTCCTCAGAAATCAGGAGAGCAATTCACGAAACGGGACCGCGCGCGTAGAGCAGCGGTACCAGACAGACTGGTTGCTGTGCCCCGCATAGGCGGTTTGGCTAAAGCGTCACCGCCGGCGATTTCTTAAAAAGAAATAAATCCCAACCCCGACGAGCGCTTGCTTGAGCAAGCAAGATGACGGTGAATCCCTGTCACCCGCTGACACGCTGCATGACGAAGATTGCTAACCAACTGATTGGCAGTGATTGCTCCATAACCCAGGATACTCCGTACTAGTGACGGACTCTCCCAGCACTCCCTCTGTTCGTCCAACCAGATGCGCGACAACATCCCAGACCGGCCGACTGTGACGCAAGGCTCGACAACCTTGAAGAGACTGACGACAAGGGATCCTGATCTTCCGTGGTCTTCTGTCCAATCTGTCAAAGCTTCGGTAGTTGGTCCCTTTGGCCGCTGTCCATCTTTGTGCCGTGCCCATCCCTTTGGCTGTTCGAAACAGTCAAAGGGATGACGTTCCTTGGCATACCCTTGTTCATGGCTTCTTCAACCAGCGGCAGCACGCGCTTTGCCTGCAGTGCTTGTTTGCTGCCCGGGGTGTCAACAACGCCTTGGTTGGATTTCGGCTATCCAGCCGGAGAGGTGAATGATCCAAACAAAGATGCACATATTGTACAACACTTGCACTCTGATGGGTGGGTTCGTGGCCCAAGATGCATGAATGACCGTCTATTCTTCTTTTTGTGCCCGCAAAGATGAGCCGTCGTTTATAATACCCCAGCCCCGGGAAGCCGTTACTTGCTTAGTTGTTTCTGCATTTTGAAGTTTTACCATCGGTCTCACTGTTTACTTCTTCATACGAAAGTCGTCGACAGCGTACCAAGGCGCGATTGTAAAAAAAAGGGGAAGAAAACTCGAAAGGGAAACCGCATACCAGAACTACACGATGAAACCTTCAGTCGGTCAATTCGTCATCCTCCTTCCCGTGGCCCTTGCCGTCGTCAGCTTCATACTATCCATGCTGGCTCTGTTCGCGGGCCGCGAACCAGGTTTCATGGAAGACTATGCCGTGGTCAGGGTAAGGAATTGCATACACGGAAAGATAAGCCCGTACTCGGCTCCGATACTTACTCGCTGTAGCTCAACACCTCCATGGTCGGACACACCTTCTTCGGCAAGGGCAACAAAGACGACAAGGATGGCGAGAAGAAAGGGGGCGGTGGTCTTCTAGGCGGCCTCACTCCACGCATCAGCATTCCCGGCATCAGTAGTATTCCAGGCGGCAATGTTTTGGGCGACGTCAAGGACTGGGTCGATGACAAGACGAGCGGCGTAAAGGACAAACTCAACGATATCACTGGCTCCATCGCAGACAAAATTGTCAAGAAGATTGGTATCAAAGAGTGGTACTCGCTGCACATCATGGACTCGTGCGAGGGCTACTTCCAGCCAAATTCCAGCTCGCCGAATGTCGAGCTGAACGTTACCAAATGTACTTCGTCAAATCCGTCACGTAAGTGCACATCCCATCATGGATTCGAGGGGAGGGAGTGTGCAATTGTGACTCAAACAAAAACATGAAAAAGTCAAAACTGACCTAGAACGTATAGACCGCCTCAACTTGACGGAGCTCCTGGACAAGGAACTCGGAATTGGCCCTGCAAAACTCAACCTCGCCGACATCAAGTGGCCCCAAGGCATCCAGGACACGCTCGACGTCCTCAACAATGCCCTCCTCGGCCTGCTTATCATGTACGCCTTGGGCGCAGGCCTTAGCTTCGTGTCGGCAGTGGGTGGAGTGGCTGCCTTCTTGAAGCCCGATATGCGTATTTTCGCCCTGGTCAATTTCGTCATTGGTGGCTTGGGGTTTCTCAGCATCTTCATAGGCAGCATCATCGTTACCGTTGCCACAAGCACAGGCGTTGGGGCAGTCAACAAAATCGGGAATCCGATCGGCCTCTCCGCGAGCAGAGGCACCAAGTTCTACGCCCTGAGCTGGGTGTCCACGGGATTCATGGGCTTTGTCATGCTGTTCTGGATGGTCCGTTTCTGCATGATAAGGCGGCAGAGACTTTTCATCAGGGAAAAGCCCTGGAGTTGATCTCCATGTCGAGCGTGAGCTTTTCCATGAGCGAACCACCAGTGTCGGTCGTTTCTTTCCCTTCCTATTCTTTCCTTTTCTCTTCTTTTCTTTCTTTCCCCTTTAGCTTCCCAAATCATGTGAAAAATTGGATTGGGAATGTGAACCTGGATTTTACGCATAAAGCGCAGATTACTGTGGTACCACAATGCCTTGTTTTATGTTTTACAAAGAGCATGACGCCGCAAGTGCAGTCCTCACTGCTACGTTTAGAGCGCCGTCGATTAGAAGTTAGATTACTTTTCGCCTCATGGCTCCGAGTACCTGCTGGCCACACTCTGATAATTCAGATAATTTCTGCAACCATCCCGAGTCCTTCATGTCCAAAGCGATCAAGTGCGGAGAAATAAGGCCTTGGTGGGCTGGAAAACAAGCTTCGTAGTCGTCTCGAGCCCTTCTTGTACGAGCGTCCCGGGTAGGCGATTGATGTGAAGGTCTCACTGATGTGGTGCTGAGCTTTCTTGCAGAGGCTCGAAATTGAAGAGTCTAATAGTGGGCCGAAGCAATGAAGGAACATTGAAGAAATTGAAAAGTTTGAAGCAAATCATTTCGATTGCTTCGTCGAGCTCACGACTTGTATCCATTGATCATATGATTAGTATCAATACGCGTTGCGCTAAAGTGCTGATTCCTTGGTAAGTGTAAATAAGACACCTGTAAAGTAATAACAGGGGAAATAGTGTAGGGGTTATCGCGTCTGCTTTGCATGTAGAAGGTCCGGGGTTCAAATCCCCGTTTCTCCATTGTTTTGTTTTTTTTGTCTTCATTCCTGGTCTCACACTCTCTCAAGTCAACTTGACAAATAGCTTTGATTTTTACAGCAACGATTTTCTAAATGAACGCCAAATATGCTTCCATGCCATTCCCGCTTTGTAGCTTTGCTCAACGTGCTGGAACTAGTGTTATAGCTACGTGCGGAGTACACGTTGCTGTATGAATCGATGCCAGTGCCGGAATCTGGACCCTGATACACTAGCTTTTTGGCAACAAGGACCCTCTTGGTCGTCCAGGATCCAGCTCGACACGCGGGATATTCAAATCTGCGCCCTGTTCACCTCTCCATCGACACATTACCGTCACAACCTCTCGCTGTTGGCCCGAGTCCGCAAGTACAAGCGGGTGGGGCCGCATCACTGAAACGTCACCGGCATCGCTGTGTCACCGTCAGTGGTTTGGTTGCGTGTGTCTGTGTCGCCCCAATCCAAGCCTCCTTTCCGCTCCTCTCCCATCCAAACGCATTCATTTGCAAACGCCACGCAGGCATTCTCGCCTTGGCGACAGGTCCAAAGAGCAGGCCAGAAACAGAAGGGCACAAAATGCCAGGCGACGTCGAAAACGGCACCGGCGAAACGGAATCCCTGCTCAGCCGAGGCCGACATCAGGTGAAGCGCTTCTTTGATGGCTTCGTCGACTTCGCCTTCCAGGGCAACATTCTCCAGATCGCCTTCGGTCTAATGTGCTGATTCACTCACCAGAAACCCCGGCTTGCCGGCCCGGTGCGCAGTGAGCCTGCTAACTGCTGCGCAGCATCGCCAACGTCTTCACCGATCTCGTCAAGTCCTTTGTCAGCGCTATCCTCATGCCCCCCCTCGCCGTCATGTTCCCGATCAACAAGAACGTCGAGGAGAAGTTCGCGGTGCTCCGGCCCGGAGACACGTACAACAGCAGCACGGGGTACAACACGCTGCGCCAGGCGCTGGACGACGGGGCCGTGGTCATGGCCTACGGGTCGTTTGTTTACCAGGTCATCTCGTTCGTCATGGTGGGCTTTGCCCTGTACGGGCTGGCGCACGTATACACCTTGGTCTCGCGGGACCCGATCATCAAGTATACCAAGAAGTGCAAGTACTGCCGGAAGCAGATCAATGAGAAGGTCGGTCGGTAGGTCGGGGGCTTTCAGGTCAGAGGGGCGGTGGTGGTAGGCTTTCGGTGCTGACGGTTTTCTGTAGTGCTTGCGGTGCGTTAATTGTACGAGCTGGCAGGACGGCCGGGAAGACAGGACGGGGTGATGGAGGGATGGGAAGGCTGCGTCATGCGTGCCTAGGCAGGCGACGCTTTCATCTCGGCCATGAATAGTAATAATTATCGGCATTGGGTGATTGTATACAAGGTTTGGGTTCTGGACTTTCCCTCTTTGTCCCCTCTTTTTTGCGTTTATCGAAAGAGCGTTGTTTTTGCAACTGGACCAGGCGGCGTACCTGGGACAAGGTACGGCACGAATAGGTGGTTGTGCAGTTTTCTGCTGTTCCATGGACAATCTCCAGCTTGTCATTGGGATGTGATGTGATATTTTCATTCGAGAGAGATACTTTGAAATTAATACATTACAAGAAATACTACACAACTGAGCCGCTACTACATACATCCGTCTCGTAACGTGGACTCGTTTACTTCGACCACCATCTTGACCAAGTTACAAGACCAGAACACCACCGACAATAGCGGCAACGCCGGCCAAGACAGCATTTTGCGTCATGGCCGGGGCGAGATTCCTGGTGGTGGTGGTGGCGGCGGCAGTGCCAGAGCCTCCGGTAGCAGACGCGGTGCTGGCCGCCGTCGCCGTCGCCGACGTACTGTTGGATCCGCCATTCCTGGCGCTTCCCCCAGGAGAAGCAGAGAGCTTTTCGGCGCCGGCGGTGATGGTGACGGGGTACATGGAAGTCTCGTAGCCGGTTACAGTTGTCTGGGTAGAGGTTCCCTCCGAGGCTGCGGTGACATCGATGGTGCAGGCGGCGACGTGTTTGGACGGGTCGAGTTTGCAGTTGGCTTTCTGGGTGCTGATGCCCCCAATTAGTACCGAGTCTTAAAGAGCACAGAGCACTGGGGAAAGACGAGTTGACGTACAAAACCCCCAGCTGGCTTTGGGACATGCCATAGTTCCACTCCCACGTCGATTCGCCCTGGGTAATGGTCGCACCAATCTGTGGCAGGCCACACTCATCCGAGGGCGTGCCCGACGGACAATGCACGGCGAGGGTAGTGGCGCTCGAGTCGACGTTGACGACGGAGCCGACAAGTGGCGACTTGTCACCAGGAACGAGGAAGCTGACGGTTGTGGTTTCGGCGGCCATGGCGGAGCCAGCCAGGACGGCAACGAAAGACACAGCGCGGACCATGTTGACGAGGGTTTCTGGAGTTTTTCTGTAAATGAAAGAAGAAGACGTTTACCACGCAAACGAAGGACGAGAAGGAGAATATGAAGCCGCCAAAACCAACGCGGCTCTGGGGGGGAACAGCGAAGAGGAGCGGTTCGAACGAGCGTGGAAGCCTTTTTAACCGTCTTGGATTCAGCCAGACTCCGACTCCCTGCCAGGGGAACAACGGCTCGCCCGCGACACTAACTGCTTATGTAGGCCGGGGCGGTAAGGTGACTCGACCGAGTAGGGAGCGAGTTGTTGGTTTTGCTAACCAGACTTGGGATTAATGGGCTCGAGTTAATGACCACATCTCCACTAGCAGCACAACGGGGGCCGCCGTTCCGCGAGCCGCGCTGTTGACTAGATGCAAATACGAGCGAGTTGGAAGCAGTAGCTGAATGGTGGTCGGTTCTCAGGGCCCGGGCTGTGGAGCTGGCATAACGGGCCGCAAATTGCACGAGTTTCTTTGATGCTTGGTGCGCTGAGGCCCGAGGGGGTGATGAATGTGATGAATCGTGATGGCTCTGTGTTGGCTCGGCCATGTTGTGCTTGGGATAAAAGCCGTCTTGAGGCCGGTGCTGTTGCGGCCCGATACAACCACGCCACCTCGTTTTTTTTCGCTGTACTGCTGTGGAGTCATCCTTTCTTTCTGGCGGCGTTGTTGAACGATGTCTCTCCACGCTTCTACCAGGAGGCTTTGCGAACCGTCGTCGAGCGCGATTCATCATTGGTTTGCCGGCTCTGAGAGGCCGTTGAACGGTCGCCCACGCATCACGCCGTCCCCCGACAACCCGAAAAAAAAAGAAAAAAAAAACGACGAAGAAGAAGAAAAGCCGAAAGCCGAACAATGCAAAAATAGAAGCAGCAGCACAAGTGCGGAGCATGGGAGTCGAAATTGCATTTCACAGGGGCTTGAACTCAATGCCGCCACCCGTGATCCCATTTACCATTTACCCGCGATGCAGGTGATGGATGACTGACGCGGGTACTTTGTCAGCCCCCACAAAGGCTTGGCGCCAATGGTTCGGGGTCTTGGCCCTGCAACCGCATTTCCGTCGTGCCGTGGCGCCCCAAGCAAGGACATTTTAATTTACTACTCTGTATGGAAGGACGAAATTCATTTATCCTTGGGTGTTGCCCTCTGACACGTCGTACGGAGCCGAGCATTGAGTGCATGCCATGCCATTATGTGGCTCAATCTTGGCATCAACTCAATAACCAACGACCACTCCTTGTGCAGTAAGTAACTAACTAACTACTAGGACCATCATACATCGCGCCATGGCACCACAGCCAAGACCCTTGACCTTGAGCCTTGAGTCCTTGACGAAGTTAACCAGGCCTGCGGTTCTTGTCCACCGTCGCCATGACTGGTTGTCCCATTTTCCCGCTCCTGCCTTCGTCTCATGTCTCGCTCACCGGCGTCTCCCGTCAGACGGACGTCGCCACACCCCAGAGCTAGCAGTGCCAGTAACAGTCGCCCGATAGTCACAAGTCGCGACGGTGCCCAACAACACCGGCCGTTTCTGTCATGACGACTCTAGCGACAATGACATTCTCAAGAGCCCTGGCCCTCGCACTGCTGGCTCTCCCCACGGCCTGCAGTGCTGATGGCGCCAATGGCACCCCGACACCTGCAGTCACTACGGCGCCCGTCTTCATACCGCACTACGGCGAAGCCCAATGGTCTGCCGTTCGGGGCAGCATCATCTCGACGGTATGTCTGGGGCCCGACGTTGCTTTACGCCGACCCTGTCTGACCAGCGCGTGACAGAACCGCACGGCAAGCCAGACGAAATACACCATCTTCTGTCCCACGGCGACTCCGGTTGCTTGCGACCTGTCACTTGAATTCCCCTTCATCATCGTCGAGGGCCCAAGCACACTCGAGTTTCACGGCACCTTGACCTCGACATAGTACGGCCCTCTCGTGTGCTGCCGCCGGGGAAGAGAGAAGATGGAACTGACCATCCTCTTGCGCAGCATCGCCGATCTCGAATGCAACATGAGGGGCACCACGGCAGCCACGTGCTCCGGCTACTCCAGCTACTGCTCCGGCTACACCAACGGGAAGTACACTGGACCGACGGAGGTATCGTGGACGTCAACGTTGACCGGGTCCAACATTCACTGGGGCACTCTCACCCTCGCCGACAAGCCGACCGAGACGGACGACTCGCTTGACGTGACGGCGACGAATGTCGCCGTGCCAATGGCGCCTCCGTCTCAAACGTACAATGCCACTCCCGCACAGAGGGGTGCAGGCGACAGGCTGCAGTCGAATCGAAGCTGGGCCCGAGCAATGGCGCTGTTAAACATGTTTACTCGGTTCGTTATTATGTAGGAACGGGGACACTATCACCCGGAAGGAGTGCAAAGGTGAAGGAATTTGGATATACCCGTACAGAACAGGACGTTGGGTGTCGGCCATGGCATTTGTCGGCACACATGGTGTACAAAACAGAAGGGACAAGCATGCAGAGGATGGGTGCCCTTTTATTTTTTTTTTTTGGGGGAGGGGGGGGCATTTTGTTTGGTGGTTTTTGAGGCGCTTTGCACTGGATGGAGATGTATTCCCTGGAGCGGCATCAACCCTAGCATGAGCCGGCGTTGCCCTGACCTGCCTGAACATTCGATTCTCGGTCGATTAAGCAATACGTGCTCAGTGATTCGTGTCGAATAAATAGCGAAGCTGGCGTCAGATGGCAGCATGTGTCGGACAGTGCAAGCTGGCAGTCTCTGCAGCTGGAACGATTGAAAACGGCACTGAACAGAGTCGTTCAACGGTGCTTTGTCGTTTGGACCACGTGGGCCTCGTGGCGGTCATGCGATCGTTGCCCGACATCTGAATCCGAGTCCTGACACATCTAGGCGGAGTCCTCTGTTTCAGAGGGAGCGGCACTGGGCGGATGCCAGCCAATCCTTGGAGTTGACGTCGTCTCTTGATGACAATGGTCCAGGCCAGGGTCCAGGGGCAAGAACTCAAGAACTCCACGCCAGGCCAGGAGACGTGGCGGCGCTTGTGTCCACCGCCGAATCAACATGGCTGGGTGCGACGGAGCGTCGTAATGGTGCGTGCGGTACTCCGTACCCCGGACGCCGTACCTTTTCTCCCGAGTCCCACGGAGTACGTACTACGTACTTAGCCTGGAGTTGGTTGTCTATCGTCCTTGCTGACTGGCCAGCGCCGTGCCTCCCTTGGCGCGCGCCAAAACGAAACGCGGAGTAAGTACGGAGTACGTACTACGACCAGTACCACTGTGGAGTAAGTACTCCTCGTGAAGAGTCTCCCTTTTTTTTTTGGTGCCGCGGCAGCATCCAAGACACGTCTGTCGTCTGTCTCTCTTGACGCAATGAGCGCCCATGCGACCAGCCACTCTGGCCGTCGATCCCGATTCCAGCGGCCTCTACGGAGTACGGAGCACCTCGCATGACAACTACGCGCGAGTCCTGACTCCTCCACGGGGCAGGTGGATCTCATGTTTGGACGAGGCTTGGGACTCGACTAAGCGACCTGAGTCAGGCCTCGCCTTGAGCCATCCGAAAAGTCAATGGCCACCGCAAGCATAGCATCACCCCTGCCTGGCCCTTTGATTGACGCGTGTTGCTCGCTGGAAGATGCCTTCACGCCGCCTCCTCGCCTATGCGTTGCCGGCGTGGCATCCGTACTTACTACTACCGGCATCACCAGTGACCACACACTCGAAAAGCGAAACCCTAGCCGCAAACCCATAAAGAGGTGGCACGCCGCGCGTCCCTCCGTCGGGGCAGCCGCTTTCTTCCATTGTCTGCTCACTTTGTATTCCTTTCCACCCATGGGCCTGGGCTGTGCGCCAGCCGCTTTGTTTCGTTTCTCATTTATTGACCCCGTTGTTCATGCCTACAATTCCTGTATCGATGACCTCCACTTCTGTACCTTGTTCCTTTCTGTTTCTCTCCTCAGGCTATAGGCTTATGATCCAAGGTGTTGCCCAGGGACGACAATAGACAGCATACGTGGGGAGTACTGCCCCTGCTCACGCCCCTCTCCTTTCACGCATTACTCACAAATCGTATCTATTTTTTTTGTCTCTTTGCTTTCTTGCTTCTCTTCCTTCTATCCTGCAATTCGGTCAGGAAATACCTTCACATCTTTGCGGTACGAGGTTCCATTATTTTGTCACACGCACCCCATACGTCTTGTGCCACCAAGATCAATTCCCCGTCCCAACGGCCCTTTCTATGAATGTTTGTTCATGTAAAAGGCCTCGGTCCGCAGCAATCACTGGTACGGCCCTCGTTTTTGGACATCTGTCAGGATGAAGTTTGTGAAAAGTGTGCAGGCGGCGGCTGCCATGGGCGGTATTTTTGCGCCAAAGGACGTTGATGTTGACAGCATAAGTAAGTCCCGACCTTTGAGTGAGTACAGTATTTTTGATTTGAATCAAACGCCAATCGATTGTCCCAGGTTCTGTTCGCAACGTCGCCTCTACACTTGCTTACGAGACCATGACGTACTACTCGGGCAATACAACAGATCCCAAGTCGAGGGTATGCCGTTCCCATCATCCACGCACGCCTGACGCAAAGAAGTCCATACTGAAATCCCTCTTTCTTTCCAGGATTTTGGAAATGTCAAGAAACCATATTACTGGTGGGTAGCTGGTGCTCTTTTCGAAGCCTTGTTGGATTATTACCACTACACGCTTGATCCCAGCTACAACGGCGTTGTCATCCAGGCCCTGCTGGCCCCTACCAACCTGGGTCCCAAGAAGGACTACATGCCTCCTGAGCATGCCGACGAAGAAGGCAACGACGACTTGTTCTTCTGGGGCTCGGCCGTCCTGACGGCCGCCGAGCGCAACTTTCCACAGCCCAACCCAGACCTCCCCTCGTGGCTCGACATTGGGATCAACGTCTTCAACCAGCTCGTCGGCCGTTGGGACACGACAAAGTGCGGCGGCGGTCTTTTCTGGCAGATCCTGGAGAGCAACCCCAACGGTTTGAAGTACAAGAACTCTGTCAGCAACGGCGGCTTCTTCCAACTTGCCGCACGCTTGGCTCGCGCGACCGGTAACAGTACCTACCTCGATTGGGCCGAGAAGATCTGGGACTGGAATTACCAAGTCGGCTTCATTGACAGCGAGACCTTGCAAGTTTATGATGGCGCTGACATCGGCACCGACTGCAAGAAGACGAACAAGAAGTCCTTCTCGTACACGACCGGCATCTTCCTCTACGGCGCTGCAGTCATGCACGTGCACACCGGCAAGCCGGAGTGGAAGGAGCGGACTGAGAAACTATTCAGGCAGGGGGCCAAGATTTTCTTCACCGGCAACGACAAGAACATCATGTGGGAGTTTGAGTGTGAACAGACAAACTCGTGCAACTACGACATGGTCATTTTCAAGGCCATCCTCGCTCGCTTCATGTGGAAGACGTCCCGCATCACGCCCTCGCTCAGCCCGGACGTCAAGTCTCTGCTCGTCTCGACCGTCAAAGCAGCCGTCGCCACTTGCACAGGCGGCGAGAGCGGCCGCCAATGCGGATTGAGATGGTACGAAGGGGGCTTCAGCGGCGAACCGACTCTCGGGCCCCAACTGTCTGCTCTGGAACTCGTCCAGGGTCTTCTCGTCCAAGGCTCTCCCGCGCCCCTCGAGGCCAAGGACATCCGGTGGAACAAAAAAGCCGACTTCAAGCCCATCGACATATACGCCAATAACCTCGCCTTGTCGAGCAAGCGCGAGGTCTCGACCCCTTCTTCCTCTCCTGACCCCGTAACTACCTCTTCCCCTGACAACGGGAGGGAGCCTAGGAAATCCGAGTCACCCGCCGTTGCTGTCAGCAGCTGGGCCATGCTGGCCCTGGCGTCGGCAAGCATCGTCGCAGTCTGGGGTCTGACGTAGACTTGCGGGCTCTCGGAGAGTCTGGCCTCAAGGTAACTTGTCCATCGCACAAGAGAGGGGGGAAAGGACAAGAAAGAGAGGGCAAGCATGTTCGCTAGAGAGGGAAAAACACACAAGTATCATAAAGAGAAGGGGAAAAGGATAAGAAAAAGAAGGGAAGCATGTTTACTGGAGAGGAAAAACACAAGTATCCGCTGGTTGGGTCAGCATTCAGTAGCTGCATACGCATACATGTATTTTCCCAATTTGAGGTACACAGCAACACGGCATGGCATACTACGAGCGGGAAAGGAAAGCTCGGTGTTGGAGACGACGATTCAAACTGGACAGCAGATCTTGTACAAACGAGACATGGGCCCAGATGGAGGACTGAAATTGTTCAGGCATGACCGGATTTTACGTGGGTTTATTGAGTGTTGGTTTTACTTTCTCCCTGGTGCGTGATTTACCGGCACACCACACACCACACCTCTTGTCTATTTGCCGGGCCGGCCGCGCCTCACCTCGGCCAGAGTGTCGCGCAGCGAGTCTAGAAATCTGGTCACTTCGTCCTCGGTGCCTACCGTGATGCGCAAGCACCCCTGACAGCCGTGCTCTTTGCCCCTGAACCTGACCACCACGCCCTTGTGCTGGGCTAGCTTGTCGTACACGGCGAGCGCGACAGAGTTGTCGGACTCTCCGTGCGCGTTTAGAATCTCGTAGAGCAGAAAATTGCCTGCGGTGCCGCCGCGCCGTCGGCCGACGCCCTCGATCTTGGGTAGTTCCGCGAGCAGGCGTTCCCGCTGGGCCGTGATCTTGGCCCGGTTCCCCCTCATGACGGCCAGTCCGGGGTCCCGCAGCGCAGACTGGGCGAGGGCGCTCGTCGGGGTGGCGACGTTGTAGGGGGCCTTGATGCTGTTGAGCAAGCGGGCGACGGGGGCGGACGCGAAGGCGGCGCCGAGGCGGATGCCCGCCATGCCAAAGGCCTTGGAGAGGGTCTGCACGACGACCAGGTTGGGGTACTCGGCGACGAGCTCGGCGAGGGACGAGCCCTCGGGGGCAAAGTCGACGTATGCCTCGTCGAGGACCACGACGCCGTTCCACGTGGGGTGGCCGAGGACGCGGACCACGTCCTGCTTGGCGAGGAGGGAGCCGGTAGGGTTGCCGGGGGAGCAGAAGTAGGCCAGCTTGACGTCGGGCTCGGCGGACAGGGCGGCCGTGACGGCCGGGACGTCGAGGGCGAACTCGGGGCCCGGCGTGAGGGGCACCTCGACCAGGCCGACGTCGTTGACCTGGGCGGAGACGGCGTACATGCCGTACGTCGGGGGGCACGTGAGGATGCGGTCCTTGCCGGGGACGCAGAAGCACCGCAGGAGGGCGTCGATGGCCTCGTCGCTGCCGACGCCGACGAAGAGGTTCTCCGGCCCGAGGGACTTGGGCGTGTGGGCGTGCGTGTTGCGCAGCCGGCAGAGCAGCTGCTTCAGCTGGGGCTGGTGAGGGTCGGGGTATCGGTGCAGGGAGAGCGGATCGAGGCCGTCGAGGGACGGCGAGCCGGCGCGCTGGGCGGCCGCCGCGTCGAGGGAGGGGCCGTAGGCATTCTCGTTGGCGTCGAGGAGGACGTTGGAGCCGTCGTCTTTGTAGTCACTGCGGTTTTTTTTTACCCACCACGTCTCGTTAGACGGACGATTGTGATCTGGGAGGGTTTGCCGGGCGGGCCGTTGCTTACTCTCGAGCGCAGCGGTACGGCTGCAGGGCCAGGACGTTGGGTCGCGCGCAAGTTTCTAGGTTGAACGGCGGCATTGTGTGGCCCAGTGGTCGGGTCGACGTTGCTTCGTGGTCATGGACGGACGGTTTCTCTGCGGGTTGAGGCGAATCAATGGAGCGTCCCGGCCGCCGAGGACGGAGCGGGAAGCGGGTCGCGCCTCGTCGGCGGCCGAGCACGTTTCGTACCTGCCTTAAGTTAGGGCACCTGCACTAGGTACTTGCTTGATGCGCGTTTTCTATCAAGTTGCATTGGGGAATTCATGCAGCTCCCAGTCGTTGGACAAGTAAGAATTGACAAGAATAAATAGATTCTGGATGCAAGAAAACTGAAAGAAGGTCAGTTGCTTCATTCGCCTACTTGCATACGCAGGTACTTGCAACAAGCGGCCAGGCCCAGCGCCCATGTATCTAGTATCTAGAGCCAAAAACAATTCACCTGGACACTAGAGGAAGCAGGCTCCCAGACCCTTTTCATCTATTTGGATGCCTAGGCAGTTTCTCACCAACACAGATATCACGGTGAAGTCGTCGCCGCGAAGTTGTGACAAAGGAGAGCCGAATTTTCCCCGTAAACGGCGCTATGGTCAATAAATAGTCCGCCAGTCAGAAACGGTGAGGCTGGTCGTGTCTAGGGTAGCCCGTAGTCCAGGGGTCGTTCCCTTGCATTCCGTGACAACAACTCGAGCCGGCCTGACGGAGCTCATGCTGCCAACGACGACATAGCCGCCACACCGCTTCCCCAGTATCGCAGGCTGAAGAAAGGTCTGGATGTTCGCTAGCCCTGTAATTACCCGGATTGAGCCTCGCACGACTCTCACGCCGCCCTCGACCGGAGATTACCAGGACGCGACTCGATTTGGCGCAAAACTCGGTATCGCGCAAGACAACACGACGACACTACGAGAAAGCGCAGCTACAGCTGTGGTTACCGTCGTCTCGCTGCATGGTGGCATCTGGAATCCCACATTGTTGCGCGCTAGCATTGTTTGCCAGCATCATTCGTCAGTACTCCTCCAGACGGTCTGGGGCACTCGATTGAAACCACGGCTGTCCATCCAGCTGCAACGCCCTTGGTCGCCAACGACTGATCATCCGTCGTCTACATCTTCACGAAACAACCGAGTCTCGCCCGAGGACGCTCCTGGTCCACAATGTACAATGCCGGCTATGGCTTTGGCAATCCGGCCTTCAACCAACCCGGAACGCCGCAGCAACAGCAGCAGCCGCAGCAGCCGCCACCACCACAACAGCAGCCAGGGCAGCCGAATCCTCAGATGATGTACAACCAACAGCAGCAGTTTGCGGGCATGGGGCCTCAGGGAGGTTTCAATCCCGGAGCGAATCCCCAGATGATGCAGGGCATGCCGGCTGGTATGATGCAAAACCCTGGGATGGCCAACATGTCTCCCAATGGGCAGAGTGAGTTGCCTTGCGTTTTGTGTGTGTCCACGTGGTATACGATGATCGAATCTCTTGGTTGCTCGGCCCTCCTATTCGGAACGTCCAGCAGAGCCTCGGAGCAATTCTCGTCCCGTTGGAATGGTTCCAGCGATTGATCTTCTTGCAGCCTGCTAACAAATGTGCGAATGCAGTGCCCGGATACGGCCAACAGTTCCCCGGAGGCGGTTACGGTCAGATGATGCCCGGCGGCGGCGGCGGCATGCCTCAAAATTTCGCGCCGAATAATTATATGATGCCCGGTGGCATGCAGGGATATCCGATGAACCAACCCGGCATGACCCCCCAGCAGATACAATTGATGCAGAGGATGCAGGCACAGCAGGCAGCTCAACAGGCAGCTCAGCAGCAGCAACACCAACAGCAGCATCAACAACACCCGCAACAGCAGCAACATATGCCGCCGCAACAGCAACAGCAACAGCACCCTCAGCAACCCCAGCAACAAATACAACCGCAACCGCAACCGCAACAACCTCCACAGCCACAGCAACATCAACCTCACCAATCCCAGATGAATGCTGCGATGCCCCAGGTCTCAACACCTCAGAGACCGCCGAGCGTTGTCCAAGGAGGCACCCCTACGAACCCGATGCAGCAGCAGCAGCAGCAGCAGCAGCAGCAGCAGCAGCAACAGCAACAGCAGCATCAGCATCAGCATCAGCATCAGCATCAGCAACAACCACAGTTCTCGACACCGCAACCTCAATCCCAGAACCACCAAACTCCACAAAACGCGCAGCCGCAATCCGCCAGTGGAACACCTCAAACGCCCACGTTCTCGGTCAACCACGGCGGTGGTATGAGCCTTCCTGCATCGGGCACCCCAATGAGCCCAGCTACCGAGTCCAGGGAGAAGGAGCGGTTCGCACTGCTATTGGACATCAACCATGAATTGCTTTACGAATCAATACAGATTCAAACCACGCAATCAGAGCTTAAAAAGGAGAACCCCTCTCCAAATGGCAACCCAGCAGAAAGGAAGCCCACCGAAGAGGAAAACCTGTTCCAGCAGGATTACCTTCAGTAAGCCAGAACTCTGCATTGGCGCCGTAACACTGTTTGGCAAGCTAACATGAGCCCCCCTCCCCTTTCCCCAGGTGTATGAGGCGACTACAGGCAAATCTGTCTTACATGGCCGCCTTGGCAGACCGAAAACCGGAGGTCAAGGTGCCTCCCTGCCCGGCCTATCTCAGCGCACCTCCCCTCAATCTTTCGCTCAAGCTAAGGGCTGCGCCAATTGGAGCAGAAGGACAAGATGCGAACATGGACCCCGTTGCAGACAGGGCTGAGAGAGACAAATCTATCAAGGATCTCTATCATCGACTCCAAGCCGTTTTCCCAGGATTCGACCCGAAGAAGGAGCCCGTTTTCCGTCCCGGTGCTGGACAAAAAGCTGGTGGTCAAGGGCAAAACCAAGCCAGTCCCACCGTTGCGCAAAATCCTCAAATGCCAAATATAACCGCACCGCCCGGCCACCCTGGCATGATGGGTTAAAGGGAAAGGCGACGCGTCGAAAACGACGACATGATCTAGACGTGTGAAGCTATCACGGAGAAATTTGCACATGTTCACGTATGCTCCGGCAATTCTGTGCTGGGTTTGTGGCAAAACTTGACTGCAAATGAGGCGCTGTTTGGGTGGAATAATTTGCTCAAAGCTGTCCACTTTTACCATGCCATATACCCTTTCTGGTGAGCGGAGTTGAGTGCTGCGTAAAGGAGCTATTCTTCCTCCCGCCTCCCCCCTTTTGTTTTGGATACTTGGAGTTCAGCATGTGCGACGGTATGGTGCATGGCACTTGATGAGATGGCTTGTACATATCACAGACACGGAGCTGTGGTGACGGGTAGGGTGACGGGTCAAAACAAGAGGGGCCTTTTCTATTCTTCCTTTTTCTTCGGATACCATGAGACGAATTAATTGGGGCGGTGTTGTAAAGAGATTGGTCTTTTATTGGGGAGCATGAGATTTTGCTTGAGGAAGGCTGAGGCGTATGGTTGGCGTCACGTCTACTGCATACATTCGGGAACAAGAAGAGAAGGGCTCATTGCTGAGCGTAGCCATTCGGGAGTCGGTGTTGAGATATCGGGACCGATTGGACGGGTTTTTCGAAGCGGCCATGGAGGTGCCCCATGGACATTCTCTTGCCGAGAGTTAGACGGGGTCCGGGAAGTCAATGGATGGGCGACAGGGTGAAACTTGGATAGATATTTTGGAGACCAAAAGCCTGTAGAGTTATGCTACATCAGCCTGAAAGAAGCTGATTTATGTCAAGTATTCGATGCGTTCCTGTGGCCCGCGGGTGGCCGAGACGGCGATGGGCGACGGCGCGCGAGGGGCCTACATTCCGATCAACGTTGCTTTCTATGCTTTCTGGAGAATAATGTGCTCTCTCCTCGCTTGGGTGCAAGCCCCAGGTCCATTAGACGAGCACAAGTGACTACGTAGACACTGGATGAGTGCATTCATGAAAATGCTCGAGTGGACGGACGTGTTGGGAGTATCCATTAAACCGGGGCAAACCGACCTCGGGAGTTGTGAAATGCCATTGACGCCATTGACGAATGGGAGCGCGTCGCTGACAGAACTCAAACGCCGTCGACATCGGGTCCGGCGAGGTCCACTCATGATTTTTTGTATGAATTTTGCAAGAGGCATATTAGTTCGCTGGCTTCCCGGCCTGCCCATGTTACATGTTACGTGATGCATTTTGCATGGTGAATAGCAGCAATTATGAAGCGCGGTCGCGGCATGAGCATCTGATTCCCCTGGGTCTCTGATTTCTTAGGGCTTACAGTCATCTTGATAACAGACGACTTTGAAGACTTGGGTTCACGGGAACACCAAAAACAAGTCGTCATGTCATGTACTGTCGTAGACGGTGCTGGACACAGAGGCGGGCTATTTTTCTACATTGACGTGTTGACGCGTTGATTTGAACCGCGAAACTGGGCGCAACTGGAGTCTAGAAGTCAACAGGCAGGGCGGAAAGCTGTGCCATTGCCGCTCTTAGTACTCCGTATGTGCGAAGTAGGTGAGCCCTCGCGAACCTTTTCATCGTGGGGCGGGGCACGACTAACTGACTGACCGACTTGACCGACTGACCTTTAGCATCGCAGAAAGCTTTGCTAAAGTCTTGTAGGTGGCGAAATTTCTTCTTGTGCTTCTTCGCGTCTCCTACGCAGACCCTTGATGCCAGGTCAACTCCCAGGTTTGGGTGGCTTGTGCTGTTAACCTGAACTCGCTTTTCCTCACTCTTTTCTCCTGCTTGGCCTAAATCTGACCTCTGGCCGCCTATAAAGCCGGCCGGACCCCTGCCATTTTTTTTCCCCTTTCCCTCTCTCTTCCTAAGCCTCCCATCCCCGATTTCCTGCCTTGCTCCTCCGTACTCCGGGCCGGGTCCGAGCCGAACCACCTTGGACAATAGGGCCGAGTAATACCAATGCCAAGGTTCATGTCATTGCAGAGTACGTACTTACTTGGTGGCTATTCTTTTTTGCTGGTCAAGTGTGGAGAGTACTAGACCGATTCAGACTAGTGCACCAATGGAGTTCCCTCCTCTCCTCACCTCTTTTTTTTTTTTTCTTAAAAAAAAAATCGCATCTGCAAACCTTGCCAATCTTTACCGAGGAAGAGGAGATCAATCCTGTTCCTGCGACAGATGATTGCGAGGTAACGCTTTCGACCTGTCCAAGAAAGCTCTGAAAACGGGTTTTCTTGCCCAGCTGTCGCTAGCAGATCCCATCGCACACGGAGCACTTCTGATCTATCTTATCGTCGACTTTGCCCCGCCAACACGCTCTTTGTCCCCCCCTCTTTGCTTGAACCAAAATCCTTTTCTAATTGCACACGGCGCGTGCAAAAATGGCCGCTATCAAGGCGCTGCCGCCCTCCTCGGCACGCTTCTCGAGCGCCACTGATGACGGCCTTGTCTGCCTCGAGCTTGAGGACGGCTCCGCATACACTGGCTACAGCTTCGGAGCCCAGAAGAGCATCGCTGGAGAGCTGGTCTTTCAGACGGGCATGGTCGGGTATCCCGAGTCTTTGACAGACCCTTCATACCGCGGACAGATTCTCGTCACTACCTTTCCTCTCGTGGGAAACTATGGCGTGCCTTCTCGCGAGACCGTGGACGAGCTTCTCGGTGACCTGCCAGCACACTTTGAGTCCTCCCAGATTCATGTCACTGGCCTCGTCACCGATTCGTACTGTGGCGAGGACTTTTCCCACTTCCTGGCAACCTCCTCACTCGGCACCTGGCTCAAGGAGCAAGGCGTCCCTGCCATGTACGGCGTCGATACCAGGGCCCTGACCAAGAAGATTCGAGAAAAAGGCAGCATGTTGGGCAGGATGCGACTTCAGACGACGATCCAGACCAACGGTGTCGCCAATGGCATCGCCAATGGCAACCCGCCCCAGAGTTTCGCCCAAATTGAATGGGTGAACCCTAATGAGAAGAACCTCGTTGCTGAGGGTGAGTTCTCGGTGTCCCTGCGATGCTACAACTTCCCATTTTGGACAAGAGTGCATTTGCTCATACATGACTCTTTCTTCTGTAGTGTCTGTCAAGACCCCTAAGCTCTATAAGCCCCCTCCTTCCGTGGCCACCCGTAAGCACCCGTCAGGCCGGCCGATTCGCGTCTTGTGTGTCGATGTTGGCATGAAATTTAATCAGCTGAGGTGCTTCCTCAAGCGTGGTGTGGAGGTCATGGTCTGCCCGTGGGACCACGACCTGGCCAAGGAGGCAGGCGACCAGTACGATGGCCTCTTCCTTTCAAACGGCCCTGGTGACCCAAAGGTCCTCGATGTTACCGTCAGGAACGTGCAGGCCGCCATGGAGAAGAACAAGACGCCTGTTTTCGGTATCTGCCTGGGCCATCAATTGCTTGCGCGTGCCTCTGGAGCCTCGACTAGCAAGATGAAGTTCGGTAATCGTGGCCACAACATCCCCTGTACCAGCATGGTAACTGGAAAGTGCCACATCACCTCGCAAAACCATGGGTACGCTGTTGATGCCAGTACTCTGACTGCTGGCTGGAAAGAGCTCTTTGTCAATGCCAACGACGGTAGCAACGAGGGCATCATGCACGTCGAAAAGCCATACTTCAGTGTCCAGTTCCACCCCGAAAGCACGCCTGGTCCTCGCGACACTGAGTATCTGTTTGACGTCTTCATCAACACCATTGTCAACTCCACCAAGAACCCGGAGCTCCTTCAGCAGCCCGTCAGTTTCCCAGGTGGGACGATTGAGGAGAATGAGCGGCTTCACCCTCGTGTCTCTGTCAAGAAAGTCCTTGTTCTTGGCAGCGGTGGTCTCAGCATTGGCCAGGCTGGCGAGTTTGACTACTCTGGTAGCCAGGCTATCAAGGCCCTCAAAGAAGAGGGCATCTTCACTGTCTTGATCAACCCCAACATCGCCACTATTCAGACCTCAAAGGGCCTTGCCGACAAGGTGTACTTCCTGCCCGTCAATGCCGAGTTCGTCCGCAAAGTCATTCACTACGAACGCCCCGACGCCATCTACGTCACTTTTGGTGGCCAGACTGCTTTGCAGGTGGGCATTCAGCTCAAGGATGAGTTCGAGGGTCTCGGCGTCAAGGTTCTGGGAACTCCCATTGATACCATCATTACGACCGAGGACCGTGAGCTCTTTGCTCGCAGCATGGACTCCATTGGTGAGAAGTGCGCCAAGTCCGCCTCTGCAAGCAACGTTGACGAGGCCATGCGAGTTGTCAAGGATATTGGTTTTCCCGTCATTGTTCGCGCCGCCTACGCCTTGGGTGGTCTTGGCAGTGGATTCGCCAACAATGAAGATGAACTTCTCGACCTTTGCAACAAGGCCTTTGCTGCCAGTCCCCAGGTGCTTATTGAGCGCAGTATGAAGGGCTGGAAGGAAATTGAGTACGAAGTTGTCCGAGATGCGCAGGACAACTGCATCACAGTCTGCAACATGGAAAATTTTGATCCTCTGGGCATCCACACCGGCGACTCCATCGTCGTCGCCCCCTCGCAGACTCTATCTGATGAGGACTATAACATGCTGCGAACCACTGCCGTTAACGTCATTCGTCACCTTGGCGTTGTTGGCGAGTGTAATATTCAATATGCCTTGAACCCGTTCTCCAGAGAGTACTGCATTATTGAAGTCAATGCCAGACTCTCTCGGTCTTCGGCCCTTGCTTCGAAGGCTACCGGATACCCCCTTGCTTTCATTGCGGCCAAGCTGGGTCTTGGTATTCCCCTCAAGGAGATCAAGAACTCCGTGACCAGGGTCACCTGCGCCTGTTTTGAGCCGTCTCTTGATTACGTTGTCGTCAAGATGCCTCGATGGGATTTGAAGAAGTTCACCCGTGTCTCTACACAGCTGGGTTCTTCTATGAAGAGCGTGGGCGAGGTCATGAGCATTGGCCGATCATTCGAAGAAGCCATTCAAAAGGCCATCCGATCCATCGACTTCCACAATCTCGGCTTTAACGAGACCAAAGCACTCATGAGCATCGACGATGAGCTCCAGACGCCTTCTGACCAGCGCCTGTTTGCCATTGCCAACGCCATGCATGAGGGCTACTCGGTTGACAAGATCTGGGAGATGACCAAGATTGACAAGTGGTTCCTGCGCAAGCTCAAGGGCTTGAGCGACTTTGCCAAGGACATGAGCCGATATACCACAAAGGACATTGCCCGATCTCCTAACCTGCTACTTCAGGCTAAGCGTCTCGGTTTCTGTGATCGTCAGCTTGCCAAGTTCTGGGACTCCAACGAAATTGCTGTCCGCAGGATGAGACTCGAGGCAGGCGTTCGACCCTTTGTCAAGCAGATCGATACTGTTGCTGCCGAATTCCCTGCCTTCACCAACTATCTCTACCTCACTTACAATGCCAGCGAGCACGATGTTTCGTTTCATGATCATGGCGTCATGGTTCTTGGTTCCGGTGTTTATCGTATTGGTTCCTCAGTCGAGTTTGATTGGTGCTCCGTTCGTGCCATTCGAACTCTACGGCAAACTGGCTTCAAAACCGTCATGGTCAATTACAATCCCGAGACCGTCAGCACTGACTACGACGAGGCCGATAAACTGTATTTCGAGAACATTAACCTCGAAACCATCTTGGATATCTACCAGTTGGAGGCCTCTAGTGGGGTACTTGGAGCTATGGGTGGCCAGACCCCTAATAACATTGCTCTGCCGCTGCACCGAGCTGGCGTCAAGATTCTCGGCACCTCACCGGAGATGATTGACATGGCCGAAAACAGATACAAGTTTTCTCGGATGCTGGACCGCATCGAGGTTGACCAGCCCACCTGGAGGGAGCTCACCAGCTTCTCCGAGGCTCGGGAATTCTGCAATGCCGTCAGCTATCCAGTGCTTGTCCGCCCATCCTACGTTCTGTCTGGCGCTGCTATGAACACCGTCTATTCCGAGAAGGATCTGGAAAGCTACTTGGCTCAGGCTGCCGAGGTTTCTCGAGAGCACCCCGTCGTCATTTCCAAGTACATTGAGAACGCCAAGGAAATTGAGATGGATGCTGTCGCCAAAGATGGCGTGGTTGTTGGCCACTTCGTCTCTGAGCACGTGGAGAACGCTGGAGTTCACTCTGGCGACGCTACCCTCATCCTACCCCCCCAGGATCTAGAACAGACCACAATCGAGAGAATCGAGGAGGCCACGCGCAAGATTGGTGCCGCTTTGAACGTGACTGGTCCTTTCAATATTCAGTTCATTGCGAAGGACAACGACATCAAGGTTATTGAGTGCAATGTCCGGGCTTCTCGATCGTTCCCCTTTGTTTCCAAGGTCATGGGTGTCGACTTAATTGAGATGGCCACCAAGGCTATCATGCACCAGCCCTTCCAGGAGTATCCCGCTACCAGCCTTCAGCCCAACTGTGTTGGCGTCAAGGTACCCCAGTTCAGTTTCTCGCGTCTGTCCGGTGCTGATCCGGTGCTGGGTGTGGAAATGGCTTCCACCGGTGAGGTTGCTTGCTTCGGTGTGGACAAGTACGAGGCCTACTTGAAAGCGCTGCTGTCTACTTGTTTCAAAATTCCCAAGGCCAACATTCTTCTGTCCATTGGCACGTACAAGGACAAGAAGGAGTTGCTGCCATCGATTCAGAAGCTCCAGCGCATTGGCTACAAGTTGTTTGCTACCGCTGGCACTGCGGATTTCCTGCAGGAGCACGGTGTTCAGGTTCAGTACCTCGAAGTTCTCGGCCGCGATGAAGACATCAACTCCGAATTCTCTCTCACCCAGCATCTGGCCAAGAATACGATTGATTTGTACATCAATTTGCCTTCGAACAACAAGTATCGCCGCCCAGCCAACTACATGAGCAAGGGGTACAAGACTCGCCGTATGGCCGTTGACTACCAGATTCCTCTGGTGACCAACGTCAAGAACGCCAAGATTCTGGTCGAGGCCATCGCTCGGCACGTTTACTTAGACGTTTCCAAGCGTGACTTCCAGCTGAGCGAGGTGTACGCCCCGGCGCCTGTCGTCACTGCGAAGACCCCCGAGATGAAGGCCTCCTCCCTTCCGTCCATCGGACAGGTTACGGTCAGCCCTCGACGGCGTGGCGGCGATGCCACGCTTGCCTCCCCTATTCGTGGCGCCGGCCAAATTGACGAGCTTGCCCTGCCCGTGACCGTCCAGACTTCCGCCATCAGCGCCTCCGTTCTCAAGATCTTATCCCAGCCTTCGGTCTTCAAGAATGCCAATGTCTTGTCTGTGAAGCAGTACACTCGTGCCGACCTGCATTTGCTGTTCACGGTCGCTCAGGAAATGCGCCTGGGCGTCCAGCGCGCAGGAGTCTTGGATATCCTGCGTGGGCGTGTCCTGTGCAGTGTTTTCTACGAGCCTTCCACCAGGACATCTGCGTCTTTTGATGCTGCGATGCAGCGCCTGGGCGGGCGCAATGTTTCCGTTCCTGCCACAAACTCATCTGTTCAAAAGGGTGAGACTCTCCAGGACACTTTGCGTACTTTGGCTTGTTACGGTGACGCTATTGTTCTCCGCCACCCGGACGAGAAATCCGTGGACATTGCCGAAAAATATAGCGACGTCCCCGTCATCAATGCAGGCAATGGCAGCAAAGAACACCCTACCCAGGCGTTCCTCGACCTTTTCACCATCCGTGAGGAGCTTGGTACTGTCCAGGGCCTGACCATTACCTTCCTGGGTGACCTCCTGTACGGGCGTACCGTGCACTCCTTGGTCCAGCTGCTCCGCCACTATCAGGTGCAAGTACAGCTGGTCGCTCCCAAGGGACTAGAGTTGCCTAAAGATGTCAGGGATCAACTGGCTGCATCTGGCCAGCTGCTCGTCGAGTCAGACAATCTGACTCCTGAGATAATTTCCCGCAGTGATGTCCTGTATTGCACCCGTGTGCAGCGGGAGCGATTCGAGACGGCGGAGCAGTACGAGAGAGTGAAGAGCTCGTATCGCGTGGACAATGCCACTCTCAAGCACGCCAAGAGCCACATGGTGGTCATGCATCCTCTGCCGAGGAACGACGAGGTGGCAGAGGAGGTGGATTTCGACCAGCGAGCGGCCTACTTTAGACAGGTAAGTCATCCGGTCCCTTGGCCATGCAAACGGTGTTTCATGGACAGAGGAGCACAGTCGCTAACTAGCCTTACAGATGCGTTATGGGCTGTACTGCAGAATGGCGCTCTTGGCGCTGGTTATGGCTTCCTCGTAGGCCATGTTGATTTTGCTTTTCATTTAGACGAATTCCAGTATTCCAGTACAGGACCCTCGGCAGGGCATATGACGGGACGAGGAAGAAAAGTTAAAAGTGAACAACGACGGCGTAGACGAGGATTTCCTTGAATTGTCGATAAAATTAATGTGTTTGAAGGTATTCATATTGGGTAGTCACAGCTCGTGGCTGGATTTGAGTCCCATGCCTGGGGTATTATGAAACGTGTCGCCTATATGCATACATGATGATGGCAGTCGCTGGATCCGATTGCGTGTATGAGTGTATGAGCGGAGACTTGTACATTTAAAGATGCATGTGCGCGTGCGTGTTTTGCGTATTTGGGTTCTTTTGTCAGATGCGTGTACACGAGTTGTGTGCAGCAAGTCATGGATGGATGTAAAGAAAGGTACGTTGGTGACGTTGGGTACGTGCATGCATGTGTTGATCAACTTGTGGGTACTTGAGCGTGTACTCCGTACTTTGTGTAAATTACTAAGTACCTACCTAGGTAGTTTAAATTGCAATGTCAAGTTGTAATTAGGCTGTGCTATTCGTGCTACTAACTCTATCTATTCGTGCTACCGCCCCACCCCGATTTTAGGCCTACACCCTGACCCGCCACGCCCTGCTATATAATTTTATATATATTGCCCTGGCAACTATAGAGTCTTACGAAAATACTCTACAACAACAAAAAAAATAGAGTGCAGCCGCCTAGGCGGCCTTTTTGCAACTCTACAATAATATTACTAAATTATATAATATTAAGCTTAATTTTAAACTCTATAATTACGCTAAAATACTGCTTTTTTTATATTTTTAATAGATAATACTTATCTACTTAAATTTATAAGTTTTAATATCTTCCCTAAAGTACAGCTTAAACCCTCTTTTAATAACTCTAAGCTGCTGCTTAATAATAAAGATTCTAGCTGCTTAATTCCTAAAATACTACTACTAAGAGCTTATAGCAACTTTAATTACTTTTTTAATAATTTATAGAATTAAAGTAAGGCAAATAGTACTACTTTTATTAAAAGCTTTATAATTAAGTTTATTAAAGTTAGCAGAAAGCAGTAGCCTTAGTATAGTAGCTTTTTATACTATTATAGCTCTAGAAGGACATCTTAAGCAAGCAGAATTTAATAAGCTGCTACTAAAAAGAATAACTATAAGTTTAAGCTTTAGCTAGTAACTATAATAGTTAATATAAATTAAGTTTAGACCTATAAAGTAATATATTATTAGTATAATTATAGTTAATTTCTTAACCTATTAGCTAAGCTAATATATTAAAGGTTTATAGTTACTTAAATAAAGCACTTTATAAACTTTATATAATACTAAGCTCTTCTAGTTTGTAAGATAAGTAATATTATTTATAATACAGCAGAAAGAGAAGAGATAGAGGTTTATTTTTGCTATAAAGACCTTTATAATTAAGTTGCAAAAGCTTATGCAAAGAAGCTTAATAAATTTTCTTTAATACAATAAGTTGTTAAGCTTCTTAAAGAGCAAGATTTACTATATATTATTAAATATAATAATAAGAGCTATTTAGAATTAGTTATTTAGACCTATAAGTTCTATATTAATTAATAGAAAGTTTTCCCTTAAGTTCTCTATATAAATAATACTTATAAGACTAACTGCTATAGATTATACCTATTCTAGGTAATTGCTATTACAGACTAGAACTCTAGCGCAAATATTATATTTACTCTTGCAATAAAAGAGGATAAACCCGCCTTTTAATGGATTTTGCTAAGCCTTAATTAAATACAAAATTAATACAAAATTAAGGCGCCTAAAGTTGTTATAACTAACTTCAATAAAGTACTTAAAAACGCTGTCGTTAGAGGCTAAAAATAACTCTTATAGCTGCTTTCCTGCTATAGAGTAAATTAGCCTTTATAGCTTATTAGTCTTTTTATTGAATTCTAGCTAGTATTCCTCTTTTAACTTTATTTATATATATAAAGAAATATAGGCATAAAGTATATTAAATTCTTATATATAAAATGTATACAAATATTCCTTGTAGGCAATTTGTATACTGCAGTTGTTTCCTTTGTTTTTATAGGTGTTTTTTCTAGTAGGCAGTATCTACTGCTAATATACCCCCTTAGCTATATATTAAATATAGCTAGGTAAGTTATAATAAGTAGGAAATATAAATAAAAGATAAATAATAAGTAATGAAGATAGATAAAATAGGTAAAAAGATAGATAATAAATAGATAAAAAAGCAGATATAGCTTATATAGCTAATTTATTAAATTTTTAATAGCTTCTTTAGCTAAGATAAGGCCTTTAATATTAAATAGGCCTAGCTATTGTCTGAAATTATAGAATTTTTGCTTTATAAGGGGTTTTATAAGGCTATTAGCAGGCATTTCTAAGGTTTTTAGGTATTTTATATTGAATTTTCCTTCTTTATAGGCCTGCCTTATCTAGGCATTATATATATTAATATGCCTTAGGGCTGTTTTAACCCTAGGAAGGTCTAGGGTAACTAGCCTTATAGTTT